ACATATTGTTGAAACTTTTATAGAAGTATTGGATTTGTCTTTCCAATAACACAATTCTCTATAAATGTTATAAAAAAATACAGTGTAAGTAATAAATTTAATTCATAAAAAATAAATATTTAGTATAAAATATTATTTTTATATCTAACAGAAAAAAAAATTCATTCAAAAATATTACTGACAACAAAGTTATAAAAAAAAAAATTGTCAATTTATCAATAGTCTGGCTGCCTAACTGCTTCCGGTTGAGATTAACACCGAAATTTGTTCATTTGTTCTTTTTTTATGGTGAAATCGTTGGATGTCGATTATGTCTCGTAAGATTAAACTATAGTCTTGTTAACATCATACAAAATGGCAACATATAGACATTGTTAATTCCTTTTGAACAAAATACATAAATATTACAGCTATGAAGGCGAGTAAGACTATATATTTTTAAACGTCTAGAAAGTTAACACCACATGTAATCGATAGATAGATGAAATCTTCAATTGAAACACCAAAACAAGTTCAATAAAAATAGACAGGAAATAATTTCATTCTCTAAAGGTGGAAGCAACTATGGATTTTAAGTACTCATGTTAAGAAAAGGCCCTTCCAACAATCCATTGTTCACTAGTGACATGCACAGATTTTCCCATCGTTATCGAGTTCAATCCTTAAGTGATCTCTCCAAGGCAAAGCTTATGATCTTGGGGAATAAGATAACCATTCTTCTTAGAGTATGAAACATTACCAGTTTTTTCATGCTTAAGATAAGTGAGGGAAAAATCAAAGCTGGTGATGACGGAATGCCATGATTGGAAAACAGCTTTGAATCTCAAGGGTGACGACAATAGCAAGAGAATTTCTTCTATCAACTCACGTAGCAGATTTCCATTCTCAATTCCAATTAGTATATTATTAATTTTTTTTTAGATAAAAAAGGAAATTAAATGTTTTTTTTGGTAAGTTATAATTTTTATGAAATATTACATCAACTTAAAATTTTTAATTTATAAAAATTTAGACTTTATTGAAAATTTATACTATTAATGTAAAAATTTAGACTTAAAAAAAATAATAATAAAAATATATTCCTGAAAATTTATCATAATTAAATATTTTATTTTTGAAAAAATTTAATATTTTTTTATATTAAAAATAGTGAAACAATCATTTACATTATCTAATATACAAAATAAAATTCAGAAAATTATATAAAATTTAATATTTTTTACTAAAAAAAAATAAAATTAAAATGTTAAAAGCGTAAATCAATAAATAGACGATTTTTGTTATTTTTAACACTATAAAATAAAAATTAAAGTGGACAAATTACTAAAAAAAATATACATAATTTTATTATTTTTTACATTAACAAAAAATATAAATTTTGAGGATTAAGAGGTTTGCTGCCCGGTATGAATTAGCTTTATGACATATTTTTATTGTTGAACTTATTTTTGGTCCATGTTTGATTTCAGTTATTAATATATATCCATTATGATATCATGTTATTTTCAAACTTTAATTTTATTTCTTGATTTTGTTGTATTTAAGTTATTTTTATTCCATTCATCTCAATATTATTTATTTAACTGTTTATTTATTTTTAATATTCTATATTTACTACATAATAATAATAATAATAATAATAATAATAATAATAATATATTACATAAACTATAGCTACGGATGTATAAGCCGCGCATTAAATATATACCGAACAGAGGATATAACATGTCAATTAATAGACTCCTCATTAACACGTTTTCACCATTTACTCGTGACCAAAATTCAATTTCGTTGGGTGGCATTTTTATTTTATTTTATTTTATTTTTTTAAATTCTTAATAATATATATTGCTTTTTATTCGGACAAAACATTACTTATTTTCCTTGAATCGGAAGCAAATTAATTAAAGTACAGCTGCAGTGCTACTGCAATAATTAATTCCTAATGTTCCAATATCACTCAAAATGGAACTTACAAAATATATATGCGCTAACTAACCAAACATGAATGACATTTTCACTAAGTACACAATACAAACATAATTAATTAATTGATTAATCAATCAATCAAATACAATAATCAAATTTAATTCATTATTAATTGCTCAAAAATATTTACCATGCACCTGGTCCGGTCGCTGTCCGTATCTCCGGCGGAATATACGCCGGCGCTGTCGTTTTCCGACAGAAGGTGTCTCACAAAATTCGACGTTCTGTGGCCTTTCCGGCTGGGCCCCGACGGCGGGACGCGGCGCTTCGTCAGGCCGTCGTGGTACTGCACCCTGCGCTCTTTCGCCACCGCTGTGGGCAGCGTATTAGTGTACCCTACCGGCGGCGCCGCCGTGGCGGGGTAGCTCCGGCTACTGGACTTTCCGGCGGTCAGCAGCATGAAGATGAGGGCGACGGCGGCGCCGGAGATTATGTCGTGCTGATTCAGAAATTTGACCATTGCTGTGGTTGTTTGGTTCGTTTTTATTGTAAATCATTTCGTTTAAATCGTGGAAATGATATTGGGTACATATAGTGAAGGAGGGGTAGGGTGGGTGGGTCATAAGGGATTATATATATATATATTATTGCAGCGTAAATAGTTGATATTGTTGGACAGAAAATAATCATTACAGGGTGATGAATCAGGGCACTAAAGGATCACTTTTCAATCACTATAAATTTACATTGCTCTTTAAGTCCTTCCTTTGTATACTTTTTTTGTGATTTCGAATAATATAATATTATTTGTGGGATTATATGGATATATTTTATTTTTTTAGTCTATTTATAGTTGTAAGGAATAGTCGTGTTGGTGGCCAATAATGTTAAGAGAGAATCGAGATGATCACTAATGGTATATATATACTTTCTCTTGACACAAATATTGTGGGCATAATAAAAATTTTAATTTATATTTTGGATGAAAAAAATATATATTAGATGTAATATTATAAATTGAAAGTACAAAAATTATAGTAATAAAAATAGTATAAAGAGTACTGGGATCCAAAACGCGTCCCATTTCTTCTTCTGAAGAAGAAAATGAAATGATAATTAAGAAGGAAAAGGTTTCACGTGTTAATTAATTAACTGTTTGCTTAAATCGTTTTATATAATACTAATTCCGATTGAAATAAATCAATTTAATTACAATTGTGGTAGCTGTCAAATTTGAACAAAACTGACCATTCTCATTTTATATATATATATATATATATGCTTTTGGTAGTTGAGTTTGGGCTTTGGTACTCATATATTAAAAATAAATACTTGATTAATAATTATTTAGTTATTTATTTTATTTTAAAAATATTATTTTATTTTAATTATTTGTATAAAACTTGCCTTAAATTAAATTAATGTCAATTTTGAATAAAAAAGGATATTTTATACTTCCTCCGTGTCTGCTACAGTGTAGACACGGTATTTTAGGAGGGGTATAATTAGTAGATAATTAAGAATGTGTTAGTGAAAATAATTATCTTATAATATAAATAATTATAAATTAAGATTAAGATAATTAATTAGTTTAATTAAAATAAAAAAAATTAATTAAAAAATTTAAAATGAGATTAAAGTGTATAATTATTTTTCAGAAAAAAAAAGTGACATGGTATGTGAGACGGATATAAACGGCAACGTGGACATGGTATGGTATGTGATTTAATATACATTATATATTATATAATTGTATTTTCATGAAGTTCAATTTTCTGCAGCGCATGCACTCAGTCATATCACTGCACATTCGCCTGTAGTCTACAATTGTACATAAATTAGACCATTAGGGTGTGTTTGTCCGGGGATTAGATTTTAAATATATTATTTTTTATTTTTTATATTATATTTCTTCGTCCCAATACAATAGTTTTATTTATCATTTTTATTCTATATCACCGTAAAACTATTCATACTTTTTTATTATTATTATACAAGTGTCACTACTTTTTATACTAATATACTCACAATGGCAAAAAAGTCATTTATATTTACATTTTACCAACTACCAATATAATATCAAATTTCTTAAATCTCATTCCCAACACAACAAGACTATACTTTTGGGACGGAGAAAGTAATAAAAATCAATTTTACATTTAAAACATGACATCAACACCTATTTATATCACATTATACAACTATTCAAATTCAAAATTTTTACTCTTCAAATCCCAAATTCAAAATCCAAAATTACTTGTGTTATTGGTATAAACTGACGAACAAGAAATCATTCATTCTAAACTCTTGCCATAAAAAAATAAATATAGTTTACATTATATTGTCTGTTCAAATTCAATTATTTACTTATTTGAAAATTCAAGTCAAAAAATCCAAATCTACGAAAAAACATATCCTGCAAGATAATCAATTCGAATTTTCGATTTAGAAAGTAACTTGAAAAATAATGCAGCAATGTCATAGCATGTGAGGTTATAAGTTATAATGTCAAAACTCCAACTTAAATAATAATAAATAAATAAATAAATCAAAATTTGAAACATACCCGGTTCTGCCCTTGCTTGCTTTAGACATGATTTTGTATTTTAAAATTTTGAATAAAACAAATGATATATATATTATTAATGTTTAAATAGATTAATTAAGAGGTGGATATAATATTTTCTAGGAAAAAATTAAGATGAATGAGACCAAAATACAATTAAAACAGAGCCTAATTCACCACCCATATTCAACTTGACAAATTATATATATATTTATTGGCATTGCATTTCATTAATTCTCAATAATTCTATGCATTAATAATTTTCAACTCTTGATAATTTAAAAGCTGACTATGTGAATTTTAATTTCGTTAATTATGCATGGTGTACGTATGCATTTATATATGCATCAAGTGTTAGTGTTGGAATTCCTTCTTCCCTATGTATATATATACAACAAACATATATTAACCAGACATTGTAACGGAAATGGGTTCTCAAACATGGCGGGTTCGTGTATTAACATTAATATTATCATGTTCAGTGATTTTGACGTCGGAAACAGCCATGGCCGACGATCAACGCTTCTTCCCCTTCCGGCGATTCTGTCCGCCGGGATGGTATCCAATCCCATTCCCGGGTCCTCGTCCTCCTCCGTTTTTCTTCTTCTTTCCAGGCAGCTATTGTTCCAGGTATAATCGCCCGCCGCCGCCAGCCACCACTCCGCCGCCTGAAATTTCACCACCGGCGCCGCCGCTGCCAATTCCTCCTCCTCCTCCTGAAGTTTCTCCTCCGGCGCCAATTCTACCTCCAGAAGTTTCTCCGCCAGTTCCAATTCTACCGCCGGAAGTTTCTCCACCGTCGTCGCCGCTGCCAATTCCTCCTCCGCCGGAAGTTTTTCCTCCAGCGCCAATTCTTCCTCCAGAAATTTCTCCGCCAGTTCCTATTATTCCACCGGAAGTCTCTCCTCCGTCGCTGCCGATTCCTCCTCCTCCTGAAATTTTTCCTCCGGTGCCAATTCTTCCTCCAGAAATTTCTCCGCCAGTTCCTATTATTCCACCGGAAGTCTCTCCACCGTCGGCGCCGCCGCTGCCAATTCTTCCTACTCCTGAAGTTTTTCCTCCGGCGCCAATTCTTCCTCCGGAAGTTTCTCCGCCAGTTCCAATTATTCCGCCGGAATTATCTCCGCCGTCGGCGCCGGTGCCGAGCCTTCCTCCAGATGTTTACCCGCCGGTGTCGACCCCTCCCCCAGATGTCCTTCCGCCGCTGCCGGATTTTCCTCCAGGAGATTCTCCACCACCGCTTCCAGAATTGCCAACCTTACCACCAGAAGTGTCTCTGCCGCCGGTGACTCCGCTGCCGGAATCGCCTGATCTGCCTCCGATTGCGCTTCCTTAAGTATACACCTTGTGATCACACACTAAAACATATATATAGAGTAAACGAGGATATGCCACGTACTCGTTATGCACTCAAAATAAATAAATCATTATCTTACATAAATAAATAGTAATACGAGTCTATTACTGAGTTTATTACCCTTAAATTTAGATAAAAATAATTGTAATTATTATTAAGATGACGGAAAGGTCCATTAAGTATAATATTTGTAGGCCGATTCACTTTATGGGCCTTAAATGGGTCTCATTCTGGCCCAATCATTTTTCCAATTGAACTTGATTTAAGACTGATCAGTACACTATCATTTCGAAATACACAATGATAATAATAATAATAATAAGATGTGCATAAATATATTATTAGTATTATGATTATTATTTGGTACAAGTTGTAGAGAGCAATGTCTTTTCTTCCTATACATTAAAGAGAACAAAATAAAAATCTAAGAGCACCGGAAATAATAATATAAACGATCCTGTGCGGGCGGGTCCACCGTCCTCTTTGTCTGTACGCCATCATAGAGTACAATCGCCAAAGCGTAACGTCCCTACCATCTATCGGGCCGGACCTCACCGGACCGCCCCGCCGCCCACTTTTCCGATCACCAGTACCTTTCCAATTTCCAGCTTCATCGACATTCTCTCTCTCCCTCTGTGGTTCCCATTCATCCTTTAATGGCGTTCTACAGTTTCTGGACTCCTGATTGTGGCTGTTTCAGGCCGTGCGCGTGACATCGGAATGTTAATTTTAACTTTTCGACGGAGAATTGTGAGGGAAGAGATAGACCTGGCTCTGGAGCACCGTCTGCCCCACGATAAACCCTGGCACCACCGTGAACGCCACCCGGAGTCCACCGTCCGCGGCGGCGAACACGTCTTCCGCGACGCTTTCCATGTATACTTCAGAGAATTTGGACTGGTGCTTGACTTGAAATGTGGTGACCTTGTGGCTGAAGGAGAAGGCGAGGCAGTGGAGGAGCCAAACTCTCCTCCCTACTTCCGCGAACGTCTTGAATAAATCGGTTTCTGGATATTCCCCGGAGTTCACCATTTTTCTCTGGTTTAAATTCCCGGCGAACGAGAATTCCATCTTCGGGTGCACTAGCTGAAGATACTTTGATCTGAGGAACTTTCCGAACAGAGAATTTGGATCCGATTTGAGGAAATGAACGGCGCTGGCTGACCTCAATCTCTTGAATTGCTCGAAGAAGAAAACCCTACGGCGATGCATTTCACTCGGAGGCGGAGATTGATCCTTTTCCAGCAACGAGAACCCTGGATCGTTGAATCCGGCAAATATTTCTCTGCAAACGAACGATTCAAAAGCAAATGCTCTGTGATTTCTCTTGCTGAAGACGATGTCCGCCTGAATCGCATTCGCCGCCGCGTCGATATCCCAACTAGCGGCCTCCATTTCGCGAATCAAGAGCTTGACGAAGCTTCGGACAGATCTCAACGCGTAGTTCAAAACCAGGATGAAATCCTTGGGATTGAGGTCGGAGAATTTAACATTGTCGAGAATGGAGAAAGATCCGCTTGCGTTGAGCTTCTTCTCTAGGTTTTTGTTCTGGTTCACAATTTCCTGCACCTGTTGGTGAAGATTCCCAATTCTCGAATCCTTGTTCTCAATCTCGCCCCTCATTTTCTTCATGGTGATCTCGTACGTCTTCATCAGCGCCTGCTGTTCCTGAATCTCTGCAAGCATCAGCGTCACATGCGGCGGCGACGAATCGATCTGTCTCTTGAGGAAGCTGTACTTGAGCTCGGAAAGTGCCTTCAGTTCATCAACAACCGCTTGATCTGCAGATTGTATGGCCTCATTGTTGTAAGGGAACTGAGCAATTTGCAGCTCTGCATAAGCCGCCTTAACAGCGGAGATGGTGGCAAACAGCTTTGCAACAAAGGCCTCCATTGCTGCTCTGGTTTTGGACTCCTCTTTAGCTTCTTCAGCATCTTCTTTCTCAGCCTGTTGCGACTCACAGCATCTGAGTTTCTCCTGAGGGATCAGCAGACAAAATGCAGGGTTTGATGAACGGCTTCTTCCACCCCCTGATTTCAGGTGAATCACTTTCTGAAATGTCTTAGCTATTCTACTGCTACTGCTCTTGTTTGCCCTGCCTGAATCCATTACCGTAAACCTTGAATTTGATGATGGTGATGGTGATGATGAACTGAATTGTAGGAACAGGTGTGTGCGTGTGAAATGGAAGAAAACAAAGAAGTGGGCTTTTGACAAAAGAGAGGGGTTTCCACTCTCTACTGACTATGAAAGAGAAGAAGAAGAAGAAGAAGTAGCAGAAACCAAAAGAAAAGAAACGAAAAGCAGAGGTAATGGTTTGACAGTGTGATTTAAAGGCTAAAGATTTAGCAAGAATCTAAAGGGCGGGAAAAATATAGAGAAATAAACAAAAAAGAAATCACCAATATTCTGTTCATTTCTGTGCATGCGCAGGGATTATTATTAATTGTCATTATACCTATAGCAAATGCTCAACAGGCATGACAACTTTCAGGTGTATTTTATCATTGGGAGACCCTATTTTCTGTAGTATTATATTAGGAGGTGCTTCAAAGATGGATATTTAGTTGCCTTTGAAACTATGCCCCCCTGTTTCCATAATGACGTATTATTCTTTAAGAAATAAGCCCTTTTGTTTATTATGTGTAGTAAAACTGATTTGAGATTATTTTCTGTGTATCTTTAATATCTTGGCTGATGAGTTTGGGAAAATGACAGGTAAGGATGAAGAGGGAGTGGCAATAATTGGGAATTGATGTATGAATGTCAGTCAGTCAAGCTTCATACTCAAGGCCACAAAATCCACCAAAAAGAAATACTAAAGGAATCCATCCATGCATGTACCTGTCAAGTCTCTTTCTCCATTGCAAACTGGCAACAACTAATGCATATATATCCTTCAATTCACAACCATATGTGACATTAAATAAAAGCATTTCATTAAATTGCACAAAATAAAAATTTCTGTCCTTTCCTTGAAAACATATTTTGCAGAATATTGTGAGCTCCATGATTTGCTGCTCAGCTGCCTGCCAGCATAGAGTTGAAGGAAATAAAGTCGATGCCATAAATGTAGGTCCTTTGCTCAACTATTTTTCTTCTTCTCTCTCCCCAGTTATTCAATAACATTGTTGACATTAACACACCCTTTATGCAGTGTAGGAGTATAATATAGGGGTAGATAACCTGTTCCACTTTCATTGGTTTTTAAGCTTTACCCACACTTTGTTTAATATGTGGTTAAATTCTTATTGGCTGCTCTTCTTTTTACATTGCCTTTGAAGGGAATTAAAATAAACTTCAAGATTCATGATATATATTAAATATAGGGCCTGCATTTTGATGTATGTATGTATACTTTCCTTGGTACAATGTCCCATACAAGACATGGATCTTTGTCTGGCTGAAAAGGAAAACAATATATGAAATCAGTGAACTCTGCCACAACAGATCCAATGCAAAATTAGTATTTAAGTCTGTGCATGTATCTCCTCAGTGGGCTGTGTTTTGCAACTAAGAATTGGTGAAAGTGATGTGTGATTAGCCCCCAATATGTATATATTCATCCAGTCTTTGTCTCCTTTTTTTCTCCTTTGTGTCAGGGAAATGGTCCACAGTTCTTTTTTTCCAATGAGAAAGACACAAACAGGCAACAGCATTCTTGGGCAGGTTTCTAAAAAGTGCCTATTTTGGGAGGTTTGTATTTGTAACTTTTTCTTCTATCTATCCCACCTATGCATGGCAAATTCTTGTCCTGATCCTGTAATATTGTTGGCCCCACACCCTAATTAATTATAAAGTTCTTTCCCCTCTGATACTTTTATACTATATTTGAGTTTCCTTTGAATTGCTTCTTCACTTGGGATTTGTTTGAACTTTGCACTTTGTTGTCTGATCTATGACCTATTGTTAAGGTTCAAATTCCAAGAAGATAAAAAAATTTATATATAATATACAATGGTACTTGGAATAAAAAAAATTTATATATAATATACAATGGTACTTGGGGCATAAATATTTTTTCACTGTCTAGTTGGTTAAATCATTGTCCTAAAACTAGGACTAGTCCCATCCTCCATTTTTGGTGGTGTAGGCATCATTGCAAGAAATCAAACCACATCAATGTGTTGGTTAATTCAGATTGATGAAGAGGCAGTGTCCAAAAAGTTGAAGAATAATTAAGTTAGTGTGGCAGGGCAGGCATGGCCTATCAACCAATGAATACTTATCATTACTCCACATTATTTTTCCCTTTTGTATAAATTAAGACTGTTGTTTACTTCTGACAAATGAATAGCAAGAAACTGTGCAAACAAAGTGTTTGCATGTAGTAATTATGGTGTATGAAATGAAACTAATCCAAGTCAATGGGAGTGGGAGCCAAAGAAATTTATAGATAATATTATAATATATATGTAGGAGTGAGTGAGTGATTATAAGTGCTCATACTTAACGTGGGAATAAAGGCTTCCACCAACATTTGCAATGATAATAACCATAATATTAATAGAATTATTATTATAATAGTTGTAATAATCAGAATGTCGAGCTTCTGCTATACTATTTTGGACATGGGCTTGTTTTCACGTCAAGCAAAAAAAGTCTCCCATCTGCACTGAATCTTGTTACTGCAGTAAATGATTTACTACATGTGTGTCTTCTTGGTGTAGTGTGGTTGCTTTCATTCCAACATGCATACATGGGCCAAATTCTTGATTCAGAATCTGACAACTGAGAACATTCCAACTAATGAAACAAAGAATAATCTGTGCTGCTACTGCTTGTATTTATTGTATCTTCAAGTTGGCTATGGCTATGGCTGACTGAGGATTGTTGGTGTCTAATAATGGATTCCTCTCATCACTTCTTGATCATGTTTTGGCTGCATAAAAGGACTGACATACATATATATATATATATATATATGTCTCCAATGTATTTTATTAGTAAAACTGCTAGGAAATGTGTAAAAGGAAACAAGAGTAGAATCAAATTCCTTAAGGGATATGAGAGGTAAAAAAGATCACCATGTTAACTTCAATGAGCTTGTTAATTCTCCAATTCAAGTTGAAACAAAATTAAGTTTAACAAGTTATAAAAAAAAAGGTTTAACAAGCCTTCGATTCCTGCATCGCTTCCTTCAAGATTTAGGACAATCAGTAGCCTGCTTCAACATGTTTCAAGAGTGCATGCCATCGCACAGGCTGGATGAAAAAGGAAAGCATACACTACAAAGTGCAGTAGAAAAGATTGTTTATCAACAGAATCCAAAATTTCTCTGAGAAAACAGAGGAGATATACAAAAGAATGTCTTTTGCCCTGATTAGAAGAATGTCTGTTCATTTTAACGGTCTCTACTGTAAGTTTAGAGTTGTTCGAAAACCTGTGCTTGAAACATGAGCTACCATGGCCTTTGTTTCTGTGTCAGAAGAGAAGGTTAAAGCAGAGGCCACCATATTAACTCAAATCAAAATCTTTCAATTGGTTATGTTCATAAGCATACAAGCCAAGACTCCTCAATTTTCGCCGTTCTTATATCTCATGTGGGTAGCTTTAGTTTCTCATTATTTTTCCAGCTGCAGTAACATAGAGTCGAATGTTGAATGATGGAAAAAAATAATGTAATAGAATGGGTGCCATTGTATGATCTCAGGGTTAGTACCTGATAAAGTAGTAGTAGAAGAAATCTGCATAAAGAGCTGTTTGGACTAGTCCACCTACAAAGGCTGAGGAACAAAAAATAAGCAAGATTAGACCTTATTAAGGAAGCAAAATTGAACTTGGAAACCAACTTCTTAATTGATTTACCTATCCATCTACTGATATACATCCCTGTGAAATAGTAATACAGCCAGTTCAAGATGTAGAACAATCGATAGGCTCTGCATCCAAACGATGGATGGATCAACTTTCAAAACTTTAGTAGAAATTTACGAGAAGATTCCAAAGTTAAAAAGGCAAGCATAGTGGAAGAGCTAGCAATAAGGTTTTGCTTGCAATGTGTTTGCCTTATGCAGACACACATCAGTCAGTTAAAAAGGAAAAATACCCGAGAAATAATATGTATTGTCCAGTTAGATTGTCCACATTTCCACTTCTTTGCAAAAGAACCAACTGTGGTAGAATTGTGACTGTCTCCAAGTATATAGAAAATGCCCAAACTATCTGCATTTGCCAAATTAAGCAGTTACTAACGCACAAGAGAAGATTGTGTTTGTGCTCAAAGAAAGCAGTATATATAAAATATCTTAACTTCGACAAATTCTTTTGCAGTGTTCTTTAAGTTCAACAATTGCAAGGACTATGAGATGAATAGGATATCAAATAATGTGCAAGATCTTGCTCAGCAATCCAACAAGAAAATATTGTTACCAAGCACAGGCAAAAAGTCTAGTCCTGAAAGTGATGCAGGGCTGAGCATAGGATATCAAATTTCGAATAACAGAACTTGTGAAGTTATATATCATAATTAGAGCAAGGATGATACTAAAGAAACATGGAGCTCAAAGCTAATTAAGCAAAAAACTGCAATCCCCTAATATTAGCAGGCATCCAACACTCATCGAGCTCACAACCACATTCATTCAATTCAAAGGCTATAGAAGGGAAATCGAATCAAATATTTCAAACTGACCTCCTGAAATGAGAACATCTCGTGAACAAGAAGAGCCAACAAAAAGCTAACTCCCACTAGAATATAATGCCTAAAAGTGTCGAGATTACGGTCATAGGATTGCCTCACAACTTGGTGATATTTCATGCACCATACAATTGCCAAAGAGCTCCCAATGAACACTAGTTTCATCACAACGTTGTAAACTGAAATAAAGTAGGGAAATGCAAGGTATCGAGCCAGGAATACAATCACATACAACTCTTGAGTCTTCAAGGAAATCCCTGAACAAATGGATAATTGTTAGTGCAAAACCTCAATAATCTGAATTCTTCAGTGAAGAAATAAGAGCATTGCAAACCATTAAAAACTTTCAGTCCACCACCAAAGGGCAATATCACTACATTTTGTTTCAAATAGAAAACACGGGGTGAAGCATGCAAGATAATGTTGGATGATACTCCCAATTAAACAATATCAAATTAAAGTGGCAATGTCTCAGATATGTGAATGCTAACAGAATAACGCACATCATGTATATATAATTCGAATTTAATCCCTGTAAGTGTTTACAGAAAGAAAGGGCTGCGGCAGAAAATGTTTTGGGTATGGGATGAAGAATGGTCGAAATCATACCAAAAAAAATATATAGATGGGGCTGTTCAATCAGACATAGAGATAAAAGTAGAAGAACCAGTCACATATGAACAAACTGGAATAGAATACATAATACAACTCAAAACTCACGAATCTTCAACCATAATCTGGCAGCGTGAATCGCAGTGTAAAAGGACAAATGAGTTGTTCATATCAGCTCAAATCACTCAAAATTTCCAAAGTAAAGGCACAGCTTCAACGTAAACATTCCAAACTTGCATAGATTGAAAATTAAAATCCAAATCCGTATGGAAGAAAAAAAAAAAAAAAAAAAAAACTTAATCAGCAACTGCATGTCCATTCTTCCATCCAAAAAATCAAACCCTAACCCGTGCCATCTGAGATTCCCGCACAACATTAACAACACAAGAACACCGAATTCCCGACTGGATGGATAAAAGTCCGCGTCGTTCAGTTCATAAAACAGTACTCACAAGTAACCTGAAATTAATTATATCCATGCAAATGACCAACAGCAACTAATAGCACCACAACGAAGCGAATTTTGACTAACCGGAGCAGGATTTGGTGGCGTAGATTTTGAGAAGAAGTACCACAACACTTATCAAATGCATCATATCGCCTACATATCTTAAAACATTATTCATCCTCCGCCGAATCAGATTTCTCCCTTGCGCTTAGTGGACGATGGATGATCCTTCCAACTCCAACGACGACGACGTAGATACGTACATACATACATAATTACACACATATAATGCCACTCTTCACTACTGCAATATAATTCCTATGCTTACCGCAGATTCTATTTATTTTTAAACAAAATACAGTAAACATTTAAATAAATATAAATCAATTTACCAGCACATTCAAAATCTTTTTTTTATTAAATAGTAATTTTTTTATTTTGTATAAAATTGATTTATATTAATAATAAATAAAAAAATATTTTTTATTTATTTATATTGTATAAAATTTCGGTTAACAAACACATATACATTTTAAAAAAAATTAATTTATTGTAAACACTTATTATTTTTTATGTTATTTATAAAAAAATTTGTATTTAACATAATTGTTTTTTTAAAAAAATTATTTCATAAATCAAACACATTTTTATTTTTTTAAAAAGTACAAAATAATATTTAATATATATTTTATTTAAATATAAATTTTAAAATATTTAAATTAATATTTTAATAATATATTAATTTTATTTTAAAATTATTAACAATATTATAAACATAAATAAAATAATTAAGTCATACGGTAGTATTCTTTTTCAATTAATTAATCCGACAATAAACATATAGCTATATACCGTGGCGGAAGTCGACTTGCCGGTGGTGGCTATGGCGGCCGGAGAAGATTCGGACCCTTCGTGCTTGTTCATGGTGTCTGCGTTTCTCGCAATGGAACCTCCCGACGTGGTACTCTCCTTCGCCAGGTACTCATTCAAAACCTAACCCCAAAACCCTGCGGAAGAATAGGGAGCTCGAACTTTCGTGGTTTTTTTTTTGGAGTTCATTTGCTAGTTTGATTTAATCGACTTCGGATTTGAACTTTCCGGAAGAATAGGGAGCTTTGTGGAGGCTGTATCACGGAGAGCGTTCAGAGCTTCATTTGGCGGCGGTGTATTAGCAAAGCTGTAAGTTATGTCGCGTTTGTGCTTCAGAAAACAGGATAGAGTAAATATGAGAAAGCATTCTTTTCAGGATTTGAAGTGGCAGGGGGATTATATGAGAAGATTTCTCAAGAAATTGATCGGTGACATCGAATCAAGCGGCGGTGTTGTTTTGGATGAACTGTACGAGCAGTACACCTCAATGATTTCTCTACAGGTATACGCAGAGTACTCACACGAACTTTGCCTGTATGGTTATTCACAAGAAAATTTATTGTGGGTTAGGATGGTAGCACTAATAGCGGGAACTTGTGGATTTTGAAAACGATCTCCTTTCTGTTCCCTGATGGTAAGATATTTACTTAAAATGCTGCATTTTTTTTCTAACCTGTTGATGATTTAGAACATAGGCAGTGAATTCTCCATTATTTTGGTTCGTGTGCAGAGTCCGCTGGAATATCAAGCTGTCTGACTTCAAAGCAATTTGAGGTTCGACTCCGGTGTTCTACCAACATGCTTGAAGGAGATACTGGGTAGCTAGTACACACTAAAGCCCTTTCCCCTGTTGCATTTTAAGATAATCATGAGTTTAAGCTACGTATAGCATCAGATACATGTAATCCTTTCATTATGTCTTGCTGTCCGAAATCCGAATCATTAAATTTTCTTGCACTACGAAATTAGACACATAGTAAGTCAGGAAATGGATTATGACTCAAGTGTTTCCTTGGCGTACTCAAGTTTTAATAACGTCTTCGCTGGCATTGCTTTATTGTTTTTGAGTGGATTCTTTATATGTGAACTTGCTTTCACTGATTCATCGATTATCATCTCATTTAATGGATATTGTCTCTTTCTTCTCTTGTCATAATTCAACTTCTGATCAGAGCCGTTATAGCCTTCATAATTTGGCTGATATTTGCAGTTTGTCTATAGTACTGACTCATTCCAATGTGGCTAGGTTGCTTCTGTAATATTGATTTCTTGCGCTCCAAATCAAAATTTTCCTTTTGACCTCGTTCTTTCCTCTATTTTGTCTCTACATCTATTTGTTTATATAGGTGCTCCATTTGGCCGTCAAGCCTTTTCCTGTCAGAATTTATATTGTCGCACCCAGAAATCTTTGCAAATAAGTGCTGCTTTGAGGTGAGAATACTATGCTATTTTCTTTTTATATATATCTGGTTCAGATGAAGATTTCAGAATTCCAATGGCACATACCACTATATGTTGTTCGACGACCAAAGTTTCTATCTTAATTTTTTCGGTAATATTTGTTTACGGGTTCACTGTCTGTCTTCTGAAGGGTCAATATGTTTGTTTCTAAATTCATACTACCAGTCCAATTTTGATTTGCTTGTGCCAACAGGTTGGTTCAGGAGCCGGATTGATCGGCATTTGTCTCTCCTATGTGAAAGCATCTAAGGTAAGAATATATAGAGTCTAATGCACCGGGCACCCTCATTTGAAAAGAAAATGCCACCAAAACAACCCCTTCAAAATGTATTTTCTGTAGTATTATATAAATTATATGCTTTTATGACATAAAAAATATCCTTTTACAGATGAATATTGTGTAGATGCTTCTAAGTAGACATTCTTAGTGTAATAGTATATGATTTCTTGGCATGCCATGAAAAGGCTGTCTTGTGCTGAAAAGAACATGGGCATTGTTTTTGCAACTATTTTTCATTTGATCCTCTAAAAAAGTTTGTCATGATACAGATTTTACTAAGTGATGGCGATTTCTCTACTTTAGCAAACATGAAGTTCAACTTGGAATTGAACGACCTGAGTACGGGAGACAACACATCAGACAACCTTGTACAACACAAAAAGGTTAGTCAGACTGATATTTGTAACCAGACAACAATGATTTCTTGCTTCTTATTCTAGTTTAAAAGCTTCAATTGCTAATAATCCGACAGCTATTCACTATTGCTAGCTAAACATTGTTCCTGATGGCTTGTACTGTGTGTATCCTACAATAGAGTCAATACACTGGATTAGATGATTTATATTAACAGAGCCCTAATTTGTGTTTCCACTTCTGAAATTTGGAGAAATTGTTGGATGTTATGGATTATGCCTATCCTTTCTTTTCAATTCCCAGCAAACAAAGAATAATGTAATTTATTCAGCTAACACATGTGTATAGCATAGCAATATACTCGTTTAGCTTACCCTTTCCCTTAAAATGTGAGGCATTTCATCGTTTCTAATCCAAACAAAAATCACCTATGGCTGACTAACTTCCAACAGGTGCATTGTATTTGTTTGCCATGGGAATCCGCAACAGATGAAGAACTACTCGGTTTATCTCCAGACATAATGTAAGTCACTACATTCGCAAATGCCAAAACCATGTCTTTACAATTTTTACCTTCACCCTTGGTGATGATGACTTTGATCTGTTTTCTAAAATGCATTACAGCCTGATTTATTGAACTCTCGCCTGGTGTTGTTCCACAGTTTAGGCGCTGATATTATCTACGATCCATCATGCCTTCCGCATCTAATAAGAATCCTGGCTGTTCTTCTCAAGCACAAATCCATTAACAGCCACACTCATGTATCAGATGCTTTGCCAGCCGACACACTTGTATGCGCCAATGGCACCGGAGGTGGCCCCGTTGCATATTTCGCTTCTGTGATCCGCAACGAGGACACTTTCAACTACTTTCTTGCACTTGCTGAAGAGTCTAATCTCAGAGTCACAGATCTCACTGGAAATGTGCAAGTATGTAATTTTCTTCCTTACTTGCAATCATACCACCGTTCAGACGTGCATTTAATCAGTCTTTATGCTTTGTAAAAATAGACTCTTTTTTATTATGGTAGCAATTTGTTGTATTTCTTGGTGGAATGGGAAATATTTCATTCTGATAACTAACTTTAACTGTCTGTATGATGATTCTTGTTTTTATTATTCTTTTTACAGATGTTTTATTTGATACGTGATTCATTATCAATATATAGAATTTGCTCATTCTAATTTTGTACATGCAAATGATGATTGATGTGGAAAATATTGTATATTTTCTCTTTTATTATGTACTTTATTGAAAAAATAAAATAAAATGAATCGGCGGCTATTCAATAGAGAAAGACGGTACATATACTCTCCTATTTGCATCTGCTCTGACTAATAAATAAAAACCTACTAATCCACTTTTTAGCGGATTTCTCTGCGAAAATCGGAAAAGTGAAAATTCGATTCTATGTACTCTCACTCACGCACTAAGAGTCTGGAGTGGATCGCATGAGAAAGCTGGTGATACTATTTCACTTGCGTTCGCGGCGATTTCGATTTATTTAAATTATTGTCTCTGTGATTGGCAATTGTTGGGACTTTTTGCAGATAAATTTTGTAGATAAATATATTGATTATGCTATTAGGTCATGCCGAAATTTTGAGAGAATCCAGTGTATTTTTTTTATATTTAATTTTTATGATTTAATTTCTTTTTATGTGCTAATTATTTTTACTATTATTTAGTTTTTATGATATTTATATTATTCAAATCTTATAAAATTATCATATTTAGATTATTATTATTAAAATAATTTATCAAATTAAAAATATAGTTAAAAAATACAATAATGATTTTTTCATTCAATTTATTATTTTTTAGTGATTGATTTATTTTACAATAATGATTTTTTTTTTTTTTTTTTGTCTGCAATTCTATTTTATATTTCCATGAAAAAAATGCACCCCAAGAGTAAATGCTTTTAACTTGCCATTCCAATTCAAATAAGGATGCAAGTAAACAGGATCATTTGATTTCTGTGGAAAACAAAGGGGTCGACCTGGTGAATTGTAGAATTGAGAGACATATACTTTTTCTTCTTGGTGATTGAGTGATCACATCCTGGATTCACTTTAATGGAATTCAGAAAGTTCAAAGAAGATTAGGAAACCAGAGCTATGGAAGCATTCAGAACCAATAACAAGTGCACAGCTCCACACTATGGTGGTAGGAAAGGTATGTTATGGATGTGTACTTTCTAATTTTGAAAAATACATGCTTTGAACAGAGGGCAGATAAAAAAAACAGGCCCATGAATTTAATCTGCATGAGGCTCTCCTACACTATTCCATTCTGGTACATAATTTTTATTCTTAACACATAACTATCAGTTTCTGATAGGCTTTTGTTGTCATTTTTCGTTTTCATCTGTTTCCATTGACCTTACCCAATAGTCCAAAGAAGATGAGGTATTAAGTTGGCCGTTTGGGTGTATGTGAAATTTAGCAGTAGTGAATGTCTGATCTTGATTGTAACAAGACATCTTTGGAAAGATGATGAAGCATATTTGTCACTGTCATGAAAGTAACAAGACAACCTACCAAGTTTTATGTGGTATTATGTTGAGGTTTATGCAAAAAATTTCTGTGGTGAATTTCTAATCTTGATTGTGCTGGAAGACTGCAAAATCTATAACATGTAGATTGCCTCCTTAGTGTAAAAATAAATTCCGAATTAACTTTGTAGCAGCACTCAAATCTAGGCATTTAAAATACATAGCAATTGGCCAATACCACTATGTCAAAATAAACTCTTGCCAAAATCTTAGATTGAATTATACTGATGCAGAATCATTTCCTATTTTCTCATGATGTCGTTTTATCTGATCTGAAGTTCACTTTCAGTGCTAAACCTGTATACTATAATGAATGCAGGCTGTGAGAATAAATTTATGGAGTTCTTTTTCCTATCCGTTAAAATTTTGCATCTTGTCATGCTTTGCATATAGCCATTCAATGCAGTGACAAGCACATGTTCTAAGCATCAAGACATGATGGTTTATACATGTCTACTTTATATGTTTCATAGGTTCATGAACATGACTTGCTTTAGGTGCTTGGCTCTTAGTTAGTCTTAGGAGAATAACGATTTGAAGTGTCTATTTCACAACAGCCAGTGCACACACATGGACCTGGCCCACACTCATGGGCACTCACTATCTGATCAAATGGAATGTATTTGCCAACTGATTATTGACATGAAATCCTCAGGTTTGATCGGACATGCCCTTTATTTTGCTCCTTATCAGGTTTACTTTCCATTTCTAAATCAATAAATGTAAAAAGTTTTGCCCATAGCTTTCTTAGAATATTCTCAGAAGAGCTGCAGTGTGGATTTAGTGGAGGTATTGTACACCATCCATGAACCATGATGTAAGAAAATACTGTGCATTTTACCAGTTGGTTTTAATAGATGATTCGACCAGAATCTAGTAACTACCATGCTATTTACAGTTATTTTCGAGTAATAATAAACACCTGTACAGGTAGAACCCTATCAAATGTCTGTCCCACAACGGGAATTTCGCATCAGATTTGGGTCCACAAAAAGTTTCAAAGTAAATAAGATAATGTAGGAAAAAGACGAACTTGTAGTTTACCTTAGTAAATTTACTGACCTATCGTTGTTACTCTATACTGTCTTGTTCCATTGCTATCTTCCAGCCTCTCGTTTTCTTTCCTCTGCATTAACTGTAGATGCTGTTTCCTCTTTCTATCTATTCTAGTTTACTCCTTTTGCGACATTCCCAAATTCCTTGTGAGAACACTACTACCTAGTCCTGTTATCACTCAATTCTTAATGGAGTAGCTTGGAGAAAGGGATATTACATGCGCAGAGAAATCAGACCTTCTGATGGCACCAGGTCTTTGATTTCATATAAATCCATTTCCAGGTTCTTCTTACTACATTTCTAGCTTCTGTTTTCTTGAAACAGCATAACCTGTATGCTACTTGTTGAGCAGAATTATTGGCCAATTCTGGCTCTATGTTGTGAACATGAAGACAGGTTTTGGTTACAGGATGCCGAGGGATGCTTATTGTAATAATGGAAGGGATCATTTAAGGAACCACATTCACATGACTAATTGCATTCACTTAAGATACCACATGCATAAGCATGGTGGCATATTGTCTGAAAGGTCTCTAATGAAGGATCCTAATGGTGGTTCTCCACACTCATGGTATTCTCCTGGTGCTGACCATATGCTTCTTACCAGAGCAGCAGAGGATGCATTGGTCAATGGAACATGCAAGGAGTGTCCGAGATTGTCGAAGAGGTCCTCTAGAGTTGAAGGTTTATTGGTATCGAAAGCAGAAAAGGCTGGGAGTTGCAACAGCACCAAGAATGGCATTCATGGCAATAGAAGAGTCAAGAGAGGAGAATCCAGCAGATGGTTTCATGACAACAATGTACTTTGCTGTGACGACAACCATCCGCAAGGTGGAATCCGTTTGAGGAATTTCATTGTTTCGGGACACTCTGAGTCGAGAAACAAGGATATGACCATTAAGGCTAACTCTAACCAGGTAAAAGAAATCACCTCCAAGCACAATAGTGTTGCATTGTCTTGTAACTGTGGAAGGAGATCCCAAGTTAAAAAGATTGCTGGAGAGGCAGAATTCACAAAGAGTCGGCGTCGTGGAAATGATTTCGATAAAAGGCGCAAGTTTCAGGGTACAAGAATACATTGCTCAACTACAGCTTCCTTACATGCTGAATCTCAAAATGATATGTCAGTGGCACACAGCAATCAGAATATCACTGGTGTCCGAGATAAAGGCTATGGCAGTCCATCGAAGAGCTCAAGGATTCGTCATAGGGGAAAGAACCGGTCTGAACACCAATTAAAGATTGGAGGTTCTATAGTTGGAGGAAGGGCTTTCTCTGACATCTCCGAGCAGTCAAGTTCATATACTATATCTGATTTTGAAGCATTGCCCCTACTGTTTGATGCTTCTGGATCACTGGGAAGTATCAACCACAATGCTCGGGTTCATAATTGTGAATTAGGCATTTCTGCTGATGAGCAACACAAACTTCGGAGGCAGCTGACTTATAGACATCAAAATATAACTCAGAAATACATGCCAAGAACATTTGGAGACCTGGTGGGGCAGAATTTGGTAGTACAGGCTCTTTCTAATGTCATTGCCAAAAAGAAAATAGGATTTCTCTATGTCTTCTATGGACCTCATGGAACTGGAAAAACAACATGTGCGCGAATATTTGCAAGAGCATTGAATTGTCAGTCTCCGGGGAGCCACAAACCTTGCGGATTGTGTGATCCTTGCATGGAAAATGAAACAGGGAAGAGCAGAAACGTAGTGGAAATAAGCCCAATTCGTAATCTTGACTTTGGTGTCATGAAACCTTTTGGTAGCACATTCGATTCATGGCATCATTCTTATTATACAGTGTTCATATTAGATGACTGTGATGCTTTATCCACTGATTATTGGAGTGCCGTACTAAAGGCCATTGATCAAGCACCCCGGAAGGTTGTTTTTATTCTTGTTTGTACGAGTATCGACGTCCTGCCTCATGTCCTAATATCCAAGTGCCAAAAATTCTATTTCCCAAAGCTAAAAGATGCAGATATAATACATACACTTGAGGGCATAGCAGCCAACGAAGATTTGGAGATCGATAAAGATGCTCTGAAGCTTATAGCATTGAGATCTGATGGATCTCTGAGGGATGCTGAGATGACTTTGGAACAATTGAGTTTGCTCGGACAGAGAGTTTCCTTGTGCCTGGTGCAGGAACTGGTATGCACCACTTCCATCTGGCCATTTTAACCTCACACATATACACATACATATATATATGTATATACATATATATATGGATTAAGATTCTTTGATTGCGTCACAGGTTGGGCTTATATCAGATGAGAAATTGGTGGATCTACTCGACTTAGCATTAACTGCAGACACTGTGAACACCGTGAAGAATCTTAGAGACATAATGGAATCTGGAGTCGAGCCATTAGCTTTAATGTCGCAGCTTGCTACTGTTATAACTGATATTCTAGCAGGAAGCTATGATATGATGACAGAAAGGCAAGGCAGGAAGTTTTTCCGGCAGCAAACGTGTGAGTTGTTTTTGTGTTATTATTGTATGTTTTTTCCGGCATTTGGATTTGGACTTTGTTTTTCATTACCAATTTATGGTGTTAAAGTAGTGTCCAAAGAAGACATGGAAAAGTTGCGGCAAGCGCTGAAGACACTCAGTGAAGCAGAAAAACAGCTGAGGCTGTCGAACGACAAGCTCATCTGGCTCACAGCTGCATTGCTGCAGCTGGCTTCTGATCAGCCTTCCATGCTACCAAGTTCCTCAACCGATTCAGGTTTGATTCATCGTAAGAACAAATTAGAAGATATTTGGCTGGAAGTGCTTGAAAAGATCCCGGCAACCAGCATAAAAGAGTTTATGCATCAGGAAGGGAAGCTGATCAAAATCAGTGGCGATGGAGGTATCATTGTGGCTCTGAATTTGTTTTAATTATCTATGTTGATGTCATTCATGAGATATCACTTCTCTTCCAGCAGCTCCAACCGTGCATTTGCTGTTTAATTCGCCATCGACGAAATCCAAGGCCGAGAAGTACAGATCACACATCCTACAAGCATTTGCTTCGGTTCTCAGATCCTCTGTGACTGTTAACATGGAATGTGAATCAATAAAAAGCGAGACCGTGCCAGGGGAAGGACCAATTCCATTACCACTGCCACCGCCATTGGAAACTGATGATCAAAGAAAAATCAAAGGCGAAGGAGGCAGCAACCCAAGCCTCAGCCTTGTAGGAACTAAGGTATCCTTAGCTCATATAATCCTGCAGCATACAGAGCAAGGATGTTCAAAACACAGCGGATGGCTGAAGCAAAAAGCACTCTCCATTGCTCAGAAAATGGAGCACCAAAATCTGTATGCATATATATCTATCCATACTTGTACTTACATACAAATCTATATATGTTTGTTCTTAAATATAATTGTGCAGCAGGAAGCTAGAGTCAAGATCAAGGAGATTGGATTGCTGGAAACCTGGAATGCTGGTGTCCAGTCGTAATCGTAAGGTTAGAATGAATGATGAGAGTTTAATGAATTGTGATTGCGATGATCGATTAATGTTGGTTGTTGTTTTGATGGCAGATTTTGAGGCTGAAAATTAGAAGGAGGCCACAAATGTTGCTGAAATGTGCCTCATCCTGTTATGGCTATGGCTATGGCTATGGCTTTGGGAGGTGTCCCACTCCAACTGTCATGTCTCCAGACTCTGCTCGCCAAAGGTAACTATAAAATAAGTATATGAAAAAGTAAAATAGGGATTTAATCGAATAATAAAATTGTGGATAGTTATATATATATATTATTATTATAAATGGTCTAGAATTAGTGACATTAATTAATTGCTTACTGTTGCTTATCTGATTATGGAATATGGACCAAATCAAATCAATTCAATTCAACTCCAAATGCTATTGGTTAATCACAGCAGTCACAGTCACAGTCAGAGTCAGAGTAAGAGATGAAGGGAAGGCGAGGATGCTTTGACTAAGCAGATGCCACTTGTCGAACACGACGTCGTTTGCCGTGTCATTTCAAATATGGTTAGTCTCCTCCTATCCTATCCTATCCTATCCTACCTATTCCCTATTTTGTTTAATCTTAATTGATTGTGTCATGCCAAGTCAAGCCAGGCATGTTTTGTTTTGAATCTTATTAAATATATATATATATATATATGTGTATAAATTAATATTTTTTAGAAATAATTAATAACTTTGAATGTAGTCCAATAATAGTGAACACACCGTTTGTATCGAAGATCAAAACGAGTGGTGGTAAACGAAGAGATAAAAAACGCATGGGCCATGGCTAAAAGCAGTGTCAGTGGGGTACACTTTGTTTTGCTTTTTTTTACTGCCGAAAATGAAGAAAACATACACTGAAAATCATAATGGTCAACTTTCATTAACGAAGCTACAGAACTCCTTCCTCTTCAAGTCCTTAAATTTCCTTCTCCTTCTCCATGTAGTAATAATTTCATAAGGACCGACAGTAATAACCCATTTATTAACACTGAACAACAACAATTCCTTACACCCAAATTAGTCTTACCAAATCAAGCCGCCGCCGCCTAAATAATGAATTGACAGGAGAAGATATATAGCAAGTAGTAGATAACCACGCCCAGTCAGCATAGTCTGCTTATATTAATAGTAGGTAGTAGCAGTCGTCGTAGAAAGATATTACAGTCTCTGTCAAGTTTCATACATATATTAATCCTTCAATTTCATTTCGGACCTTCCTGCACATTTATACATACATACACATGGCGTCGACGTCAGCGTCGCAGGCGATATTTTCGTCGCCGTCGCCAGAGGCTTTCCTGGCGCCGGTCGATCTACCGAATGCAGCAGCCGTTGTGGAGACTCTCCGCACACTTTGTACAGAATTGTTGTCGCGGCGACGTACCAAAACGACATCGCCGTCGTCGTTTCACGTCAAGTGCTGTCGATCCTTAATCCGTACAATCCTCGTCATCTCCATCCTCCTCGATTCCTGCTGCTGCAATTTAAGCTTCTCTGAATTCTTCACCCCCACGGCGCTCTTATGCTTCAAGGAGTTGTACCTCCTGCTTTACCGCTCCAAAATCCTCATCGACTACGTCCAAGGCTCCACCTCCTTGTGGCTGCTCCTCCACCATCACACCATTTCAGCTCATTTCCACCACCTCAACAATGAATTCTCCACACTTTTAGACGTCTTCCCTTTGGCTGAAATTCAATTCAGCAAAGATGATGATGTGCAAGAACACATACAATTGTTGAGGAAGCAATCCAACATGCCCAAGAAACTATCGATCTCCGACGACGCATGCATCGATGTTCTTCGGTTGAGGCTTTACTACTTCTTGAACGAAATGGAGAACGGGAGGATCCCCGGAAGGAAGGAATTGGATACATTCTTCGCCGGAGAGCTCGGGATTGCGAGTGCAAAAAGCTTCAGGGCTGAGATAAACTTCTTTGAGGAGCAAATGGTTAACCATGGTGGGGATGTTGTGCCTACAGCCTCAATTGTGCATGGACTTTTAGCTTTGCTGAGGTACTGCAGGTTCTTGATGTTTAGCTTCGAAGACGAAGATGACGAACCGGAGAAATGGAGGCGGAGGTCGATGAAGAAAGGGTTGATCAGCAAAGAGATTGCAGAGACATTCAAGACGATCCCTAAGGATTTCTGCTGTCCGATATCGTTGGATTTGATGCAGGATCCGGTTCTGGTGTCGACCGGGCAAACATATGATCGATCGTCGATTGAGAGATGGATGGAGGAAGGGCAATGTAACTGTCCCAAAACAGGGCAGATGCTTCTACATACTGATCTCGTGCCAAACCAAGCGTTGAGAAGTTTGATTTCGCAATGGACTACGGCGAATGGGATTCCCTATGGTCTTATAGACAATGTCGATTGTGATTTTTGCGCCGGGAAGGGGGCAGCCGAAGCTAATAAAGCTACCGTAAATCTGCTAGTCGAAGAACTGGCGAATGGCACGACGAGGGCCAAGGCTGTGGCGGCAAGGGAGATTCGAATGTTGGCGAAAATGGGAATGGAAAACCGGGCTTGCATAGGCGAGGCTGGAGCAATTCCGCTGCTCGGACAGCTGCTTTTGTCTGAAGACATCGATGCACAGGAGAATTCTGTAACTGCAATGCTGAACTTGTCTATATACGACAAGAACAAGAGCAGGATAATCCAGGCCGAAGCATGTTTGGGTGCGATCGTCACTGTCTTGAGGCGCGGCCACACGACCGAGGCGAGGGAGAATGCCGCAGCGACATTGTTCAGTCTGTCGGCTGTCCACGACTACAAGCGACGTATCGCCTGGGAAGACGGCGCCGTAGAAGCCTTGGCCGGTTTGCTGAGCAACGGAACTTCGAGAGGGAAGAAAGACGCTGTCACAGCTCTGTACAACCTATCCACCCACAATGACAACTGCCGGAGAATGATAGACTCGAGAGCTGTGGCAGCGCTGATAGCCGCCCTCAGATGCGAAGGCGTATCTGAAGAAGCTACAGCTGCATTGGCGCTGATCGCGCGCCGGCACATCGGAGCGGCGGCAGTGGGGAAGGAGGCGGCGGCGGTGGCGGGGCTTGTTGGAGTGTTGCGGTCCGCGACTCCCAGAGGTAAAGAAAACGCGGCGGCAGTGCTGCTTGAGCTCTGCAGGAGCGGCTGCGCGGAGAGGGTGGTTAAGGCACCGGAGCTGGCCAGTTTGGTGCAGGTCTTGCTTTTTACGGGGACGAAGAGGGCGCGGAGGAAGGCGGCGTCGCTGGCACGGGTTTTCCGGCGGTGCGAGGGCGACGGCGACGGCGCCGCCGCTTCCTTGCACTTGGGAGGATTGGGAGTTGGGTATGCATTTGCTGGTGATGTTGCATTGTCATCTGTCTCCATTTCAGTGTCTGTGTTGTGAAGGTAGCTTAGTTTGCACATATATTTGGACATTCCATCTGAAATAGAAAAACATTGAATAGGTTATCTGGATAATGTAGTACAATAATGGTCACATCTACATTAATTTCATGGAGGAACTCAAAATTGTTATTTTGGTAATGTTACTGGAACTACATTAAAAACTAAGTCAAATAATGATTAGGTAGCTTTTACCGTGGAAAAGCTTCAGAAGGGATAAAGCAGAGTAGATTAAAGTGATAAAGAAACACATTTTTTCTTTTTGGTTTGAAAGTGTAATGAATTGAATTTAAGCTAATAACACATGCATATTTGTTATATTCTATCCCTTCAAAAATCCAAATCTAACTGTATGTACACACTTTAATGACTGGTGATGAGTAGGGTTAGGAAAAGTGGTGAAATCTATGGCGGGGCTTTCTTTTGAAATGTTGAGGTGTTCTTCATTCTACTGTATAAATGAATCCCCACCCCCACAAGATTGAAGCAATCATTTATATAATTCATGGGAAATGAAAATGAAGAAACCATCATCACCTTCTTCTTCTTATTCACCTCATGCCTCCTCCATTATCACTCGTGTTCTTCCAGGTTCCTGGTTTTCCAGGTTCAAGCAGAACAGTAGCAGCAGCAATCCTGAGACAAATCATCCTGAGAATAAGAAAAAACAAAGGGGTAAATTGGATTTTCCATCTTCCTATTCGATAGTGACTCCTGGTTGGAGAGAAGGGAGACTCTATAGGGTTGACGACAACGATGAATATTGGTGGATATCATTCCATGCAGATGGGATTGAAGACAGCAGCAGCAGCAGCAGCAGCAGTGCAGGAGGAAACGGGCATGGAATAAGCCCTCTTTGGTATGATCCTGAGGATGGCTCTCGAGCCGACATAGTCTCAGACATTATGAAGATGAAAGAAAAGCAGCACTACCAGTACAAGGGCAATAGTTCATCAACAAGGCAGATACCAAATCAAGAAGCACAGCTTTCTGCTTGGAGGAAAAGAAGTGAAAATGGGCGACGCCAAAGAAGAGCGAGCCACAGGCTTGTCAAGAAAAGGGATGCACATTTGGCAAGAGGGCTTGATTGTGGACAATGCCGATTTTCAAAGCATGAGGGGGAGGGGCAACATGTACTGGGAACAGAACCATTGAACAGGGAAATGAAATTAGAGCTATCTGATTCGACTGTTTCAGATGCAAAAATCCAGCAAAAGATCTCTTTCCCAAACTCAAGTTCAGCTGAGGAAGGGCAGAATAGAGAAGAGAGCAATTCAACTGCTGAAAGAGCATCACTCGTAGATGGGGAAATGTGTGAAAATAAGGTGTTCAAAGCAGCATGGATGAAAAGGAAAAAATCTAGACATATAAGAAGGCAATCTTTGGGCAGAAATTTAAGGCAAGCAGGGGAAAAAGTTTATTCTCCACAAAGAGAAGTCAGAATTAGAGTGCTGGATGACATGAAGAAAACAAAAATGAAGTCAAAGAGGGAGAGAAAGGCAGACGATCGAACCATCTTTGATAGCTTTGCAGTAATAAAGACTTCAACTAATCCATGCCAAGATTTCAGAGATTCAATGGTTGAAATGATTAATGAGAAAGGTATTAAACAGCCTGAGGAGCTTGAAGAACTTTTGGCATCGTACCTGACGTTGAACCAGGATGGACACCATGAGCTCATTATCAATGTTTTCCTGGAGGTATGCTTTGAACTGAAGACTGATCCTGCAAAAAAGAGTGGTCAATTTATTGATGAGTTTGTGTAGCTAAATGTTAGTGGTCAGATAAATGAGAGATTGACTAGTTTTGTCTTGCAAGTAGCTTATGAATACCTATGACCATCTGTTCCATTTTCATGGATATTGAAAATTAATGATATGAACTCAAGGCATTTAACTAAAAGCAAACTTATATAACATTTTAGATGCATCCCCGAAAAAACAGTCATACCAATGCTCTCCAATATGCCACAAAAAATTCATCCACTTTCCTTGTAATTCAATGCTTTAAATTGAGAAAACAAGAAAGACAAAACGCATTTACAATAACAAGTAACTAGATTCAGAAATTTACAAAATATTAGTATAACCTTTGATTCTTTGAAACTTGGATATGTATCATTAATAATCTGTCAAGACAACACTCAAGGAGAAAATCTAACTTTATTTATGTCTGCAAATGCAACATTCCATCTCTACTACACCAAGCAGCATCACAGAGTCGCATCTAGGTTGTCATATTTTCACAAGCATGTTCAATATATATATATATATAGAAATCTTAACAGGGTAGAGGAAAAAAAAAAAACATATCAAAGTTCAATGAAGTTAAGATGGAATAAGAAGAGCTACTACACACATAGAGAAGACAAGGTTCAGATAGCATTACTATTAACAATAAGTGAATACAAAGCAGGGACTTTCTCAAACCAACTTCAAACTGGAAGTGCACAATGTTGACTCTATATACCAAAATATTATGTACTGCCAGATTGAACAACTCATCCCCAAAATTTACAACCCAAGCAGAAGTATCCACTGAAAGAGAAAACATTAAACCTACTAGGATCAGGTTTTTTGTGCTGGAGTAAGATGTCCCAACTGTTCAGTAAGGTTATCTACACTCCTTGTTTGCCACCAACGTATTGAGTGGTCACCCGGTTTGTTGTCATTTTTCTTGTCTTGTGTATCTTTTTTCACTGAGAGAAATTCAGGGGGGTCCTTTGAGCCAGGATTTTCAGTAAGAAACTGTTCCCAAAATATGTCATTGACTCCTGCCTGTCTGTCCGTTGCTGCTTGTTCTTCAGAAGAAGATTGCCCCTCCGGAACACTGGCAGTTTGAGGTTCAGAATTCATGTCAATATCAATGGTCTTTCCTACAACATCGAGATTTAGTTGCGTGTAAGATATGCTCGGACTGAGTGCACAGCTTTCTGATTCACCCAATGTTGAATCCAGAGGCTGGGTCAAACTTTCTCCAGCATCAAGTATGATTCTTTCCCAGAATGATAAAGAAGACTCTAGCTGCTCCAATGATTCCTTGTTGAAATTCAGAAGTGAATTAGCATCTGAATTTTCAGCTGTCACATTTTGAGACGCCCTCTGATTATCCTCCGTGTCAGCTTCATCATGCAACGGACTATTTCTTGGAAATCTTCTTTTTCTATAATGAACTTCCACTTGTGCCATTAGATCCAATGAAAAAGCAAGTTGCTGTACTGTGTTTGCCAATGAGGATAACATATTTGAATGGCGATTTTCCACGATTCTCATTCGTTCAGTGACTGCCCTCATTTCCAATTGCTGCTCCTCTTTGTAACTCTGTAATTCCACATGAAGCAGTTCTTTATCAGACTTTAGTTTCTCAATATCCTCCTTGTATCCTTTCCTTTCCAATTCAGTTAGGGGAGGCAATGAGGCAAGATTTGGTGTGGAGTGGCTGTAAACAGGCTTTCGCCTATGGATATTCTTCAAAAGGTGGGGATGCCCTCTCAAGAAATCCTCATTTGCGAATTCCCAACGTTCGGGATCAACCTTTCTGAAACCCTGGTAGAAACATAATCAACAAGTTAAACAACATATCAACAACATAAATATATTCAAGCTATCGAAAGGAAATTAAGTTCTCACATATGTATTGAGCTGCCTAATAAAGCTGGAGAAATTGTTGTGCTTAAAGAATTTGGGGAGAATTTCTCTCGCAAATTCTGGGGGGTTCTGCACAATAAAGCTCTTATTGTTCTCACTCCAAGATACAACCGAGTCAATAGTATGATCCTCCACCATTTCATACGTCTTGGCAAGGAAGGGAGGCAATGAGTTCAAGTTGCTTGAAGCTTCATCCATCATAAATTGATGGCCAATCACCACTGACGAAATTTCCAACTCAGCAGCTTACACAAAGATCTATATAGGCAAACGTCTTCTTCTTTTCCTTACACTCCAAATTAAATTAAACCAGGGCTACAAACTTCACCTATTAGTCTATAATATCAACGGATACCTATCTCGTTCCTTTGACCCAATCAAATTCACACGCTATCGTCAGAAATTTCCTGCACTTTTACCCTGAAAAGCAAGATTACGGACATTTACGATTTATTGGATTGAAACAAAGGATGATATCCACAAACATTCAAGGTTGTTACAGCCAAAAAAACTGAAGTCTCTTCCGAACTTTCAAGAAAAATAGCATCGAAAAGCAACAATTAAATCGCGAGCACCAACTCACGTCACGTCTGTGCAGATTTATGCACGAAAACAAATGATCTCAAAACAGAAAACACTTACAGGAATTGCTCAATATAGACAGTGCACTGCTGTACCGAAAAAAACTCGAACGCATAACTGTCGCTTCCTTGCTCGTGATTGCTTCCTCGCTCGTGCCGCCTCGATCGAATTTCCTGAAATCAATGCTGAGAAGGTGTTGGGATGTACAAGGGTTTCACATTTATGAATAATGATCAGTTGGTGAGAAAATCCACTCCAATATTGTATGTGGATTTTGCCAACAGCACAACTCGTCTTTATTTATATATTCCGCCCCTCATCTCTTCCAAATTTCTAAAGTGCCCCCAATAAATTTCCCAGTTCCCTCTCGCTTGTAGCAAAAGGCTCGAACATTCGTTAAAAAGCTAGATAAATAAAATCTAAAATTTCCTTACGGAATCTCAAACATATTTCCAACATAACCAAACAGATAGCGATACCCTTGACTTTTTAAATAATTTAAATAATAATAATACATATCTCAACAAATCCAATGAATTATGTACATGATGACTTACCAAAATTTGTTCAACAATACCCAAACCCACCCCCATCCACCCCAAACAACTGTCCCTATCGAAGATGGAGTGAAATAACTAAATATCAAGACTTGGGGGACTATTATGTAAAATTCAAAAGTAGCAAGTAGTACCAACCACTAAATTAAATAACCTGCTTCATAATAAAATTTTATTAATATTTCTCCATTATTGAGAGAGTTGACTCTGCAATTGATTGGGCAATGGGAAAGCGTGTTTGGGTGGCGTGGAATTCACGACGTAGATGAGTGTTATCTTTTGCTGCTCTTCCACGCACCCGCCAAACGCACCGCTAATTCAATCCTTTATTAGATTACAGTTACACTAATATCGCCGGCTGTTATGTATTTATTACTTACTGCACCGTTACTCTTTTATACAGTGTCCGTGTGTGTGGGTGGGGTGACACGTGCACGTGCAGGTGCATGCGGACACAAGAGGGGACTAGACTATCCAATTAAGTTTAATTAATTAATTAATTAATCTGAAATCGTCATCCGCGGCGCACGTGCGATAGCGGGGCCCAGTCGCCGGCTGCCAGTCTTGTGAGGGAGCCTCACTCTTTACACGTCACGTGTTCGGAAAATATTTTTTCAATGAAAAAATATTCATTTAAATTTGATATCAAAATAATTTATGATATGATAGTTTGTGAGATAAAAAAAATATATTTTTAAAAATATAAAATTCAAATAGTATTTGAAACTATGAATTAAAACTTGTATTCCGCAACAACATTACTCCCATAAATATATATGATTAAAATAATCATATTAGTATTGTGTGATACAAAGATAATGATATTTGTGTAATATATTGTAAATTATAAGGGTATTTGTAATGTTAAATATATAATTGATATAGTACCGTTACTAGAAAAAATTGATACTTTTTTACCATACAGATTAAAATAGAAAAATAAATACATAGTTTTTTAATTTAATTTTTTGAATATAATACTATATTTATTTGTATTAAAAAATACAAAAATATTTATATTGGTGTAGTATAATATAAAAATAATAATATATATTTATGTAGTATATGGATTAAATAAACAGTACAATTACGAAAATCAATTGTACTATTTTTGTTTAGTATCTATATATTCATTTACTTTTTACACAAAATTTAAAAAAACTAAATTGCTTTTGTTAGTATTGTAGAATATAAATATAATAATATTTGTGTAATATATTGTAAATTGGAATTGTATTTATAATTTTTGATAAATAATAAAATTACTAAAAAAATATTTTATTATAGAATAAATAAAAATAAATAAATAAATAAATAAATTGTTAAGAAACAGATAATGACGAGTAATAGCCTTTAAAAAAGATTAAGGTTGCAATTATTTTAATTTTGATTATTTACTAGCGTCCCAACTTTAAAGAAACTAAACACGTGCGCAACCCGCATTTCCAGGAAATATTTTTGTATTAATTATGTTAGTAATAAATAAAGCTACAGTGGCAATCCCGTGAATTGGCCCCATTTCCAGGCCCGAATTATTGGTTCCCAGTGTATATATTTCTCTTCCTTTACTGGCTGGTGTTTCACACAACCGGTCAGTTCCTTTTTCTTTGATACGCAAGCCCACATTTTGCGGTGCGGTGGTGGTTCGCCGGCGTCTTGTGCCCTTGCTTAGGAATTCACAGCGGCGGAGTTCGGCTATTAGTCATGACATCGGGCACTAGGATGCCGACTTGGAAGGAGCGAGAGAACAATAAGCGGAGGGAGCGTCGCCGACGGGCGATAGCGGCCAAGATCTTCGCCGGATTGAGGATGTTCGGGAATTACAAGCTACCGAAACACTGTGACAACAACGAGGTCTTGAAAGCTGTCTGCAATGAAGCTGGTTGGGTGGTGGAAGAAGATGGCACCACTTATAGAAAGGTACGATTGGTCATTCAGTCGGTGTATATGTTTTCCAGTGCGGTTGGATGAAGACTTCCTTCCTAGTTTAGGTATTTTTTGCACTGGATTTACGTTTGCGACTGTAGGAAGATGCTCTAGACTGTAGATTTTTATTTTTTTTCTTTTAACTTAGGGTTACAATGCGCTGGATGCGTATAGGAGAAGTTAGCGCCGTGATTAGCCTGCAGGTGACCTGCAGGCCCGGTCGGGATCGCTATTTCGAGATGCGAGACCTAAAGTGCGCTGTACACATCCGGCGCATAGCACGAGTGATGGAATCAAATCGTACTATGCATCTATTTTTTAAATAAATTAATCTGCGTGAGTGATTAGTGTTTTTTTTTTTTTTTCTCTCTTTTGTCAATGCTCTGCTGCCAAGAACATGTGAGCGCCCCGTTTCTGGCACAATATTTTCGGCTGTGTTACTGCACGGCGTACGATAGATCACTTTTTAAAAAGTTTCCAATCCATTTTTCCTTCTTTCGTCAGTCAGGCTCCGGTTGTTTCGTTAGTAGCAGTCCATATTTTCGGATCATCTCTGAATTTTAACATGAGATGATCCGATCCGAGGCGCATGATCGCCTCAAATCTCCTTTATTCTGCTAATCCTTTGCGTTAGAGCCGAGTAGGTGGTTGGGTGGCCCGGGAATGTCGTCATTTACATGATTAACTTAGAGTAGAAAATCTTCCTAGTTGTCCTGGGGAGGTGTAAATTCAAAATACATGATATGGTTAATTGCTTGTGCTGTTTGTTATTACGGGAAGTTCGCGCCATTCTTACATTTCTCTTTTCTAGCATGTGTGCACATTATTGAGATTTAGATGATATAACAATAAGAATTGTCAGCCGACTATGTTGACTAGAACATGCGGAAAGCCGTTGTAGTGCTTTAGATTTCATCACTGTGGCTATTTATAGATAGAAGCTGTAGGGAACGTTGACAAGCAAAGAAGATTTGTAGTTGCATATAATTGGGATCCTGCAGTAAGTGGGGAGCAAGATAATCACGCAACAGACAATTTTTAGGCTGACCATAAAATGGACTATGCCCTTTGCGACACTTTTCAAAGATAGGTATAATTGTTGTCCCGATGGTGTTGCTGTCCATGATTAAAGTTCTTCAAGAGGGCCTAGCATGGACATGAGAACAAATGTAGCTTAGCCATATGCTCTACATTTTCCTTGCTTCTGAATGGATTGATTCATTTCAATTCTAAACTAAAGAATGGCATATTGATGCCCTGTCAGTCTGAAGGGTTCTTATTATCTTCATTTGAAAGAAAAATGAGTTTATCTATGTGATCCTCTGTCAAGCTGATTTGTCTCATCCCTCAAAATATTGGCTTCAATCATCCCCTCTGAATGTTTACTAGTTTATCCTATTTTAACTAGGCCTTTGCAGTTAAAAAGACAACCTTAAATTTCTTTCTACAGTTATTTTGTTTTTTTTAGCATTTTGATTCAAATGAACAAACATATCCAATGAAGCTCTATAATTGACCTTCTTTGCTGACACTGAAAATATATGTTTTGGACTGATAGAAGGAATAGAAGGCGTGTTCATCTTAGCTTCAACTGTATCATATGTATTCATCTATTTTGTCTTATGGTGAAGAACTCCTGCTCCTACGGGCCCATGTATAATTTGTGTGTTCATTTGGTGTTCTATTTCTTGCGTTAGATGTACATTCTCTATCCATGCAAGATTAGGATTTCTTATTCTAGGATTTCATTGTTGTTTTTCTTGAGCTCGCCTAGTATATTTACTATCCAATTCTCATTCTACATTTACTTTAGTTCAGTTTTCCTTCAGGGCTATATAATTCCCAACTAATATTTGCTGAAATCTCTCCCCCAACTGATTCAGTTCTTAGCTGTCATTCTCATAATGTACTCATTGGCATGCTGATGTTTTTGAAGTCTGATCTGATGAATTTATCTATATATACATTTCATTACAACACCTTAGAAATAACTGAACTGCAACATACCCTTTTTTTGGTGTGTGTATTCTTGATGCTCTGTTCTTCATTAACATTATATTTCTTTTACAGGGATGCAAGCCTGTGGAAGGCATGGATGCCATGGGTTCAGGTGCAGTAACCACTTGCTCATCGTATCAACCAAGCCCAGGAGCCTCTTTCAACCCCAGCCCTGCCTCATCTTCCTTTCCGAGCCCTATGTCATCCCATTATATGGCCAATGCCAATAACAACGCTACTGCCGATCCCAACTCCCTCATCCCCTGGCTAAAAAATCTGTCTTCTTCCGCTGTACCCCCTTCATCTAAGCTTCCTCACCATATTTACATTCCAGGAGGTTCTATAAGTGCTCCTGTAACCCCTCCATTGAGCTCACCAACCGCCCGGACTCCAAGAATGCAGGGGCAGGGGCAGGGCAACATGGATGAGTCCACAACAGGAGGTGCTGCCTGGTGTGGGCAGAACTACCCATTCTTACCCAATTCCACTCCCCAAAGCCCTGGCCTGCAAACCCCACCTGATTCGGGGTGGCTCTCAGGTGCTCTAACTCCTTTAGACGAGCCTTCTTCCCCAACATTCAGTCTCGTGTCATCAAATCCGTTTGGTTTCAAAGAAGCATTTTCCAATGGTGGTTCTCACATGTGGACCCCCGGGCAGAGTGGAACTTGCTCGCCGGCAGTGTTCGACCAGACAGCTGATGTTCCGATGTCGGATGCAATTTCAGCTGAGTTTGCATTTGGCAGTAACACCAGCAAGGGGATTGTGAAACCATGGGAAGGAGAAAGAATACATGATGACTGTGTCCCTGATGACCTTGAGCTCACTCTTGGGAATTCAACCACAAGGTATCAATTTTCAAATCAAACAATCTGATCAGTTCAGTTCAGTTCAGTTCTTGTTTTCTTTGTTGAACTTAATCTAATCAATAAATGGATGCAAATTTTCAGGTGAAGAGGTCTGAGGCAAAAGGGCAAATGATGTTTGCATCTCGCCTCCTGAATACCAATCTTTATTATTATTATTGCACATAGTTGAGCTGAGCTATTGGCCATTTCTTGTGATCCCGGCAATGGATACACAGAGTATCAGGTTATTATTATTTTTTTTCTCTTTTTTCTTTAAAAAAAAAATGATTTGTTTGTTTGATCATTCAACAAAGTGAACAAGTATTAGAGAGGTCATGTAGTTGGGCAGGCTGGAACTGCATTTTTTCAGCAGCATCTTGCAGACTGTGTTGTGTAATTGAGATATATATATATATATATATATAATGTGTGTGAAAAGAAGATTCTGTCTTTTTATTTAGATGCACCATACATACGTTGTTTGTATGAATGATTTGTTTTTTATTCATTTGAACACTTACAAAAACATAGACCAAAAACCCCTTAACAAGAACTTCCACAAACGAAAGCACGTACTAATATTGTTCCCTAAGAGATGATCTGGTGGTGTAAGGATTGAATTTGTGACTTTAAGGTCATGGTTCAAACTCCGACACCTCAGGTCACCTGCTACACATGGTTTGCCTCGGATAGCGGCAAATATTTTTAAAACTGAATATGAGAAAGTTACATAAATGTGTAACACTATAATTTGAGGTGAGCTGCCAATTTGCTTGACATTTCCATTTCCATTTAACAATCAATCCTATTTGATCTGTCCCTTAAAGTATGGTATGGTGATATGAAAGTAAATTTGTGAGCCTAATTATAGGTTCCAATTTCTTATGCCCTTCAAAATAAATAAAATAATCCGATTTCATCCGATTCAAGTACTAACCAAAAAAGAAAAAAATTGTGTTCTTTTAATTCGATAATTTATTTGAACACAGTAACTAAAAAAAATAATTATATTTTAATATTGAAATAAGATAGATAAAAAATTAAGTAGAGTATTATAAAAAATATATTAAATAATTAATTAAAAGATAGTTGAATTAGTATGACATTACATATAAATAATGGTAATACTTTTTAATTAATAGTTACAGAATATATTAATTATTATTTTTTTTATGGCAAAATAGTAAAAAAAAAACTGTGGTTTTTCGAAATTGTTGAAAATCTCAGTGGTTCTAAAACTCCAAAAAAAAACCTATTTTTGATTTTCAAAATGTTGCAAAAAATCCCCCATCCGTTAGAATTTGACGGCGCAATCGTATATCAAGCGCCTGAAATGTGATTTTTGTCCGTGTTATATTTCTGTGTAAAATTACTAAAATACCATACTGACTTCTTCTTCCTTATTCTTCTTCTCCCTCCTTCTTCTTCTTCTTTATTCTTCTTCTTTCAAAATTTAATCTCAATTCATTTTTTTTATTTAAAATCCGTTAAACACAACCAAATTTGAAACTGATCCCAAATTTATCACAATTAATCGACTGGACATGAATCTTCTTCTATTTTACTAAACCCAGAAATATTTTATCTTGTGTTTTACAAACCCAGAAATACTTCTTCTTTTGTTTTAGCAAACCAAAAAATTTAAGAAATCAATTTGAGATTTGAAATCAAGAAAGAAAGAATTGCTGGTGGCAACGGCGGAAGAATTGGGGAGAAAAAATAAAGAAGGGAAAAAGAGATAGAGAAAGAAGAGGTTATGATATAAGTAAGGGTATAATTGTCAAATTTGATAAAATTTAACGTCTGTTAGTCAAATTTAAAGAGGGAGAGAGTGTGCAACATTTTGAAAAGCACAAGTAAATTTTTTGGAATTTTAGAACCACGGCAAGTTTTCAGCAAATTCGTAAAATTACAAAGGATTTTTTTGCTATTTTGTTCCTTTTTTTTTTTTTTTTTTTTTTTAAATTGAAATTAAGAAAAGACGTACCCCACAAATCATGCCACTCACTCAAATCTCCCAAGAATTGTGAATGTTACAGCAACAATAATAATAATACTAATAATAATAATAAAATAATGTAATAATGTAACAATAATTTCCAAAGTTGAGAAAAAATAACTCCACTTACTAAATGGAGGTTTGAATTTTAACTGCATGCGTATGGGAATGCAAATCAAAAGGGGAATAGAAGCATCCTATCCTTGCTACCTTTTATCTTCCATTAAATTATACTTATTGACATGAGATCACCCATTATTACATTTTATTTACATATAAATGTTTATGATTAACCATTATGAACTATTTTGTTTACACACGAAAATTTAAGTAAGTATAAATCAATTAGTTATTTAATAATTAAAAAAAATTAAAAAAATGTGTTTAAAAAGTATATAAGATGGATATCATTTTGTACAAAATAAAATTTTATATAATAAAAATAAATTTATTTATTTATCATTATTATAATAAAATAGGAAGTTTTAAAGGTAAATAAAAATATTTGTTAATAAAATAGAGATACAAACAAAAGGATTTTGAGTAAATACTAGTAAAAATAATAATTAAATTAATTTATATTTATTAATTCCCTTTAAAAGGATAAAATTACTAAAAAAAAATTGAAAAAAAAAACAAGAATTATTATCATTATTATTACTATTACACCACTAATTTGGCATATTATGAGATCTGGCAAATCTTTGATTACATAAACTAATTATTACTATTTCGATTAAATTATGTAATTTTTAAAAAGAAAAAAAAGAAAAGCCGATCGATTGAACTGATGGAATCTGAGATAGTGATAGAACGACCATTGCAAGAATCTCCCTATCCCACATACAAAACAATATTTTGTCTTTTGCTGTCTTAAACATCAAGAATTTACATCATTATCACTAAGAATTATAGTACTACTTATTTATCAATGTTGGACTTGCCATATTTCAATATCCCTTTCCCTAGATTATATCTCTCCAAGAAATGACAATAAAAATAATAAAATAATAATATTAATATAGGAATAATATAATAATTTGCAAAATTGGTTAGCAGTTAGTGGGTTGTTGAATGGTGGTGCCTCTATTCACAGTTTTGAGTAAAAGACAGTGTACGCTTTCAGCGATATCTCCTAGAAGGATCAACTTATTATTTATCTACTCTAATAAATAAAGTTATAGTAAAAAACATAATAAAAAAATTTGATTGTGGTAAGAAAAAAGTGGAGAGACCAATAACCCTTATAAAACCCTTCCTTGCCGATGCCATAACTTCATTGTAGCTGCTGCCTGCTGAACCTGAAAATAATGGGTGACGTGTCATCAGGATCAAATAATGGCAGCCATGTCCATGCCGTAGCAGTGACCATCAAGGAAGACGACGACGATCGTGAAATGGCTTCTGCTGCTTCCGAAACATTTCTTACAGTTCCATTTATCCAAAAGGTGGATTTAATTTCTGAATTAATTAATTAAATAACGAGATGATCAGTTGCTGTAAATTAACGGAAAATTGTAAATAATTAATTGCAGATAATAGCGGAGACGGTGGGGACGTACTTCCTGATATTCGCCGGATGTGCGTCGGCGGTGGTGGACGCCGACAGGGGGAAGGTGGTGACGCTGCCGGGAATGGCGATGGTCTGGGGGCTGACGGTCATGGTGGTGGTTTACTCCATCGGACACATCTCCGGCGCCCACATCAACCCCGCCGTCACCATCGCCTTCGCCACCTGCAAGCGCTTCCCCTGGAAGCACGCGCCGCCGTACGTGGCGGCGCAGCTCCTCGGCTCCATCCTCGCCAGCGGAACCCTACGCCTGCTCTTCAGCGGGCCCCACGACCACTTTGCCGGATCTCTCCCCACCGACAGCACCATCCTCCAATCCCTCGTCCTCGAATTCATCATCACCTTCTTCCTCATGTTCGTCATCTCCGGCGTCGCCACCGACAACAGAGCTGTACGTAAAATCAATCCCCAATTTCTAAAATCGATCCAATCAAATTGAATTCAACGCCTAGGTTTTTTTTTTTGGTGCAGATTGGGGAGCTTGCTGGATTGGCAATCGGAGCCACAATTATGCTCAACATATTGTTTGCAGGGTAAGTAATTAGAAAACCCTAATTTCACCATGGATGCACACATTGGTGCTCCAGATTGAAGCCACTGACGAATGATTCATTTGCAGACCAGTTTCGGGGGCGTCGATGAATCCGGCGAGGACTTTAGGGCCAGCAATTGTGTGGAGCAGATACACAGATGTATGGATCTACCTGGTCGGTCCGACAGCCGGCGCCGTCGCCGGAGCTTGGGTGTACAATCTCATCAGATTTACAGACAAGCCTCTGCGAGAGATCACGAAAAGTGCTTCTTTTCTCAAGAGTTCTACCAAGAACACCTCCAACTGACAACTGAGGAGGATCTACTGTATCTATATATATGTGTTAGTACGGCTTTCTTTAATGCTGGTAAAATGTTTTGGGCCTTGGGATTTTTGGGCCCAATGGCTACAAATTTCGGCCCAATTATGAAATTAATAAATAAGTACTTCATTGCCCTACAAATGGATCTTTAAAAACTAGAAGCATGTGATGATATTCACGTTTCTAATTTTAACATAGAGACATTTTGCTTTTTGGGCGTTATATATGGAAATTTTGTATCAATACTATATTACAGTTACACTAGACACTAGATTTTATTATTTTTATTTTTTGGCAACAGCTATTCTTTTGATATTCTTGGGCAAACCTTTATCGGAATCATACGAGGCGGATCATATGTGACGAACAAAATTTGAAGGCTTCGGATATTTGTAGGAAAGAATTTGAACTATAATTAACTGTCACAAGTTCATCCACATGATTTCATGTGTTAAACTAAACATTTTTTTGTGTAACAAGCAAAATCGAGAGGGTCTGTTTCTTTAGTTTAAATTTGTGTTTAAATAATATTTAATTAAATATTTTACGAGAATAAAAAAAATGTTTCTTTCAAAATAATATAATTTAAATAGTAGAATTTGAAAAGATTATATTAAGAAACACTCTTAAAGAGTTTTTGAACCGTGACTTAGACTTATTCCACACCATTGAATCACATTTCGGAGGGCTTATATTTGCTAGTTTGACCATTTCGAACATTGCCATCCTCAAAATAAATAAATGTGCTTGTTGAATTGATCTTAATAAGTGTCAGTTGAAAATGCTACAAAATAATGTGAAATTAAAGGAAGGCATAGGAAGATGAAGACAGCTGGACTCATTCCACACTATTGTGTCATTATTCATTTTAATTGATCAAAGACAATATATTTATAAACACATTTTTTTAGAAAAATTAAAAAGGAAAAAATCATTTTTGTTCCAAAGATTCATCAATTTTGGTTCAATATAAAAATTTTATCAATTTTGGTTTCAATATAACTAAAACTCATTATTTTTTGTTACAATATAACCAAAACTCATCATGGTCCCAATATAAAAATTTTATCAATTTTAGTCTCAATATAACCAAAACTCATTATTTTTCGTCCCAATATAATTAAATTTTATCTTTTTTGGTCCCACCGTCAACAAACCGACGGAAAATGCTGACGTGAACTTGCAAGATTGTGCAATTTTTTCAAATATAAATATAAGATTTGATTTATTTTCACGTTAGCATTTTCCATCGATTTGTTGACGGTGGGACCAAAAAATATAGGTTTGATTATATTGAGAAAAAAAAAATGAGTTTTTGTTATATTTGGACTAAAATTGATAAAAATTTTATATTGAGACCAAGAATAATGAGTTGCGGTTATATTTGGACAAAAAATGATGAGTTTTGGTTATATTGCGACCAAAATTGATAAAATTTTTATATTTAGATCAAAATTGATAAGATTTTTATATTTGAATCAAAATTGATGAATTTTGATTATATTGAGACTAAAAATAATTTTTTTACAATTAAAAAACAAAAAAAAAAATGTCGAGATAACAACAAATGAAAAATCAACAATTCTGCATTTTTTATAGTAATTAATATTTAATACTGAGTGGTTCGCCTATTGTCAAGTAATATCTATATCTACATTAATATCAGACTTAGCAACCTGGTTGCTTGAAAAGCAAGATTTTCTTTTATTTGAAACTTAATTAACCTAATCGGCAGAAAGCAAAGTTTTCTTATGAAAAATCTAAAGCTGAACCAAAGAATAACAATAGGTTACATCGCTTTAGGTAACTAAGAAAAATTCAATTAAATTAATTTTTTTCCAAAAAAAAGAGTCGATATTACCAAACTACCCTTGGTTGACTTTTCTCCATCTTCTAACCATGTGAAAGCCCTTGCGACGACCATGGAAGGATACAATCATAAATGCTAATGGACAAAAAGGTCAACCTTTGGTATGAAAATCTGCTTCGTCTCCAAGAACCATGGCAGCAGGAGCAGCAAGCAATTCAGCAAACCCGAATTGGTTATACACTACAGTCTACAGTTGAGCAAAAGTTATGCAATAGAAAATTCTCGTGAAATTTTTTTATAATAATAATAAAGTCAATAAAATGCAGCTGTAATATCAGCAGCTCAAAAACCAGTGGTGATGACGACGACATTACTGCTCGTGTACGGAAATCGAATCCACGTAGCCAATAAAGGCTAAAAAATCATTGCTGGGTAAGCACTAATTAATTACTCAAGATCTTTGGGATTTTTTTATTTTTATTCCCTATTGGCTATTTCCCCACTTGCTTTTTTCTAAAACTCACCCCTGCGAGCTGTATATTTACGTTTCAAATGGTCAGTAATTAAATTTCTGCAGATACTCTCGAATTCGGACAGTGAAAAAGTTCAATTTCAGTTTAATGTTGTTTAGGAAGTTGAATTAATTTCTCCGGCGGGGATGGTTCTGAGGAATCCGTTGGTTGTTCGATGGATTCTGGGGTTTTGGTGTGTCGGATTTCTGCGACTCTGCGAGTCGCAGTTTGTGCCTCAGGAGGAAGGTAAAAGTGGCTGAATTTTTTACTTCTCATTTTCGTTTGTATATCTTGTCTGAACTTTGTTTGGGAGAGTTGTGATTAAAATTGGGGTTTGATGAAGGAACAAGAACAGTAGCTTCATTACCAAGAAACATATGCAATAAAAAAGTCGAACGTTGTTTGTTTCATGAAATTGCTGTCTCAATTCCCTGATATGGTTCTGTTTGTTCATTTATTTAGTGGATGCACTCGAACAGATTGCAAAGAAAATGGGTGCAACTTACTGGGAGTTTGATGCTCAAGAATGTGAAATTGTGACTGTTGGTCTTTCACCGATTACTCCGAGTGCATCTGAGGGTTATGTCGAATGTAATTGCAACTATAACAACAACACTGTCTGCCATGTCACAAAAATGTAGTAAAACTTTTGATTTCAATCTGTGAATATTCTTACAACCTTAAAAGTTTGGATCACTAAAAGTCTTTCCACTCTTGCAGTGTTCTTAAAAGTCTCAATCTGCCGGGAGTTCTTCCTCCGGATATTGTAAAGCTTCCATACCTCGTAGATATGTAAGTCTCAAGACAGCAAACTCTATCGATTTTTATTCTTTTTGCCCTTGATTATGAAAGAGTACCATTCAGCAGCTATGCTATGCTTAATTTATTTGAGTTTTGTTTCAGTGATTTTGCCTACAACCTTCTTACCGGCACATTTCCGGAAGAATGGGCTTCAATGCAACTGAATTTTACGTAGGGTGGTTGGTCATGCACTTTCGATTTCAATCTTGTACATTTTTAGTTTCTCTGATCTCTTAACTGCAAGAATCCTATGCAGCTCTGTTCTTGTGAACCGTTTGTCGGGGCCAATACCAACACACTTGGCAAACATTACAAGCCTTACATATATGTACGCCATCGATCCAATTCTATTGTTCTTTCATATTCTTACAGGTACAAGAATTTGATGTTTTTATTCTATAATCAGGAATCTCGAGGGAAATCAATTTTCAGGCACTATTCCTCCCGAGCTAGGGACGCTACCTAATTTGAAGACTCTGTAAGAATTCATATTCCCAATTGTTGTATACTTGGCCGACTGATGAGTTAAACTTATTTATTTATTTTTTTGGCTTGAATGCTATCACAGGATTTTGTCCTCCAATCAGCTAATAGGGGAACTGCCGGAAACATTTTCGAATTTAACAAACTTAATTGACTTGTAAACACAGTTGCTAACTTATCGGATTGTATATTTTTCGAATGCTTCCTTTTTCTTGAGTGAATCTTTTTCAAACTACAGTAGGGTAAGTGACAACAATTTAAGTGGACGAATTCCCGACTTCATTCAGAACTGGAGACAGCTCAACAAACTGTAAGAACTTCACATAACCGAAACCTTTGAGGCTTCATTACCATTGTTCTCTTAGTATTCTTATACTAATAGCCGTTTTATTTGAAGAGAAATGTTTGCAAGCGGACTAGAGGGGCCTATTCCAGCTAATATATCCTTATTGGATTTGTTAGTTCATCTGTGAGTGCAAACAATTCTGAAGTTTCGCCATAACTTATATCTCTGCCAGCTGCATTTTAACAGACTTTCCGATCTTCTTTGTCAGGAGAATTAGTGATCTAAAAGGGCCGGCCCAAAGGTTTCCGTTGCTGAGGAGTGCTACGGGACTGCAAACATTGTATGCTTTAATATTGCTTATGTGATTCTTTATCTGTGTCTATTCTACAGAGGTAATTCATTTTTGGATATAGGATTTTGAGAAACTGCAACATTTCTGGAGGAATCCCTACGTACGTTTGGAGAATGAGGTTTCTTGAAATGTTGTGAGTACCTTACTCAACTTTGTGAATACTTTAGGAACTTTGTAAGTCGATTATTACTTAGATGGTTGTTTGGTGTCTTAATTTTTAGTGATTTCTTGGAGAGATGGTATATCTAAACATTAGGAAATTTCTACTTTTCGAATTTATCTGTGTTTCATCATGTCAACAGGGATGTCAGTTTCAACAGGTTAGATGGCGAAATCCCGAATCACATTGCAAGGAAACTAAAACAAGTGTAAGTACAAATCTCTATGTCTTTTCGCCTAGTTCATTTTCTTTCGCTCCACATAATTTATGTCTTTTCGCCTAGTTCATTTTCTTTCGCTCCACATAATTTATTACACATCGTTCGATATTCACTTCTTAGATTCTTGACCGGAAACATGATGAGTGGGAAATTACCTACAACACTCTTGAAGGATGGGAGCAATATGTATGGTTTCCTTTCGCTTTGATCGTACCTTAAAAATGTTATTTTATTTTTTGGCTTGTAAGAAGATATTCATTTATACGTTGTTATGGATTATGAGCAGCGACCTTTCCTACAACAATTTCACTCTGCAAGGCCCCGACGACCTTGCTTGTGAATCCAACATGTAAGAAAGTTAAGCTACTAAATTTCCCTACAATGGTGGATTTTTAGCCTCTGATTTTCACAATGCTGACAACCATTTCTTATATGCATAAGGAATCGGCATGTGAACCTATACAAAGGCACATCAACGGTAAACAAATTGTAAGCAGCACTTTTTCTTTCCCTTTCTTTAAATCGGCATAAGAAAATAGACAAGTTTGCAACATCTCTTATGCTTAATATCGATCAGGCATCGAATCCTTCCGTGTGCTAAGGATGTAGTGTGCCCAGAATGTAAGAATTCTAACATTTCCTTTTTTATAGACTTAACCACTAGTGTTTTCTGAAAGTCATTATTTCGACAGATAAATGCTCTTTGCGTGTTAATTGTGGTGGCGACGATCTCACTACTAAAGAAAGCAATAGGAGAGTTATATATGAAGGAGATGTTGGAGGCGACGTGGCGAGATATTTAAGCCATAATTCTTGGGGATTTATGAGCACCGGTGACTTCCTAGATGAGCCTATTTACCAATATTCACGTTTAATCAAAGTTACACCGACTGCAAATGTTTCCACATTGTACAGCACGGCTCGGCTCAGCCCTCTTTCGCTAACGTATTTTCATTACTGCTTGGAGAACGGGAGTTACAACGTGAGTCTCCACTTCGCCGAAATACTTTTCACGAATGACGACAAGTATTTCAGCCTTGGAAGGCGGACATTCGATATATACGTCCAGGTCTATTTCAGATGCTTATGTATTTGTGAGTTAAAACTGTGATTTTTTCTTTTCTGATAGTGTTTCTGCCTCAGGATAAACTAGTTTGGGAAAAATTCGACATTGAAGAAGAAGCTGGTGCAGCTCAAACACCTGTGGTTAGACATTTTAACTCAACGGTGACAGATGGTACGTTGGAGATCCGATTTTACTGGACTAGTAAAGGCACCACGCGCATTCCCAATCGAGGAGATTACGGATCTCTTATATCAGCTATTTCAGTGAATCCAAGTGAGCCTCCTACCGAATCTTCGTGCGACCTTTTTCCATATTTATTCGTCTATCTTTCGTGCAGATTTTAAAGTTTGTTCGGATGGCAGCAATAAGAATGTGATTCGATACGTAGTACCTGCAGTTTTGGTGGTGTTCATTATGTTCTTGGCATTCATTATTCTTTGGTGGAAAGGATGTTTAAGACGCAGGAAACATATCGATAAAGGTAGGCATTTTCTGCAGGCTAAAAATGATCAATTTGTAAGGGCTGATTTTTCTGTTTGTCGTCGACAGAACTCGAAGGGCTAGAATTTCAAACAGTTGCGTTTTCTCTGAAACAAATCCGAGCAGCTACTAGCAACTTCGACGCCGCAAATAAAATTGGAGAAGGCGGTTTTGGTATCGTATACAAGGTACTCTTTTTTTGCTGCAAATTTCTAAGTTCATGTTCGTCGTTATGCTTCCATTTTCTTGATCGATGCTTGAACTGTCTAAGGGCAAACTACCCGACGGCACAGTAATTGCTGTGAAGCAGCTCTCGTCGCAATCAAGACAGGGGAATCGCGAGTTCTTGAATGAGATCGGCATGATTTCTTGCCTGCAGCACCCGAATCTAGTGAAGCTGTACGGATGCTGCATCGAAGGGAATCAGCTGTTGGTGGTTTACGAGTATATGGAAAACAATAGCCTTGCTCGAGCCTTGTTCGGTAAATTATTTTAGCGCGCGCACCTCAGCTTGCATAATGTTTTCGATTATTAGCTTAGCTTGTTCGTCGTTTGTTGTCAGATTCGAATGAAAGCCAGTTGATGCTAGAATGGTCGACTAGGTTCCAAATATGCATCGGCATTGCAAAAGGATTAGCTTTCCTCCACAACGAGTCGAGGCTGAAAATTGTTCATCGCGACATCAAGGCGACGAATGTGCTGCTGGATAAAGATCTTACCCCAAAAATATCGGATTTCGGATTGGCTAGACTTCATGAAGACGAGAAAACGCATATCAGCACCAAAATTGCTGGAACAATGTGAGTTCAGACAATATCGTACTTACGTCGCTTTGCATTTATAACGTGTTCTTTTCGCATAAAATGTAGAGGATATATGGCGCCGGAATACGCATTGTGGGGTTATCTTACGGACAAAGCCGACGTCTACAGTTATGGCGTCGTGATCCTTGAAATCGTGAGCGGGAAGAGTAACAACAATTACATGCCGAGCCGGAACTTTGTCTGCCTTCTCGATTGGGTAAGCTTACTTTGTTGTGTTCTGCTTTCGCTGATTCTAAGGATTCGACGAGTGTCTGAGCTCCGGAATTAATGTCGCAGGCGAGTCATTTGCAAGAAAGCAAGGACATTGATGAGCTCATCGACAATAGGATGGGCGATGGAGTCGATCGGAAAGAAGCAGAAAGAACGGTGAGAGTGGCGCTGCTCTGCACGAATGTAACGCCGTCCATCCGGCCGACAATGTCGGAGGTGGTCGGAATGCTGGAGGGGACAATGGCGATCCCTGAGAAGGTACCTGAGGGAAGCGCGAGCACGAAGGATGTGAGGTTCAAAGCGATGAGGGACTTCCATGGAGAGAGGCAGAAGCAGAATTCCACCACCATTCCTACCTATGCAGGCTTTGAGATCAGTAAGGATACGATGTCGTTTTGATTAGCATGAGAAATTATGTTCACAGTATAAAAATAGCGAGTGTAGTGTATGAGGTTTTTAAGGATCCGACAGAGCTCAATGTCGGTCCATGGCTACGTGGAGGCCGTACAACGACCTGAGTTTCCGTGCTGATCTCAACCGCCGCTCGGAATTATATGTATATATATATACATGAAAGAAGAAATCGATCCAGATTGAGTGATTGATATATATCTATATATAATTTGTAATTAATTAATTAAATAATTAATGGCTTCGAGCGACGGAACGCCGGGGGCGATGCCGGCGGGAGACGGATCGGTGCCGCCGGGGAAGGAGATGTCGGTGGGATCGCAGATGGTGGAGAAGAGTGCGCAGATGATGCAGTCGCTGAAGCCGATGAAGAAGATAAGCCAGCACGTGTGCAGCTTCGCCATCTACAGCCACGACATAACTCGCCAGATCCAAACTCACCACTACCTCGCCCGACTCAACCAGGACGTCCTCCAGTGCCCCGTCTACGACTCCGGCGACCCCGCCGCCCGCCTCATCGGTAGGTACTTTCATTATTATTATTTTATTAATTAATTACTAATTTCATTCATCATCTTCCTTCGTTAATTCAATTCCATTGGTAGGCGTGGAGTATATAATCTCAGATCGAGTGTTCGAAACGCTTCCGACGGAGGAGCAGAAGCTTTGGCACTCCCATGGATACGAGGTAGGGGATCAGTTGTTTGTTTGTTTCTGCAGATACGATCTGACGATGATGATGATCGTGCGGTGCAGATTAAATCAGGGATGTGGATGAACCCTAGGGTACCGGAGATGATCGAGAAGGGGGAGGTCCAGGAGCTAGCCCGGTCGTACGGTAAGTTCTGGTGCACGTGGCAGGTGGACAGAGGCGACCGGCTGCCGATGGGGGCGCCGGCGCTGATGGTGTCGCCGCAGGACGTCGACGCCGGGAAAGTGAAGCCGGAGCTGATCAAGCAGCGGGATCAGAAATACAACGTCTCGTCGGAAGACCTGAGGAAGGCTCGGGAAGGATTCGGCGTGTCGGAAGCCCGAAAGTCGTACGCAGACTATTGGGTCAAGACAGGGAAAGGATTCGCCATTGACGTCAAGACCACCGAGATCAAGACCACCGCCCCCTTTCCCTGACATCATCACCCGTCAATATGACGTCACACATTAATAAATAATCAATTTCTGTGTTCAGTTCAACCCACGTTATACTATTCCATGTTAACACATTCACTGATCGATAATTAGCTATAAAAATTGACACAATAAAATGAGAACGACATAATTAAATCGTAAAAATTCCATCTTTCTATTAAGCATTGTATAAAGAAATAAATATTAAGACAGAGTGAATATTAGCATTGCCTAATTAATGTGTTGGGAGTGATCATTTTTGGTGTAATAATTCTAATTAATTGGTTGGTGGAAGTATTATGGCTTTGTTGAATACATCAATCAACATTTTGTTTTATGCAATCAATGAACACCTTGCTTTATACACTGTTTCTCTAATTAAACTAACTCATCGTCATCATAGTTTATGAGAAAAAAAAAAAAAAAATGGTTTAATTTAATGTGCCATTTCTCATACGAATTTTGTGGGTAATAATTTTGTTTTATTATTATTTTTTGAAGTTCAATTGAAAATTATGTATAAAAAAATTCATATGTTAACTTTTCAGCTCCACTATATGGTTTTCTTTATCCCCATTACACTGCCTGGATATCAAAACCATTTAATTTTTTTTTTTTATTAAGAATATATAATTTAGATCAAGGTGGAGTACCTCAATTGAAATACCTTAATTATCCAATTTGACGATTTCTATTTCTTTTCATATCATCGAAAATGATCAATCAACACATATATACTTACATGAAAATAACTCTAAGCACCAAACACTACTAATAACCCATTTCCTAACACCAATTTGAATAATGAACATAAGTGTAAGTTAACAAAAGTATGCATGTCGTCACACGTATACATACACATGCACACGCACATTCGTCACAAAATCTAGACGTATATTTCATAATAATAATAATAGTAAAGCAAGATCCCCAATAAAACTCACCCCATTAAATGGAGGATGGGAGAAAATACACACACACACACACATATATATATATATGTATGTATAAATTGTGTGTATTAAATTAAAAAGGAGCATTTGTTCTATGTGCCCATTTGATGCGAAAGAAGAGGTTTCTTTTAACATGTAAATATATATATATATATATAGATGTGTACATGTGTGTGTATTCCAATTAAACTGATCACTGGATCAGTTTGATTCATGGGCATTAGATAATGAGAGGTAGAAGGAAACCTCGTAGCCATGAATATGAAATATCACTTTCACCCTCTTGGGGGGGAGGGGGGTGGTGTTTCCTTTTCACCCCCACCCCAGCCCACCCATCCACCGCCTTCTCCAATCAATAATGGGCATGATGATAGATGATCATAACTAGCTCAGCTGATCACCTCTGATCCTCAAAACTGAATTATTTAACACACACATAAAGTTACTGTACTGTGTATTCATATATATACATATACATATCTAAAGGGTATCTATGTATCTATGTATTTGTATTTGTATTCTTTCATTTGGCCCTTCTTCACCACTACCACTTAGACCATTGATAAAATGAAAGATGCTCCTTAATATGCTAGCATATATAGCATTTCTGTATCTATAACCTAAATACCTACATACATACATAGCAGTAAAGTTATACATATATATATATATGTATGTATCCTACTTCTACTGCTATGACCACTCTCCATACTTTCATATACAACAGGGTTAATTAACGTGTGTGATAATTTCGAAGCAAAAGTAATTGTTTGCTTTATATATCCACATCTTCTTCATCTCCATTCCTGCTCCATCATCTTTCTCTCTCTCTCTCCTCCTCTTTCAGATTTGTGAGGTGAGTGGGAAAACGAAAAGGAGAAGGGATAAACTTTGTGCTGTTGCTACCATACCATACCATACCAGGTAATTAATACTGTCCTGTGATTTTTTTTAATTTTTTCTCATCTTGCATAGAGTTTCACCTTCGTCGAAATGGTTTTAGTTTCTTCTGTTTGATTGATTGCTAAAAAGGATGAAACCTTTATGTATAATACCCTAATCGCATACATGAAATGCTATTTTTGCAGTAACAAGTGTTTTATTGTTTTTGTGTTTTGCCTTCATGAGGTGATTTGGGGGAAAGCACTTGAAACAAACAAAAAATAAAAATAAAAATGAAAACCTTAATCTGATGATTGCTATGGCTGTTTCACTTTTCTGAGCCAGCTGCAGAAATGGAATTTCAAAGCAATCAATCGCGAGACATGTCTCCCCAGAGGAAGAACAGTAGAGGAAAAATTGAGATCAAGCGGATCGAGAACACGACTAACCGTCAGGTCACCTTCTGCAAACGCCGCAACGGACTGCTCAAGAAAGCTTACGAATTATCTGTGCTGTGCGATGCTGAGGTTGCTCTGATTGTCTTCTCCAGCAGAGGCCGACTCTACGAGTATGCAAGCAACAGGTATTAATTGCTGATTTCATGTATATATATATATATATATATATATTAAAAGGAAGGGGATGGTTGTGCAAGCAAATCCATGGGGGATCTTGATTTCTTAGCTTGAAGCTGCCTGTTTGATGTCTTTTAGAAACTTGGTGGATGATTGGGGAAGATATAATTAGTTTGAGGGAAGGAAAATCATTAAGGAAGATTTTAGGTTTTTTTCTTGACAAGAGGTAAGCTGTCTTTCTAAATTTTCCTGTTTGGGGTTTTCCTTCATTGGGATTTCATTTCTCCTTTTTTGGTCATAGATATGCTCAGATCTCTTGCAAAGGATATGGTGGGATATGTAATAAGCAGTAAGATTTCTGTTAACAAGATGTCGAAATTTACCGAAGTTTGTTTTTGCAGAATTTGTGAGATCAGCTTCTTATCTTCTTCCATTTCCTGTCAAGCTTTCCTTCTTCTTCTTCTTCTTCTTCTTCTTCTTCTTCTTCTTCATTCATCACCATCTTCTCTCTCTTTTTTGTTCTCTCTCTCTCTCTCTCTAAACAGACATGTCTGATGCTATGCAAAGTCTTAGCATGCAAGCTGTCGAGATCTCATTTGTCAATCCCTTTGTCTCTTCAAAACTTCCTTAATAGCCTTATTAGGGTTTTTTTTGTCTCTTTATTGTTTTGATGCTTAATTAGGGCTAACCAAATTTTTATTACACTATCCAAACTATTCAGATTTGCTGAACTAAACCTAACCCTAATTAGGGTTCACTATTTTCAATTTGTGTCAAGATTCTTGCCCACCAAAATAAAAGTAACTATCGTTCTTCCCAAATCGGTCCTAGCTTGGTTCAAAAACTTATCAAGCTCCAACTACATCATTAGATCTAAAATCACTAACTCGGATCATATGTTTCCATCTTCACCCAGATCAAACTCACTCCAGATTCATCTTTTTCTTAGAATCCTAACCTCGTTAATTTCTGGATCCTGTTCTTCCCTTCTGGATCTGATGGATTTCTTGTAACTTAGTTATCGAATGGATTAGATATCGATTTGTATAAGTTGCAAGAATCTTTGGTCACGTCACACACGATTTTCTGGTTCTTGATTTCTGACAAAAGGAGTAATCCCGTGTCATCAATCATGGTACATTTATTTTAATTTCTTTTAACGCAACCGAGATCTTGAATTCTTTCTCTGTTATCTGAGTTTGGAGCCTTTCACAAAGCTTCTGAAGCTGTAGAAACTAAAAGAGGAAAGAAACAGAAGGGTGTCATCCAATGGGTGACTCCTGAATTTTGACATAGATATATATATATATATATTTCTTTTTCCCAAGCATAAAAATGGCTGCTTTCTGATGAGTTGAAGCCACAGGCCATCTAAGAACTAGGGTTCAAGATAAGTGTAGTTTATGAGTATTATCCATGGTGGAATGAGAGGATTTATGGGGTTTGTCCAGGAGGTATGAGTTAATCCTATTGGTTGCTTCCTTGCAAGCTGAGCATGGAGCAGGAATTAATGATTCGACGAAATTAAGGTATGGCTAGAGAGAATGTTAAAAATGGGGAGGGGGAGGGATTGTCAATTGTGGTGCCTGATCAGATCACCTGTGTTGGGTTACTAAATAAAATCATGTCATATAAGACACTTGAGCTGACAGAATATATCTGACCTTAAGTAACACTCAACCTTTTCTGTCACTTGTTGTTCATGGCTTTGCCTGCTGGTTTTTACAATTTGGAATAGAAATTTATGTAAGGAAGTGTATAGGGAAACCAATTGGAATGCATTTTCTCACTTTGTTCTTCCCATATTTGAAGGGCTCCTTTACATTCTTCTCCATTATATTTATTGATCATATACGTCACGGCAGTGGACAAATATTTTTGACCATTTCCACAATATGGCTACAAAATTATATATACATACATGTTAAGATAGATGATGTTCAATTGAAGCTTCTTGTAGACGTTTATCATGAGTTTACCTATCTGCTGAATTGATTTGGGATTTAATCTTAAGAGTGCATTGATATTAATTTATGATGTATGTCTGAAGATTACACTGAATGCCAATTTTTACAGTGTGAAAGCAACCATTGAGAGGTACAAGAAAGCAAGCTCCACTACAACCAGTGGATCTACATCATCCGAAGCCAATACTCAAGTAAAGATGAATGATGAAAGTGGATTATTTTGAATTCCTAATGCTAATATATATTAATCTTCTTGTTTGAACAATACATGTCAGTACTACCAGCAAGAAGCATCGAAACTTCGTGCTCACATCAGCAATCTGCAGAATGAGAATAGGTGAGTTTAATTAATCTAGTTAAAAATGAGATCCATTGTGATCAGATAGATCATTGGTACATACATTCATTGAACTCAAAATGTGCCCTTATCTTGATTCAGGAACTTGCTTGGTGAATCTTTAGGAGCTTTGACATTGAGAGATCTTAAGAACCTAGAGGGCCGAATCGAAAGAGGAATCAGCCGAATCCGCTCCAAGAAGGTGCATGTTTAAACATATTAACTATTTCATGTTGGATAGATTATCAGGATCTACAATTTTATTTTATCTTGTATTCTCTTTTTCTTTCAGAATGAGCTGCTGTTTGCTGAGATTGAGTACATGCAAAAGAGGGTAAATAACAATGAACTCTGATGCTTAATCAGTGTTGGAACTATAAAATTGTCATCAGGTATCTCAATATGTGCCTTTTGTTTATGTGAAATAATATTGACAGCAGGAGATTGATTTACACCACAACAATCAATATCTTCGAGCAAAGGTGAAGTGTTCATTCTTTTTCTTCAGAACATTTGCCTCCTATGTTGTAAGAGAATAATACATAGCAAATTACAGATAACTCAAATGTGCAGATAGCTGAAACAGAGAGAGCACAAAACCAACAGATGAATCTGATGCCCGTGAGTTCCGACTTTGAGCTTATTCAACCTCAGCAATTCGATGCGCGAAACTATCTTCAAGTCAATGATCTGCAAACAAACGGGGAGTACCCAAGGCAAGATCAACCACCACCTCTTCAGTTAGTGTAAGCATTTTTAGTTTTTACAGTCCCATAAACCATTCATCATATCGATATAATACTACTAGCTAGCGCGACAATAATTTTGGTTATTTTGAACAGCTGATGGGTGGAGAAAACTGCAGGTGGATCATCAAGGATGATGATGATGCTTCATGCTATATATTACCTGATCTGAGCAAGTCTGTCCTATATATAAATTTATATATGTTTGATGGATGCTATGAAACAGAAATTAGAATATTCCTAACACTCCTATGCTCATATATTTAATATTGTATTGTTGGCCATGGTTCCATGGATAGTTCTCTAATTGAAGGCACAGAACAGTATAGCCTCACATTTGGGTGGTTTACCTATGAGTTTCTGAATAATGCTAAGATTATCCTAACATCAACTATATATATGATGGTGTTCTATTTTATTGATTACTAACTTCCACATTTTGAATACATTAAGATAGCACAGATCAATTCACCATTTGTAAAAATCTCAAATTCAAAACGACCATAACAAGCAGAGGAAAAAGCTCGATTAATCCACACTAGCATAAAAATTTATTACCTTAATCTGGCGGCAAATAGAAGTTTCCTGCCATCAACTTATGAACATCATAAAATGGCAATTGAATTGGCAGAAAACAGAGGAGCCATCTTTTTATAGTCATTCTTTGCGAAAATCAAAGTGGCTGCCTCAGTTGGATGGAATGAATCCCAGAACATGTGTTCATCTCTGTTGCTACAAGGAATCGTATCAGGAATGCACATCCCATCCGGCGTCACCGCGCAGCATGGAACCCTCATAATACTAATGTTTCCTGAAATCACCATCAGCATTGCAATTATATCAGTGTCATATGCTATACATGGCATTCAAGAACAATCAATGTGTATGTATCCTGGTTAATTACCCAAGAATGATGTTTCCGGCCTGTCAGGTTTGCCAGAAGTGTAGACAAACTTTGCATCCGGGAAACGATGGTTAAGATTATTAATTAGTAACTGAAGCCTTTCATTGAACAATCCAGCAATATCATTACTGGTTTCCAGGCATGAATCAGAGTCATTCAAGAAGCTGCCATGAACTGCTATTTCGTGTGGAACACAGCCCAATCTACCAACCCCAGATACAGCTAATTTTCTTGCCCCCAAACCATACAGCTTCTGATAAATTAATCAAACATAACAAACAGCAACTCAAATCAGAACATCAAAGTATTGCACAGATTTCACACAAATGTAGCCTGGAGGAGGACACTCGAGAAATCTTACCATAAGCTGTTTTGAATACTCATCAATGGCAAGTGCAGCAAACTGCTGTGGGCTTTGTGGTGTGGCAGAGTTGTAGAATTTAGGAAAGTAATTGCTGAGGTAATCATTATTCCCCATTTCAACATAATATAAGCACTTTCTTAAATGCTTTTCAGCAGCTATTTCACCACCGAGCAATTCAGCAATTTGTGTTACCACCACTTGATGATTCAACAATTGCTCATTCATGCTGATCACAGCTCCCTTAATCAGCACAAACTAAAGGATTAGGTATGTATACTTTCGCTTAAATCCCTAATTAACCAAAGTATGTAATGTGTAAAATAGATAAGTTAGGGTTTATCTCTACGAGATGATCTCCTGTTTCGTCGAGGATTCCGGCGCCTCCGGAGCCATAATTTAAGCCTCTTAGAAAATCCTCCGCAGCAGCCTCGGCAAACGGCGGAATGTACCGATCGAACCCCAACATTTCAGCTGCAGATAAAGATCGGGAAAGAAAAATAAAAAAATTAGACAATATACAAAATGTTAATCGATTATGTGTAATGCTACTGAGAATGCAGAGTTCAACAGTACCGAACAAGTCTGCGGTGTTCCGGCCATTGTTGTACCTTCCAGTAGGACCTTCGGGGAAATCGATTCCGTAGGGTAAGTAATCGGCCTTAGAGGCGGTGTTGCGGTAGATATTGTTGCCATTATCGACCAATGAGTCCCCGAAAATGAAGAAACATGGAACCTGCGGCTGCGCCTGGACGAGAGTCCTGGTGGTCGCATGTGAAGCCAGAAAATGCAGCAGCAGCAGCAGCAAAAGTAAACACTGATGAAGCTTAGCGCAACACCCCTCCATAGTTCTCAGTGGATCAATTCATGCAATGTTCCTGTGGCGTAATCCGATCGAAAAACGACGGATGGAATGGAAGACACTGAGGAGGAGCCCCTTCATAAATCATAATTGTACTACTACTACTATTACTATTATTACTCAGCTCGTGATTTTTGAATTACGACAGACCAACAATTAATGGTGTCTTTTTCTATCATTGGACGCACTTGTCTCTCTCTTGCGCTATTTGATGGAGTAATAAAAACAAGGGCGTGGGCGTGGATCACATCTGATCCATTGCTTCCATTCAAGCATGTGGTAATTTGATGGATCAAAATATCATATAATTATTTATTTTTGCATAATATAGCATATGCTGATAACATAAATACTTATCATTAATATACGCCCTCATCGTCTTATTCTTTTATTTTTGTTGTCTCAAAATGATTGTTATATTTTTTTATTTAGTAATATTATTCGCACTTTACAACAAAATTATTCATATATTTTTTTCCAAGTAACTCTGATTATTACTCTAACTTATTTTTTAAAACTAAGTAAGAATAATTTTTTTGTACAAATATCTTTCTATAGTATTATAAGAAACTAATAAAAATATTTTTGTAAATTTTTTTTAATTTGTACCGCGTTTTATATAATAATTAATATTTAAATATGATACCGTTAGAATATATTATTTCTTAATTTACTGTAAAACCCCCAAAACTATTTTGGTTTGAAATCCCTCGAAGAGTATATAATAATATGTTCATCCATTCAATAAGCATCATATTAATTTAATTGTGTTAGCACTGCATTAGCAGCCAAATAGGTTGTTTGTTTAATTGTATTATACTAGAATAAATAAATAGTGTAAATGAAAAAAAAAAAACGTTTATTTGTGAGATTTTTGTTTTTATTTTTTATTTTTAAATAGTAAAATTTTAAATTAAAATAATTACTATAAATATATGTTTATACGCTATTTTAAATTTTAAATTAAATATAAATGTAATATAATTGAATTGAATTTTTATATATTTTAAATAGGTTTGTTTGGTTTTGAATTAAAAGTTTTATTTAAATTTGAATTTAAATAAGTTACATGATTTGTTTTTGGGTATAAATATATGTTATTAGTTTTAAAATCCACTGACTAAGTATACACCATTTAGTGGCTATGCACTTAGATCTGTTTAGAATTTTACTACCACGTAGCTCTATAGAACCCTTCTGAGTAAATTACAATTATTCATAACAGATCCACCGACACTTAAATCATGAAATTCCATTAAAATAATACAGTCATTTCAAGTTGCAGAAATTTATAGATGATATTACAGCAAACAATAAATTTCGATTGGTTGGTGTGGATTTGGCCACAATTCTACAGCTGAGCCAATCGGCTAATATCATAAGGATAAGCATCAGATGGCTTTTGGGCCCTGTAAGATCTTCTCCCGACCACCACATTCGCAGCTTCTGTCGGATGGAAAGCATCCCAAAACAGGTGCTCATTCCTGTCCTCACATGGCGTTTGCAATGGCAGACATGTTATCTGCCCGTTGTTCCTCCCCACACCGCAGCATCCAACGTTGGTCACTCTGAAACCTGGAATCAATTACAACCATCATTCCATTCAGACATATCTGTCGATCGATCGATCCAAGACTATATAATATGTAATTAATGATATGATCAAGAAGTGATCGATCGTTACCAAAGGCCGAGGGGTTGTCGATCAAGTCCTGGAACATTCCGTAGGCGTCGATATAGATGAAATGCGCATCTGGCGAATTCGAATTGAACGTGTCGACTAAGCCTCTTAGCTTGTTGTTGAACAGCTGATTCGCCGAGTTGATTCTATCCACGCATGTTTTCCCGTCGGGGCTGTTCTGCGCCAGCGCATTCGGGCTGCATCCGATCTGCCCGACTCCGATCAATACAAACTTCCTCGCTCCGTAGTTGTACAAATTCTACATTAAAAAAAAAAAAAAAACACGGGCTGTCTAATTCGATGTAATGTAAGAACGTTCTTATTAATGGCGTCGAGCAATGTCGTGTAGTACCCTTAGTTGTTCGGTGTATTCCTGAATTAGGACATCGGCGTATTGCTCGGGGGAGAATTGCCGGCTAGTCGGGTAAGTTAAAGGCATGAAATAGTTGTTAAGGTAGTCGTTGCTGCCGACGCCGATCGAGTATATGCACTTGCTCAAATGATCCGCAGCCGATGCTTCGTCGCCTAGTATTTGCACGACTTGCGCAACCGTGTTCTTGTAGTTATTCACTTGTCCGGCGAAGTCTATTCTCGCACCCTAACAAACAAGACAAGTTTCGTCGATAGAGATCCGAATTTGTGCTAATCAACAATGTTGAAGAATTCAAGATTCCTAATTTCCTTACCAGTTGTTGTCCTGTTTCTTGTCTGATTCCAGCAGCAGCAGATGCATAGTTCACTCCCCTGAGTATGTCCTGTCCCCGGGCGGAGGCGTACGCCGGTATGTAATCGTCGAATCCGAGAAGCTCAGCTGCAATAAAATACAATCCAAGGGTTGTTACAAGATCAGAAACATGTCCTTTCCCTACATTGTTCTTGATGGAATCTTACAAATGACATCAACTGTAGTCTTGCCGTTGGAGAACCTGCCAGTCGGCCCGCCAGGGAAATCAATGCCGTAAGGCAAGTAATTAGCCCTGGCCAACGACTGAATGTCGTTGTTGTTGCCATTGTCTACCAATGAATCGCCAAATACAAAGTAGCACGGAACTTGCGGCTGCGCCACTCCCCGGCTCGCCAATCCGGCCACTGCCACAACTATAAATGCCACAAGCCATCTCTTTATCCCAATTCTCATTCTATCCATATCCATATACATATATATATATATATATATGTTTGATTACTAGTTAAAAAGAATAAAGGCAAAGAAAAGCGTAGGATCGTTAAGAAGAAAGTTAGCGCCGGATGAAATTTAAAGCTCGAATAGGTATGATGAGTATTTATACACAAAGTCCAGCAAAAACCATTGCATATCTGCATAATGGAGTTGACTCGGCCTTGTAGCTATTCTACAAAGTCAGTAAGATGCATTGATTACACGCGGACTAATGTGTTTTCGACAAATGCCATGCCGTGGAGCAACCTGTGCTTCGTCTCTAGAGCAATTTATTCCAAGTTTAGAAGTAATCCATTGGCTACATTGTCCTAAGCAAGCAAGGGTGTTCGATAAGTATGATCTCTGATGTTTCCAGTTCCTAGACTAGAGGGGGATTGTTTGATTTACTTACAGATCATAAGCACAAAAAAAGTCAGTACTTCATTTGATGCAAAGGTCCCATGAAATTAAATGCAAGGTACCAAACTACTACATTTAATGTATACCAAATCCTGTGTAAGTGCAGCGCCGGTGATTTGAATAAGCGTTGATAAAGTCCTGATGACAACTAATGAGTTTTACCTGCCGACACTGGTCTTTATTACATGAACAGACCTAATAAGATATGACGTTGCAAAAGAACTGAAATCAGAAGAGAACAAGGAAAAGGGCATGAAATAAACTGCAAGATGTGCTGAATATGATGACATTGATGCCATGGAAGATGGAATAGGACACAATCAAGAATGTGTTAAGTCCTAATGCTTGCTATAAACAGTTTAAGTTCAACAATCATTAACAAGAAATCTTGTCAGCATGAAAGTATATGTATATATATATATATATATATGAAGAGATGGGCATCCGGGAAGATAGATAAGATATTCAATTTGATTGATTAACAGGCATTTATTGCACATGTGCTAATAGCCATGGTCTAAGTAGTAGTTGAGAAAATGACTGTCCTTTTTACTACATGGGTAATGAGAGGAAACCTCCATTACTACACTACACGCGGATTTCAAGCTCAAGTTCATCGACACTACAAATATCTTTCAATCTGGACAGCAATTTGATCGATACAAATAACAAAGTATATCTAAACATCATACTTTTGGTTGGACGAAGAGATTAGAGGCTCTGCAGCTCAAACAACCTCTCCACGCCCATAAAAAAATCGTTTACCTAAACGCCATTGCAGTGCACTGGTACTGCAATGAAATTCTTCAGATTGGTTTCGAACAACGCAAGGCAATCCAATAAACGGGCCGTAGAAGCCAATTTCAATTTCGCCCCCCAAAGGGTATGGTGTTCGGAAGGAGTTGGATCAGTTGGCCCAATCGAAAATTGTCTACACTCCAGTTGAAAAGTCCTCATCGGTTTTAAGAAAAGCCCGTAAACAGACAACCTTAGCCTTATCGATGTTGTGTTGCCAAAGTAAGCAACAAATGACCCAATAAAAGGATTTATTTCCTCTCCGATCCCAAAACCATTCAACAAAAAACCAACATGAACTTGAATCGCGGGCCCATTGAGATAAAAGAATAAAAAAATCAAGAATCAATTAGTACAGCCCATACCGATTAGATACACAAAAGTCTTGGAGATGCGCAAAAAATGCAGATCTTATCGAACGTTGTTCACGAGTTAAGGAAGTTCCAGGCTGTCGCAGGAATGGAAAAGGCAAGACGAACCCGCTAATTGATTTTGTTTCTTTATTTCTTTCTTACAAGAGAGATAAAGCAGAGCAGAGCAGTATCCAATTCAATGCTTTGGTTGGCAGAGCAGCAGCCCAGCAGTGAGAGAAAGTCTGCATGGCGGAGTAGTGAGAGAAAGAAAGAAAGAAAGCTGTGTGCAATCGATCATTCATTATCCCGAAGATTCAGTAATCGGAAATGAGTTGTAACCTTCTTTTTAGACATCACTCTCGTGCCTATATATGGTTAGATAAATCTGCAACTGTACCCCCCAGCCCCATGTAATCAAAGATTTTTTCGTCTTTATCTTTCTCGGCCACGCCCACGCCCTCCCCTTCGCCCTCTAATAATATCCTCATATTCTTTTCTGTAAAACCTCCTCTCCTCTCGTCTCAATGTGGACTGTCATTCAGAAGCCCTGTTTTTTGTATAAGAAAAGCCTTACTTGGCCAATCTGAGAAGAACAAATGGATTCTTCTCCAGGAAACGGCGTCGTACGCAACAATTCGGTGAAAAACCCCTTTCCTTTCCTCTATTTCCCTTTTTCTTTTCTAATGTCTGTTCCTTTTAGTTACTTGAATTTCTTAGAGTTGCTTGGTTGAACCCATTGAAATTTTTTTTCCTGGACTCCTTAATTTTCATGACTGCTTCAGTAATAAGATGAGACAAGAAATGTGCATGAGTGTTTTTGTATTATTTTTTTGTTATTTTTTTATTAAAAGATCTGTCTGATGTTCACCAAATATTATTAAAAATCAGTAGGACTAAATCTTGCAGTACGATCTTACATTGAATTCCCTCTTACAAACATCACCTGCTCTTTTGGTAGTTGATTGAAATGGGAGTGATTAGTTTTTCCTTTTGATCCCAACTTGTTTTGGTTCATGGTGAAGATATATTTGATCACATATATGGTCCATGACTAGTAGCGTGACTTCATTCTGATTCTATCGTTAGTCTTTTGTCTGTCCTAATCATATGTTTGTGTAGTTTCTTACAATCAATCAACATGGAGTTCGAAGTCCTCGACTAATGTGAATATATTGATTTACAAGTTTGAATAGCATTGATTCCATTAATATGATTTGTTAGTCTGCTCAATGCAGGAAGAACTACTGCATATGCTTGACAACCAATGCAATCCTCCTTCCGGCATACCCACAAGTCGACTTGAAAGACTGTTACGCAACAGAGTGTTGAGGAGGTCCAACAGGGCATCTCCATCTAATGAAGAATCAATTGACGGCCAAGGGGTTGTAGACGTGGCAGGAAACATGAATGACCTATGTTTATCTGAGTGTGAGAATGGACATCGAGAGGAAGAGTTACTCAGAGGGAATGCTTCATCAAATCATCTGAATGTGGCCTCAGAGAAGCAGGGTGCCCGGCCCCCCAAACAAAGGTTACTGGTGGTGGCGAACCGCCTCCCTGTCTCTGCCATTCGAAAGAGTGAAGACTCATGGACCCTCGAGATAAGTGTAGGAGGCCTTGTTAGTGCTCTTCTGGGTAAGAATTACATATGTCTGTGTGTGTCTGTTTCCAAGGAATCTTAGAATTGCCCGATGACTTGTTCTTGATTCTTAAAAGGTATCAATGAGTTTGAAGCTCGATGGATAGGATGGGCTGGAGTAAATGTTCCTGATGAAATTGGGCAGAGGTCACTAACTAAAGCTTTGGCTGAAAAGGCACGTTTCTTGTTTTGATCATCAATTGTGTGTTCATATCTTTGTCGGTTTGGTATGCTATAGTTCATGCTGAACTAGTGTTTGTATTATTGTTCTTCAACTGCAGCGGTGTATTCCTGTGTTTCTTGATGAAGAAATTGTCCATCAATACTACAATGGCTACTGTAACAACATATTGTGGCCACTTTTTCACTACCTTGGGCTTCCGCAAGAAGACAGGCTTGCAACCACGCGAAGTTTCCAGTCTCAGTTTGCTGCTTATAAGAAAGCAAACCAGATGTTTGCCGATGTTGTAAATGAGCATTACAAGGAAGGGGATGTTGTGTGGTGCCATGATTATCATTTGATGTTTCTTCCCCAATGCCTTAAACAGTATAACAGCAAAATGAAAGTCGGATGGTTTCTACATACACCTTTCCCCTCCTCGGAGATTCACCGGACACTGCCATCAAGATCAGAGTTGTTAAGATCTGTTCTTGCAGCTGATTTGGTTGGGTGGGACTTTCTTTTAATTAAATAAGATCACTATTCAGTTTGTCATTAGGACAGAACATCGAATATCATTTTGCTTGAAATCTTTGATATTATACTTGTCTGATCTTATTATGATCTTACACATTGGTCTGATGTTTTTTCCTCAGATTCCATACGTATGATTATGCAAGACATTTTGTAAGTGCCTGCACTCGTATTCTGGGTCTTGAAGGCACACCAGATGGTGTGGAAGATCAAGGAAAGTTAACACGTGTTGCTGCGGTATGGACATCTAATACGTGAATTTCTCCATTGCATCTTAGGGTTGGGATCCACCATCATTTGAAGATGCTTTTAACCTAATTCACTGGGACTTTATCTACAGTTTCCAATTGGTATAGATTCTGAGCGCTTCATACGAGCACTTGAGCATCCGGGAGTGAAGGCTCACATTAGAGAATTAGAAGAGCGATTTGATGGGAGGAAGGTAAATATTCTTTGTTATTTTTTTTTCCTCATCTCGGCTTAACTGAGTGATAGTTCAAGTATATTTGTTGTTTCATCTACCAAGATAATCTTTATCTGATTGGTATGATTCTCAGAAGCAGCATTTTGCAATAATTGGTGAAATAGTAGTTTTTTGTTGGAGATCAAAAAATGAAGATTAGTATATATCTCTGAAGTCTCTTTAAGTTCCAAGATTTTCGTTGAGATTTGGATGATGTAGAGGTTACTAGTTCTTGTGGTGTTTTTATCATGATCATTTCCTACTTTAAATTTTTGGCATTTATAATGTTGTAACGCGTTTGGATAGGTAATGCTAGGGGTGGATCGTCTGGACATGATTAAGGGAATACCCCAAAAGATCTTAGCATTTGAAAAATTCCTCGAAGAAAATCCAATTTGGCGTGACAAGGTTGTTCTAGTACAAATAGCCGTACCAACACGAACAGATGTTCCTGAGTGTATGTATCTTCATGCTCATGCTTTAATCTTTCACTAACACCGGCATGATATTCCTCTTCTTGTTACTATTTTTATTGAAGGTGTTATTTCATTCTTCTACTCGTACTTTTTGCATCAAGATCATAGTTTTCCAAGCTATAAAAGCTTTAGCCTCAGTCATTAACTCTTGCAAATGATTTTATATTCTATTTCCCTATAATCTCTAACCTGCAGAAATTGGTTCTGCATATTGCTATGGCAGATCAGAAGCTCTCATCCCAGGTTCATGAAATAGTTGGAAGAATAAATGGAAGATTCGGATCGCTTACGACTGTTCCTATACATCATTTAGTGAGATCCCATGCCTTAAATCACGTCTATGCGATTATTTATTTACTCCCCATGGATGTCTGTGTTGTGTATTTCTGAAGAGGCACTAAGTTTACATTGAATTGTTTCCTTTACATACAGGACAGATCACTTGATTTCCAGGCACTATGTGCACTATATGCTGTCACTGGTACGCATTTTTCGACGTTTATATCTCATTATTTCAACACATGTTCATCATTTTCAAATGTACTGATTACATCGCCTTGTTTCCCCATTTTACGACCTTTCAGATGTTGCTCTGGTTACATCTTTAAGGGACGGAATGAATCTTGTGAGCTACGAGTTTGTCGCCTGCCAAGCTTCAAAGAAAGGTGTACTCATTCTAAGCGAGGTAATCATGTTAATGGCGTGTTTTCTAATTGTTTGATTTCATAACGGCTTGTTCTTTCGTATGTTTGAGTTATTTCCACGACGCGAAAAGATGAGATAGCGGGAAATAAATGAAATTTTTACTGTGTTCGTAATTTTTTCAGTTTGCCGGGGCAGCGCAGTCACTTGGCGCTGGAGCAATTTTGGTGAACCCTTGGAATATTACAGAAGTTGCAGCATCGATCGGTTACGCCTTGACAATGCCAGCTGACGAAAGGGAGAAGCGTCATCGACACAATTTCACCCATGTCACTACTCACACGTCTCAAGAATGGGCCGAGACTTTTGTGAGGTGCGTAAATCACCCGTGTACGTGTTTTTTTCCTGCTTTAGTACGTCTGTGCTTAGATTTATGTTTCGACGTTCTCTTTATGAAGTGAGCTCAATGATACCGTTGTCGAAGCACAATTGAGGACTCGACAAATTCCTCCGCCTCTCCCTAAAGAAGAGGCCGTCCAGCATTATTTGAATTCGAACAACCGATTACTTATTCTGGTATGACTTTTCCTCGTCTCGTGCTACAAAGACCATATTTGCTAGAAGTGTTCGGTCGCAATATTTTTTATTTTCACGTGTTGATATTCCTAGAGTTTCGTCTCAGGGTTTCAATGCAACGCTGACAGAACCCGTAGAAACTCGAGGAAGAAGGATCGATCAGTTCAAGGAAATGGAGCCTAAGTTGCACCCGGATTTGAAAGAGCCCTTGAAAAAGCTTTGTAATGATCCGAAGACGACGACAATTATCCTCAGCGGAAGCGACAGGACTGTTCTTGACGAGGTTGTCTCTGTTTCCATGTACTATCTCCGATCTTTTCCATTTCTGCTTCGTCTTTCTGACTGAAGTATACATATAGAACTTCGGAGAGTTTAATTTGTGGTTAGCTGCCGAGCATGGGATGTTTCTGCGCCGTACTACAGGAGATTGGATGACAACAATGCCCGAATACTTGAACATGGATTGGGTCGACAGCGTGAAGGTGTGTGTAGTTGAGATAGCGTTTATGCTGCATTTCTGTTTGTCGATTAAATCCGTTATCTGTTACAACTTTCAGCACGTATTCGAATACTTTACTGAGAGAACGCCGCGCTCTCATTTTGAGGTCCGCGAGACATCGCTCGTTTGGAACTACAAACATGCCGGTAATAATTTTTCTTGTTCATATTTCCTACGATTGATCGATCAGATCGGATTCTCCTTTTACGCGTAGTATCTGTGAACTTAATTCTTCTCAGATGTCGATTTCGGTAAGCTTCAGTCGAAGGATCTTCTGCAGCACCTCTGGACCGGCCCGATCTCTAATGCTTCCGTCGACGTTGTTCAAGGAGGACGATCTGTCGAGGTTCGAGCAGTCGGAGTAACCAAGGTGAGTTTACATTAATCATAAAATCGTATATTAAACTTCGAAAACAGTCTATGGATGGATCGAACGTATTCTTTTTCAGGGTGCTGCGATTGATCGAATCCTCGGCGAGATCGTTCATCACAGCGACGTGAAAACTCCGATCGACTACGTATTGTGTATTGGACATTTTCTTCCGAAGGTATGTATGAATAATATATCGAAATAAATTCGCAGCATATTCGATGAGCTGTTGTCGTGATCGTTATTACAGGACGAAGACATATATACATTCTTCGAGCCAGATCTTCCTTCTGCGCCAGCGCCGAGCGCTGCAAGAGCGAAGATAGCGAACTCGTTCAACCGATTTGCGTCGACATCGACGGGGATGCCTGCGTTTTGTCGCAAGAGTCCTCTGCTCTTCCCGTCGCCGGAGAAGCGGGCGAGCAATGCGTTAGGCAACGGCGACTGGTGGTGCCGAATGCGCGAAAACATGAGCATGCATGAAGGGTCGTCGGTTCTTGATCTTAAGGGCGACAATTACTTCTCGTGCGCCGTGGGTCGAAAGCGCTCAAATGCTCGGTATTTGTTGGAATCGTCGGCCGAGGTTGTGGCGCTGCTGAGAGAGCTCGCCGATCGCCGGCCGCTGTGATTCATCCGTCACCGCCGCCGCCGCCCCCGTCGATTGTGTTCTTCTTTTCTTACAATAATGGTTAGAAGAAGACCCAGGAAGATTGGAGTTGGGAGAATAATGAAGTTGACTTTAATTGCTACTACGTACTAGTGTTGACTGACTGTAGTTTTCACTTGAGACAAGGCAGCTGCGGGTTGTGTCGCCATCGTGTAATTCTCAACTTATTTTCGTTGACTTGAATTGAGTGTGTGTGTAATAATCCCACTTTTTCATAATGACAAATTTTTATTTTATTTTTTGTCATAATGATATTTCTTATTGCCCGAATGGTCCCTTAAAAGCGCACGCTAATCTTGATGTTTTGACATTTCTCATTTCTAATGAAAAATTCACTGTATCGGACATTGCTAGTGGGTTAAAGCAGTTTGTAGCATATCCCCACCTCACTATGTACGTATATATATGTGTGTGTATGTTTAAGTCAACCCAATTTGCCATTTGAAATAATTTGATTGTTTTGTTACATGGGATGGTATTATATTATATTAAAATAATATAAATAGAATGTCACAACTTACTATACATGCCCCAAGTGGGATATAAATATGAGTATATAGACTTCAAAGATTTTGACATGTTGTAATTTGTGGGGTGAAGAAAATGAAATTAATTGTGTTTTAATGCACACATATGTATAGACATTTTTCGAAAGTCAGAAATTTACAAGATGCCAAAATATTATTATATAGAAATATGTACAAGAAAGAATGAGGGTTGATCCTCCTTTTTTTTTTTTTTTTTTTGCACGCCTTTGGAATCTAAACAAATTTTGGTGGTCCTAAGGTTTTCTTGTCTATATTTACTCACACTCATACCTTAATCACTTACCATTACCCTACACTAAGATTCATTAATGATTATTACATGAAAAGGACCTTATAATGTGCGAGTCTATTGTCTATGGAATGCATTATTTTGTTTTACCAACCAAATAATTGAACATTAAATCAATTGATTAACTAATTCCATTTCTTGTGTTCTCTATTAAAATACAAATCAAACACATCCATAATTTAATACATACGTGGTATATATAAGATGAAGCAATTTATATTTCTTGTCATCTAGAAAAAGAATATCCTTATCTTGGAATAAACCTTTATAAATAAATATCGATATGCATATCAGAATATCTGCACCCATTCACCTGTTGCAAGATCAATATGATTAATTAATTATTAAGGTTATATTTCACCAATTAATTTAAATGCAGAGGTTATTTGCCCATATGCTTTTATGTGTGTATAATTGGCAAGTTAAATTTTATATATTTATATACATAATTCCAAGAAATATTTGTCTATATATTCGAAAGTTGCTAGTTTGACAGCTAGCTTCAAGTCCAACTTACCAAATCCAAACAATTAACTATCATACTGTGCCATAATTAAAACTCGAGCTAACACTAAGGCCATAAAAGTCCAAGAAACTCAATTAGCTGTTTTCAAGAAATATCATGCAATTCAACAAGCCATTGGAAAATGAGATATACACGACAGACATATGTATTAGACAATCACATATACATACATAAATATATATATATGCACAAATTGTATTACAGATTCAAGGGGAAAAAAAAAGATTCATTTCAAAGATATCCCTATAAATATTCGTGCAAGAGTATCAAATATATTCAGTGCTCATATTTGCTACTACCTTTAACTAAATGGATAATTTGAACTTTTTCTTTTCCCTTTTTTTATTTCTCCTTTCTCTTCCTCTCCTGGTTTCATCTACGGCTACAAAACAGGTACTGTTACAACTCATATCCCCAATATTTAATTAATTAATTGAGCCCTAGTTAATAAGGGTTTACTGAAATCTTGGATACATACATACATATATATATATGTATATGTATTTGCAGGTTTACATAGTGCACTTTGGTGGGCACAGTGGGGAAAGAACAAGTGAAGAAATAGAAGAAAGCCATCAAAGCTATCTGTATGGTGTCAAAGGAGGAAGTGAGGAAGAAGCAAGGTCTTCACTTTTGTACAGTTACAAGCACACCATCAATGGCTTCGCTGCACTTCTCACTCCACAGGAAGCTTCCACACTTTCTGGTACAACAACAATAATAATTAATTATATCTACATGCATATGCAAATTAATAAGTGAGGCTCAATTGCTCTTATTTTTATTGATTGTGTAGAGAAGGAGGAAGTGGTGTCAGTGATTGGGAGTGATCCAGAAAAGTACAGAATGCACACGACAAGGTCATGGGAGTTTGCAGGCGTGCAGGGTGCAAGAAAATGGAACAAGGAGGACTTGCTGCTCAAGTCCAGATATGGGGACGATGTTATTGTTGGAATGGTGGATAATGGTGATATTTCATTACCAAATCATATTTAGTCATATATATAACACTGTTGTTTGTTTAGTGCATACCATGATCAATTGAAGGTTTGATGATGATGATGATCAGGAGTATGGCCAGAGTCAAAGAGCTTCAGTGATGAAGGGTTGGGGCCCATTCCGGAATCTTGGAGAGGAATTTGCCAATCAGGTCATCAATTCGACTCTTCCCATTGCAACAAGTGAGCCCATTCTCTCTCTCTAGCTCGTATTACATTACATACATACACACACAGATACACTTACTTACAACTACAAACCTAGCTATATTTTAAACCAGTGAGATTTGGTTGAAACTTGAAACCCTAATTAACCCCACACCACTCTCAGACAAACTGGTTTCTGTGATTCTGTCTAATGGAACCAACAATGCCATTAATGTTGTGGGGTAAGGGTAGGGGTAGGGGTAGGGTACCCATCGATTCAAGGAATAAGGTTGCTCTGGAAGTGGGGTTTTCTTTTCAGATAGGAAAGTAAGAAAAATAAAAAATAAAAAATCATTTGGCCCTGCATGCTTGTTCGCATCTTCATCCCTTAGTTGGCCTGCTGCTCTACTCATATTTTTGTCCCTTTCAATCAAACAAATCAAAATTACGACTCGAAGTTATTGCTCTGTCTTCATTCGAAAACCCCATCTTGTGATCGTGCTTCCCTTCTTCCATGCTTGGTGCTGTGCTCTGTCCTGTCCATATATCACTCCAATCTAGTACATGATATGTTATTGTATAAATTTGCTTTCTTCTAGTATATATATATATATATATATATAGCCTGTCTGCCACTATTGTTTAATTAACAGCTAGAGTTAACAATTTTTTAAATTAGGTTAAATCCCCTAGAGCTTGTTTTGTTTCCAGGAAAATTATTGGCGCAAGATTTTACGTCAAAGCCTATGAAGCATCCTACGGCCCACTCAACAAGACACTTGACTACCGATCCCCACGTGACAAGGACGGCCACGGGACCCACACCGCTTCCACCGCCGCCGGCCGGAGCGTCGACCGCGTCTCCGCCCTGGGAGGCTTCGCCCGCGGCACCGCCTCCGGCGGCGCTCCGCTGGCTCGGCTGGCGATTTACAAAGTGTGTTGGGCCGTGCCGGGGGAAGGCAAAGAAGACGGCAACACGTGCTTCGAAGCCGACATGCTCGCCGCCATCGACGATGCCATCGCTGACGGCGTTAATGTGCTGAGCATTTCCATAGGGACGAAAACTCCCACGCCGTTTCATCAGGACGGCATTGCCGTCGGCGCGCTTCACGCCGTTAGAAAGAATATCGTGGTCGCCTGCAGCGCCGGAAATTCGGGCCCGGCGGCGGCGACCCTGTCAAACCCGGCGCCGTGGATTATTACCGTCGGCGCCAGCAGCGTTGACAGGGCATTCTTGGCACCACTTGTGCTTGGAAATGGAATGAACCTCATGGTAAATGTATTAATAATTAGGTTTTTTAAAAAATAAATTAAAATAAATGAATATAATTTGTGATGGGTTTAATTCTTTTCTCCAGGGGCAAACAGTAAGTCCATATAAGCTGAGGCGCAAGCTCTACCCACTGGTGTACGCAGCTCATATAATCAATCCGGGAGTGGGCCAGGACGTATCAGGGTCATAATCTCTCTATTTCCCAGTTTATAGATTTGTTTGCCCATATCTATCTAACAAACCAATGTTAATTCCTTGGATATATATTGTTGCATAATTGCAGGCAGTGCTTGCCAGGTTCCCTTTCTCCAGAGAAGGCCAAGGGGAAGATAGTCCTGTGTTTAAGAGGGAATGGGACGAGAGTTGGAAAAGGAATGGAGGTAAAAAGAGCAGGAGGGATTGGGTATGTCTTAGGCAACAGTAGGCCCAATGGAGATGAGCTCGTGGCAGATGCTCATGTTCTTCCAGCCACTGCTGTCAATTACAGAAATGCTCTCAAGATTCTTAATTACATCAACTCCACCAAAGAACCAAAGGCCTATATTGTGCCCGCCAAGACAGTTTTGGACACCAAACCAGCCCCCTTCATGGCTGCCTTCTCCAGCAGAGGCCCCAGCACCATTTCCCCTGATATTCTCAAGGTTAGTGATTGATTAATCGATCACTTTCTCCATCTACTTTTGGTTTCTTGATGAGCTAAATGCATTTACTTGCTGGATCAACAGCCAGATATCACAGCTCCAGGGCTCAACATCCTGGCAGCATGGAGCAAAGCATCTTCGCCGACAAAATTAGATCAAGACAAACGTGTAGTCAAGTATAATATCCTGTCGGGGACTTCCATGTCCTGTCCTCACATCGGCGGGGCATCGGCCCTTCTTAAAGCCATACACCCTGATTGGAGCAGTGCCGCCATACGATCTGCTTTAGTAACCTCTGGTAGATATATGAACACTCAGCGTTAGAATTCAAAGATACCCAAAGTACATAATCTTTTCATCCATCTCTCTAACTTGTGCTTTTAACTCCCAGCGGGAATCTCCAACAACCTAGGCAAGCCAATTACCGATGCATCCGGCAATCCAGCAGATCCATTCCAATTTGGATCAGGTCATTTCAGGCCTACCAAAGCAGCCGATCCAGGGCTCGTCTATGATGCATCCTACGCAGATTATCTTCTCTACCTCTGCAGCATCAAAAATGCCACCAATCTTGATCCCTTATTCATATGCCCTAAAGTTCTACCTTCTCCCAACTCTCTCAATTACCCATCTCTGGCAGTTCCCAAACTCAATGGGACACTCATGGTTTCCAGAACAGTCACCAATGTTGGCAACAGCAGGAGTGTTTATACAGTCAGTATAAATCCTCCACCAGGCATTTCTGTAAGGCTATCACCAACAATATTATACTTCAATCAAACTGGCCAGAAAAGAAGCTTCACCATTAACATAAGAGCTGAAACTGAAGCTGAGAAAGATAAGTACCTATTTGGACTGTACACTTGGTATGATGGTATCCACCATGTTCGAAGCCCAATCGCAGTTTCAGTGGCGTAGATGAAATTGTGGAAATTCTTGACTTGTTATCTAATAAAAAAGAAATTGGGGTTGATTAATCAAGTCTACACTACATTGGAACTTTATCTACTATGATAAATTCAACGCATTAGAAAATCCTTATCCGACAAACCCTGCACTAATCATTGATATTTTTACATGAAACCTCTAGTAATTAATGTAGGATTCAGTCCTTTTCATATGACCTAAACCTAGCTACTTTTCAGGTAATACGTAGACGCAAAGGGAACCTTATCTTGTAGCTTTTCGCACAATGCTACACGCATGCATGCATCACACGTAGCTCTACCCAATAAATGGCTTCGTATGCTATACCGATAACAGGTCAACATTCATCGCATTAGAACAATATCACTGCACAGATGTATATACGTAGAATATACACATCAATTTATTGCAGGAGTAGACATACACAGTACTATATACATCAATTTATTGCAGGAGTAGACATACACAGTACTATTTGTTCTTTCAATTCCATACCAATAATATGATGGTACATTACCTTGGGCGGCGATGCGTACGTATACAACACGAAAAGAAAATGTATAGCATGAAATGAAATGGATAGTACATGTAGATTACGAAGTCCGTAAGGCACAAGAAATGTATACACGGAGTTTTATCCAGACAAGTTTTTAATTTTGGATTTGACGTCAAGAGAATAAAATGCTTCACAGTAGTAGCACACCAGCAGTCAAAATTCGTGCAAATTAGTTTCTCTTCACTCGTATTCAATCGGTTCAATAATTCCCCCTCCCTATAAATTCACTCCGATTTTCACTCTCAAATCATCAGCCTTATCAATCAGCTTCCATGGCGGAAGAATTTGAGGAATCGGAAATTATATTTCAAGAGGAAGAAGACAACAACGAGATCGAGATCGACAATTTTCAGGCGAACTCCATTGAATCCATAAATAAAGAGAAGACGACGAAGATGAACGGTGAGAATTCAGTTCCGATGAGCATACCTGAACATCTGTACCAGAATCCGTGTATTCGCAGCGCCAACTCGGATTTGGACGGCGACGAAACAGAAATGGTTCCACCACACGTTATCATCGGGCGGCGCGCGGCCGGAAAAATGATGGCGCTCTCGGTTTGTACGGGAAACGAGAGGACTCTCAAAGGAAGAAATTTGAACCAAGTAAGGAATTCGGTCCTTAGGATGACCGGATTTCTTGAGACCTAAAAGTTCCCTTATTCAATTGTAAAGGAAATTAATATATCGAAAATTATTTCATTAAATCCCAATTCCCATTGGGTTTTTATAATTATTAGTCGTGACTCGTGATATTATTATTATTATTATTATTATTATCCAAATTCCAAAACAATCACCATAAATTATTTATATTTATATCAATAGAATAAACATTAAATTTAAATATATTATAATATTTAGTTTCTCAACAGCTATACGAAGAAACATAACAATAATTTTATTGCTTGTTTTAGTATTAACATCAATACTGTGTAGTGATTAAGGACAAAATTTCAGAAGATTTGTGGCAGCCATATATTTGGCTGAATAGTAAAATTACAAAATTTTGAACACTCATTTGAGCTGTCCGGTCCGGCCATGCATTCCAGTTTCAGAAATATATCATCAATTAGTACCTAAAAGAAAACAATAATAAAAGGTCATTACCAAATACTACAATTACATAATAATAATAATAACAGTAATAGACATTCTTTTTCGTAATTTTACTATACAATCTTCACATTTCTCGATAAAATATATCATTTCTTTTAACATAAAATTATGATCAAATAAAAAACAAAAAGAAACAAACATAAATTGATTGGGCTACTCAACTCAAAATATTCAAATATTTTCAAACTCAGGTATGTGACTCTAGCAGCTCTATCATAACACAATCTAACAATTATAAGCTTCAACTTACAGTTTTATGGCCCCAAATCAGGCTGACAGTTGAACTGTGTCGAAGTGAGAGAACAAGCAATGTCGAGCCAATGCTTAGAGTTTAGTTTTCTGGGATGCAGAGGGTGTCTTCCGTTTGGAGGGTGTATACACAAAATTTCTCAAATCCATGTTAAGTTTTGGCCTTCATCAAATAGCATACACTAAGATTAAATACATGATTTGGTAAATATAGAACTCGGTAACAAATTCCAAGCATTATTCGCATACCTCTTCAGGAAATTGTTCTTTATATCTTTGAGAGGGGCGCGAAGACCGCTAGCACGCGAGCCAGATGAGCTGTACCTGAACGATGATATCACTGAGGCAAACTTTTCCAGGGATTTATCTGCTATTTCTGAGTATTGCTCCAAATGGCTGATGTTGCAGCTGAATTTTTTTTCTTCAGTTTTAATCTCTTCCTCTAGGTCTGAAGTGACAATCCAGGCCCCGGGTATCGGATAGATATATGAGTTTAACCACAATTCATGAGGATGAATGGAAACAAGCATTTATTATATAAGCTGGCATCTTAAGCATATAAACATTGATTTAAGATATATATCCTAATCTATCAAACATAAATATCAACCCGAATGTTTTCAACTCCTAGTTACTTTCATAATATTGAATAGTTCATGCAAGGCAAACTACCAGTGTAAATATGAATCTTGAATGCTATTTTGAGCCGACAGATGACTGGTTGTTCTGCTAACAATTAAGAAACTTTGAAGTTTGAAGTCTTCACATCAAACACTATTTCAAGTCAAATTTTCATGAACCTCAAACCCAAAGTCAAACCTTAAAGAAACACACCCTCAATTTCCCTTGTTGAAGATTTATTACAATTAAGAAAGATCTGTGGTAGTATTATAGAATGGTCGACTGTTTACTTGGTAAACTTAGCAGGAAAAATGTACCTGAGATTGGGTTGTTATCATTCACATCTTCCTGAAATTGTAAGGAAAAGGCATGCATTAGGAAAGCAGAGCTTGCTGTAAAGTTTAATAAACTGAAAAAAAAAATAATAATAAAATATATAAACTGAGCAGGACTTACAGTTAGGCTGTCACTTTGAGAAAATTTTCTCTTTCTTATGCATTCCAGTGAATCATCTTCACTCGGCAAGCTCTGGAGAGTGCTATAATTGCAAGGCTGAATAGCAGCCCCATCTCTAACAACAAAATCTTCAGATTCACAGTCCTCACTATTATCATTCAAGGATGCCCCTTCAATGTAAGAACTCCTAACTCTGTGTTTTCTGCTCTCAGCAGTTTCTTGGCACTCACCAGCAACTAAATCAAACATAGGTGTCTGCACAGGATATTCCCCCAAGGCATTTTCTCTGTCACAGTCAGCATCTTGGCTGATGTTGTGCTGAAAATAAGAACTTTGAACAGCAATTGTTTTTTCCTCTTTCTTATCATCAAACAGAGAAGGAAGAGGCTGGTGTACATCTCTCAAAACAACATTTTCCAGTCTGTAGTCGTCATTCTTATCCACAGGATACTTGCTTTTCTTGTCATGTTCCACATTCGTATCTTTCTGAAAATAACGACTTCTCACTGTCTTACTTTTATACCCTGATCCCATCTTTAAAATTTCTGGATCTGAGCCAAGATCTTCCTGCAACAAAATACAGGGCCTGCAAACCGAACCTTGCTCTGCAGTAGACAGTTTTATTTTGGATTGATTCGAATCCCCATCGAGACATGGCCCTATATATACAATGAACTTAGTAACATATTTATGTTGATGATGATATTGATGTATATAGTACAGCAATATACTCATTAATACCAGGAACAGGGGCATCCCTAAACTTCAAAAAATCAGGATTGGAGCTGGGTATCACCTAAACATTGACAATACACACAAAGAACATGAAACTTGCAGATGTATAAACGGGAAGAGAAAAAACTTCACAACTTTTAATGACTGCCCAGAGCAGGACCAATGAGCAACCTTACACATACAAACAAGCAATAAAATGAATTTAATGTTGGAACTGACCTCATCACCATGCATTTGAGGGCGGGAGGTTTCATTACTTTTGCCTGAATGATTTGAGGTAATTCGAGGAACCCTGAAGTTCCTCTTTGCCTCGAGTGAATTGAGACCTTACAAGTTAAGGTAAAAACCTTTGAAATTAAAGCATAAGAAGCATAGCAAATAAGGAAATAAGGAAATAGTATTGCTAATGCCCCCTCCAACTTATAACCTACAAATTTTACTTGACGACATCAAAACATTGTAAGCAACATTATCCATCATTATGATTTTATCATAAGACTACACAAAAAATGGCATAACTAAAAGATGGATATTGTACTCCGATATAATTTTACTTCTCAATGTGTTCACACCTATGATTAAAACTGAAAGGAATCAGTCCACTTGGATAACTTACATTCTGAATCAAGGCAGGCAGACATCTATTAAGAACACATTCTACATTAACAGTGTACTGAATGTGAAAATATAAAATAAAAGAATAGGATACAAAAGTAATTGGTAAGGAGATTCTTCTGTGCAGGTAACTCAAGCTTTTTCCTTTTGATATCCGGCTTGAAACTCTTGAACGGGTAGGCTTGTTGAAACAAAGGCTCACCATCACCAAATTCTTCACTCTTTTACAACAAAATAGTTATAAGCAAAGAACATATCTACACAAGATATATCAACATATATTGATCATATACCTGCATTGGCGCTTTAGTGAAAGGATCAAGGTCCCCTTCTGCTATACCTTTTGCTATGTGCTGGGGTAATGCTGTGACATTATGGTTAAGGAAATTTTCCGGTAAAATACAGGCATGGGCAATGCGTATTTCATATTTTACAAAAGCTTTTTAACAAAAGGATATGGTCCCAAAAAGTCTAGATCTTCAACTAAAGTATCTTCTGGTTCAGATAGATGTACAATATCCTCACTATAGGGATCATAAACTCTTTGATGCCTGAAGGTCAAAATTGCTTTCTTAAATGATTCTTCATACTGAGGAGGTATCTCAACACTATTGTACTTCAAATGTTTGATTACCTGCATATGGGCAAAAATGTCAGCTGCTTAAATTCCATGAGAAGCAATACACTAGAATAAAAGATTCTTTGAACAAATAGATACTTACATTCTTATGACTTCTAAATTTCTTTATCAGAGAGTGGGCCTTTTTAAGGCCCATTCCAGGCAGTGACGGCAAATAGTCACAACCGCTTAAAATGCACATCTCAACCACCATCATTTGGGTGAATCCTGCCAGGTTTAGTTCTTTGTTGTACTGTAGCATTGAATTTTTGAATTCAATGCCTTGACCAAATTTATCCATTTTGTAGATGATCTGTGCCAAAGATTAAATCAACACGACAAACAAAACAGCATTACCCATCAAATCTGAATACCCAAAACTGACCCTTGGACAGCCAAAAGCAATTAAGTCAGAGTCCTCAGTGATAACAGCCTCAACATGCTTGCTTAGGGCAAGAAATGTCAATTGTGCATCGGCTTCATATGGGGCAACTACATAAGGCACAGCCTCCTGTTTTAGAACCTATCATGAAAGAATACACCAAATAGCATACAATTACCAAGGAGAAATGCATTCTCAAGTAGGTGTAACATACAATTTATTATATAATTTCTTTTTTTGGAAAAAAAAATAGGGACTATAAAATGAATTGACATTATGAATTATGCAACCTGAATAAGACCATACGCAATTGAAGGTGATATATCAACAGCCTTTTGGTAGCATTCATAAGCTGCAGTCAGATTTCCATTTGATTCATGTTCCATGGCACGCGAGAGGTTTTCCTTTCTAGACCTGAACAATGAACATATGATTCAAATAATTCAATGGGTATCAATTTCAATATTCAATTTTTTTGTCTTTTAAAGCCTTGAAGCTTGTGGCAGTAAAAATTATGGAGAAGTGGAAATGAAGAAATAGAGCCAAAAGTCTATTGCAGGCTGCAGCCAAACATATGTAACCAAGATAGCAGAGATAACTGGCAAAAATAAGCAAATAAGTACCTCAATCGCTTGATTTCTTGCTCACCCTTCATTGGTAAAGGACCTCCATCAAATACAAGAATGGGTTTAACACCATAATGACGCAGCATATTCACTCTATGCATGCAGTAATCAATGTGCCTGAAGAAAACATAACAATTATAAACTTCTTATATAACTTACTTTACAAAATATAATCACTATTTATCTTAGGGTGCCTAAACCAATTTCAGTGCAATCAATCAACCCAATGACGTTGTAAATTAATTTAATTTGGACAACGTAACTATCCTAAACGTAAAATATTCATAATGGCAATACCCCTTCCCTTAGCACTATAGGATACAGCAAAGTAGAATACACTGTAATTCATCTTTCACCGTTTGAACAACAAATTTCTGAGATCAGATGCTGAGCTAATAAGAATGCAGAGAAACCCAAAAAGTAGACATAATGAACAATGCCGATTTGAAAAAAAAACAAAAATAGCAGTGTATAAGCAAGCGGTAAATACTTTGACGTGCGCTGGCCTTTGCAGAGCTCAGTGCTGCAGGCAAGAGCACCCTTATGTAACCAAGAATATGTATCAACAGCAACAAAGCATCCTTCCAGCTGCTTAATGTGAATCGGGTTCATTATTGACTTCAAAAGCGGCAATAGCCCTTGAATACCCATCTTCCAATCTCGAACCAATGACTCAATCAAATCGAATGTTATATATTCTTAACAGCCGCAGATTTCTGAACAGACCTACGATTCCAATCTTTGAACCTTAATAGGGAATCCAAAATACGCGCAATCGATTAATAAGAGTAGATAAATGGACGGGAGACCTTCGTAGTCTGCTGAGGACCCGACATTGCCATCCCGACTCTCGAGTGCCAGAAACCCTAATCTTGGAAGGGAAACCCCTCGGGAAAGATATAATTTTGGAGGGACTTCACAGATTTAGGCGGGAAGGATTCATTTACTGAGTACGGATTAAAACGATTTTTTATTATTTCAAAAAGGAAAACTAATAATTGAATTCCTAAATGGGCCCATAATTGGGCCATCAGAAGGCCCAAATTAAGGCATGATTGATGATATTAGCGTTTTTTCCTTTTCTTAAAAACTGTCACAAAACGTCAATGATTAGTTATCAAACAGATAGATAGGTCCAATTAGAATTCCTTTTTAATTATTGAAAGTTACTTTCAATTATTAGAGAGAGCATCACTCTTGGTTCAAATTCTACCATATGAATACAGTCCATAATTAAGGATGTGTTTATATGTATTTTTTTATTAAGTGTTTCTAATAAATAAACACATATGTACTTATATAATATTTTAAGAATAATTCTTCATCCATACTGATTAATTATGTTAAAATATCATAATATATAATATTAAAAAAAAAAACTAATATGTTATTATAAAAATGGGTAAATAAAAAATAAAATAAAAGTATTATATGAAATTTATTAAAAAATTAATAATAAAATAAATTTAAAATATACAATAAATTATTTATTATTATTTATTAAAATAAAATTAATAAATAATACTCCATCCGTCTCACATACCATGTCCGTGTTGCCATTTCAGTCCCACATGTCACTTTCTTTTTTGGAAAATGATTATATACTTTAATCGCATTTTAAACTTTTTAATTTTATTTTTTTTAATTTTAATTAAACTAATTAGTTATCTTAATTTTAATTTATAATTATTTATATTATAAAATAATTATTTTCTCTAATATATTTTAAATTATCTGCTAATTATACTCTTTCTAAAATACCGTGATATGTAGAATGTAGGGAGTATATGAATTTGAAGGACGAAAATATGTATATATATATATATAGCATAATTATTTACTAAATAAGTATGAAAAAAATATGTGGACAATAAGACACGCAGGTGGAAAATATAAACAAGACGTCAAATGTACTGTCCCATCATTGCAATAAAGTGAGCTGGCATATGCCCACCCAATATTACTCTCTCCGTCCAATGAATTATCATGTTTACTATACATATGAAAATTTTGAAAAATTATACAAATAAGTATTTGTTTTGGACACGATTATTTAGCTAAGTATAAATTAATAAACTATTAATAAGATATTACGATATTATATTTTTATAAGAGTAATGTATTAGTATTTTAAAAATATAAATCAATATATTTAATTAAAACTAATTTACATATGTATATAAATATTTTTATTTTTATATCTCAATAAATTATATATAATATGGATGATATATTATAAAAAATAAAATTTATATAATACAAATAAATAAAATAAATAAATTATTTATTTATATTTAATTTAAATTAATTTTATAAAAAAAAGTATATACAAATATTTATCTTATTAAAAATAAATAAAAGATTTTGGAGTAGATTTTGCAAGTAAAAAAAAAGTAAAAATTTAACTAAATTGATTTATATTTGTTAAATATATTTAATATATATTTATCAAATATATAAATAAGACATATGTTACGAGAAAAGAAAAAGTGAAAAAGTCAATCGAAATAATATTATAACTTCATTTATTTCAAGGAATAATAAATTTATATTTTAAATATTATATTAATGTCTTTTTATATAGTATCAAATGTTTGTTCTGATTAAAAAATTTAATATTAAAAAATTAAATGTAAAATTATAACTAAATAATTTAATATTACCTCCGTCATGTGAAAAATGAAATCTTTTGTTAGGGACATTATATTTTAGATAGTGTAAGTTATTTTAAGATAACATTCTTATTTTTTTATATGTGTAGCGTTGTTTATATTTTAAATATTTTTAATTTTATACTTGGATTTTAAATTTTTAGTTTTTTTTTATTTTTTATTTTAGTATGTCAAAATTAAATTATTTTTAGAGAAGGTAACATTCAATTACATATCAATTTTTTAAAAATTTATTATACTATATATTTATATAATACTAATTGATCTTAATCCATGTATAAAAGTCAAATAAAAATATTTGACACATTACTTTTTAAAATTACCTAAAAACTATTATGATACTTTTAGAACTATATAGGTAAATTTCTAATTAAATATAATAACTTGCAAATTAGATTCACAACATAAATTATAAAATATCAATATAAAAATATTAGTTAAATAAAAATTAAATTGAACATTTTATTCCAAATTACAACCAAATAATTTAAATTAAATTTTTGACAAAAATTCATGATTTGTTTACTGTATATATTATTATTTTATTGTATTTTAAACAATGAGTTACATGCAACACAATATTTATATAAATAATAGCAATATATTGTGGTAAAAATTCAAAGATTATATAATAGTTAAAGTAAATCTAAAAATTAAATATATAGAATCCCAAATAAATTTTTATGAATTTTTAATTGTAACTTATTTTAGATTATTTTTAATAAACACAGATGATTTTATCTTCGAATATATTATACTTAAATTATTTTTTTAAAAAAAGAAAAAATAGTATTCTAATTGTGTTCGATCAAAAAACGTAATTTTGAGGATGCGTAGTGGAATTCTACTCGAAAAAAGAACACATAAAATCAGAATTTGGTCCACACGTACAGCTGGCATCAATTTGATATTTTTGTATTATTATGCTGACAAATCGCTATTATTCTGATGGCCACGAAAAATGCGCCTTTCAAGTTACATTTGTTAAGATGATCTCAATAAATTGTTACCGGCACCCAGGAGTCAGGCACCAGACAGATCTACACCGTTCATCTTTGTGAGGTCCGCGGGATGAAAGGCAGATATCTTTCCGGTACAATAAACCGCGTCATTGTACGAAGTAAGTCAAATCCCCCACGTTTTTTTTAAGCCTTTCGCATCTTTCAAGTCAATTTAGATCTTCCAAATCAACTGTTACAGATTGGCTCAAACTGTCGGGCAAATTTTATCCGCAAGACAGATAGAGATTATCATTATCGAATGAATTGAGGTCCTTCTCTCAAAGCGAGTTCGCAATCGTGTTGTTGTGTTGGGAAGAATTAAGACCGATTCGATTTTTCTTCACCCACCATCAATGGCGGAAACTGAAAGTTAGGGTTTGAAATAAACCCTACCATAATCAATCGGTCAGATATCACACGTCCCCGACAAAATCCAACTCAGATACGGGGCCCACTTTCCCGTTCCCGATCACTGCCGCCGAGTCCACCTCCAAAAGGACACGCCTCGATTAATAAATTCACGAGCCAGGGAAGCAGTTGTTGTCGATAATCAAATTGCAAAGTTGACCGCCCGCGAGGAGAGCGAGCAGAGAACGATCGATAGAAAGGGATATTTCCTTCCCGGCGTTTGCTGCTGATTGTTTTTGTAGGATTTTTAGGATCATGTCTGAAGGGGGGCTTTTCTCAACGTATTCCTTCTGCAGCGATTTGGCTGGAGTTGCAGGTCAGTCTCTTCAAATCAATTATCTTCCTGTATGAGTCGGTGATGAATTACGGTGGATCTTTGCCTCTGTTTTTCTTCGATCTTGCAGTTGTTTTTACAGGAATGTATGATTTCTGTGTTTTGATCTTTACTTTCATTTTATACCTCGATTATTAGCTAAGGATTGGATGTATGAAGCTTGATTGAAGCTCCAGAAATAGTATCTGTGCACAACAAGTGCGTGTCCTTGATTTTCAGAGTGTTAGGGTTGAAGAAGATTGTTTGTTCCAGGAGAATCACCGTTCATAAAATGTGATCAACGGCTTGGATCTATCAGCAAAACTACTATCTTTAAAAACAAATGGCTGAAACTAATATAATCCAAGTCTTTATAGATGAAGAATGTCGACCTGTTAAACTTTGTCTTCAGAATTTAATCGTCACACGAATTTGTGCAATTGCTAAACATTATCCATCTTTGCAGGGAATATCTTTGCCCTTGTGCTCTTTGTATCGCCGATGTAAGTGATCCTTAACAATGCCGAACCTTGTCCATCCATCATCCATGTTTAGCATTGATAACAATGTTTCTTCCCTCCTCTGTTACAGACCGACGTTTAGGAGAATCGTAGGAAACCAATCGACAGAGCAGTTTTCAGGATTGCCTTACATCTACGCTCTTTTAAACTGCTTAATATGTCTTTGGTATGGCATGCCTATCATTTCGCCCAGCATTATCTTAGTCGCCACAGTCAACTCAATCGGAGCAGTTTTCCAGTTGGTTTATATCGTCATATTCATCCTATTTGCAGACAAACAGAAAAAGGTGGAGCTTTTACTTAGGCATTGAGCTTATCAAAATATATGAACTTGTGATCGATTGCTTAAATCTTAAATACCTGCAGGTGAAAATGCTGGGGTTGTTGCTGGCAGTTTTTGCAGTTTTTGCCATCATTATCTTTGTTAGCTTAACAGTGTTCGAACAGCCAAGCCGGAGACTCTTTGTCGGATACCTCTCTGTCTTTTCTCTCATATCCATGTTCGCCTCCCCTCTGTTTATAATCGTGAGTTTTACGCCGCTTATATAAGCCATCCCAAGCTTCTTAACACACATCTTGTGTGCTAACTTTCTTTGTAATGATACAGAATTTGGTGATCCGAACAAAGAGCGTGGAGTACATGCCGTTTTATCTGTCTCTAGCGACGTTCTTGATGAGTCTTTCTTTCTTCGCGTATGGAATGTTCAAAGAGGATCCATTTATATCTGTAAGTGTACTTAGAAGAATTACTACTTTTGGGCAGCCATGGTTGTCGCTTTTTTTTATTCTCTTGGTTAAAATTGTGATTGGCAACAGGTTCCTAATGGGATTGGAGCCATACTTGGGACTGTTCAGTTGGTGTTGTATTGCCATTACAGCAGAGGTGCTGCTGATTTGGGGACAAGGCCTTTACTTGGTTGAGTGATGTTTAACCGGCTTTTGTTGTGTTGTTTATTACAATTCTTGATTGTAAAAAAGCATGAGTTAATGTACTTTTAGTGTGCATTTGTTGGTTGATAGAGAGTGAGTCAACCTACTTCATTACATAACTTGTGTAATGAAGCATTCTTCAAGGGGTAGAAGAGGTGTGTTTGTTTGTAAACTTTTCTACCAATTTTGATGTTCTGAATCAGTGAATCCTGTTGTTTGTTGTTTAAATACAGTGGCTGTAAAACAAGTCAATCAACTTAGACTCTGATTCAACTCAACTCAAAAGACCAAAAATACATAGCCCTATAGTTTATCAAAGATAACCACGATCAAATCATTTCAAACATGTTCGAACTTGAAATTACTTAAATTAAGATCTAAGATGCATCATCAAAGTATTTGCTAGCTACCTAAATTCATCAAAATTTGAAATGGCCCCAAAACGATTTTTATTCAACTAAATCCATCAAACAAATGTTAGTGGAAGCTCAATTTTTTGAATTGAATGCCATACTAGCTAAGGTATTTTGTAATTTGAGTCTAACACAATACAAGTGAGTTGTATTTTGTAATTTGAGACAAATATTTTTCTTAGGTATGTATCGACGAAGTCCAGAAACACCCATGCAAGACTAAAGCAGATTAGAATTTCAGACACTGAATTTTTTTAAGAGACTCGGTACAAGCCCAAATTCATGCCACTATTGCAAAAAAAAATTTAATATTCAATTCAACTGCATCGAGCTGTCTGAAGATCATAGAGCGGGGATGATGATGATCACAAGTGAGTTGGATTCAAGAAAGAAGATTCAGTTGGTTAATTGCGATGAAGATATCACAGATGTGAAGACAACAAGACCTCTACAGCACTCGGCAGATGAAGAAGTTACACATTGTATCGGTTCTTGGCACCCCTGTCAAGCTTCTTTGCATCCTCCTGTGTTAGAAGAACAAGTAAAGTATGTCTTAGGGAAATATGTAGAATGAAAGAGATACTAAACATGACTGACAAGAAACTTACATGGAAAATGAAACCGATACTCTCATTGTAATCCAGTAACCCTTTCCACTGTTTTCCAATGCTCACCTAAAAAAGTTGATATCATAATAACAACATGAATTGACATAGGGAGAGGTTATAAAATGAGGCTAGTAAGTCGTTCAACTCATTCCTCGGACAAACCTGAGCAGCCTCATTTGCCGCATTCTTTGTCCAAAGTGAAATTTTATCTTGTCTATTTCGGACATTAACAACGGCTCCGCATATCTCATCTCCATGATCAAATTGCTCTCCAATCATTGCCAGCAACTGAATGGAATCAATCCCACCAGGGAATGATAAGATTATTTCTTTTTTAAAAAAATTCATTAAAAATCTAACAACAAAACTATGCTATACCCAAATCGAAATCGAGAAACAATAAAAAGAACACATTATACATACCGTGTAGAGCCAACAGACATCAGATTTACCCCTTGAGAAAGTCATGGTCCACTTTCCCCCATTGGCGCAAACAGGATCTTCCCATTTAGGTTCGATTTGGTGTTTGAAACAATGAAAGTCAGCCCCCACAGCCAGCTTGCTCGGATGGTTGATGTTATTGAAAACACTAGAAACCAAACACAGAAACCCCATGGTTCAGCAAACTACATTTATAAATGGCCACCAAAATGCTCGTACTACGGATACTTCTATGGGGAAGAAAATTGTATCCACTAGATCTGGCTACGCCATCATAAATACATAAAAAATACATCAGCTTTCAGTTGCAGGACTAGCTCGGAACCAACTTCAAAACAGCAAAAAAGAAAAACTAAAGCACACTGCACAAAACCAATATACGGCAATAAAAATATGGTAATCAATGGTGTGACTACAATTGGGAGAATAGACAATCTTCTACATGAACGTAGGGAATTATATGCAATTGAGAACAATCTCAAGCATTATTTGTCCCCAATATTCACCAAATTACAACCCAAACAGTGAAACAAAACAATAAACAAGACCTTACTAAAGATTTTACCAATTAACCTAGCTGTCATCCAAGTATCGATACTCACGAACAAATAACTAGTAGAAGCACGCAACATGAAAAATTCACAAGTCGATAAACGGAAAAAGAAGAGCAAGAATAAGCGAACAGATCAAACATTGAGGACAAACTACTGCAAGTAACTGATCTGCAAAGGGATACGGCTAGAATCATATAAACTAAAAACCTCCATATCGAGAAAGATCTTAAAAAAAAAAACAAAAACAAAAACCCTAAACCCTTAATTGACGAATTAAAATAATAATATCAAGATCTTCGCTAAATGAAATAGAAATGGAAAAAAATACCTCCAGAAGTCTTCAACAGTGGAGAAGGTGTGAATAGCGCGAATCGAGCTTCCCCAAGCAGTCTGCTTCGCTTTTGCGGAGGGATTGTCAAACCAAAACGTCCATGAATGCTCCAGGGGATGCTTCACAGGCGTCGGCGGCGCTACAGCTTTCGTTGCGTCGTCCGATTCGCTACCAACGATCTCTCCTTCCTCCACATCCAATTTCTCCTCGTTCTGATGATTAGTGGTGGCAGACGACAACTCCTCCGGCTCCTCTTTGGGGGCGGTGGTTGTTAATTTCTCCGCTTCTTCGACCATATTTCCGATTTTGGGGCTGGAGGTTATTCTGCTCTGAATCGGAGTAGCCGCCTGCACATTTATTTCAGTTGTTCAACTTCAGTCGATGATCTGAAAGCATTTGGGCCTTTGGGCTCACACTTCGATTCTATGGCCCAAAATCTGTATGTACAGACTATTGGGTCAAAAAATATACACAGGCAATACTTTTTGGGCTCGTTTGACACTTTTAATGTATGCTTCCTCCATTCTAAATTGGTCATGTTAAGCGGTTATATATATATATATATTTACAATTTTAGATTTTCAATAAATATTATTTAAAAATACAAGATATACATACATTATAACATAAAAAATTATATTCATTTAAAAACAAAAAATGGACACATCTTTTGTTTTATTATAGGAGTAATATTTTCATAAATTGTATTCAGATTATTAAAATGATAATATTATGTATGTAAAAAATATTCTAAATTAAAAGTAATAAAATGATAATATTATGTATGTAAAAAAAGTTCTTCTCTTTCGGTCGGCTAAATTTAATTACACTTCTTTTGTATAAAAATTATACTACATCCTTTTCATAAAATTAGCATTATTTATCTTTTGTGTCGTTATATTTAACATTATAAATATTTTTATATTTGTATAATTTACTCCACAAATGTTATTGTATATGTATTATTAAAGACTAATAGAGGTATTTTTGTCTTTTTTTTTTTTTTTTTTCTTGCGTATTGATATAATAATTAATATTGAAATATCAATACACAAAATCTACTCTTCTTGGGATGTAGTAAAATATTTAATATTGAAATTAGTAACAAGAGATTGATATTGAATAAATATTGTAGACAAAAAAAATATCTATGTTAATTAAATATACATAAAAATTCATGCAAATTAATATGGATTAAGGAAAAAGTATAATGAGTAATATAATTTGGTTCTTCTTTTGGATTACTGCAATCTTCAAACTCAATTAGAATGGCCACTTTGAAGGATTTTGTATATATAAATTTGATCTCTAATGTAGTTTATTTAACGATTTAGAGGGATTTCATCTTCAATTCAACTTCTTTTAAGGATTAGAAGGAATTTGATTTTCTTACAGTGGATTTAGTATTTTATGATATTTTTTTAGCAGCATGTCCTTTCAACTTATGGATAAAAAAGAACTGAATTGATGATATGCACAAACAATACGAATTTAATGTGAAGAACTACTTCTTGAATTTGTCGATTTTTTTTTTTAATAAATTTGCATGCATATTTGATCTTCCCACATATTTTAACATATATTTCAAAAAACGTTAAATTATCAATTTCTCAAGCGAAATTTGATCATTTATTTGAACATATGTTTCAAGAATAGTTTCAAATGACATAAAAAACCATTGAATATAAAATTTAAAAACTTACTTTTTGCTAGAATTTTAAAATTGACTTCCCTGCCATTAAAAGTATTTTTCGTCGAAAGTTATTTATTTGTATAGAAAAATTAACATATGTGCTTAAATAAATATTACATATATTTCATTTCCCCCAAAATATAAAATATTTGAGTGATTATATATTTATTTATTTTTATGTCTACAAGTATAATTTGAACAAAGGTAGCACGTATAGATTGTTGGGTATAAACTACCAAAATTATTTAGCGTGTATCAAATTGTCTTCTTAATTAGTTTTTTTTTTTTTTTTTTTGTTTTCTTCAAAGTTAAATTATGGTTGGATACAATCTTTAGAAAAGGTCATTAAATTCCATGTTATTCACACACTTAAACCTAAACTTGTTTATAGCGTTCTTACAAAAAATAGCGTGCACCTTTAATAAGATAAAATACATATACATATATTAATCCTTATAATAATTAAATTAATTTTAAAAATATAGGATATTACATATATACCAATAAACTGATATAGAAGAGGCGTAAAGATGTAATAAAACTGGATATATCATTATGGTGACCATTAAAAGGACAATTTAGTTTCATGCATACATATACATATATATATATATATATATTTGTAATGGATTAATTTTATTTAAATTTTCATGTAGTTGAGGAAGGATTTTTTTTGGAGCTTCCTGGAGAAGAACTCTTGGACGTACTGCTCAGATTTGATTGTTCTGAACAAACGCGGCGATGGAGAAGACGACCATGGCCCCACCTCCGCCTCCAGTTTTGGGTTGAAGAACGTCGCGACGCTCAGCCTCTCCTCCTCTCTATTCACCACTGCTCTGTGCACTACGCTCTTGTAAATTCCATTGCTTATCACCTGCATACATATATTAAATTTGGATGATCGATGATTATTTATGAGATTAACCCTAGCTGGATGGGAATCGAAATATATTAAATAAGTAATTGATGAAGAAGAAGTGTAATTGTGTTGGAATTGCAGATGAATGCATGAACTTGACTGATTCAATTAACTACTCAACATCTGATCATCGATATATATATATATATATAATATTATTTTTTTAATTAGATTAGGTGAGTTGGAAAAGTAGAGGCAAACCTCAATGATGTCTCCCAAAATCACGACAATGGCGCCGGGGAGGAACTTGACGGGCAACCAATTATCGCTAGCGTCGTCGTGATTGTGGTGCTTCTTGATCTGGAGACCTTCGACGTCGTTCAATTGGAGGAGAGTGGTGACGGCGGAGCCGTCGGAGTGGGGAACGATTCCGACGACCTTCTCCGGCTCCGGAAATGGCGGGTAATAATTCATCCTCACCGACTCCATCCCGTCCACGAACATCTCCTCCATCTCCCTTCCGTCGATCCCCAACGATTCGGCGATCAGTCCGAGAATTACCCTCGCCACGTTTTGCTGCTCCTGGATGTAAGTTTCTAGGGTTTCTCTGCATATATATATATATATATATATATGTATGGAGACGAAGACGGCAACGACGTCGTATCGAGCTAGGGTTTGAATAAATGATTAATTAGTTATGAATTGGGATTAATTTCCAACTGACCTGAGAGATGGAGGGAAGTTAGGGAGGAGATGAGGCTGGCGTTTGGAGAGAGGATTGGTGATCATGTAGAACCTCTCCCCCCAATCGACGACCTTTCCTTCTTCTCCGGCAGGTTTTGTCTGGCCATAGCCCTCAAATTGGCCTGGCCTCACTGCATATTTCAGCCTCTCTTGCAAGGGCAGTTTGTAGAATCCATGGATCTCCTGCTTCAGCTTCTCCACCATTTCAGAGTCCATGCCATGGTTCACCAACTGCATATACATACATACATACATACATGAATATCAATTATACATGTATAGTTTGTAATTGAATTTGAATTGACCTGGAATAATCCCCATTCTTTGCATGCTGTGTGAAACTTGTGCAGTTGAATGCTTCTGCTCTCTGGATCGAGCAAATCCTTCATGTCAAAAATAGGGATTGATGACGATGACCAACAATTTCTCACCATCTCTCTCTCTCTCTCTCTCTCTCTCTCTAGATATTAATTTGGCCGTGTAGATAGACACAATGGCGCATTTGTATATATATATATATATATATATAAAGAGAGAGGGTGTGTGTATTATGTCAACAAGATATTATATTACATAAATTGAATAACATAATATATTTGATTGTAATAATGTTACTATTATTTTTTTTTCCCTAAAGTAAAAGTCGGTTTAAATTATATGTATATGTAGTGATTCCGTCAACCTACTTTTATATTTTATGAATAGGTCTGTTGTACGACACATAAGGGCACATATATAGATGGTGTGTTGTGTATATTTCTAGATATATATTATACTGGCATAAAATGAACGTGCTTGGATACTCTGCCATAAATTTATATTTTACAGTAAATGAAAGAACGGGTATGCGTTACGTGTTTGACTGCCATGAAATATTGCAATAAAAGTAATGTACTCGAATAATCGTCACGCCTGACAACACATATGCATTTTTAGAAATATATATATATATGGATAAGAAGTATTATCTCCTATTTGTTTATTTGTACAAAAAGATTGTATAATGTTTTAAATCAGAAATAAATGTTGAATTAAATATTTATTATAAATTGCGCAGAAATAAGTTAAAAAAAATCTTTAATATTGAATCATTTTGCTAACATCAATATCCTGTCTTCTTTTTCACATGGCGATATTATACACACATGTAGAATTTTTTAATTTTAATGTAATTTGAAATATATATATATATATATATATATATATATTAGTGCGTTGAATGATTATTTCTTCTACATTAAATAAATGTGCACCACGGCACCGCACATAATAATACATCTAGGCGTTGAATTTAGTTCATTCATACCGCCACATTTATATAGACATTCTTTTTATTTTTATTTTTACTTTCATTCGAAAATTTAAATATATATAATTAATTGATAATTAAAAATATATTAATAAAAATAATTATCTTTTAATACTATAATATTATTTCATTTTTTTTTCCGTAACAAATGATATCATTTACATTGTAATTTGTCCTTAATTAACTTTATAATATATAAACATATACCCACTCAAAATATTTTGTTAGTTCTCAAACCCTCCACACATAGTTAGCGTGTGAATTGACTTATCGAGCTTATTTTGTTGTATCTTGTTCGGGTACAAAGTCAAGTTCCACCTCGAAAGTTGCGAAGAAAATTGCACACCTTATAAGTCTCAAGTAAACTCCAATAGTACGAGGCCTTTTGGAAAATATTCAAAAACAAATCCGTATTTTTGAAATTTCATTTAATTTAAGTGTTAATATTTATTTTAAAATTATAAACTATATCTTTCTTTTATATAAAAATAAAAAATAATATTATAATATACTATTAACTAATTAATTATCATCTAAAAAAATATTATTTAAAATAAAACAAAATAAATTAAAATTAAAACAACTAATTATTTTAATTAAAATTATTAAAAGTTATAAAATTAAAATAAGACTTAAATGTAATTTATTTTTTTTAAAAAAAGAATAAAATAAACAGACCGAAATGACAATGTATTATGAACAACAATATAAACACAGTAAATGAGACCAAGCAAGAAAAAAATAAATTACATCTAAAAAAAATATCATTTAAAATAAAACAGAATAAATTAAAATTAAAATTACTAATTATTTTAATTAAAATTATTAAAAATTATAAAATTAAAATAAGACTAAAATGTAATTTATTTTTCTAAAAAAAAAAACAAAATAAACAACAGATGCACAACGGATCGAAATGACAATGTATTATGAACAACAATATAAACACAGTAAATGAGACCAAGCAAGAAATACACTACACATGTAAATTTAATTAGTCAATGATAATAATTAGTTAATTCCAGCATGAATATCTATATATATATGATTATACAACATTCTCTATGAATGAATAAATAGAAAAAAGGACAAGCAAGTATGAAATTAAACAAGGAAATCTCATGAGAAGAAAGGTGGTAAGGTATATCATTGTTCTTAACACAGAAAAGCACACACAGCATTCAGCTTCTGCAATTCAGAGGGCTATGGCAAGATAGAGACAACCCACCCACTGCATGAAGGAGGACTCAACTCCATCACCTAATGAGCTTCGGTCGCGCCGTAGTTAGACGGAATCTTTTGGCGTCTCGCCACGTACTCTGTGGGGAACCATCCTGCTCTTCCTCTACACTCTCCTTCCGACCATCCATTTGGGCTCACCTGATGAGTAATGAATAGAATATTTATTAGAAATAGATTTTCCATGAGTAAGATAAGAGAGAGAGAGGTGATCAAATGGTGGGAAGACGAAGTAACCTTCCGCACAACAACATAGTCTCCTACTGACAGGCTTAGTTCCTTATCAGATTCGGCGTCAAAAGCATGTACTGCCTGAAGAAATTAGTAAGTATCAGCTTGCAAGATTATATGTATAGATATAATTAAATCTACACGCAGAAATTAATATTGTGTCGTATGGCTAAATGGTAAATACAATTCTAGGAAGTCAATAAAAGTGGATTGCAAACGAGAATTGCTGTAATTGCTATTTCTTTATTCCTAAATGGATTGATAAAAGTTCATTTGAATGACATCAAGAATGTTACAGAATATTGCAACAACAGTATTATTATTATGCTGACTTTAAGGGGTAAAGGTTGTTGAACATTTTATGGTGAAAGTTCGTGTAGAGGTCATGCAAGGGATTTAAGATCATCAAATTCATCTTCAGTTTAGGACATACCTCAGCTAGAAAATACTTCGTCTTTTGTGTGTTTGAACATTTTATGGTGAAAGTTCGTGTAGAGGTCATGCAAGGGATTTAAGATCATCAAATTCATCTTCAGTTTAGGACATACCTCAGCTAGAAAATACTTCGTCTTTTGTGTAGTGTGTTTGAGAGGAGTCACAGGAGGAGCTGCCTCTTTCCTTTGTTTCTCCGAGACAATCTACACACCAATAAAAGACTCCCACATCGGCAAAAATCTGAAAACAAGCACAAGAATGTGAAGTCAGGCGAATACACACCTCAGTTTCTATATTACCGAGAATTGTAGCAACTCTCTCGTGGTACATCCTTTCTCCCTCAACCTGCAAACAGAAACTTGCTTAAAGCATTATTATTACAAGAATTAATAATTTATTTTAACAAATGCATCCAATGTAGTACCATTGCTATGAGTCTCTGAAACGTTAGTCTCTGCTGCTGTGCTTCCACAGCAGCCAAAGCTGCTGATGCTTCCTTTCCCAGTACTGCCATATTTGCCTTGAGTTCTTGCATTCTAGTTTCTGCTGCGTGCAGTTTTGCAACATTTTCTGGAATAGGAGATTCCCTCACGCGTGCTTGTCTTCTTGATACTTCAGCAGCCTGCACATGTTCACTTGGGTGAATTGATGTCATCATCAAATAAGCAATGTCGAAGTATTTGAACTGGACCTTGATATTCTGTAGATATATATATGCATATTCATATTACCTGAGCCTCAGCTTCCTGTCTCATTCTACTATACCGCTGAGCAAGGTGGCGAGCATCTTCAAGTGGAGTACCATTAATCATGGCTCTCAAAGGTTCTAAGACCTAGAAAGAACAATGAGCTCTTTATTTTGTTAAATACAATACCAAAACACAAAAATACATTTAATGAACCAGAAGAATTAAAGAAGCAAATATACAATTATATAAATCCACACCCTGGCAAAAACATTATTTTCACTAGCATGAGATGAAAATATACACCTGTGCCCACCCTCACATCTCAATATTTTGGGAATTGCATAGTTCAGAACAAGCCCATATTTAGAGGACAGTAACTCAACAAAACTTTTGAGAATCAACTCTGGGCACAAAACAGAAACACGAAAAAGGGAGAAATAAAGGTGTAGGTAATGATCTTAATAAACTTTGGAATAGCAGCTCAACCTACCTGTGTAAACAATAACTTGTTGAAATCTTCTTGCTCCTTCTCAACGTGCTGACGCCCATCCCCATATACGGATGAAGCCTTCCCAAGAACCTCGTCACTAGCATTCTCAAGCCCAAATTTTGAACAATCTTCTGACAACTTGGTTCCTGGCTACCATAATAAATAATTCACTACTTTGCATGTGTAAAATACATTTGCAGCATTTTAAAAGAAGAAATTATCATTGCTACAATCTACTAGCCCATTACAGGGAATAGCAGAACTTAAATGCACCCACCAGCTTCTATATGTTTATACCCTATTGCAGTGAAGGCCTCAGCTGCTTTGACAATTTCTTTCTGAAAATCCTGAAAGTGAGGAAACTTATAGGTGAAAAAAAAGACTAAGATAGCATCACCACACAGGCTTATGTTGCCATTGCCAAGCATTAATCGTCACAAGCAATCAATTGGAGCAATATTTGAACCGAAACAATGAGGCAGTCGCTTGCTAAACTAATAAACAAAAGAATACATTACAAAATCATGTTGCAGAGCACAGCAGACTAGATCAAATAAGAAATGTCCAGCAAATTCATAAATTAAAGCCGTCAAAAAGCATTGGCACTTCAACCTCAACCAAAATGGCACGCTATTAAGTTGGAACCTTTGACACGTCAAACCAGCTTCTACAACAATTGTTAATTGAATAGTAATTTCTATTTCACAATTTTATGACTTGTAGGAGCATAGCCAACAATGCAGGGCATAGCATCTGCAGATGTTCTAACCATGTATTTCGAGAACTATTGTTTATTTTAGTGTAATCAAAATCTATTCAAGATTGAAGGAATATGGTGTCAAGCTTTGATACGAGTTAGAAGGTTAGGAGAACACGCTAATATAAACCAATATAATATCAGACCCAAATTTGACAGGGATGAGAGAGCCCTCATAATCAACCACTAATAATAAGTTTTAACAAACAAACAGGAAAACATTTTTGTTGAATAATGTTCTTGATCATCCCCAGAATATAGCAACAAAGAAATTATAGGTTCTAGACTAAATTTTCGTGTCAGATTTCTTGACTGCGATCTTTTGATTATCTAGAGCTAAAGCCAGGTTAACCCAAAATAGGGAAAAAAAATATATATATATAATTTTAGGAAAGTGCCTGTTGTGCATCAAATCAATTGTTTACTTGTTCATTTTGATTCTTTATCATTGCTTCCCAAATTCCCCAACAAGAACCACCTAACAACCCGACTTTTAGTAGAATCTTTGCAAAGGGACGAAAACACTAGTAACAGATACAGTACAAATACCGATAGCGATTAAATACTCACCCTTCCGGAACGAGTGGATCGATACAATTTCTCCAACTGCTGGTGCATCTGCATCTCAACCTCATCAATAACCATCGCTTCCGAGCTCTCATAGCCACTGGCACTGAATTGCTTGATTACGGCCTACAGATTCAAGCGCAAAACCCAGAATCAATTAAAGACGCCCCCTCGAGCGACTCAGTTCTTAGAAATTTAGTCAAACACAAAATGCAAACTGGAATAGCGCAAACCTGTTGCTGTTTAGCTACTTGTTCTCGAAGCTTGCTAGCTTGCTTCCTTAAGGCATCCATTGCTGCCCCCCTCTCTTCCCCGGCGACGGATCTAGATTTCTTGAAAGAATCGGAACAGAACAGGCGAGGAATGGACCCCGGCGTAATAGAGCAGCGAAGGAAAACAAGACTATCTCTGATGCGAGATCAGTATGAATTAGAGGAAACTGGATAATGCGTGACCGCAGAGACCAGCCATGCCAACGCCACTATCAGCTTCCTTGCCTGTTTTCATCCCCAGATGGCGAATACTCTGAATAAAATTATAAAATTTACTTCTTTTTTTTTTTTAATAAATTTTGCAACCTTAGTCTCTAATTAGTTGAAAAATTGGAGCATGGGCTAAAATAGATCTTATTTGTTTTAACCTAATGTCCAATCGCAATTAAGGGCCTCAAGCCCATTAGACCTTTGATCACAAAATTAACAGTTATTTTATCTAAAAAAGACAACCAAAACAAAGTTTATTTCTTTCGATTTGGTATTTTAACGTGTATATATTATATTTTTTTATAATATTTGTAAAAAAATTACATCATTCAAAAATACAAAACTGACAAACAAAAATTGTAGTATGTCATAATCGGGCAATTTGGCTAATACATAATAGCCAAAATGTTCCTAATGGACACAGCGGTATTGTTTATAAACATAGGACGAAAATTCATAATTTTTTTAAATAAGAGACCAAAATTAGTTATTGTTATTCTCTAATAGGTGTTTGGTTGAAGGATTTTTTTTATAGGATTGGAATTTTTTAGTATGTGATAGAATTTAAATGTATATATATATTTATATATATTTAATAGTAAAATAAAAAATAATATAAATTAAAGTAACAAGTGATACACTACACTGTTACTGAAAATCTATATTTGCAGTATTTACCAAATATGAATTTATTGAAATTTTAAAATCTAAATTCCATCGAATCCCACCAAATCCCGAACCAAACAGCCCCTAAGATCATTTTTTAATTTTTTTTTTCTACATATTATATGTAATATCTTAAGCTTTCTCAAGTTGCAAAACCATAATGCAGTCAGCATTGTGAAACTTAGTACAAAGCATTTTCTTGCAATACAATCAAATAAGTTGTGATCAGATACGAAAATAGTTTAATTGTCCAAACTCCTGAGATCATAAAGCCATGTCTGATAGCTAAATTCTCATTATGGAAATTAAAATTGAGAAGAACATCCTCAAGCCTAGAAAGCTTATTCGTCCTCCTGGCTGCGAAGCCTTGCAAGCTTGTTGGTGACAACCACGTCGAGCTGAGCTGCACGTTCCACAATTTCTTTCCTCTTCTTGGTGGACACATTGTGTGCAATTTCGGCACAGTAAGTCCTGAATTTGCCATCAAAAGATCAACATAAGTAAGCTTGCTAAACGATTTTATAGAATGCAAGTAGAAAGCTAGGGCTGTTGTTAACAACATTCAATTCCAACCTGTTATGCATCATAAGCAGCTCAAGATCCTTGACGTTGTGGACAAGAAACTTCTTGAAACCATTTGGGAGATAATGGAGAGTCTTCTTGTCTGATCCATAACCAATGTTGGGCATCAAAACAGATCCTTTGAACTTTCTTCTGACCCGTGAATCAATACCCTTGGGCCTTCTCCAGCTTGGCTACAGAAAAAAGGTTCATCCTTAGAAAACAGTCGATACAACATTCATGAAGAAAATGATTTAGGATGCATCAGAAAATAAGGAATGCCAATTTGCAAGATTTGGACGAGAAAAGGTGTAAGCAGGGTTATAGTAACAGAAAGCTCATAGAAAATCAAGCTAACTGTGTCGCAAGACCTGTTTTGTGATTTATTTCTGCCCTCAAAACGAAACACTCAGAAACAATATAAATTCTGAGCATTAGATACCAACGGGCAGTAGCTCTTAAAATTTGTAAAATCACTTGGTAAAATAAACATAAATGCTTTTTGTTGCCTAAGCAATCTCAGCCGAAAGATGGTGAAAATTTGTGTGCTAATCACAGGTAAATCAGCAATTACAAATTAGCTTCATCATTGATTGCTGCGCAACAATATAATCATTTTTAAATGAACACAAAGTAGAACTCGTGAATACATCAGAACAATTAAAAAACAAAAACAATTAAAGACAAGAGAGATCAGATGGTAGTGCATGATTATATAATCATCATTCAAATGCAGAATAAGTTATGGGTAAGTATCATCACGCCTCAACTTGCCTTAATCAGCTCCACTAGGGTACAGAGAAACATAAAACTAGGAAACACAAAATGATATATCGGTAAATACAAATTTAAAACCTATTAAGAGGAATCAGATATAATAAAAGTCAATCACCACTTTACATCTATCTGCAGATGCAAATTAAGCCTGGGGCGACAAAATAATATCATCACATTCCTCCTTACCGACGCTCATGAGATATCAAATCGAAAAGAAACAGAACTTAGGATAAACTAATATACCTTGACGGAAATAAATCGATCGCTCTGCGGCCTCTTGAACCTCTTCACTCTCTTCTTGATTATCTTCTTGTCAAGTAGTGGTACCGCCATTCTAACTGACTTCCTGCAAGTAAAACACATCGTTGAACAACCATACTTTCCAACAACAACAAATCGAACGAGGTGGACTACGGCACGAGACTTCCAAACAAGTTTTTGATCCACACAGAACCATTATTGCAATAAAGAGTAGGAAACCACAGAGAAAAGAACGCAATAGAGAGTAGAGATTCGCTTACGAGAGTTGGGCAGTGGAGAGATCTGATCGGCCGTCTGGAGGATGTGTAAACAGCGCTTTATATAGAAGGCCAACCTTCGATTAGGGTTTTGAGAAGGGCCGCAAAGTAAATTAAATATAAATTGAAAATTGGACGGTCCAATATCGTGTATGTTAAATTTCTTCAGTTGGTACTTTGTAACTTTATTTTATTTTATTTTTAGTATTATTATTTTTTATTTTTTATTTTTTTTCCCTGCAATTTATGTTCTATATATTTTTATTTTTTTTTACAAGACACTATCAAATTTAAATTCAAATACAAATAACACAAATAATCGTGATTTTTTTTCTTTTAAATTTTAATATTTCATAAATAAAATAATATATATAATAAAAACTTAAATTAAAATAATCTGAATATAACATTTAAAAATCATAATAATTAAAGTAAATATATATATAAATTTACTCAATATATCAACTTTATGTATTTGACATTTTAATTAAAAATCAATACTATTCATTTATACAATTTTCATTTTTCACATAATACTCAAATTTTCTTATATTTTTCTTTAAAATATCCGCTTGAAGAAATATATCAAAAAAAATTGTTAATTAGGCAAAGAGGCCTTGTTCATACTTTTTTACGGTCCAAAGTTGTAAAAAAATTATAAGGAAGCCAATAGAAAGATCTTATCATTTTTCAATTAAATCATATTAAAAGTAACTCGCAAAGTAAAAAGTTGAAATGAGTCAGAAAAATATACTATCTTGATTGGAGCACTCGATAATGTGTTGATCAAACTTGGAGGGTGGAAAAGCATGACAAATTTTAAGGTTGCCTCTATAAATGATTATTCTTTTTTTTTTAATATAACATATATCTTTTAGACTGCTCAATCAATATTGTTACACAAAAATAGAATTTTGATTATGCAAAAAGTACCTTATGCATGGTAATTGAACAACGAGAGAATGAGCACAAGAAAAAAATGACTCTATACTTGCGACATTATTTATCAAAGATAATTGCTTGACAAACGAAAAATAACTGATAATATCTATGTCACGTGACCTTGCTGAGGAGAACAAGATAAAATCACATTGTATTCAATACTTTGGACATAACAGATGATTGATAAGTTTGCGCATCAAATTGAGAGAATCCGAAGCTACATACTTGAAAAGTGCAGAATAGTGCTTATGATGCACAAATACGGACAAGAAAAATTTAGTCCGCCAACATTTTATTTTGTTAAATGTTCAAAAAGCAAGTTTTACGACAATGAAATCGTACTTAAGAATATCACAAAAATAGATGAAATAATGGACAAACAAAATGTACAAAATATGAAAGCCGGGAAGGAACACATACAAGGCCATACCTATATGGGCGCATGTGCAACATTTGTGAGAGTTTGACGGGCAATGCGATAAATCATTGCCGATACTTTAAAAAAACTGAAACTATAGAATGTAAATATCGTTGGATATTGTTACTCTCAAATATTTTCGGATTTTAGAAGATGATTAGCAATGTAGTTCAGGGGAGTAGATGGCCGGTCCAAACAGTTCCAGTTTAGCCCAAATTTGTATACGAATAAAGACAAACTTAATCTGGATAATTGAGATAATGAAAAAGTAAGTCGAGACCTAAAGAAATGAGAAGTTGAAAAGAAAGTAGATAGAATTATGAACTAATTTTTTAGAAAATAATGGAATAGATATAGTGAAAATTATTTTAATATACTCTCCCGTCCCATAACAAAGTATCTATTTTTCCATTTTAGTCCGTCACATAACAAAGTATCAATTTCATTTTTTAGTAACTGTACTGTCTACCTAACATTAAAAATACTCTTACAACTTACAATATATTACACAAATGTCATTACCTTTATATCACACGTACTAACAATGTTATTTTAGTTATTCCTACTTTATTTATACTATATCTTAATATAATACTAATATTTCTAAAACTACGTGCAAAAAGCAAATGGATACTTCTTTTTGGGACGAAGAGAGTATATATTTTCTAGGAGAAAAGGAAGGGAGGAGACTCATCCTTTCAACACTCAAATAATTTTAACGATAACAGATAAATTGAATCATTAAATATCTCAGCTATAACGTGAGAACTAATTGTTGCAAATTATACTTGACAAGACAAATTACTCATGACTTCGCAGTCATAAGTCCATCCTTACACTAAAATTGCCACTCCTCGTGGCAGGTGGATCCGTAGTTTGAATCAATAACCTAATATCTTGCAAATTAGTTGCTAGGTGAACTATATGTGACAAAGTTTGAACCCATAATGTTAAGTTTGAACACATGATCTATATTCTGCAAATTAGTTGCTAGGTGAACCATAGGTGGCAGATGAAAGATATCGGAGTTTGAACCCATAATCTAATATATGCAAATTAATTGCTAAGTGAACTATGTGCTACATATGTTTCCAAAACATCGAAATTTGAACCAATAATTTTATGGTGAGGAGTCCTCGGGCCTTCAGGTCCCTTGCGAAAATTATTTTATTTATATTTTTAAACTTACATGTTCTTTATTTCAAAATCAGAAGTTCTTATGAAATTTTAATATCATATAAATGAAACTTCAAAGCAGAATACAGACCAAACAAACAACAAAAGACATACCCACATCCTGCCCTGCACTCCACAAGCAGGGCGTGTCACGCACGCACCACTATCTGGTACACAGCCAATTCTCACACGACTCCTCTTCTCTTTCTTTCCCCGAAACGAGCACGTGTCCATACGTCACTCTATGGGGGGCCCTTTATCCACGTGTCAAATTGCTATCGGTTTAGCCGCACTTTCCAAACTCTCGATCCCAGCCGTCAATCAGCACCTAGATAATCTTAACTTAAGCACGGGTTCAAATCGCATACGACCGGTTCTACACACCCTTTGCTTACAATGGTTGTATCTTTGGGACAAACCATGCCTACCATTTTTTAACCCACAAAAAATGCACCCTTTGGTACACCTCCCAGTCAACGGTTGCATAAAAAATCTTTGACTACTGGATGTAGGAAATCACGAAACTCCCACCGCCTATACATAAACGGCACAGAGAAGCGTAAATCCAGAGAGAGAAACCGCGTCAGTTTATAGACAGAGAGAAGACTCGGATTTCGGAGGGCGACGACCGAAGACACACAATCGGTATGTAGCGGTCTACACTGTGCGTTGGTCGCTTCGTAAATCGCAGCGATTTGGTATTCTGTGCGAGTGACGTGTTGAGTTGAGTGGGTAAATTTTACTCTTTTTGCTGAAACCGTTGCGCGCGGTTGGATTTCTGTACGTCTCCTTGTTTTCTGTTCTAGGGTTTTTGGATCGTGCGACGCGCTGGACGTTCTGAGTTTCTCGACGGGTTTTCTTCCATGCTGCTACTCTTATGATTTTGGTCATCACTCTTTGTTTCAAATTTTGATGTGAACGGATTTCTCCAGTTGAGTTGACTTTCGCTTTCTAATTAATTGAGGGTTTCTTTTATTAGTTTGTGCCGTTATTGGTAATGGATAGCAATGGTTCGTGGTTATGTTTTTATTGGAAATCATCAATTTACGGTTGTCTGGCTAATCAAGATTAGACTTCTCGTTGATATTGCCTTATTTCTGTCTTTCTTGTGAATTTGGAGTTTATCTGAGACATATATCTTCTGCTTGAATTCCTTCACTCTTTGTGGCTTCCTAGAAAATTTTATGTATATTCTCACTTTCCCAACACCTTGATGTTTCTTAATTTGGATAGAAAGGTGAAGCATGGATAGAAAGTTTACGAGATCTTGATCTAAATGTTATCATCAGAATCAGATTGTTGCGAGGCATTTGAATCAGTTTATATTTTTCTCTCTTATCTTGAAATCACTGGTTTATTGGTATTGAAAATTTTATTGTTTCAGTCTCCTCTGGTTGATTGATATTTAAAAGACGTGTTGTTCCACTCGGATGCTCTCAGCGCAATACAGGTGGCGACGACATACCTACAGATCAAATGCCATCTATAAAAATGAAAGCCAAGTTAGCCAAAGATCGTTCAAAAGGAAAACATGGTCTCCATAGATGCTGCAAGTCAAGCTTGATATCCAAGAGTCTTTATTCTCATTCTAGAGTTTGTCAAAACGCTGATAAATCTTCTACATGTACTCCATGCAATCAAGATGGAGAGGGTGAGTAAATCCTTAAATTTTGGATCCTTGAAGTTGTCACTCAATGTTGGATGCTTATACTTAATTTTCCCTTTATCTTGCAGCTTCAGTTTATGATGAAATATGTGTCCTAGACCTTGGTGGGAATGAGACTGTCTTTGATGAGTCATCCAATGAGGAGAATCTTTTCCTGAAGCATCCCCTAAGTGTAGAAGATTTTTCTACTGTAGACAGTATGGTAAGCAGAATTTTTTCTGGGTAGCTTGTTAAATAAAGCCATTGGCTACTGTGCTTTCAAAGCCTTTTTGCTAGCAGCCTTCAGCTGAAAGTGGATTTATAAGCAGCCACATTCGTCTTATAGTTTCAATATTGTTGTTTGTTTACTAATTAATCTTATTTTTAGGAACCCACATTTTACAGCTGCACCACAAACATAGAGACAATCTTTTCTCCCATCTCGGAGTCTACAGATCTCAACAATAATGAAGGTGCGCGTGATCCTAAGGAGTTGTAACAAGCCTCAATTTGATAATTGTATGGAGCTTCACTCGCGTGAATTTCAGTTTTCTAAAAACTAACTCCTCCTTGATTTTGTAGGAAGTGACAATTTTTATGTGCCACAATTGGACAGTGAAGACAGTGATGATTGCAGCAGATCATCAGACTTATATGTTTCTGACATGATTTTTTCTGCTCCATCCAATGGGAGCAGTTCTGTAATAGATGATGAAACAAATGCAGTGTTTCCACTTGATTTTCGTTGTGGTGATTCAGCCTTATACTGTGATTTGATGAAAGAATACATGACATTGCCCTTTTCTGAGAATGCTCTGGACACTGGAAGCGACCATGATGGCAGGCCATCTGAAGAGAACTTTGTCAATGTTGACAACTCTAGCTTGTACACGATGATTCATCAGTTGAGACCTAATGAACCAGATTCTGACATGATTCCTTACCCCGACCAAGAGTATGAGGGCTTTGATCCGCAAGTGTATATAAGAAATCTTCCCGATCAGCACGACATAGGATCTATTTTGTCGCCAAATTCAATACCAAACAAAAAGCAAGATAATAAACAGATTACGCTAGTACTTGATTTAGATGGTAACTACTCATTCTGAAATCATTTGTTGGGTACTTTGAATGCTTGCAATTTTGTGGCTGGTTTGATATTTTAGGTTTGGTTCTGTTGTCCTGATTTATGATGTGCAGAAACGCTTGTGCACTCTACCTTGGACCAGTGTGATGATGCGGACTTCACATTTCCAGTGTTCTTCAACATGAAAGAACATACTGTGTACGTGAAAAAAAGGCCTCACCTTCAGACTTTTCTAAAAAGAGTGGCTGAGATGTTTGAAATTGTGGTATTCACTGCTAGTCAAAGCATCTATGCAGAACAACTTCTAGATATCATTGATCCCGATGGGAAGTTTATATCAAGACGAGCGTATCGTGAATCATGCATATTTTCAGAAGGAAGTTACATGAAAGATTTAACCGTGTTAGGTGTTGATCTGGCAAAAGTTGCCATAATTGATAATTCTCCACAGGTAATAGAATACCATTTACAATTCCTTTTGCTGAATATTTGCTCTTTTTTATTCTGCAGATGTTGCTTGATGACTTGATCTTTATGCATTCTATTTTCAACTATGGATAGTGTAACAACAGAGTTAGAACTGGTACCGATTCAAGTAATTTCGGCTACTATCAATGACTCAGAATTCTGGATACAGTATGTCAATTTTCTGTTCTCTTGTAGTTCTTGCATCCCACAGATCACCAACCCAACTACTCTTATTGATAGGGCAATACTCTCAAGTGGATTAGATTCCTCAAGTCCTAGGAAACAAAAACCTTACAACTCGAAATGACCAATTTCATTCTTTTTAGATTACTAACCATATCTATCACACTTTTCACTTTCATACTTTATCCAAGCACGACATGCAAATTACAGGATCTGGGAACAATGTAATGTTTATCAACCAAGAGTTATAGCTTCATTACGGTGTGCGAAGTTTAGATTGTTGGCCTACCATTCACGTATTGTAGTCTTAACACTTTTGTTCCTGAAATTGATGTTGAATTCTTTGTTTTGTTGCCTCTGATTTTGTATACACATTCTTTGCTTAATATATTTTTTGGACTCAGGTTTTCAGGTTGCAAGTTAATAATGGGATTCCTATCAGAAGTTGGTTTGATGATCCCTCAGATTGTGCTCTAATTTCATTACTTCCATTTTTGGAGACCTTGGTTGATGCAGAAGATGTGAGGCCCATCATTGCTAGGAAATTTGGTAACAAGGAATAAGTGTTCCTTGACTATTCTTTGACTAGATTTTTAATTACTCTATTACATCCTTTTTTTCAAGTCAAAATTTGTCTTCATTTTTAGATGCATATCATCCTTACTGAGGCTTGGTTAAGGCATAAAAAATTTGAATCACTATTCTTGTTTTCAGTCCAATTATCATCATTCCGATATGGCCTTTTAAGAACCTTGTTAGTTGATCAAGTTAGTTTCTAGTTCCAAGGCTCCTGCTTGTGCTGTATAGTAATAGGCTATTGTTAGGTCTTTGCGAGTGTGTATATGATTTGATCTATGAAATAAAGTGTGATATAATTTTAATTTACTTATGACCCCTGTAGTACATATGGCTGAGCTACATAATTTCCAACTGCTAAACATAATTGCTTATATATGCCTAAGTGACATTCAAAGGCACTGTTTTTTTAATGCAATTTAATACGATGTGCATTAGTAATATCCCAAAGATTCTGATTTTAGCAGACATCTAGGAAACATTAATAACATAGTCATGGCATATGGCTGGGTCGCCATCAAATTTATTCCTGTAGGTAATTAAGTCTTAACTATTGGGTTTTTGATATTCGGAGCTATGTTTTCGCTATTACAAGTCACTGAACATGTAAGCCAGCTGATTTAATGTAATTGGCACTTCCCTTGGAATTGAGATTGTTATTAACAACCCATCAATCACGATTTGTTATTTGAATTTGAAAAAGATATTATTATTATTATTATTATTATTATTATTAATCCTTTATATATTCTTGAGAAGCTGCTTAGTTCAAGCTTGGATAGGTTTATAGTCAGGGAGGACAGCAATCTGTAACAAAATAAAAAGAAGAAGTTCTAGTATATCTTCCATTTGCTAATTTTCTATGTTGATATTATGTGATTTCGCCTTTGCGTTCAGTTAATACATTCTACTAACAAATTTGGCTTTGAGCACACCAGGCACAGTTTTCTGGATAACACGTGCAAGTCTCACCTCCCCTCTCGTATGAAGACTGTATCTGTCTTCGTGATCACTGTGTTTACATTTCCCGTTCTATATTAGATTGTCTTACTTAGTGTCACTAATTTCTCTCATCAGGTTCTTTGCCTCGGCAACAGTGTTTGTATGATCAAGGTATGCATAACAATATGCTAATAAAACATTCGAACGCCAAGTGCCATTAATTCAGGAACGATGCTATCCTGCCTTGTAAATTTAATTAATATTGTTGGAACGCAATGCACTGTTAACATGGGATTGGACAGATTAGTGTTTTGCAAGAATTAGGTCAGATTTTCTAGTTCAAGTGCCCTGCTGCAGGTCATTTGATAATATTGCTTGTCTTCTCTCAATATATGCTGTGAATTTAAATTATTTCTAAATATAGCAGGACTTCTCGCAAAATTGGCCCAGTAAGTGAACTAAGGAACCATATGTTGAAAACTAATCTTATCATTAAACAACTATTAAATGGCAAGAAACCGTATTAAACTGATAAGTAAACATAACAAGAAAGCCTGCAAATGAGTCTGGTGTCTAATCTAAATTGATTATAACTAAATACCAATTTATTATCTCCAATTTCCTCATTTACTTTAATTTTTAACTAAATAATCAAATACTAAAATATTATTTTTTTGGAGAGAGTAATATTTTTATTATTTTATTTATTTTTCTATATTTTCAAATATATTTCTTATTTAAATTTTATATTCTAATAACAAATACTATTATAATTCATAAAATATATATTTTATATTTAAACATATTTTATAAATAAAATATTTGTTCATAATAATTATAAAAAATCGTTATTACTTTATTTATTCATTTATATAAAATAATTCATATATAATCATATTAATCAATAATATTTTATTAAAAAACATAAAATATTGTAGAAGATTTTATAAATCATTGAATTTGTTTTAAATATTTTTTATAAAAATTTTATAGAATGATTGGATTTTTTCTTTCAATATTTATTAGAAAATTTTATAAAATCTTATTCTTTCACATTTTATTTAGACATATTTCTCTATAAATATTATAAAAATATAATATATATTCATATTAATATAATATATATTTGATTCATTCGCAATAAAATTATTATTATTAATATTATTTATTAGTATTTATTAATTATTTTTTTAGATAAAAGTAAAAATAATCAAAAGATAAAAAATTCAGAAATAATTGCAAAAAAATATTCCGCACCGGTCAAAATATATCCCATATATTTACAAAAGTCGATATTTATGTCCTTTGCCTGCGCGCGTGACACTCACGCCACGCACCCTTACGCGCGATCACGCGCGGCCACGCGAGGCCAAAAGATATAAATAGCGGCTTTTGTAAATAGATATATTTTGCCATAAATACAAGACAAAAGTGATAATGGGATTATAATGAGATATTTTTTGCAATTTTTTCAAAAAATCCATTATTAACCAATAATGTTTATTTTAATATATGTATATAAAATGAAAAAATAAATATAAAAATATGAATATATATATATATATGAGTTAATGTTATTTGATTTATATAATTATTAATAATTTTATATTTAAATATATTTTAATTAATTATTTTTATATTTTTGTTAAAAAAACATTATTAAGGGCTTTATTTATTCCATTGGCATTGGCGTTGTCACGGGAAAAGCAATTTTAACGATGAGTATTTCGGTTTCTTGCTCTTCTCTCTACTCTAGCAAGCACTTGTGTAAATCTCCCAGCTCACATCAATACAGAGCGTTTTGCCACGCCTCTCCTCAACTTCAACAGTTTCACAGGAAGCAACAGTTAAACTTTAGCTCCTTAGTTTATAATCCATTTAGGTAAGTATGCTGCTGTGAATTTGGAGCCTATCATATGAAAAGTTTGGAATCTGATTGGAATATTTTGGTAGTAGGATTTCTATTTTTTTTTATAGATGGCAGTTTGTTGTGTAAGATTACTAAAATTAGTAGATAATTGAACAGATCGGATTGAATTCAAACTGAAGAATGAATTTTGAGCTAGGGCTGAAGAAAAAACATTGGATTAATAATTTCATTTTTAATGAATGTTAGACAAAAACAGCAGAATAGTTGATACTTTATTTTTACTTCCACTAGTCAACACTTAATTTTTTCGCTCATGATCTAAAGCTTTCTCTCTATAAATAAGTTATTATGCATGCATTGATTCCAGGTCATTGGTAATGAACAAGAGAAGGCGTGGAGTTGGTGCAGTCTGCTATTCTGCGCCGTTTACTTATCGGAATCTTCAATGGGTCTCCACTGTTTGTACTACGTATGTTGTTATGTGTTGATATCTTTTCACATTGATTCTTGTACTCTGGGTGTACAGGATTTTCAGTTCTTGAAATATCAGCAAAAATTAGAAGAGTTGCCTGCTGGAATGAGCAACTTGTGTGTATTGTGTTGATTGCGGAATTTAATGTGGCATAAGATGCATATCGGATCATTTGATCTTAGTTTAAAATTTGCAACAATTGCAAGTAACTTTTTAGGCACAAGAAAAGGAATTATTTTGTGGAAGCCTTCTAATTTGTTGATGGCTTTTTGGGTGAAGTTTAAGTAGTTAGAGTTTTCTATTTTAAGCCTTCTGTGATAGAGCTATTGTACAGTGATAGTCGGTTCATGTGTACTCATCAAGTATTCCTGTTTGATCCAAGTTGAATTTTTATGTATCTGTCATAGTATCCTGAGATATTTGATGAATGTGATATTATAAATTACCAACTGAATCCTTTTTCAGGGCCTTAATGCTAGCTCGGGGAACAGCCATTCACAAATCATTTCTTGTTCCTTTCTTTGTCCTACAAGCACCTCCAAGCATCGTCACATGGATGAAGTCCAACATTTTTATTTGCCTATGTTTATTTAGTACTAGTTTTTGATTGATTGCTCATGCTTTTAGTACTAAAACATGGCTAGTTTTCAGGGGTGAGTATGGCATCTGGACTGCATTCTTAGCCCTTCTTGTTCGCCTTTTCTTTGTGATTCCTGGTAAGTTTCTTTCTCATACCAATATACACATGTGCACACACCTTTAAAAAAAACCTGTAATAGACAAGAACCCTGCTCAAACAAATATAATTACTCCCAAAATTTGTGGGAATCTTCTTATAGTTGCTATATTTTCTATATTCTTAACCTTATATGCTGAACAAACTGTGTAAAATTGGTTTGAGTTATACATCCATTCATATATTGTGTGCAGGGGAGCTAGAGTTGCCATTCATAACTCTGCTGTTGGTCATTGTGTCCCCATATCAGATTATGAGGCTGAGGTTAGTAAATGCATCATATACAATTTACTTATGTAAATTTTAGCTGTGTAACAAATTTCATACCTGCGGCAGAGGAACACAAGAAGGTGTTATTATCTCATTGGCGATTAGCGCTTATCTGGCTTTCCAGCATTTTACAAGAGCCGGTAGCTTGCAAAGAGCTTTGGATCAAGGTTCAATTCTTGCCACCTTAGCTACCATTTGTATTGTTGTTGTTCCGTGCCTGCATTTGCTTTAGCGTGTTGTTGTGGGAATATGTCTAATGATATGTAATCTATTGACTTCAGGTCATCACATAATTAATACAATATCTTGTTGGTTTATAATTCATCACATGGGATAATGCATTTTTAACATATTCTGAATGAAAGCATGGCAAGAAATATCCATCTTCGTGTTGGTTTTAAATCAGAAATTTACATAGGTGCACATTTATATTGATTAGCTGATATGTTGGATTAATTCATGCACATGTTGCATTTACATTGCTTGATAAATTAGTGATTGTATTATGAGGGAATAGGTAACATGTATCTGCTTATGAATGTACTAACATTCGTTCACTACAACTATCCTAAATCAGCTATTCCTTGTCTGGAAATTCTTATTTAACTTAAAAAGTATAACTACAATAAACTACTATGAGTGATGCAATATGTATGTGTATGGCCTTTAGAGTAGTGTCTTGCAGTGTATCTCTGCCTCAAAATTTTGCATAGCTTTGAAGCTACCAAGTATCTGGTTTCTCATCATATGGGAGATGAAAACCGAATTTATCTCCACATATCAGTTATTGTTGACTAATGTAGCTGAAAAAATGATGCAGTTCATGGTGATGAGTAGCAGCAGGTTGAGTGACACATTGTCTACTGAATTTGGGGTAGCTGTAGGTTCAGCACCATAATCATAGCCTGTTGGTTCTGAACCAAAACCATTTCCTCCAGTTGGGTAGGGATTTCCCATAGATGTGCTGCAAGAGGGATTCTTTTTTTCAGTTCCCTTCTTGTTTACTTAACTTCAGCTATCATACTAATTAAGACTTTACCTGGGTGGTGTCATTGGAATTGTTGGCGTCATAGTAGTTGTTGGTGGAGGCATTGTTGGAGTGCTTGTGGGTGAGGCGTATCGACAGTTCCCATGACCTATGTATCAACATGATCAAGAATGTGAGGTTAGTTAATGAAAGAATAATGCCTTTGCAAATGTGTATGTTCTGAGCTAAATTTGAAGTTTAGGATCTGTATTGAACCAGTTGGAAGAAAGTAAGTAGTGGATTGTGATAGAAGTGGTTAGTTTTTTCAATTTACCCGACACTGACAATAGGGCTACTAAAAGGGTAGGGCTTATTGATCCCAAACAAGTTAAAAGCTTACTCGGATCATTGTAACTCAGCTGTGCTGTCCCTCCGAAATCACAGCTAGTCGGGGCAGGGTTTTTCTGGTAGTAATTATTGAAAGCATAGGAAGCATGATCACGAACTGTATTCGGATCATAGCAGGCACCGTTCGGTTGAATTGCCGAACAGTCTGCTCCTCCATAGCCACATGCATAATCCAGAGCCACCTGTAGAGCAGTCGGGGATGCAGTGGGATTTGCAATGCACCAACTCCCGCCTCCCGTTCCCCCACCAGGTGCTACTCCTCCGCCGGGTAGTGCTGGAGGTGTCGGTTTTGTTGTTGGTCCTGTTGGAGCCGGTGGTGATGGACCGGTTGGATTAACTATAGGAGTTGTACCTGGTGTTGTCGGATTCACAATAGGAACATTTCCGGGATTAGTGTCTCTCTGGGTTGTCGTCTCCGGGAGAAATGGAAATAACATTTGGTCTTCTTCATAATCCAGTTTTCCATCTCCTTGGATTTGTTCCAAGGGTGGCTGGTCTCCATTGCCTATACCTGAAGGGAAGATAAAAGGCATTTATTGGCCTCGAGTTATTCTCATAATGCTCTAATTCACTCTCAAATATAAAACACCTCCATCAATTTCTTACTACTATTCAATCTCTGATTAAATTTCTCATCATTTTAGCCTGCCTGCATCTCTTACAAATGACTTTAGATCATTAGAGTAATCTAGAACAGTAGAATGCAAAATCACCTGATGAGACCAGTAGAAGGCAGAGGATAGATAATGTTGTTGGATGCCATAGTATTCTTGCATACACAACCATCTTCTTCTTCTAGTAAACCTAAAGACCAGATATATCGAAGGAGGAACGGTGTCTGGTGGATGAAGTAACTAACTACCTTCATCCTCTGCCCAAACCTTACATGATGTATATATATAATAAAGTGTGAAGAATCATAGGTTCCTTGCACAGAAGTGAGAAGAGGGACGAAAACAAAGGTGTCTTTGTTGGGGAATATAAGAAAACTTAAGGCAGGAGGCATTGGATTGCTGGTAATGGTGGTATCTACATTCTACAAGCAAATTAAAGCAGCAGAGAAGAAGAGTGTGGGCAGATTGTTAAGAAAAAAAAGTTGCATGAATAAGAAAAAGGCAAAAGGGAGAATCTTTGTCTAATATGCATCTATATCTAATACATATATATATATATATTCATATAGCACCTGTGTCTTTCCACTGTTGCAAAGTTGCAACAATTAAAAACACTAGTAAACTCTTCTCTTCTCTTGTCTTGTTTTCTAATCTGTAAAAAGGCTCTACTGTAGTGCTGGATTTGATGCTACTTTGTCAGCCAGCACCTACTGATTTTATGCTGCTTCTTCATTACTGATGTCCCTTGTATATATATATATATTATTGATAAGCAGAAGGTACTGATATTTGACAGTATCAGAAGCAGTGCTGCCTGTGTCTGGTCTGTAAAAGACTTCTTCACAGACACTTGTAAAAAAATGAAGATAATGGCAGTGCAGTCGCCACCAGGTAGAAAAATTAAAAAATAAAGATGCCATGGCCAACAAAATTGTCATTAAAAAAAAAAAGAAAAAAGAAGAAGAAGGAAAATACTTGTATTTGGAGGGAAAAGCCCATAGCCTATGTTACTGACTTCGAAAAATATCAGAGGCCCCGAAATGTTCAATATTACCGTCCGAAGAATTAGCCCAAATTACTTGGTCCGTGTAGCTGTCTTAAATTGTCTTACTGATTTGAGTAGGCTTTCCTTTCGGATTGATTTGTTTAACTTCGCTTTGAATTGAGAATTTATTTGTTTATTTATTAAAATAATGTTTGTTTGTTTGTCTAAGATTTTTTATTTGATATGATTTTTAAATATATATATATATTTGATTCATTCATGAAAATCAATATTCAAAATAAAATTATTACTGTATGTTTTATATTACTAATACAATTTTCTATATTTTATATAAAAATTACTAAACAAACAAATTCAATATTTAATATTTAAATTATTATTATTTTCCACCAACTAGTCTTATGCACAATTTATTAATGTTTTATCCACTCATTTATTTATTAATTTATTTATAACCGTTGCTATCTGAAAATGCGGCATTGGTAAATCCCGCATAATCTGTGTGACAGACAAGACTTAAGGTACAAGGTTTTAATGCATGACCTCATTTTCACGAGTTCATTCAAAATTTTAATTTTTAACTCAAACCATTTTTATTATTATTAGTTTTTATCAATGTATAAAAAATATTTATATTTCCTCTATTCACTAGTAAAATAGATACTCACCCCGTTTATTTTTAAGATCATATTTATTTTTGCGTTCTATTAGCATCATAAGATATTAATTAAAATATTTTTTTTAAGTTTCTTTTTTAATTTGTACCGCTCCCTCAGTCTTAATTTTTAGTACATTTTTTTTTTTTATCATTTTTCATTTCAATTTAAATTTTTTTTTTATCTTTTAAATTATAAATATACAATTAAACATATGGAAGGAGACAATATTATTTATTATAAAAATCCAAATGTAAAATTCCCGTCCAAACAAACCTAATTGAAATAATTCTTACGTGACCGATTATTATTTTCAATTAAAGAGGATACATAAATGGAAAATATAGTATTATTAAAACAGACGAGATAACTGCGTGAAGAAAGAAGCATGCCTCAGCATCAGAGTGTGAAGGGTTTCCGAAACTGCAAAGCATCGTCTTCCTCGCCAACTCTCGTCTACGGACTTCTCGACCGGAAAAGCTTCCTTGTTCTTCAACGGCGTGCCGTGGATAAGCAAGCATAAGTTGGTTCGCCGCTGGGTTTTGGCGTTCTTTATTGGTGTCCTGAATTTATTGATCCGTTTGCTTTCTAATTTGAATTTATTGAGAGGGAAAGGCAGCGAGAGGAAATATAGCCGAGCGTTGGTGATTAGAATAATTGCGTTAGATCTGTTTCAAGGGAAGGATGAGTACGAGCCGGGGAAGCGGCGCCGCAGCGGAGCCTATTCCGGCGGGGGCGCGGAAAGTGGTTCAGAGTTTGAAGGAGATAGTCAACTGCTCCGAGGTGGAGATCTATGCTGCTCTCAAGGAATGCAGCATGGACCCTAACGAGGCCGTAAATCGTCTTCTCTCTCAAGGTTTCATTTTTAGCTGAAAAACCCTAGTTTTTAATTTTTTATATAATTATTTTAAAATTTCTCTTTGGCGTTTACTTTTTCGAGCCTTTACAAGAGGAGTTACTGGTACTGGTTGGTAAATTGTTCGTTCGAGTCTTTTTGGAAATCGTTTTTTTTTTGTCCGTTCTGGTTGCTAAACAAACTGGCGAACTCTGAAACCGCAGCGTACATCTCCGATTGGTTTTGTTAAAATTGTAAAAAAGTAAGGTTTCAAGAAACAAACCGTTTCTTTTCTCTTTGGGGGTGATTTGAAAATTCCGGAACTAGTTCTCTCTGAAACCAGAGATGTTTCTTCTGCACTTGACTTTTTTATGGACGAAACATGAGTAGTCTTTGAAGATTCATTTCCCCTTGACTACCTTATTCTCTCTTTTGTTTTGAATAATGTACTGATTAATTGATTGCATATATGCTACGGGTTAATAAGAGAATGATGAATTATATTCTTTTATCGGAAAATGTTCTGTTTTGAGTTATGTACACTTGGCACATTTCTGTGCATTGTAAGTTAAAATGTATTGTGGGGTTGCACCATACACCATGATTTGGTAAGAGGACAGATAAAAACTACTGGCTGTTTTGTTGGGTTGTCAAGAGCCTTTTACTTTTAAGTCCATCCTGATATGCTCTACCATTGTTTAGATCCATTCCACGAGGTGAAGAGTAAACGAGAAAAGAAAAAAGAGGTGCGTGATTTTCATCACTGCAAAATTCAACAACGGGTTGTATGTATTAGCTAAATAACTGATTTCATCTTAAAATGAAAATGAAGACTCTTTGAAGAAATTATATGTATCTTCATATATGTCGAATCTAATGGGTCTTGATGTGTTTAGTTTCCTTGCTCTCTCCCTTAAAAACAGAATAATCAATTGTCAGGACACAAGCATGGGTTCTATGTATCACCTTGTTATCAGGCTTGATTTTAGTTTTTAAGCATATGGCGTAGGTTAATGCGATTTGGTTGTGTACTTTAATTGGGACATGTTCTTCTATGTATTTATGTCAATACAGGGCAAGGATCCCCCTGAATCCAGGTCTCGCGGAGCTACTAAAAATTTAAGCCGTGGCAACAAGATTGGTACTGATCATTATGGGGGGCATGGTGGTTCATCATCATATAATTCTTCTGGTACTCGAAGCTTAAGTGTTTATTGAAGTTGATAAACCTCTAGGTTGTCTGTAAGGCAATATAGAACAAATATTAAGTATTGTTATATTGCCTTAAACAGATTTAGCTCCATTGCCTGGAAAGACACCCTATAAGAAAGAACAAGGGTCAATTCCTCATTCGGGCTTTTCATCTTCAGTGCCAGGCATGTCAGCGAACACTAGAAGCAGAGGATCAGTGGGCCTCAGGTACTTCCTCTATCAACTTTTTGTCTTACTGTTTTTTATTTTCACTCTTTGATTTTACTATATAGTGAACTGCTTTAAGTTCTATATTGGTAATGACTCATGATAACTGAGTTGTTAGTTTGACCATAAGTAATACTATTTTCATTAGCTCTTCTTTTTAAATTTTTTTTTATTTTTTATTTTTTATTATGATTGTTTTTATGTATAAAACGAAAATTCTGATTTTTCTTATTATTTGTGTGTTAAGCAGTACCAGTGTTTACATCTAAAGCTTTCTAATGTGCTTATTTTTGTTAAACAAATGGCGGGGTATCCTGATATTCCCAACTGCAATATTTATCATGTTCAGTATCAGGACTTGGTACTTGACTGGTGTTGTTTCAGGCATTCTTATTTAAGTCTGAGTCTTATGGATGCTCTTAAGTCTTCCAAGTTGAAGCATGGGCTGTTCTTTTTCTATCATGCTGGCTATTTTCTGTTTCAAAACTTTCAATTATCATTGAACATTAAATTTTTTCTGTCTTGAATGCTGCAGTAATGGTCCCCCTGGAGAAATGAAAACCTCGCCATGGGGCACTGTTGATGCTACTCCATCTAGTGACGAACAGCCAACTTCTGTTCATCAATCTGCATGGATGGGTGCTCCTGGTCAACTTTCCATGGCTGACATTGTAAAGATGGGTAGACCACATAATAAAGGGTTGAATGCTTCAAATGCATTGAATGGCGATTATCCAGTGCCAAGTGTGACAGATCATAATTTAAGATTTCCAGACGATCATGTGGGTGAAGCTCCTGAGTCTGGAATTTCTTCCATGCAGTATGCACCGACCAGTGAAGATTGGCCTATTGATGAAAATCCAACTGCTTCGAAAGTGATTACTGCCCCAGCTCCAGCCCCAGAATACACTATTGACCGTGAGCAGCATCTAGAGACATCGGATGCACTTTCTGGCAGTGTTGATGAACATTTTGAGGAGGAAGAGGTTCAAGAATCAGATGATGGAAGGTTGGAAGTTTCTGGGACTCATCATGTTGGATCTGATTTTGTATATGGGAGGAAGATTCTACATGACAATTCTGGTGGTCCTCCAGTGTTTGAGAATGATATGCATAAAAACATGGGCTCTTATCAGCATCAGACTCCTGAATATAATTCAGGTGATCGTTTGATTGTTATTTCTTTTAATGTAATAATTTGTATTATATTTTATCGTTAACATATGAAGTTCTTGGGAATTTTGTGCAACTTGAGATGGATTACAAGGTTAATGTTTTGGTAGATTGGAAATTGAAGATAGTTCTCGGGTACCCAAATATCAGCAAATACTATGTTGACTGTTGAGATTAGTTCCTTATTGCTTGGGCATATTGTTTTTCCTTTTCTTGTTTAGCTGCTTGACTTTGTATCATTGTTAATGCTTTCAGATGAAGAACCTGGTGCTTCAGTGTCAGCAGTTGCCCAAAACTTACAACAATTAAGTGTGGAAGAGGAGTATAATGACTTGCCATCTTCGAAATGTGTGCCCTCTGTATTAATCCCAGATCACTTGCAAGTTCAAGATGTTGATTGTTCACACTTGAGGTTTGGTACCTATAGATTGGACATGAATGCTGCGTACTCTTCTGGGACTAGAACTTCTATGCCTGTAAAACATGACTTGGAGCAGCCACATGCTGATGCTGGTACTTCATCAGTTGGGCATCACGAGACTAGGTATTGCAAGCTACAATTTTTGTCGGAATCTAAAAACTGCGTTTCTTTCTTCCCCTATTTAAACTTGAAAGGACAGTTGATTTTTACTCCCCTCTTGTTGCAGAAGCTCAGAGTATTTTGATGATTCACATACAAATGCTGCTGATGGTAGATTGTTTCATAGAGACAGTGCAAGTGCAGGGAGCTATGTGGCTGCTGCTTCGAAACCAGAGGAATCTCAACCTGAGGATATTGGAGTGCCTCGTAATGATTATCATTTTCTTAATTCCAATTCAGGTTACAACTTTGATGATGCCCAACGCTTAAATGCTGCTCTCAGTCAAACAAATTCTCAGATGCAAAATCTCACTCCCTTCTCAAATGTTATGGTACAGTACATTCTGTCCTCCATTTTAGATTTTGTCACATGTTTTGATATGTGTCACCTTCTCTCACTAGTTGTGAGTTAGTTGCATGTCTCCAGAATTCAATTGTTAAGTTATCTTTTAAAAAATGGGCAGTTGCTTTATTTATTGGTTTCTTGAGTGTTTAAATCCTGAAAACAGAAGAACGGATAGTGTAGCAATGATATCGTTTTATATGTGTGTGATATTGTGCTTACTGTGGGAGTTAGCGTGCAGTAAATTCATTGAAGTCAGTTTGCTTTTACTAGTCCAAGTATTCATTGATCAATTTGTATTGGTTCTTATCAACAAACAGCAGTCGTACACGGACTCATTACCGAGCACTTTACTACTGGCTAATATACCTCCCAGTAGAGAATCTGATCTTCAGTACTCTCCATTTCCTGGTACACAATCAACAGCTGCTAAATATGGAAATTCTGTCTCCTCCATTGGTGCTTCAGTAATTTCTATGTCCGAGGTACTCATGCAAATTTTTATTTCTTGTTTTGTTTTCGCATAAATTAACCAACATCAGTTTAACCTTCTAAGTGCAACATATAATTTTCTGAACTTGATCGAAACTTGGCCTCTGATTTTGTGCTACTGTTCGAACCTTTCAGGCATTGAAGACTGCTGGTTCCTCATCAGCACAGACAGCTCCACACAACCTCTCGGCGACTAATGTTGCCACAGGACCTCCTCAGCAACAGCACCTAACTGTACATCCATCATATTCACAGCACACTCTTCCGTTGGGTCCATTTGCCAACATGATCGGTTACCCACTGTTGCCTCAGAGCTATGCCTACATGCCTTCTGCTTTTCAGCAAGCATTTGCCGGCAACAACTCATACCATCAATCTCTAGCAGCTTTACTTCCACAATACAAAGGTGATGTTTCTGCAGGGAGTTTGCCTCAGTCTGCTGCTATTCCATCCGGATACGGCGCCTTTGGAAATGCAACGATTCCTGGAAACTTCCCAATCAACCCAGCCAACGCCCCGTCTGGGGCAACTCCCCTAAATTACGAAGACGTTCTAAACCCTCAGAGCAAAGACATTAGCCACTTGATGGCTCTTCAACAGGTACGTACATTCCCCTCTCTTAAATCCCAATTCAATTTACCAATTTCCTTGACCACTTAGCATAATATCTGCCCATTCATGTCCGTTACAGAGCGAAAACGCTGCTGCAATGTGGCTTCATGGACCTAATTCCCGGACAATGGCGAGCCCGTATTACAATTATCAGCAAAGCGGCAGCCTGAGGCAACCGCAGCCGCAGCAAGCTCCCCATAATTACGGTGCACTTGGATACCCGAATCTCTATCACTCCCAGCAGCAGGTGGACGATCTACAGAACCCGCGAGACGGATTGCTCGGTCCCTCCCACGGACAGCCGAAGCAGTCCCAACTTTGGCAGAACTACTAAGTTTTTATGGCGTATGGATATGCTGTGTATCAGTCAGTCCATATTTCAGTGAGCTCTGAAGAGTTGTAATCCAGTCCGCTTGAAGAACAGATTCTAATTTTGTCCTAGTGGGATGAAAGATGTTTTCCTTTTTCTTGGCCTTCTGTCGCATTTGCTTACCTGAAAAAGTAAATATATATAATTATGGTATTACATCTGAAGTATCAAGTGCGATTTAGATTAAATTTTATATATTTATTGTATTGAAAGCTCTATTTTATCGGATAGCCTTTTTATTTTTTATTTTTTTGAAATGGAAAATAAGATGAGAGTCGGTTTATATTTCGCACGTGTGGAGGTGCGAGCCTCAGCGGTTTCTAGCCTTACGCTCTGAAGTCTGAAGTGAGCGCTGCATTTCCATGCCACTTTTACCGCCGCGTCGGCAGCGGCGACCGCTCTTCGTAGCTTGCGAATCTCTCTTGGTGTTGTTTATATGCTACGGGAGTTCGGCTGTGGTGTTCTGGTAATTTCGTGCTTTCTTATTCACGATTCTGAAGTGAATTATGCGTAGGAAGAAATTTATCGGGAATATTGTTTCGGCTTGGCGTAGTTTCTTTTCTGAAAAAAGTGATAAACCCTATAGATTCACGCCACGAACTTCAAAAAGCATAGTCAAAATTGACTGCACTTCAACTATATCAACTGCGCTTGAACTGGTAGATAAATTCTCTCATTTTTATTTTGTTCGAACAGTTAGATCAGTTTTTGAAGTGATATAGATTTTTTAAGTTCATGCCATTTGTGATACTTTTTGCCATACCAGTACATTGATAAGCTCGCTCTTTTTCTCCCCTCGCTAAAAGTTACAGTTGTCTCAGTTTGTTATCGGTAAAGCATTTATAGTAGCTAATGAAATCGAAATGTTGGAAGTTTGTCTGTTGTATGTTAATTAGTGGCAATTAAAGCATTAATTGCTTCGGTAAAATAGTGTACTCTTTGTGCAGCTACACCTCAAATGATTCTGTTATATAATTGGCTTTTTTGAGTTAACTATCTTTGCGTATTGTTTCCCCACTTACGGCATTTGACACAGTGTTTTGTTCCCCAATGTCTGAGCTTCTCTTTGTCCCCGAAGATGCACATTTATGAAACGTTTTGCTAACTGTGAAATCATAGGCGCTCCTTCCCATTTGAAGCGCTAGAAAGTAATCATGATTGGAGTAAGTGAACAAAGTTTCTCCCAAAACAATCCTACTAAGAAGCCTGAAAGCCAGAGAAGTCAATGCCACAAGGATGCCTTGCCAGAGCAGCTGTGGACAGATGGACTTATCTGCGCTTTTGAATTTGTCCGAGGGCATAAAACATCAGTTCTTTCAAAATCCTTATCCAATATCCCATCTCCGTGTCATGGCAATAATTTTGTGAAGAACCCTATGGACTCTGATGGCAGGCCTTTGGCAATGCAAGGACCGAAGCGGGACACACGATTTGATCCTGCACCCCCTGTTGAACTGGCAAGTAACCAAGCTGGGATTTTGCATGTAGATGGCCAACATGCTAGATTTAACAATATTCATCCTGTTGAAAGGCGTGAAGGGTCTCATTGGGTTCCGATTGGGTGGCCTAGACTATCTGAACTTGTCCAAACTATGCATGTTGATGCAGAATGGTCCGCTCAACAGTTTGAACTAACAGATGATGAAGAGGATCTCACTGTTGCTGACTTAGCTGCTCCTTATTGGGAAAGACCTGCTGGCCCCACATGGTGGTGCCATCTTACTGCTGGTCATCCTACTGTTGAGGCGTGGATCAATTCTGCACAGTCATTACACCCTGCTATTAGAACTGCTTTGAGAGATGAAAGCAAGTTGATGAGTGATAGAATGAAACACCTATTATATGAGGTATTTTCTGCCCGACATAGTTATTTGAATCTAGTTTATTGAAATTAGTGAAGGAGACTCAGGTTGTTGTACTGAACTTTGATTGGCATTGTGTAGATTGCAATGTCTTACCATTCAACATGCCAAGTTGTATGTCTGCTCCCTCTGTGTGTGGGTGCACTGGCACATCACTTAGCAGGATGCATATGTACAATTTTCAGCATTTGGAGCTTAGTATTTAAAACCGGTTGCCTTTTCACACAGGTTCCAGTAAGGGTTGCTGGAGGTTTATTGTTTGAACTCTTGGGGCAATCAGCTGGTGATCCTTATGTTGAAGAAGATGACATCCCTGTTGTCCTCCGTTCATGGCAAGCTAAGAACTTCCTTATAACTGTTCTACACTTAAAAGGATCTGCTTCAAGAATCAATGTTTTGGGCATTACAGAAGTCCAGGTTTTTGTGACTTTCTTTTCTCTGGGTAATATGTTTGTGTAAACCTTTGTAGTGAATTACTGATATCGCCTGCATTTACTTGTTAGGAACTTCTTCTTGGTGGTGGTTTCAATACGCCAAAGACGGTACATGAACTTATAGCATATTTAGTTACTCGGTTGGCTCGGTGGGATGACAGGTGAGATTAAAAGGTCACTAAGATTGTCTGGCTCACATACTTGATTACATTAGTTGCTTATGTGGAGTCAAATACCACAGATTTATGATCAACCTCCAAGAAGCTACTCTTATTAGTTTTGTGTCATGTTTTACTACATTGTTTTTATTATGTGAAGGTTATTCCGGAAATCCATTTTTGGGGCAGCAGATGAAGTGGAACTGATGTTTGTAAACAGGTAGCAGAAGCTGTCCCAACTCTATCACTTACGCACCTCATGTTCTCATTCTCTGTTGTTTTATCTACAGGAGAAACCATGAAGATTTGAATCTTTTCAGTTCTATACTCAACCGAGAAATAAGAAGGTTATCTACACAGGTTTATCTGTGTGTGTTTGGGTTACAGTTGTGAATAAATTCTTCCAGATTGATTATAGAACTATTGATCTTATAGATATGGATTGAGATTATGCTTTACTAGGTTTTAATATATAAGATTGTTTGTACCACGTCCTTTTACTAAATCTGTCTATATATTTGTTGGCGGTATTATGTAGGTTATTAGGGTGAAATGGTCACTCCATGCAAGAGAAGAGATAGTATTCGAACTTCTCCAGCATTTAAGGGGAAATTTAACCAAATCTCTACTGGAAGGAGTAAGGAAGAGTACTAGGCAGATGATTGAAGAGCAGGAAGCAGTTCGTGGTCGTTTGTTTACCATCCAAGACGTCATGCAGAGCACAGTTCGTGCATGGTTACAGGTTTGTATCTTTATGGAGTCTTTCTTCTGATTCCAAAGATTTATTCATGTTGCTATAAAAATGAATCTTGTGGTCACCGGCTTCCTAGCTGGTCCAGGACAACACTTAAAATGGCTATAATGATGAGTCTTTTTTCCAGGTCCTGGTTTTTGAATTGGCAAATTCTCAAATATATGTTGTCCTTGTATTTTAAAAATGTTTGTTTCACTATAGGTTTACAGTGTTGTAGTTGCATGGGTTGGAACTTTAGAAAATGTTGCAGCGCTGATAGAGCTAATCATTTTCCAGAGTTAGTGTGGGGAAGGTTTTTCTGTTTATTGTCAGTTGGGCTCAATTTTTTGTGTGCGATATAGATATCGTATTTTATTAGCGATATAAGTAGCTAACGATGTAAATTTTCTGGCTTTCGGTTATTCCAGGATAAAAGCCTCCGAGTCACTCATAACTTAGGAGTCTTTGGGGGATGTGGTCTTATTCTTTCCATCATCACAGGTTTGTTTGGAATAAATGTGGATGGAATCCCTGGTGCAGAAAACACACCGTATGCATTTGGCCTGTTTTCGGCGCTCCTCGTATTTATAGGTGTCGTGCTCATCGCACTCGGGCTGCTGTATCTTGGACTTAAAAATCCAATCACTGAGGAGCAGGTTGAAGTGAGAAAGTTGGAATTAGATGAGTTAGTCAAGATGTTCCAGCATGAAGCAGAAACTCATGCCCAGGTCCATAAGCAGCACATACCTCGACGTAACTTGCCCCCAACAGCAGGAGGCGACAGGCTTCCGGAAGACGCAGAGTACGTTCTTATCCAGTGACATGTGGAAAGTGTTCCATGTTCTTGTAGAATTTTCACAGAGCCTAAAATTAAGGATTTTGCTTGAATTTTCAATGATTATATATGCCCCATAATAGTTTAAATGTTCTTGCAGAACTGTTTACATTTGCTCCTGAAATCTGATGAGACTTGGGATTTGATATTTTATCAATGCAAGGTTGCACAGCATCTCAGCAAGAATTCGGAAAAGTTAACTGCTTTACAACATCTTCCAGGTTTCACAGGTGATCTACACATAATGTGTTTTGATATATATAAGAATGCCAAATTTACTGCAGTAGAGTAATCGATCGTGCACACACAGCTGAATCCGTCCCTATGTATTTGTGTATACTTTTTTTTTTGAAAGGGTAAATATCATTACTTGAGAAGAGATCTAGCCAGATGTTCTCGGGCAGTGGCAAGTGCCTGACTAATTGTCTGCAGGTAGGAGAATACAGCAATATTTAGGCACAATAAGTTTTATATAGAAAAAAATCAAGGACTGGTTTAGATAACATTAAGTAGAGTTGACAGACCTGTTCGGACAATGATGCTCCCGAATCCATACTATGTCCCGCTACTTTACTTGCAATGCTATTTGCATCGGTTTCCAGAACAATCCTGTTTATGTAAGAGCACATATATGTGTTAAGAATGGCCCCAAGTTCTAGCGTTTGATTTTAACTACATGCATCGAGCTCTGCAGATGTAAAATGACTGCATGAACCGTTATTTCCATTCAAAAGGCACAGCAGTTTTGTCGCATAGGCCAACTATTAGTGAGAGCATCGGCAATTCAAGGTTTGCAGAAACTTACCCTCCGTCAACAATTTCATCTATGCATAAGAGAATTAGGTCGAGATTTTCAAGGGCCCCTCTTTTGTCAACGTTGTCCCTTGGAAGTGTATAAAGAATCCATAAAGGTAATTGCAGTGTGAGAATCCATAAGGAGCTGAAGATAATGAGTAAATAAAAACAAACGTGAAACGAACACGAGCAATGGTAATCACCTGAGTAGGATAGCAACAGCATCAAAGAACCCTTGAAGAACAGTAGCCAGAATGAGTTCATTTTCATCTTCACCGCCAGTAACATAGAAGTGCAAGTCTTGAACAAACTTGTAGACGACAATGTAGTTCTCAAAAATAGTTATCTCGGCTGCATAGAAGATAAAGAGGGATAAGCTCAAGTTTAACAGCAGAGCTCCAATACACTGGCCTCGGAAATTATGTTGTGATATCCCCAGATTTAAGTGGAGTTTCAGTGACTCAATTAAACTACTCATATTAATAATATGAGTATTTCATTTTGCGAGCATTTTAGATCAATTTCAACATAGGCGACTTCTTGGAAAGTCTCTCAAGATGAGCACGAGCAAAGACAAAGCAGGATGAAATAACTTGCATTGATCTATGAGGCCTGTCTATGATCCTATAACATGCCCAGCTTGTAGAGAGAGAGATAGCGGGCTGAGGTGTTACATGATGTTAAATACAATAGAAAATAACTTACATAGTTGTCTAGATGTACTTCAACCACTAGAAAAAAATGAAATTAAAAAATTATTTGAGAGCAAGTTAAGAAAAACATTCCCCAGCTTAGAACTGGATGTATAACGTATGCACTCCAAAGAGAGTAGTAAAAGGTCTGGTTCTCGCCCAAACTGGGAAGTGGGATTAAATAAAATAAAATAAAATAGCAGTTAAAATTCATACCCTCCGTTCTGGCATTTGTTTTTTGTGTCTTGGTAAAAACTGATTTCTCAAAAGCTTCCTTGGCACCAATAGTAGGCCAGTCATCTGAAAAGTAGTTGGCAGCAATTCTCTTCCCTTCTGAATCAAGAAGAAGTATGTTCTTTACAGAAGGGCAAAACTCCTGTTATAAAGTAAAGATATTAACATCACGACGAATTTACCGACAAATGCTAAGTCGCAACAACTTTTTGCATTCACCAAACCACTTTTCAGGGATTTAAGCATATAGAAGCTGGTGCGAATTATGATTGTTCAACAGCAGAACAAAAACTACATATTAACAATGCTAATACATCCATTGGTCACATTTTTTCTTGTTTCTCCAATCGAAAACACCAGATTTCTCTTCAAATAATTCTATTCTCTATTATCTTCAGAATGCAGAATTCTGTCCAAAAGACTCAAGCACCAACTTAATGCATATATAGATTATATATGTGCAGTGATTGGTTGCTAATGTGATCCCATAGGGTAATATTTTGGCATCATTCTTCTACAAACTTGAATTCTTAAAACACAATTGTAACTTACGTGTATACGCAGGCATAGGGCCTTTCCTTCCTACTAGATATATACCAAGAAAGTTTGTTTTCTTATCTACATTCTCATTGCTGCTGCTTGGCATTTTTTTAGCATTCTGGTTTCTTGTAGTATTTCCTGATAAGCATTGAGTTGAAAAGTGTACATATTAATGGTATAATGAAAATTAGTTAGACTCCTTTTTAAGTAAACACTATTAATAGTGTGTGTGTGTGTGTGTTCAACCGAGTTTCATAGAAAATCTCTTGATTCATGTTCTCATTAGTTGGAGCTCACCGCCAAACACAAGTTACATACAGCTTAACATAAGATTCATCAAACTTACTTAGCTACCAAGTTTAAACTCCAGCAAATTACCAAGTGACACAGCTGGAAGCCGGTTGTTAAACCTTTGATTACAAAATCCTTTCACCACAAGCAACTAGCACTGCTTGAACGAGAATAAAATTTTCTAATATCTACTGGTAAAACAATTCGCCCAATTCTTCATGCAAATGTCGATATGCAACCATTAACCGAAAATCATAATTCGTTTAAGAGATGATTAGAGGATCTGAAGAGCATCGAACAGGAAGATCTGATAAAACTTAAAGCATTTCGAGCATATCCAACCGAAAGCAATCATCAAGTCCAAATCCAACAATTTGTAGAGATAGGAAATATATATATCACCACAGAGAGAGTACCATTGCCGACGACGAAGATCCAGCTATCCGGCTGCAGATCGTGCGTTTCTCGGTCTCCGGGAGCTCAGACTATGCAGACACAAAGACGACTGACTGAGACCAAGTGCAAACTGCCAACTGATCAAGTCCATCCGGTCTTCTTCCATATCTATTGGGCCTCCAACTTTGGGCCCAATAAGGTTTTTTCTTATATACACATTAAAATTACGCCCATGGGCTATAGATTAGTTTAATCTATTCAAAAAAATTATAGAGAAAATAATTTAAAATTACTGTCACCTGAAAAATAAATATACAACAACTGTATCTACATACATTATATCCGACATTTATCTTTACCCAATTTTTCACTATTTTTAATTTCTTTCAAAAATTCAAAACTTCTATATTACTATCTAACATTAACTGTTCATAAATTCCATTAAGGACTGTCGTCATCTTACCATCTGGCGGAGAAGCTTGGGCCACAAATTCACAGACAACGCCATTAACTTCAATCCAGCTACAACCAGGTGTCTTCTTAATCCTTTGCTCTCTCATCATCTGCAATGTTCTTAAACTATCCTTCCATCTTTTTTTCGAGCAATAAATGCTCCAAAGAAGCACATACACTGCATCATCACCAGGTTCCAGTTCAATTGCTTTCTTCCCCGCAGCTTCAGCCATTGCCAAGTTCCCATGCTCGAAGCACCCTCGCATCACCGATCTCCAAATAACAGCATCGGGTTCTAGAGGCATCACCTCGATCAAACTTACGGCTTTCTCCACGCACCCTGCTCGAATGAAAAGATCCACCATGCATCCATAATGCTCGATTCGAGGTTTGATTCCATACCTGCATATAAATCTCTCAAACAATTCCTCCCCTTGAATCACCAATCCTGAATGGCTGCAGGCTGATAGAACTGACAGGAAAGTCACTTCATTTGGAGCCAATCTCGAAGATTCCACCATTGAATCGAACACTTGGAGGGCACATTCTCCCCTGCCATTGATTGCCAGACCGGAAATCAAGCTTGTCCATGAGAATAAATCCTTTCTCCTCATGACGTCGAATAATCTCACAGCAGCCTCAAGGTGTCCGCTCTTTGCATACATATCGATCAGCCCGTTGTTAACAGCAACATTGGAAACAAATCCACAGCGTTTGTTGATGTATCCATGGATTGAACTTCCCAAGTTAAGTGCGCCAATATCTGCGCAGCCGGAAAGCATTGCAACTACAGTAACTGCAGTGGGATTACATTGCCGTTGTTTTTCTCCGGCGGCGTCCTGCAGATCATGCTGCATTCTCACGAACAATTCCAATGCCTCCATGGATTTAGACATGCGAATGTATCCCACAATCATTGCAGTCCATGAGAAAACATTCCTTTGTGGCATTATGTCGAACACTTGGCAGGCGGTCTTCAAGTCTCCGTTTAGAAGACAGGCATTGAGCAAGCTAGTCCAAATAGCAACATCCTTGAAATCAATGGCGTTGAACACACGCCAAGCCATGCCAATTCTTTCATTCTTCCCATACATATCGATCAGTGCATTGTCCACATTTGGGAAACCAGGCGTTTGCAGATACTTGTACGCAATTCCATGGATTATCCTTCCGTTCGCTATGTCCTTGCTGCGTGCGCAGGCAGAAAGAGCAGCGACTATGGAATGGGAATCAGGCTTTGCAGAATCCGACCATGTCAGCTTCGAGAATACTCTCAACGCTTCCGATGGCATTCTATTGTTTAGATACAGATTCTCGAGAGAGGTCCAGGCAGCAGCATCCGGATTTGAAATTCTATCAAAGATTCTCTGGCCTTCAAAGAGCTTGTTGAGCTTTACGTATGCTTTGAGCAGTTTGGAGTAGAAGGTGTGGTTAAATATGCCGAGTGTGAGGGTGTGGGCAAGGATCTGATTGAGCACACTGTAATGTGTTCCCCATGTTTGGAGGATATTTTGGAGCATATGAAATGAAGCAGGAGCACGAACAGGTATTATTGCCATCGTTGAATTGATCCAACCTAGGCTAGACCATTCATCAAGCTCAAACCCAACTATTTGTAAAAATAAAAAATATATAATACATTATATATATATATAATCATATAGCATTACAGAGTTGCGACGCCACAGAGAGAGAGAGTACCATTGCCGACGAGGCGACGACGAAGGTCCACGCTATGTAGAAATAATAACTCCGTTCATGCTGTCCCCAGCCACCACTTGCTGTCTGTACAGTGGATACAGGGTTTTACAAACGATATTTTTGAATAAAAAAAAAATAATAATAAAAAGATATTTTAAATTATAGAAAAAGTATTATAATATTATAATTTTATTATTTTTTATATGAATAATGTTAATAACATTTTAAAATATAAATCAATATAAATAATTTAAAATTTTAAAATATGTTGCAATATTTTTAATATTGTATAAATAAAATATTTATTTATTAAAAAAGTATAGTACTAAAAATTAATTAATTTAATTTATATTTATTAAATATATTTAAAATTAAGAATAAGAGTATGACGAAGCCTTCAATCTCCATTTGTATTCGTGGTGTGAGCCCTATAATTTATCTTTTAAGTTAATAGTTTCGACTAGTCCAACAAAAAAATACATATTTAAAATAATAAATTTATTAAAAATAAAAACTTATCAATTATTATAAAAGCACATACTATTTAAAATCTGTTTTAAATTAAATTAGTTAAAAAAAGATTTTGAAGCTAAATCTATAATTTTAATTACTTTTTATAATAGTCATTAGATCATTTATTAAAAATAATTTTATGACTATAATTCAATGAACGGTGCCTTATGTATGAACAGCTATATATAAAATTGAAAAAACCTATAAGCATTTTTGTGAAAGATAAGCTCAATTCATCTATGTACCCATTGCAAAGTCATAACTTCTATTTTCTCCAACATTATCAAGTACATTCTATATATATATATATATATATTTTAGTGGGTAAACTATTGTCGTCATAATTTGACATTTCATCCATAGTCTATACTAAATTAAATGCATCAAATGGTTATATACTATAATAATATTTTATATGATACATTGAAAAAATGAGACTGAATTTTAAAAATAGGGACGTGTCGGAAACAGAAAGAATACATCCATTAAAATCACAATAACATATCTTTCCTATTTTTGATATTTATAATCTTTAATTTATTAATTTACCACAATCGAAATAGATACACGTTTTTTTTGTTTTTAAAAACATTCTATTTATTTATACCGTATTTTTCCATTTACCGTATGCTTTAATAATTATTATACACAAATACAGAAAAATTTATCGTATTCAGGAAATGAAAAAGCGAGTAAAAGAAAGTAGAATAAACGAAGTGACAAAAACCGTAACTGGATCTGTGAGGCGACGGTTGAACTGGAAATCGATAAGGGAAATCTCTCCACCGACAGCTCGCAAGATCAATGATTCTTGAAGCCGAGGGGGGACGTCACATCGCCTCGCTGGTTCCACTCTCATTTCATTCTACTTCCCTCGACCGCTTGTATCAGATCTGTGCACTGTCTTCAATCCCGTTTCATTTCTCTCTCTTGAATAGCCATTGTTTCGCCGCTGTTGTTTTATTCTTTCATCTTTCTCTGTCCACACAGAGTGTTTCTGTCTGTGTGTGAGCGTGTCATTCCTGCGCAGTGGGAGAGAATTTGTAGATTTCGGAGTTGGATCGATTGATTGTGGCGGTGCTTTAATTTGCGCCGGGGGATGGCGGTGAATTCAGGGCCTGTGACACCGGGTCAGGTGGGTTTGTGATACTCTGAGCTGCTGCTACTCTCTCTAAATCTAAGTTATTCTGTTGTAGCCATTTGTTGTAATGTGCAGTTCTAGAACCACGATTTATTAGTTTTTTGGACTTGCTTCAGCTGAGAATTTTTTCTTTTCATTTTTTCGGAAGAAGTTTGATGATTGAGTAGAGTACGATTCGTTTCTTAAGAATGGTTCAACTGATCTGCACTTGACATTAGTTGATATTAACAACTATGATGTTAAATTTGATTGATCTTTGTCGATTGTTTCAGTTGCCCGGATTTTTCCTTAGCATGGATCACATATTTTTTGTTACTTTTGTCTCATTGATGATTATATGAATTAGATGAAAATGATCAAAGATTCAATACCAATGGTGCTTTAGAATGAGATTGTCTCTGCATCCATGCACTTATGTTATATGGTCCGCTGGAATATCTTTATATTCTCCATTTTCATGAGTTTCTATTCATCAGATATGCTATTTTCTATCTTTTTTGTAGCTGCACTACTGTCAAGCAAACAGTCCATAAACTTGACTCTGCCAACTTTCTACAGAATTATTGTATACTTTGTGAAGAGCAAAATGCTCTGTGAATCAGCTTTATAGTCCACTTGATTATGTTTCTTAATTTATAGTGTACAGTAAGTTTGCATGAAGTAAGAACAATGGACATCAAAATTCAAGTTTTGAATCCAAGCTAGCTAATCAACATGGTTTGTCGAGAAGTTGAATCACCTGTAGATTGCCAGCATTGTCATTTGAAATTGACCTTAGTCATATGACTGTTGTTTCTTTTGTCTATTTTTGTAAAGAGCATGCTATAAAACTTTACAATTCATGCCACAGGTATCATTTTTGCTTGGAGTCATCCCAATCATTGTTTCATGGATGTACTCAGAGTGGTTGGAGTATAGGAAGTCATCATCCCCATCCAAAGTGTGAGTCTATTTCTTTTTTTTTTTTCTTTTATATCCTTCTCATGTCATTTCCTTAGTATAAATATCTTTCTGGCTAAAGTTCCATAGGCTTTGTGGAAACTTTGGCAGCATACTAGTAGCAATGAATGCCCATAAAATAAATGAGAAGAGCCTATTATTTGTAGACAATTGTAGTGTGGAATATGATTTGCCTTCATGGTGGCAGCCACTCGGACATTAATTTGGCAGAAATTGGAAGCGAAACAATCAAGGATGGGGATGAAGCTGCTCTGTTAGAAGGAGGTCTGACAAAACCATCGACTACAAAGTTGCTAAGTACCTCTACTATGACAAACTTAATTAGGTTGGCATGCTGTAACAAATGGTTAAGGTTTTCTATCGAGATGCTTTCTGAGATAATATTCTCTGTTGTTTGTGGTGACTGTCTAGGTTTGTGATGATGGATGAATCATTTTTGCTTGAAAATCGATTGCATTTAAGGGCCATGTAAGTTTTTGAGTCATCTGCTTTCATTGAACTTTAGTCACCTTGGTTTCTCAATGAGATTCTGATGTTTTGCAGGGCTGAGTTTGGGGGAATTTTATTCTATTTTTACTTATGTGACCGCACAAATGTTTTTGGAGATTCACCCAAGGTATTACTATTTTTGGTTCCATAACCAATATTTTTCTTTCGAATATATGCACTTGCAAAATACTTAAACTTTAATATTTTGTCACAAATGCATTGAATGGCGAAGAATCAATCATAGTTAAGAGTTCTGTGTTTTACTTTGTGAAAGGTAGATAATTGTGTATTTGCTCTCACTAATAACTGACCTCAGACTTGCAGTTAGAGAAATAAATAGTAATGGGCAGCATGAGCACACTGTTGCGTGATTTTTCAGAAGGTGCTGTATAACTTGCCAAATAAAAGCATGATTTAATTTTTCTAGTTTGAATTAATAATGAGAAGAAGTCTGTGAAGCTTGTAAACAACTGGTTCATTTGTGCATTAGTTTTACTGGAGGAAAATTCATTACTCATGAAAGTTTCTCTTTCACCCTGACAGAACTACAACCGAGATCTATTCCTTTTTCTGTACATTCTCCTTCTCATAGTCTCAGCAATGACTTCTCTGAAGAAACACAGTGACAAGTCTGCCTTTTCTGGGAAATCCATACTCTATCTTAATCGCCACCAGACTGAAGAGTGGAAAGGATACATGCAGGCAAGTAATTTGTTCACAAAAACCATTGCTTGATACATTACATGCAATTTGAAACATTTCAATTGTTTTCATATGCGCCCATTTCCAACCTCTGGATCCTTCTTCAAATGACCAACAGAAAAAGTGGGAAAAACGTGTTTTTATTTTCCAGTTTCTTTTTATAAGAAGCTCAAAGGTTTCTTCTGCAGAGAATATGCTGGGATTCTTGTGTAACTCCTACTGTGCAGAGTGCTGGTTTAGAAGCTGTTTACTCTATCTTTCCAATGAATTTTCCTAATGCATTAACCTTTTCTTCTGTTGTTTCTGATAGGTCCTATTTTTGATGTACCATTACTTTGCTGCGACGGAGATCTACAATGCAATTCGCATTTTTATTGCTGCATATGTTTGGATGACAGGTTTTGGGAACTTTTCTTATTATTACATCAGAAAAGACTTTAGTGTTGCTCGATTTTTTCAGGTGACAATATCTTTGAAGTTGCATATGATAACTTAATCAACTCTTTTTTGGTTTCCACCACCTTTTGGGTTTGTAATGAGTGTCCTAATGCAACTCTGTTTTCCTCTATGCAGATGATGTGGAGGCTAAACTTTTTTGTGGCATTCTGTTGTATTGTTCTTAATAATGACTACACCTTGTATTATATATGTCCGATGCACACCCTCTTTACACTTATGGTGTATGGATCCCTTGGAATAGGCCACAAGTACAATGAGATAAAGTCTGTGATGGCCCTGAAAATTTTCATGTGCTTTTTTGTGGTTATATTGGTTTGGGAAATTCCAGGAGTATTTGAAATTGTGTGGACACCTCTCACTTTCCTATTAGGTTTGTTAATTGTCCATAACTTTTGTCTGCTTTAAAGCTTGTTGATTTTACTTTGAAAAATTATACTTTCTTTATTATGTTCTTATAACAATCTTGACATGTATCTAATAGTTGTTACACATATTGGCAGGATATACTGATCCTGCAAAACCAAATCTTCCACGACTGCATGAATGGCATTTTAGATCTGGACTTGATCGGTATATATGGATCATTGGGATGATATATGCTTATTTTCACCCAAATGTAATGTGTAAATATTTCAGATTTGCCATCACATATATTTTCATGTTCTTTGGAAATAAAATAGTATTGTTGTTGTAGGTTGAGAAATGGATGGAGAAACTGGAGGAGGCTGAGACCAAACAGAGGCGAACAATCAAAGCATCCATTGTTACAGTGGCCTCGATTGTGAGTCAATTATTTCCTTTGTGGTCTATTTTGGTCAGGTGATTCTTTGGGTACAAGTCTTTATTGATTTGTTCTAATATCCGTATTTAGGTTGGCTATTTATGGTTTGAATACATATACAAACTGGACAAAATATCGTACAACAAGCTGCATCCATACACATCATGGATACCAATCACGTGCGTACACTCTTTTCATTTAGGTTTTTTAAACTGTACTTTTATTATTCATATTAACAGGCGGCACCTCTTATGGTATATAAAATAATAGCAACTTCAGTCTCCAGATACTAACTACACTTAGGTCTCTGTTCTCATTTGTTTCTATGATTGTTCTGTTTCTTCTCTAGTGTCTATATTTGCTTGAGGAATTTCACTCAGGAGCTTCGAAATTACTCTTTGGCCCTTTTTGCGTAAGTTCTCTGCTATTTCTCTTGGCAGCCTTCCATGCCATTCTGTTGGGTTGAAATTTTTTAATCTTCTATTGAAATTCATATGGAATCCATTACTTCTAGTGGTCTCATCATACAAATAATATTATTTGGGCATTAGGTGGCTCGGAAAGATTACACTGGAGACTTACATTTCACAATTTCACATATGGCTGAGGTCCGTCATTTAATCTCAAGTATCTTGCTCTTTTACTTAGAGGTCTTCATTCATTCTCTTCAATCTGTACTTTGCAGATCAAACATGCCCAACGGACAGCCTAAGTGGCTGCTTTCTTTCATTCCAGGTTATCCGATGCTCAACTTCATGCTCATAACAGCCATTTATATCTTGGTTAGTGAATGTTTTCTTCCGATTTACAATATGAAATGACAGACTAAAGTGTGTTTGATTAGCACTGTTCCTAATTTCATCGCTGCGCTACTACTACTACCACTAATACTACAGCTATCGCACCGACTGTTTGAGCTTACCAATACACTCAAGTCAGCTTTCATCCCCACAAAAGATAATCAGAAGCTATTCTACAATGCTGTTGCTGGAGCTGCTATTTGCTTGTTCATATACTGCATTTCATTTGTTCTTCTGCAGATCCGTTATTAATGCGTATGTTCTTTACTCCTCACATGATTCTTCATATAGTTTTATCTAACTGAACTCTTGCCTATTGAAATTTCGCGAATAAACCACCTTCGTACAGGCATCTGAATGTGAGCTGTGGATCCTTTAGGACAAGGAAGTGTGTGCATTGGTGCATATGGAAATGAAGGCAAGAATACTGGTTCTTACATCATTAAAGCCTTGGAATATTTTGCCACTTGTAGATCCGAAATCAGTCAAAAGATTAGTAGAAACTTCACCATGTCTTACCCCCCCTGGTGGGAGAGACAACAAAAACATGTTTGTTTATGGGACATGCAATTATAGCCAAATGAAACAAGTAAATTTGCATCTAGGAAACACTGTTGTTGATGATTCATTTCCAACCCTCTTTGTCACATGTTATTCCCCATTTTTGCCTTGTTTTATTAGTGTAAACTCACATTTGGTGCCTGATAATGTAACACTATTATTACCACCAAATCACAAGTAGAATGCATGAGTGAGTTGCGGCATTTAATGTGGCAGCACATCATGATTTTGACTTTTCATCTTGCTTCACAACCACCATCTTTATAATTTATAAATTTTATTTTTTCATTATTATTTTCTGGGATCATAGGGCTTTGTTCCTTCCAATTTTGTTTATTTTTATTTTATTACTATATAGTACCCAAACACTCCAACAAAAAGACATTCACATGAATATTACATTAAAGTATTTGCAAACACAAACATGCTTCAGTGCTTTATTTTTGTATCCGCTACCTTCTGGTGCGCTAGGGTTATTTTTTTTAGTTAGGATTATGTTTGGTTGATAGTTGGGTTGGTGTTTGACCCAATATTTTTTAATACTTTCTTTTCCATCTTAAAATACTTTCGAATTTTGTAAAGATTGAATAATTTATAATTCTATGTTTTTCTCTCTTTAAAATAAACAAATATAATATATATATTAAATCTTATATAAAATTTATTTATGCTTAATTATATATATATATATATATATTATATCATAAGTTCACTTATCAATCAAACACAATCTCACACAATTAATTTAATACTCCTGCTTTGTAACACGAACTACTAGACCAACCCTGGTTTCACAGAAATGGATTAGAAGGAAGCATGGGCTTGATAATATATATGCAAGGAAAATGAGCATTCCAATGCTTCGATACTATTCTTGCTTTCTTTGCCTCTGAGTGACTACTGAATTGAAATGAATTTTGATCATATGTGTCAGTTGTCTTCTTCTTCTCCCCAAACTAAAACAGTTTTTATTTTTAGGAAACAAACAAAGAAAGTACACTAAATAATTGGTCTGGTGCAGGTTGGTTGGCAGGCAGAAATGGCATCATCCGCAGTTATATCTTCCATGCATTCACACACGTGTCTGCTAACTGGGGCACGTGTATAGCCGACTATAGGAGATATACTGGCCATTACCACTACTATTCCACAGTATTCATTATAGTTACCCTTAGTTTTACATTTACCCCCAAACAAAAAAAAATAAAAATAAAAATATAAAATAAATTCAATCCCTATGATTGACACACAATCATAAACCACGTTTTTTTAAAAATAAATAAAAATAAATAAAAATGATCACAGACAGTCAGACATTCATAGGATTTATCAAGTTTGATGAATGTAGACATGTAATTTCGTATTTATCCAGGCTGGCTGGCAAATGGCAATGAAATGAAAGTGATGTAGTGAGGTGATGTAGTGACAATGAAGTTGATATGTCATCCGCAATATATATATATATATATATTTAATTTTATATTTACAGTAAAAAAAAATTCATCTTAATTTTTATTTATTTATTTTCATTTCCATATTATTATTTAATGTATTATTTTTTAAAAAAATTGGTAATATTTTAGTAATTTTATAATTAAGTAATAATAGAGCCATATTAAGTTTTATTAATATATCTATTTATAGTTTTTTAAAATAGTAATTAAATTTGTTATTATTGATATCATTTTATAAATTATAAAAATATTATACAATTAAAGCATAATAATACATTTGAAAAATATATTATAAAAACAATATATATATGTATATATTATAAAAGACAATATATATATGTATATATTATAAAAACAATATATATATATATATATATAACGTGTTCCAACTATAATGAAATTCGTGACAAAAGCAAAACATTTGCAAGATAAAATCTCTTTTTTTGTTATTTCTTTTAATACAAACAGAAGAGATGTCTTAAGTAAAATTGTGAGGTTTATTTAATTTGATGCCCATGTGGCAGTGATGGGCGTTTCATGCTTTTGGTGTATCCTCTTTAGCCGATGAACGAACGGCGGACGGACATCCATGAGCTACCACTGTTACAACATGGTAATATAAAGTTAATTGTCCATAAATTCATTTATAATTTATATATATATAAAAAAAAATTCTGAATTAGGTGTTGTAATTTGTTTGAGTTTAGTATTTAAATAAATTTATCAATCACGAATTTGGTTAATAAAGTTGAAAGATAATACTATTTGGTAATAAACTTGTTATAAATGAATTTTGTACATTGGACTATTGTTTTGTTATTCGAATATTGAGATTCTGATTTTGAGTTTTTATGTAATAAAATTTATTTATACCAAAATCAAACAAACAGAAGTCGGAGGCAAGGTTTCCTTGTCACCTCTTTAATTGCTACTGCTCACACTGATTGATTTCTAAGAGCACGACGCCATGGCAGAACCTCGAGATCTGCTTCCAGCTGATCATGACAGTGGTGAGATGAACTCCTTCTTCTCTCTTTTCTTCTTCTCATTTCGATCTGTCTGTAACTTAATTTCTTTGAATTGAATCGCAATCATAAGGTCTGCCAGCGAAAAGCGAAGAACAGAAGTTTCCAGAAAACCCACAGGGCGTCGTCGACAGGGCATCATCGTCTTCCTCGTCCAGCTTCAGACGATACATATGGTGGCTACAAATGATCATCTACACTATCTTTCTCCTGTCGGGACAAGCCGTCGGCACGCTTCTGGGCAGGCTCTACTTCGACAATGGCGGAAAGAGTCAATGGATGGCGACGCTGGTCCAGCTCGTCGGATTCCCCATTCTCGTCCCCTTCCGCTGGCTCAAAACTCCCGATCATTACAGCAGCAGCAGCAATCCTCCACCACAATTCATTACAATTACGAACGATCGACGACAATTCCCCCAAATTCTTGCAGCCATTTATCTCTTCCTCGGAATATTCGCCGCCGGCGGCTGTATGCTGTACTCCATCGGACTTCAGCACCTCACGGTGACGACGTACACGCTGATCTGCAGCAGTCAGCTAGGGTTCAACGCGCTGTTTTCTTACGTCATCAACGGTCAGAAGCTGACGCCATACATCGTCAATTCCCTCGTCCTCCTCACCGTCTCGTCGGTGCTGCTCGTCTTCGACCCCGACGACGCCGGGGGGAGCCCGAAAAAGAAGAGCAAGTTCGTGCTGGGGTTCATCTCCACCGTCGGCGCGTCGGCCGGCTACGCGCTCATGCTGTCGGTGACGCAGCTGGCCTTCCACCGGATAATCAAGAAGGAGACGGCGGCGGCGCTGGTGGACATGGCGGTGTACCAGAGCCTGGTGGCGTCGGTGGTCATTGTGGTCGGGATTTTCGCGAGCGGGGATTGGAGGAAGGTGCACGGCGAGATGACGGCGTACAAGGCGGGAACGACGTCGTATGTGATGAACCTGGTCTGGACGGCGGTGTCGTGGCAGGTCTTCACGGTGGGCTGCGTCGGGCTGATCTTTAGGGTTTCGGCGCTGTTCTCGAACGTGATCGGCGTGGTCGGGACGCCGCTGGCGCCGGTGCTTGCGGCGGTGTTTCTCGGGGAGAAGATGACGGGGCTGAAGGGGGTTGCCATGGTGGTGGCGATGTGGGGATTGGCGTCGTATATGTATCAGCATTACATCGACGATTTGGAGAAGAAGAAGATGAAGAAGAAGAAGAAAGGATGTAGTGGCGAGGGTGAACAAGTTTCTGAAATTTGTCTTGTAGCCGACGATCAAAGAGGGTAGCCATGGCCGGATCGGAGAATATGTGCTAGCTTCATCATCATTAATTTATTTTGCCATCGCTATTACTAATAAGGTAATCTAAATATTAAAAAAAATTAATGTAAATTATAACTTAATTACTATCTGTTATAATTCGATTCCATAAAAAACTTATTTTTGAATTTTCTCAAAGAAAAAAAAAACTGGTACCAGTGGAATTCATATCAAATTTATAAAATATGAATTATTCTTTTAATTTTTGAATATGAACTTAAATTTGCACGTAACAAAATTGAATAAAATTATGTCATTTCTTATAATGTCTGATAAATATACTAAACACGTAGCATCTAAGTACTGGAATGATATGCATATATAGTACTCCCATCATCAAAGATAATGACTATGTGTATATAGGTATTTTTTGAGCTTTTGACATTTTTAACAATTTTTATTTAAAAAAATTATAATTAAATATTATTATATATATATATTTTTTTAAATTACAAAACTCTCTGTTTAAAGGCAGCTAGTACTATTCATTTATTAGTTTATAGCATATATTTCATGCCAATGCATATTAAAAGATGAATAAAATCATTTCATATTTCTTATAATGTTTTTAAAAATATACTATTGTGTTTGTTTGGGGATTGGATTGGATTTACACTGTTCATCCAATTTTTTCCCCCAAAAACATCAAATCAAACACTTATTTTTCATTTTTTATATTATACTAAAAATCAAATTTACATTCAAAACATCACATCAACACTTATTTATATCGCATCATATAATTATTCAAATATAAAATTTTTACTATTCAAATCCCAGCTCAAAATCCAAACCCCCAAACAAACACATTGGACTCAAAATCTTGTACTTGGACTCAAAATCTTGTACTTGGATCCTATGTGGTTAAAGCCCAAAATGTGGTGGGTACAAAACGGATCGGGTACATTCCGGGTCGGAGTTCTCCAATCGGGTTGACTCCACAATGACTCTTTCCTCCTCTTTCTTTTGCCACTCGGACGGTCAAGGCTGCCCCGGCACTCGCCGGAACCGGAAGGGTCTCAATGAAGAAGAACACCAGGCCATGCTCAGAGCTCTCGGTCGCGTCTTCCCCGAGCTCTTGGCCCGCAATGGCGTCAAATTCGGCGAGTCTTGGTTTCTTTCAAGTTAATTGCACAATATCTCTATTGTGGTAGAAAACATCTTACTCAAATCCAGGCCTTGTATATATTATATGGGCCCAAATCAAGGTCCAGTCCATTATATGGGCTTCAATTACCATATGGGCTTCAATTACCATCTGCCAGATCCAATTCTATATCTAGACTTCATTCATGTTAGGCCCATTTATTGGGCCCATGCCATTATATGGATTTAAAGAAACGTACGCACCACTCTCTCTTTCTCGAGTCTCGTTGCCTTACTAATTCAAGCTGCATAGAATCGCATTTTTGCGTGAATCTCAGAATGAAGTGATTTTCGCCTTCTTCAAGCGAAATCCCTAGTGAATTTCTCTCTGATTTCTCACCCACCCTGAATAATTTGCCCCAGGCAGAAAGCTGATCAGAACTCCCAACCAAATAGTGCTCAGAATGAAAGCTTCGATCTTGATGATGAAATTGAGCAATTGATGAAGCTCCTGCTCTTACCAGATTCCGAAGAGGCCAATAAAACGACATTCTCCGAAGAACCACAGGAGTGACGGGGAGAAGAGAAGGTATGGGAATGGAGAGACTGAAGGAAATCGCGCCATTTGTGAGAGAAGCGCTGCACCATACTGCACGAGTAGCAAAATTCCTCTGCTTCGTTCACGTCTGCAGCACCTACCTCTGCGGCGTAGCTATGGTACGTTACGGTTAAGCTTCCTCATGTATTGAAATTGACGAAACGTTTCTTCTGATTCCCTGCATTGCAGTTAACCGGCCCCAGTATGCTCCCAACGTTCAATCATGGCAACATTGTTCTGACCGAGACAATAACGAAGCGTTTGGGTAGAGTCGGATCGGGCGACGTTGTGGTCGTGCGGAGACCCGATGAACCAAGAAACGTCGTCTGCAAGAGAATCAAAGCTGTTAATGGCGACGCAGTTTCATATCTGTCTGACGCCGAGACAAGCTCCGAGCGCGAGACTGTTGTTGTAATTGCTCTCCAACTTCTCTATATTCTGTTGTGCTCACTGACTTGATCTTCGGCCGCCATGTGTTTACCTGTTGAACCAAACCCTAGAGTTAAGGGAAATGGAATTTCCTTTCTATGATTTTGGGGAGATACTTTCATCTGCAATCCATTTGCATTGCACTGCATTGACATGCTTATCTGCACACTGCATTTGTTCCTTCTGCCAGACAAAATCGGATTGCAGAATAATTGAACAACTGGTTTTACAATTATATAGGTACCGAAGGGGCATCTTTGGGTGGAGGGAGATAACACGCACAACAGTCGTGATTCCAGACAGTTTGGTGCAGTTCCTTATGCAATGGTGGAATCCAGAGTATTCTTTGTGGTAAGCCCTTCTTCATTTCCTCTTCCCCAATAGCCCTTTCTTTTAGATCTCCTCAAATTGAAATCTCACATGTACTATTTATTGTTCAGTTCCATAAATGCAGTAATTAATCCCTTTTGTAAGTTTAAGATAATTCAGCCTTGCTTTCTCCTATCAACAGGTATGGCCCCCAAAGGATTTCCGGTTAATTGGTAGCAAGGTTTCATAAGTTGAACTTGCAGTATGCATCAGGGCAAGTTTTTACAGTGTTCATGATGATTTGATTAATGTTTTGGCTAATTTCTTGTTTGTGTACAAGAGCCAAGAGGAGATGAAATCAGGCAAGAAGTATGAAAAACATTATTAGATGTTTGTGAGGAAATGGAAATAATCAAAATATTATTGGAAATAACATTTCTTTCGGCATATGTTAGTCTCTTTCTTGCCCTGTTTTCCAGCCACAATCCCACCCATGACCCAACTGTGATTTAACTATTTTGTTAAGAGAATGAAAAGTCTGAAAAAGATCATCTCTGAAGTAAGAACTAAAGCTTTAACCAGTCTAACGAGTCACAAATGAACCAACATGGTGTTTTCAAGATTAGCACACTAATATGTACAATAACTATTGCCGACCAAAACATGGGAAGGTTACTGTATCGAACTTTCATTGCCTGAAGTTGTAAAGCTTCTAATCCTGCTTGCTATCGAGCTTTCTTTGTCTGATGTTTAGAATCTTGACGGTCTTTCCTTTCTTTGTGCGTATATTTATTTCATATTGGACTCGCTCTCGAAACCTGCAAGCATCAAGCATTAAACACTTTCTTATGTTGCACTGCCTCGCATAATTAAATTCTGCAAATGCAAGAACTAGAACCTGAGCACTTGTTGCAGCAGTCCAGCACCTTGGATAAGGTGTCACCATGGTACCCTCACTTATAAATGCTATAGTTCCTTCTGATTCTTGTCTTTGGATCACAGCTGGTGGTGGCAATTCCCTCATCACAAATAGAATGAAAGCTGAGGGAACTGATGAACCTGGACAACGTGGTTAGACATAGATTAGGGAAAGAGCATAGTCACCAGTTCCATGATCCATCGTCTTCTTAAACTAAGATCTGAACACTTAAACGGCATACTACAAGGAATCCTATGCAAGCATAAGTAAAAGTTTCAGGCTTTCGATGAAAGTACCAATGAAATAGTACAGCACCAGTAGAAGAGAGGTGTAGAGAACATCTATTTCCCACCCATTCCAGCGATAAAACAGCTGCAACCAAGAGATGGTTTGAGTTAAATGACATGGCTTGAAAAAAGGAACTTGAAAGAATCATGTAATGAAATCCGCAAGGAGTGCTTACAGGTATGTTTGTAGTTATTGCAATCAGAGCACTTGAGGAAAAACTTATCACACAGACAACTGCCAGACTGGCGACCTGTGGTGCACACCAATTTAAGAGATAAATTTTTTGTTAGAAAAGTGCAAGATACAGTGTTTAAAGAATCAGAGAAACGACTTCATTCAGCATCAAGGGAAGTGCTGAAAACCAGAGGTGTCATGGGGGACCAATGCAATACATTATTTATGATACAAACCGAACAGATAAACTACCTTCCACATTTCTGATGAAGCCCACTCGGATCTCACTTGTTTCATTTTAAAGAACAATATGAATCCTGAAACCAAATATGATTAATGAAACAAAACAGATGTATATTGCAGTATATATTAACATGTACTTATTGTCATGTTGTATCTATTCTGGTTTTTTATGAAGAATTTTTTATTACAGAGTCTAAGATGTCTGAAGTATTGCCTTCAATGTGACAGAAAAGAATCACATCCAATTAAAAACTTTCACAATCTAGGGGTATGTTTACTATAAAGGATTGGTTGGGATAATCCCCTGAAATAAACACACTCTAGGAGTATAGCTCTCATAAGCACATTAAAAGATATCACTACCACATAAAATGAGAAAAATAAGAGAAGAGTGGTAAAAGTGGTCACCGTAGAATGCCAAGGCTCCACCCAGCAAAAGAACAATTACAGCAATGAGATCCACATATACCTGGGCGATGATAACATTTCCCCAAGTAACCAATGTGATATAGTTTCAGCAAGGATAAAAATAATGGACATGGAAAATATTTCGATGGCTGAATACATGCCTGAGCAATAACAGTAGTTTCAACAGGGTTCTTTCGCATTGCAATATGTATGAGAACAGCTGATGTTATCATCATTGAAAAAATTATCACAATAACCTGGTATAAGTGTTGTTGTGAGACAAGATAAAAGGTCAAGTGACAAACGAAGAAAATAGACTGAAGCAATGAGGTAGCCTCATACCAGAATCACTACTTTCTGGCGGCTTCCTATATGGAGAGAAGACCTGAAGGAGCAGCATCTACGGCAAATAGCTTTAGAATTAGCTTGCTTCCCCTTTTCCAGCAAAAGTTCTTGGGAATTGTCTTCTTCATCGTCGTCGTCATCATTTGACTGATGGCAAAGGTCAACCCTGCAAACCATAAATAAAAAATGAGAGTTATCTTACTTTATCTGTATAACCAAATACAATTGGAAGACTCAGAGGACAACCATTTCTAGCCACTTCAAATTGTATGATTTTATTAGAAAGAAAAGGCACATAGATATAGAGATGACGGAAAATTATATATGATACATTGTTTATTGGAATAACTTACCAAAATGATAGCAGAAGTAGAAATGCAGCAATAAAAAGAATTCTGGGGATGGCTGCAAATGATTATTTGTGTGAGGTAAGTATTGCCAATTACACCATCCAGAAAGTTTTATCATCACCAGAGATTGACAATGTCCTCACCCATTACGAAGAAACCACAGGAATGAGACCAGCAAACCCAACCTTTACAAGCAGCCACAAGAGCTAATACAAAATGAAGCAAGTAACCTGCCAGATATAAATAAAATTACAATGCCATGAGTTAAATAGGATTATTAACTGAATATGCTGAGAACCAAAACTGCCATAGCTTTAGATAGATAGAAAATTAACATTATCACAAAATAATAAGCTTTATTCATCCTCAACTGTTCAAGCCAGCAGTACAACAGTAGGAGAGTAAACTCCTCTTTATGCCGTTGTGGGATTATTTTATGTTCTCTGTGAGAGTGAGTGGCATAAAAACAAACACGAACATAAAAGATTATATACATACGCTTAGAATCAGAGAAAAGAGGATATCGGTAGTGATGATCACAAATGAATTTTCAAATAATGGATCTAAATCAAGTGCACCACGTAAATTAATTAAAAATTTCTTTACAAGTTCAAGTTATTATGAACTTCTTGTTCTTCACATTTCATTGGTTAAAAGCATCCCCAAACACACTCAGTTATATATAAGTCCTTAAGAGGCTAGTTTCCTTGTTTCAACTTTGTATTTTGAGAGAACAAGTAGCAGTATGGCTGTTCTGTCATCTAAAGAGTACAATAGTATTTGCAAGCCTTCATGCGGACGGCATCCACACATCAAATGAAATGTTCTTAAGTCATAAGGTGAGTAATGCTCACCTAAATTAGAGGATCCAATTATTAGATGAAAGACCTGAGATTTGGAAAATAAAACAAAAAATCATCAGATGTAATTAAAAATAAAAGTGTGGCAAAAAGAGACGGGTTTAAGAGACCTGAGATACAATTCCTGGTCAATTTCTATCATACTAATAGAAAGCAAAATATTGGCCTCAAACACTCTTTTTGATCCTCCAGTGCCTAGAACTGAGATATTCAATATCCCAACTGCTATTCAAGTGTTTGATCAACAGCATCAAGGGCCTACTTTCAAAGTAAGATGGCATGATTGAAGTGAACAAGTGTAAGGATAGCATCATTGCGGTTGGCACTAGGCTCTTAACTTTTTTTTTTTTTTTTTGTTATCTCAACTATTTTCCAATTTTTTTAAAAGTAGGATCCACTTATATTATTCTATTTTTATCATAAGTTCACAAATATATTATATACATTTGAAATTCCCTATTTTCTTATAAACTAATTTATGTTAATTATGTATATATATATTTTTTTATTACGTGAATCTTTTTCTATAAAATAATATTCATATTAAATATACTCTATTGAAGTATATTTTCTTAAACTTTCAAAACACATTTTAAATTTATTTTAAACTAAATATTTATTTTACATCATACCTCAATTTACAACCAAACAACATCTTATTACTCAACAGAAAAACCCAACTTCCAACCACAACTCAAACTTATAACTAAGCGCACCCATATAACTCATGTACCATGGAAAATTTTAAGTAAAATTAAAGTATATCTATAGAGGTTTGAGAACAATACATATAGCTGACAGAGATCCAATCAAACGGAAATAAGGCAATCAAATAAAATTCTAAGCATGATGAAAAAGATTGCTTAATTCAGCCTACTCTGTCTAAAACATGAGCAAGATTGCATAATATGAACAGTTTATTTTGCATTTGTGGCCGCAAAGGGCTGTATACACTTAGTAATGTAGGGAATCATATAAAAGAAAACAAAGAATCCCAATAAATGCTTACTTTCTGACGGGTCCATCCAATCTGTGAATTCCTTGCATGTATCCTTATCAACTGCAGAATAGATTATGGGAAACCAGTGACTAAAAAGAAAAATACTCCAAGAATCAACAGCAGAGTGCAGTGCCTGGTTCCACAATATGCATATTGGGTGTTTAGTCATTATCTTAAAACTGAAAATGTAATATATCTGCTAATCTAAATCAATTTGTATCAGAAAAGCATTATGCTCAAACAAATGACCAAGCTCCAAGAATTAAATTATTAAATTGCTTTCACATATATAACAGGAACGCTTGTGCATGAATCCATTCTTTTAGTGCTTACTAAATCAATCAGGTTAGAAACATTATAAAAGCATGCATGAAATGATTGCCAAACAGTATATACAACACTAGATAAAAGCAGATGTAATTAAGAAGATCCATTCTAGCACCAGAAATATGGGGAATAGCTATAATGGTGGATTTCAGTGATAACAGGAAGCCACAGCTGGTCATTATGGTATTTTGGCGGATGATGCCTAGAAGTTTGCATTTTCAATGTGAAAATATGCAACAAAGTATTTTGGATCTATTAGCATACTTCTAGAGCAGCAAACATCATGTTGGACATGTTATCATAAACAAACTGGATATAGTTTTAAAATAGTTTTACATAAATATAGTTTTGAATTTCTTATTTCGACATGAATACACTTGTAATCACAAGAACTTCCGGAAGTACTGTGCTCTACTTAATGGTGAACAATGGCATAATTGTCCTATGTTCAGAGCTAGCAACACTCAGTATGGTTGATTGCCTGGATAGAAGATATTCACACTAAGCAACACTCAGTATGGTCGATTGCCTGGATAGAAGATATTCACACTAAGCAACACTCACTACTTAATTTCACATAAAATCACTAACGTAGCCGGTCACATATTAGTCATGAATCATGCCAACTGACATTATTAAGCTATGTAAGTAAGGCAGCACCAAATCTGACTGGCATTGAAAATGTGTGTAACTCTTACCTACATATTCCTCAATGATGATTACAGACCAAGACTGGCGATTTTGGCGTGTTTGACCGTTGCCTCGAAACACATAATTTAAAACCGATTTTGGCTATATTTGTCAGGCTATTTTGGAAGTACAACCACTTATGAAAAATGCCACAGTAATGAGTCCCATCCATTGCCCTCAATATGTTAATGTTCAATAATTCACACCCTTTCAAATGTGATACGATTTAAAATCAAGAAAACCACAGTAATGAATGATTCTTTGGATCTCCAATATTAAAACCGAAGGATAGATGTTAAAATTGAAAGAATGAAATAAAACAGAATACTCTATTACAATTGAAAACGCTAATCTTTTTCAAGAAACTTGTTCTCAACACAAGAATGTCATCTTCAAACTGGGATCTTAACATATGATTTGCAAAACAGTATCGCACCACAGAGCCATCTATGTCAATTTTATGAGGACCGCAATTCTCCATCCATCAAAATTAGACTAAACCCCTAAGGCGCTATACCAAACTATGATGTCAAAGAAAAGACTCAAAACCTTCCCCTTGATCGAAATTGAAGTGAGCAACAAAAGAAAAAAATTGAAAGCAAACACGCACAACACCGACGTAAAATTTCAAACACTACTTTCAGTTTCGCAAAACCCTCTCCAAAAAAAAGGCAGGAAACCAACTTAGCCATTAAAAAACCAACAGAAAATATGCAAACTGCATCCATACACCAACATACAGCCATTAAAATTAGAAAAGAGACGCCGCAGTTACCTTATAGAAAGCAAGAAACGCAATCACACCATCAACAAAAGCCAGCCCGACATTCACTCCCGCCACCGCCTCCGGGTAGCAGCTCCGCCTGTCTCTCAATTCCAGCATGTTTTTCCCCTTTCAAATCCCTGATTCTCCTACACAACAAACTCCCTCGCTCGAGCGTACAAATTAGCTCCAACAACGAGACCAAACGGCCAATGCAGAGACGCGAGATTCTGCCAGCGATTCTCTACAAGCCCCAAAACCATACAAACACACACAGGCTTGCGCACCTAAAATCAATCAATTCCCAATTCCAATCGGAACTTAGCAAGGAAACAAAGTATGGCGGCACGGCAAGTATTGAACGATATCTCCTCCTCTCCCTATAATCGTCGTCCCGTATCTTCACATTCCGCAGTTATACAGATCTTCCTTGTGGGCTCCCCGCGGTTTCCCTATATACCACCTATCACAGTCCTACTCTCAAATCTTCTGCATATATGTTGTGTTGTGAGATAGGTGGCAGGTTTTCATGTCTGTTCGTTTTTTTAGAAAAAAATAAAATTAAATTAAAATAACATTTTAGAAGACTCGGCGATAGAAAGTCGTGTTGTTTTAATCCTATTATTTCAGACACGTGGCATCATCTTATTTAATTTAATTTAATATTTTTATTTTTTATTTTTTGATATATTAACTTGGGTACATTTGACCCACCGAAATTACGTACCCAATGCATCAACATGAATATGCAAAAATCCTCCATTCATTCAGATATTTTAGTTTCATTTCCTTTTTTATTGTGGAAATATGAGACTACGTTGTACTCATTTATCTAATTCCTCCTAGAGATTTAGATGTGTGATTATGTAATTTTGTTTCAAATAATTTTACTTGAAAATAATTACTCCCTCGGTCGTTCAAATATCTACTTCACGAGTTTTAATAAAAATGAGTAATAATTGTTAATTTTTTTTTATAGTAAACAGGTATAAAAATAGAATGATTTTTCTATTTAAAAAGAAAATGAGAATATTTTTCGATAACAACTCAAAAAGAAAAGTGAACATAGATTTGAACGACGGATGAAGTATTAAATATAATATTTTATACTCCCTCCGTCCCATATAATATGGGTGTATTACCGTAGAAACAGAAATTTATGTAAAGTATAATTAGTAAGTAATTAAAAAATATATTAATAAAAATAAATTATAGATTAAGATTAAGATAACTAAATATTTTAATTAAGATTAAAAAAATTTTAAATTTTAAATTTTAAAATATAATTAAAGTGTATAATTAATTTTTTTATAAAAAAAAGAACAAATTATGTGGAACAGAGGAAGGGACTATTAAATACTCCATCAATCCACTCGGTATACATTTCATTTTATTAACTATAATAGGCTAAGGCTATGCTTGCATATCAATTTTGAAATTTTTATCTTTTATACAAAGAAAATTTTTTATCTTTTAAACAAAGAAAAATTAAAAATATTTTATCCATCTCAATTCAAAATATTTTTTAAAATCATTTTTCTTATTTTATTCAAAAGTATTTCTTTCATATTTAAAAAATAATAACAATACATTAATATTAAAATATCATTTAATTTTTACTTGACTTACAATCACACACTTACATATACCATTATTTGTACATAAAATCAAAATCACATGCGAAAAATATCAAAATATTTTGCACACTTTCACTAAAATACTATTACTTCACGGAAAGAGTAATACTTTTCTCCGTTATGTAATATGCTCATTTGATTAGGCATAAATTTATAATAAAAGAAAATATTATGATTTTTTATTTGAAAAGAAATAAACATGAAGTATTTTTTCATAGCAATCTAAAAAAAGTTAGTATAAATTTAAACGAGGATAGTATATATATATATATATATATTTGTTTTTTTGCTAAAAAAAAAAAGAAAAAAAGAAATGAGTCTAATTGGAAACATGAATCATCAACTTGTTTTTTGAAGAGGATTATTATTTTGCCATTTTATAAAAAATGAAAATCTCATACAAATCGACACTTATTACGCCATTCAATTATTAATTATTGTAAAATTTTATTTATCACTATTGTCCATAAAAATTATTTAAAAATTTAACATTCATATTTTATGGAAACCACATACGTGTATATATATACACGTATATCCACCTAGATTTATCAAATAATAAAATAAACAAACCATCAATGGCGCATGGGAAAAAAACCAAAGGGCGACAAAAAATCGAGATGAAACTCGTCGCCGACGACAACGCACGACGGATCACGTTCACGAAGCGCCGCGGAGGGCTCTTCAAGAAGGCAATGGAGCTGTCGGCGCTGTGCGGGGCGGAGGTAGCCATAGTCGTCTTGTCCGCCGCCGGCAAGGCTTATTCATTCGGCCATCCATGCGTCGACTCCGTCGTCGGCCGATTCACAGACCAAAACGACGTCGGAGGCGACGAAGATGATGACGATGACAAGTGCAATAATAGTTGCGCCGCCGACGAGCCGGTGCTGAGCCGGTTCACTGAGCAGAGCGATAAATTGAATGAGGAGCTGGAGAGCGCCAAGCGGCGCGGGAAGGAGCTAGAAGAGGCTTTGAAGGGCTCGGTGGGGCCGATAACTGGCGACTACTTGAGCCGGCTGGATTTGGCTCAGCTTCAGCATCTCAAGGAAGGTTTGGAGAAGCTGCGGGACGACATAAGCGGCGCCGTGGGTGGCTCGGCTGAGGGATCGAACCTGGCTAAGGTCAAGGAAGGGGGTGCATTGGATCCAATTCCTTATAATTGGTTGAAATTATGAAAATAATAATAATAATAATAATAATAATAATAATAATAATAATTTGCTGAAATATAATAATTGGATAAAGTGCAACCCATGGTGCCCCCAATGATTTTTAACAATAAATTAATTACATTTTTGCAATTAGTTTACTGCGTTTGACAGGTTGAGATGTGTTGAGTGAAGCTTGTAATGGTGGCAAAATGTGGCTTGTGGGCATCGTTTGGCCTGGTTAGATCGGATCATCTGTCTCTTATTTTCACACAATATATACATATGTATAATATATATATATTATATATTATGTATTGGAATAAAAGGATAAAGTTTATTATTTAGATAGAGGATACCATGGGAATCACAATATTTGTCTGGAATTATCCATTAAAAAGATGTTGATGACTTAAATATTGAAGGAAGTATTTAATTATTAAAAATTAAATAATGAATAATAAATATTATATAAATAATAATTTGGAAATGAGGGTATAGTCTGTAAACCTTTTAACTTTTAGGTCTCTTTGTATTTGTGGTGCAAGCATTTACAATCTATCATTTAAACCATCTAATGAATATTTTATGATAATTTACTACTATCTCATATCGTGCACAAATATATGTCCCTCAAGATAAATACTGTGGTTATTTTTAATTTTTATAATAAAAAGATATAATCTTTGAATAAATAACAAAAATAAGAATAATTTTACAAAAATGAAAAAAAAAAAAAAGCAATATTTCTAATAAACAGAGATAATAGTATGATTTTACTATACATTATAAATATCAAATTTGTAAAATGTATTCAACACTCTCTCAAAATAACGTTATTTTAAAATTATAATAAAATCATTATGACCAATTAATACTAAGTAGAGTACCTTATCAACTCCAACATTTCTTACAAGGTTTAGATATATTAAACAGTGGCCATGTAGGTCGAATTTTATAGACAGCAAATATTCTGATGGGACAGAAAGCACCTTTTCATTCACGACAGGTGATTATATCCAGAGAGGAGAATCGCTCTCCGCTCTGCTTTTGGTGTGGAAATAGAAAAAACGGCCTGGATATAGTGGTCTTTGCTTTTTACTCCACTCTCAAGTGCACGACTTACCTTACAACGAAAGCGGGTGCCCGTTGGGCTCACGTCCCCACATTCACCTGTGAAATTCCAATACTACCCCTGCTACTATTCCCAATCGTTCTCCCTCTAAAGATACCTTATATAAACTAACTCCCCAGTCTGGCACCATCCATAAGGCATTCCAAGCAGATCAGGTCATGGAGAAAAAGAATTCGTCCAGTTCTAGTTTCTCGGTTTTTTTCAGGAAGCTGAAAAGGAAGGGGAGCGAAAGCGGCGGCGGCGGCGGTCGTGCGTGGCCGTGGAAGCTGAAGAGCTTCTCCGGGAAGAGCTGGTTCAACTTGCATTGTTTTGTCGATGATATCCTTTTTAAGATCGTATCGGTCATAGAGGCCATTTTTTTGGTATCCACACTCTGCTTGTTCTTCCTTTGTTGCGGATGCCATTTCTGATTTTATCAAAGCTGGTGCTCCATGTGAAAATATGAATCGATTCATTTCTCGTTCATCTCGTGGAAAGTAGTGATGGTCAAGTTCCTTTTCACGCGGATAATGCAACCGATTAGTCGTCGCAGCTGTAGGCAGATTATCCAGAGATTTGCTTCTGATTTCTCATAAATTCGTTTATTCGTCAGTGTTGTATTCTTTGATTTTATTCATTCTCTTTGTCAAGCTACACACATATATTCAAATTTCTCGAAATTTTACTGCCTGCTTTACTTTCCAATTTCCGTATATATTCAGTTATCTGCTCGAACTTTCTTCCTTTCGATTGTGAAATATGGAGGCTTGTCTTCTGCAACTGTGATCGTTCACCTTAATAACTTCAATGATAAGATGCCATTGTAGTTCTGTTGTGAAACGTTAACCTTGCTTTCTTACTTGGTAAAACCATGGCAGTTACAGCAATTTGAGTGTTTTCCCTGAGATTTGCAAATTCCAGAGAATTCCGAAACTATTTTATATGATCTAATAATTCTTCAGTATCAATATGTGTTTGGTTTAGTGTTTGTGTGGTTAGATTTTTTTATTGTAAATGTAATACAGTAGTTGGGAAAAAAAATTGAAAGCCAAACGCCAATGTATGTTTTTTTGCACAGTAATAATGCTGGCAATTTGATACCCAACGGTCGAGTATTACTCCATATAGTATTAATTAAAATTTAATTATTGTTAAATAAAAATATATGGCAATAGGGGGGGTGGCTAAGTGTTGAAATAAATGTACGAACAGCTGTAATGGCCCGTTTGAACCTATGGCTGCTTCAGATTTGTATTGAAAATTGAATATTTTTTCCACTATTAAATTCGATTGATATTAATTCAGCGTAAGTAATGAAATATATGGTGAGTGTCTTTATGTGAATTTATGGGCCTACTATGTAGTTTGTATGGGCCGACCACGGTCCGAGCCTAAAGATTAACCCGCCCAAACACGCGTACAATGATTCGGATTCGGATTCGGGTCATTCTCGATTCGAATCTGAATCCCTAAATTGGGAATGAATGACAACTTCGAATCATTCGTTCGCATTGTGCGATTATGCATGCTTTGATGATCCAGCTTCATGGATTCCAGATTCCATGTTATTACATATTAGGGTTATTACTTGGATTCAGGGAACCTTCTAACCACAACTGGAGTACGCATGAAATCCACGATGTTCTTGTCGATAACGCCGGTTGGAGCCTCAGTAGAAGAGCTACGCAGGTATTTTATATCTTTGAGTGCGAAATGTGTGTTCCTGGTTACTATTAAGTAGATATTTGCTTCAGTAGGAGAGCTGAGAAAACGAAGAGGAACTGCGTATAATTGCCCCTTGTTCACTGGAGAAAATTACTTAATTTACAGGTCTATGGAAGATGATTAGGTATTGATTCAATTCTTAATTAACGATTTTCTGCATTGTTCCAGTCAGGGCAAATTTTTGGAAAGGTGGCCACTGGCCAGTGGAATGATGCATTCCCACAAAGAGCACGTCGCAGTAGAAAGTGCTACATGGCGAGAAGGTAATAATCTTTATCTAGTTGAGCCATTTCTTCTTTCCTCTATTGCATATAGAATCAGCGGAACATTGCAATGGTGGCACTTCATTGACACGGCACTTTGCACTCAACCTCAACACTATATTAGCGTATTTTGTTTGTAAGTCAAGAAATTGGAAGATAATAAGGATGTGATTTCCCCCCTGTCATAGCAAATCATAATAAGAAAGTGAAAAACCTTTGTTTTGGTAACAGAGGTTGATTAATTGGCTATGCTTGTATAGTTTTCCTATAAGTTGTTGATTTTCTGTATAACTACTTTCTCACTTGTTTTATGGGTATGTTTTTTTCGTAGCATGATTTTTGGTTGTGTATAATGATGTATAATGACATACTGAAACAAAAAAAAATGTGGGAAAGTCGAAATCACCTTTGCTTGTCCTGCCACATGCTTTTCGTGTTTGATGTAGGTATAATTAAAATAATATAATGAAAAAACTATCCTCTAGGATTATATGTCAGTGTTTGTTTGAGAACTCGAATTATAAACATCATATAGTTATAAATGCCTAACAAATTACATTTCCTTTGTACAATGTCATACAGTTAGGTATGGGAGAATTGAAATGACATGGTGAGAAAACCACCCTCTAGGATTATATGGATATATTGGTTTGGGAAAGTAAAATTATGAACATCATATAATTATAAATGCCTAACAAATTACATTTATCCTTCGGTCAAATGTCAGCAGTGTTGCCAGGTGTTACCTCGATATGGCGTGGCTGTTGCCCGGAAAATCTGTAACGTATTAATTATTTCAAAATCCTGCATTGATTGCCACCCAATTCTTTAAACATGTGAAAATAGTACAGACTAGAGATTTATGCTAATCCGCCTTGGATTGGTTGAACCCGCCGCCGTGTTACACAATCAATGTGTGAACAAAGAAAAGTTTATTTAATAAGATTTCCTGTGTCACTTTCCTCATATACCCTGAAAATCTTTCCTTCGTCTTAGGTTTCTAAGTTTGCTAACATGGCTCCTCCACGGGGAAGGAAGACATCGCAAGGGCGAAGGAAAATCGAAATGAAAGTGGTAGAAGATGAAAATGCCCGGATAGTCACTTTCTCTAAACGGCGTGCGAACCTCTTCAAGAAAGCCTTAGAACTTTCTGTGGTGTGTGGGGCTCAAATCGCCCTTATAATTTTCTCTATGGGGGGACGAGCCCATTCATACGGCCATCCTAACATAAGATCTGTTGTTGATCGTGTTTTTAACAGAAATCCGATGCCAAACTTGCCAGATTCTGGTTCTGGCTCCGGCTCCGGCTCCGGCTCTGGCTCTGGTTCTGGTTCTGGCTTCGGCTGTGGTTCTGTTTCTGGCCCCGGTTCTGGTTCTGGTTCTGGTTCTGGTTCTGGTTCTGGCTCTGGCTCTGGCTCTGGCTCCGGCTCCGGTTCTGGTTCTGGCTCCGGTTCCGGTTCTGGTTCTGGCTCCGGTTCCGGTTCCGGTTCTGGTTCTGGTTCTGGCTCTGGCTCTGGCTCTGGCTCTGGCTCTGGCTCTGGCTCTGGTTCTGGTTCTGGCTCTGGCTCTGGCTCTGGCTCTGGCTCTGGCTCTGGTTCTGCACCTGAACCTGAACCTGCACCTGATCATGCTCCTGCTCTTGCACCCGCTCCTACTCCATCAAATCATACGCCTGAGACTCAACATCTAATATATCAGTACGGCCGAACAATTGCAGATCTGGAAGTACAAAAGAAAAAATCGAAAGATATTGAAGCAGCTTTGGAAAACTCAGGGTTTGATGTTACCGAAGAGGGCATCAACATGCTCGACATTCACCAGCTCAAGTATCTAAAAGCTAAGATGGAGAAACTCAGAAAAAATCTGCGCTGCTGTGCCAATCTACCTCAGATAACCTCTGCTGAGCCATCATTCACGTTAGACGATGGAGCTGGGCCATCAAATACAAAAGCTGTTCCAGACACAGGTGAGAATGATGGGATTGATCCATCTCAAAATTCTTCTGCCTGGCTGAGGCTGGAGATGCCGACTGTCGACAAGCAAGGTAGCGAGAGCAGGGACAAATCGAATGGTTTTCCCGCTCTTTGGTCAAAATCGAAGAATAATATTGATCTCTCAAAGGTGAGGGGGGATGTAGATGATCCTTTTCCAATCCCACCTGATTGGTTGGCTCTGTGATTTATTGGTGGATTTGCTGGTGTCTGAATAATTTGGAGTTGGCTGGTTTTTTTAGTATGCTTTTTACAAAGACAATTAATAATGTTAGTGTTGAGTTTATGCTCTACAGATTCAAAATTATGTGATGAGTCTGTGTCTTGTGTTTCCATTTGGTTTATCATTTGCTGGACCAGAGTCATTTTCATTTATAAAATAATATTTTAATTATGCAAAGTTATTATTCTGAAGTTGGTGTCTTAATGTTTATTAGCTTGACAAGAAGTGTTGGCATGTAAAATTTGTTTTTAGTCTAGTTTGGGGAGAACTTTTCTGAAAGTGAAAATCAGAGGCAATGCTTGAGAAAACTAAATTCAAATGAATCCATTTTCAGTATGTCTACAGGATATATATATAAATGGAAGTTCACAAAAGAAACAATCAAAACTGATGCATGTTTTGCACCGAAACAGCCGCAAATATGAATCTAAAACTAGACAACGGTCCTCAAAAGATCAAATTAAGACCTAAGTTACCACTTCTGAGAACAGGTATGGCCAGTGATAGAATGGTGTAAAAGAGGACTTAATCTCAGGTCACAGATTCTGGAGAATGTCATGGCTTGAAAGAAGAGAATGCGACGACAGAGTTGTGTCCACCAAATCCAAATGAATTCGAAATTGCTGCATATGACAAACAAACATAGTTTGACTTAGGAGGAATTACCAACAGATAAGTATTTAGCATGTCGCCTAAGAACACATCATGGAATTGGGAATGTGAAAGCATCTTATCTTACCAACATTCACTTCATGCTGCTGTTTTTCATTTGCCACAGTGTCGAAGTCCACGGAAGGCTCTGGATTCTGCTTGGACATGTCAATAAGATAACCACCGTGACCATCAGACATTTCTTATAGAATTATTAGACATTGTGAATTACAAGTTTCAGCAATTCTTTCTAAACTTACAAATTGGTTTATTGTAGGGTGAAGCCAACCAGTAGTGATGGCTTTCACAGTTGCAATAGCTTCCAAACCACCGGCAGCCCCAAGGCAGTGCCCGATCATTGACTGGAGAAACATGAAAGTGAAGCACATATATCACATTACTCAAATAAATTAATTGGATGCGAGCATGAAAGTAAAGCATGAAAAGGATCATTTCATACAGTCCATCAAGACAAATAATCGAACACACATGACCAAACAACTTCAGTTGAGGGCTTACCTTGGTGGCATTGATTTTTATCTCTGAAGTATCCTTGAATACCTTCTTGATAGCATTGATCTCAGCCAAGTCCCCTACTATGGTGGAAGTTGCATGGGCATTAATATAATTAACCTGAAAGAGAATTCTGGTTTAAACCACAACCATTTGATAGTAGTAGTAAATATTCCCAAGGATGCACCATCACTTTTTCAAACATGGGAATCATTATTGACAATCTAAACAATCATTAACAGTGAACTGTGAAGAATTGTATGTGGATGTAGATATTTTAAACATAATAATCTAAGGAATAAGGCAGACCTCCTCAGGAGAAACACCAGCATCTTCAAGGGCACTCAAGATGCATGAAGAAACACCAAGCCCATCAGCTCTGGGATCAGTCATATGATAAGCATCACAATTTACTGCACCTCCCAAATATTCTGCAATTATTGGTGCGCCTCGCCTCATTGCATGTTCCAGACTTTCCATAACCTGCAGGACATATTCATAGATATAAGAAACTTTAAAAATCATAAACTTTTTAAGGGAAGCCCAAGAAAATACTGATACAATTATCATATGCAAAAAATTAGTTAATACAAGGAACATCTATCATCTCTGTTCTTGGTAAGGAGGCGAATATGTTAGATCTTTTTGCATAAAACTTAACATGATGATCCCTTTGCTTTTCCAGCAAGACGAATGTATTGATATTTTATTTCTTACTTTAAATGCCAGTCCATTTCATTTTTAGAGGTGAGGGTGAAGATGATGAGTCTCCCCCGCACTCTGCCTATTGCTAAAGTTGTCTCCCCACCCCTACACTGAATCACCCATAGAAGTCCCATATATCTTTTAATAGTTAATTTAGAGAGCAAAAATGAGAAAAATACATATGACAGATGATAAAAATACTAAACTAAAGTAACAAAATAATTCAACCATAACACATCTAATTAATTAAATAACTAATTGAAGTTTTTGGTTGTGCCCATGAACCTATAATGAATAACTAATTTATGTTTTGTACATTATTTAGTCTAAAAATCCATATTATTAAATTACTAAATAATGTATGGATGCAATTTGATACAACACATGTATCTGTGTAGGGTAATAAGATAAAAAAACATTAAGTTATAGTAACTAAATAATTGTGTCATAACACAACTAATTATCCCATAGCCGTCCTATCTATTCATTTATTTGCAGAAATGATAAGGAGCATAATTTGCCAACTTCAAATTCTAGAAAACAGAGGAGTAATCTCACTTCCACAATCCATATTTCTCCATCTTCATTATTCCTATTAACAAGAAAGGGAAAAAGGCTAAATGCTAATAATTAAGTAGAAGGGCATGGCAAGCTTACCAGAACACCAGCGCCTTCACCCATGACAAAACCATCTCGATCTTTGTCCCAAGGTCTAGAGGCAGTTTTTGGGTCATCATTTCTTTGAGACAGAGCTCTGCATGCAACAAAGCCCCCCAACCCAATAGGAATAATAGCAGCTTCCGTTCCACCAGCAAGCATCAAGTCAGCTTCACCGCGGCGAATGTGATTTGCAGCCGCATAGAAACAGTAATTTGATGTAGCACATGCAGTTGAAATTGAATAATTGGGCCCCATTAAGCCAAGATCAATAGCAAGCAGGGCAGAGCCCATGTTTGTTATCGCGTATGGAATGAAAAATGGGGTAATTTTCCTGTGGCCTTTCTCAATTAGAGACTGTACACCGTCGGAAAAGACAGTGAGGCCTCCCATTCCTGTCCCAACCAAAACACCAGCTCGAATCTTGTCAATCTGAAATCAGAAGTAAACAGAATGACTTAGATAATGCGGATAACAACTCACAACCAGCTCAACAGATGGAACTCTAAAAAGATCGCCGTAGTTAGGCACATTAAGCTTTATCAAGTGTAAGATCTATCAAGAATGAAACCATCTCCATTTATTAAACAACCAAAATATTTGCCTTTAGAAGTAGTTACAATAATATGATTCACCAGTCATGAAACTACTTACAAATTCTATGTCTTAATATCAAAACTCAAGCCCAAACCATATTAAATTCATTCACAAGAAGAGCATTGAATTGTCCATAAACTAACCAGCATACCTAACAAAGTATATGATTTCTTAGTGGAAGATCTTCAAAAAAAATGCCTTCGTTTATTTTTTTGCCTAGCTCCAGAAAGAAAACGAATATCCAAAAGGCAAAAGAAAATTGGATAAACAAAAAAGAAGGTATTTTGTGACGTAGTCTCCCCAGCTCCTCCTAACCAAATTCTAATCAGCAAAGGCACAATACTAACAGTCCCAAAAATGGAAATTAACAGCAACGGGAAAGCCATAGATGTACAAAAGAATACCCCCAAAAGGACTCGTCTCTGAAACTCCAAAGCAGCTCAATTGAGCTTCGAAAACAACCAATACCTTGTTGAGTTTATCACCTCCAAGATCCGCATCCTCAAGCGCCTTCTTCCCTGCAACAATGCAGTACCTCAAGCAATCATCTAATCTTCTATCGTTCTTCCCATCAATGTAACCCTCGGATGAGAACCCCTGAATCTGCCCTCCAAACCGCGTCGGAAATTTCGACGCATCGAACCTGTCAATGGGAACGATGCCGCTCACACCGGCGAGGAGCTTCTCGTAGTACGCATCCACGTTGTTTCCAAACACCGATACGAGTCCCATTCCCGTAATTACAACTCGCTTCTTCGGATCCGTCTCCCGCTTCGGCGCCGAAACCGTCGACGCTGATGCAGATATCCTGAACGGAAGCATTTTCGCCGGCGGCCTCGCATTTCTGCAGGGCACAACGTCGGATCGAGATGACCTGCGAAGCGGATCGATGGGGGAAGGGCGGAGCGCGGTGGATTGCAGCGCTTGCATTATGGCGGCAGAGTTCGATGATACCTATGCGCCCAGCGACGATGAGATAGTAGATGTGTGTTATGTGGTCTGATAGTGACATCCGTTAAGAGTGTCAATTTTCAGGTCCCTATATTTACTTTATTTATCACTTTCAATAACAAAGGTTATTTAGTTAGAAAAAAATAATAATAATAATAAATAAATTCAATTCAATATCAAAATTATCAATTTGATCTCATTCGAAAAAACAATATCAATTTAGTCTGACTCAAATAAAAATTTATCAATTTTAGTCCAAAATAGTTGACTGAGACTGAATACGACTGTGTTGAATGACTCTGACTAGGCGTCTCAGGCAGCCAACACGGCCGTGTTGGTCTCAACACGACCGTGTTGATTACCCTGTACTTTTGAACACAGTCGTGTTCCTACCCGTGTTCTGAACACACAGCTATGTTTTAGGTCATGTTCACGACCATGTTTTCAATATAATCATATTGTATAGATCATATTTATTATTATTTTCATTTTTGGTTAAAATTATTTTGATATATATATTTATTTTACAATTATTTTATAAAATAAAAAATAATCAATTTTTAATATTTTTAAAATATATAAAAATAATAATATTTTAAAATAAACGGAATTTCGATACAAATATACTATTTTTTGTAGTGTATTTTTACTAATACATTCTTAATTATCTACTAATTATACTTATCATAAATTCTCGTGTGTACAGTGACCCAGATATCCAACGTGGGATAGAGGGAGTATTATTTTAAAATATTATTATTTTTATATATTTTAAAAATATTAAAAATTGATTATTTTTTATATTATAAAATAATTGTAAAAAATATTTTTGTTAATTATAAATATATATATATCAAATAATTTTAACCAAAAAGTAAAAAAAATAATAAATATGACCTACAATATGATTATATTGAAAACATAGTCGTGAACATGGTCTAGAACATTGAGAACATGACCTAGAACATGGCTGTATTGAGAACATGGACAGAAACATGGCTGTGTTTTCAGAACACGGGTAGGAACACGTGTTCAAAAGTGCAGGGTAATCAACAGTGTTAGCTGCTTGGAACACCTAGTCACCTTCTGAGTAATCTAACACAGCCGTGTTCAGTCCCAGTCAACTATTTTGGGACTAAAATTGATAAATTTTCATTTGAACGGGTCTAAAATTGATAATTTTTTTTTGAATATGACCAAAATTGATAATTTTGATATTGAATGGACCAAATATAATATTTAGTATTTATCACTTTCAATAACAAAGGTTATTTAGTTAGAAAAAAAAATTAAAATAATAAAATTAAATAAATATATGAGAATCTAATTTTTTTATACAGATAAATTTATAAAAATAATACTTTCACTCTTCTTTAATAATTTTATTACACAAATATCATTATCTATAATTAATTTAATATTTTTATTTTTATTTATATTTTATTTCAATATAATATTAAAATTATGTGAAAAAAAATAAATAGTTATATAGACAGGGGAAGGAGGGAGTACTAGCGTGCGTGATGATGGCACGTGGCTGCTTCCAATACGGTAATTATATTTGTGGCGGTTATAATTTTTCAACAGCCAAATGTTTATTTATTTTATTAGATATATACAGATACAAGGCAACGTCGATGGCTGCTGTCGCCACCGCTGCTATCTACTTCCGAGGCAGAGCGGCTGGGTTTCGTTGCCTGTCTTTCAACCCAAAGCCAAACTCATTTCATCTGAGAGCTTCTGCTGTAAGTTTCTCCAACTTGTAAGATTTTCTCAATCGCTCTGCATTTAGGTCTGGAACGAGTTTACTTGATTGCGTCTGTTTTGAATTGGGAGGGTGATTTGTAGAACTTGATTGGGTGCAGATGGAAGGGAGTGAGATTGAGGAGGAAGTTTTGGACGAGCAGAAGACAAAGAAAATCTTTGTCGCAGGAGCCACGGGGAGCACCGGGAGGAGGATTGTGGAGCAGCTTTTGGCTAGGGGATTTGCTGTTAAGGCTGGAGTTAGGGATATAGAGAAAGCGAAATCTACCTTTCCTGAAAGCAATCCTAATCTTCACCTCGTGAGTATTTATAGAGTTTCTTTTCTTGATAAGCTTTTTGCTGCCCCTCTCCAATTCGTCTAAATTCCGTAGCTTGGTTGAGGATGCTTAGATTTAAATTTGGTAAAACGATCTACACTGTAAAAGGTTTTAACACAGTAGCAATGGTTATGGTTGTTGTCTTACTGCAGCTGAATAAAAGCTCGTTCAATTACTGGTGTTGGTTAAAATTTGTAATGCTTCACCCATCGTTCATTTCTTGAAGCCTTTGTTTACAATCTCAGTCCTTAGAAGCATGAAATCTGTGAAATCTTTGTGTGATAAATCCCATGAATTGTGATAATCTTGAAAGATATATAAGCTCTTGAATTGTGTGATAATGTTTGTGTGCCCTTTGGATTTGTCAAAATTCTACATTTTGGTGCAGACATGTTTAGGATATCAATTTTTTGGCTTATTCCCTTTTAGTGTGCTTAAGAGTTAAGACCCAAATCTTGACAAAACTCTTGGCTATGAGGAAGTGTTATAATTCTTGTTTGCAGATCAAAGCAGATGTGACACAGGGCTCGGAGAAACTAGCCGATGCAATCGGCAATGATTCTGAGGCGGTGATATGTGCTACAGGATTTCGACCTTCGTGGGATCTCTTGGCTCCATGGAAGGTTGGATGAAAAGCTGTATATTGTTAAAAGATTACCATGAATGTAAAGCTGATTTCTTCCTTTGAATGCCTAGAAATATGCATATTTAACTTGACTTTCATCCTCTAATGCAGGTGGATAACTTTGGCACTGTAAACCTGGTCGAGGCTTGCCGGAAGCAAAATGTCAACAGATTTATACTCATCAGCTCCATTTTAGTTAACGGGGCTGCAATGGGACAACTCCTCAACCCTGCATACATTTTTCTCAATGTGTTCGGGCTGACATTAGTTGCGAAGCTGCAGGCAGAGCAGCACATTCGTAAATCGGGCATCAATTACACAATTGTGAGGCCTGGAGGGTTGAGGAACGATCCACCAACAGGAAACATAGTGATGGAGGCAGAGGTAGGTAAATTGAGCTGAGATTTTGCACATTCGTTGAATCATCCATACATTAATTTTAACAATTGTGGTTGCAGGATACTCTTTACGAAGGATCAATTTCAAGAGATCAGGTTGCAGAAGTTGCAGTTGAGGCATTGCTCCATCAAGAATCGAACTACAAAGTGGTGGAGATTGTTACCCGACCGGAGGCTCCTAAACGGTCCTTTGCAGAGATGTTTGGATCCATCAAACAAAGATGATAATACTTGTAGATAATGCTTCTATATGTATATTTAGATAATACTGTTTCGGGGATGGGATGACCCAAGAAAAGATCTTTTTTGCTGCAATATGATTCTTTAAAAGAAAAAGAAAAAAAAAAAAAAATTGGGTTAGAGATCCACCGAGGTGGATAGCCTTAACCGGATGTGTATGGTAACAGGTAAAGCCCGAAAGCTGTTCCCGTCCCTGTCGGGGGAGATGCCAACCATCTCTCCTTTCTACGAACACAGCCGTAAATGAAGACTACGTGTATATTAATTCTGAATCTTGTTTATGAAGTAGCGATGTGGGACAGAAAGTGGCATTAAATAAATTTACTTGTAGGGATGTTTTTGGGTTGGGCTTCCACTAAGAAATTGCAGAGAAATTAGTGCGAAATCAGAATCTGAAGGCTTCCATTAAATTAAACAACAGACGAGAACAGAACATTGATGAATTCTTGAATTAGACATGATAAGAAAAATATCAGCAGAATAAAGCAGTAGATTTAAAAAATCTAATAGAAAGCAGCGGCAGCTACAGAAGCAATGGCAGCCACAGCTGCCGGAACGCCTAAGGCCACTGCAGAACTCGTCGGCGCCGGCGCCGGCGCGGCGGTGTCGTCAAGACCGGCAGCTTTGACTGCAACATTGGAAAAGGCCATTATGGCAATGATGCAGGCAGTGAAAGCAAACCCTAATTTTCTTGCCTCCATTTTCTTGCTTCTTTCACTTTTGAGTTGCAGATGTGATAAAGCTGATTGTAAGTGAGATTAAGTGGGTGTCTCAGGTGGGGTATTTATAGGAATCTTTGATGTGAATAAAATCAATAAGGAAAACTCAGCTGAAGAAGATGGTGTGCTGTCAGTAATACTTTGAAATATGAGTCCACTATGTTAGTGGAACAGCCTGGAGTTAATGTGGGTAGTCTTGCAAGAACAGATTATATATTGAAACTGTTGTCTTTACAGATGGGTGTTAGGTTGTTGTTCTGTTAAACTATGACGTGATTAGTGACAATTGCAATGATGGGCATGGGTTTAGTTTAAATTGTTGCTGTTTGCCATGTGGTAAGCACAAAATTAGTGCATAATAATTGGAACTTGGAATCACCATTATTCTTCTTCAGAAATACTTCCACATGGGGTTCTTGGTGTATAGTTCATTCAGATTTCTTGAATTAGAGATGGGATTTTGCAAAAATTAGGAAATGGAATCACAATATATTGTCAATTATGTGCAGAAGAGAAAGTTCTAATGCATTTAGACTAAAATTTGAACATTTAACATATGAAGTCAAGTTATAGGAAAAAAATGCAAAAACCAAAGGGAAAATGGAACTGAAGCCTGTTTCAAAACCAAATGTATATCATAATCATCCAACAAGGCTAATAATAATAACAATGCTGAAACAAAGGGGATGTGTTTCAACAAAATTGGGAGGGACAAAGTTAATAATTCTCAACTTGTAACTGAGGCACAAGAAAATGGAGAAACTGTGTGCCAAATAGTTTTACATGAATAAGTTGGGCCTTGATGCTTTGTAAGTGGTCTTGAGTTTTCTTGATGGCGGCCTAACCTTCCGGAACACCAACGGGAACTTGATTTTGGAGTCATGGAATTGCTTGGTGCTCTCTCTCTTGCAAAGCTTTGCCGGGACAGTGGCTGTCTTGATGATTTGGATGCAGTGGGGGCGGACGCGATGGCGAGAAGCCATTTCTGTGTACATCTGCTCCACAGCACCGTTCAAGGTGGTGTCTCGGTATTCCTTGTACATGTTGTGATAGCCAGTTCGACTTTGGTATCGTAGCCAGATTCCATAGTTCTTAATGGTGGTTGGGTTTTTCTCGAATATCTGTTAAGAGGATTAATACCATGTTAAACTATATAATCTTCAATACGGAAGTAAAATCTCATAAATATTAATGGTTATCAAAACCAAAGGGAAGGGGTGCCAATAAATTCTTGTAATAAACACTATTCTTCGATTCGTCGCTATGCAAGGTTTAAGGGGAAAAGCAAAGGTAAATGACTAAATTTCTAGATGGTTGTAAATGAATAAAAAATACAATTCAGATGAGTGAAAAAATTAAAAGAGCATAATATTTTCCCTTCATTTATAATATCTTCCACATCCTTCGCCTCATCTACCAAACAACTCAAGATTTTTCCTAGAAGTTTTTTTCGACTTGATGAAATTTTAGAACCAGTAATTATAAGGATCTAAGCCTCCTGTCTCTAAAGCACAAAACAGCAATATCTCAGGTACAGAAAGAATTAAACAGAAAACCTACAGCTTAAGCAGTCTTCAAATCTGAGATTCCAGACTTTCATATTTAAAATAGAATATTCATTCTTGTGGCTACATTTATGAATAATAGAAAGAGTGTGCAAGCACACAAATTATACAACAAAAGAGCACCATGCAAACAGGAAGTTCTAAAGAGATGTTATGCTCGTAAAAGAAGGAATAATATTAACATAAAATGGCATCAAAATTAACACAAACAAAATGAAACACAATATGCACAGTTGCCAGAGATAGCACAGGTTGCTATAACAAAATAATTTATAAAAGAATGGAACAAGGTTTGTACCTCATTGATAGCGAGAATCTGACCATTGCTCTTCTTCACCTTCTTTAACTTCCTTAAGTAGTACCTGCATATACAAGCGTCAACCCAAATTTCAAGTGTACATACTTGTTACATTTAGAAAGAACATTCGTATCCACAGGTACCACATCCTCTCAGCCTAATACATTAAGTGTTTGGTGAAACATAATACAATGCAAACACAAACACAAAAAAACATAACTTTATTTATTCATTGTATCAAGCATTAGACACACTATCTTTTCCTCTAAACAATTACACAAACCCATTCAACTGTTAATTATTTACATATTAAACACAAAAATATATACTTTTATAAATATTTAAGATTAATGTAATATTATATTTATAAAATAAAAACAATATATTACATTAATGTTTGCAAAAATAATTCAAAAAACCACCCTGGAGGGATGGTTGAAGCCAGCCTGATCATAGCAACTCCACATGTCAAGTATTCCTCCAAATACAAAGTTCGTTGGAGGTGGCCATAACAAATTATCCAATATGATCCAAATAAAGCTTAGGGACATTTCAGACTCCATTTGGAGGAATGTTTATGCTCTAATCCGCTCCAACCATCACTCCAAAATAACAATAACCCTCCAATTTTGGAGGGATTATTTTTAATTTATATTTTGACCCCATATTTGATTTTTTTTTTTTTTTTTTTTTGTATATTCAGTATTTCTAATCTGTTACTTATATTTTATATTATTATACTACATATAATATTACATTAATATTAAATATTTATAAAAACATATTTACTGGATTAATATGTAAAAAAATAAAATTGAAAGAAGTTTCAGTAATTCTTCAAATTCAATCAAAAGAAGGAATATAGTGCAATGTTCAAAATTTTTAAAAAATGAAACAGTTGCTTGGAGATGGTCTGATTGCTATTCAAACATAGATAAAGGACTACGTAGTATCTGCCAATGCAATATGAGGAAAGACTTCCTGCAAAGTTTCGTTCCAATTTTTATCCAATTACGGTTGTCCACTATGGAAAAATATGAATATAAACAATCGAGAAGACAGAAGCACGATGAATCCACACGCACAAGAAAAAAGAAAAGCATACCAGAACTTGGATTTGGCACGAACTTCATTTGTTGCCCAAAGCTTCATCCGATAAATCTTGGGGTGCTCATCGGACTCCGTCGGCAAACCTCTCCCCACCACCTGGTACTGATGGAACTGCAAAACAAACAACAACAACAAACTAATCGCATTAAATTCGCTATTCCGACTTCAAACGCAGGCTATCCAGACATAACGATCATAATAGTACTATGTAACCGTACCTTGAACGCCACCATCTCCGACGAATCTGTAATCTCTTTTTTCCCTCTCTCTCAATCTCCCTCCTTGCGGCGGCGGATTGTCCGGTGGTTGCCGAGGGTTTGCAGATTTTATGGTGTTCGTAGGGGGCTGGTTTTTATTCGAGCCTTCTAGATAAAGCCCATTAAGTTTGGGCCAATATCCAATTATCTCTAGAAACTCAAATTTAAAAACAAAAAAATAATAATAAAATATTAAATTGGATAAATTAAAATAAGAAAAGAATACCCTATATTATATTTGTATAGCTGTAAAAATATTTTTTTATATAATAATAAAAAAATTACTAAAAAAAAATATTAATAAATTTATATCACAACAAAATAAGAATACATTACTCTCTCTCTCCGTCCGTTTCTTGGGCGACGTTTTCTCCTTCTCTTCTTCCTTATCCGGCAGCAGCTGCAGCGACGAGGAGCCACCTCCTTCTTGTCTTCTTCTCTGACAGGGAACTGCGATGAACGGTGGCTCTACCGACTATATATATTTTAAAAAATAAATAAATAAACAATATTTGCTTAAAAAATTTGAGATTATTTTAAATAGTCTTGAAATTTTCGAAATTATTTGAATATTCTTAAAATTTTCGAAACTGTAAAAATAAATTCGAAAAATTTAAAACTATGCAAAATACTCTCGAATATTCCGAAACTAAATTGTTTCGGAATTTTCAAAATTTCCTATAACATATGTACGAGACAATATCTGAAGTAAATAAAAAAAGGTTTGGAATTAGTTCTTATACAATTTTTCGAGACTGTTAACAAAAATTGTGATGGTGTATATTTAAACACATTTTATATAAATAATAATTTTTTATAATAATAGAAAAATCGTTATCACTTTTTTTACTTATTTATATGAAAAAATATTATATATAATCATATTAACCAATAATATTTTATTAGAAAAAGTATTGTAGAAAATTTTATAGAATTATTGGATTTGTTTTTTCAATATTTTTTAAAATATTTTTATAGAATTATTGAAGTGGTTCTTTTAAGATTTTCTTATTCTTGTAAATTTTTTTTATATATAATCCTCTGTAAATATAATAAAAAAATATTAGCAGAGCCATATAGTATAATATTTTTATTATTTTATTTCAATTCTACCCACATCAGAAAAAGATAAAATAATTATAGCATATCATAGAAAATACATATTTATAAAACAGTAATACATATAAAAAAAAAAAAAGGAAAATTTATAAAAGAACTACACAATAATAGTCAAAATTAATAACCTTTATAACCACAATTAAACATACGTTTCTTCACTTTCTTATTATGATTTTTTAATCAGTTTTCAAATCTGTGAAAACAGAATTGGGAAAATCACATTCTTATTAAATTATTATCTTTCAGATATTTAATTACAAGTTCTTGACTTACAAACCAAAAACCTGATTATTTAATTGGATTGTACTTAAATACAACATCGACCCTAAATGGTTCATAGGTTTACATTTATATAAAAGTAGGATATTTGATTGTGTTTAATGTCAAGCTTGAAGCTACACTTGTTCTGTATTTAATTTTATATGTAATATAGGAAAGAGAATTTTACATATTAAACCCTAAAACTAATGGTCTTCGTCCTCATCGCCGCTCGAAGAAGAGTCGGGCATAGTCGAATGGTCATACTCGAAATCTTGCCTAGCGTCTAAATCTCCGTCCCAATCTCTGTAAACATGGGTATGTTTTATAGTAGTTTTCATCCCGATCTTTGTAAAAATAAACTTATCATCTCACTTGTTTTATTGGTATGTTTTATAGTAGCATGATTTTTTATTGTGTATAATAGGCAAATGTAGACATACTCAAATAAAAATTCGTGGGAAAGTCGTAATTAGCTTAGCTTGATAGGTAGAGAATTGAAATAACATAATTACTCTCTCTACCCCTATATCAAAATGGGTTATTTGAGGTTTTGCAACAAATTAAAAAATAATAGTATTTTATTGATGAGTTATATATATATATATGAGAAATAATATTTTGATATTAGATTATGATTATTTTTTCTAAAATAAAAAATTAAACATTGAAATAGAACATATAAAATGGTAGAAATTTTTTTCCTTATATGGTTGTGTTTGTATTATTTATAATATTTATAAAGAATTGTATGTGAAAAAAAAATAGTGAAATGACGAAATTCAATTATTCTATAAAAGTTTATAAAAAATATTGAAATAACAAATTCAGTGATTCTTTAAAATTTTCTAAGAAATATATAGAAAGAACAATTCCAATAATTTTACAATATTTTACATTATAATAAAAAAATATTATTGGTTAATATAATTATATACAATGTATTTCCATATAAATAAGTAAAATAACAACTTTATAATTATTATGAAAAAAAATATTTTATATAAAAATGTGCTTAAATATAGAATATATATTGGTTTGACAAATATCAATATTATTCGTACCATTGACCCAGTATCAATGTTTAAATTTATATATTTTTTAATCATAATCTAGCTAGAGATTTAAATAAAATTAATTAATATTGATTATTGTGATATTTATAATAATTAACTATGATATTTTCTTAAAGTAATGTAGAACAAAATAATATTTTATAAATAATTATGTCTCCAGCTACATAAAGTACCTATTTTTTTTTCTATTTTCGTCTATTATCAATTTATAAAATTTTTTTATCTTAATTAAATAATTTAATTATTTTAATATTAATATATAATTACTTACACTATACAGTAATGATTTTTATTAATATACTTTTTACTTATTTATTAATTATATTTTTTTCTAAATTTTTGTTTAAAAAAAGTGGCCACTTTTGATGGGATGGAGAAAATATTACTATATTTATGGTTGGATGGAGTAAATATTACGATAAATCACTCTTATATATGTATACCAATAAGAAAAAAATTAATATTGTGCACATTTATCATACACTCTTCAAATATATATTACATAGTTAAAAATCATAATATATATAATATATATATATTAATATAGTTAAAATTTTGCTCAAGTTATCTCTTTAAAATATATATAATTTTAAATTTTTATACATTTCAAATTCAATTCTAAATTTACAATTAATTTTTTTTAGAAAAAGATAAAAGATAATCTAAAAATTGAGGGAGAGATCCAAATTCAATTTTAAATTTAGAATATTTTGAAAAAAAAAAGATAAAAAAATAATATAAAACATGAAAAAAAAAAGAAAAAAATATAAGACAAAATTAAAAGAAAAAAAATTAATTAAAATAAAAAGATAAAACCAATAGTATAAATATAAGAGCATCTGTTATAGTCGTTACGGCTATTATTTTCTTTATTTCTCTCATCCACGTCATATTCATTTTAATATTTAAATTACTTTTTTTATCACCCGTTTATTACTTTTATTATTTTATAATACTTATAATAATTTATTTATTTATATATATTTTTATTATGCAGTAATATAATAAAAACAATTTATTTATTTATACATAGTACTATATTTTTATTGTCTAATAATATTTTTATATAATATTATATTTTAATTTTTAAATATTAATCTATGTAAATTTTAATAATTTGAAGCATATAATTTACTATTTTAAAATTTGAATAGGAAAAATTAGAGATCAAAGAAAATAATTTTAAAATATGATAAATAAAAAGTTATAATTGGTTAATGAGTTTTAAATATATTTATAGATAATTTTTATTGAATTTAAAATTTGAAATTGTAAGAATTCATAAAAAAAAAGAAAAAAAGATAATACTTAATTAATTTTTATTATTTTTATTGAAGGTAATTATTTCTTCATAAAAATAATAAATTTAAAATAACTGTATTTCTTATTAAAGGTAATAATTATTATTATAATAAAAACCGAAAAGATAATCACAAAGACAATGTAGGAGATGACTATAACAGATAGTCTAAATGAGAATAGGTTTAAAATAAAACTTTAAAAATCAATTCTCTCACAAAAATACACAAATAATATTATATATTTTTGTTTAGTTAAAACTAAAGATAAATTTTATATTTTATTTATAGATATAGAAAAAAAAATTATATATCAAATTCTTATACGGAAGAGTTAATATATTATTTATGAAAGTACATATATTTTTAAAATTTATTAATAACCCAATTGTATTTTTTTAAAAAATTTTAAGAATTATAAAAATTTAGGAATTAAAATATCTTGTCATATGATATATAAGATGATACTCCCTCGGCCTTAAGATAATAAAATATTTGAAATGTACACGGAAACCAAAATATATTATATTGATTGTGAGATAAAAGTGTTTTTAATAGATTAAAATATATTTTTTTTATGTAATTGCTGTGAAAAATATGGATAATTTTGTATAAAAAACCGAAAATTAGTTAAATAAGTATTGTTTTGGGACGATATTCAATATTTCATAATAAAAATTAATTCAATTGATACTCCGAAATAAGTATATCTGACCTCTGACCGGTGGATAGTATTGCAACCTGCGAGTCTGCTCTAAACCCTAGCTTGTTGCCCTAATGGACGGGAATCTTCTACCGGAGTTGATCTCTTCGGATTGCAGGCGAACCGCTCCTGAGATTCAAAGCTGTTTCCAAATCACGGTCTTCCGTCATCACCAGCGTCGATTTCGCTGCCGCTCATCTTAAGCATAAAAAAACTTTGTAATGGTTCATACTCTAAGGGTGTGTTTGTTTGGGAGTTTGGATTTTGAGTTGAGATTTGAATAGCAGTAATTTTGAATTTGAATAGTTGTATGATGTAATATAAATAGCTGTTGATGTGATGTTTTGAATGTAAAATTGATTTTTAGTATAATATATTTGATTTGATGTTTTTAGGGGAAAATTTTGGATGAATAGTAAAATTTTGGTAAAATTCTTCAAATGAACAAACCCTATGAAGAATCGTGTTCTTATTCCCAAGGATCATGCCCTTTGACTACTCTACTCCACATTACGACAATTTGTTCTTCCAGCCTGGAATGGGAAAGAGGGAGCTTAAGGTTGATAATGAGAGATCATCCATGAATAAGATCTATCTATAGTCGCTGAGAATCTAATTCTTTCCTGTTTATTTTATTTATTAAACTTTGTTTTGGTGTTTCAATTCAATTGAAATTTATTTCAGGTAATAACTCTCTGACATTGATCTATTGTATTTTATTTTACTTCTTACCAATTTTATTTTATAAATCACTTATCTACGTATTGAGCAGCCCACTGATTAACACTCCCTCATGTAACGAAGAATATATATTTTGAAATTATGTAGTCATACTAGCCTTCACAATTGTAATCAAGCCAGGCCGCCGCCAGGCGCCTGTAGACCGCCACACATGGTGCCTGCCATGGCGATAAAACGGCGAATACGGCGATGCACTATTGATTTGGTTTAGAAAAATTTACTTTAAGTTTAGTATTAAAATAATATTTCATGAAATGTTTTGTAAGAAGAAAAAATATTATTTTTTTTTGGAAAAACACGAAGTCTAAATAGTAAAATTGTATGAGTTTGGTGCAAAAGAAACACATCCTAAATATCTAGACAAACAAAAATAAATCATAAATAAATAATTATACAATAAAAATAATACATAATAATACAATACACGGTTACTATGATAGTATAAAAAAAAAAATAGCATTAATAGAGTTAGTGAAATTTGAGTGTAGAATGCTAAGTTGCAAGGGTGAGAGAAAAGACCACGACTTAAGGTTTGACTTGGCCTGGGCTGACCTAGGCTGGAGACTCATAATGTTTTGGGCTAACCAGGATAGTGCTATGGCGTCGATGAGACGTCGCCACCTTATTTGATATGGCAAGGTGATGTGCTTGGCGCTTCCCAAAAAGAGCTAGAACGCAAACGGCATGGCATCGCCATGACAACATTGGTTGTAGTATACAAGTAATTTGTTCAAAAGTAATTGCTAAGCTTCAACTTGTAATTCACAATGTCTAATAATCCTATAAGAAATATCTATATATTTTAGATTATTCAATGGCTTTTGGACAAAAATGTCGAAAATGGAAAAAACAAGGAACGAAAATGAGAAACAAAAGTAAGCAATAAAACAATCCGTGTTGGGAGCTTGTTGTTTAACTAAACAACTTTATTTAGTTTATTAATTAATTGTTCCAAATCAATATCGATTTAATATGGTTATTGAATAAATAACATATGCATATGTATTTCTCAGAGTTGGTAAACGTTCATGTTGTATCAATACTAACGATTTCAAAATTTTAGCTCATTTTCACCAAGAAAAGTGAAAGCTTATATCGTATTTTTCAGAGTGAAGTCTGAAGTTTTCATAATTTCAATTTTATATTTTCCACAAAATGTTCGATGTGAGTTCTTCAGTTCAACAATTAATTTCAATCTTCAAATGAGAGAAGTACAACTTTGGAGTTTGAAAATAAAATTAACAATTGCAGGAATTTTTTATTTTAATTGTAGGACAATTAATTTCAAGTAGCTATTTAGTTTTATTTGACGACAAGAGTTGGGCGTGTGAGATATACTACGAGGAGGCCTGGGTGTCAGATATAGTTATAGCATTTGGGAAAGAAACAATAACACAAAAGTAAACCAATTGCCAGCATATTGCATAAATATATATACAACATATATTGTTGTTTAAAACAATTGACGACATTTCATTCTGACAGTCTTTGCCGGGGAGTAGGAATGGAGGATTATATTTATGTATGTAGGAGAATTTACAAAAACTACGAGCTTCACCAGGAATGAGTGGCCCTCGTCACACCGAATGTAACAGCAACTGTAGCAAGCAGAGCCTGGAAAAATCATTAATGTTACTATATGCATGACAAAGATATATGATCGCCAGACCGTAGCCAGTGTCTGAGAATAACTGATAAGAAGTAGACAATAATCTCCGACACAGTGTTATAAACATGCATATATGTTTGTATTGCCAGGACATAATCTATTTATGGCTCCAACTACAACCCTTCAGTTCATAGATTATGGCCTAAACCCGAAAACTAGCATTTAATTTAAACATACGTCTGGTGGCACATTTGATTATGACAAATTGATGTGAATGATTTTAAAATAATGTAGCAAAGCTAAAATATGCAACAAAAACAAATAGACCAAACAAATTAAGGCATATCATAGAAACTCATGCTGAGATTAACTTGGAAACTGCTCGAGCATACTTACAGCTATAGCACAAGCAATGAGTCCAGGCTTCTCTCTGTAATCCAATCTAACACATGCCAACAGAAAAGCTCCGATGTACCAGGGAATTGCACTCATAAAGAAGCCAACAATAAACCTACAAACAACAAGTTCATATATATCAATCTTCAATCTAAAAGCCTGGAACAAGTATGGTTGGAAGAAACAATTCGATGGGTAGTATACATGATGCCCTCACAACAACTGCCCTTAAAATTATTTTAAAATGCAGAAGTCAAGATTCTATTGTTCAGAAAGGAAAACAAGATTTCAACCAATATATTTAAAATTCCTTCTGCTTTGTAAATAACGAAGCTTCAAATAAGCTAATATGGATCATTCAACAGGTCTAGAGCCAAACGAGGGAGAAACCGGAACAACGAGATAAAGAACATAACAATCAAAATGGTGACTTACAAACACCACCCAATTCCCAAACCACAGCAAGGTAGCCGAGCCTCTCTAATTGGCCTTACATTGATAACAGCATAACCTAACACAAAATAGAGAAAAAAATGAGGTCAAAACATTGGTTGGTTAATTAATCAGATGAAACCCCAGCAACAGATTATCATACTATTTAGTCTGTGTCACAAATTTCTAATTCATACAAAAATCAACGCCTTCCATTCCATGGCATACCACCAACTTTCTAATTTAATTAAGCTAAAAATTCTTCTCTGTTTCAAGTATATAGCCGCATTAGAGTATCTATATTCTTAGGTGTTCAAAGGTTAACTATAAGATCATCAAACACCATTATTAGACTAAGAAAGGCAAACAAATTGTACGCCATGTCAAACTCGTCTCGTTTCTTAATAAGATTAATCAGCAATTCTATTATTATCTCTTTCCTATGCAAATCCAGCGCCGTGAATTCCAATTTCCAACAGCACATTCATAAACAACTAGATCGCAGCAAATTACCAAAATATTGAAACGCGATATCACAGTATTAAGCTAGGGTAAACTGTAATCAGGAATACCAGGAGCGGTTTGATATCCGTGCGGATAGTAATGCGGCGGGGGAGCGTACAAGCCTGGAGGAGGTACAGGCTGAGGAAAACCCATTACCGGATGAGATTGAGGAGGAGGTTGAGGCTGATAATTAGCCACGCCTTGAAACGTGCCATAATAATAATTGAACGGCGGCGGCGGCGGCGGCAGATGCGAAGAATGTCCTCCGGCGGCCGGCTGAAAGCCACCGCTGGCCTTCCCTGTTCCCTCTTCGCTCATGTTATCCCGATCAAGAAGATGATCGCTCCAATCGGGACGGAAAAACGAATTTTACCAGTTTCCCCTTGATCTGTGGAAAATGGATCCCCTGGCTTCGCTTCGTCTGGAGCTTTCGACGCCGTTTTCGACCTAGCTTTTCCAATTTATTCCAAAATTGTTGAATTTTTGCCTAATTATATTTTAAATATAAAAATAAAAAACAATAATAATGATTAAACATAAATATATATAGAATAATAAACATTATTGTTTGCGGAAAATAGTGTGTTATTATTTTCTTTTCTTTCACAATATATACATATATATATAATACGAATTATAGAAAAAGATTACCGTGTGACTTTCTTCGAAGATGGACATATTAGTAATTCTTTCCTGTTTATTTTATGAAATTTGTTTTGGTGTTTCAATTGAAAATTTCATCGATTACATGTGGTATCTGTCTAGACATTGCAATGGCATCACCAAAACCTCATCCTAGAAAGGAAAACTGGAGCTCGACCAAATGCTAAATTCCATCGTAAACGGGACAGAGAGCCAAAAGATGATATGATAATCTAAACAGCAAAGTGTTCTGGAAACATAACCCCAATCGGATCGAACCAACTTAAAGTCCAAGGGCGTGAAGCATGATGGCATTTTGAGCATGCATCCTGTTTTCAGCTTGAGGGAAGACTATGGAGTTGGAAGCTTCGATGACGCCGTCCGTCACTTCAACACCTCTCTCGGCAGGCAAACAATGCATGAAATAGGCATCGCCACCGGCAAGTTTCATAAGTTCCTCATCCACCTGCAATTCAATAATTACAAGTGTCATTGTGAATTCAAATGTTTAATTTTTGTAGCAGGCTTGATTTTTACAAAGTTGGAATAGAAAGAGCTGTGCACTAACCTGGAACCCTTGAAAAGCTTTACGACGATATTCAGCTTCTTCCTTCTGCCCCATGCTGGCCCAAACATCTGAATAGACAACATCCGCTCCCTTAACAGCTTCTTTAGGATCATTTGTTATTTCTATCTTTCCGACTCCTGCCTTTATTGCTTTCTTAGTTGTTCTTGGATCAGGTTCGAAACCTCTAGGGCATGCGCACACAAAGTGAAAAGGAATAATTGACGCCAACAGCAACCAGGAGTGTACAATGTTGTTGCCATCTCCAACATACACGACCTGACAAATTTGCACATTATATTCATTCACTAGGAGTCAAGCAACTTTGCAAATATGGTAACATTGAAAGCAGGGTGTCGGCTTGGTATGTGGCTATGCATGGCCTTACCTTTGTCCCTTCTAGTCGACCTATGTGTTCAATGATTGTAAGTGCATCAGCCATAATTTGACAAGGATGGTTGAAATCTGTTAACCCATTGATCACAGGTACGGTTGCATAATTAGCGAGATCCAGAATGTCCTGCAAAAAAATAAAACAACATAATGATGAAGGACTCCAGTACAGCTATGTCAAAAAGAACACTATAATCACTGTGTAAAACTAGAAAGAGCTGCTACCATAGTTTCATGGGACAAAAACATGCACATAGATGCAACATATTTGCCACCAACAGAATCTGATGGCAGGTGGATGCTTCACATTTCAAAAACAGGAAGTCATATTGTTGCATGCACTAGAGCATTGTTGAATCTATAAAGTATTTGGCATGGAAACCAAAAGATCACCCACATTGCAGCCTAGACATTAAGAGCATATAACTTTGACCCATATCACAGCAAATGGAAAATCAAAATACGTTTCACTTCATTCCCAAGGGGATTAATAGGTTATGTCAGGTCACAAACAAGGAATTTATCCCACAGACAAACACACAGATACATAAACAGGGATCATTTCCACAGAGGATTAAAAAAAAAACTACTTAGATGCAAATGTGTGTTAAATAGCTGGCAAAAAGACCAAATATGAGGTTTCAGGGTTTCTATATCTCACTAACACTGAGAACTCACCGGCATACCTGATGGGCAAAAACTCGAGCCATGATGATATCATTGTAGCGTGATAGAACTCGAGCAACATCACGAGTTTCCTCTCGCTTACCCATCTGGATATCATCTGGTCCGAGGTAGATGGCATGTCCACCAAGCAAATGGAATCCAGTTTCAAAAGAAACTCTTGTCCTCATTGATGGCTTGGCAAATATCATTGCCATAGTTTTCCCTTTAAATGGAAGATATGTCCTTTCTCCTGATTTTATCAGGGCCTTGACCTCCTTGGCTCGATCTAAGATCTTAAGGATGGTGTCCTTATCAAAATCATCAATGTGGAGAAAATCCTTTAAACCAGCTTTAGCTGAAATTCAGAACAATATTCATACACTAAGTACTGAAGTTTGTCACAAATGTATTCAAACACTTAACATAGTGTAGTAGTAGAATCATAAATAACACTTGAACGGTGCAATAGTACAAGCAACATCAAAGAGAAATTGATACTAAGAAGGCAGGAAGCAAGCACGCATACATACAGAGAGCTTCATTCACATTAGGACTATCAAAAGCACAAAGACGCAGAAATATCAGTGGAGAAACACTCACTATATCCTCCTAAATACACCATTGATAGCAGGGAAGACACAGCAGATGCACTGCACTGCTCACATCCATAAATGAATGAATCTCTAGAACCGTGCAAAATAACTATTTCCGCTTCAGATTACAAAAGTATAAACAAAAATAAAAATCTACATGCTCTATCAATAGTCTCAGAATCAACACACCAAAATGTCGAGTATAAATCGATGCACATTTTCGAGTTAGAAATGCAACGTGTGCTCTGTTTTAAACCAACCCTAGGCGATGCCTTCCGATAATCACGATCCATCTACTCGCGCAGTGAACAAAATCGCCCAAGCGGCACATGAAATCAGCAAATGCAGAATCCGCTAATTCCGAAGAACAAACGGAGCAATGTAATTTAGGCATTCTTTTTCTTTTGATTCTTTATTTTTTTCAATTAAGAAACAGGTATTCGGCTAAGATAGAATCAAAACACACAAAATAAACAGCTCAAATACTCTCTTAAATCAAGCAAAAATTGTAAAAACAAGAAATGTAAAGAACGCAGAAAACTCTCCACATACCTTTCCCATCTACAGCAGACGAGGGTAGAGAAGAAACAGCCTGGCATGAGATTCGTCGGCGGATTACAGGAGCAGCGACCGCGAAGCCGCAGGCTCCCCGCAGCTTTCTAGCAGGAGGCGAGAGCCAAGACGACGATGAGAGGGAGACCGCGTCAGCCGAGCTACCGGAGGAAAGATTACACGACAGTGCCGCCGCCATTGATTTCGCCTGGGTGTACGCTCTCTGTCGAAGTCGAGACTGAATTGAATTGTGATGCACTGAAAAGTGTGATTACAAACCGGATTTAGACTTGCTCAATCGATTTCTAACCGGCCGGTTCCCCAGTTTCAAATCGGCGGTTTTGTATTTTTATTTTAAAAAATATATACTTCTTCCATAAAAAAAATAAATATATTCATTTATTTTTTCAAAGTAGTTTTTAGAAATATTAGTATTATATTGGGATATAGTAGAAATAAAATAGAAATGATCAAATTAACTTTTATTAGTACGTGTGATATAAAGATAATATTTGTGTAATATATTGTAAGTTGTAAGGGTATTTGTCATGTTAAATAGATATTACAGTTATTAAAAGAAAGAGGAAATACATACTTTGTTATGAGACGAAATAAAATAAAAAAATTAAAATAAAAATATGAATAATTTATTATGGGACGGAGATAGTATTTATATTTTTTTTATCGGAAAAAAAACAGGGTGGGAGTCGGCGGGTGAAGAAGAAGAAGAAAAAGGAAGAAAGGGAGAGAGGGAGAAAATTAGAAAAGGGGGAGGAGATATAGAAAGAAGGTGGTCCGTCCACTGTTGAATATGCATCGGAATTCGGAATCGTCTCTATAGTATTTTGGTCCATTTCTTAAACAAAATAAAAAAAATGGAAATATAAAAATAATAGTAAGACCGGCCCAATTAGGTACTCCAGAAAGGCCTGATTCAAAATATGGGATTTTAGTATGTTGTAAATGTAATTTTTGTTTTTAATTGAACTATTTTTTATATTTTATTTTATAGTATTACATAAGTATTTCATCGAATGAAAAATAATATATATATATATATAAATATAACACATTACATAATTATAGGAGTAATAATTAATTAAGGGCTCTGGCTCCATATCTTGAATTAATGGGCTTGAAGACTTCAACTCGTTGTATTATATTACACGTGTGATTTAATTGATTTATTATGGTGTGTGTTTTGGACCTTATTTCTATAATTTAATCGCATTATACATTTGAAATTATTTGGTGATATCTTTTGTAACGTATGATTAAATTAATTAATGTAAGTTAATAATAATAATAATAATATTGATTACTATATTGCAGCTTTTATTTATTTAATAAAAACAAAATGTTTGGCTCTTGAGAATTCCAGAAGGTGTTTGACTCTGATCCAATATATATTTTGGTGGTTGCTGATTCAATATATTTGTAGTCTTGTCTTGATATTTTTTGGGACATGAAATTCTGTCACACACAAAATTATTCATTGGTGGAACTTTGCAATATATATTTACATTTACTGAAAGAAGGGATCTTTGTATGATTGCATATATATTTCATTTACATTAGCATTTTATATATATATATATATATGTGTGTGTGTGTGTGTGTGTTCACACTAGTAATTAGTTGCACAATTGAAATGATATACTAATTTTTACTATCTAATTTTTATGAGTTTTTGTTTTATGTATAAAATATTTAGTTCGACCACTGCTTTAATAAAAAAAAATTGGAATGTATGTAGAATTCGCTTTTGCTTAAAAAGATATATGATGGCGATGATGACCAATGGCATTTGGGCACGTGGGGCGTTTTTATAATGTGTGTGTTCTGCATGATGATGCTGTGCTGACTAAATTATAATATATCAAATAATAATAATAATAATAATAATATAAGTGGACTGGTGTGTTATCTTTTTTTTTGATCGGAGACTGGTGTGTTATTTGATTTGATAGAGTAGCACCAATCATATTGGTTTCCAGATCCAATTATTATTAGCAATCATTTATAATTTGCCATTGCATACTACTATCAGATACTCAATTAATCATTATAATATATTATATATATATATACATCTCCAGCAACCTCAACCCAATATAATAGTAGTAGTGAGTAATCTGATTATTATTTCTATGATTTAATCCCTAAATTAAATTTTAATTAACCACCTCCATGCAGATGTGCATGTGAAATTAGTTAACTAAATGCAGACTCATCTGAATATATATAGTCAGTCCCCTCCAATAATTGAAACTCAATGCATGCAATTATATATATATATATATATATCCAACATGTATATAAATCTGGTCCCAAATTTGATCATATTATTATTTGAGTCAAGAGTAATTTAATTAGGATAATAGAGTGACAACACACACACACATATATATATCATATGCATATGCATATGCATGCATGCAGAAGGTCCAAGTGATGGAATGGCAGTCATGAGTGTAATTAGGGCAGAAATGCAAAACAGGACCACAGTAGTAGCTGAATAGTTATTGGATATGTATATTTAACTAATGATTAATTGATTGATTGATTGATTTGTCAGGATGGAGGAGTGTAACTTGTTTGCAACTTGAATATATAAATATATCATCCATTTCAATTGTATGTACATTTTGAAATAAATGTAGTAGTGTAAGATAGTTATCATTATCCAAGTTGCATGGTTGGAATCAGTTTGGTTAATGCATGCATGCATGCACATATATATAAACTATAAACAAAACATGTGATATATATATATATATATATATGAAAAGTGTATAGAAGATGGGCAGGGGCAGTAACCCCAGTGGGAGATTGTGCCCACTATATATATATATATATATATATAAGATGGACCATGAAATAATACACACACACACACTGTATATTCATCATTCACAGTTGAGATATATATACATGTGATGGGTGGATGCATATGCTGCATTATATATATATATATATAAAGGCACAATCTTGGTATAATTATTACCACATGCATCCTTCTATATTGTTCTCACCTCATCAGCATAATCCGAATCATGATATATGACTAATTTTGAGTAATTATTACACACACAAACACATATATATCTCTGATTGTGCTCGATGTACAGGGAAGAATGATCTCTATATATATTGGTGGCTGGCCGGTGGGGTGGGTGGGGTTACTCTTAGCTTCTTCGATTCATTATTTAATTTCAAGTCAAACTCACTTAGCCCAGTTTAATGGCTGCCATTATTGTTTGTGCAGATGAAGAAGAATTCATGATTATTACACAGAATCTTGATGATGATATATAGAGAGTATGTATGTATCATCAATCATGAATTATAATATATATATGTGTGTGTGTAGTACTGTTGTTGTTGTTGTACAAGTTCATTCGATTCTGCTAATAGTGCTGTCTGTGCTGTGGTGGATTCTCTGGAAAAAATATATTTCTAAAATTAAAATGAAATATATATCTAAAATTAAAATGAAATACAATCCATATATAAATATAATCATTATTTGACACACCACGCATGATCAGTTTCATTGAATTATCAAGAAAGTGCATCTCGCCTAACTCCAATTCAAATTTACATTTACATTCATAGCATTCTCGAATAAAGACAAAATTAAAAGAAACAAATTACTTGTACTGCTTTCTTGAATTTAGACACACTTAATCATCAATAGAATTCTGCCCAACTTACTTGTGTTAGTGTAATTCTCATTTAGGCCCCAACAATTCATTTGTCACGCTTCAATAATTCGAGAAAAATATTGAAGAATTTAGGACCACAAATGCTACAAATTTCTTCAAGACTTTCATAACCCTACATTTAATTTATCTCTCCCATCGCTCAGGACCACGCCGCTTCATTTCAAGGCCCCTACACATGTTTTTTTCTTTGAAATCTTAATAGGAAATCAAACCGGTATATATTTATTAATTAGTTAGGTAATTAAAAATAAATCTAGTTTAATTAGTGCCAAGAATCATGTCCAACTTACCTCGGATGTATGCTAGCAAGCAAGGTTTCTATGATTTCAAATCAATTCAGACAAAACATGACATTTTATGTCTCGAAGAAACATTCGAGACCCAGAAATGCTGGGTCTGTCGTCGACTAGTAATGCAAATAAAATATAAACAACAAAGTTTGCCTTTTATGAACGTGGAAAGGTATATATATAAGCAAATAAATTGTGAATATTTTATTGGGTTTTTCGTGGTCTTGGAATAGAAACGACAGCATTCATTATTAATGCTAAAATGATCGTTCGTTAAGCTACATGGGTGTGATTGATTGATTGATTGTTCACACGTGTCGTCATCCTAGGCATGGAAATCTTAGCACCGCCATGTTCACTACAAATCCCTGGTAAGCAGATCCCGGAGCTCGACTCCCGAAACAATCCACACCGTCCGTTCTGTGAAACCCGCATAACCAATGGTATATTAAAATGTAAATACAAATGGATTAGTACGTATGTACACAGCACGCACACACACCTTATTACATACAGACACATACGTACAAATGTAATAAATTGTGCATGTGCATGTGCATGGATAAATAATCTCCCAAATAGCTTGGAATTAATTAATAAATGGGATGCCTCAAAACCAATATGAACGCACAACTTAGGCCCCCCACCCATTAATTAACTACACACACATACTTGCATATACATATATAACTATCTATATATATATAAAATCTTGTAATCCATCCACAAGTTTTGACCAAACCTGAAATGAAAATTCCTATGGACTAATACAAATCCCATTTTGCCACACACAAGTTTGTTAAGATAAACGAGTGGAAAAGGGTCCCTTGGTGAGTACCCACTACCCTACCCTACCATACCCTAAGTACTTAACTGCTAAACATAGCTTAGCCACAACCTGCACCTCTGATTTATTAATGTAATTGAACATTCTTGTCTTACCTGACATATCTTGTTTCCTGAATCGCAATGCTCTAATCTAATGTCTATTTACGTGTCAGAAACAAACAAACAATAGCAGTGACAAGACGACGCCGTTCGGTGCAAGAAAAGCCAAGCAATATAGAAAATGTTCCTATTTCTAGACACGATCCAAAGCTACAATCCCAAGAGTGCTTGCCACGGCCCCACACGTGATATATATGGCATCCCATCCCATCACAAAACGTTTAACACTTTCTACGTAACCCATAAATATAATAATTAAATAAATAAACAATACTAACGATAATTAAACAATTATAACAATAATAAAAATATCTAGCAAGTATAGAGAGAGAGAGAGAGAGAGAGAGTAGGCATACATACATACGGTGAAATGTGGGGCAGGGGCAGTGTACTGCAATTTGAATACAAACACCTTGTTCGGGCCACGTGGCAGCACGGACGCGGGCTGGCGGTCTGTCAACTGTCAAGTCATGCAAAACCTTCCTTCCTCTTATTGTGGCTGCTGCTGCAATGGAGATAGATGGTCCCTCTGAAGATTTTCACATGAGAAAAGAAAACCGGCCGGGGGCCAGTGCATGGAGGGCGGCCTGGGCCGGGTAGAGTGTTCTGTGCATATGCAACAATCTATTTTCTCTCTCTCTCTCCCACACAATTTAATGGTGAGATGGAACTTCCACCATTGGTCACCAACATCACCCACCTGGACCATTATACTTACTTACATACAGACATACGTACATACATTCCCCTTCATCTCATCTCTTCCCTTCTCATCTGCAACCTGAGAGCTAACTCTTTCTTCTTTCTCACTTGGCCCTCAGACGCCTCTCCTTGTCTGCCACTTGCCCACTTTCTCACAAGTTAATTCCATTTCCATTTCCTGATCATGATGCTGTAATGGAAATTAAACCAGGATTTTACAGTAGTTCCCCCCGCGTAAGTTATATATGCAGCACCCCATTCTTTCTCCCTACAGGCATCATATCACCAACCTTTCAGTTCAGAGCCAATTATGTTGTTTCCGTGTTCCGGGACCTCAATGAGGTGCTTCTGTGTGCAGGACTGCAACGCCGCTATGGGAGCTCCCCAGGCAGGAGGAGGGTTCTTCTCCACTCATCTTATTCCATCCCTTGGAGCTAGAATCAATCGAGTAATCAAGCTTCGGAGGAATATAATATCCCCATTTAATCCTCGGTATAGGTAAGTGATGGTGGACTTGCCATTCCCAGTCCATTCCTCCAGCTCTTCTTATGTATGCTTACACTCTAGTCATGTATGCTAACGCTCTTGTCGGGTGTTGCTGTTCTCCAGGGCCTGGGAGATGTTCCTGATTCTCCTCGTCGTCTACTCGGCCTGGATCTCTCCCTTTGAGTTTGCATTCCTGGCTTACAAGCAGGACGCCTTGTTTGTCATCGACAACATTGTGAACAGCTTCTTTGCCATTGATATTGTCCTCACCTTCTTCGTGGCGTATCTGGACAGTGAGTCGTATATTCTGATTGATGATCCTAAGAAGATAGCAGTAAGGTAAGTAATACAGTATCTTCATCTTTCTGTAGAATGGAGATCCTTACCCTGCCATAAGCTCAATATATGACCTGTAAGTTGTGCTCGATGAACAGGTATCTAGCAACGTGGTTCGCTTTTGATGTCTGCTCCACAATACCATTTCAATCTCTGACACTCCTCTTCACAGATCATGGAGGTGGTCTAGGCTTTAAATTGCTCAGCATGCTAAGACTCTGGCGACTCAGGCGTGTCAGCTCACTCTTCGCAAAGTATGAGTCCAACATATATATATATATATATTTATATATGTACCTGTTTTCACAAAGGTTACTGATCTGTGTTCTTCTCCAGGCTCGAGAAAGACATCCGTTTCAAGTACTTCTGGACTCGTTGCACTAAACTTGTATCCGTGAGTCCATTTCCTGAGAACTCTGAGCTCACTTGCTGTGTCAGTCCTGTCAATTGAGCCATTCCCTCTGAATCATTTCAGGTGACTCTTTTCGCGGTGCATTGCGCCGGGTGCTTCAACTACTTGATTGCTGACAGATACCCAGAGCCGAGAAGAACCTGGATTGGTGCTGTCTATCCAAACTTCAAGCAGATGAGCCTGTGGAACAGATACGTGACTGCAATGTATTGGTCGATTGTAACTCTCACCACTACAGGTTACGGCGACTTGCATGCTGAGAACCCGAGGGAGATGCTGTTTGACATTTTCTACATGCTCTTCAACCTGGGACTTACGTCGTATCTCATAGGAAACATGACAAACCTCGTGGTCCACTGGACCAGCCGCACCAGAAACTTTGTATGCCCAGGACCCTTACAAGCTGCTTCTTGTCTCGGGCATTTAAGTTGATCTTGATCAAAGTTCTGACCTTTTTGCTGCAGAGGGATTCCATTCGTGCTGCTTCAGAATTCACCCGAAGGAACCAACTGCCCTCGCGGATTGAAGAACAGGTTTTGTCGCACATCTGTCTGAAATTCAAGACACAAGGATTGAACCAGAAAGAGACCCTGAATGGTCTCCCAAAAGCCATGCGATCCAGCATTGCGCAGCATCTGTTTTACCCGGTTGTTCAGAAAGTTCCTCTCTTCCAGGGAGTTTCCCAGGACTTCCTTTTGCAGCTGGTACACCTTCTATCCTCTTTGCACCTGGAAAATGCAAAAAAATAAATACATGTCTATTGATTCTATCGACATTGCCTCAGAAATTGTAATGACTCTATCTATGTTGGACTGAAAGGTCCCTGAAATGGAAGCCGAGTACTTCCCTCCCAAAGAAGACGTGATCCTACAAAATGAGGCTTCTACAGATGCATACATTCTGGTCTCAGGAGCAGTGGTAAAGTTCAATCTCACAAGTTTCAATAACAATCAGAATAGCAGAATTAATAATATGTAAAAACATTTACTGACAGGATTTCATTGCTAAGGTGGACGGAGATGAACAAGTAAGTCACAAGCTTTCTATATGTAAAGAAACAGACGTGTATTATAGATCTAACATTTTCCTGCATGCATATGCAGATAGTGGGAAAGGCTTCCGCAGGGGAGATTTTCGGGGAAATTGGGGTACTATGCGAACAGCCACAACCATTTTGCATTCGAACTACTGAAATATCTCAGATTCTAAGGCTGAACAAGAAGGCATTCCTCAACATTCTCCGGGGCAGCCCAGAAGATGAGAGTAGAGTCATGAAAAATCTATTCCTGGTAAATATTCATCTAGCATAAAAAATAATAATAATAATAGTTACTGCTATATTGTGGTAAACAGAAACTGATTTCACTACCTTTGTTTCAAGAAACTGAAAGCGTTTGGAGGTTTTGACATAGAGAGCCAACAGCATCCAGCCCAGACGCATCCCTGTGAGGAGCCTAAAGGAGGCTACGATAGTTGCACGGGACAGAACTACTATTCATCCGAAGAGGCACTGAAACAGGAAAGAAGTGTGGATAGACCTGATTCGGGGTTTGTAACAGCAGACCACACCCAGGGTTACCACAACAGAGGAAGTGAAAGTGTTGTCCAAACAGATCTTCACCTTGCAGTTCGACAGGGGCATCTGGAAATGGTCAGGATGCTGCTGGAAAGAGGAGCAAATGTGAATAAACCAGATGAGGGAGGATGGACACCAAAGGCATTAGCGAAACAACACTCAAATAGAGGCATATATGATCTCATACTGAATCACGAAAAGAACAAGAAGTCAGATGAAGTCATTGATCATTACAGTAAACATTCGTGCATCAGCACAAGCAGTCCAACATGCTCAGCCACCCCAGCAGCAGTATCATCCGAGAAGAAGAGAGTCACCATTCACATGAAGTTTCATAATAACCGAAGTTCAGAAAAGAAACTGCCGAAGCTAATAATTCTACCTGATTCATTACAGGAGTTACTCAAAATAGCAGGTATGCATTTCCTTGAAATATAGTAATGCAAAAGATGACAAATAGGCTAAACATAATCATACACAAGACTAAGGAAATATTATACAAGAAATAGCCTCAAATGAAACTTTACCAGTGATTAAAACAATAGTACTCCCAGTTGGCAGATCTGATCATTGCTTTATTCCAAAATTGCAGGTCAAAAGTTTGGAGATGAGAGTCTTACAACTGTAGTAAATGAAGAGAACACAGAAATAGATGACCTGAATGTCATACGAGATGGTGATCATCTATTTTTTCTGTCAAGCCAGTATGAAAAGGCTGATTATGGCATAAGTTAAAAACATACAACAACCATAATAAGAAAAATGCATAGCTAGGGAAACTGAAAAGCAGCATACACAGGTTTCTAATAGCTGCACCAATCAATCCATGTGTTCCTTTGAAGGCGACAAGGAGTGTATGAAATCTGTGTAACCATTTACACGGAAACTTTCCGATCCTGAAAGTGTAAATACTATCTAATTGTATGCCTAGGTGGTCAGCTGTAAAACAATTTCCAGGATTTTGAGCATGCTATTACCTTTAACTCTCAATATGTAAAGTTCCCTCATTAAAATTAAGTACAACAAAAGGTACACACTTGAAGTATATCGACAACAAATAGCTCAAGAGAGCAAAAGCATGGACACCATTAAAATTTCTGAACTTGAAACATGCATCAATGGCTTCCTGGATACTCTCTTCCAAATACAAAATCCAGTCACTTTGGAAAGCCAACTCAAACCGTCATAATGGAAGCATCATTTCCTGCCATCATTACCTCAAAATAGGAAATGGATGAGCTTCTGTATTAAAGACATACTTATCCAGTGGAAGGGCATTCTTCTCGCCAAATAATAAATACAGGTATTTTAGTGTTTCACCCAGAAAAAAGGTCTCCATCTTGTCTCTAGCAGGTGGAGGAATCACAGTAACATCATCCAGCGATGTGTAGCCTCCAGATTCAACCTTACTGTGCTTCTCAAATGCCTGAAAGATATCCCAACCCCATTCGCGATACCTGCATGCACACAATGAGAATGCTCAACCTAACAGGAAAATTGGCAAGTAGCTGAAGCAACCATGGATAGTTCAATAGTCTGATGCAACTGATAAACATGCAAGATACCAAAATTCGCATTTCCATAATTTTCAGGCCAGTCAATAGTTGAATAAAACATACTTGGGATCTTCTGTGATCCGGAACAAGATGAACATTGATTCAACAGCTTCAGGGCGCAATAGATTGTGATGATCAGCAAGTTTTATAAGTATGTCATCCACATATTTTGATTTCTTATTTCCACCACCATAACTACCTCCATTATGCCCCTGTTTAATATGAAATCATATCATTAACACTGATTCAATATGGTCATTTTATGACAATATCTGTAATTCAACAAGATGTTGATCCAAGCGGCACAAGCTCCTGGGAATAAAATAAGTAATCTAAAAGAAAATTAAGTGTTGATCCAAGCGGCACAAGCTCCTGGGAATAAAATAAGTAATCTAAAAGAAAATTAAGTATCAAGCTGACCTCCTCATTGAAGTACACTATTTCTGGAGCAAGACCGGTAGAAGTTACAGCATAAATCTCATAACATGTCTTAGCTAGATCTTCGGCGAGCTTCAAATTTTCGAGATCTTCAAAAGTGAGCAAGTTCTCTTTCATAGCCTTTTCTTTTGTGATGCCCTTTGTGGCACCAAGAGCAAGAGTGCCAGGAAGAAAGCAAACCTACTCACAATTGTTGAATAGAATCAAAAGCATAAATATGAAAATGGGAAAATGTAAGGATGGCAACTGTTCTGTAATTAGATAAGATTTATGGCGTAAAAGGAAATTGTATGGTCACTATGCATCTCACAGAAGTCAGCATACATACTGAAAATTGGTAAGGAGCTTTCTGGCAACAGTATTCAGCAGGATAAATACGTTCAATGGATAACATTAGCAAATATTTCAAAATATATATATATATATATCTATATCCAAATCTAGCTGTGCAACCTGCTATGTTTCAACCCAAGGCTTCAAAGCTAACAAAAGTTGGTAAAGTTAGAAAGTATCATCATGCTTCTGAATAGAACTCTAGATATGAAAAAAATATCATACCAAGTGATCCATCTTTGGACTGAAGGCACCATGACGTCCACTAGGCAATTCTCCCACAAAAACCAACCCGTTGGGCACAGATTTCCGAACAAGTAGTTCTTTCACACCTTTTATTGATTCTTTGTACATATCTTGCAAATAAGTCAAATTTTTGTTTTGAAGCCAGACTTTTATAAGGTATTCATAGTAGCTGTCACCACGAGATCCAAGTCTTATATTCTCCCCGCTAAAGTCACCTGTATGAGGGCTGCAGGAGGAAAACTAATTTACAGAAAGCTCTTTCTGAAATAAATGGTAATACACAAGAAACTTTCTATCACTCTACTCTTTTATGATTGCTATCTAAAATATAGCAAAAGCTTATTCACTTACACTGTCAAAAAGATATTAAAATAGAACATACTTGGATTTTCACCAAACAATGTTAAGTTCAATGGAATATTCTAATTTGTAGCCACGTTTTAAGAAAAAGTTCCATTCTGATGCCATGGAATAGTTCCTGAATTTGTTATTCTTAACAACCAACAATTTTTAGAAACCCAAGCTAAATCTCTCAGTAACAAAAAAAAGAAAAAAATTACAATATAGCATTACAAATTGCCTAAGCAAAAAGGTATATTTCCTAACCAAATTAAGGATGTAAAATTACTCTCAAAGTGGTTGTTTGCACTAGATTGCCTACATAGCAAATATTCTTAAAAACAACATTTTATCCTTACTTCATGTATATAGGAACCAGTCCGTTGACCTTTGGCAGAGTCTTCATGTGTTCCAACACTTTCATAGACTCCAAAGAATACTTTGGATCACCAACCAAAGAACTTAGGTAGTTGAACTCTAGCTGCAGAGTTGAAGCTTCGGCAGTGCTGCTTAATCCATTGGGAGCAGCATGTGCAGAAGGGTCACGGAGAACAACATCACTGAAGGGAATAGCAGACGGACTGGATGTAAAGGCAAGTAGCAGACGATCAGCCAAATTTCTGGCATTGTCAAGATAGACAGCTGGCTTAGGTCCTTTTGTTGAAGCATTACCACCATGTTCACCCCCACTTAAATGATAAGCACTCAAAAGACCACCTACAACGCGTATTGTAGTTTCAAATAAATTTACCTGCCCCTTCTCCTGAATCCTCTCTGGGAGATGTTTTTCAATCCAAGTGCCGGCTTCTTGGACAACTTGATCAAGTTCCATAATCATAGCAGTATCAAGAGCATCCACAATGGTGGCTCCTAGACCTCCCAAGCCATCAATTCCTCTACGGCTAATAGGCATAAGCTCGTCATAGCCCATTGAATAGTTCCGATAACCAGACCATGCATGAATAAATGCTTCCTTGACCTTTTGTTGCCTGGCCTTCCATTCGGAGTTGGAATCTATCTTGTCAGATATATGAATGGATGCATTTCTAGCAGCTATTTCATCGGGCGATAGCCGAGGTGGAAGCCGAGGTGCCTTCCTCCAAAATTTTCTAAATCTGCCTTTCCCATCAGTGAAGAAACTTCCATTTTCCTCCGTGCCAATATTCTTCGACACACCATCTGATGATGATGGAATGCGGCTCGTGTGTGTCAGCATGAGATAGGCTATACCAAAAATCATTACTAAGACAAGAAACCTTCCTGTGCTGCATTTTATACATTCTTGTTTTAAATTGCTGTTAAGAATATTCTGAGTGATTACCTGGAAAGAACTAATGATGTGTTACCTTTAATTCAGGAAATGTTCATATCAAAGGAAAGCTGGAATTTGAAGGTGTTCTAGAAAAATCTTAAGTTCAGTGGGAAAGTTTTCAAACCATGAATTGCCAAAAACAACAGGAGCAAGCTGGAATTGCCAATTTACTTTTAACTTTGTAAAACCTACGTCTAAAAACACAAATTCCCTCTGCCTAATCCATACACTAGGAACTCTCTATAGAAGACGATCGGGCACGGCACAGCAGGATTTTCCAAAATCTACATGAAGAACCCTAGAAGCAACTGATCAAATTTTGATGCACAAACGCTGAAAAAACAATTAGGTAAAACGCAAGATCTGAAAAACAGAAAACGAACCTTATTTAAAGATCTATGTCGAAACTTGGCATTGTCGTAATGCACATCTTTCATCGAATAAGGCAGCGATCTCGACATATTCCGATCAACAATCGAAACTTCGAAATTAAACACGTACACAAACGGCAAATATCAACGAGCGCCTCTCCGCGTAAATCTGAGCCCGAATAAATCGGTCGAGATAATTTAGATTAGATAAAAGAGGATAATTAATAGGCTTAAGTGCAGGAAGGAATTCGGAGATGCACCGGTCGTAGACTGCTTTCAAAGAGAAGTTTATTCGGTACACACACACATGGAAGATGGTCTGCCGGTTTATTTCAGGTCAACGGTCCGGTCTCAGCTGTACCCTTTTGCAATCCATAGTTCAAGTAAACACCTCACTCAGAATGGTCTACTTAAGACATCATTTAGAATCAAACGGGGCAAACTCCTACGTAGATATTACAGAAGCTAGTTTAACAAATGCAGTAGGCTTAAAAAGTCGCAAGGAGTAGCCATAGTTTGAGGCCTAAGTTTCGCATGAGGAGGATTCTGAAAGCACGGATGTTCCAAGGAATGTTGACACTATCCCGAGGGCAAAGTCAACAAAATCCTTAAATTTTACACAGGTACATATATACAATGTATATAATATATAAATTCCTCGTGTAGCTACACAATTTTAAAGGCATCCCTCGTCTTTGATTTACCATCTCGGAGTGCCAAATCCACCTCCACTTTAGCCCCCCAAGAAATCAAGAAAGAGCCCCCCAATCTCCATTCTTGATCAAATACACACAAAAGCTTAGCCATAGCCATTCATTCAACATCAAAGCATCCATCATGGGGCATTGCAACAGCAAGATTGTCTGCATTTACATCGCTCTATTCCTTCTCCTCTCATATATCATCCCTTTCGCCTCCACGGCTCGACACCATGCCAATCCCCCTGTTTATTCCCGGACAGGTTACCCAGCTTTTCGCGACAAGAAGCATCAGTCATCGGCAGCCTTCTTGAACAAGAACAAGAAGGGTCATCTGGAAATGAGTCCAATCAAGAAAAGAAGAAGACGAAGAAGAATGATGGACAAGTTGGACGAGAGGCGCTTCTCTGCCATGCTTCCTAAAGGCTACGTGCCGCCGTCAGGATCATCGCCCTGCCACAATTTGTACCCCAATTCAGTCGCATTCTTTTGCAATCTTTCCCCTGATGAAATACAGGGCCCATGAAAAATGAAGGCTCGACTTTACCTTACGATCATTGCAGGAATCAAGATTTTGATCTCATCGCCATCATCTGTCAAGAATTAAGAAGATGATCATCTTGATCACTTCAGCTAGAACACTATGTATGTATAAGATTCAAGTCTTGATCAAAGCTGTGGTTTTGGGTTTCTTTCAGGTCTGTCAAGGGTAGAGTAAAGAATGCTCATTTTTAAATCATGAAGAGTAGAATAATTTTTTTTGTCATTTTTTTTTTCAATGCAAGGTTAATTTAGATGGATCTTAATTGCAAAAATTCTATCAATTGAGGGATGTCGTTTAGTATAATCACACAAGTACGTACGTGTGAATTTCTTAGCGTTTACTCAATGCATTGAAATATTTCTTCTATTATTATTATTATTATTATTTAACGAGTGATTCTATACATCTGCTACACTTAGATCAATATAAATAATATTATAATAATTAATTCATAATCAGATTGGACTTTGGAACGAAATAGTTGTAACTTTTGTATGGCGAGGGTGCTCAATGTTGTTGAGAACAAATATCAAACACCTTACCGGCGTTTTCTCGCCGGCGATCCGCCACATCTGTAACCACCTTAGCCACCGTGAATCTCAGCCGCGGAGTCAGGATCCATACTCCCAGCGGGCTCACACTTGTATCAGCCTGCAGACATTCAGGATTGGTAATTCAAGGGGAGGAACTGTTTGAGAGATTTATGTGCAGGTATGGAATCAATTAAACCCCGGATCGAGCATTACGGGTGCATGGTGGATCTTTTCATTCGAGTCGAGCAGAGTGTGTGGAGAAAACAGTAAGTTTGATCGAGGGGACGCCTCTAGAACCCGATGCTGTTATTTGGAAATCGGTGATGCGAGGGTGCTTCGAGCACGGGAACTTGGCAATGGCTGAAGCTGCGGGGAAGAAAGCAATATAACTGGAACCTGGTGATGATGCAGTGTTGGTGGAGTTATGTTTGGACGCAAGAATCATACATTTGGGAATGATGATGCCACCGAGACAACTAAATCCTTTGTTGCTTCGGATGGCTTTCAATTTCAAGGGATATTGCAAGATAATGAAAATCAAGATGCCCCTGTAATTGTAAAGCCTGAACATGCAGCAGCAGCAACATGGTCGAATAACTGCAGAAGTTTTGAGACGAATAAATAAGGACTAAAAACTTGACTATTCTGGAAAGAATGGCAGATGAAGCTTGCTTGGTCTTTAGGGTTGAAAGCTTGGAAAGAAATAGAGAAATTTGATGAAAAAGATATTGACATGAGCACTATAGTAGAGGGAAAGCCAGAATCTTGTTCTTCATGGGTTTCTACGTATATATGGCCTTTGTTTAAACATATTTTGAAATTTTAGTACTATTTTTTTTTTTCAAATACTACATTAAATAATATATTTTTCTCACGTCACATCAAATATTTAAACTTTTACTATTTATAATTTTTTTTATAAACAGAGCCTTGATCTCAGTCGATTATTTACAGAATTCTGGTTGTATAGCTGAAAGCTTCTAAATTCTCATTAAATTCTTGATTCTATCTCGAGCTGGATGTATAACAGGTAAACCTCGTTTTGTCTGTTCTATAATCCGACAAAAATGTATATATAGTGCCCGGATAAATCTGATTTTATTAAGGGTATATTTCTTTAGCATAATTTTATCAAATTTTATTATTAGACTCCGCATATTTTTTTTCTTTACATAACATTTCATTAAATATTAATTTTATATTAAATTCAAATTAAATTTTTCTAAACTCATAAGAAGAAAAGCCCTCCGGGCCGCCTGCTGGGTGATATTCACCCAAGGTGAAAAATGATCCTTATTTATCCATATCCCTTTCGAGGCCGCGTTTCTTGCAGCAATTAATATTTCATTCCATTCTCGGATTTGGATTTGAACCAAGCATGTGATTAAGAAGCCTAACTTTGAATGTGTGTATGCGGTGAGCCTTTGGGATATATATATATATATGATCCACCTTCCGACAAGTCAGTTGGTTGAAGATTTATTTCAGTACAGCACAGATGCAGCTTCGAAACTTTGAGGTAGTTAGACGTGCACGCCGTAGGTTATTGCAAAATTTGGCATACTGCCTGCCAAGCTCATTACGCATGTTTTCATAGTTTGCGTCTGTATATAAGAAGTGAATTTATTGCATAGAGATACCCCCACAAGTAATTAACACCATAGTACTGTCACCATAGTACTGTCATGAAGCTAAAACACTGAGATTCTGAAGCATTCAGAATTATTTTATTAATTAATTATATATATTGATGGTGGATGAAAACATGGATATGTGTTTTTATGTAAGATCAATTCTTGATGTCTTCTTCCTCCTCGAAAGCGGAGACCGGAAAAGTACGGGAAAGTCCAGTCCGGGTGGTGAATGTAATTTTGCCAGAGTTGGGGTCCTGAATGGAAATATCAGAGATGGCCACCCAGATGAGGAGCTCCTTGCTCTTGACACCTGTCAGGCGCTTCATCCGACGGTTCTCCACCACCGCCGTCACCTCCTTGTCGTACCACACCGTCCGATCGATCGACCGGAAAACGTGCGTCTTACTTTTCTTCTGCTTCAGCCACACGAATCCGGTGGCCTCGTTGTAGCCGACTTCCTCGATGTCGTCCAAGGGGAGCATGCCTCTCGGGAGCTGCATCTTCTCCAGCAGCTCCATGGACTTCCGCTTGCAGATGTCGTTGCCGGTGTACACCTCGGCGTTCTCGCGGTCGGACGCCATTGTTGATCGGAAATTGCAGGGAACCGCCGGCTGCGATTTTCGGAAATGGTGAAGTGCTGTGCAGTACTGTGCTGCATTCGGAGTTTGCGTATTTATAGTGAGGGGGCGATGGCCAGACTGCGTTTTGGGGTTGAAGTTACGAGAATGCCCTCGGCCTGAGAGAGGATACGTGGTGGAACTTCGCGGAAAAAAATGCCACGTGGCACTGTGGGTCTATTTATTGTGAGCAGAGAGATCAGCTGGTAGTTGACTGAACTCTGTAAATATATACGAACTGACATGGATGACGAAATTGCAACTAAAATCAATAAATATATAAATAATAAATAGGGGTAAATAAATGTGGTTAGATTTGGATATAACCGTTATTCAGTTAACTAATTTAATTGTATGTATGGGCTGAACATAGGCCCATTATGCAAGCCCGTTAAGTGGATTATATGTCTTGGATCGGCTCATGGGCCGAGTGATTCAGTATGATACGGCCCACAATAACTTTCAATAACATAGGCACAGCGGATATGCTAACGATGAATCTACGGATGCTTCACCCGGTTATTACTATTAATTATAGCTGATTACTCCATAGAACATGTATTTTCGATAACAAAATAAAATACTCTTTTTATTCCAATACAATAGTCTTATTTACTATTTTTGTCCGTCCAAAAACAATAGTCTTATTTTAAGATATATTTATGGGACGAAGGGAGTATAGTATATATAATTTATTATATTATATAAAATTAAGACATAAGATAGAATTATTTTAATAAATTTTTGTGTAAGTATATGAAGTGTATGAATTAATTATGGGTAATAAAAATAGCGAGAATAATAATAATAATAATAATAATAAAAATAATAGACGACCGACAGCGAAATTTGCGAATAAGATGGTTCCACGTCATGGCTTGACAACAACCTTAGTGTTGTGTGAGTACGACCAGTACTACACGTTTTCACCTCCTCCTCTCTCCCTCACTCCAGTTTCTATATACAATTATTATTATTATTATTATTATTATTGTTATTATTATTGATATATGTGGTGTGGTGTCCCAGTGAAGCGATGGCTGAAAAGGTCACTAAAATGAAGGTGTGATTGCAAATAAAATGTATAAATATATACGATAGGCCCCAAATGTTGGGAAATCTATTCCATGTCTCCCTCGCCTGCAATAAAATCACTTGATATGGTAATTATATATACATATGCATATAAAATTCACTGATAATTAATGATCATGTGTGTGTTGCCAGATATGGCAAATTCAGCTCACCAATCATCACATGCATCCTCCATTATTATTATTATTATTATTATTATAAAAATTAATTGGCTTATGATCAATGATATATCACCGACGTGGCAAAATGAAACACCATTTACTCCTCCAGATAAAATGTACTGTGATTGTGAGTACGAGAATGCCACAAAATTGAACAAGTGATAAATCTTTATCTAAAAGCAGCATATCTATTTGTTACCTATAAATAAACAGAAATAGATCTGCCCAACAAGTCACGTCCACACACATATTTATAAATTTCATTCACAAGCCCACCAGTTCTTGAATGCATTTAAACATAATTTATATATGGGACCCAATTCTATTCATCGATAATGTAACGGTTTGCACATCACATCGCCCATGTGAGTAACCTTCTTATAATCGATTCAATACCGAAGAAATTGATATGTACATATTTCAAAATTGATTTCTTTATATTTCATGAATAATTCAAATATTATTGATTAATTAATTACTCGTAGATTTTTCTTTATATATATATATATATATATTAAAATTCAGGCAGGGTTTATTTTATTTTAAGCAAGTGGACTTAGCATGACACGTCAAACACGGGATGGCCGTTAAAGATGTTTGCTTGAAGATCTGTACCCTTCCTTCCATAAAATCATTAATGGGCCCTTGCTGGACCAATTATTTGGGGGCCATTTCTCTGTCACAAAGCCCACCACCAAATTAATATTAATATTAATATTAATATATATATATATAAAAGCACAAAACACTTTAATTTTGGAATTTTTTTATTTTTTAAATAATAAGTTTGGATAATTAGTTAAAATTTGTTAGGATAAGAGATAATCTAAAAAAATCCAGATTTATCGAGATAATAAATAACAAAATATGTATAAAATTAGAGTTTTGTATATCTATATATATACCTAAGAGATTAAGCCAAAATCACCATAACAAAAATTATTATAAAATTTTCGTTCAACACTTCAAGAAGTGTTCGTAATTCGTTGCTTTTTTCAAACGTTGGGATTATTGGTTGTACATAGTTCGAAAGATTTTCCACATGAAAAAATATCATTATAACTTTTATATATTATTTATGCATATAATTTTTTATCATTTATTATATAGTGGAAATTTTATAATAAATTTGTTTTCTTTGACTTATTAATTTTTTTGTCCATATTATGATGCAAAAAATCTTTTAAAAAAAAAAGAGAGAAAAAAAGAATGAGAAGAAAAAAATAGAAGAGAAAGAAGAGAAGTAGAAAGAAAAAAAAAAACGAAAACAGATATAGTATTTTTTGTCTTTTTATTTATTTATTTATTTATTTTATTATGTATAATAATTTTATTAAATTAATTTTAAATTTCTACTAGTATATTCTTCTTATTATTATTATATATTTATTTAGTAATTTATTTAGTTTCGAGTTTAATGTTATAATATTTTCATTATTACTATATATGTATTTTTTAAAATTATCTATTGTGTTATCTTATTTTCGACTAATTATTTTTTTTTATCTTTATTATGTTTGAGTTTAAATTGTAATAATATATTTATGAAATTTTGATTCGCTTCCTTAATATTTTTTATTTGATTTAATTATCGTATTTTTTTATTTATAATTTATTTTTTATATAAATTAATTTTTTACTATTTTTATACAAAATTTTATTATCAAAATAAAATTTATTATTTAAAATATAAAAATTAAATTAATATCATAAATTCTGTAATTATATAGCACAAGTAATAAGCTAGTATATATATATATATATAAAGCACCACCAATAAATACAAATTATATTGCGTGACATTGACAAAATTATTATTATTATTATTATTATTTAGATTTAGATAAATTTGTACCATATAATTTAGACAAAATTACTTATAACTATATATTTTGAAGAGTCTCTATCATACTCTTTATTATTTTAAAACTAGTTAAGATTTTATACGTATTATAAAAATTATTATATAGAATTCCTTATAAATTGTGCATGGTTTTTTAATACTTTTTTAAAATATTGCACAATTTATTTTTCCAAATACTATTTTGTAATTGCAATTTTTTAAACATAGTAATAAATAATATAAAATATTTTTTATAAAAGTCAAAAAGTAAAAAAAATATATATTTATTTGAAAAAAATCTAAAAATTAATTATTCAATTTAAAATAATATATTTTATATTTTTGACATAATTTCTCATATCATACATAAAAAATTAATCTATTTAAAAACATTGAGTGAACGAATATTTTCTAAATTTCACATAATTTAAAATTTACAAAGAAAAATATATAATACTCCATCCGTCTCATAATAAAGTATTAGTCCGTCCCATAACAAAGTATCAATTTTACTTGTTAGTAATTGTACTATTTACCTAACATTATAAATATTCTTACAATTTATAATATATTACATAAATATCATTACTTTTGTATCACACATACTAATAAGATTATGGTAATCATTTCTACTTTATTTTTATTATATTCTAATATAATACTAATATTTTTAAAATTATATAAAAAAAAAAAAAAATATTTACTTATAAAACAGAGTGACAAGTACAAAATTTTCAAACTACATGTAACTTTTAAGCAATTTTATTTATAATTTATAAATAATGAGGTGAGAGAGAAGGAGGAATGGAGTATCACATTCACATTAATGACTTATTCAATTGGTCTAAGCTACTCTTTGGAGTTGTCGGAAGTTACAGGTCTCTCTGAGTCATGATTCTCCACTTTTTATGCAGTTTTTTTTTATTTAAAAAAAAAATAAAAATAAATTATAAATCCCAAACAATATTTAATAAAGGGCATATGGGGGATAAAAGAATTAAATGGAATATATGTCTGTAGTCAATGTACACAAAAATTAATAAACAACAACCATGATTATGATTATTGTTATTGTTAATTCAACATGTAATGTAACAACTCCCTACTGTCTCTCCCCTAACTATATTATTTTATTAATTAATATTATAATAACAATTAATTAATTAAGGGAGCTAGCTAGGTATAATTTATTAATGATTAGATAATTATTCAATCCCGGCCATCATGCGGAGCAGGTTTTGAGGAAACTGTATATATATATATGTGTGTTATTTGACCAATTGATTAATTAATTAATTAATTAATTAATTCTTACATTGTTTAATTACAATGTTAGGAGGAAACTGTATTAACTACTGATGTTCGTTTGCACATGATCAATCGCCCATTCTAAGGTTTCTTGTCCACTAATTAACTATTTCTTTGTTATAGCATAATTAATTATTTGTAGTTATGCAGCCACAATATTTGCCCGACACCATCTGAAGACATTCCAATTTTTTAATTCTTACTTTTTTAAAAATAAAAAATAAAAAAAATAATAATAAAATATAGATGCAATACTTAGATATATAAATGATTGACTTGTGATAAATGGGAGCAGGGCCGGCAATGACCATTTCCGACCGGCCATGCATCTTTTTATCTTTCTCTTTTTCATTACAATTCAATTATACATAAAAATGCGCAAAGACATCATAATTAAATAATTGGAGGACATAAGAACTAAACATTTGTATAGTCTAACAATGAAATGATTATTTTCTTGATTACCTTTTCTATATTTTTTTAATGATATGAATATTTAATTTCAGCGAATAAAAAAATATCCAGTATACCTAATCAGTGTATTAATTACTGTGATCTCTTTGGAGAAAAAGGAAATGTTTCTTTTATTTCATTAAAAAAAATAATAATAAAATTACAAATAGTTGCTCATATTAGTCATATGCTACATATAAAGCACTCGACAGAATAAAACATTGCTATATTATTGTCACGAAAATGAAAAAGTGTGTTATGGACCAGATATTTCCAATACAATGTAGATGCTATGTATGTATAGCAAAAATAAATAAAAATTTAATGTGTGTCATATATACACACACATACTCTATTTACTTTCACATCCTCAATCTCTACCATATTTAAAAAAAATAAAAATAAATAAAAGGCTAAATAATTGTGATTTACTGTGCATATATATATATATATCTAATGAAAGAAAGTATATCCTTGGATAATATATATATATATATTGGGATAAATATTGACATCGATACTGAAATAATACAAACTATATATGACGTGACAATTTATAATAAATAGTACTAGTAGTATTAATATTATATGAAATCGAGATTCACTAATAAATTTGGTTATTAATTTAAAAATGAAAAGAAAATTTCTTAGACGAGGCAGGGCAGGCAGCTTTCATGAGTCAATCAAAAAAAGGCTCGCAGTGAGTGGATCCTCGATACTATAAAAATGCCCAAGCTTGCACACAACCACTTCATTGTTTTCATCGCCTTCCTTCTTCTTACACATACACACACACACTTGTAATACGTGTGTGTATATATATATATATACATGTTCATGCACTAAACTCAATAGCTCCCTCCCTGCTTACCTTTATAAATCTTCAGACCCTCAGCTCTGCCTAAACCAAAAACACAAACACATTATCAATTAATTAATCTTTTTTTATCGTTCCAACAATGGTGGTTTTGTCGCAGCAGCCGATTCCGGACACTCTGTCCGGGTTCAGGACAACATGCAAGACGGCGGTTCTCACCCAAATTCCGGTGGTGGACCTTTCCGACGGCGCCAATGCGGCGCGTCTCATTGTCGAGGCCTGCCGGGACTTCGGGTTCTTCAAGGTAGTCAACCACCGCGTCTCGCCGGAGCTACTGGCGGAGCTGGAGGCGGAGGCCGTCAAGTTCTTCAAACAGCCCCCGCCGGAGAAGGAGAAATCAGGGCCGCCGAATCCCTTCGGCTACGGCAACAAGCGCATCGGAGTCAACGGCGACGTCGGATGGATCGAATATCTCCTCTTCTGCATCAATCACGAACTCACCGCCCAGAGCCCCCACGCCGCCGCCGTTCCCTGCATTTCCCATACCCTCCGGCGGCTCGTGAACAGGTACACCGCCGCCACTCGCGACCTGGCGGGCGAGGTCCTGGAAATGGCGGCGGAGGGGCTGGGAATCAAGGACAGGGGAGCGATGAGCAGGCTTGTAAGAAGCCAGACAAGCGACTCATGTTTCAGAATAAACCACTACCCGCCGTGCCCTGAGGCGGCGCCGCCGCCAATGAGCGGCGTGGTCGGATTCGGAGAGCACACCGACCCGCAATTAGTGTCTGTCCTAAGGTCCAACGCCGTGTCGGGACTCCAAATTTGCCTCAAGGACGGCACGTGGCTGCCCGTGCCGCCCGACCACGCGTCCTTCTTCTTCCTTGTTGGCGACTCCCTCCAGGTAATTAATTATTCAATTAATTCAATGAAATTAATTATTTCTTAATTGAAATCGAATTAACTGAAATTAAATCGATGAATCAGGTGATGAGCAATGGGAGATTTAGGAGTGTGAAGCACAGAGTGGTGGCGGGGGGCCAGAAATCGAGGTTGTCGATGATATACTTTGCGGGGGCCCCTCTAAGTGCAAAGATCGAACCTTTAGCATCGTTGATGGGGGAAGGGGAAGAGAGTCTGTACAAGGAATTCACATGGTCTGAATACAAGAAGTCAGCTTACAAATCCAGATTGGGTGCTCATAGGTTGGGGCTTTTTGAGAAAAAATCAATCAATCTTCAACCCTAATCCAAAATCCATTTTCAATTGTCCTTTTAATTAGGACAATCAAAATCTTGTGTGTGTGTGTGTGTGTGTGGTATGGGTCTGTCTGGCTGTCTGACTGTCTGTGTGGTGTGGTCGGCTCAATCCCACCCCTTTCTTATTCCACAAAAAGGCTACGTACGCTACTTTTACAGGGGTTGACCCACCCCATTTTGCCTTAGGTGGAAAATAAATAGGTTCTTTAAATTATTATCATTATTATTCGTTGTTGGTAGTTAATTATTTTATTTGGGCCCTCTTAGTTTGTGTTTATTAAATTTCGTCAACTAACTTCTTCTCATCTTGCGTTTCAATTGTAATTTGTAACCACCACCACTCCTTGTAGTATTATTAATGCAAATTTTTTGTATGGCTTAAGTCGGAGAGCATCATTTGCAGACAGTCAATATCAATCTTAAATGTGGCCGTTAAGAAACAATACCGAATATTGCACATGCTGATTTGCTACCATCAAAGTCTTGAAAGTGAGCTAGTTTTGTACTCCCTTCGTCCGAAACGAGGCAACATTTGCTTTTGATACGTAGTATTAAGTAGGATAAATTAGAAGTCAAGTGATGTGATGGAGAGAGAAATATATATTTTATTTTTTTATTTTGACGAAGGGATAAAATATGAGCTAGAGATTAAGTATAATTAATTATTTTCTATTTTGAAAATATTGTAAAGTATTGGGACGTACAAAAAAAAAAAAATATTACGGAATATTTGGGACGGAGGGAGTACTATTACTATTTACTACCCACATAGCATTGATTATTAAAAATCAGTAATTATATATAATATCTACCCAGGAATTGATTGATGCGTGGAATGGAATTAAATCACCAGAATTTCAAAATTGTCGTCCCCCACAAATGTCATCAGAATATCAATTAATTATGCACACCTCCCCCATGCGCCCCCGCCCCCCGCCCCCCTTCTTTCCGCCATTTTTTCTTATAATTTTATGTCCATTTTTTATTTTGTAATTTTACAAAAGAAGTTGGCATAAAATTGACCTGGAAAGAGTATTATTTATCAGTTTCGAAAAATATAGATTGAATGTCAGTATCAATTTTTGGTGGCATAACACTAGGTGAAATGAGATTATGTGCTATCTATTTCTTAAAATGTAATCTATAAATGTGAAGTCTGGTGGTCTATGTATTATATATTATCTTCTATGTTACATTGTTACTTCTCAAAATAACATCAATTTAATTGTATATTTTTAAATATCTGTTGGATCCTGTGATTCGGAATTTCAAAATAGTTCGTCGATTTCGTTGGCGTGGGTTCTGAAAGTACTCCAGAGAGCCAATCCGTCGTCGGGCAATGCGAATTTCACACGATTACTGAACTAAACTATGATTAACTACGGAAAGCGAGTAAATAAATTGCAGAAAATATATAATCGGAAGTAAATTGCATAAATGAAAATAAAACGAGGAAGAAAAAATATGAAAATATGCGATTTGTTCTGTTGTGCGTGTGTGTTGTGTTTCTTTTTCCTACTTGTAATCCTAAGCTAAAATAACCACTTCTCCCACTAACAGGGGTGATTACAAATTATTTCCACTTCTTTCTATCTCTCTTAACCACCAAAAACCTCCTTCCATCATTTCCCAGCGACTTCCATTGCCTTTGGACCGAGTTCCATTCGTCTTGAGCATTTCCATCGATTCTGGACCAAGTTCCATTCACTCTTGATTTTTTCCATTGCCTCCAAATTAGACCTGCAACATACCCTAATTCGTTTTCATCATACTCCTAGCCGGTTTACGGGGATATGTTCCCAACATCCTTGAGTTACGTTGAACCTTCATTCTTCTTCCTTCTGTTTTGACCCCTAGGACCTTCCATATAGGACCTATAGGTACCATAGTCTTCCATTGACATTATGAGGTTGCCGATTCAGGGTTAATAGAGCTTGTCGTCCGAAGGTCTATGGAAGTCACATCTTTTTGCTCCATGAAAGCTCCGCAGCCTGATGGAAGTCACTATCTTTGACATTTAAGTCATTTTGGACTTGGGGTCCAACAATATCATATTATATTATTTGGACTATTTGCTATTAAATTCACTGATGTTTTTTTAAGACTTATCAAGCTAACAAAAGAAGTATATTGTAGATTTTGTTTAGATAGATATTTTTGAAATTTTTAAAGTTTGCAAAAAATAAAAAATTAGTATTTAATATAATATTTTATGAAAAAAAATGTATTTAATGTGATTTTTTTGAAAAATAAATAGTATTAAATAAGTGAGAGTGGTTAAAGTAAACAAAATCTATATATCTAATACTTTATTTGTCCCTTATCAAATGGACCATTTTGGGGTTTTGTAATAAAATAAGAAATAATACTATCTCCATCAAGCTACAAAGTATACATATTTTATTTTGGGACGCCTAATTACAAAGTAACTATTTCATTAAATAGCTCACTTTTTCTTCACAAATATCCTTATTTTATATCACATCATTACTTTTATATCAAAAAGTACATACAAAAATGTCATTACACTACTTTTACCTACTTACTATAATTTCTTAAGTTTCGCGCCAAAAGTAGATGTATACTTCTTGTTTGGACGAAATAAATAGTATTTTATTAATTAGTGGAGATGTGTAAAAGATTTTTGATATTTTTTCATTTTACTTTTTGTATAAAATAATTTTATATATAATAATATATTTTTAATTTAGATAAAAGTTTAAAATATTTAATATTAATGTATAATTTTTTTTAATTAAAAAAATATTTTAAAATAAAATAGATAAAAATAATAAAAGAATACTTAAAAGTGAGATAAATGAAGTATTTATTATTTGTCACAAATGTAAATCTATCACCTCTATTTCGATATATAATACCGAATCAATTATTTTATTGTAATGACTGTCCACGTCAACTTGTATTCCATCTCAAAGTGAAACGACAAGACCTCTTACTGCCTGCACGTCTTGTCTCTCTCTCTCTCTCTCTCTCTCTCTCTCTCTCTAGATTAATCAGACAACTCAGTGTTATAATCTTCAATCCAGCGGACTGGCAAATCTAAGCCGTTGATGATGTGGAGGGTCCCACAACGAGGGACGGCGTGGATGAGTCCACAAGAATCACACTCCATCTGGCATCTGCTCATTTTGTACTTTGGTAGGGGAATAAAATAAAATGCCTCCTGGATTCCCATGCATTGATGATATTAATTTTTCTTTTATTATTATTAATATATTAAAACTCGTCAAACGCGTTTTCTTGAAATAAATGTTTATTTTAATTACTTGTGCACTTTATATGTCGTTTTCATCGACTAGGTACCCACAAGGTTCTTCTAGACACCTTCGTTTATTTAGGAGGTTGACAAAATGCAATTCTACTTGACGGAGTTTATATATTTGTACCCAACAAGGTTTTGTTTGTTCCATTCTTGAATTTTAACTGTGGAATAATGTAAATACGGAAATATTATAATAAGTATATTAATATAAATAATTATAAATTAAAATAATTTAATTAAAATTAAGAAAATATAAATTATAAATTTTAAAATACAAATTAAATGTATAATTATTTTAAAAAAATAATTATATGCATGAAACATACTTAAATAAAAATTATGAACATTTTATTGTGACGAATAAAATATTAAAAAAGCAACACCTAAAGAATATCCAATTTTTTAAGTTTGGGTCATTGGATTGAATATCCAAAGATTTTAAGGGTTTTTTTTTTTTTTTTTTTTTTCTAAAAAAAAAATAATAAAGAAGACCCAACATTCAATATAATATATAAAAAGTAAGATATTATACATCAGTAGCATTTTAGTTTATATCTAAATCCCAATAAGGATAAGATATAAGGCCCAATGTTTTTTGGAAATTTGTTATTATTCTTTTTTTTTAAAACAAAAAAAAAAATCAAATTAAATACTAAATTTTTATTATTTACAAATTTTTTTCAAAATTTCAAATATCTCAAAAATCACTCGTCTAAATGGAGTTTTTCTTCTTTCGTGCATAATAATAATAATAATAAAACTGATATCTATGTATAAAGATTATTTTTGATTTGGAATATTAGACTTATCTCTATTCATATTAAATTAAATATATTTATTTTTTATTATTTTGAAAATATATTTAAACAAGCTTTCCCTATTATTTGCGTTTGCGTTTGCTTTTGGGGCTAACACATGATTAAAGAATCTTGTAATTTGAACAACTTTATATATAACTATTCAAAATGTGGAAATTGGAATGGGCAGGCTCAAGAAAGAATTGGGAGCAGGTAATAAGATCTTGTAGGTGATTAGAGTTGAGATTTGACAATCTAACCATGATTATTTCTCATCCCAAATTCTGCAATTTGCGTGTGATTACCAACCAATTAATGTAACTAGTACAGCACTTTTAATTAGCACTAAGCTAGTTGTAGTATTAGACATTAGTACGTACTGCCACGCCACAGCTGTCTCTCTCTGACTCGATTTTCTTTGAAAGTTGAATGTTGACTAATTAACTAATAACATTCGATTAGTCGTTGGTTAGGAATATGATTGACATAATTAATTAGCATCAGCAGTGAGGATTCAATGTGTCCACACCATGCACTGCACTGCTGCTTTTAGTGACAGTGAGTGTGGTGGCGACTTATAAGTCAAGCTGATTAAAGGCAGGGTGGGGTGGGGTGGGGTAAACATATAAATGAATCAATAACAGTTGACTTATGGTGCGATTCATGTTTGACTTGCGGCTCATCTACCCTATCGATATATACCCATGCACCTACCTACCTCATCTCAGTAGTAGCCATCCCTTTGGTGTCTCACTTTTATTTTTATTTTTATTTTTGACCTCATATTATCAAGCCATTCTTATGAAGTGTTATTATTAATCATACAAAGTAGCCCGATCTTACCAGCAATTGCAATGACTTCTTAATAGAAGCCCAACCATCAAATATAAAGCTTTTAAATGTTTATAATATCACACAATACCTTTCTTATTAAAAAAAATTGTAGCAATATGGACTATATATATGTCAAATTTAATTTTATGAATTAAGTTATCACTAATCTTCTTTTTCAATTGGTTTGTATATATATAGGTGTTCTTATTCTAATTTAGGAATAATAAATATTTATAATTTTATAATATGAATAATTGTTTCGTATGCTATTTAAATATAATATATATTTTAAATAAAAGACAAGTTTAAATTTATTTTTTTTAGATAATAAATGTAAAATGTTGGAAGATACGATACCCTATATTGGGCTTAGAGCCCACGTCCACAGTGCAGGGAGGCAGACTATATTTATCTTAATAGAAAATTTGGGCTCGATTTGTATACATATAATTTTTAAAATTTTGATAACTTTTTATTTTTATATATATATATATATTAAAATATTAATATTTTTATTATTTTCAAATCTTTTCAATACTACAAAAATCTATATCTAAACAGAGCTTGTATTTGGATTTGGTACTTATGTTGCTAATGCTAATGCTAATTAATGATATTGTAGTACTGTAATTAGACCATTGAATTCGACAGCTTGATCACATATATATATATCAGTAATTATAATAAATAAATAATGATTAATACATGTAATGTACATACATAGACATGCTTTAACAGGTGGAAATGCATCTTCCCATCATCAATTCATCACCATCTAATCATCCTACCTTACCCATGCATGCACGTGAATCTCTCTCTCTCTCTCTCTCTCTCTCTCTCTCTCTCTCTCTATATATATATATATATATGTATATGGAGGGGAGAGAGAGAACAATATAGTGTGCCATAAAAGTCGTTGCTTATACGCAAAGTAATAATAACATCTGCAATATATATATATATATAATGTGATTATAATTATTTTGTGTGTTTGATTTGGTTTCCTAGCTAGTAATTATAATTATTAATTAATTAATTAATTAATTAGAATATGAATCTGGAATTTGTACACATATATGGATATGTGTGTGTGTCGTGAGGGAGTATATATATATAAATGTATGTATGTATGTATGTATTACGTAAGATGGAATTAATGTGGAATCCACGTCCAAAAGTGGATTGGGGTACGTAGTAGCTACTTTATCTGCTGCAACAACCGATCGATATATATATATATATATGTATGTATAGAATCTAATCTGTCCTTAACGAATATCCCTAATTTGCATTGCATGTGGACTACAGACACGACCACACCACAAACTGTATGTCGTCCTAAGTTACTTACGTGTACCTACAAGATATACTACAATAATATTATTATAATTAATTAATTAATTAATTGATTGTACACAATGGAAATTAAAATTAAAATTAAAGCAGAAGCCGCCGCTGGTGACGAGAAAGCAAAACTTGATAATAATAATACATTATCTAATTTCATCTTATTACATATATATATATATATACAATCCCCCATCTCCTAATTAATTATCCATATTCAAAGCTAGAAATTAACAATAATGCATGCTTAGCTCTCAATTAATATTACATATATATATATATAATATATGTAATCATGATGATGAAATTGGGAATCAAGTGGCTCGAAGCATAGCGATCAATAAATTTATAAATTGTGAATCCTTCTCGTAACAATTAATTAAAAAGAATCCTTCAAATATATATATCTACTCCATGTATATATCCTCGTTCAATTGTAGGATGGATGAAGTAATAATGACGCCGACAGCTAATTAATTAAATAACTACCTAGACCTCCTCGAACTCGAATAGAGATGTATATACATACATACATACATGCATGCATGCAGTGCTGCACTCTTTCGTTGATCCTTAATGTCTGAATTCCCACAATGCCAACCCTTGAAAGCCCAGAATTAATACTGAATACCAAATGCTCCATGAATGGATCCCTCTCACCTGTAATTGATCATACAAAGTATTCATTTCAAACCCAAAAAATGGTAATATATATTGATCTAATCACCTATATCTATACATTTTTTAATTATTAATTAATAATTAATTACCTTGGTGGCACCGGAAGAAAAGGAGATTATAGACGACGAGGCGGCGGAGGGCGACGAAGAAGACGAAAATGGCGATGAAGAAGCCGCTGCGGCGGTGGTGGGCAATGCTGAGAGGCCGACATTGTAGGCCATAGTCCCATCGGGCTGGAACAGGCCGTAGTTCCTCTCGGAAGTCGGGCCGGGCTTCATGTCCTCGTTAAACAAAGCGAAGACGTAAATCTCCAATGTCCTGGCGGGCCTCATCGGCGTCCCTTCCTTCTTCAACTGCCTCGTCATAATATTCCGATTGTAAATCGCGGCGTTCTCCGGCGTCGCCCCGATCTCGTCGGTGTCCCCCCGCGACGGCCACCCCGTCTCCGAAACCCTAACCTCGATCCCCGGGTAACCCATTTTGGCCATGGCCGACGCCACGGCGTCCACCTGCGCGTACAGCATGTTGTCGTACCGGAGTTTTGTGTTTTGGTCCACCGTGCCGGAATTAGGGTTCAACAGGACGTAGTCCAGAGGGATCTTTGTCGGGTCGTCTTTGTAGGCGAAGTAGGGATAAGCATTGATCCAGAACGGCGATTTGGTAGCAGACAAAAATTGTAAGAATTGCGGCAGAATTCCGGTCAGCTCCGGCCGGAAGGTTCCGGCGGACGGCGGGAAGGATTCCTGGAGAACGGCAAGCGAATTGGGGGTGGACACGTGGATGAATTGATCGAGTCGGAATCGGACCAGGGCTGCGTGGATGGCGACCATGGCGGGGACGAGAGCGGCGACGAGGTTGGGGTCGACGTTCTCGCCGGAGAAAATCTCGTTTCCGACGGCGATTCCGGTGATTCGGGTGGCGGGGAAGTAGGGCCTGATGTGGGTGTAGACCCATTGGAAGGCCTGGTTGGGATCCGACAATGTGGGGAGCATTTGGTTTTCGACGGTTACGATGAGGTCGACGTTGGAGTTTGCGAATGCGGCGAGGACCTGAGGGTTGGTGTCGTAAATTCTGGCTTTGGTGAGTTTGAGCGACCGGAGGAGTTCCAGAACCTTCTCCGGCGGCGGCAGGTTGTTGCCGACTTGGCCGTAATTAATACCGAGGGATTGTACTTTCAGGAAATCGAAACCCGACAGGATTAGGAAGAAGAGTAATGCAAGGCCGTAGTAATAATGGGAGACGAAAATGTTGGTGATGGAAAGAGTTTCCATTAAAGAGAAATGAGAGGGATCGAGAAGCAGGGAACACTGAAAATGAGAGCGGGCCGTACTCAGTCGTCGTCAGAATTAAGAAATAGAAATGAGGATATATATATATATATATAGAGAGAGAGAGGTGAATAGGTGATGAAGTTGTAAGTCGTAGTCGTCATCTTCTTCCTCTCCCTCATAGGTTCTTTTGATGTCCAAATTAATTAACTACTCTTCTTTCTCAGGACAAGACAGGACACTGCCATTACTGCGCGGGACCCGTCACTTAATTACTTCATGTAAAAGGAAGACCCGACCCGACCCGAGCCACGACAGCATCATGATTCAAATTTATTAGTTACTCAATAAGTAATTCCAATGTAATCATCATAATGGATCATCATTAATTCAGCACTCAGAACATAACTGTCTGAATCTGAATTGACAGTGTAGAATTCATTAAAATGCTTAATTGGGCACTCAAAAATCGACTGCCACGCACGCATGAAGCGGATCTTCAAGTTCAACCCGCCATATTTTATATATTTATTTATATTCGGAGCATTATTATTATTATTATTATTATTATTATTATTATTATTATTATTATATGTTGCTTAAAAGCTAAAACAAACTAAAGTGGGGAAGAAACTTCAACCACATGAATCATCAAGTGTTGGATCAAGAAACCTGTCAGAATTGCACTAAATTGCCTCCATCCTTTTGTTTCTTCCACATTTATTTATCAAAAAGGCAAAGGTCTTCCCCACAATATATATTCAAAATTACAATTCGGACAATGCTTTACGCGTTCCATAACTAGATAGCATAGATTAAATATATAAAGCACCAACTGCAGTAATTAATTAATTAATGCAAAACTAATTATTATATGTATGACGAAACCAACATAGCCTCTTGCTTGATTCCCAATGCAGCATTGTTATCTATTAGACCAAGATAACTTAAAATTTAATTTCAGATAATTATATACTATGCTTAGGCTATAGCAAAAACACGAGTATAGAATATGGGTAAACTTTAAATAAAAGTAGGAAGGTGATGCAGGCAGGGAAATTGATAGAAAATTAAGTTGGTGGGATTAAAAGGTAATTGGAAAAAGAATAGAATAATGTGAGGTGTTTTTGACAAGGGAGACAAAGAAATTAACAAAATCCCCTTTCCACATTCACTCATGCAAAATTGGGCGAATTGAAATCAAAAAGAAAGCGAAGCAGCAAAATAAAAGTGAAAGTTGCAGCAGCAGTAGTAGTATATGCAATATGCATGTCTGTGTGGATAATTATGGATAAGGCAAAAGCAACCAATTCCAAATGGATATACGTTAGCGTTACGTGGGAATTACTAGGCTTTCTTTGCGCCTGTCCTTATCTTCTTCACTCATTCATTCCTTCATTATTAAATATATATGTGAATTACACACTCATCATCATTTTGACCATTAATTCACTCTTTCTGTGGTCAAACCTCCATTAATAGTCTATAATTTATTCTCGGCATTACTTCGATTTACATTTTTTAGGGTTTAGTGTGGAGATTCAGATGATCGACTGAATGGGCAATTAATTGAATTTCGAAGGTTTATGCATACATGGATGGATCGATAGATTGATGGGGAAGTAGCGGCAGCAGCAGATTAAGCTAGCTGGGATAAAAAAGGGTTGGGTTGGGTGTGGTGGCGTTCGTCACCAAAAGGGTGGGCCGCCTTTGACAAAAAGCACATTTTGATGACAGTGACCTCATCAAGATGCGATTCAGAGCTGTCTGTCTCCTTTTCGTTATTTTTCTTTCACAGCTAAGCTAAAAAATTTATCTTTTCTAAAAAAAAAAAAATCGTTGTGACTGACTGTCTATCTAAGGATGGGAAAGGGATTGCGATTTCCTTATTTTTCATGGAAGAAAAATCGCAGGCAAAGGCAATAGGATGAAGTGGAGCACAGCAGATATACATTCGAATGTATGTATGTCCCTATCGGCTCTTTCATTATGGTCAATAGCTGGTTTATTTTTATTTTTTCTCATTTGTGGATTTTAAAGAGGGAGTGATAAAATAGATGATAAAGAGGGGTATGATGATAAGATTGTTCTTTTGGCAAAGGCACATTTGGTGTGTAAAAGGAAGATTTAAAGGTGGGGAAAAGGGTAGGTGAAGAATTGGAGATACTACTACAGTACATGTTTTCTTTCTTTCTTAATTAATTAATTATATATGTTTTTTGGCTTACTCTTTTGTCCTTCCCTTTTGTGCGTTTGCTCAAAGATATGCTTCTTTTTACAATGATTCTTATGTCTTTAGATAGATGTGAATGGGAAAAAGGGGTAATCTGGCCCCTTCATTGGATAAGATAAGCAATCTGATCAAATGAAAACCAGAAATGGTTATATGGTGTGTTTGCTGTTTCTATTACTTGATACAATTCAAAATTCTTCTGCACTATGCATTCAAATTTTCGTTATATATTAGATAGATGTCATATAGATGCAAGAACATATGTGTTGACCAAATTCTTTCAGTGTCTGCAGGGAATGAAGTTGGTTTTAACTTTTAAAGAAGTTAATTTAAGATTGAAAATGAATTTAGATTTACTGTTAAAATGAAGAGGGGAGATGTTTACATCTTTTTAATAAACAAAGGGATACTGAGCAAGTGAGCATCGACCCATTGAGCATTAGCCCAGGTTCAATCGTTTGAATGTTGCTTTGATATTTTTTGAGCTGAAATTGTTTATGTTTAAACTCATAGGCTGGATTACGCGACCTTAGATTAAGACGCTCGTGGGTTCTAATGTTGTTGTAATGCTTCTTGTTGTACTGTTTACAGCTGAATGTATATTTTCCAAATATAGAGCTAATATATACATAGATGGTTGTCTTAATTGATCACCACCCCACTGTAGTTCTTCTTCTGAATGAGCTTGCTTTTGTTATTGTTGATGAATAACCTGACCTTAAAGTTCATACATAATTCTCTGCCTGGAATTGGCTAATAATGCATTTAAACAGGTTCTTAAACTTTGAACAGAGCAAGTTTCAGAGCAGCAGATATTAAAGTTGAAGCGTAGAAAACAGGTAAACTTACATCTAACTGGTGGCATTGCAGCCAACATTGAATGAAATATAAAATTCCTCGTGTAGGTTAGATTGATAAATAATACAAATGAATAAATTTTTTGACTTAGCGAATGAGTATGAGTAATTGAGTATGAGCATATTGAGATTGGTACCTCAATTTGCATGAAATCAATCAATTATTCATTCTCAACCGGGGGGATGATTAATGAGTTGGGATGGTATCGGACCACAATAGAGAATGAATGAATTGTTTGTTGGAGGAATGCTATCAGTGTAATCTGAGCCCTTCCCTAGTTAACAATCATCGGGGTTACGTTAATACAGAAGCTTGAGAACTATCCTGATTGTGGTGTTTATTTAGTGTAGTGTGGATATATCCAACAATGCTGCATATAGCAGTTATGATGATATACATTATACATGCTTGTATTGGTATGTATGTATACATAATGTACCTGAGTAGGGTAGCTAGTCTCCTGCTGAGCTGATACATACATACATATATATATTTATATTGCGAATCTCCTTTTTCAGTTGTTGATATTTAGCAAGTGAAGTCGTGGTAATTGTATCCCAGTTGGTTTTGTTTGTTTGGAAAGGAATCCAAGTTATCGACAGGCTTGGCCATGGGTTGCTGCAAGTTCGATATGTCATGGTCATCTTGTGGAGGATTTAGCCAGTTGAGAGAGAGAGCCTGCTGCAAGCTGGTATTGGGATGGGACAGTAGTGTTAATTGGTTGGTTGTAGCTTGTAACAAGAATCCACTGGATCTGCACTGCAGATCAGCTTGGTTGAAAGTGGCAATTCATTAAGTGGAAGGGATTCAATTTTATGCTCTAATTGAATTCCTCCTGTGGATACATATTGATGATAAATATATATAATGTGTCCATTTTGATCTGACTGACTGAGCGAGCGAGTGACGTGTTTTTGGATAAGTAGAATGTATACACCACATAAGTGGCACAACCCCACCCTGATAGAAGGAAGGAGCTATGCTATGCTATGCTATGCTATGCCAATATATATATATATATATATATGACATTAGATGCAATGCACTCTGAGAGGAGACGAGGCTGTAAGAATAAGGAAGCAGACAAGACAAGTGGAGACGAGTGTAGTGTAGTGGTGCAATGAATCTCCTCAAATCTTTTTCTTTTATGAACCCTTTTCCATCTACGATCTGTCTACGTATCTACCCACCCAATCTCTGCACCGCAGGTCCACTTTGCTTTGCCTTAGAATAGCCATATCCATACAATAGATTTGTTAAGGTTCTGGATCCCATCTCCGTCACCATCACCATCCATCCAGACCATATATCCCAATGCAATGCAAGGAATACTTAATTATTTAACATTCAAGAGCAGAGAGATAGATGGATAGATAGATAGATGCCCCAGCCTCTGCACTGATAACCTGGTAGAGCTAGATAGATAGATAAAGATATAGTACTACAATATGGCAAGAGAAAGAGAAACAGAAAGAGAAAATGATGAGTGCAGGCCTCCGATCCCAGCAGCTCTGGTGATGAGCCGAGTGGTGGGAGATGTGTTGGGTCCCTTCACCCCCACCGCCGACCTGCGCCTTCTCACTTCCGATGGCAGCATCGTCTTCAATGGCACCAGTTTGAGGCCCTCCAATGTCGCCGCCCCTCCCCGCCTCCACATCGCACCTCACCATCATTTTCAAGGCTTCTACACTCTTGTATCTAACTAACTAACTGACTTACTCAATTCAATACAATTAATCTAAATTGCATTGATTATGTGTGTAAAATGTGTTCTTTGGCAGGTGATGGTGGATGCTGATGCTCCTAACCCCAGCAATCCACATTTTAAGGAGTATTTACACTGGTCGATCGATCTACTTGTCTTGTCCTGTCATCAAATACCCACATTTACCTTTTTTTTTTTTTTTAATCTTAAATTAATTAATTAATTAATGTAATGTAGGCTTGTGACGGACATTCCGGCAGCAGAAAGCTCCAGTGGTTCAGGCAACGGTCGGTCGGTCAGCCATATCTCTTACTTAACTGCAATTTGCTATCATCAAAATGATCTTTGAATTAATTAATGGTGCAGAAATGGTGAGGTATGAGAGCCCGAAGCCGACGATGGGAATCCACCGGATTGTCCTGGTGGTGTTCCAGCAGAGCAGAGGCAGAGGCAGGGCCGTCACCGCCCCGCAGTGGCGCCGGAATTTCACGACCAGAGAATTCTCTGAGGCCAACTGCTTAGGATCCCCCATCGCCGCCCTCTATTACAACTGCCAACGCCAAAACGGCACAGGCGGCCGAAGACCACCTACCCTTCGTTAATTAATTAATTAGTTCGCCGCCGGCGCCACCCAACTTAATTTCTATTTTGTACTCTGCCGCCATGACATAGATGACGGGGAAACGGTAACGGAAACGAAAATGGGAACTGGAACGGAATCCGAATTCAAAACACAGGTCTGAGTCTGACGGCGTCTCTCCTCCTCAACGGTTATATTTTTTGTGGATTAATGAAGTCGCATTTTCGCTTTCAACGACTCTGCTCTATAAATTTTGGTTTCTCTAACCAGTAAATGGGCTGGGCTGAAATTGGGCCTACACATAAGGTCCATTTTAATCAAAACAATAGTTTATTTTTTTTAGAGAAAAAATCAATTTTGGCCTATCAATTTTGTCCCAATATACAAAAATTCATCAACTTTGGTCCAAATATAAATTCTTTCAATCAAATTTAAATATTACAATTTTATTATTTTTACTTTAATAAATAATAATTAATTTGTAACTATTTTTTTATTTATCTTATTATATTTTTATCAATCATTATTAAATTTTTATAATACCCCTATTTTATCTTTTACTTATTTAATTTTTATATTAAAATATTAATATTTTTTTTAATTATCACACTCAATCAAACAACATTTTTATGAATGGAGAAAGTATCACATAAAGTAAACTTAACTAACCCAAGGCTAACCCAAAATTATTCGTAGCTTTTTCTTTCCTTTTCTTTTAATTCTTTTAAGAAAAAATTAAAAATTAAATCGAAAACATAATGCAATGTATAATTGAATAGGTTTTGATATTAAAATATTTGACACGATGATTTAATTGGAAAATCTGAGAAAAAAATATATATATATTTAATTTGTAAATCAAATTAAGGAGAATTTCCTATCGACAAAATAATTACGTCGTAGATAGTGCATATGTTGTTTGCATATTCTTTTCAAGGATAAAATAATTTTGCCTTTGAGAAGAATGACCCTTCAAAACTCAGAGCTCCGAAATAATGTGAGGGACAAATTGAGCATTGCTGGATGGCTGGGAGAATATTAAATCTAAATTATTATTCAAATAAAAAAAATTATAAAAAATAAAATAAATTAAACTCTAAATGACCACGTCCAAATTTTAAATCTAAGCATGGGTTTTGAACTTCTTCACCAAGTATCAAACATATATAAACATCACGAAAGAAAGGAGTTTCTCCACTAAAAATCTTGAATTTGTTTGGTTTTGATTTGAGTTTGACTTTTGTTTTATTTGATTTTTTTTTTTAAAAAAAATAGTAATATATTTTGATTATAAATCATATAGAGTAAATAATTGTGATTTAGTTTGAAATTAAAATCAAATACACTGTGTCATTACCACATTAACAAATGGATAAATCACAACTACTTTTCTCTTATTATTATTATTATTATTATTATTATTATTATTATTATTATTATTATTATTATTATTATTATTATTATTTCTAACAATAAATAATAGCATTAATTAATCATGGATACTAAACAATCACTGTACTAATGGTACCCAAAATAAATCTTAAGACACCAATCTTACAAATCATTGTTTGTAATTTTTATTCTTGGAAAGGGCAAAAGGAACACGAAAAAATGCATGTGGAGAAGATACGTGCATGGCAATTAAAATTAACGTACAAGAGATAAACATTTACATGCGACTTTATAAATTATTTAATTATATATATATATATATATATATAGTTTGGTGATTAATAATTGTACCATGCTTTCCTTTATAAATAGCGTGCAAATCTTTAATTGGAATATTTGATTTTCAGTCAAATGTGACAACCCCATCCACTAATTAATTCATAAAGAAGTTTTAGAGCATCTGAAGTGAAAGCAACATTAATTGTGATTTTATAGAAAAATATTAAATTCAAGCAACTATCTCATAAACAAAAAACTAAGTTAAACTCCAGAGGAACACAACATATCATACGTATTTTGGCTTCCTAAATTTGATTGCCTAATTCGGGTAATTTCCACTCACGGATCTGCATGAGTGGGTTGACTTTGACTTATTTAATCATACTTACTAAAGTTGCTTACGAAATTAAAAGAAAGTTGATTGTATATATATTCCATCCTATGAATTTAGACATTCATTCATTACGATTGTCGACCGACTTTAGATTATAGTTTCTTCGAAGAGGAAATTGTCATCCTCGTCCTTGTTTTGATCCGGTCAAATTCAATTATTTCAATTTCCACCTCTCCCAAAAATTTATGATAAATAAATAGGAAATCGGGTTTATTAATTATTACCATTGTAGCAACAAGATTCATTTTGAACGACATTTCATTTGGTAAAACTAATAGACAAGTTACGAATCATTATGGGTATGTTCACACAAATATTTTTAGAATTAATTTTTACTAGAATCATCTATTCAATATTTTTTTTGAAAAATATATATATATCATATCCCATACATAATATTTGATTATATTCAAAATTTTCAAAATTTCACAAAAATTATATGCAAACAAAGCCTATACTCATTCATGATGACAAAAACCATTATACTAATAGTAATTGAAGAGACAAATTAAGATATATATATATATATAGCTTATTATATTTGAATAAGATATTCTATCTTTGGATATAATATGATATTAGATAGTTTTTTATATGTGCTTTTATTTTATGCTATTTTAAGCACACAATCTAATTAAGCCAATGAGTAAGAAAAATTTATATAAACAATATTATATATCGATTTGTCACCAAAATATTATTAAAGATTAACCCAATTTTCATATTATACTAATGGCTAATGATGATAAGCAGTTGCTTTTTTTTTTTTTAATTAAGTTAAAAAATGAAAATTAATTGTGAAATACCTAATCCAAGATCCCCATGATCTTACCAACCAATCAGCCAATCACACTATATATAAACTATACAACCGTTTGAATAAATTATAATTATAAATAAAATAAAATAAAAATCGCCCAGGGGTCTTCTGTTTTCGCTTAATTGGATTTAAAAATATCTTAATTTTTAATTATATTTTTTAATAGTAATGATTGTAAATTGTAATTATATGTGATTTTAAGGGAGAAAGGGGTGCATGTGATTGTGCACATGTTATTTACATGTGCAATAATAACATTTATTCGATTTGTTGGTAGATTCTGTTTCAACATGAGACATACAAATGCATTCATATATGATTCAATTCTTGATCGATGATCAAATTGGGTGTTTTGAAATTAGGGTTTTGATTTTGATTTGATTTGATTTAATTGTTTTCAGGTTTTTAATATATCCTCCAAATCTATAATAATTGCAAATTGATTTTGATGGTAATTGTGCATGTTGTGTTGTGGTTCTAATCATTACATGGCTGGGTACAGAATTACACACACATATATAAAATATAAATATAAATATATATATCTGAGGAGGATTATCAGAAATGGCGCAATGATTAGCCTAACTGCCAAAACTACCAAACAACCCTTAATTAATTAATCAATTAATTAATGCTTTTAATTACTGCAATTAGTCTAATTAATTAATTACAATCTTCACATGCATGCTTTTAAGTGTGGTATGATTAATTCTGCCAAAAATGTTAACAGCTAACCATGTGCTCTGCCCAATTAATTATTAAATAATTAGTTAATTAATTACCGGCCTCCATATATACACATACCAAATTGGGAAAATTGAACGAATCCATGTATAAGTATAGTTGCAATAAAATGCAGGATAGTTTCTGAGGTGATAGTGCAGTCCATGTGCCAATTGAAATTAATTCCAATCTGCCTACTCTTTTCTTTTTATTAATTTTAGATTAAAAATAAATAAATCAATCAAATGATTTATGTTTAAATCAATGAGTGTTGGTGTGTCTGATGAGCTATTGCTTCCTGGCCTAATTCTTCATCAGGAAAATGTCAATGATCGATAAATTAGATACTTAGCACAATTATTTTGCATACGTATTGACCAGCTGCATTGGTTATTTTTCTGGTAAATATTCTCTGGATACATATATAGACGAGGACACAGATATTTGTGGTAATGAAATTATTGAAGGAGCTAGGTAGAATATGTGTACGTAGTGTGAGTGGCTTACATAATTTGAATTGCTTTCCGTGACATACGTCATACATATGTATGATTGTTGTTGTTTTGTAATATTATTGCATTGCAATATAAAAATATAAATATATATATATGTATGTATGTATGTATGTATTTCCAAGTAAAGTGGGAATGGATCGGAGGAGGGAGGGTTGATCTGACGGGGTGCTACTGCAGTGTCGTCATCTTCAAACACACACACACACACTGACACACACACATGTAATAATTTAGCAGACAGAATTTAGGCAAACATTGATGGATGGGTTATGTTAAAAAAAGCACTCCACAGATACATAGATGCATATTCTTTGGCTCATCACTATTCACTTGGATCTGTACGTTTCCACTTTAATCCCAATTGCATATAATAGTATATGATGCTTGAATACATACAATAAATACGGCTACTTCCCTTCCATCAAACATCTGCTTTTTTTTTTTTTATTACAATCAATCAATCAATATAATATTATATTAATTAAAACTCATATCTAACTCAAATAATTATTAAATTGATGGAAAAAGAGAATGTTATATATGCTACATCCATCTTCCAATTCTATGTTCATTAACACACATATTAAAAAATAAAATAAAATTACATCAAATATATTAATTTTTTATTCTTTCAAAATTTCCAAAAATTTCTCATCTAATCGAAGTTGGGTTTGTGACACTTTCTTGATTTTGTCAGCATACATTAACTTATCTAGTGTGACTCTTTTATTAATTTCTCAATTGTGTCACATAAAACTTGTTTAGAATGGCTTATTGTCATAGTTTGAAAAGTATCTTGTTCGATTTCTCAATATATATAGATACGGTTATTTAGTAAATATTGGAGTGTTATAGAGGGGTGAGACAATTATTGTTGTTACTGAGGTAGAGACTAAAGAGATGCATGTTATTTTGTGTTTGCTGACGAAGGTAGAAAAGATACTCAAAAATTAATATAGTAATAGCATATATAGAGGAAGGGGAGTGAGTGAGAAGAGAGAGAGAGAGAGAGAGAGAGAGAGAGGGAGAGGGGGGGTGGGATGGGATGGGTCGTTGTTTTGCACACTACACTCACACAAACAAGTGCCCTTTCCAAAATCTCACCACGTGGTCTTCTTCTCCTGCATGTCCTATTCATTACTTCTTGGGTTCCCCATACACTAACACATACACACACATACATATACATACATACATTCTACACTCTCTCTCTCTCTCTCTCTCTCTCTCTATTTAAACCCCCCATATCCCCTTCTTCCTCCTCCAACTTCAAACTACCCACTCTTCTCTGCTGCCTGCCTGCCTTACTGCATCTCTAATTGTAATATTAATAGTATTTCTTAATTCCATGGTGGCTGCTGCTGCTTCTTCTTCTTCTTTGGCATACGCACAGTCCTCTTCATGGCCGGGGGCCCAGCCATTCTCTTCTCCTTCCTCCTCCCAACTGGGCTTCCCTTCAAAATCCACCTCCATTTCCATCAGGAAGCCCACCAGGAGACCTCAAATCCAATGCGTCCTGCAGACGCCGGCGGTTTTCAATCACCCTTTCCCATCGCCGCCGCCGGAGGATCAGCTTCAGGTTCCGCCGCCGCCACCGCCACCGCCGCGCTGGAACTTCTTCCAGAGGGCCGCAGCGAAGACGCTCGACGCTGTCGAAGGCGCGTTGGTTTCACGCGAGAAGGTACACCCCCTCCCGAAAACCACCGACCCACGTGTCCAAATCGCCGGGAATTTCGCTCCGGTGCCGGAGCAGCCGGTGCGGTGCAACCTAGAGGTCAGCGGCGATATCCCGGACTGCATTAACGGCGTCTACGTCAGAAACGGCGCGAACCCTCTCCACGAGCCGGTTGGGGGCCACCACCTGTTTGACGGTGACGGCATGATCCACGCCGTCAGTTTTAACGGCGGGAATTCCGCAACCTACGCTTGTCGTTTCACGGAGACGCAGAGGCTCATCCAGGAGCGCAATTTGGGCAGACCCATCTTCCCCAAAGCCATCGGAGAGCTCCACGGCCACCTCGGCATCGCCCGCCTCCTCCTCTTCTACGCCCGCGGCCTCTTCGGCCTCGTCGATCACACCCAGGGAACCGGCGTCGCCAACGCCGGCCTCGTCTACTTCAACCGCCGCCTGCTCGCCATGTCCGAAGACGATATTCCTTACCAGGTCAGAATAAATCCCTCCGGCGACCTCGAAACCGTCGGGAGATACGACTTCGAGGAGCAATTGAAGAGCACGATGATTGCCCACCCCAAAATCGATCCCGTCTCAAAAGAGCTCTTCGCCCTCAGCTACGACGTTGTCCAGAAGCCATACCTCAAATACTTCAAATTCTCCGCCGCCGACGGCAAAAAATCGCCGGACGTCGAAATCCCCCTGGACGTGCCGACGATGATGCACGACTTCGCCATCACAGAGAATTTCGTGGTAATCCCTGATCAGCAAGTGGTGTTCAAGCTTCAGGAAATGGTTACCGGGGGGTCGCCCGTGGTATACGACAAGAACAAGAAATCGAGGTTTGGAATCTTGCCCAAGAACGCTCCAAACGCCAGAGATATTATATGGGTGGAGTGCGAGGACACTTTCTGCTTCCACTTGTGGAATTCTTGGGAGGAACCCGACACCGACGAGGTTGTTGTCATCGGGTCATGCATGACTCCACCCGACTCCATTTTCAACGAATGCGATGACAACCTCAAGAGCGTCCTCTCCGAAATCCGGCTCAATCTCAAAACCGGGCAGTCCAAGAAGCGGCCGATCATCCACCCCTCGGAACAGATCAATCTCGAGGCCGGGATGGTGAACCGCAACCGGCTCGGTCGGAAAACCCGGTTCGCGTACCTGGCAATTGCAGAGCCGTGGCCTAAAGTCTCCGGCTTCGCAAAGGTGGACCTCTCCACCGGCCACGTGGACAAATTCATCTACGGCGACCGGAGATACGGCGGGGAGCCGTTTTTCGTTCCACGGGACGGGAATTCCGACAGAGAAGACGATGGGTACATTCTGGCGTTCGTACACGACGAGTCGACGGAGAAATCAGAGCTGCTGATCGTAAATGCGATGACGCTGAAAGTTGAGGCCACTGTGAAACTCCCGTCGAGAGTGCCGTACGGATTCCATGGAACTTTCATTGCCTCCGACGACCTGCAAAATCAGGCCTGAAATAACCAATTAATTAATTAATTAATTGTAATTGATCATGTCTATACATTAATTACATATATGCATATATAGAGAGATTAGATACATAGATACATACAGGGTAGGTAGTTAGGTTGAGGATGATGTGCCTGAGGGAGACTGGTAGAGTTAGAGCACCATCGTCGTCCCCGACTCTCCTCTGCTTTCGATTTTGTTTATGTTTTAATCGTTTCATTAAGGAACCAAGCTTGTAGCTTTAGTTTAGGAACGTACTGTACAGTTAGTTTCAAGAGCTCAGCTGGTTTCTGTTTTTTTTTTTTAAAATTTATAAAAATGTATTTAAGGGTGTTGAGAGTTCATACTGTATCATCGATCCTTTTCTCTCTCTCTCTTTCAATGAATTGAATACAAGACACAAAAGTTGAATAGTTTTCTGACAAAGTATGTTTGTGTGTCCTGTCCTGTCCTGTCCGAGCAGGGCACATGAATTCCTCAACCATCTGCACTTTCTTCCTGCTCATTTAATTAATTAATTTATTTATTTATTAAAGATGCTTTCTTTAATTCATTCTTTCTGGGATTTTCGTTCGGATATGTAGTAGTCGTGGTAAATTAATAAGATAGATGGATCATACATAGGCACACATGGCATCTGGAATTCATATTACGAAACTGCTGTTTTTAAGTTCCAAGGCGTTGGATTTCGGCCAGGTTTTGTCTTTACTGAAATTAAGGATTAAGAAATGGAGTTTGGAATTATTGAGATAAGCTGAGTCACCCTGAAAATAATTCACATCAGACATGGGATCGACTGAGGACTGAATTGTTTATTACTACTACATACTTATTTTTATCATTAAAAATATATATATCCAACTTCTTTTTTTTTCTTTTCCCGATTGTAAGTAATAATAATCCAAATCTCTTTCTAATGTTCATCCATCTATCAAATGAGTGTTGAATTTAATTAAATTTTAAAAGCACGTGATCAGCATGCACAAAATTCAATTCTTACATGGAAATCGACTAACGCTTTTCATTCGATATCGTAAATAATAAAAAATAAAAATAATGAAAGTTGAATAGTTAAAACATGTCAGATTGTCCTATAATTTTCACGAAGAAAGGCGTTGAAGAAAAAGGTAAACAGTCGACCACACGCTTTTGTATAATTGTTGTATTTAAAAAAAAAAAAAAAAAAAAAAGTCTGCCCGAAATGAAGTTGTATGGCGATGGGCGGTAAGGAGTGCACAAGACGACAAAAACTGTGTTAGAATTTGTTTTGTGGAGGGAAATTAATATGTAGCTGCGAGCAATTGAGCGTAAACCTACCTACCTACCTGCGATTCAAATTTGAATGCATCCATTTAATCAAATTTTACGGTAAGAAATGTTCCTCAGATTGAATCTCCACCGCCCGATCAATGTGAATGCGATATCCTATAATCAATATATTAATTAATAATAAATAATTAATCAAAAAATAATTTGCCGCAGATTCAATGCTAGCCATAGCTTTAGTAAAAGATGTTTCTTGTCAGCGGCAGTCCACACACACACAAAAACAATTATTACAATTATTATTGTTTTTATTCCAACATGTTCTTTAGAAGAATACAAAAACAAACAAACACGGCCTTCAAATCAAACTGAGACTTGACAACGTTGCATCTAATCCAATTTCCAATGCAATTATTTAATTAATCAAACACATTCTGCCATTAAATCAAAATTCGAAGTCTAAATAGTAGTACATTGTTGTGTAATAAGTAACTAAATAAATAAATACTAGTAGTACAATTTAAGCATGATGTATTACGGACCAGGACCAACTTCCCGCAGAAATTAAGGATTTGGTGGGGCCGGGACTACGAAAACTGATTGCTCAACCGAAACGTATTATTATTATTATTAATAAAATTTAGGGACAGATGAGAAAACCCTAGCTAGAATATATGCGTATTATATATAGAGAGAGATGGATATCATAAAAGATATACATGTTACGATTCACCGAACTGATTTGTCAAGGACTGAAGTGATCACGTGAATATCACGCGGTGGAGCATGGTCCCGAGACCTGCCCACAAGAAACGATAGGGACTCCAATTCCAGTAGAATCCAAAAGAATTAATTCATCTCTATTTAATTATTTATTTACTATAAAATGGGTAAGGCGGAGTGTACTGGGCTGGTACCTGTAGGAATCCGACAATGGCCGTCATATGGGTTTGTTTTATTTTATTTCAATATCAAGATTAATACTGTCAAGTTTATAGTAGCATATAGTTTTCGGAAAAGTTATATTATTATTTTTATAAAATATTATATTTTTATATAAAATTCAAATTGATAAAATTAAAACCAAACAAATTTGTAGCCTCCTCGTAGCTAATTAATTACTATGAATACCATTTTACCTTAATCTTTATACATGTATATATATGTGGTGTGTGATGTAAGAATTATATTACTATTAATTATGTGGAAGAAAATAGAATAAATTAAAGTAAGTTGGAGGGACGTGTACAAAAGTCGCAAGTAATAGAAAGTGGCTAGTAGGGCTTGTGCATCATGATGTTCGTCACACTCCACAGATTTAGGGACCAACAAATATATATATATATATATATATTTATATGCGTGTGTAACGTACTTTATTTAATTTATTTTATAGTGAAATGCTGCTCTTCATCCATCTTCTACACTTGCAAGTGGAGCTGACAATGACCATATAAATTATTTATGTATATTCTTGAGGATGTTAAGGTTTTCAAGGTCAAAACATGTTAGGTCTTACTTTACCTATTAATGTTTAATTAATTAATTAATTAAAACTATGCGTGTAATAATTTAATTTATTAGTTAGTCTTCTAAACATGATGCATTTAATTTCAAGAACATTCTAATACATATCATGTCTTACACATACGCTTTAAAGGAGTTGAATTTATTATTACTTGTTTAATAATAAGTGGTCATAAATCTTATGCACTTTAGTTAGTTTACCTTTTTTAATGGCATAGGTAGCCTTAGCCTTTATTATCCAATTTTTAATTAATGACGATTGCTAAGCTAACTGATTGTGATTAATATTAAAAAGATGCTATCCTTAATGATAGGGTGGTTATCTGCTGATGAATACGCACACCTTTCAGGTAGCACAACATTAATTAATTAATTTATTTATTTATTACAGTGTGTGTAATTAATATTAATTAGAGCTAGAGAATGGAGTCAAAATCATACACCAACCAGATTGCATCGTCACGAGTGTCGACTGATATGATAATATTAATTTCCAACACCTTAATCAACTCAAAAGACAGATTCATTATTTAAAATCGAATTATATGATGTCTTGTCTCATCATAGCTTTCTACATGAATTGACTAATTTACAGTTTTCATATTTAAAAATAAAAATAGAAATGTGAGAATTGGAGAAGCTTTTCATTTGGTCAACGCGTTTGGTTTTGCTTTAGAGAAAAAGTTGCGTGATTCCTTAAATGTGAAGCAAGTCAACTAATATATACACACACTAGTGTGTAATAAATGTCAGCTGTGAGTTCAATGGTGGAGAAATAATTAATTAATTAATTCAAACTACGGGTGGTGACTCACTTTCGGAAAATTTTTTCGATTGAAAAAGAAATAATGGCTCATTGCACTAAGCAGAGAATGGTGGATAGCACTCGTAGAGTTCCATTTGTTTTGTTTAGGAGACAAGATGATAATTATTAAGCCCACTATGCAAGTTTTTACTCTTCACTCATAGTACTAATTAAGTGGAGGTCATTTAATTAATTAATTAATGATGCGATGGTAATTAATATAAAATGTTGTGGTCATTGGGTTGGGCCTGAATTTAGGGCCGACGTAAGATTGATTGTTCGGGCACAAGTATGTATACATGTATTATTATTATTATTATTATTATTATTTTAATGTTGGGTTCCTGGCATCTCGGAAGGAAAGCGGTTATATTTATGTGTTGGTGCATTGTAGTGCCACGTATGTATGTATGTGTATATGTGTGCTTTGTGGAAGAGGAAGAGGAAGAGGAAGAGGAATTAATGAGATCCGATATGGATATAATAATAATAATAATAATAATAATAATAATAATAATACGTGATGCAGAGGTACATGTGAGATTTGATCCAGCTGGTAGTCAACGTCTCATCTTATCCTGCAACAGAAACGCCAACAGAATTCAACTACGCAGCAACATTGATTCAGGGCTCATTACGAGTGTTGGACCAGATGCTGCGTATCACATTCATAATTTAATTTACTTTAATTTATAATATGGATAGCTATAGGAGGAGGATGTTATTTTATATGTTTAGTTTAGCGATGGATTGAGCATGGAAGCAGTCAGCGAATCACCAATCAGCGAGGTAGGCGATTATTGTTTAGTTTGAGATATATATATATTATATGGCCGTAACGAGTGACGTGGCGTGGATGTGGTGTTCAAAGTTCATGCATTGTTTTGTGGCTTAATGAAGTTGAACCAGATGCATGGACCGTGCTTGCTTGCTTACGATATATAAATGTGAAGCCGACAAGGAATGGTCAAAACTGTAAACCCATGCAGCTGCACGCACACACTGGGCATGTCCGTCCGTATGTATCTATCTATGTATTTGTGTGTCACGACGCACACGTACCACACGAGTTTATGGACTATTATTAAATATAATTACTTTGATATATCATGCCGTACGTCATGGCTGGCTCGCCATCGCCAACCATAACCACGCGGACACACACACACACACACACCCCATTCTTGCACGCATGCACCATTTTTTTAATTTTAATTAATTTTTAATAATAATAATAACAATCTTAACCTAGTTAGCTGCCTACCTACCTCATCAAATCCATATATATTTTTATTTATATGGTCATTCATTTTTATTATATGTATATATATCCATCCCAATTCACGGTTTCACACCATATACACTATATATATCATACAGATAGATACATGTGTGTGCGTGTGTCCTCTCGGAAATGTAAAAAGTACAAGTAGAATGAATTTGAAATTTACAATCAATTTTGAATATTTAAAGTCTATTGTATTGTCAAACCAACCTCAATTACACACCAATTTCCCAAATTTTATTGTCAATATTAAGAATCAGCCCACATACTAAGTAAATAAATATTACTCCATCCTAATTCAAATTTACACTCACTTTTTTTTTTTTAAGTAAAAAATTATTATATTTTTGTATTTTTTTTATTATAAAAGCAAAAAGTAACCATTATTACTCACTTTTATTAGAATTCGTGCTCAGTCAAATGAGCACACATTTGCATGACGGAGGGAGTATGTCCGAATACGAGTGTGAATGTGATCTCACAAGTTTCAGAGCCTATCCCCGATTCTTAATTTCCCTTTTTATTCTCCTAATTTAATACTTATTTGTAAAACACTAATATTATAAAATTTTACATTAAAAAAGAAAATGAATAAATTGAACGTGTACGTAAAAAGTATATTAGTTAATAAATTTTCTATAATCAGTAAATTAATTTCTTTATAACCATTATGATAAAGATAGATCATAGATAGATATAAGCCTATTATTTATAACAAAAGTGGTGTGCTTGGCTGTGGCATTGGCCCAACTTCCCACCTTTATATTTTTTTCCACTTAAAAAAAAATAAAAATTATTATATTAATTATTTTTTTATTCAAAACATTACATTCATACTTATCTCAATCAAATTTTTAATATTTTCAACTCCCACTCAAACCCACATCCAAACATATAACTACATTTTCCCTTTATTCACTCTATTTTGCGTGGGCTTCATTTGGGCCTAATTTATATGGACCCATTATTGTACTGACTAAACTTCTATTGGGCTTTTCAAAGACGGAAGGGATTGAATGGACCCAACCCAAATTGGAAGTAATGGTAAAATGTAAATCATTTAAGTATTAATTTCAAATTAATTATAATAAAATTATACTGATAAAATAGAAAATTAATCTGCTAAGGTAAAAAGTTGGATTAAAATTAAAATGATGAAAAAATACTAATAATAAATAAATAAAAAGATGAACAGCGAGATCGGAGTCAACTCGGTATGGAGATAGTCTATCTCCTGTGTTCCATCTTATCCGCTTGTATCTCCTCCGTCGTCCTGTCTCTACTCCTCCCATTTCGCTGCCTCCTCCGCCGTGTCTCCGCCTCCGATGACACTCGAAGTTTTATCACACTATACCAAGGCACGGTCTGGCACGAGCGTCGACGGCCTGTCCACCACTCATTCCAATACACCGTCCGCTATGCGCTCATTGACCTCGACGGCGCAATTCACGCGCCGCCCGACCACCTCTCCGCAGACGAGGCTCGTCGCACTGCTGAGACTAATGGACCGGTGTAATGTTCCGCTCTTCCTCTTTTTATTCATGTTGTGATTCTTTTCGGTGCTTGAATTTCTCTTCTATGATTAACATTTGCGAGTAGGAATTCTGATAAGGTTTAATTTCTTAAATTTGAAATTTATGTGCCTGTGATTTGGTTCCTATTGTCGCTCACAATTAGCGGTTCTTGTCAACGATTTTTCACCAGGTAGGTTTATTGATTTGGTTTGTAAATTAGCGGTGGTGTTCGAGTTCAATTTACACAATGCACAGCCCTATTGCATATATAGTCACAAGGAGTTTTAAAAATAAAGAACAAGAAACTCTAATTCCAACTCATCTATGACGCGACATCAGCTGATCTGCATTTTTGAATGAACGAATCACTTAATATAAAGGTTGCCGAGACTGCTGCAATGACATTTGTGATATACATATATATTCCATGTGTGAATTGAGGATGCTGTTGTGTGTTGACAATGCTCACGTTGTATCACACTGATTTCTTGATTGAATGATCAGTTTTTTGCTGACAATACCTCCCAGCGTGGGATATGAACAAAATCCTTTGAATCTGTACTATTGTTATGACATTGAAAGCTCTGGAAGAACTTTGAGGAAATGCATTGCTGAGGTGAGTTTGTTGCTTTTGAATTTCACTGTAAAATTCTCCTTCAGAATTTAAAGTAGAATGTCACATACATTTATTCTTGAACTGCTTGCTTAGTTTTGATTGCACTTTCACTTGATCAAGTAAACCAATTCCTCTTAGTTTTGATTTCTTGAACTAACGTAAGGTTACCAACACACCTTGGGGTGAAAGAGTGACATTTGTATTCAATCCAAAATCTGACTTTGTGCCGAAATCCTTACATGTCAGCCCTTTCATGGTGAGCCATCTTCGATTCCACTTTCAAAACAAGTTACGGATATTAGCCTTGGTAGTATTTAGTTATCTTCTTTTAGTACATATTCCCGGTAACAAATGCAGGATATGCTTGGGAACTGGAGCATGAAAGCTAGCGATCCGGGCGACAATTTGCATGTCGTAATATCAGTGCAACACCCTGAACTTGGTAACTACTTCACTGCATCATTGACAGCCAAAAGAGTCCCCCCTTCCTCTTCCACTATGGATCATTCACGATTCTTTTGGTTGATGCCCCATAGGGTAGCATTATGGATATATTGGCATGTAAGTTTCTTTCCTATCCTATTCCCGTGCTTTGATCTTACTACTTACGCCTGTATTATGTCGTAGCATTGATAAACTCGGGCGAGGGAAGGGGTGGCATTATATTTCCTGGTTTTTAGTGAAATGCAAAATTCTTGAGTTACCTATGGCTAATTGGCTTTTGCATTTGTATGTGTTTTTTTCTCGACCTCTTCTGCTGGCATAGGCTCTTAAGCTCTGGTGGAAGAACGTTGCGTTCATCCAGCACCCGAGATATGACAATCCAGCATACAGACAAGAAGCTTTACTACGGGACAAAAATATTCGACATTGCCCGTCATTTAGCAACGACACATCCCACAACCTTCGAGAACATGATAGTGAGAAGCCGCAGCCACGGTGCTTCACTTGGCAGGATGCTCCGTGGCCATGGTCCTGAAATAAATTGTCACCAAGAATCATAATCAGACATACTGTTGTATGTATGTATGTATGTATATGTATAGATCTTATCTTTGTTTGTGTAGCAGAGAGAGATCAAATGCTTATTGAAAATGTGACCAAACTATTGCATTCGTGTGCTGCAGAAACATGGAAACGTGCAGAGCCAAGTGTTTTCTTTTGTTTTTTTTCAGGAATGATCAAAACTCGACCAAACAAAGTTCTGGCTCAAAATCAACTTTATGTCCACTTTGTTAGGCAATAGTTACTGTTGCTGAATGGGAAAAAAACACATTTCTTGATTGAACTGTTTCACCTAACTAGCACCTATTAATTTCCATTCTATGGCTGGTTAATCTTTAGGAAAATGACAAATGTTGTGAATATTTGGAGTCTTTAGTATTATGTATGAAGCAAGTAATAAAATTGCAAAATTAAAACAGTATGGTCCAAACTCTTGTGCTGGAGAGGCTAATACGGCTGTGCCGTGCCCATTTAAAGCTTTCCATTATTATCCAAGTGCAAAACAGCTAATTGCCAATAAATACCACAATTTAAATTTAATTATAATTTTTAAAGTAACTGTGTTTAAACTTTTAAGAATATTTTTAAAAAAAAAAAAATAGAAAAGAAAAAGAGAGAGACACACGAACAGTTGAAAAGTATTTAATCACATGTAATAAAATTAAAATTAATAATAATTTAACAGTGTTGTCCCACTCACAGCCTCCCTTTCGTACGATAAGATGAGGAACGTTGTATCCTGCGCCAATTTTAGTGAAGAAAACAAACAAAAATAACTAATTAATAAACACGAGGTTATGATAATTAAAAGGATGGACCACTAGCGTCAATTCAATAATATAATCAACGGTCAATACTAAATATTAATTCGAATGAATGTATATATTTGTACTTCTAATTTCCCATGTTTTAATTGTAAAAATTATATATTTAAAAATAATAAATTTAATATATACTAATATTATATAAAAATAATTTTTTTATTTAAATATTACTGATACATCTACTTTTTTCATTCAAACATAAAAACACAATCTTAAAAATTGGTGATTTTTCTTTCAAATTTTGATTTTTTTTTTTTTTGTGAAAATTTGTAGTCATACTCAACAAGTGCCTTAACCCGGCAAACTAACTAGATTAGTTTGAATGTGATATATTGCAAAATAAAATAATATATTTTTATTAAAAAAAAAATTAACAATAAAAGTAATAAAAATATTTTTTTAAAATGAATAAAGTAGATTAGACTTATTCAAGGTTGGTAAACTAAAAAAATTAAGCCATATATAAATTTCAACCCCTTGTATTAGCAAATCAATTCAAAATTCAATTGCAAATCCTCAGTATTGTAAACTTTATTAAAATGGTAAATTAAATATTTTTATTTAATATTAAATTTGGTCTTAACCTAAAACAGATAAAATTAGTTTGGATTTATCCTCGAATTCAAAATAAATAAAATTTACTCATAATTAGAAAACAATACAAATAGGGCATACATTAATATCAAACGCTAAAGAACAACTCTACTTATATCCCATAATTACTATATACAGGTAAGGACCACTTTACCCTTGTAGGTATCAAAATTTATAAACTACTTGGTACTATGATGCATTTAATTGTTCCTGTAAGTCCATCTAAAATTCAAAATCCACGACTCGACATGGTAACACCATAAAAGGAAATTAAACAAATTCTGTAAAAAAGGAAAATAACGAAAATTGTATTATTATAAAAAACTATATAATAAAAAATAATAATGACAAAAAAAAAAAGATTACATATAGATTATATACACGTGTTTATGTTTTGGTAGTCAAAAATGATGAAAAAAAAAACATGTGAAAATAAAATAGTTGGGTTGGGCTCGTCGGGAAACTAGGAAAGATGACGGCACGTGCTTAATTTAATTGAAAATTTTCAATTGGCAAGAGGCGGTTGGGTTGGGACTCGTGCTACACGTGACGAAAAGAGAGGATTGAGACGCTGTCGTTTTGGGCTAAACTGTGGGTGGGGAGAGTTGGTGTCGTGTTTGAATTACTATATGATAGATACGGCGGCAGTTTCTCCTTTTCACACTTCGCTTCGTATATATATCCGACGGATCTCTCATTCGGCGCTTCATCACATTCTCTCTCATCGAAATTGGAAGAAAGTAGAGATGGCGAGAAACTGCAATTTGGAGCTTCGTCTGGTGACGCCTTCGGTTCATTTCCATTCCGCGGATTACAGTGCTTCCAGGTAATTAATTTGATCGCTCTCGCTCGTGACTTTGTGCGTTATTTGTGTTTCTAGGGTTAATTAAGTGCTGAATTGTGGATTTACTTTGGGAATGATTCTATTCAGGTCGGATATGGCGGATAGTAGTTCGAAGGAGGAGAAGCAGAAGCTTACGATATTCTACAATGGAAGAATCACCGCCTGCGATGTCACGGATCTTCAGGCTAGGGCAATTATACTGCTTGCAAACCGAGAAACGGAAGATGAGAAATCGATCGTCGAGGAGAAAACTTCGTCAACAACTGTGCAATCTCCAGGTTACAATCCGCCGAATGGTCTGTACATGAAGAGATCGCTGCAAAGATTCCTTCAGAAGAGGAAGAATAGAGCACAAGCTACATCTCCTTACTCACAATCCTCCCAATAGGATTGGGTAACAGATACGTTTGTTTTTACCAGAACTTTGATTTTGAGTGCTAAATGCTAATTGATTTGGAGACGAAATGGATTTAGAAAAAACAAAAAAGAGTTGCATTTACACCAAAAAGAGAAGATTTTGTACATCCGAATTCAGTTTAGATTGATCATATACATGTATACATTAAATTATACCTTCAAACAAATTGAATTGATTTTATTTCATTTATGATCATACACACATATACATATTTGTTTGCATAAGAGCATATCTCAGAAAATGCATAGCAATTGATGTACTACGCTGCTTCTAAATGCATCTTCTTCTCCATCTCATAATTTATTCGTCACACAATTCTTTCCAACCATGGATTTCTGCAACAATTTTCATGTTCCAACACCCTCCTATGGAAGGTAATCATAACAATTATTTCGACTACAATATATAAGTCCTACAACAATGTAGCCATGATCTGGTTCAAGAAGAATCCAGACAATCTAAAGACGTGCCCACGCATGTGTGTCCCAAGGTGCCACAACATGGCGACGTGAAATCTCCGCAATCGACCGGCACCCGCTCAGCGCCATAGTCAGCTCAAATTCGTTGCGCAGCATCTCGAGAACTTTTCTTACACCGGCTTCCCCATCGGCCGCTAATGCAAACAGAACAGGCCGCCCAATCTGCATTTTTGAAAATACAGTTCAGACAACACATGAACAACAAACCTGTACGAGGAAATGTCGATTACAATTCTTCACACTTACAAATACACCCGATGCTCCGAGGGCTAATGCCTTGAAGACGTCTGTTCCGCGCCTAATCCCACCATCCAAGAACACCGGAACTCTCCCCTCTACAGCTTTCACAACCTGAAAATTTACAAAATATTACCATGTCTGCATCAGGGCATGAAATAAGTTTCTCCCGAGGATTCGAGGTAGTAAGAATGAACAAAACCTCCTCCAAGGCTACTATGGTTGCAGGAACATAGTCAAGTTGGCGAGCACCGTGATTCGACACGATAATCCCCGCTGCGCCAGCTTGTACGGCCAAATGAGCTAATATAATGGATGTAATAACAAAACAAAATTATTACAGAACCAAGTAGTATGCTTATTTCAACACTCAGGTGCCTACCGTCCTCGGCAGTTAGCACGCCCTTGACAAGAATTGGCAATTTAGTGATGGACTGAAGCCACTTTATATCCTGTCCAAGTACCACAAATTAAGTTCTTAAAATTTACCAACAAGAAATACACGAGACTCATTTAGAACGAATGGAACAATGTCGTTGCCTTCCAGTTAAGAGACCGGTCGATCTGTTCAGAAACATATGCAGCGAGTCCAGAGTCATTGGCCTACAGTCGGACAACCATGGGACATCCTTAGTAGAATGAAAATAGAACGGCGAAAGAACTACAAATCGGACAATAAAGACTATGTTTCTTGTAAGGGACATTAAGATCAAAGATAGGATTCAGTGTAATTAGGATTGGAAATACTCTTATTTAGTAAGTTAGGTTAAAGGTACTCACTGAATCTATTGTGCCAAGATCTAAGCCCTCATAATTCTTCAATGTCAAGTTCGATGGCAGCACAAATCTGTTGCATTTATATGTATATGTATATATAATGTATATATATATGTGTGTGTGTGTGTGTTAATTCTTAGTTGGAACCTAGATTAGTCGAATACTTTAGCCATAGTTTACCTGTTCTTGATATCAGCTTCTCTTCGGCCTAGCCTTGGAGTGTCGACAGTCAGAGCAATTGCCTTGAAACCAGCACGTTCAGCTCTTTTCACTACCTGCTGAACTACGCTTCTATCCTTGAAAACCTAAACAAAGGACATTCTTGGATTAGAAGTAGTTTATACAAATTACAAACGTTGTATTTGTGTTAGAACACATAGCATAAATCCTGACTCACATAAAGCTGAAAGAATCGAGTGCCTGGTCCGGTTGATGCAACCTCTTCGACACTGCTTGTGGCCCATGAGGATAATGTCTAGACAGCCAATCAAGCTTCGGATTAAATAGGATTGTTGTGGATAAAACAAAAAAGACTTGAGAAAAACAAAAAGGTTAACCATGATAGTGCCGGCTGCTGATGCTGCCCTTGCCGTGGCAAGCTCCCCTGAACAAATGTGGCCATTCAAGTTCAAATCGAGCTAAACCAATTCAATCGAGGGGGAACTAAGTTGTCCGAACCAAATGTGTAACAACAATACTAGGCCGATTTAAGAAGACGAACTAAAACTGTTTCTACATATTAGGACCCGATCGTGTAATAAAAGAATGTTGTTTGTCAAGAACTTATCATTGCTCAATATCCTTTAAATTAAAATCTAAACCAACTTTAAAACAATCTTGGATCATAGTACTAAATAACTAACTTAATGTAAGAAATATGTTGTACAAAAGCTTCTATATACCTTCAGGATGTGCCATTTTCTGCATAGCTGTTGGAGCAACCATGATTGGCATTGAGATCTTGAAGCCCATTATGGTTGTGGATAAATCAACGTTGCTCACATCGACCAATATACGAGGCCGAAACCTGCGTCGTCGTTGACAAATTTAGAACACATACATAAATCAATTAAAGAAAAGGACACTGGAATCAAAACAAAACACCATCTTGCCAGAAATGTATTTTGACTTAAAAAGTTAATTTGATTCGGCGGAAAAGGGTTATCTTCTTGCAATTCACAGTGCCGTAATAAATCAACAAGTTTGTGGTGACTCGTTAGTTACAGTATTCTTGAAAAGGCATTCCGATTCTCTTGGAGAGTCCACTGGTCCTCTGCTCCAGATGCATAGTAATCGTACACCATCTTCGGCAGCTTCTCTCTTGCAGCAGCCTCGTACTCTATAACATTCGTAATGCTGTCCATTCTTACAGAAGACATGGCTGCCTCGGCACAAATCTGGTTATCATTCAAAAACAATCGAGGATGAGCATAGATTAGAAAAAGGGTTAAAAATGGATTCTTTTAAACGCACAGTCAATGATAATTTCTGCAGAGACGAAAAGGGTTCGGAGATCATAATCATGGGATCATCGAAGCACACAAAGTAGAAACGAGAGTACAATCGTTTGACCAAGCAATCATTAGAGTAATCGAAAAGATTTACGAGATTGCAGGAATGGATTGGAACGAACCTATTGCGATTTGCGAGCGGCGGCGGGGCGAAGGGCTTCAAGAATCGGGAGGAGGGTGACAGAGAGAGAGCGACGGAGGAGTTCAGAAATGAGACGCAAATACAAAACTGAAAAACAAAAAAAAAACAATTTGTTGATATGTAAACGAGAATACTGTTATGGAAAATGAATAGCAGTAATAATAAATAGCTCATATAGTCATACTCGTCAAGGTTGTCCTTATCGGTTCGGCCACACTTTTCCATTTTTGTTTGTTTTCAACAGAAATAATAGTAATAATAATAATAACAATAATAATAATAATTTGGCGAGTGGGCTATGCTTTTGGTTCGCCTAGTTAATAATGGATTTACAATTACATGGGTAATTAATAAGGGCTTGCGGCTTTACAACTGAAAATATAAAAGTAAAAATGTAGGGGATTAGGTTTGTTTGGGTAGAGTCTAAAATCGAATTTTTAATTTAAATTTTTACTTAAAGTAATATTTTGATATAATATATTTATAATTTTACTAAAAATCAGGCAATTAAATAATGTAATTATAAATTTAAAATTCAAAACAAACTCATACCATTGGTGAATTTTTTATGTCCAATTCTTTGTAGTAAACCCAGAAATAGAAAAATATATAATACTTTTAAAAATTAAATTTAAAAGAAAAATGTCCCAATGTATATAATGGGCTGCACATGTATTTATATTCGTGTACTAGTCTACTGGGCTTGCCCTTCAATTATTGATGAAAATAAACATATTCACGAAGAATTGTACTTCTATAAATGATTTAAATGATAAATACAGAAAATATTGCAAGTATAATATCATATTATATTGATTAAGGAGTTTGTGCAAGACAAAAAAAAAAGAAAAAGAAACAACACTTTGGATTTAATAAGGTAATGAGTGAAGTGTGTGATGGTATTTTAGTTCATAAAAGCAATTATAAAAATAAATCAATAATTGAGTGGAATCATATAAATTACAAATAAAAAAAAATTATTTAAAGAGGAGATAAACTCAAATGTAAAATATACCTTGTGTAGCTGTAAATCGTCTATTTAATATATTTATAAGAAAATACTACAGTATAGTATAGACTTAAGGTCGGGAATATGTAATAAATGAGAGTTAGGTAGAGTTTACATGTACGTGTGTTTGATTGGGAGTTTGAATTTTGAGTTGAGATTTGAATTTTTGAATTTGAATATTCGTAGTATGATGTGATATAAATAGCTATTCACTTGATATTTTGGATGTAAAATTGATTTTTAATATAATATAAAAAATAAAAAATAAATATTTAATTTAATATTTAAAAAAAAAAAATGATAAATAATGTATTTATAGCTCAAGACACTTATGATTTGAAAGCAGATATGGCAAATAATGCATTTAATGAACTATGCCTATGATTCACAGTTCAGAAGCCAAGGCACCGTTTTCAGTACTTATTTAATGAAAGTATGACATATCATATAAAAGTAATTTAATAAGAAAATTTATTATTTCATTCGTGCATCGCATATATATATATATATAGATATGTTTATATTTTTATTTGTTAAAAAGATATATATTTTTAATTTATATATGATAATTATTTAACATTCTATTAGTTATAAATAATATATATAATTTCATTTAACTCACTATATTGAGAATCCATCATTGTTATACATAAAGATTTGATTTTTATTTATGAGATTTTAGGTCATGAAAAAATTGACACATAAGAAAAGGGACCCTAGCTGGCTGATCAGTGATCAGGCGGGGCGTGCCATAACACACTGTGTTTTACTGTACTGTACTGTACTACTACTGCTACAATATAGATAGGCTCAGACCACTTTCGTTGCTGCTTTTTCATTACAAGGTTTAGTCTCTGTCATCAGTTAATACGACATTTCATGCTTTGTGTTCTCAAATCCCACAATTTTCAAAAGCTGCCCAAACAAATTACAGTAGTAACAATCTCTGATGTGACCCAATTCCACAGCCTTATAAGAAAATTGCCCAGATACAAAAAACGACAACACATTAACTGAAGGTATTATCTAATCAATACAAATAAATAAATATATACTGTACGCATTTAATTAATTAATTGTATATAATCACGACCCATACTCGAATTCTATCGAACTGAACCACTTCCAGTTGAGTTTCACATATTTGCGACTGCAACTTTCTGTACTTTAAATCTGAATTTGACCCATGAATGAATATAGGTTTCGGCAAGCATCAATTCCCAAAGAACAAAAACTGAATTTCAAGAAAGAAGAAAATCCTCATTCCTCGAAAACATAACAAACAGTACTATTACCACAGACCCCTTTTTTTCTTTTTCTTTTTTTAAAAAAAAAAAAATTGTCACGAGCTAAAGAACAAACAAGAAGAGGCCGATCATTGCTGCGACAGGGAAAAGAATTATGATCTTCTTCTCATCATCATCGTCGAAAGTGTGGGCACTGCTGCTGGAGCTTTTGTTCCCTCTGCATAGCGTTGCCGGCTTGTTCTTGTTCTTGTTCTTGTTCTTGTCTGCCAATGTCGTCGGAATTTCTGCGCTCGGACAAGGAGGGAGCTGCAAGAATCTGCCAGGATTTGGATTGCTCATCGCCGATTGTTGTCTACTGCATAAATTGTCGTTTTCCCTGACGTCGAGCCTGTTGCCGAGCCTGCTTATGAAATCACCTGGAAACAATATCTCGCCGGCGAGATGGTTGCTGCTTAAGTTGAGCGCGTTCAGACGAGGCAGCGTCGCTAATTCCGGCGGGACACTGCCGCTCAGGTGGTTGCCTTCCAGCGACAGCGCCGTTAGGTTTTTCAGATTCGACAGCCTGCTCGAGATCGGACCTGTTAAACCGCACCTGGAAAAAGTCAACACGCTGAGCTCGGACATCGACGGGATGAACGACGGGATGGTTGAATTCAACGGGTTGCTCTCCATTACAAGGTACTGCAGTTGCTGCAAACCCGACAGGGTTTCGGGGATCGGGCCTGTTAGAGAATTGTGACTGAAATCCAGCAGAACTAATCTTTTCAATTTCCCCACCTCGTCGGGGAGTCTTCCCTGAAGTTTGTTGGAGCTTAAATCGAGCTTTTTGAGGAATTTGAGGTCCCCAATTGAAGATGGGATAAGGCCTTGTAATGAATTCCAGCTGACGTCGAGAATGCCGAGGTTTTCCAGGCTGCCAATTTCTCCGGGGACAGGACCCGTCAGGTTATTGTGGCTCAGATCGAGCTGCTGCAAGTTCACCAGGGCCCCGATTTCTCCAGGGATTTCGCCGGTCAGATTGTTCTGCGACAGGCAGAGCGTTTTGAGGTTGACGAGGTTGGACATGGCGAAAGGGATCGGTCCCGACAGGCTTGGATTCGATTCGAGGGCCAAATGTTCTAGAAACGACAGGGCTCCAAGAACTTTAGGAATGGCCAACGAAACAGGCGAAGTGGTGAAACAGTTCATGAGGGATAGGGTTTTCAGGTAGGGCAATTTGAGGATCGAGTCGGATATTCCGGCTGAATCTTTACAGGGCGGGGAGATGACATCTGTTCCGACATGAATCTTGGTGACGTGGAACACAGATGTGTCTTCCGCGAGCTCACACTCGACCCCCGGCCATGGCGTGTCCGTACACGGCGAAGGATGCATTTGGGCCCAACTGGGATCGTCGAGAAGCGAGCCCATTACCTCGAAAAGCCCCGACAGCTCCTCCTCTTCCATTTCTCCATTTCCGCCGTCGTCATAGCAAAACCCTCCTCCGAAAATCAGCACAACCTGCAGAATTAGAACTACAACGAACTTCAAAAAAGCACAGCCCATGTCATAAAGAAGACAATCAAGTACTACTATTGTTGTTGTTTCTTGCAGGGAATGAAGGAGTGATCGATCAGATATCCATACCATACATATACATATCAGTAACTGCTGAGTAATGTAATGAGTAGAGTGGAATATACATATGTATATATAGTACTGAGAGAATATATGGAGAGGAGAGGGGAATGAATGGGGCGAGCAAATAAACACAATTGTTGTTGTAGTGTGGCAAAAGACGATTGACTGTCAGAACAGCAGTCAAAATTAAAAATGTTGTTCAAAATAACAGCAGCAGCATCTGCATCTGTAGATTATATGTAATGGTGTGTTGTAATATGATGGGACTTGGCCTCTGCTGTGTTTCTCAACCTCATCTCATCACCATATGTATATATATATATATATATGTATGTACAGATAATAGATCTCTTTGACATTGACATCTACTTCGACATACCTTTCCTTTTGCCATTTCTCTGATTAGTTACTTAACGGATGTTTTTACCTTTTTTTTTAAACAAAAAAAAAATAAATAAATAAAATTATTACATCAAGAACAGGCTTAGCCCGAATTTCGAACCCATGGCCCAACCCGATCCCCTTTCATGAATCCGGCGCGCTCAATCTACTTTCTTGGGCCCAAGCCCAATAAGACTAGTCAAAGGCCTACACGCAATTTAAATTCATAATTCTTCTAAAAAATTAGTTGGAATTTATTTATACCCAAATTGATGAGTGAGTAAATGGATATTCCAATGTCGCAAGCAATACCTCATTAATTCGACCATATATGTTGCCACATAACCCCATTCCCGATTTTAAAAATTTCCTCCCATTCACGATACTGTGACATCGGACAAATTTATACCAAGAATCTTTAAAATTAAAAGTAATGGAGCAATCATCCCGTAATTATTGCAACTGAAGTTGTAAAACATAAATAATAATAATAAATAGAGGTGTCCCAATTGCGTGGGTTTCCTAATCATTCTTTAATATGGCGACAATGATTGGTGTCACACGTGGTAAAGGTCCAATGGGCCTTGTAGTATGATTGGGCCGCCACGTCACCGCCCACCGTGTACTGTAATAAATTCACATGCGTACACTTGTTAGACAAGAAAACACACACACTTATATTTGGGAGGTCCACTTCGAGATTTTAGTGAAAATCACAGGTGAAGAAAAATACTAAAAGAGATAAACATTGGTACACTGTTGCAATGATTATGCAATCACGGAAAATTTTATTAATTTTGTATTTTTAATTCCATTATTGATTCTTGATTAATGACGATGTAAGAAAGGAGGTACGGGAGTTGTTGGAGGGTCCCGGAGTATATTCCCACGTGGATATGTTCTAGTACCTGGTCCTGGACTTCCTGGCCGGCGCTATATAAGCAGCTTGCAGCTCACATCGTAAAGCCTAAAAAAAATAAAAAAATAAATAACCTGGAAATTTCTCCAAGGATTGATAATGGCAGTGCCGTTATTACATCGGGAGAAGAGTGAGATGACGATGAGTTCGAATTCTCTGGATTTGGAGAAGTTAAGGAAGAATCAGAGGATTAATCATTATCCCTGTCTGAAATCCATTTGGGCAGTTCTATTTTCCATTTTTATTTATTTTTCCATATTTTACGTCTTCAACCTCTCGCCGTCGTCCGTCGTGTCGACGACTGGGTTCTGGTTTTTCATATCGAACACGCTCGTCGTCATCATCATATCGACGGATCTCAGCGCCTTCTTGAAAACAGCAACCTCGACGGGACAGGACGGATTGTACGATGAATATGCAAAGAACGATGTCGGCCATGCAAGAGCAATTCCCGGCGCACCGGCGCCGCCGTCTGTTCCCACTTCCCGGCGGATTATGACGATTCCGGCGGTTCCGGAAGAGGAAGAAGTGCATGAGAAGGTCATAGACATGGACGGCGGCGGGGACAATAATCAGCGAGCCTTGGAAATATACACACCTCGAATTCCCACGGCGGCGCCGCCCGATTTGAGGGATGACCGGCCGGCGGCCGATCAGATTACTGAGCCGCCGGAGAAGAGAAGGAAGAAACATGAAGGGATTAAATGCGCTCGGAGCTATTCGGACAAGGCCGCCCTGATGGCGGCGGTGGAGGAAAACGAGGAAAGAATGGTCCTGCAGCGGACACTGTCGGAAAGACATGAAACGCCGCCGGCAACTCCGCCGGAGGAAAACGAGTTATCAAACATTAGCAATGAAGAACTGAACAGGAGAGTTGAGGAATTCATCAGGAGATTCAACAGGCAGATCAGGCTTCAAGCTGCCACGACCCGACACAGCTCAGCGTCGGAAATTCATTAATTTCCGAGCCTCGCCGGCGCCGTTTTGTCTTGATGCTGTTTTCGAGTCCTCCTAGAAACAGTAGCCGTTGCAGAGTTTATGATAATTATATTAGTATATTACTATATATTTAGGTCGTATAATTATTTAGGATGTGATATATATAAATTCCGATGCTACTGTAATTACAACATAATAAAACCATATACATAATTAAAGTATGCTTAAAATGCCATTAATTAATATAAATAAGATCAATGAGGCAGAAAAAAACAAAAAAGTTAAAATTCAATTAGCCTGTATAAAGCCAGAGTGGGCCTGGCCCATCTTGTAGGTGAGAGAGCTGGCTCGGCTCGTAAAAGCCCAAAGGGAGAATTAAAAAATAATGTTTTTTCTTTTTTTCTAAATGAAAAGGGCTGTGTGGGGGTCACGTGCCGTCGGTGTGCCTAAAAACCGAGGGGATGCCTTTATCCACTCAAGCTCAGTCCAAACTAACTACAGCAATGGCGAAGCCGGGAGTTTTGACGTGTGTACAATCTCCAATCCGACCTCGTCGATCTCTCTATACGTCTGCTTGTTCGAATTCGGAAAACGCCCTTAGCTGTACACGGCGGAAATCTCTAATTTTCTTTGCTTCTTCTCTGCTGGCCTCATCTGCGCCCTTTCCCCATGCGCCAAGTCTCTCTTGTTTTCTATCACCTTCCATTGCCCAGGAGGTGGACGAGCTTGATCAGGAAGAAACTCGTGTGGTTCGAATTTTCCAGGTTTTGCGAATTTAGCTTGAAATTTAAAGCTGACCGGAGTTTTGATTGCAGGATGATAGGATTATACAATGTTGGAAGTTTTCGAGTATCACTTTGGTTATTGCAGTGTCAATTACAGAACTCATATTTTGTGCATATGATTGCTTCATTTGCGACTAAATATATTTGTCTTGGGGGCTTAGTGTTTCTTGATAATTTTGATCGAAATTGCTTGCTGATGACCTTAAGCAAACCATCTTACTGATCACAAAACAATTTTCTTGATTATGCACCAATTTTTTATTTCCATTTATCTATATTTGCCACAAAAATTTGAAAATCTGGAAGGGTTAAAGACAGCATATGGAATTCGTGATCTATTACACTGACCAATTGTTTGGCACCATATCTTGACAATGATAGACTTTTGATCTCTACTGATCAGGTTAATCTTTTGTTACTTGATGTTAGTGCTGTATCAACTGTGACTCAACTTTGTTTGTCTTGTAGGAAACATCATCCTCTGTTGTTTACATCAAGGACTTTGCATTATCTAGCATCCCTCAAAGCACTTCAGAAATTGGTCTGGATGAAGAAGATAATGGAAAAGTTGAAGGGTCTGGTTCTGGTTTTATTTGGGATGAATTCGGTCACATTGTACGTTACACACATCGTTTCAACGAAATATCGTATATGAACATTTTCAAATTACACACACAATAAGTTATTTGTCTTAACTAATATCATTTTTGTTTTTTAAATCTTGAGCCATTTTTCATTAAAATAATCAAATTGACCTTATAAAGCTTCTGGATAAAGTATGCTGATTTATTATGTGTAGGCTATATTTATATTTTTCTCTCATAATTGATGGAAGTTCCTCAAGTTGGGCTTCTAAGCAACATTTTCATATTTCTTGCTAGAATAACAATTGTTTGTCTTAGTGAGATTGTTTTGTTTACTCTTGTTTTTATTGAACAGGTTACTAATTACCATGTAATTTCCAAATTAGCAACTGATACAAGTGGCTTACATCGTTGTAAGGTTCAGTTTATGCATTTTTACACATTGGTTGCCTAGCAACAGTAAATGCTTTCCATTTTTAATGTCCATGGATGTGTTTTTTCAGATTCTTTTTTTTGGGGTATATCTTTGTTTTCTTTCAGGTATCTTTTGTTGATTCTCAAGGCAGCAACATAACTTCAAATGCCAAGATAGTTGGTTACGATCCTGACTATGATCTGGCCGTTCTTAAGGTGCTAATAGGCAAATCAGACTACTTATCTTCCTGGTGTGTGATAGGCATCTACTCATCTAGCAATCTTATTGTTTGTAATAAGAAAATTTAAAGGTTTTTATTCTCATGTATGTAATGTAACACAATTACTTATTTTCAAACTGGCTAATTGTGTACTTATTCCATGTCTTCTGAGCTTTGTTTATCCAATTCTTGTTTTAGGTTGATGCCGTTGGAATTGAATTGAAGCCTGTGGCTATTGGGAAATCGCATGCCCTTCGAGTGGGACAGAGCTGCTTCGCTATCGGAAATCCATATGGATATGAAAACACTCTAACCACCGGGGTAAGTTCATGGGATTAATGGATCCAACTGTAATTTCCCTATAGTTTGTTTTGTCTCCAACTGATTGATACCAGATTTACTTGCAAATGCAAGAAAAAAAGGCATTGTCTTGAGAGAATGTAATTTGCAATCCTTTTGTAACTGATATAGTCACCTGACTCGATTTACTGTAGATCATCAGCGGATTGGGCAGAGAGATCCCCTCGCCAAATGGAAGAGCCATTCGTGGAGCCATCCAAACGGATGCTTCTATAAACGCTGGCAATTCTAATTAAAACCCCTTGTAGATTAGATTAATCGATGTTTCTGATGTATCTGTTGTTTGATGCTTGCTTATTATTGCAGGGAATTCTGGCGGGCCGTTGATCGATTCGTATGGTCATGTGATTGGAGTTAATACAGCTACATTCACTCGCAAAGGTGAATTGCCCTTTTGATTCTCCTTACTCAGATCTTTTCGATTCTTGTTTGTTCATATAATCTCTTTCTTGTTTTCTCACAGGCAGTGGAATGTCTTCTGGCGTGAACTTCGCAATACCAATTGACACTGTTGTTCGCGCCGTGCCTTACCTTATTGTGTATGGAACTCCATATTCGAATCGCTATTGAAAAGCATGCCAAAGACACCTATTCACGGGGACTGGTTTTGTATGTGAAATCCACTTGCGGGTACTATTAACTTCAATAGTGTCTTTTTTTAGGTTTACATATGCAAGTGTTGATTTAATCATTGGTCTGTATCAGATGCATATGTATATATTAGCTCTTGTTATCTAATGTTGTGCTCATGCAAAGCATATGTTTGTCAAGGCAAAATCTTTGACACAATTGTCTAAACAGGGGAAAAATGCTTATGAAATTTATACATCACCAGTCAAGATTTACTTTTTACTGCTGCATCGTTTGCACTTTTAGGTTGAGAAGAGCTAGCTGTTCGTCCACAGAGCAATCCACATGGCAAGACATTCGACACGAGGATGGGATCAAAATGAGACCGACACCTCTATGATCCATCGGGGAAGGACATGTTCTTCTAGTGTTGCGATACTCAATGGCATCCTGAAGAATTATGTTCCCCTGTTTGTCCATGCAATAAAAATTGCCGACAAAGAAGCGCCCGTCTTTGATTCCAACCAGCATTCGCCGATGGATCAGCTTCTTTACCTGCGCCACATATGGCGCAATTTCAGGCTCCAACGCATCCGAGTTTTCCAGTTTGCTTGATGATGCTCCAGCTTCTTCTTGAACGTTATTCATCTCTCCTGTGGATGAAAACCAGAGAAATTTGGCATCAAGTGGAAAAATGTTTCATTTGTCAGTTGCAAATGCAGAAATTTGGAGAAGACTGAGCTGCCTGTGCATTCAATGTACATAAAGGAATATGTCAAGAGGTCTTATTATCTGAAGAAAGCAGATAAAGATGATGAAAAGATCATGCTGTCTGCATTTCACCGAATCAACACAGATTTAAAAGTATAGTCCTTGATCCTTAAAAAAACATACACATGTATGTATCTAATTGTCCGTCTTCCCCAGCCTAGGCAATAAACCTCGATCAAGGATAGATTTCCAGGCAGAAAACGGAAAAGAACGCATGTGAAAAGAGAAAGAACACTAGCGGCAATGGAAACTCAGCAGGGAAACACTCAAACCTCGGAGAATCTCGAAATTAAATGCCTTCAGCGTCGGAATTGTGGATAACTCACTCACCGGCTAAGCTCTTCGGGCTACAGTGTGAATTGGTTGCAGCTTCCAACTTCAAGAGCGGATCTCACGCGAAGCAGCCATTGTTAGGTTTTCGACTATCGATCGATTGGATTGGGATGAACGTCTACAGTGCATATGTTTATGGGCCGAACGTAAGTGTTGGGCCTATGTTCAGCTTGATCCGTTTGTATTTGATGAACAATGTTTAACCCAAATAAGTAGGGTCGGATCGGATCGGGTCTGATATTAGGGTCGTCTTCTGATACCGACAGCAGCACCTTTGCACCCGACTGGTCATTTGTCTCAAATCTGCTGTGGCCGGCGTTGTACTCACCGTAGGGTGTACCGGTGGGCGATTGGATAGCTTCGTGGTACGTCTAGCAGTTATTGGTACACTTTATTGAATCTTTGGAAATTATATTTGACGGGATTTACTTCTATTGAGTACGATTGTTGATTTAGGGTTTTTGTGGCGGACTGTCGTTTGCGTAATTTGTTCTTTATCTTTCCTTGCTTCCTTTTTTGGTTGCTTTCTTTTCACTTTTGGTGTGTATGGAGTAGATCACGGCCGTATTGTTGTTGCATCTATGGTTTGTTAATTTTCTTTTTAAATCTATCACAAGCTTATGCAAAATTCTTCCTTTTTTTCCTGCCTAATGTGATAAGTTTATGGTCTTGGTTGTAGAATTGTTACGGAATAATTAGTAGTGGTCATGTTAGAGTATTCATTCTTATGTGGGTTGTGTGTGTGCGTACTTGTTGACACTGACATGTTTTTAGAGCGGCGGGTGGTTCTGCCTGTGCTTGATCTTAATTCTGACATTTTAAATTGGCTTCAGGGGAAAATTTGTTAGGTATCAAGATGGGCGAAAGTGGGAAGCGCTCACGCTCACATCGGGATGACTCAGACAGCAAAAACCAGAAGAGGAGAACTTATAGGGAAAAGGACAGAGATGAAAGGGGAAGTGATGAACTCGTTGTGTTCAGGATTCTCTGCCCTGATAGTGTTATTGGGAGTGTGATTGGAAAGAGTGGGAAAGTGATTAATTCAATTCGTCAGGAATCAAGGGCAAAGGTCAAGGTAGTTGATCCATTTCCAGGTTCTAAAGATAGAGTTATCATTGTGTACTGCTATGTCAAGGACAAGGATGATATTGAGATTGATGATGAATTTAATGATAGCAAACCTCTTTGTCCTGCGCAAGATGCACTCCTTAAGGTACATGCAGCAATTGCTAATGCTGTTGCTGTACTTGAAGAACCTGAAAGACAAAAGAGAAATAAAGCTGATGAGGAATGCAAGCTTCTTGTTCCATCTAGCCAATCTGCCAACATTATTGGCAAATATGGTGCAACCATTAAAAAGCTAAGAAACAAGACTAGGACGCATATCAAAGTTATTCCCAAGGATGCCAGTGATCACACTCATTCCTGTGCCTTGGAGTTTGACAATTTCATCCTGGTCTGCACATTTGAATTCGAGCATAATTAGAAGTTGATTTATTATTTTCTGTACAATAATATGTTCTCTACTATTTCTTTGTTATGATCTTATAAATGTTCTTCTTGCCTTAACTGACAATACCTGATTTAACATTGATAGATATCTGGTGGCTCAGAGGCTGTCAAGAAAGCACTCTTTGCTGTTTCCACAATTATGTACAAGATTGCACCCAAGGAAAGCATACCCCTAGACACGTCCATCCCAGAAGCACCACCTAGCATCATCATACCATCAGACCTTCCCATATATCCTGCCACTGGACTTTATCCAAGTGTAGATGCTGTTAACCCTGCTAGACCAGTTTCTTCGATGTTAGGTCCTTCACATGCACCAGACATACCGGGTTATACAGATGCTGGGAGCACATGGCCTATGTATTCATCAGCTCTTCCAGTGGTGTCTGGTTATGGTGGTTCATCAAGGTCCAAAGAATTAATTATAAAAATTTTGTGCCCATCCAACAAGATTGGCCGTGTTATTGGAAAAGGTGGAAGTTCCATTAAGAACATAAGGCAAGAGAGTGGTGCTCGTATTGAGGTTGACGATCCCAAGGGCAATCATAAGGAGTGTATTGTTTCTGTGCTCTCAACAGAGGTAATTCTATAACTCTTACAGATATATCTATGGCATGGATAGACTTTTGTAGATTTCTATAGCTACTATGTGTTTACTTTGCTTGTGTAGGTCTGTATAGCAGTTATAATTATAGTAATTGATATCACACATTTTCCTATGTTGCAAAGATGATTCCCTTATTAAGGCACGGAATATATGTACTAGTCCCTTCATATGAATGTATGTTTGAGTTAGATAAATTTATTTGTGCTCTTGATGGTTCCTTTTAAAGATTATGGAGGAAAACATATGGACTTGGTTAACTGCATTCTGCTATTTTAAGCTACTAACTTGTTTGGCAGTAGTACGTTCCAGTTATTACCACACGGCATGTGTATTGTGAGTCTTGTATAGTTATATGATTAACATAATTCTTGATTCAGTTACCTGATTTTCATTTTCTGCATGTCAATTTCTTGAATTTTTTTACTAATTTTGTATAGTGACCTTGCACAATTCACCTAGTTTGACTTGTGTTTTGGCAGTCCCCCGATGATTTGAAATCCATGGCGGTTGAAGCTGTGTTGTTGTTACAAGTAAAAATAAATGATGGAGAGGATGACCACGTGGCTATGCGACTTCTGGTCCCATCAAAGGTTATTGGTTGTATCATTGGGAAAAGTGGTTCTATTATCAATGAAATGAGAAAAAGAACTAAAGCTGATATACGGATTTCGAAAGGCGAGAAACCAAAATGTGCTGATGAAAGTGATGAACTTGTGGAGGTCTCTATAATTTGATATATGCTGCTATTTGATAGTACATATCCAATATTGGATACCTTATGCATTTGAAATGGATGTTTTGTAGATCTTTGGACAAGTTGGTAATGTAAGAGATGCACTTGTTCAAATTATATTGAGACTCCGGGATGATGTTTTGGTGGATAAAGAAGATGTTTGTAATTCTTCTGCTGGTGTCGAGGGATTATTCGCCAGTGGTACACCGCTTCCTTTCTCCTCAGTTTTACACAATTTGCCTACTAGTGGTTCATTGGGTTATGAGCCTAGGGCAGATGCTGGGAGTGGATTTGGTTTGCATTCTTCAAGTGCATATGAATATGGTTCCATATCGGTATGTCTACTTACTTAATTGCCACATCCATCATAAACTAGCTAAAAATACTGATGTCAGAATGTTGGTATTCCATTTGATCAACATCCATTTATTTTCTGAACAAAATAAGCTGCTATCATGTTGAAATTAGTAGTATACATTTTAGATTTATTTATTTTCCTGGTCTGTAAGTGGTATCGCCGTTCTTTCTAACTATTTCTTCTCTTGAAGATGGGTGATAGTGTCTATGGATCATTGGCTACACGATCCACATCTCTGTATGGAGGGTTAGTCTCTAATGCCTTGAATTTTTTTCTCTTGCATCCTTGTTTTTCCAAAGCACATCCGCCACTACAATTGTGACTTTACATTAGGTTGCCTCTTCCATCTGCTCTGGAAATGGTTATCCCTGCACATGCTGTTGGCAAAGTCATGGGAAAAGGTGGCACAAATATTGATAACATCCGCAGGGTAAGTTACTTTCATGATGCAATAGTGGCTAGAGAACTCCCTTTATTTGTTTCATAGCTAGACAAGAAATAAATGAATTAAATTTTGATCAATTACATGCCCAGCTTGTTTTCATTAACTGAAAAAAAAAAAAAAAAAAAACAAAAAATTATCATGAACCCAGATGAAAAGTAATACAACTTGTTTTTGTCCTTTTATGTTATTCAGTATGCTCAATCCAGTTATCAGTTGGAGTACCTGGTTTGTTGTGCATATAAAATGGTACTCTGTTTGTGACACTTTTATACCTACATATTGTCATGCATATGTCATTTAACTTTTCTTCTAGTGGAACTCCTTAGATTGCTAGTCATTAATTGGCCATCTAAATTAGCGAACCTGTGCACTCTGTTTAGTTTATAAATGTATATCTGCTAGGATGGCCTCTAACCTTTCTCCTGTTTGTGTGCGGACTTGAGAGTTTTGGCGGGAATCATTTGGTTGCGAAATTTGCAGTGTTTCTTATAATTATTGAATTTCATTTTGGATTCTGTCATTCTCTTCTAGATTTCTGGAGCGGATATTGAGATTTCTGATTCCAGAACCTCCCGAGGTGATCGTGTGGCTTTCATATCTGGCACCACTGAGCAGAAGCATGCTGCAGAAAACTTGATTCAGGCATTCATCATGGCCACCTAAGTTCATAAGTCAAAAATATCACGGAGCTTCTTTTAATGTTATTATCACCGTATCTCCTTTAGATTTCATCAGTGGTGATTGGTTCATAGACTTATGTTGAACTCCCATCTCTTCAATAGGAAATCTTATGAAGATAGTTCTGTCTGTTTGGAAACATGTTTAGGTTTCATGTGGTTTCACTTCTAGCCTCCCTGCATAAGCAGCAGTGTTATATCATGTGGGATTCTTTCCTTCCGTAGAATTGATCAAATTCTCTTCATCATCTTCTATTTCCAGCAATGCTTGCTCATGACTTGGCGTTAAGTTGTTGGAAATCATGGCATGAATCCTCTATGTTCGCATTCCTTCCTTATTCCGCTACTTTCTGGATTACTGATGCACCTTGGTCATGGTCATGCCTTGTGTGCACGGAAGTAGGTTTGGATAAGCTTTTCTGCTAAAATTCGCTTACTATTAGCAATCTCTCCTACCTTTTTTGTATGTTCTAGCTTGCTAAATATCTTATTTTATTCATGAAATTGCAAAATTTGAAGTTGCTTAGATGTTGAGCAGCTTGCACATATTTCTGTTGAATACAACTTCTTCCCCCTTTTAGTTATTTATTACCCACAACCAAAATAATACCCTTAATTCAAGACAAATTCCCTTCTTTTTTCTTTTTTTTTGTCACTTTGCTGAGCACCCTAAAAGGGTTTTACTAGTAGATTTTAGTTTACTGTGATTATCCAAACCTTTAGTCACAAGTGCAGTTTATCTATAAATCTGCACAGCATCTGCCATGTACTGAATGACTTCCTTCTATTCTGGCCTCACTGGCTTTAAAGTTCCTCCACCCTTATCCTTGAAAGGACCTAAAGTTGCATCTTGATTCTAGGATTTATTGTAATTCTTTATTATTTATTTATGGAACACTTATATTGCTTCGAAAATATTGGTTTCAAACTTTATCCCACTTTGAACTATGCTGTCATCTTGTCTCTCATTCTAGCGTGTTTTTATCCGCCTATATTTGGTCACTTGTCCTTCGCTTCAATAATGTTTCTCATTTCCATCCGTTAATATTTGTTTTTCCAAGTGAAAGCAGATGCCTCTATGAGTCTTTGAACGAAATTGGTTATATGGTTAGCACCATTGCTGCAATTCATACTTCCTGTGCATTGAGTGATAGATTAATTGAATTGTGATTGACCTCCTCTGGAAAATCTATGCTTTCATCGTATATATGTTTGATCTGTTTTCAGTTGTATATAATTCATTTGCTTGATGCCATCTTCAAATTCTGTTTCTTGATGTCCTGTTCTTTCATTGTCTAGCCATGCAATCCGTCAATTGTGAATTTACGGAGATGGTTTAATTTAACTCAGCCGAAAGAAGTCAACAACTATTGTCTGCATACTTAATACTTTTGTGTTTATGCTCAAATGGCTCTGCCTTGAATATCTAAAGTAGTGGTGCTGTTTCTGAAGCATAATATATCTTTTTTCTTGTATCCTCTGCTTTTTATATGAAGGGTTTGCTTTTAATCCCGTTGTGGTACTCAGCTATTAGTTTTCCAGTTGCTACTACCCTTAAATATTCTCTGTTTTCTGCTTTTTCCGGCTTGAATGGAAGAGGAAGAGGGTTTTGGGAGGAAATGAGGATTTTGGTGACCTTGTACATTGCCTTATAGTCTCCTATATCATTTCCCTTTTGAGCTTGGTTAGGGTTTCAGAATTTTATTAATGCAACCTCTCAAGCAAACACTCTTTATTATAGTGGTGTTTTAGCTGGTAGTCGATGGTGAAATTCCATCAGAGGCCAGATTTCTTTCAGCTTTTAGCCAGGTGATTCTTGGTAGTTAAACAGACATGTCCCCCTCACAACATCCAGGTTGCATAATTCCCAAGATAGCTAGTCCTTGTAGCTCCAATGAATCCCCTATCTTTATTCTCTAAGAGTTTTATTGAGCCTAATGTCTTCCCCATTCTGGTAGTAGCTGAGTGGACAGGGATGGTGGGGGAGTAGAGGGTTTCATATAGTTCATATAAATGTCACCTCTTTGTTACACCTTGAGCTTAAAAGTAGTGGAGATTGGAGAGCTGTTGTGATGAAAGACAGGGTAAGGTTCCATTGGAGAGCTGTTGTGGTTTTTGGCAGGGAAGAAGCTCTTTTGGGTGGCTGTTTCTGAGGTTGTCTTAGAAGAAACATCTCTTTTATATGTTGTTCTGAGAGTGAGGAGAAAATTTCTAGTGTTCTTCTTTTGCCTTATTGCTGTTGTTGTAGATTGATTAACTGCCTCATTGGTTCTTCATTTTACAAGTTTCACTGTGTACAATAGATTAATAGAAGTACATCATTCTTCATGCGACAAGTTAATAAAAATTATTTGATTTTATTGATTTGTTAATTGAATTGTGGGGTGCGAAACTCGACTGTGAATTGTATTTTACTGTAAAGAATGGTTGGTATAGGCCATAGGAAAGTAGCAGCACAGGAAATGAAATTCATTTATGTTTGTTTGTGCTTGAAATTTTAGAATTGAAAAGTAATTTATTTTTTATTCTCTGCCTTCATTTTTATTTTTTATATTTTTATGTTTATATATATAAATAAATGATAATTGATTGTATATATAAATAAATAATTAATTCTCATTCTCTTAGGATTATTGGTTTAAGCTATATATTTTCACTTATTTGACACAATTTACTTTTTAAAAAATATTTATTCAGATACACTTTTTTTCTCACAAAACATCAAATCAAATACTAATTTTTTATTTTTTATTTTTAACTTTCAAAATTTTAAAAAACCTCCAAAAATACTTATATAAACAAACTTATATATTTTCTTATTATTTTCTGCCATTATATTTTCCACTATAACAAAGGAAACGCACTATAACAAAGGAATTGAACTGACGTTAAAGCGAGTCTCTTTCGTTTTCGATTTTATATTATTTATTCTGTCTAAGATTTTCAAATTACATAAAAAAAAAATTCATCAAAGTTATCCATTTAAAAATTATATTATATTTTTGTCCTAGTTGCTAGAGAGGTAGATTCGTTTCACTTTCTCTTTCAATATTTTTCGATGCATGGAAAGAATTATTTGGATCCAATGTGTTAGGCCATGTTCAAAATGAATTTTAGTCCGATTCTTATTATCCTTTGTGAAAATTAAAGCACAAATATTTAAATTCAAATATATACTCCCTCCCTTCTCAAACAAAGTGCAACATTAAAAATCATGTGATAAAAATATATATTTTATTTTTTTATTTGGATGATGTAAGAAAATAAAATATAAGGTAAAAGTTAAATATAATTAATTATTTCTATTTTAAAAATATTGCTGATGTTTGAGACATAACAAACATCAAATTACTTAACTTATGCTATTTAAAGAATTTATTGAACGTCTTACTAATCACATTTTCTATATTATTGTCTCCTTCCCCCGTCAAGAACTTCATACGGATCAATTTGTTGCGTGCAGAAGACCTATCTATGGTTGAGATAATCCAATTGTGAATGCCTCCAAACAAGAAAGAGTCTATTTTATTTTTATAATCTCTTTCACAAAAATAAAATAGCACCAAAAAATAATAATGAATTGCCAAATTATTTTAATAGATCTTCACCATTAGATCTCCAAAATTGTTTGACACGTGTGGATATGTCCACTGCGCTTCAGCTTGTCCGCTGGGATTTTGGAAATCGTAAATCGTATATTGGGAGGTGTGCAATCCTTCACGCCACTGAAATAGGAATCCTTTCGATAATACCTTACAGTAGAGAGGTTGCTCCCCTCTGGATTGGTTCTCGATACAGGAACGAAATCAACTGCATGCTGTAAAATCCAGCTCGTTTTTTTTTTTTTTTTTTCGTATTTTCACTTCATGGCCTCAAAGAAGCCTTTACAGTGCGTGTTGGCCGGAGTTTGGAGGGCTAGAAATGTCCGGAGGTTTAGCGCACTCCCAGAAGGCAGCGCTTCTTCGCAATCTTCTCAGCATCTCATCAATTTGGAATATCAGTGCAGTGCTCACAAGTAATTTAATCTTTCGTCTTCTTCGGTTGTTTGTTACAGGTTTCCGCCAATTTATATATCTACTATTCAGGGTGCTTGATTTGTGTTTTTTTTTGGTTGTTTAGGTCCCTGAGAATTGGTGTTCCTAAATAGTTACTTATGACCGATTTGGATTTAGATTTTGTGTTGAATAGACCCTGAGCTTTCTTGTGACGAAATTGTGCAGTTGAAAACCTTATGAGTTTGAAATCTTGGGTTTGTAACCGTGTGGGGGTCTCGTAGTACAATAGAATGTTATTGTTATGCAAACTGATCAAATCGTAGTAGCAGGGCTGAGATCGGGAAGCTGTTGCATATATTTGATGAAATAATAAGCCAAGAAATGAAAAGATATTATTTATAATTCTAAGCATTTTTTTCCTAATATGTATTGCGTTCTGTTTTATTCCTATCATATTTTCCGTAGTATTATATCTTGGACGAAATCCTGACATAATTAGAATGGTGCAGTCATTTATTAGAACCTTCTATGAGAAATTTTGAACTTATATTAAGATTTTGTGGTTGGTTTCTGGCGTCTGTTTGAGAAAGTAGATGCATTTTATGAAATCCACTTGGATATTTCTCAAGCTTGTATTGTCTTACCAAGGAACTCAATTTCTAATTTGTTTTATCTGCAGTTACCACCCTATTCCTATTGTTTTTTCTCATGCCAAGGGGTCATCCATCTGGGATCCAGAAGGCAATAAGTATATAGATTTCTTATCAGCTTATTCTGCTGTTAATCAGGTATGAAGATTGATAAATAAAAAAAAAAAAACAATAAAAATTAGTGATTGATGATTGCTTCTTGGTTTGGTTCCTTTTTTGTCCATTGAAGAACATATTTGTAATCGGTCATAATATTTACTTACCCTCTGCAAATCCTGCAGACTACATGTAATTTTATGCTTTGAAGTTCTGTTGTGGGTGATAAAGCTCAAATCATAGTGATTGCTTATTTAGTATAAATTGATCACTATTTAAGCCATACTTAATTCCATTAGTTCGAATGAAATATTGTAAACTTAGTACTGTGGTTGCAGGGCCATTGTCATCCCAAGATTGTGAAAGCATTGGTGGAACAGACCGAGAAGCTTACTCTTAGTTCAAGGGCATTTTATAATGACAAATTTCCAGTTTTTGCAGAATATCTGACCAGCATGTTTGGATATGATATGGTACTGCCAATGAATACAGGTGCTGAAGGTGTAGAAACAGCACTAAAGTTGGCTAGGAAGTGGGGCTACCTTAAGAAAAATATTCCAAGAGATGAGGTATGTAACTCTTTAACACATCATATTGCATGCCCAAACATACCTAGAAGCTTGGTTGCATGGATGGACATCTGAAGTTTGAGAAACCTTATTCATCATGCCTGGACACTGTAACTCAGTGAGAAATTTTTGGAGAAATTTAGGTCTTGGTTGGAATTTTGTATCTCAAACATAAAAGGAAAAAAACTAAGTAAGAAATAGACATGAGATGAGTACCTCTGGAGATTGCTTATGATTTCTAATTATAAAACCTTTGTGGAGCAATGTCCAAATCTAATTGGGAATGCTGTGCATGAGAATACTGTGTGGGTGCAAGATTGGAACTTTGTGGTTTTATTTGGATACTAGAATGTTTTCACTATAATAATTGACAGAATCCTGCTATATACTGATCAGTAGCAGATATGGTTGCTATGAATGCAGTACCCAAAAATAGACTTCTGGGTACATTCCTTCAAGGTTTGGATTTGGGTTTGAAGTTTGGGAATAGTAAAATTTTGAATTAGAATAATGTTTTATGTAATGTTTTGAATGAAAAATAAATTTTTGGTAATATATTAAATGACCAAAAAAAAAGAAATAGGTGTTGATCTGATGGTTTTAGAAGTAAAAATTTTGATGAATAGTATGAGACCAGTTTTAGGCCTGGACCTTAAAAGAAACAAGCACTGATGTTTTATTGGTTCATTTCTGTTGCAGGCTATAATTGTTTCCTGTTGTGGCTGTTTCCATGGCCGTACATTAGCAGCCATTTCTATGAGCTGCGACAACGAGGCAACACGTGATTTTTGGCCTTTATTGCCAGGTCAGCTTAAAGTTGATTTTGGCGATGCTGCTGCTCTGGAGGAAATTTTTAAAGGTTTGCAAAGAGAAGAAATATAAAATAGTATTTATGTTTATCCTCTACGACCGCAATAAATTGCAAATATTACAGTTACAGCTGATAGCCTTTTAACCTGTGCTTACAGAGAAGGGAGATCAAATAGCTGGGTTTCTGTTTGAGCCTATTCAAGGAGAGGCAGGGGTATGTGCTTATTTAACCACCAATTGCTTTGGATATTGGAAGTATGTGAATGTTGGTTTGTCATCAAAACTGCAATCTATAAACATGCACTTCGTATATCTATAATCATGCATTCTGTATCAAATTGCACATGACCCATAGAATGATTATAATTTTTATGGCCCTATCAGTTGCTTCTGTAGTAGACACATGAGCAAGCTAAAACCTTTTGCCTAGTATCTTGATGGTCTAATGCTGTATGAAATGATGTTGGCTGCATATGACTAAACCTATGTTAATTGATTCAAAGTTTTGATGATCTTTTCCTTCTCTTTTTCTTTTTGGTATTTTCAAGGTCGTTATCCCTCCAGATGGTTATCTGCAAGCTGTCCGAGACCTTTGCTCAAAGTATAATGTCCTAATGATTGCTGATGAAATTCAAAGTGGACTGGGACGTTCTGGAAGAATTCTGGCCTGTGATTGGGAAAGTGTTAGACCTGATGTAGTAGTAAGTACATCACCCTTTCTGTGATTGTTGAAACTAAAATTGGAAGCCATATATGTCAAGTATGCTTTGCTTAGAGTTCTTGCTAAATAAATGGATGCCATGTCAAGTTTGCTCTTTTGAAATGCTGATGATGATTTGCTTGCCAAACTAGAAAGATATATGATCATTACAATTTTTTCTTATATTATATTAAATTGAGAAACTTTGTTTCCGCTTGAACAAACTATATCTCTATAATATAAAAGAATTGTTGTTTTTATATGATTTTAGAATGTCAATATATTTGGAGATTAGTTTCTCTGTTCAATAGAACCACCAACTCCCTACATTATTAGGTTTGCAGATGGCTTTGTTCATAAATATGTTTAATTCATGGATGTTTAATTCGTTTTCAATATTGATCACCTTTTGTCTTCTCTAATAACTTACGTTCAATTACCGTTACAGTGCTTTTGTATGCTTGTGAGTGACTCTGATTGTTTTGGATTAAGATCTTAGGAAAAGCATTGGGTGGTGGGGTGTTGCCTGTAAGTGCAGTTCTTGCAGATAAAGATGTTATGCTCTGCATACAGCCTGGAGAACATGGAAGGTTAGTATAGCACAATTTTGAAGCCAACGACATCACCATTTCAATTTTGCTTCTGTTATTAGTACGTCTTATATTGTAATATTACATGTCTAACTTGCTAATTAACCATCTTCTAGCACTTTTGGAGGGAATCCATTGGCTAGTGCAGTTGCCATTGCATCACTGGATGTGATGCAAGACGAAAAACTGGCAATGAGGTATCAAATCAATTCCAATCCTTAAACATAATGTTGCATTCGGTCAAAATTATCTCACAAAAATGATACTCCCAGCAACATTTATAAAATAGAAAATAATTAACTATACTTAATCTCTACCCGCACTTTATCACATCACATCACCAAATATAATACATACTTTTCTCTCATCACATCATCTAATTTCTAAATTATCCTATTTAATCCTATCCACCAAAATCATGTAATTATTTGCTATATGATGCCTCTCAAAAATAACCTTTGGTGATAGATCTGCTCAACTGGGAGAAGACCTCAGACAACAGCTTTTGAATGTTCAACAGAAATTTCCTAACCTCATAAAGGAAATCCGAGGGAAAGGTTTATTCAATGCTGTCGAGCTCAACAGTAAAGTGCTGCAACCCGTCACGGCATACGATATTTGCCTGAAGCTGAAGGAGAGGGGAGTTCTCGCAAAGCCAACCCATGATTCAATTATACGATTGACTCCTCCACTGTCAATAAGGTACAAAATTATCCTTGTACAATCTCTGCAATTTAGGTTGTATGTTTTATCATTAATTTACTCTACACAGCTGAGGTAGACCATGACCGGGTTGGGTCACGTTAGGCCCATTATTAGAGTGATGGACTAACTACTAGTTGTTTTCTGCTATCATCCTTGCATTATCCCCTGCAATGGCGGCTAACAAATTGGTGCAAATTTCCCACCTGTTTTTTTCAGTCCGGATGAACTCCAACAAGCCTCAGAAGCTCTACATGATGTTTTCGACCTTGATCTGGCAAGTATTAAAAAAGAGAAGATGGATACTGCCCCTGCCCTAGATACCCATTCTAGCACCTGTGATAGATGTGGGCGCAACCTGTACGGTTCTTCATAAATCCCTTCAATTACATGCACTTGGTTTCCAATATGTCTCTGCTATTTTGTTCCATTACTCTGCATTGAATAATTTATTTTGGGATAACTACATTTCAATATAACCACAAAATTCTCTTACGCCTCTTTGTGCCGCTTCTTTTGTGCTTAAGAACTAAAACATAACTGCGAGCCCGTCGACAGGAGAAGTTAACACATAGAAACCATTGGAAAAAATCCAAAGCATGAGGTGTGGTCCTTACAGACACAAGTATGTGTGGACAAAAGAAGCTCTCTCTATGCTTAAAGCATTGTCTGAACTCTGAAAGAGGTGAGTAAATCCTCTTCATCACTCCCCTGTCAAATCCTGAACTGCAATATAAGTTATTGTTAGAAGCAGGATCAAAATGGGGACCCCTCTTTTTTCTTCTGAAACGTAGCATCTCTCAGATTAGGTTGTGTCCTGTTTTTGAGATTGTGTTCTTGTGTATGGTGTGTGTGTTTACACGCACGTATGGGATCATTTTTATATAACAAGAAATGCAGGGGGACAGGATTCAGACACAATAATGGTGGCTATGTCCTTAAAATATTATATAATTTATGCATGCCATCTCCCCCTTATAAGAAAAAAAAAAAAAAAAAAAAGAAGGAATCAGATGGATGGCTGTAACCCCCCTCGGATGGGGCCTTGTTTAGGTATTATTATTTATGTGCCTTAGCTGTATTTCATTATTATGCTACTGTTTCATTGAGAATTGGTTGGTTTATCTCTATGCCCTAAAATAATATTCTTTTCATTCATTCATGTGAAGTAATGTAATGATGTGGTTTTGTTTTTTTTAACCACTAGTTTCTTGCATGCATAACTGTACGACACCGACATTTTGCTAAATGAACCTTTCCTTGTCAAAGTAGCTCACTTTAGCAGATCTGTATGTCTACATATGTTCAAGATAAGATAAAGAGGAGTGGGTTTCTATGTGCTGCTGTTGACTATGGACTATGGCTGAAGACGACAAGTAAGTGTTCAATCTTTCTATTTATCTATGGTCCTAACGGTGTCTAAAGATATGGTATTCGAGCATGGAAATCTAAAACTTACACCCGCCCCCAATCACGATGTAATAATATTATATGGTCCTTCTTAAGACAGGACCATGTAATGTAAAAATTAACATGGGACGATGCTAGCTTCTTCGATTAATGGCGACGTGGTTCACACGCCATTGTATTGGATTCGTCTTTTGTCGTTTTGTGGGTTTCTATCTCTAGAAGAGTGGCCATTAGTGTTCCTACTGCTTTTTTGTTTTCTTGAAATGGAAGAAGAGGAAGAAGATGGATGATAAAGGAATGAATTGTATTGTTTTGTATTGTATCCTTCCTTCCATAAGGATTAGTACAAAAATAAAATAAAATTGAAAAGGGTGACAAGTTGAGGAGAAAGTGGGTCTTGAGAGTGACAATGTGTCCCCTTCATGAATAGCAGTCGAAGATGGATGGACTTATGAGTAATGATATAAATCTATTATCTTCCTTGAGCCTCCTCTCATCTTTTTCTCATCTTTTTCCTTGTAAATGAATGAATGCATGATTATGAATTCCTAAAGTCTCTTTCTTGCTGGTGGTCCCAAATATGATTGATTATTCCGATAGACCCACCCCTTCCTTATTGCAACAGACAAATTACAACATCATTATTATATTATACATATTGCATTCTTGTTTTATTATTCTCAATGACGTATTAGTTTACACTTAACTTCAATAGTCAATAATTTTTTTAATAATGCTGATTAAATGAAAATAAAAAAATGAAAGAAATTCCCCCATGTACGGATTGCACGGCGTGCGTCAAACTCAAATTCAATCGATTTTTTTATTTTAATTAATTAATTTATTTAGTAGATCTTAATTGACATAATGTATGCATGTAACGTGTGGGTAGCACATTTGCACATGATCATCGCAATCGCACTGGCATAGCCATAACATACCTGCTGTAATTGCGTTATTGTTTTTTTTTTTAATTTTTAAATAAATTAAAATATCTGTGTAGAAGTAGTAAATTAGTGGTTATTATTGTACGTCTGTACCTTTTTTCGTGAGTAAGAAACCGTGCCATATGATTCAGCATGATTGAATTTATTGCCATTAATTGATGAGTGAAATTAAAGCAATTTGAAGAGTAAATGGAATACGCTACACCGATTTGTTTATTAATTTATTGTATTTTCTTTGGACTGTAGTAATTAATAGTGATTAACGTCGTCGTTATTTTGAATTAAATTGGACAATACCCAGTGTCAGAACCCCGACCACAAAATTGATTGTATTGTATTTCTGTGGATGGTGAATTGACTATTTTAACCCCCGATTCTTGTTACCAAACGGCACCGCGCTGGGTCGTTTCATATGTATGATATTCGTTCGCTATTTCGTCGTCTCCCTTCTCTACCATTATCTCCTCTACTTAAGACCTTCGTCTTCCTCTTTCCCCCTTCTTCTTCTCCTTTTTCTTCGCGCTATTGCGCTTTCGTTCATGCTTTCCGCGCGGATTCAGAAGCTTTGAGGATCCGTTTTCCGTGAATTCTGTTTTCGTTCGTGTCAGATCCGTGGTGGTTTGAGATTTTATTTTTTTGTTTGAATTCGGTCGATCTCGGTTGTAAATTTCGTTCGCTGTTTTCGCACTGTGTTAGGATTCGATACTTGGAGCAGTTTAGTTGGAGTAAATTGGTTCATAACCTTTGCTGTCTGTTGCGGGTGGTTATGGCTTCGATTAGGGCAGATCTGGGCGGGAGGATTTACCCCGAGCCGATCGACCACTTCGACCGGCTGCCGGACTCGCTCATCCTCCTGATCTTCAACAAAATCGGCGACATCAAGGCGTTAGGTCGGTGCTGCGTGGTTACGAGGAGATTTCACACTCTCGTTCCCCAAGTGGACAACGTCATAGTGCGCGTCGACTGCGTTATCTCCGACGACGATCCTTCAACCACGTCATTCGCGTCTACCGGCGCGTCGTCTTCTGCCTCCGATAAGTCGCGCCATCCCATATCGTCCTTATTTCGATTGTTATTTACCGGACTATTCAAACCCTTGCAGTCTATCTCTCATCTCTTCACACCTTCGCCGCGCCTTCTCCCGATTTCTGACGATTTGGAGGGTGAAACTGAGCAAAGCAGTGTCACACACCACTCACCTACCCAGGTCCTGAAGAATTTTAACGAGATCAAGCTCCTAAGGATAGAACTGCCGAGTGGTGAGTTGGGGATAGATGATGGTGTTCTGCTTAGGTGGAAGGCGGAATTTGGCTCCACTCTCGATAATTGTGTTATTCTTGGTGCTTCAAGTGTTGTTCAGGACAGCATGAATGGTAACCAAGATGTCTTTGGCACCTGTAATAGTAGAGAGGATGCAAACAATACTAATAATAATGGAGTGGTGGAGAACGATAATGGGAGCATACCAGAGTCATTTTACACCAATGGGGGCTTGAAGTTGCGAGTTGTGTGGACAATTAGTTCGTTGATAGCTGCATCAGCGAGGCATTACCTTCTGCAGCCCATAATATCAGAACACAAGACACTGGAGAACTTGATTCTGACTGATGCAGATGGACAAGGCGTTTTGTCCATGAATAAGGAGCAGCTGGAGGAGCTGAGGGTGAAGCCGTTGTCAGCATCATCAGCATCAAAGAGAACTTTGGTTCCGGCACTAAATATGCGCTTGTGGTATGCTCCCCATCTTGAGCTCCCGAATGGAATGGTTTTGAAAGGGGCAACACTGGTTGCAATCAGGCCCAGTGAACAGCCAAAGAAAGAGGTACTTTTGGACTGTAGTTGGGTTGCATCAGCATTTGAGGAGCCATTTGGGACTGCTGCAAGGATGTTGGTGAAGAGGCGAACATACTGTTTGGAAATGAACTCTTTCTGAGATGCTACTTGTACAAGGATGAGGACGTATGTATGAGGTATATCCGCTGTTGCTATCTACTGCTATGCTATTTGGTTTATCTATTTCTTATTGGATTATTTTGTATCTGATTTTTCTCTAATCTCTGGTCTTTTTTTTCCAAGCAATGAACATTGGCGTATAGTTTAGACCCCTTTGGAATTGTAATGTCGAATATTAGTCTTGTTTGGTGGGGATTGATGTGAGCATACTAATCCACTCACTGTGAAAGCTGAATGTGGAATTCATGATTCATCATTCTTTGACAATCTTTATCTCTAGAGGTCACTATATAAAATGCTTTCTGGTTGCTGTCATGCATATAATGTGAAATATGTTTGTTGAATTGATTAAAACGATTCTCCTTATTATGCTTCCCCTTATTTTCATCTCTCAATTAACCATTGTAAGCTTTGTGTTTTGATTTTTTTTTTTGTATGTGTGTGATTTGATTTGTTGGTTATGCTATCCATCATACTTGCATATTTTCACTTTTACATTACTTTTTGTATGGAATTTAGGTACTTAATTAAAAAATACATTAGTCATTTGTGTATATACATATATATGTAGATGCCTGTTTCTTTCCTATCTAAATATAAGTAGATTGTAGTCTTGGATTTTGTCTTCCTGTCTGATTCACAATGTAATATTATATTTCTTCAATCCTATGCTTCTTTAAATATATCATGGCACATTCATTTTTTTATTTTTTTTGACGTTTGTGCTCTTGCAGTTTTGCCTATTCAAGACATGATGGTGGTACTGCAAGTGTGAAGAAGCACATAATACGCAGTTTTGCTTTGAGTGTGGTGTGCTCTCGGAGTTAGCCGGGCCAAGATAATTTGCTTCCAAATATGTCACTACATTTATGCTATTTGGTTAATGGTTGGTTATGAGCTTTGATCTACCTGCTTTCCATTGCCATATAATGATACTAGGCTTCCGCTAGGATTTTGATCTCAACCATACACCTCTACAGGCACCCCCCGTATGCAATTGTGAGAATTATATACATTTTGACTTCTTAAACATCTCCCCCCTATGTTTAGTTTTCCTTCTGTGAATATATTAGGTACAGGGGTTATATGCTTTTATGTGTTGTCCTCTTAAAAGTTCAATTGGGAGTTTATCTTGAACTTCAGCTGAATATTTTATAGCTGGCTTAATAAATGTGAGAATGGTTGAACTTCCTACCTTCCAATGATATTGTCCGTCTTGTATTTGATCTGTTAATGCATCCACGAAACGACATGATACACATGGAACTGGTTGAGTGATCTTCTAATTGGATTCAACTATTAGAAAGAATTATGCCTATCATAATATTTATTTGACATTGTTGTGCACACTTGATGATTCTTAAGGTGGGATATTTTCCATGAGCTGAAAGAGCAATCTTTGCAGTCAAGCATCATGATAATGAGTCAATAAGAACATAGAATAGCTAGGTGCCTTGTAGCGCGACCATAGAAGTGTCTAGAATTGTAATATTTACATGTCACATTAACATTATAAAGCTTTCAATTCCAATTTTCTTAATGATTCTAAGATTTTTCCAAAACAGCTATGGTTTACATCAAACAGCAATTGATTGATTCTAGTTCGAGTCCACCCACGTGATGGGTGTCCGTAGGCATGGGTCACTAAAGATGATAGTTTTAGGTGAATAAATGTGAGACCATTCCTGCACTGCACTCACCAATAGGCATGTACCAAATGTTCCCTTTTTATAAGGAATACTCGTAGCCTCTTGGCTGTGGCTCTTGTTTGTTTTCTTTTCTGTTTTCATTGTAATATGCATTTCATGAATACGTGCGTTGTCTAACTCATTATGGCGTTTCCCCCATCCCCAAGAAAAAAAGAAGTGGTTTCATTTGTCTTCCCATGGCAAGTGGACTTGCCAACTCTGCTCAAAGCATTGGATTGGACTTTGCAAAGGAAAGAAATAGCTGCAGGTAATCCACTGCTAATTATGTTGCTCATTATGGTCCCAAAGTTTTCAATTCTTCTTCAACATGGGTTTAAGTAGAGTAATAGAGCATACACTAGAAAAAAAAAAAAAAAAAGTCTTGATCAAACCATGCCTCAAATTCAAATTAATCATCAACAGTTGAAGCACAACTAGGGAGAATAAACACTCAGAAGTAGAACCCATCCATCATCTGTCTTTCACACACAAAGCATAAGGACAAGGGCAAGCACACAACAAAACCATTGCTACATGACAATAATGATAATGGAGCAACAATCATATCATAGATTATGAATATGAATATGCTCCTCCATTGATTAGGCAACTTCACCTCTTCAAGTTTCAGCAGCTACCTGCACCAAATATGCATCTCAATTTTGTATTCTCATTTAAAAAAGAATGTGTTTACAACCCTCTGCTTGTTATTATGAAACAAAACAACATAATGAACTGATAAAAAGCCAACTAGTAGTATAATGACACGAGCAACCAACTATTGGCAATGTTTGTGAGCATGCTTTGTGTAAAATGCAAAGCAGAAAAATTCAACAAACGATATAAGCGAGATACATAACACAATAAATTAAGCTACCAATGAAAATAAATAGATACAAAATAGGCTGCAACATATTTCCCAGAACAATCGATGTTATATGCTTTTGTGAGCCATTCAAGCCTGTTAGGTTTAGTGTTCATAAACTAGGCCATGAGCAATGATTCCATCAACGGAGATTGATAAATAGCTGTACAGAATGAAGATATAGAACCGAAAATCTGATTCTTCAATTGACTTAGCATCATTCAGAATAAATATTTTAGGACTGCAAGTGCAAATGCTACAGAGTTTCAGAGATTCACTTCTTACCATCACTCAAGATTCCCTGTACACCACTACATCTAGCGATACTCTATGTCTCTGAAACAACTTTATATTAACTACCACCCACCCCTCACATCACTTTCATTTTCTGCCCTAAATGAAACTTGATCGAGCCACAACGTCTTGCAAGACAAGCAATTTTGTCTTTCTAATATTTTCTCTATAAATACAGTGACAAATGAGAAATATATTTAATAGAGCAAGCATGCCTACAAGGCTGATCCCTAAACTTTTTTAACATTTTCCCCTACAAAATAAAGGTTTTATTTATTTTGGAGTGGAGACAGTAATTGAATAATACTAAACAACTTGTTGATTATACTCATATGTTAAGACATAAAGTAAAGCTTACTATATATTAGGGTGAATTAAATATGTACATATAGAAGTGATATGTTAAATAATTCACTCTATAACACAAAGTACTTTTCAGATAATCAAGATGCATAATCTTATTTACTTTTGATTCACTAAATGCATAGATAAAAAACAATAAAATAGAATGTTGAAAATTTGAGAGAAAAAAGTAAAAGTACTAAAAGATTCGAAAATCCCATATGATCTGGCAATATCATCCATTTCCCCGGCGAAAGGGGAAGTTCTTTAAGGCTTTATTGATTTGGATATGGTCTTTTATGATGCCCCTTTTACAAAGGACTCAAACCCTAGCTGGGAGCTCTGGTGATTAGAAAATAATATAACTCCCATGGTGGACAGCCATGTTAAAAGGAGACAAGAAGCTTTGGGAAGAATTAAATAAGATTGGGATCAGATCTCTATAGGGGGGCCACTAGGAGCGCAATGAGCGCCGAAGACATGTTAGAAAGAAGGGAACCAAACATATCGACGAAAAGGCAGATCCCAATTCAGGTATCCATGCCCTCCAAACATCAAGAACTACAGCTCAAGGAGGAGCACAGATAAAAATATATTTTCTCTCCCACCACTCCCCCAAGTGGCCATACCTTTTTGTAAAACCAAGAATTTGGGAAACTGTTGAAAGTTCTGATTAACCTAGTTAAATCCAAAGAAAGCACTACTGAAGAAAATTGGACCAGTACTCAAGCATGCATCACAGTTTACAGGGAAAAATAAGTAAAAAAGAAAGCATTATGAATAATAACTGCAAATTTAGAAAATTACCGTGAATGAAGTGGTAGTTTCCATGCAAGAAGCTATGAACAATGAGCTCAGCTTTTTGCTTTCCCTTTCTGGCTGGAATGCTTGCCGTCGCTATTGAGATGAGCATCACTGTAACAGTGCTGCAAGCGGGCATCATATCCAGCAAGAAACTGGTGGTAATTCTCCACCGGTGCAGCAGTGCCAATGAAGAAACCTGGAGGAGATCCGTCGGGAAACCTCTGGAGGTGAGGCAACAGAGACGGCGAAGAAGAATTGGACTGAAGGGTCCCCCGATTGAATCCGGCAAGGCCGGATGAATTAGCAGAAGGAGAGATTGTGAAGTTCAAGCTGTAATCACTGTTGCCACTACTGTTCCCTCCGGCGGCGGCAGCATTCATCACGTGGACTAAATGGTCCGACACAAAGGATAAATGCTGGAGCTCTTGGTGGTGGTCCGCTGCCACATTATACAGCGGCGAAGATGCTAGGTGCATTTGACCTGAACTTGCAGGCAGGCCTAAAAGGCCAGTAGTGAAGTAATCCATTGGAGGAGAAGATCCGGACCACTGGCGGGGAGATTTTAGTAGGAAATTTGACTCGCTTCCAGTGCAACGACCGGTAGTGGAATTTTGATGAACGGACCCGCCGGGGCTGGCGGCGGTGCTGCTGACACGATTGATTCCTCCGCTCAAGAGCTCAGTGAAGGAAGTGGTGTGGGAAATAGGGTTGAGAGAAGCCAAATCCGATGTCTCGCTCTCCTTTTCCTTCTCCTTCTCGGCCAATCTTTCTTTCGCTCGCTCTCGAGCTTTCATCCTGCTCTCAGATCTGGAAAGCGAGAGCCCCGAACCCTTGCTGGTTTCTGAATTGCTGCTACAGGCGGAGGATTTTGTCGCCTGCGGCTGGGATTGACCAGGATCCCCACCGCCTTCGTCCATATCTAGGCCAAAGTCGATGCGATCACTTCCGGCGGTGCTCGGTCGCTTTTCGTCGCTGAGCTGCTTGGGGGTGTCGGGGAATGGAGAGGTCATCGGTGGTAGCTCCGCAATTGAAGTGGCGGCTGCCTTCAGCAGCCACTCCACCGCCTTGCTAGGCTGATCGTACCCTAACCGATCTTGCAAATCGTAAAATTGGATGGCGGTGTTCACCGATAGCCTCATGCGTCGGTCTCTCAGCCCCTTGGAAGTCAGTACTTTGCTGTGGCGATCCTTCCCACCGGAAGCTCGCGAAACCCTAACAATTCTGGAGGAAGGCCAGCCGTAGAACCTACCTACACCGCCGACGAGAGCAACGCCTCCACCGCGGCACCGTTTGTTCTCGCCTTCTTCTTCATCCGGATACTGGTCCTCCATCTCTTCGAATGTCGCCGCCTAGTATTGCTCAGCCTTCGAATCCTCCAAAATCATCGCTGAATTTCCGAAACGAGCGTCGGCGGGAGCCAAATCGGTGATATAATTCACTGGATTTGCAAAATTAGGGTTGAGAGAAAGGAGCTCAGTTGAGGTTGGAGGCTACCCTCCGTTGCATTGATGAGGATTACACAGAGAGCACGCACTAGTTTCTCTTTTCTACATATAAACAAACACGTTCATTCATCCATCCTGCCATAGAGTAGTGAGAGAGCGTAGAAAAAAGGTACTGCTTACTCGCAGGGCGTACGCTCTGAAATATCACCTTCTTCCCAACAGAAGAAAGGTCATAAACTCAGAACGACGATGGCGGGTGAAGCTTTTTGCAGTCCCTTCGAAAGTAAAAACAACAAAGCCTGTCTGCCTGCGCCTGCCTCTCAGACCTCTTTTCTCTCTCTCTCTCCCTCTCTCGCTCTGCACTAAAAGACAACAGATCAAAACACAACAATTACACGAATTAAATCAAAATCAAGCAAAACTATCGAGATATAATTTCAGAATTGAGCTTCATTCTGACATGGATAAGGAGAGGGAGACAACACTGGGGCGTCGATGGAAACGACAAATCATAAAGGACGCAATTTCGCAAATTTCTCAGTGGACTGATCAACAACAACAAACAAAGAATGACTTAAGAACATGAAGATCAACATCTCCTCTTCTACTCTTTAAGAGTGAGTAATAATCAGATCTAATAACTCATTCGCCATGCTTCTCTACTCAAAAAGTGAAATCTGAAAACGAACCAACATGAAAGGAAAAAAGGCAGTTAGGATTGAGAGAAGGCACATGCATTGTAGCAAAGCAAAGCAAACAGCAAGACAGATGACCCGACTTTGACGCTCGTAAATTGGATTTTACCGAGCACGGTTGCTTCCTCCTCACCCAAACCTCCAAATCATTATATATTAAGCTCACAAACAAGCTTCCACAAAGGAAATCACGTAACCGAGATTACAGAAGAATGTTTTGTTGGTGGCAAACGAAGCTCTATTTGAGGTAAAAAAAAAAGGTTGAGATTATAATAAAATAAAATCGAAGCCCAATGGAAATACAATTAAAGAGGGGTAGAACTGAAGTAGAGATTGTGGGCCATTGCAGGGAAGCAAGTTGCCATAAGTCCTCAGCACACACACGATGAATCAATGAACACAAGAGAAGTTATATGCTTTCACGTTAATTACATGCACTGGGCCACTATGCATTTGTCTCCATGTCTGTGTCTACCTGCTGCCCAGATTTCCACGTCAAACCTTACAATTCATGCCAAGATATTTCTTACTTTATTCATAGATCAGAGAAATTTCATTACTTTGGATAATATATTTTTGTGCTGTCCTCACTATAATTAATTCATATGAGATAAGCTATTACCGAAGAATTGCAGTTGTGGGATAGGCCCATATTATGTTGGGCTTCCACACCCAAGCCCAATTACTGTTAATTATATATTGTGCTGTGATGATTTTTCGGCCCAAATTGAGTAATATTTGGGCTATATCCATTATATAAGGCCCACTATAGGTTATTTCGGTAATATGATCGATGATTTGGACGTAGAAAGATGCAGTTGATGAGCGATAATGGTTTTTGTATTTTCTTCAAATCTCCGGTAACCGTAGAAGAACTTTCAGCCTTTTCTAACTTGTGATCGAGCGAACTGACGAAGAATTGATGGCTGTTCCTCTTTCGAAGCTGTTGCGTGGAACGTGGTATGTGTTTTTAGTAGAGCTTTTGACTTGATATTGCGATTTTACCTTCGTATTTGCGCAATTTCTCTTGAATGTGAAAGAGGCTTTTCGTTTTGAGTTTTTGAATACGTCTGTTTGACTGCATTTGGTGATCATAGGTGTTCAAATTTGAAAGAATCCATTTCTGTAAGCAAAATAAAGTTTGAATTACTGTTTCGAAATAAATTAGTTGGAACTTTCATGATGCTCAGGTTACGAAATTTAAGTATTATGCTGTTTAATTGCTAAAAATGGTTTGCAATAATGAATTGAAAGTACATAGAACCAAATTATGAATCAGATTCAACTGGCCTGCATATTTGTTTTTGTACCACAAACCGATTGGCATTTGTGGTTCAATACTCTGTTCTGGAATGATGAACAGAGCTCAACAAAAGAGAGAAACAAAGAATGCTCACTTCTCTAGGGTTTCATTTTCTTGTTTGATTAATCGTATAGTAAGTATATTGTAATTGTTGGTGTATTTTCCTGTTAGACAAGTTAAGTATGAAGAAATTTAAACTTCATTGGATCATATGATATCCTTAGCCTCATATGTACATAAATTTGCAATGTTAGCTGAATTTTGAAAAGTAACATTACATGGAAGACGGATCGTAGATGTAACAACATCATGTGCATGCAACTAAGCAGATTTGATAGCCCTTTTGCCTGCCTAATTATCATGGTAGAATCAACTTCTTCCATCAATGCACCTTGCCAAGAATGTAGCAAACAAGAAAATCAAGAATGCTGTCCGGTTCATATATAATAATATAACACCAAATATTCACAGCATAAGAGTGATATATACTAACTGTATCAAGAGTCAAGACACAGATTATGAATGAAAAACGATATACCTAACGGTTCTTCTTCTGACGTTTTGGGGGTCTGTGGGTTTCCTTCCTTGGCTCCTCAGGAATTTTTATATCTACAAATGGCTGCATATAGCCCATACACAAGTTGAGAATTACAGATCAAGAAACAAAATCTAAACAACTCACTCTTCTCTGTGAAATTTCAGGAGTTTTAAACTTCTCAAATTCATGTCATATTTCAAACTTTAAAGTAGCCAACTGTTCTCTCACCTATTTGATTTCAACAAATCCATCAGATCATTTATACAAAAGATAAGAAAAGTTCAATATTCAGATTGGTACCAAACACAATAAAGGCAAACACGCCTTCGATCTTACAAGTTCTAATCATGCTTATGCTGCATATCCAGCCCGTAACCATTCCCTTCCGAACAATAGACGAATCCGAACAAAATCAAACGCAAAAGAATCATTTTTTGCAAATACTACCTCAATCATCACATATGACTAGGATGTGAATAGCATGTAATGTTCAAGCAAAATTATGGTATCAGCTATACATAAAGGTGAACACATTGAGACCAAAGCTAAGAGGAAAAGAAACATGGCAAGTCAAAAGAAACATATTTCTTGCCTCATCCATCTTTTTCTGAAGTTCCAAAAGTTCTTGGCAGTGCCTGAGACATTCAGCATGATAGACAGCAGCCAAGTCTTTGATCAGGGCCTTCCTTCTGATAACACCAATCACTTCAATCCCATGGCAATGGCATGCATAATATACACAATTAGCAAACTCGGACATTGCTATCTCTTTATAACAGACCTATCTTAACATTTAGGTCTTATTTTACACAATGCTGAAAATCTGCAACAGCATGGAATACTCCCCATATTCTGCTTTACCCTAAACTAATCATCAAACAGCTCATAACTGCTTTTCAATAAACAAAAAGGGGGAAAAAGATAGAAATTCTATCCCGAAACAAAATCTAAGTACAAAATTACATCAGAACAACGAAGGAAATCAACAAATAACAATAAACTGAAGACAAATAAAACCCTTACTTCGGCTCGGATCAAAGGAAGGACCCCGCGGTGGGGGAGGTTCGTCCTGAGATGATGACGGCGGAGGAACTGAATCGCAACGAGTTGACGGCGTCGTAGGAATTGGGGGGTCCGGCGGCGGCGGAAGAGAGAATGGATGCTGGATCTGGAACTCTTCCATTCTAGGGCGGCGGCAGAAAGTTAGCCAAATCTTATTACTGCTATATTTCGTGAGGGGAATTCATATGGATTCTGTGACTCTGAACGCCGAGAGTTTTTCTGTATCTGCCCCAGCGACACGGGGCTACGCTTTTCCCCCTTTTTTAAAAATAAAAAATAAAATTTCAATATCCTCTATCTCCATGTGAACAAGGGATTCTGCTGTGATCTGAACAAGAACACTACCCTCTCTTTACCCAATTTTGGTGGGATCGGATTTTCGACAGGATGAATCTATCAAGCCCAAATTTTAAATTGCAAATAATTCGAATAATAGGTTATATTTATTTTTTTATTTTAAACTAATAATTTTTTAAAAAAATTGTACATATTTTATAAAATATTATTTATACTTAAATTTAAATTAAAAAATTCAATATACAAATTTTAATTTTTTATTCGAAATATGTTTTAATTAATTTTTATCATACTACCATAAATATTCTCTTCATCTAATACAATAATTTTATTTTTTTTTTATTTTTTTTCGTTTATTTTAAAATAATAATTTTATTTTTATAAATAATTATTTTATTCCAGGATCTCAAGTCCCAGGGGTTGCTAAAGAAGCACGTAGGGTTCCGCCTCCGTCCTTAAACCTTCTTGCCCAATTTCTAGCGGCTTTGCAAATTAGGGTTTTGCAGAAGAAGATGAGTTTGGTGGCTGGATCGTACGAGCGGTTCCTCTGGGGGTACCGGCTGAAATCTCGAAAGCACGACGATTCCCTCTCGCTAGCACCACTCTTCTCATTCCCCTCTCACCTCTCCACCATCAAAACCGTCGCCGTTGCAGGATCCGCCGCCGTCTCCGGCGGAAACGATGACACAATCAGAATCTACGACCTTTCCTCCTGCTCTGAGATTGGCTCGCTGCACCACACCTCTTCGATAACTTCCCTCTCCTTCTTCTCTCCCCCCTCTCTCTCCTCCTTCCCTCGCAACCTAATAGCGGCCGACGCGGAGGGCTCATTGTCCATCTACGACGCCGACCCATTCATACACCTCAAAACCGTAAAAATCCACAAAAAGTCAGTTAACTCTCTTTCCGTGCATCCGTCGGGGAAGTTGGCCTTGACCGTCGGCCACGATGAATGCTTGGCGATGGTCAATTTGGTGAGAGGAAGGAGGAGCTTTTTTTGTAAGTTGAGTAACGAGTCGTCAATCGTGCAATTCGATCAAACTGGCGACAAATTCTTTATGGTTGTAGATGAGAAATTCAGCGTTCACGAATCCGAGGATGCAAAATTGATTTTCGAATTGGATAATAAAAAGAGAATCCTCTCTGCAGCCCCTGGCTCCGTGCGTTTGCATTCCCTCTCTTTCAGTATTTTTTTACCAGAAACATGATATCACCTATATTAGATAGAGAATATTGCTTTGATCATACCTTACTGATTCTTTGCTGCTTACCTGCTTTCTGGCAGAATGGAATATTATTTACAGGCGGAGAGGATAGGAATTTGACAGCGTGGGATACTCTGAGTGGGAAAATAGCATATAGTATTGAAGATGCTCATACAGCACGCATCAAAGGCATTGTAGTGTTATCCAAGAGCAGCGATGAATCAGGAGAGACAAATCCTTACATGGTTGCATCTGCATCGTCGGATGGAGTCATTCGTCTTTGGGATGTGCGAACTGTCAATAAAGGGAAGCCAAATCCATTGGCGGAGACCAATACAAAATCCAGGCTGACTTGTCTTGCTGGATCATCAATCAAACGTAAGTCTGCATTCTGTTCATAGTATTTACTGAACTTTGAGTTTAGCACTATAGTATGGATTTACCATTTGTGATATTTACTTTTGCATTGTGATCTGCATGTTCCTTACTGATGCAATTGATGAAATAGCTTACTGAATCACAACGAGGCCTAATGGGATTCTCTAGTTTATTAGTTGTTTGATAGTCTATCTCCCGCTGCTGATGCAAGCAAATTAATAGTAATGTTAGAATATCTATATGGGTGATGCCGAATTCAAGATTGTATCTTCATGAATTGTTATAAGTACCAATTAAAGGTTGCCTCTTGCAGAGGGCAGATTTGTTTTACTTTGCATATAAATATAACCCTCTAGGATGCAACCCTGTTTTGTTTTAGTCAACGGCAATCAATGAAAAATACTATCTGACTATTAATTTCTACTTTCTTCTATTTCAGCCTTGAAACGCCCCACGGTTAAGAATGCTGAATGAAGATGAGAATCCAAATGCTGCCGTGGAATCTTAACTATTATATTTAGATTTATTACATATACCCCATTTTCTCCACTCTTTTTTTTTGCCTCTGTACAACTTCTAGAAGTCGGTATTTTGTGAGATTATTCGTCGCCTCAGTTTGGGCCGTGTTCGAAGATCAAGAACGCTAAATTTTGCATAAATTTAGGATATGAGCAGCCCAGTTCATAGAATATTTTGTCTTAATTTCACTGTACTCGAGCTATTGATTGTTGTTGCAGCATGGGAAACATGGAATTCTTGTGTATATGCATCTCTCTTCTTCCATGGCACGTTTTTATTTTCATAATAACCTTTAGCTTGAATAGGAGGATATGTTCTGCTGATTGAAGATAACAGAGTTTACGTAGGAAGTAGAAGGTAAAATTGTTTATTATGTTTAATGGATGACAATTACTCTGTTTATATACGGGTGTGGGTTGTGTTCCAATAATTCTTTGCAGCTGGGTGTCAATTGGGTTTTATTGATTAAGCTTGATGAGCCTACTTGAAGGACCTTAAATGCACTTCCTCTTTAATCACTTCTTTGAGACAGATGAAACATATACATCTAACTATATATTTTCTCTATAAGAAGGCACTTTCCCACACACAGGAATTTTGAATCTGAATCCTATATCTTCTTGCATGTTGCTACAGGCTAGGCTAGGCTACCTTGTGCTTTTAATATTATCCTTTCATTTCGTGTGTTAATGGGTTATAAATTAGGTTGCTACTTGCAATGCTACACTTCGATTTTTATATATTATCCTTTCATTTTACTTTGCAATCTATTATACAGTATTTTTTTTGTTGTCAACTCGTCCACAGTCCACTGCAGATATGTTCAGATAATTCAATGAATGCTGCCAGATCTACATGCATATGTGGCACTTCACAAAATTGACCTGCAAACAGTGGTGCCAGTGTGTCTTAATTGCATGCAGCGTTTGACCAATAGCAATCAACTGTATTAGTGACGTGTAAGCCCATTATCAATTCATTGTTGCTTCTTGGGAGGAACCGGGAGCTGAACTCCCAAACGTAACACACAAATTAAAATACCATGGGTGTGCCTGCTCCCGGACCTCCTACTGAATTATTTGCAGGTTGAAATTTTCCATAATTACACAGTACATTAAATGCCGACCAATAATTCTTTATGACTATTATTTTTTCTAGAATAAAAAGTATACGAATAAATAATCACCGAATTAAATATTGATAAAATAAAATAGTAATGTTCATTAATTTTATGATGTGTGTGAGTGATTTTCCATGTCGCGTACTTAACGTGTGCGATTTTGACACGTGGCTTGAAACGGCGATGGGCGTGTGTATATATATGTGCACCCCACCGTACTGGATCGTTTCTCTACAAGGTCAAACATCACCTTCCCCAGTTGACGACTCCAAGCGTCCAACGGTAATTTTAATCCTTGTAATTTCTCCGGTGCTCTTGTGCTTTGTTGATTTGTATGGTATGTATTGCGAATGTTATTTGTCGTTGCTCGAAATCTGTTATTGTTTCGTCGATTTCGAAATTTCAATTTGAGGAATAATCTGGATTCAATCTTGTTATTGGGCCTAATTATTAACCCCAAACGCAACTTACCTGGTTTCGAAGGAAATTTGTTGTGAATTTCGTAGTCGGCGGATCGTATCAATGTCATCGTTTCCGTTTTTAGAGCCAACGTTCTTGTTTTCATTGGACGATCATTAATGGCCTTTCCATTATTTTCTTGCGTTTCCCGAAGGTTTTCTGGGTTCCTTACATTGAAGTGAAAATCAAAGAAAGCTTTGGATATAGTTTTCTAACATTCGTAGATTTCAATTTTTGTCGCTTTGGTCAGAAAGGAAATCCGGAGAGGGAAGATGAATGTGGCGAAGTCTCAGGTGTGGCAGCCTTGCAAGAAGAAGAGGTTATAGAGTACAGAAAGGATAGAAAAAAAATTAGAAAAGGGAAACGTTTATTTTCTTGGAGAAGGGTGGAAAAGTATGGACGGGATTTGTATTGGGATTGCTTTTGGGCGAAAGATTCAACGACGAGGGGAGAAATTTTGATCTGACATATACGAATAGGTATATACAGGTACGAAGGTTTACTTTTACCAATGGTTATGGCGTCGAAATCAACTGGTGGGGGAAGGGGAAGCGGGGATGTCAGCGGTAGGACACGCGTGGGGAGGTATGAATTGGGTAGAACATTGGGGGAAGGGACTTTCGCCAAGGTGAAGTTTGCTAAGAATATGGATACTGGTGAGAATGTGGCTATAAAGATTATGGATAAGGAGAAGGTTCTCAAGCACAAGATGGTTGGCCAGGTAATCAATCTGCTTCTTCTCTAAATATCTTTTGCTGTTTTTGTTTTTGGATCTTCTTTGTTGGTGATGAATTTGGAAGTATCTATTTGTGTTCCTATTCCTGTTTCTGTGTTTGACATTTTTATGCACAAAGGTTCATTTTCTTTCTTTTTGTTTCAATCCATTTGTGGGGTTTGAGATTTTGATATGTCACTGTTTATGGATGCCTTGAGGCACCCACTTTGTTGATTTAATGTGGAGGTTGTGAATATTGGAGCCAACTGCTGCTAGTTGAATGGAGGCAAAGATGAGTTAATGATGCCATTAATTATGTGCTTGCTTGAATTAGTTTGCAATGGTTTTTCTAAAATCAGCTCGGTCTTGTCTTTTTTCTTCAGCCTTGATCCTATTCTTCTCCTTTTGTTTGTGTCACATCTGTTTTCTTGTTATGTTTTAAATCTTCTGTGCCATGTGCAGATTAAACGGGAGATTTCGACCATGAAATTAATAAGGCATCCTAATGTCATTCGTTTGTATGAGGTGAGCCTTAAACTTATTTGGTCTATCATTAGTGGATCAGCTCGGGTCATTATACAATTGTCATTTGGAAGCTGTGATTAAGAGACACGCCTTATGCATGTATGCATTTGTATTTACACCATGCTGAGCAATTGAATATATTCTCATGTAGGTCATGGCCAGCAAGACAAAGATATATATTGTTATGGAATTTGTCACTGGTGGAGAACTCTTCGACAAAATTGTATGTTCTGATATGTTTCACTCTACAAACAGGCATAATGGCAGTTCCTTCCACTCTGTATAAGTGGATCAATGTTGGTGTTTCTTTTTGCCAGGCTACTAGAGGAAGGTTGAGAGAGGATGAAGCTAGAAAATATTTTCAGCAGCTTATCAATGCTGTGGACTATTGTCACAGCAGGGGTGTTTACCACAGGGACCTTAAGGTAGTTGACCTATATCACTCACAAGAAAATCTTGTTAAAAGATGAAATATTGACTTTTATGTCACATATACTTTTTTTACAGCCAGAGAATTTGTTGCTTGATGAGAAGGGACTTCTGAAGGTCTCAGATTTTGGATTGAGTGCTCTCCCTCAACAAGTTCGGGTAAACTGTTTTCATTTATGTTTCAAAAAATCAATGTGATGATGTCCATGCCTGTAGCCCTTAATATCTTCTGGGCTTTACACTGGCTCCATCAACCTCTATGTAGCTTCTGTCAAAATTTTTATTGTATAGAAACTCATCATTTTTGCTCTGTAATTAGGAGGATGGATTGCTACACACAACCTGCGGGACACCAAATTATGTTGCTCCTGAGGTATCGAATCAACTTGTGACTACTTGTAACTTTCTGAGTTTCTTCAAATGAATCTGTTTTGGTGAGTGACCCCCTTTTTTCTCCATGATTTTGCAGATCATCAACAATAAAGGTTATGATGGGGCAAAGGCGGACCTTTGGTCTTGTGGTGTCATTCTTTTTGTACTCATGGCTGGTTATTTGCCCTTTGAAGAATCAAATATTCAGGCATTGTACAAAAAGGTGAGTTCTGTCGTGATAATATTGGTTTGGGATTTTGGCATATTCTCGTGGTTATTCCAAGTTCTTGAAATTGTTTCATTGTGAGGTACTATTAGAAGTTGAACCTGTTGGATTCGTAATTTTGCGTGACTGCAGATATTTAAGGCCGACTTTACATGCCCCGCTTGGTTTTCTGCGAGTGCTAAGAAATTAATCAAAAGAATTCTTGACCCCAATCCATCAACGGTGTGTGCGTATGCTTTCGTCATGTGGCAATTGCCTAATATATTTTGTGATTCAATTGCTACTGAACATTGGTTATTTCACTGTGCGAAACAGCGTATTACAATTGCCGAGGTCATTGAGAATGAATGGTTCAAGAAAGGATACAAACCTCCTGTTTTTGCACAGGAGGAAGTTAATCTAGATGATGTTAATTCCATATTTAATGAATCACAGGTTGGTATACTTGCTTTGCTCTGCATATTTATTCTATGAATTCCCATGGGCGTCTGGAATCTTGCTACCATAAATGTTTGATGATTTCCTATCGTACAGGATTCTTCAAACTTAGTTGTGGAGAGGCGAGAGGAACGGCCGTCAGCTGCACCTGTTACCATGAATGCTTTTGAGCTTATCTCTACGTCACGCGGTCTCAATCTCAGCTCCCTCTTTGAAAAGCAAATGGTATGATGTCCAGATTCCGAGTTTGGATCACTTGATTCTTCAAATCTTGCTACTCCCTGACATTGTTTTCGACTAGCAGGGGCTTGTGAAACGAGAAACAAGATTTACATCAAAATGCCCTGCCAATGAGATCATCTCAAAAATTGAACAAGCTGCTGGACCCATGGGTTTCGATGTCAAGAAAAACAACTACAAGGTGAGTCATATACATTTTGTTACATTCCCCCTTCACCTCTGATTTTGGTCATCGTTCTTCTCAGATGAAACTTCAAGGCGAAAAATCAGGGCGCAAGGGCCATCTATCGATTACAACAGAAGTACGTTTCTTAGTAATGTCTGCAATTCTTGCTGATATTATACCGCAGCTTTGTTAAACAAAGGTATATAAATATACAGGTTTTTGAAGTGGCTCCTTCGCTGCACATGGTCGAGCTTCGCAAGGCTACAGGAGATACATTAGAATTCCACAAGGTATTATTAAGCTTAACCTTCTTGCCCTTTGTTACAACTCGTGGGCTTTATCCGTTTCACTCCATTTACAGTTTTACAAGAACCTGTCAACTGGGTTGAAAGACGTCGTCTGGAAAGCACCCGACGAAGAAAATAATCAAGAAAATAATGTACGTAGTTCTTCTTTAAGATGCAAGTTGTGTTTGTAAAACTCTCAGATGGAAATTTTATCATGTGTTTTTTTGCAGGTGGCGGCATCGTCTCTGAAGACGTGATTTTGTAAACCCTTATGGTTTTTTCAACATGAGCATGAGAAAGAAAAACAAAATGAATTACAATGTGTTTCTTTTACTTTGACTTGTTTGCAAACTCATTTAATTCAGCTCCAACCAGATCAAACTGTACACTTGTTTTTTTTTTTATCAGATATTGCAACTGTGCTTTTCATTTTCGAAGCGTGTTTTCAAATACATCTGGTTTAGCACTTAGTATTTTATTTTTTTTTTTGTAGCTGTTAAAACTTAAAACTAAAAAAGCAGGACGGACGGGGCAAGACATCTCACCCAATCCGTTGAAATCCGCATGCAGCCAATGAAGTTGGGTCGGGCGGCCACGTGTCGGCCACGTGACGGTTGCAGGATCGGATAATGGCTGTACAACTAACTACCACAATTCTGAAACTAGACCAATTCCAGCTCCTTCTGTAATTCTCTTCCACAACCACTTCACGGCGGAGACACCATGCCGCCGTCGTTACGGCCGTTCATGCGCGTCTCCTCTCCGATAGTCGTCATGAATTCAGAACAGCGGAGCAATCTATTTACAGTCAAGCCAAAAACTGTCCTCCACCACCACCCGCTATACCAATCGACGCATTCGAACCTCTCCTTCGAATTCAAGGAAAAAATCCTGTGCCTCGAAATAATTGGCGTCGATTCCGGCAGAGCATTATCTCAAAATCCGTCTCTGCACGCCGCCTCGCTGGATTCGATCCACGCCATTGTTTCATTCCTCCAATCCAAAGGTATCCACCTGAAGGATTTAGGCCGAATCATCGGTATGTGCCCCTCGCTTCTAACTTCCGACATCAAATCTGAACTCAATCCGGTCTTCAATTTCCTCGCATACGACCTCAGAGTTCCGGAACAAAATTTCAGAAAAGTAATCACCAAATGCCCTAGACTCTTAGTTTCGAGCGTCAGAGACCAATTGAAGCCAGCTTTATTTTACCTCCAAAGGCTAGGGTTCGAAGACCTGCACGCATTAGCTTATCAAGATCCGATCCTTCTGGTATCGAGCGTGGAGAAAACTCTGATACCTAAACTGGATTACCTCGTCAGCTTAGGCTTCTCCAAAGCCGATGCAGTGGAGATGGTTTTGCGATGCCCTGCGCTGTTCACCTTCAGTGTCGACAACAATTTCAAGCCGAAATTCGAGTATTTTGTGGAAGAAATGAAAGGCACACTGGAGGAGTTGCAGCAATTTCCACAGTATTTTACCTTCAGCCTGGAGAAACGGATAATGCCCCGCCACATGGAGGCTGCGCAGAGAGGCGTAAAGGTTCCGCTGCCATTGCTGCTCAAAAGCACCGACGATGAATTCACAGAATTACTGTTATGGCAGGGGGCCTGACAGAATGTATGTATGTAAATTTTAATTTGCAGGTTGCAATAATTTCGGTACAATAAATAACTTAAATAAATTAGATCCAATTCCGAAAGGTGTAATATGGTTTATCAATAATTCACGTATTTCCAGTGGACAAGTATCTGCAAGTTTTTTTGGTCCAAATTGTTTGGGCTTTCAAAACATCGAGGCTCAATGGGCCATCTGAAGGCCCATATTCTTACCAGTGTAGTTGAGAAAATTGGGAGGCCCACTTCCCTGCTTCCATGGCTGAAGGGGAGCCACACGGAGTGTGTGACTCAAAGTTTGGTTCTTCGCAGGTGTTTTGGTTTTCATCGCAGAAGAGCTGACCTGACTGGATAGTTCTGATCCTCTTTCCTGGAAAGCCAGGGTTTATCTTTCCTTATTTGCGTCTTGGCCGCCTATCCAAGGTACGGAAACAAGGTCTCGCCGTCTCGGACCAAAACGATAAGAGTAGGAAATAGGAGATGTTGTACGCAAGGGGGCTGACCCGGATAGCGAGGTCTTGTTACGGCCGGCGCCGATGGATGAACTCTTCATTAGGAAATGTCCCCGGCCCCTCGCTCCTCGAGCACTCCAGCCGCCTTCGCTCCCCAGGTCAATCTTTTCAAGAGGTAAGCGATGCGTGAGTCGATGTACTTTTAGGTTTATCTTTTGTTTTCCTTTGTTAAGGTGTTTGGAGTGCGTGGTGTTTATTCTCCTTGGTTTTAATTTGCGAACTGTAATGTCTATTCGACTTGATCTGATTTTCTCGAATGATTAGTTACGGTTAATTTTATTATTAATTTTGTGTTTTTAGTGAGTTTTTAAATATTATTACCAAAACTGTATCCTAAGGCGAGTGGTGTTGGAACTGCATGCGATTCCCTAATTTTTTAAGCGACTCCGTTAATGGTAAAGTGTTGTAATAATAGTCTTCTGTCCCTGAATTTTTACTTGATGCGGAATGAGGAAGTTAGGCTTGTTGACCATTTTATTTTAATTGATGATGTTTGTTTGTTTGGGGGTTTGGATTTTGTTTTGGGATTTGAAAAATAAAATGTTTGAATTTGAATATTTGTATGAAACAATATAAATAGATATTGATGTCATTTTGAATGAAAAATTATTTTTTAATTTAATATGAAAAGTGAAAAATAAGTATTTGATTTGATATTTTTTAAGAAATTTTTTTCAGTGAATAGGAAAAATTTATCGTATGCCTATTAATAGTTAGAGAAGCGATGCCTGATGAGTACTGTGTTGAGTAAAGATCTGTATGGGGTCCATGTATCACATTCCTAGCTATCTAGCTATTCATCTCTTGCTATTATTTATTTTAAAAATTGATGTAAGTTGGTGTATTTTTTCGTTTGGTCTGTGCTGTTGTGAACATTGAATTTCATTTGCATACATATAATCTTTTTGTTCCTCAAGTTGTATTGCAAGTTATTTGTTTAGCTGCCACAAATTAAAATTTTGATTTTTTGTGTATTAATTTTGTTGCTGGTGATTAGTAGGCTTTGGGTTGCAGAGTTATTTCTTCTTGGGTTTCGAATGCTGTTAGTACTATTGGGCAACAGGCTGCAGATGAGGTTTGTGCAATTCTTTGTTGTCTTGATTAAATTGCTTTGATTTGTGCTTGTTGGTGAATACAGTTGAAGTGTACATTTTTTTTTTCTCATTATTTTGATATCTGTTATGGATGTACTCCCTTTAAGCTTCGTGTTAAATATCTCTTGGATGTTTGCTTAACTGACAGGAGCCACTGGATCCTTTTTCTCTTGTTTCTGATGAATTGTCTACTCTTGCAAATCGCTTGAGGTCCATGGTAATTGCAGAGGTATCTGATTTGTAAATTTTTTTGTTTTTCCCAAAAGAGAAATAAATATTTGGGCTTGCATTAAGTTTTCTTATTGATGGTGAAGTTCCTTCTCTTTGATATCTTGTAGGTTCCCAAGCTTGCCTCTGCTGCAGAGTATTTTTTCAAGATGGGGGTTGAAGGAAAAAGATTTCGACCCACAGTAAGTTCTTTATTTAGCATTTGGTGCATCTGCATTTCTTCTTCTTCTTCTGCCTCAGACATGTATTGAAAATGTTATGGCTTCTGTTCTTCTAAATTACAAATACAGAAAAATGCATGGTTTGAAAAGGTTGCTGTGTTAGCTCATGCCTGCTAGCACACCGTTTCATTATTTCATTTTGCTGGAACTGGAAGGTTAATAAATGGAATCGATTACTTGGTTCAATTTACATTCCCTTATAGATTTGTTAAGGCTATTTGAAGTTCCAATACCTGGGGACTCCTTCGGACGTCCACATCGCTTCAGACTCTGTAGTTCTGTTGTCAAGAATTTAAATGGTCAGTTGACTAATTGATGCCTCAAAAATGAGTTGTTGGAGTACTATCAGATTTCAGGAATTCATTGCGATTTTCTAATCTTGTCTTATTCAAGTTACACTAGCATGCCATTAGTTTGATGATGAAGATGAAGTCAGAAGAATGCCACAATTATCCATTGAAAGAGAAGTTATCTATGGGTTATGTTGTAAACTTTTCACTTGATGTGAATGCAACATATATTTTTTTAAGTTTCACATGCATAAGTATAGAAGAGAATTGCAAGCATATTGATTATCAACTCAATTTATCTTGTGTGAATGAGAAACGGCATCATTTGTGTTATTGAAAGTGTTAGCTGTCTATTCACCTTACTAGTTAACATTCCTTACAGGTTCTATTGTTGATGGCAACTGCTTTAAATGTGCCAATGCATAGGTCACTTTCTGAGACTGCAGCTGCAACTGATACCTTGCCTGCTGAACTGCGGTCAAGACAACAATGTATAGCTGAGATCACAGAGATGATCCATGTTCGTACACTATTGACTTTTTGGTGTTTAACCTCATTCGTACACTTATGCATTCAACACATATACATGATGCATGCTGAAACTATTTTTCATACCATTCCAAGCCAGGACGCTAATCTGGTTGGTGCTGGTGAACACGGACTAACTTCGCATTTGAAGTGTGATTCAAGCATAAGTCTAGTTTACAACCAACCCATGATCTGGATTTTGTTTTGGCCTTTCTACGCATGATCTTTGTGATCATATATTTTCATGTGAAGCTTATGGATAGATGTTGATGTGGGTATTTAAAAGAAATATCTTTTATCATTATCTGTATAGATTAATGAACGTTTCACTCGGAGTGGTGCGGATTGGTACTTGTGTTTGACCGCTTTAGTAATTCATTATCTCATTGTAGGTTGCTAGTCTCCTCCATGATGATGTGTTGGATGATGCAGATACCAGAAGAGGGATTGGTTCATTAAATTTTGTGATGGGAAATAAGGTACTTTATATCCCTACCAAATGAAAAACTAGCATGTGAGTCTGAGAGGCTATTTGCAAAAGGGTGGCAATGTTCTTTCTTCATATAACATTTAGCATAGGAGTTGCAGCATCTTATGATGGGAGTTTGATCACTTTTTGTGTTTTTCTCAGAGGAGCTCTTTTGGCATATTTGCATCGTTCCTTTATTCCTTATAATCATATAATTGAGGACTGCATTCATTTTTTGAATAATTCATACTCTCTTTTGTAAGCACAAACTCATAGACAGACACTCAATCAAGCCCAATGTATTTGACCTTTTGTATCTTCTGTTTGGTGTCGTATATGAAGCATTTAATTTCTAGTAATGAATTTTCTCTTCATATTCTGGTTGATTTTGTTTGTGCACCCATAGGGAAGTCCAAATGGCATTTCTTCATGTTGTTCAACTGATAGTAGTTTAGTGAATCGTGCTCCACAGATAGGGAATGATTTTAGTAATCATATGATATTGACCATATTTTCTTAAATATAATTCCACGTGTAATTAATTCTTATAATTAGCTCTCAGCTGAGGTATATCATTGTGTCTGTTTAATTTTGACTTCCAGTGTTAATTGCAGTTAGCTGTATTAGCGGGGGATTTCCTGCTATCAAGAGCATGTGTGGCACTGGCCTCATTAAAAAACACTGAGGTACGCATTATCTTTTAATTGTTTCATTTTCTTATAGTTCCATGATCCAGCACTTTATGTGTTTTCTAAATATGAAGAAATATGCTATGATTGGATGTCAACTAATACTTTATGTTGATTTCGGTACTGGCGTAACCTACTCGCTTCAGATGTACTAAGATCATTTTTGTTTGCTTCATTCTACTAATTCACATTCCAGGTTGTTTCCCTCTTGGCTCAAGCTGTGGAACATTTAGTTACTGGTGAGACAATGCAAATGACAACCACCTCTGATGAGAGATTAAGGTACGCAGCTTCGGTTGCTAATTCTTCAGCATCAAATTTGTCTTTTGTTTTGTTATAATGTTATCAGGCTAAGTTCTTTCTATACCAATTTTTTGTTTCATTAGCAAACCTTAGCTAATTCTTTTGATATTGCACTTTTCAGTATGGATTACTATATGCAGAAGACATACTACAAAACTGCTTCGTTAATTTCAAATAGCTCCAAGGCTATTGCCGTTCTTGCTGGACAAACATCAGAAGTTTCAATGCTGGCTTATGAATATGGAAAAAATCTGGTCAGTGCAATCCTATGATATGCATTTTTTTTTTATTGATTAGTGACAGTGTTTTTTGATGGGTAACAAGTTAGCATCGTTATCCTTAATTTGATGTATTGTAACTACTGGTTTCTAGAGACCCTGGTTAACTTGGTTTTGCCTTTCAATATTTCTATTCATGTATGCGCCGATGCAGGGGTTAGCTTATCAGTTAATTGATGATGTACTGGATTTCACTGGCACATCAACATCCCTTGGGAAGGGCTCCTTGTCCGATATTCGCCATGTATCGTTTCTGAACTTTTTTGCTTTGAGTTCTGACCAATTGAAATCATATTTTGTTGCAAAAGTAATATGACAACCTTCTCTTGCGCACTGTAACAAGCTTTATTTATTTGTATAATTTATCTTTTTTTGGGTGGGGGGGCACATTTGCCAGGGAATTATAACTGCTCCTATATTGTTTGCCATGGAGGAGTACCCTGCGCTGCGAACTGTTGTTGATCAAGGATTCGATGATTATGCGAATGTAGACATGGTAAGTATTTTATGAACCTACTCCTTTTCCCGCACTCAAATAATTTCAATTGGTCCCTCATGGATATTTGCTGCAGGCTTTAGATTTTCTTGGAAAGAGTCAAGGATTACAGAAGACTAGGGAGTTGGCAGCAAAGCATGCTAGCCTCGCTTCAGCTGCCATAGATTCCTTTCCTGAGAATTATGACGAAGATGTCCAAAGGTCGAGGAGGGCACTTGTAGAATTAACACAAAGAGTCATCAACAGAACGAAGTAAGGATAGTAAATTAAACTCCTGCGCAGACACATCAGGAATCGGAAAAGATTTCTTGCTTATTAGCCACGACGATGGAGAAGTTTTGTTTTTTGTTCAGCATATGTTATTGGGTTATTCAATTCAAAGTTAAAAATAAGTTTCTGCCAGGGAAAACCTCTGCAGTAAGATATATATATATATATATATAATACATATATAGATGCATATTTATGTGCTGGCGTGTATAATTCAATTTAATTAGGTTTACTTGAAGACTTAGAGGAATTGATTGATCTGAAGCATGCCTGGATCTGTTTTAAAGCTGTTCGAGTGTTTGTGCTTTGAATTGTATAATGGGATCTGTGGACAAATTATATCTCACAAGGAAATTACAGATTGGGCCTCCGAGAACTAGGGCACAGGAAGATTGACGAGCCTGGAAAAATGGCCCTAGAATCATTAATAGCCCAGCTTTGGCAGGCAGATGGGCCTCCCAACCTCGGCCCGCAAGGTACAGCTAATACACATTGGGCCCTCTATAGCATTGGCCCATAACGATTGTGGCACAGAACTATGGCCCATTTAAATTGGGTTCAGGAAGGTTAGCCATAATGTCCCTCCAGAATAATTGGTCATACGAAGTGAGCCCTTAGAGAAATGGGTTGACCATCCGGAACCAAGGCCCAGAAGTTGGGGCATACATAACAGATTGGCACGGCCCAGAATTATGGACCATAAATATTGGGCCAACACAGAACTATGGCCCATTTGAATTGGGTTCAGGAAGCTTGGCCCGTAACGTCCCTCCAGAATAATTGGAATTGGGCCCTCAAACAAATGGGTGGACCATCCAGAACCAAGGCCCAACAATTGGGGCGTACATAACAGACAGGCACGGCCCAAAACTACGGCCTATACATATTGGACCAACACGCTAAGGCCCATAATTTAGGTTGTGCACTCTAGAACATTGGCCCATATATATGGCGGCCTATAAGCCCATTTATGCTGGGCCCAAGGACCTTAGTGCACACAGATGGGTCGTCAGTTGGGCCACACGTTGACACACACATGGCTCGTATATATTGGGCTCAGTACCTTATGTATTATGGATCGAGGTTAGACAAGGCCCAAAAGCCCATAGAGATTAGGCCGCACACAATTTATGGCCCACACATATTGGCCTGTCCGCAACCTCGGCCCAGAACGTTGAACCAGGTAATTGGGCCGATTCAGAAATATGACCCATATATTGGCCCATATGAATTGGGCCCCCTGATTGTCAGTACAAGAGGATTGGGCCGTACAGATCATTAGCCCAGAGAGATTAGACAGCCCAGTCATATCGGTAACCTATGCCCAGGCATATTGACCCGCCGCTGACCGTGGCCCAGAGTATTAGCGCGTGTTTGTTTGAGAAATTTCGGAAGATTGTCTTTTTTTAAAAAAAAAAAAACATAAAAAACATCTACTCAAGTCCAATCCATTTGGACCTCTTAAAGGTTCTAACCAAGGAGCACGCAGATCCTAAAAACGCATAGTTTCCCCCCATTACTAAATAAAATCATTTCAATTTTTATATTAAACAAATTAATTTTGCATTCAAAATATAATATGAAACACCAATTAACATCTTATCAAATAATTATTCTAATTAAAATTTCTATTATTAAAGCCTAAGCCCAATCCAAACCCCTAAACAAACACAAGCTTCTGACGCACAGCAGAGATGGTGAGCATGGTAACATAAATTGCTTGCTAGCATTAATAATAATCTGTAACTTCTGCATTCACTAAAATAATCCATAATCATACACAACTCAGGCATTTTACCATTCTTCCTGCATCACATAGGCTGCAAAACGGCATCTCGAAGAGCCCACTAATTTACCAGCAAAGTTTCATCCACAAATGGCATCATGAGAGCCAAATGATTCCCAAGCATCCTATAATAACACCAACAAACATTGGTTTTCTTCTATTCATGCCATCATCTTCAAAATAAGCAACAGCAACATATGAAATATGATGAAATGACTAAACTAAACAAACCTGGAGTAGAGAAAATGCTTTCTCTGCAATATATTTTTGGGTTAGAGTAGCACCCCGTTGTTGCAGTTTGTCGGGATGGAGGCACAACCGTGCTTTCTGATATGCTTTCTTCACTTGCAATACTTCAATTAGGTTTGTCAAAGGTATGCTCAACCATCCACTGCTAGGCCACAGAATCTATATGAGGAGGAAACATGGCCATTGTTAATTAAGTTTGGCATGAGCCACATTTGTTAATCATTATCAAAGACTAGTAGGAAATGCAGGCATTGAAATCTTTCTCACATGATGCAAAGAAGATAACAGCAATCGGATGTCAGATTCCTTTCCAATTGACCACAGCCTTATCTTTTCATCCAGCAGTTCCACTTCCGTTTGTACCTTCCATGGTTTACTCAAGAAATTAGTCCTTATTTTATAGGGAAAACTGTTTCATCCGAAGCAGGTGTTATATAGCAAGCACACCATGGTGAAGACACAAAAATGCTAGTAATCATTTGAAATCCAGTAAAATGATAACACAAAACAAGATATAAACACTCAACTAGTTTCAGGGATTACTTCTTCCGGAAAAAAAAAAAAAAAAGAAAGAAAAGAAAATAGTGATAGTGATGAGCTTCTAAAATCATGATTTACAATAATGGAGTTCATTTTCGGTTAGAAATAGGACAAAAACAAGGATCTCATGTGCATAAAATTGAAATATGTCACATTACCATGTTTCCAAGCTGTCTTGTTTCTTCTCCTGCTACCCACTTTTCATGTGGTCCATCCTACCAAATGTGAAACATAAAAGGGAAATAGCTCATATCACTCCACACTATCACAAGGAGAGGTTCACATGTAAGACATCATCTGTTGATCCAAAACAATCTAGAAATCCAACATCTATAAAAACTTGTTGATGAATAAATACCAAAGAGCATAAACTATCAGTGTGCACTGCAGAATTGTGATGTCCCTTCAACATTTCTGCACAGATTCAATCAACAAGGAACAATCCACATTACCATCACATATTTCAGTCTAAAAACCATGTTTAAGAACACATATGGAAATAAGAAAAAGTGACTCAAACCTTCTGGGAGTTTTTCTCTCTCACATTCTTGCACAGGACAGTGCGTTTGAAACTTCTCTTTCGCCCAAGCAATTGCTTCATCAACCCCATTTGATTCACATGTCCCTTCCCTGTTATGAGAATTAATTTCAATCACATAAGAGCTCATCACTTCATTTTCATCTAGTTCAACTGCATATTGTTTCAATTTCTGCTCCTCAATTGTGTGTAACCCATGCTCCCTGTCCCCTTCACTAACTGTAGAAACTGCAGGTGATATTGGTGAGTTGTGCTCTAAATCATCTGCAGACACTCCAAAACTGCCATTTGATACAGGTTCCAGACTAATTGTCTCTGGAGATCGATTCCGTGGATTTACTCGAAAAGTGCAGCTTCTTGATTTCTCACCGCAATCATTATCAGTGCTGCCAATGGATTGATTCCCTGCAAAGTTATGCACGTCCTGTTGGGTTTGGTAATCTTCATGCCCCTTTCTTCTTGAAGTACACCTTGACTTGACATTTATTGGCCTGCAAAGATCCAAAACTTACCATAAGAGTAGCTCACCAACCAATAAACAAAAATTTGTCCCAACTGTATCCAATCTTCAAATTATCAATTCAGCTTGGGCGGGATTTTATTTGGCACTGTAGTTAGAATCTACCCTAATGCTGCTCTATGCAATTTCAGATAAAACTTTCCTATTCCGTTGACTTAGATATTCTGGTGATGCTCATTGAATGAATCCAGACACAGTTGCAATAAAATAAAAAAGCAAAAGACATTTGAAAGAAAACAGACATCAACAGTGGCGGTCTGTGAGTGTGAGTCAACAATCAACAAAAACATCAAATCAGGGACTCACCTGAGTTGTGAGGCCAAAAAGGCAAAATCATCGCCGCCATCACCGGAAACCGCTGGTCGGAGAGGACTGAGATCATCCGGACTCAAAATAGACGACGAATTTGTCTTTGACCTGGATCTCGACCTCACCACCGCTTCATCCTCCCACCCAAAGATATCGCTATAAAAACCAGTATTCTCACGTTTGTCCTGATATCTGTCGCTCATCTGCACAGGAATCCTGAACTGCGGCAAGCTTCGTCCGTTCCTCCTCACAGGTTGCGGCGGCGGCGCCTTCTCCGCAGGCAGGAAAATCTCCTCGTAAGAGAAACTCGCGGAGGAGTACGATGACCTTGGGAAGCCGGTGGAGAACTGGCGGGAAAGAATCGTTCTAGGAGGCCCACCGAACACATCACTGAAGTCTTCGGCGTCCAAATTAGCGTCATCGGAAGGAGGTTTGGGGCTCTCCACCGCCGATCGCCGGTGAAGGTTGCCAGGGATATGACGAGCCGTCGCTTGCAGCGGTGGCGCTGCAGGCATTCCCATCCTCAGCCTCCATGAATCGTCCATTCTCTAACTTCTCCGGCGACAAGTTGTCCGTTTGCGGCGGCGGTGCGGCAGAGCGTGTATGAGAGCAGTGATTACAGCTAATTATTAGCCATTTGCATGCGTTTGTTTATACTGCGCCAACAGCATACGTTATGACACATATAATTACCCGGGACTCCAAGGCCCACACCATCCGTGGCCTCGGCCCCACTATCCCCACATCCAGCGGTCCGGATTTAACAAGGACCAAGCTCCAGGGACCCCCACTTCCAAAGCTGCACCTCTTCATCTCATCATCTTTTGACCATATATCATCTATGATGCATTTCCAAATAATAATAATAAATCATTAGTTGAAATTACAAACAATTTAAAAAACATTTTCTTCTTCGTTATAGTATGCTGGCCATAATTAATCACATCACAGAAAATCCGCATATACATAATAAAATTTGAAGCGGGTCCGGGACTACCGCTATAAGCATGGAGTAGTAGAAATTTAGTAACGACGGTTCCTGCTTATCTGGAAAGCTGCTTCTCATTGATTTAGCCCCCTGACCTGATCTGATTTATCATCGTTTTATAAAATAATTAAATAACAAATATGCAGTTGGATAATTTGCGCGTGCCGCCACCACCACCCACTTCAATACGTAAACCTGCTTCAACTTTAAAGGTCAGACCAAAATTGAATAAACTTAATCAATTACAATTAACTGCAGAGGATTAATCAAGAAACATCAACTATGAAGAGATATTTCGTAAACAAACCAAAGGGTGACAATAATAATAACAAAGTCATGTGATAATGTTGGCGTGAGTGATGATGGTTGTAGTTCCTAATCAGCTATAATGGTAGGACTGTAGTGTAGTGTAGTCCATGATGTGTTCTTTTCAATCCATTCAAAATGAAAGTTATTATTATTATTAATGAGAAATGGCAAAACCACTCATTTGATTGTTCATGCTGCCATTCAATGAAGGAAGATAGAAGAGGTATTTTCCTTTTCTCCACTTGGTTTCTGTACTGTGGCTTTTGTATTTGTGTTGTGTGTGGGGGGTGGGGGTGGGGGTGGGGTGCTTCAACATTTAAAAATCAATACAATCATTCAGTAGTTCCACCACCACCAAAAGTAGATCAACAGTTGTTGTCCCTAGTCAGATCAGCCCACAAAGCAATATTAAGGACAATTTGAAAGAATGTTTACAGTGAATACATTCTAATATGAACCAAGTTTGGAGATGTACCATCATCATCGTGGCCATCTGAGACAAAGGAACAAACACTATCTGATGTTATAAACTAATAATTCACCTACTCAGCCTTAGTGTTCCTACATAGAATAGGGAGGGAGAAAAGTAACATCCAATGTGATTTGGAAAGGGTGGATGGGGTTAATGCAGTTTATTGATTCCAGATGACAGTTGTTTGCACACAGCACTTCCACAAAGTTTTTGTCCATTGCATTTGAGTTTATAGCAACACAAATTTGAAAGTTAGTGAAAGAGAAGGCAGAATTGTGAGATTGATCGACGCGTGGGTGCACTCAAGAAAAACAATACATGTGATGCAGTGCAACTCTAAGGCTGTAGGTTTTGTATCCAAATGAATTCGAAAACTAATGAGAATAGAGGGGCTAGAGGTCTATAGCTATGCATTGCAAACAAGAATCAACGTTCAGATTGTTGAAAAGCACTGTATCTAAGGTCCAGATTTGTGACAAACTTGGTCCAGCTTCTAACAAGAGTTTAATCAGAACAACATGCTCTATGCATTGCCACATGCTGTTAACAAATTCAAATCGAAAAAGGAAATATATGCATCTCATGTCATGTGCACAAGGGATAGGAAATGCATGTTTAGTCTACGTCTATGTGGCATCAGGGGGGATCATATGCAATTATCAAGGGAACATGTAACATTCTGCAGAGAATGTGAGGCCATAATTGGTTTCTTATAATCAATCTAATTTATTATGAGAGCATTTTTGTATAGTTTCTAAAACTGTGTTGTTTGTTTCATTTGTAATGCATTGAAACTAAATCCTACGTTTATAGGCAACTTAAACACTCCACTCAGTGGTCAAGAGAAAAAATCTGTGGTGCTTACAGTTTCCAGCAATGCTACACCCACAAGAAAAAAACGCTTCAAGAAACTTTAGAGAAAGTTTGTAAAAGAAATGCCCCACTAAGAGAAGAGAGTAAATAGAATCCTATGCAAGAAATAACCATACCTGTAACCTATGAAAGTTCAGCAATCAGTGAACAATGAACTCACATCTTAGAATACTTTGACATGAACAGAATAACCTTGATTTGTTTCCAGTCAACAACTCAACTGCAATAACAAATGAAATTCAATCAGTAATAAGTTATTGCTAGAATTGATTTCCATGGAGCTATTTACTGTCTCTAGTGAATTTCCTGGAATGCAAATTAAAATCAGAATAACATATCAGAATTCAATACACTAGCATTTTAAGAGAAGATATCCAAGACATTCTTTTGAAGCTAAAACTAGAACTCACTTTTCTAAAGGTGCAATCAGTTTAGTGTCCCCAAGTGTGGTGCGAAAATTCCCTTGTAGATAACAAACCAGGGGAGAGATAAATAAACCAACTAAAGTGTCCCGACCAATAGTAAAGATCCAATTGCCCAGGCTGCACTTATTCTGATGCATGGTCCAAAAAACAAATCCTGCCTCTTCTCAAACTAGAAACCTTCTTAACAGAGATGTCAGCTTGATAATGATAGACATTTTGTTAGGCAACATTGATCTCACACCAAGTTGGTATCAAGTTTTCCTAGGGAATTTCATCTCATATCTAAAAATAGTCAAATCAGCATATTCAAACTTTTCACTGATTCTCATGAAACAGTGAATCAGTGGAGAAACCAATGATACTTTAAAATGAAGCACCATTAAGTTCAATGCATGAGTGTAACTTCCCCAATAAGTTGGCATATCAGTTCATACATTTTGCTTGAGCTGAACTGAATGCTTTGTGTGGTAACAACATTTTCTGCATAGCCTGAACTAAAACAGAAAAGATATGTGAACTAAAAATAGGTAGCACTGATTGCAGGTTAATCATGAAGAACATTCATATCCCACCCGTTCACCCCGAGGAGGAACAGATCCACGCTCAACAAACCGCATTATAAGCTTATCTGCCTCGTCTAATTTCTTCTCTAGAATCAATTTTTTACTTACTTCCTCACACAGCTTTAAGTCAGGAACTAAATTCCGGTTAAACATCCTACAAGCCACTCTATATGATCCAAGAGGATTCCCATTCTTCAGATAACTTCTCATAATAATGTGGCAAGTATTCTTGTCAAATGTAGATGCTTTTCTCAGAACCTTCTCCAAGAGCTCATATGCTTTATCAGTGTGTCTAAAACAGCAGAGCTTTTCGAGGATCTGATTATAAACAGTTTTGCAGTTTTTCCTCAGAAGCATTTTATCCATCAATTTCAACAAATCATCAACTCTTCCATGCTGACAGAAATGGTGGATGAGTGACCGATATGTTACTGGTGTAGGAAGTAAACCACAGTGGAGCATTTTCTTGGTCATTTCTGTAGCCTCACTTATTTTACCATTCCTTCCTAGAGCATCAATAACTACTGTGTATGTTACTTCATCAGGGTGTTTGTTATTCAAATACATGTCATCCAGGACAGAGAGAGCAGCATCCAGATCATCCTTCTGACAGAATCCATGAATTACAGTTGTAAAATTCACAACATTGACAGCACACCCACTTTTCAGGCACTCCTCCATTATTTTTCTTGCTTGATCTGTTCTGCCTGCTTGACAAAGAGACTGAATCAAGAGGTTAATCTCAACAGGAGAAGGATAAAAGCCCTTTCTGATCATTTCCCTCAACATATCACAGGCCTCAAACAGCTTCCCTTCACGGCGGAACCCATGCATAACTACACTGTAAGTTACAGCATTTGGCATCCACCACCCTTCACTCATATTCATCATCTCTCTTGCCTCTGAAGAATTTCCACTCTGACACAGCCCATTTAACAATGCTGTATAGGAGACACAGTTTGGCTTACAACCATGCTTGTACATATGCTGCAGCATTTTTTTAGCTTGATCAACCTCTCCTAGACGGCAAAATCCATCCACAACTGCAGTATAAGTCACAACATCCGGGGTGCATCCTTTCAACAACATTTCCTCAACAATATATTTTGCTCTGTCCATTCTTCCCTCTTGACAAAAGCAGTTTAGTATTGCAGTGTGGCCCATTTTATCGACACAGAACCCTCTTTCTTCTGCTTCATGCAGAAACTTTAGTGCCTCTTCTGCATGGCCATACTTTGAAAGCATATGTATGACAGTATTATAAGTAACTTGATCAGGCAACAACTTATTCTCTCTCCACATCCTCTCAATGACCCCTCTCAATTCATCAATTCTTCCATCTTTGCACAAATATCCCATTACTGTATAGTAGGTAACCTTATCTGGAGAACAACATCTTAGAGGCATTTCAGAGATTACCTTCATTGCTTCTTCAACCTGGTTCCTTTCACAATAACACTTGATCAAGCAGTTATAAGTGATGACATTAGGTTCAATCCCAATTACCTGCATTCTCTGTATAAACCTTAACACCTTCTCCAATCTCTTCCTTTCCACCAAAACATTAAGTGCAGTGTTACATATCAAGATATTAAGCTCAACTCTTGCTCTCTGCAAGAGATTCAATAACTGCATTGCTTTCCTCAAATGTCCTGCCCTACTGAAAGACACCATTGCACAACAAAAATCTTCAGGCCAAATTTCAATCTTCCTCCGCATCATAAGCAGAAGTATACGCTTAGCTCCCTGACACAATTTAGTCTTACCAAGAACATTAAGCATTGCATGATAAACGAGTGGATTGTGCCTGTAACGCCATTGCCTGTCCGCCCAATAGAAGAAATTTAATGCAACTCTTTCATCAGACTGCGATTGGAGTACAGCACAAACTTGGATAGGCTTCAAACTGCGCAACAAGCCCCTTAACTCCCATTCAAGCTTTGGAGTCCATGCTGCCCTTCGATCGACCAACCTACAAATCTCTCTTACCAAGGGATGCCTCAATTCTTCTTCACCCACCTCGATTCTTCTAGGAACCTCACTTCTATGTTTGTTCGAGACACATGAATCCAAAACCCTCAATTCGTCGCCACTGTCTTCCCCACTCTCTTCCATCTCCACTTCCTCTGATTCACCAACCCCCTGGGAACCTTCAACACTACAATGAGAACCGACTCCTCTAATCTCACCGAAGTAACGTTTTCTATCATCCAGACCATCTCTTTCAACCATTGGACCAAGCCTATTGGACGCCAAATCGGGAGCAGAACTGTAGTCATCTGATGACAGCGATGAATAAAAGTAAGAAATAACTCGAAGCCGAGTAAACAAATGTTTGTAAAAGCCACAACTATCGTTGCAAGAGCCTCTATGGAACACAGGAGGTTCCCAGAATCGGCATGTGGTAGCCAAAGTTCTTCTGATTTTGTTTTGTAAGGAGGAATTATAAGGCATTGTCGACGATTTCAAGTAAATTCGAATCCCTGGAATAGGGTGCAAATCTGAATTAGGGTTGTAGGAATTACATTTGGGGAAAAGAAATCCCCACCACCCTTCCTCTCTAATTTTTCGTTTCGTTTTATATTTTTAGTAAACTTACACATATATAGAAATACAGGAGAAATGGAAGGACCCGAGTCCCGACTATATATGTAAGTACTCACATTGTACGTATGGCTTCGTCGGCATCTTGACAGAAGGACGCCCCGCCTCATAATCAGTTAGCTTTGTCTTGAAGATGGCAGCCGTGGCCGAGAACGGCAATGCGGATCCTCGGAAATCGGCCTTGATATTTCTTGGAACTGGATGTTCAAGTGCGGTACCGAACGCGTTGTGCTTGATCCAGCCTTCCGATCCCCCATGTCCTGTCTGCTCCCAATCTTTGATCCTACCACCGGAGAAAAACCCTAATTACAGGTTTCCTATTGACTATTAGGCCTAGGTTTGCTACTTCCTTCGGTAGTTTATCAAGAATTGTTAATAAAATCTGGCGGTGTCAATATGAATACTGTTTCTTGGATTGTTGTTTTGGGAGAAGGTCTAGCGATAACTGTTCTTCTGCAGGAATATCTTTCTTGGATTAGTGGATTTTGTGCGATCTTGCCAGTTTGGATTTACTTAATCTTTACGCATTACTTAATCTCTACACATCACATAAGAATTGCAATTAGTATCTTTGAGTCAAATGACCAGACGTAATATTCTCCCGTTAGCATTTTCTTTCTTCTTGGTTGATCTGAATTGCTCGTTATTTCTGATTTGGTGGGGAATGTATCAAGATTTGTTGGGTAGAATTCCAGTTACATTTTTTTTTTAATACTGATCCTTTATTTCATAGTTCTTGATGCTAATTTGAATTACTTTACTTGGGTTCTTGGATTATTGATTTCTTTTTGCTGATATTTAATGGTATTGTAGGTGCAATACATCCCTCTTAATTGACTATTGCGCCAGTGATGGAAAACATAAATATATTTTGATAGATGTTGGGAAGACGTTTAGGGAGCAAGTACTTCGATGGTTCCCTTTTCATAAAATTCCTCAAGTAGATTCTGTGAGTTCTCTCTACGTGTGACTTGTATTTCTTGAATAGGATATTAAAAATACTACAAAGTAGTCTGATTTACTGAGAAATAAGAAGGGATAGTGGCCCACTTCTATTGTTACAGAAGGTGCAAATTGACCTTTTAAGTTAGTGTTACTTGAGCAAAGATTTCATGATGAATACAACTCCATCTGGGTGATTGATTGTGTAGGAACGAGGAACTTTCTTCCCCTTCTCTGCATATCATCCGCAACTTTATTGTTTTAACCCTTCACCTTATTCACACTGATTATATGCTTTTGCAGATTATATTAACTCATGAACATGCTGATGCTGTTCTTGGGTTGGATGATATACGGGCAGTGCAACCTTTTAGTCCTACAAATGACATTGATCCAACTCCCATCTATCTGAGCCAGCATTCAATGGAGAGGTACTTCACTATTTTTCAAGTTATACATGAACAAATTTTCTAGATAAAATTCTGTTGCTGGAAACTATATTAGGGGATAAAACTAAGATTCAATTTTATTTGTTGTGATTGACATGGTGATTCCCGGGTCATTTTTTATAGTGTCGCAGTTAAATTCCCTTACCTGGCTCAGAAAAAATTGAAGGTAGGCCAGGAAATTAGGCGTGTAGCACAGCTTGACTGGAAAATTATAGAGAATGATAACACAAAGCCATTTGTGGCATCTGGGCTACGCTTTGTTCCACTGCCGGTTAGTTTTATCTTGTTCCTTCTGTGTTTCCAACCAGATACCTTTTGCAACCTTTTTTCTTTTGAAAGTACTTTCGGTGTTCACTCCAGGTCATGCATGGTGAAGATTATGTCTGCCTAGGATTCTTCTTTGGTGAAAGATATAAAGTAGCATACTTGTCAGACATTTCTCGCTTTCTTCCACCAACAGAAACATGTAAGCATTGGCATTTTTCGCTTTCTACCACACTCATGTTTTCCGACCATGTCCGTCGTTGTATAAAGATTGTAGTATTTCATGTTATTCATCAAATATAGACTAGCATGTGTGAAATAAGAACCAGATGCTTCCTCTGTTTCAATGCCTAAAAGATTTATTTCATGATTAAACCATCCCAATCTATTCTTGAAAATTGGTAAGAAAGTTAAGAAGTGGATGATATTGGGCGATGAATGCATTTTAAATGCAGATGAATTATGATTTATCATGATTGAAATATAAAGCATAAATTGACAGTATTTTTGCAAGGTTTGAAGTACCGTTGCTTCTACTGGTTCTGTAAAGGTGGCTCTGTTTTTGCAGTTATTTCAAAGGATGGTGACCAACAATTGGATCTTCTTATTTTGGACACGCTTTATAAGGTGAGTTGCAAGGTTGTCAAGTTTCCTTCTTAACATTATGGTGTTTGATGTCCTCTGATACATTGTTGTTAATCATGGTATAAAAGCATCTTCCTTCTCTTGCTTGATATAACTTATTACAGCATTTCATATATAGAATTAGAACCCTTCTGTACTTCTACTATGGAATGGTTATGCTGAAAGCATTACATTCTTTCTCCTGCGTGAATAAGATTCCTTACTTCCAAAAGTTTGTTGGTATCTTTACTTCTATTTATCATTAAATCCCTTTCGATGAAGCCTTTCATAGTATTACCGGTACCCTATTTTCTATAGTTGCGCACTCCTAGTTTGTTAGTTTGGAGCAAATTATATCCATATGCTTATGCATGTTCTTTCTCGCTAATTGCAGAATGGGTCCCACAACACTCACTTCTGTTTCCCTCAGGTTCGCCTTTGCAGTTTATTCTTGGATATTTTAGTTCAAGACATCAAGGAAATGCAATGTGTAATTTCATCTTTCCTTTTTGCTCCAGACACTTGATGCTGTGAAGAGGATATGCCCAAAGAGAGCACTACTTATTGGAATGACCCATGAGTTTGATCACCACAAAGACAACGAATTTCTCAAGGACTGGTCAGAAAGGTATGGCTTTATGTGTCCTCATTGAAAGACATGTCCACAATGAATCCTAGTGTTTCATGTTTTGTTTGGTCAGTACTGTCCAAGAAAGGAAATTTGAAATATTTGTATGAGACAATTTTTATCAACCAGACCAATAGGAGGAAATGCAATTTGTGTAATTTTATCTTGTCCTTTTTTACCTCAAGTTTCTAGGTGCTCTGATAGGCCACCATTCAAGATTTTAATTGTCTTTCGAAATTTTACACAATATTGAAACCATAAATCCTGTCATTTTCATTTGCTTTCAGAGAAGGAATACCCGTTCAGCTTGCACAGGACGGCCTGCGAGTCCCTGTAGATCTTTGATGAGGTAACATGTGGAATTTAAATGTTGTTCTTGCTCCAGAAAAATTTCTTCCTATTCAAAGATTCTTCTACACTCTACAGTTGCTGTAGCACCCTTTTACATATTGTAAAAGTCCTTCATGGCCATATCGTTTCTCCACTTAAATCAATCTGAATGCTGAAATGAATTGTCGCCTGAAAATCAGTCTGAGATGTTAAAAATGGTTATTGCAGGTATAAGATGAGGTTGCCATACTGAACCTAGACATTATTGCAGGTTCCACTCTGTTCAACAGTTTGATAGAAAACTAACATATTTGAATGGCTAGTGTTGGCTAATATTATTAATAGCTAGTCAAGGAGGAGATTATAAATTCTTGGAATCTTATATACAGACAGAACTGCTTCTGGTTACCTTCAGATATAGAGAGAGAGATATATATATATATATATTATATGTAAGATAATACACTTATAATTGTATCACTGGCCAACATGATCTCTCTCATTGTTGTTTATGCTATTATTGTCTTATGTTTGTTGAACCATTAGTGTTTGTGACATACACAAAGAAATATGTATTTGCCCTAACCTTGATTGTTGGAAATTGTGGTAGGGATTATAATATACTACAAACCAAAGCTTGTGTGATTTTGGTTTTTATTATTATTATTATTTCTTCTCTGGTCTTTATTGTACTTGTTTCTAAAGAGATCCACCTTCCAAGCTGATGGCTACTTGTGAAAAAATAAAGATAAAAGGATAGATGGTTTTAGTTAGAGAATTTGGGCCATCAGCATTTCTGTTGAAGGTTGCCACTGGCTAATGTTTCTTTCCCATTCTTGTTTGAATAAATGCAACCTACTGATCTATTGTTATCTTTAGTGGATTTGATCCTTGATTTCTTACTTAAATTCTTCCAAAAAATGAAAGAAGAGGTAATGAATGAAAAGCAAAATAGGTCCACCAATAATAGAAGAGCAAAAAGTAAACAAATTTTTGAATAGCCAACGATATAATTGTGTGTTCCTCTGGTTCCATGCACAGCACTAATTATGGCATTGGAAGAGAAGGACCGTTTTGCCAATATTTTCAAAATCTGGAAGCAAATGTGACAAATTTGAAATACCCATAATAAGATATCAGAAATGGACAGCCATGCCATCTCAGTCAAACCCTTTGGGAAGAACAGTAATACTTACATAGCATTTAAAAAAAATAAAAATAAAAAAATAATATTACAAAGCATTCTATTACACTCATAAAATTCTCTGCAAATTTATTGATTGATGCAAATACAAGTACAAAGACTTATGTGGACACCAACGACTGTAGGTCCCATGAATAGTGGGAGAAAACAAAATAGACTATTAAGAAATATAAATGCAATTTTCTTCATGTTTTATACACACAAATGTATGTATAAATCAATGCTAACATTGAATATATGTCGTCTGTGTGCAGAAGTAACAGTGCTGGATTCGCGACTGCACTTTTGTCAGCTTCTTTCTCAGTTCGATCCCATTCTTGTTTCAATGGGAAAATAAAAAATAAAAACATGTGGTTGCAGCCCACATTAGCCCATAATTTCCACAATTCACACTGCTGTATTAAAGGTCAAAGATTTGTGGTTGTTTGGAGGAAGCAAATCCCATACAACCCTTTCAACCTACATGGCAATTTAATGTGTGGTCAAACATATTGGCTGTTTGAGGACCCAAATAGAAGATCATGTCATATGCCAATTCCAAAATACAAATTCCAGACTAATCATCATACATAGGAACCCTTTGGAAAGAATGTTTTGGACTCATTCTTCAACTCCTTTTCACTGCTACATAAAAAATGTGAGCTTGCTTAGAGTTTGCAGCTCACATGGAAAAGAAGGATAGTGGGGCAAGGCATGGAACCCTAATTAGCCTAGGGCTTTGGGCCTAATTAGGGGGGTGGTAATTAAGCACTTAAAGTGGATATTGTAAATAATTACTTGGATGTTGTGACAAGTCAGAAAATTTCAGTCTAGGGTTTTGTGCCATGGGAATAGAATTTAGGGTTTTATATATGTGGCCTGCCCCAAGACACTGGTGCATGCATCAACCTGAGCTCAACACATACCCCTCCTCCTCACTCACGTGACCAAGCACGTGTGGTGGCCAGGGCATATTATATAAGATTATTCACTGCATATCATAATAATATACACATTACTTAGTGCATTGATGGGAGGTCTGTATATATACATAGATGAATGTATGGGGCAAAGTGATCACATGGGCTTAATTAAACTTTAATGCTGAATTGCTCATAGATATATCACAATCATTTAGGCATGAAAAGTAGATAATGGCAACCAACCAATACCCAAATTAAAGAATGACACTTTTTGTATAATATACACTTGAATACAATATATACAAGCATAAAAAGTGAAGCTAAATTAGCAAGGGTGTGCATAGGCATTTACACTTTTGCAGTGGTTTAGTCCATAGACACAAAACCCTACTCAATTAATCATTGATTGCCTTTTCTTGCTTCCAAGTTTCCCAAAGCCAAACATACACACACATACATAAATAAATATATATGTGTATATATAGAGAGAGAGAGAGAGAGAGAGGTGTATCTACATGGGCTGTCCTACACTAACCTTAATTATATACATGTCTTTAAATTATACTCATCTAAATCTTGAACGCATAAAGACATCTTTTTTTATAATTCCTCCCCTTTGGCTTAATGGGACTCTGAATTTGTCAAACTTGCTTGGTCTTTAGGGAAGAATTTTGTAACATACATGGCTGTGTGTATAATAATCTCGAGAGAGAGAGAGAGAGAGAGAGAGAGAGAGAGAGAGAGAGAGAGAGAGGGTCTTTTTCATAGTGGGATCAGGTATTGACCAATTGCGTACGTACTTGAGTGGCACCTAGACTGTGCATGCTTCCCATTTCATTAATTTAATTTAAAAATACACCCACAAATACACTCAATCAGATGTGCAGATTTTTAGGGCATAGCCATAGATTAGATCAGGCATAGGGATAGGGATAATAGGATAGGCCATGTCTCTCTCTATGACCAGTATGAATTTCAGTATCCTATTTCCTGATTTCTCTGTCATCCTCAGTCACCATTTACACCAATCATGGGAGTTGGTAATTCTTGCAAGCTCCTTGTATCTCAACTCCAGGTCAATCCACACCGTTCATCTCTCCATAGATGGCGTCGATCAATTCGGGCGTTGAGGTTTCAGGAGCTCTTTCGTAATGAAACCTCTGTTAACAAGCACTGTACACTGCTTGCTTGCAACTTCGTATGTGTCATTATGAATCATAAATTAATATTTTTTAAAATTTATTATATTTTAGTATTTAATTTGTAGAGAGTAGGTAGCTAATTTAAATAAAATTGCGAATTAAATGCTCTTTCTTTGCCTAATATTTTGAATTTTTGCGGAGGGAAAACAACGGCATTCAGTTGATAGCAATAAAATGTGGATTATTACTATATGTATAATTGAGGTAATTATATAATTATGTTCAAAGTTTAAATACAAACGCTATAAAATGAGAGGTTTTGTATATTATGGTCATGTAATAAATATTTTAGGTAAGTTCTGAATGTTTATACTATTTATAATTTATTTTAAAAAATAAATTTTTTATAGTAAATAAAATAATAGAAATAAATGTGGCGGATTTATTATAAATATAAAAAGGGGTGACAATGAATTTATTGGCCAACTAATAGTAATAATTGTCTTTGAGAAATTAAGATTGAATTTTCAGGCACAAATTTATTCCAACAACGTCACTTATTATTGTTGCCATTCTTTTTTTAAATGAAATGGAGATAGGAAGCATTTAGGGGACTTATTTGAGCAAACCCAATTTATCAGGGGCCAAATTGTAAATAAAGAGAATATCAACTATGAATACGAATAATATATATTAATGGCGGACGGTCAACAAATCGGTGAAAACTCTCCCTACTCTCATCATCGTCACCACCTTGTCTTCTTCACCACTCTCTTTCTCTCTCTCTTTGTGATTGAAGATTGAGGAGGCTGTGTAGTGTGCTTGGTGTGTTCAAAACCATTTCGCTTTCAGTGGCTCATTTGGCTTGTTGTTTTGATTTTGTGCGCGCGCGCGTGTGCCTGAAAGGTGGGAACGAGGGAGGTCGAACATAGGTGTAGCGAGGATTTTGTAATGGAGTACGAGAGGATACGCAAAGTTCAGGTTCTTTCTGACTCTTTTTGCGATTATTGCAGTTTCATTATGTTACCGTTCATACATGCATTCGCCTTTTCCTTTTGATGAAGTTCGCTTCTTGTTTTTTTCCCCACTCGTTTGTGTTTTTTGGATTTTAGATGATTTTTGCTATACTCTGTTTGTTCTGTGGCCAATGTTCTCTGTCCCGAAACGTACCTACTCGTTTTCTGACCTGTATTGCTTTTTGAGTCTCTGTTTTCCCTAGAGTAAAAGTCGTTCGAAATGTGATTTGATTTTGGATATCTAATAAGTTTTGGATCCAGGCGAGGAAAGAGTTTTGAGGCATTTTCGGTTGCTAGGTTTTCTGGATTTGGAAAACTAACAGAATAGAATATTTTGCGTTTTGATAACGTAGGCTGGTCTGATATCTCCGAGCAAGCTGAGGATGAAGCTGGTAGGGCCACACCGTCAGAAGAAGAAAGATGGATCGAACTGCAATTCTTCCAGAACATCTCCTGCTAGGCTGGACGATTCCGAGTTTGTTAACAACAGTTTATTGTCATCCACCAATGAGGATTTTAGCGAGGAAGGTTTGATTGCTAATGTACCCTCTTTTGGATTTATCCACTCATGAATCAAAAAAGGAAAAACAAAAGTGAAATTAGGGATTCGAAAGTTTTCTATTGGCTCAAAGTAACTGTTAAATTTTTTTCAATGGTTATACCTAGAAGTTGTTATTCTACACCAAAAACCTCAAAACAGAATTAAAAATGTGTTAGGCGAGCCCTCATGGTTAGATTATAGTATCATGATTGGGATTAACCTCATTGCTGTTCATTCTATTATCTTTTTCAGTCACTTCAAGTTCAGAGGTTCCCACAATTAAGTCTGATGGTACCATCACAAATGCAATTCAAAGTGATGGAAACTTGCTGCAGATAAAGGAACTTCCACCGGGAGAAAATCGAAGGCAGTCAGTGTCAAAGGGTGAAAGCAGTAATTCTAGTTCAGTTCACCCAGTCCGGGCGTGTGAGGATGAAAATCTTGATTATGATAGCACATCAAGCTTTGAGTTCCACAAAGGGGAGAGATCACTGCACCATTCCGGGACAAGATGCTTCTCTAGAGCAATGTCGTCGAAATGGAATGATGCAGAGAAGTGGATTATGAACAGACAGAATATGCACCCCAACATTTCCAAGAAGAACAATCTCCAAAATCATATGAGTAGATCATCTGCCGCGGCAATTTTAGTGAGGGTTGCCCCAGAGTTTATTACTGGCTCTGAAAACAAACCATCAGGCAAGAGGGTTGAGTTTTGCCAGTCGCCATCACAGCAAGGTTTCTCAAAATTTGCCTTCACTTCCAATGAAGCTGCGACAGTTACAGGCCAAAAGAATGGACCTAGCTCGTTGATTGATATGTGCCATGAAAGTAAGGATTTTCAAGAGATCGACACTCCAGCTATGACAGAAGAAACCTCAGGTGAGTGCCATTAGCTTCCATTGTGATATAACTCGGAGTTGTTTACCTTTCTTCCTAACCACTGCTTGCCTCATTGACTAGGTAATAATCCAGGAGCTCCTGCCATTCGATCAGTGTCTATGAGAGACACTGGAACAGAAATGACTCCAATTCCAAGTCAAGAGCCTTCCAGGAGTGCTACTCCTCTTAGTGCAACAAGTCCACTCCGCACCCCAACTCCTTCCATGCCATCCACTCCTCGGATAAGAGATCCAACACCCACGCCAATCAGACCCTCCAGTGAATCTGTTCCATATTTGTTTGAGAATGGGAAGAAAGAATTGTCCGAGCAAGAACTGAAGCTTAAAACCAGGAAAGAGATTGTTGCACTCGGCGTCCGACTTGGTAAAACAAATATTGCAGCATGGGCAAGCAAGGATGAGAAAGAAAGAGGTATTGAAGACTTGGGCAGAAACAGCGAGCATATCGACTACGAGAGACGAGCTGCTGTGTGGGAAGAAGCTGAGAAGTCAAAACATGCTGCAAGGTTCCTTTTATAAGTCAATACTAATAGTTCATTTCAGGACATTCTTTGAGCATGTTCGAAAATGCCTTCAAATTCCCCTACTGACTGAAACCACACACTGCCAGGTTTAAACGAGAAGAATTGAAGATTCAAGCGTGGGAGAGTAGGCAGAGAGCAAAACTTGAAGCCGAAGTGAGGAAAATGGAGGTATCCAAACTGCAGAGAACCTCATAAGAGCCTCCCCTGCAATCCTTAAGTGTAATCAACTGTAAATGATATTGCTTGCGTTTTTTCATTTTTCGCAGGCCCGAATTGAGCAAACAAGAGCACATGCTCAAGCAATGATGATCAAGAGGGTGGCATTGGCGAGGCAGAAGGCCGATGAAAAGCGAGCTAAGACCGAAGCTAAAAAAATTCAACAGGCCGAGAAGACAGCAGCACAAGCAGAATACATCCGCCAAACCGGGCGAATCCCGACGTCTCCTTTTCTCTGCTGCAGTTGGTCATAATCAGACAAGGTATTTTAGCCCAGCTCTCCGTTGGAACATAGTTTGAGTCAAACCGGCAATTCTTGTGATCAATGTATCTATTACCAATCATAAATTCCAAGCACACATTTCTTTTACATCCTGTATGATGAGGTATGATGGCTTATTGCATCTCTTGTAAATCTGGTGCACATCAAACTTTGTTTTAACACTGGTTTCAAATTTTGCCACAAAGCCCTGCCAAGACAAACAGAAATTATTGGAGGTTCAATTCCCCACAAGGCTTGGCAGTGTGGTAGTATATGGTAAAACCTGCCATGTTTGCAGTATGATACAGTACCAAAATATTCCTTGCATACAGGCGAAAGACTGCCATGATTATGAACACTGTAGATTCCAATATTCAAATTTCAAGAGGATTCAAATAGACAGACGACAGAAACTAGTTATTACGCAGGCAGATAGATACTAGCGCCTTTGTTACAATTAAAAGTAGCACTAGAGCAGATAGATGCCCAAAGTCTGAATTTACTAAAACTGTAAAGCAGTAGTACAGAAGCTATATAAAAAGCTTCAGCTAAAAACAGCAATTTTCTTCCCTAATTATTAATATTATTATTATTAATATTATTAAGGTTGGGTACTTATACTATTCCACTTACATTGCAGATACATGATTTCAAAACCTCCGGTTCAAAAATCCAGAGTCCCAACAGATGGTATTCCGGCACTCATTTTCCTGGCTGCCTCCTGTCGGTTGGCATACCCGTCACAACTTCCATTTGGAACAGCCAACTTTTGGAGAGGAACTGAATTCAGAAGATCGAGCCCCGGCTCTCCCATCTCCTGAACCTCCTCGGGTGACAGAATCTTTATGCACCACACGCTGTTCACAAACTCCCTGAAAGTTCAAATGGAGGATGCTTTGTTATAAGGAATTACAGTTTACTAAATCAGGAAGCCATGAATACAGTTTTTTCCATAGTGAAATTTGGTTATGTTGAGAACTTACTGCCAGGGGTCATCCCCCAGAAGTAGAACATCATTTTCTCGATCAACAAATACAAGCTGCCAGCCTGATCTCAAGGAGTCTTCCAATTGGCCTTCAAGGCCAAACATCTGAGCAAGCTCACTGCGCAGCTCGTTGTAGCTGCTAAACTTCGTGATATCAATTGACCGTCCAAAGGACCCCAACTTGTGTACCTGATTATAGTAACAATATATATCAGCAACATTGACCCGAAATCCAACTAGTCACTCACAATGCAGAGACAGAAGTACTCTACAACGTTAACAGAATAAAATAGCCGTCTAGTGGCCAGTCAGACGACTGCCCAATTAAGATGAGTATAGATCATGCTTCAAAAAAATGTGCACATGTCACATAATTAAGTACGCGTTACCTTAACAAAGGCTCGGTCAGGTGGATTTCCATGTCCTAGATTGTCAGAAGACAGCAGAAAGCCTGACTCATCGATACAACTGCTTGAAGTCATGGTAGGATTGAGTGAATAATCAGCACCAGATGTACTCATGTAGCTGGAAGAGGCAAAAGCTGCAGGTGCATTATCACAACCACCGCCAATCCCTTTAAGGTTTGACAAGCCATTCTGAATAAGCAGAGACGACGAATCTATGTTAACCCCAAACAGAGAATGGTTCTGTGGATCATTAGTTCCTTCTTGTTCAATCAAGCAGTCTCGGCTAGGAAATGGGGGCAAAGAGACCGGACAGTTTGTCACATTTGTGTTAGAGGGTCCAAACTGATCAATCTGTGGTGAAATTGTTTGTGCTCCGCTGACTCCGGAAAAGAGAGGGTCAAGAGCAACCCTCTTTGTTGGCCAGCCACTAGAAGACAATGAGTTGCTTGGTCTGGGCACATTGAGAAGGCTGGAAGTGTCGTCCTGGGTAACAGAGCCCATGAGACTGTGCAGCGGCGAACTATTAGCATTCACTGCAATGGGTTTGCCATTTGACTCTGACAAGTTCTGAAGCACATTGGAGACGGGCTGCATTGTCAGAGATGAGGCCTGAGAGTTCAGGGGCATGTGCGAGAGCATAGGTGTGACAGAGGAAGCTTGCTGCGGATCAATAGAATGTTGATGTTGTTGCATTGGAATAGACTGCTGATGCTGCTGTTGGATCTGTATATTATTGAATGAGTTTTGATGGAGCAGTTGCGGCTGAAGGTTGGCATGCATCTGTGGGGATGATCCAGGAAGATTTTGAAGAAAGGGAGCTGAAGACTGAGAATGCTGTAGCATCTGGGACTGTAGCACACCAGCAGGCCTGCTCCCAACTGCTTGTGGTTGCTGGAATTGCATCATCAATGGTAGGACCTGTTTAGAAGGATCCATGACCCTCATGTCCTGGATTGCAGCAGCAGCCATAGCTTGATAAATATCACTTTGCATGCCAAGAAGAGGTGTGTCAAGCCTCGGTTGCATCCAGGGATTGAACCCCATGCCTTGGTTGAGAAATTGCATTCCTCGATCACCATTCCCACGAAGCCACATGAAGGATGAATTCAAACCCATATCATCCGGTTTCATCCCTGGATAAACGGACAATACAAGTTACAGAAAACACATACATTATGCGTGCATCAAATGAGAAAATGAAATAATGGTGAGAAAACATAAGTTGAACTCATACCAGAGAACGAGGGGAGACCATGTGGCCACGGGCGTTTAAGCCTAAGAGGAAATGGTGAAGGATACATGGGAAATGTTGTTAAAGGCTCGATTTCCCAAAGAGACACTCTTGGCTGCCTCTCCCCAGCAGTAGATTCATCCCAGCCAACCTGTGCATGAAAGTAAATAATTTAAATACAATTTACAAATAACTATAGAATTGCAAATGAAGCCAGGTCATAAACAAAATTGATCAAAGCTGAAAAAACGTAACTATAAGAAAATAAAAATATATAATTTGTTTTAAGACATTCCATTTCGAAAACAAAATCAATAAACTTCTATGTTAAATCTTTGTAAGCAGGTTTGGCACAAGGATCTGATGCACATGCAGCTAAATGTATCTAGACTCATTTAGGAAATTTTGAATGAATAGCATACCTTGACAGAACGCCAATGTGAATTTGGCCACCTAACAGCATCCAAGTCACTTATGCCAGTAATTGTGCCCATATAGCTGTAGTCAAGCACGTATTAGAGAACTCAATAAAAAGATGGAACTTTTATAATAGAAACTACAATCAATGTCAAACCCACCGACGAACACTGGATTCTTCAGTTTCAAACAGCATCCGAAAGCGCATGCCAATAGATACTCGGGTGTGGTATACAGCCTTCACATATTTGGCCAGAGGTATAACAAACTCAGAGGGACTGGCCCTGAATATTGAAAATTTTGTTAAATATATGTGAGATATTGGATTATTGGGTACAACTTTTGTGGATGGTAGCATACCTGGGATTATAAAATATTGTGAATCGGCTATTTGTTGCAGCTGCATGAGCAGCAGCAGCAAGAAGGCCAAGGTGCATGCTATCACTTGACAAAACTGACGAAGGCATTACGGTTTGTGGCCTGGTCGCACGCCGTATGCCAAGAAGTAATTGGTTCTTATCGTTCCTGATTAATGCAAAGTAAATCAGTCCATAGAATTGTTACATGCTGCAGAAATAGAAAATCTCAAAGGGTTGACAGCTGACAACAAATACCAGATCAATCGATAAGAGCCTTACCATATGAAAAGGACTGAGTCACCTGCAACAAGTCGTTTTGCACTCACAAAAACACTCCAGCCTGTTGTCAAAAGATGTCGCTTTGGCTGACCTGTAATATGCATAAGAAATATTAAAACACCTATTAAACACATCTTCCTTACTATCCACAATTCGCATTTTCAAATAATATCTAACTCACCTCGAAATATATGTCTAAATTTCCACTCATTGTTGTGAAGATCCCTTGCAATCAACTCCTGAGCCGGAGGTTGCTGTGAGAAGTCCTGCACACTCAAACATATATAATATAATCGTTCAGAAACCAGACAGAAGAAAGATATATGTGATATTCTTTCTAGTGACAACTGCCGAAGAGATTTACCAATGGTGGAAACACTTTCTCAGCTGCTCTGCGCGGGACTGAAAATCCACCATGTGTGCTTGTATCGCTGGCCGTTAAAGTTTTGCAGAAGTAGTTAGTTGGTTGTTTGCTCGGGGCACCCAAGTCTGCTGGGAGGAAAGAAATCTCCTTCTGCTCTTGCTGCAGAAAACGCAAAAAAGGCTTCAGCAGTGAAATAATCATCAAGAAAGGACATTGCAATGAAATAAAAATTGAGCAACATACCGGACTCAATGGTTGCAAAGTCATTTGAGCATATACTTCATCTGTCTCTATGTCAGCCTGATCACACAAATGATAAGCTTGAGGAAGGTGTAATATGAATGAAAACCTAAAACTTCAGAACTACTTACATGCATAGTCACGTTATGAAGCTGGCAAATCAGCTGTGGAAGTAAGCTAGGGTAATTTGGTGTCTGAGCATCAACTTCCTTATTAGTAGATGCAGCAACCTGCGCCAAGTGCAGTAAGAATGGACTGATGAGCGAACTTAAGTAAGAGAAATGAATGCTTTTCAGGAATGGATTGGGCAATACTTTTCAGGGCTCATAAAAGTTAGTCTTCTTTTACCATATCAAAGTGAAAGCGAGCTTTTTCAAAGAAAAAGAATATATATTCATCAATTAACATATTGTATGAACAAGATTAGAGGATGATACGAAAGTAAACCTGCTCGCTGTGGCCTTGAGGAAAATAGACGACATGGCTTCCAATACAAGGTAGAGAAACAAGGGGACCAGCACAGGCATGCCAAAGTTCAGAATTCAGGCAGTTCTTATCTCCTGCTGGTGAAAATTTAAGAGAATATCAATTCTAAGAAAGTCTGGTATAAACTGAAGAATAGGCCATAAATCCCAAATCATTTCCCTGCTGCTAACCAATGCTATACAAGCTTTCCAAATCACAAAGTATATATATAGAAATATATACATAATATATAATATACTATTATCATTACAAAAGAAAGCAAGAAATTTTACCTTCAGGAGACTGGTGATTCAGGCAAGCCGAGTTGAGTTTCATTTTGGCAGGTTCAAACATTACGATAGCTTTAGGGTTGGACTGGACCAGCAAAGACAACACTAGTAACTACAAACTATCCAAAATACAAAGAACCTCAATGCTTTAAACCAATTAAATGACTGCAACTTCCTCAATACCCCAAAATAGCATAACACCTGAGCTTTATCCTCAGAATAATCCGCCAAAAATTCCACGCATGACGTGACTTTGGCTGATATCCTCTTCTCCCTCCACCAATTCAGCACGCACTCTAGATACGGAAGTTGGAAGAAATACAAATGATAGACGCTTTCACATGAGACCTATTACACTACAAAACCAAAAGCTCCCCGCAATCCTGCTCAACCAAAACCTATTCCACTGCAAACCGCAACAAATTTCAGCTTCATCACTTGGTGTTGATCATCCGCACAAGTGCCCCAAACGCAGAAAGTTGCAAGCTAAAAACGAGAAGAGCAGAAATTCACCAGCTAAAGCTTTCCTACCTCTTATAGATCTCAGTACGCCACAAACTAACTCACACTCGAAATAAATTCCTGTCCAAAGCTTTCAGCACTTCAATTCTTCACAAAATAAAACCAATAATTCCCCAATAACCGCTTCGCCTCAAAACAAAGTACAGAAAACCCCCATTTTCGGCTGCAGCAGCACGAACAGTCCTCAATTCCACCAACAAATTTCCGCCCAAGGCTAGTATTATTCCCTCCACCGATGCATGCGCGGACGCCTTCCACTGAGCACAGGTACACACGCATACAGTTTCCCTATCTTATATACGTATACATACATATATATATATATAACACGAAAAAAAAGTGCTAGCCCGTAGTGGAAATGGTGGAACTGAGATACTACACGGATTTTGCTCTGCTTCACACCCCACAATCTACGAACTTTTACCCCTCGCTCTCTCTCTCTCTCTCTCTCGTTCTCGAATCAGTCAATATTGAACACTACCTTTTCCACCTTCTCAGATGTCATATTTTATTCAAGCTCTGGTAGAGTGACTGTGTCAGATTTTCTTTTAGAATTGTTTAATTTAATTAATTATTTATTATATCAAATCCGCTGCCCGAGGGTGCAATGGACCAATGCAATAATCGTGCAATGACTGTTGTACCCTTGCCACTTCCTTGTCCTTTAAATTGGGTCCGTGGGCCCATGCGTAAATTGACGCCGAGCTAAGTGGGCCTCACTGGACTACGACATCTGGTTTATGGTCCACTCATTCATTCCCCAGCCCAACTTTCAATTATAATAACAATATATTCATTTTTTAAAATAATATTAATAATAATAGTTGTTACTATAATTAATTTTGCAATTCTTTTGGTAATTAAAACTTTGGATAAGCTTAAAGTTGCTGATATTTCTAGTTCTTCCTCGCACAGTTCTACTGTTAGATGATTTGAAAGAATGGGTTATTAAATAATGAGATTGGGAATTTATTTTTGTTTTTTTATTGCTATTGAGTGTTGAGTGTCACAATACCTCGAAATATATGGTAGACTAGACAGATGTGTTGAACTATCATACATTTGTATAGTTTTCAGTAATACTTTTTTAAGTTTTTATAAATAAGTAGAATTATTTTCATATATATATATATATGAAATCTTGCTGCAGGGTCATATCATAATAAATGATACACATGCACTGTTGGTGGAAATTTTTATAATAAACCACTAAGATTATTCCATATATATATGTGCCATTAATTATACCCAACCCTACCATATATACATTGCAATTTATTATTAGTGACTAGACATGCTATATATATATATATTTATATGAAATGAAATATGGGAGTAATTAATTACATTGAACTCGACAAATATACCAGCTAGAACATATAATATATATATATATATAGAGAGAGAGAGAGAGAGAGAGAGAGAGAGAACCAAACTTATAATTAACTTACCTTGGTGATCATTTATAATTTTGATATGATGGAAGGATTTACATAATCCACGTGCACAACTTCCCTGTAAAGATAGACAAATAGATCATCATCCACTGCTGCTGCCACGACTAAGACTATTCATAATTTGATAATAATATAGTATTTTTTTAAAAAAAAAAAAAAAGAAGATAAAAAGATATATAAGTGCATGCATATATGCTGCTGATTTTCAAATAAAGTTATGTAACAGTAAGTAGAGTGAGTTTGTGAACACATATACTATTACTTTAGGAATCCGTAGGCTTCAATCAATTATACATATGTATATGTGTGTGTGTGTGTGTGTGTGTGTGTGTGCATGCATGAGAGAACGAACCCAAATGAATAAATATGGATCGGACCGGACAAGATGACCCATACATGATGTGGACAATGACGACTGGACCAGCTGGAGCCTAGAGCTAGCCACCCAATAATAATAATGAAAAACAATTCTTATTACAGTCATGTACGTGCAGATATGCATGCCTCAGCTGCAGGTACAACTCCTCCTAAAAATTAACGTTATCCATCCTCCATGCTTTGCTGGAAACTAACTACTTGGGAGAGCCTTTGAGTTTTCTAGTACCTTGTCCGTACATGCTAGGTCTCTCTCTCTCTCTCTCTCTCTCTCTAGATGTATACATATGGATGGACCACAGACACACCTAGTCATTGATTAACCTAGTATCATAATTGACTCATTATCCTCCCTCCCACTCCCACTCCCACTCCCAGCACCTAGTTTCTTCTTCTTCTTCTTAAATAAAGGGTTTTGGGGATTCTTCTTTTTTCTTTTTAATTACAAAAAATTATTAAAAAATAAATAAATAAAATTGAAATAGCTAATTTGGTCCGTTGGATTGATTATATATGGATTAATTAATTAATCAATCAAGAAAGCAGCAGCAGCAGGTGCAGCTAGTAGGCGGGATTCCTTCCATTCCATTACATGCACCAAAAGGCTGGTTAACCTTTTACCTGTTTGTCGGCTTGCTTCGTTTTAATTGTTAGAAAAACAATAACAATAACAATCACACCAACATATATATATATATGTACACGTGTGGATGTGTATATATGTCTGCTATTTACACATTACGTATATATATGTATCGTAGCCCGCAATTGATTTCAACATTTTCGTGCCTCGCTCAGCCAGTCGACCATATTAATAGTAAGTTCGAACTCAACACAGACAGACAGACACATGCCATATAAAATTAAATTGAATTAAATTAAATTAAAACGAAATTAGTCAATTAGTGCGGACAGTGGACAACAAAAGCTGGACTAAGACGTGCAGCTCACCTCCTAGATCTGTGGGTCCCGCAAAAATTCTGCTAAATCTACATTTTTCACTATGCTTCTGACTCCGACATGTGTCTATATCTCTGTGTAGTAATATTACTCATTCCATCCTATGTATATTATCCTAGATTTTTTTTTGAAAAATAATTACAAATTTTAATTTTATTTTAAATTTTTAAATTTTTTTAATTTTAATTAAACTAATTAATTATCTTAATCTTAATTTATAATTATTTATATTATCGGATAATTATTTTCACTAATACATTCTTAATTATCTACTAATTACACCCCTTCTAAAATACAATGTATACAGTGTAACAGACACGATATATAAAACGGAAGTAGTACTACTATTACTGTTACTTACTATTCATTTCCTTGTATTTTTTTTGTTTGTCGTAAATATTGTATGATACTTTTAAAATAAATAAATATTACTCATTCCGTTTCAGACTGCGGTGTTCTTTTTACTATAAATACGATAATTTTTAAAAAATATAATTAGTAAATAATTAAAAATATATTAGTAAAAATAATTAGATTATAATAAAAATAAGTTTAAATTCAAATTAAAAAAATTAATTAGTTTAATTATAAAAAATTATAAATTACAAAATTTAAATAATATTAAAATGTATAATTTTTTTTAAAAAACAAATAACACATAATAAATAGGACATACAAAAATGAAAATATAGACACAGTAAATATAACTGATGAAGTATATTTTGTCATTATCATATAATTCAAAAAATATATATATATTTATTTTTATTTTATTATTAAATTTTAAAATTATTTTATTTAATATTATTATCTTTCAAATTCACATGTTTCGGAACAAATATTGCATTATGTTTGAGACCGAAGGAGAAGGAGTATTATACTAGCCTATAGCCTATAGGCATCAGCATCATCCATGTATATCTATATAAGATATTTATTTATATCATCATAGAATCATTGACTTTACTTAAAACTTTAATTAATTATATATTCTAGCCTGGGATAATACGAGCAAGCATTCAGTGTCGTCATTAATCTAATTCTCTAATCTTAATTAATGGTCGGTCCATGTCCATATATATATATATATCCTTACTTTCTGCGTGTGTGATATTTGAGTTGAGCAGACTTATTAGGGTTTGTTCAATCATGTGATGATCGGACGTCACGTGGGCCCTACCCCGGGGTAGTGGGGATGGCTGTTGAATGATTTGATTGGACATGCGGGTGGGGCCCATATTAGCCCCTGCCCATGCTAGTGCCCTGGTCTAGAAAGTCAGCAGGTACCTGAATATTTGCCACTTTTTGCTCCTCTGTCACACCCAACGCTTATTTTATTATTATTATTATTGAAATAAACAATCATTTTTTGTCATAATCCTTAATTATTTGGGTAATAATGACATGGTGTACTGTGGATAATGACACTACTAGCAGATATTTATTGATAAATTAAATTATAAACGTCGTAACTAAAGTATTTGTTAAGCTAAGGATGTGGGTTAATTAAGAGCAGTTAGCTTAGCAATGTCGGCATGTGATGCGAGTATTTATGCATTTATTGCAATATTTTATTTTATATTGTTTAGGAAATTTTTATTGTCAAGTGGAGTTCTGACAGAATGACTGACTGTTGCTTCTGGTCCGCTGGGGTTTAATAAGATTTTTGAAAATGACGCGACACCTTAAGTGAAAAAAATAATTAAATAATTAGTTGTTATCATGCATTTCTAGATTCGATTTTTCTACTAAATCTAAACATATATGTGTATTTATGTATGCATGTAGAACAATACAATGATTAGTGGAGGCCCAGGTAATGGTAATCATGTCCGTGTGGAGGGAGGAACGATAATCTTTGTGACAAATTAATTAAAGGAAATAACGATGATGATTAAGAATATAATGATGTTGATTAGCTATCATAATTAAGGGGTTTGACCTGATGTCGCAGGGATTATTATTAATAATATTTTTAATGACAATAAGAATAATGCACGAGTAATAGGATTTGAGGAAACAAGAAAACAGTTTATTTGGTTGGTGCTTTGGTCGAGGATAGATGTCTTAGGAGACGAAACAGGATAAGTGCTTAGAGATATAAAGATGAACAAATTGTTCTAATTGTGCTCTTCTAATTCCGACCTTCCTAATCATTTTCTCTATTATTACATCTCCAACAAACAAGGAATCAAATTGGCCCTTTCCATGACATCTTTTCTTTTTGCATAATCAAGGGACCAACTCATGAATCAAATAACCCATCAAAAGTTCAATTTCAACACAGATAGTTCAAGTAAGGCAGTGTTAGTTTCAACTGTGTAAAGCTTCTGAGTTGTGCATTAACCAGCATATGATCAAGATTGAACAAGAAATTGGAGGGGATAGCAGGAAACCAATATACATATATACAATATATATTATTGATAATAATAAGTATGAAAAGAATTTTGGGTACATAGAAAACAGGGCTAAAAAATTAATGATGGGGGAGAATTATTGAGGTGAAAAGTAGGGAAATGCAGACACATGATGGGGACTGGGGACCATATACCAAAAACATATAATGTGATGCATATGGTGGGCCTCATTATTAAACCTTTATATCTAATTTACTACACAATGCTCTTTGATTGTTTTATTGCCTTTTTTCTTTTAAATAAATAAAATACTATAAAATGTGGGAATAATGCTATAATATCAATTAGGGATGGATGGATAGGCATGTAAGAAAATAACTTGTGAAGCACTTTCAAGATTGCAAAGGCATCCCATAGATATTGTAGGCCAGGGGGGAGGAGCTAGCTGTCCATAAGTTAATATAGTTCATGGGTTGGATTTGGGTTAGGTAAAGTGTCCTAACCTAATGTACAAGATGAGGCCCCATCTTCTCAGGATCAGGATCCTAATAATTAAGGCTATATGTGTATCGAAGGGTCTTTAATGTATTAAGTTCGATTTATCTATTTATTTCTAAACAAACTACATACTTTAGATATGACTTGTTCAAAGAAAATATTCTTCTACTATTTCACAGGAGCCTGTCTGCCTGATATAATAACATTCTTATTTTACAGAGACACGAATGGAGTTTGACTTCAAAAAGGCCCATATCACAGTAAAGCATTATCTAGGTTCGAAATACTTGGCCCAACTGAGGGTATGTCTGAAACCAAAAAGACCCCATCTACACCACATTTGCAAGTCAGCTCGTGGTGTTTATAGATGGCCCTTTTCTTGATTAATAGTCTAAACCAAAACAAGCCCAGAAACGAATAAGATCATTTTGTAAAGTGAAATCAATAGACCCTCGAGGGAATATTAATTACAGTTTCCTATGCCAAGAACTTCTCAATGTTTCAAGTATTCAATCGGGCTGGCTGATTTATAACAAACTTGTGCAGAAAAACATAGGGCATATATTCGTAAGGGTTGTTCTTTATTTCTCTAAAGATAACGATAAAAAAAGTATCCAGCAAAACCCACCAGGGAATTAATTATTAACTAGCATTTCGAAAAGAGAAATAACAGATTCAAGCAGTTTCAGAGAACATAGATAAAAACTAACCTGGAAGTGAAGACTTCACATATGTATATGTATATGTATATCCAATCCAACCTTGTTCGCCTGCAATGGAATGGTCTAGAAGATGTCGAACTCACATCTCTTTCATACCCTCAGAAGCTGCAGCTTATTGGCAAAAGCAATTGCAATCCAGTCAGGCTGTGAAGACGTCCACAGCATCTGTTCAATCTCGGCCTCAGCAGAGTATTCCAGAATCGGATCCAAACAGCCCTCAATCTGCTGCTCCGTCGTCGAAAGGCTCCAAATCAAAGCTCGAGAGTCATCTCCAGCCGTGCAAATGTGATAATACTTATGAGGAGCCCAGGCAATGGCGTTAACACTCCCCTGATGCCGCTGCAATTCCACCGCTGGCATTGAAGTAAAGCGTAGGTCCAGCACAATCACTTTGCTGCTATCCATTACGGAAGCAGCAAGGAATCGTTGATCCTGCTTGTTCCAGCTAACCCTAGCTAACGACGTCCCCGGCTCCGAACTCTCGTACATAATCGACGAATGATCCTTATTTCGAAGATCGAAAATCCTAACCGAACCATCCGCGGAGACCGATGAGAAAACTGAATCCGAGCCCCAAGCAATGTCATACACCTCCTTTTCGTGCGCAATCAGCTGCGTCTCGACCACCTCTTTCTCGATATCCCAAATCGTACAAGTCGTGTCGATGCTACACGTTCCAATCCTCCTCGGCTCCGATTCGTTCCAGTCAAAGGACGTCAACGGCCCCGAATACACACTGTTCACATTCAACAAGCTCCTGAGCTCTACGCTGCACCCGCCGTCCGAATCAGATATTTCCCAGAGGCGTAGAAAGTCGGAGGACGAGGCGAGTAAGTCTGGGCGCTGGCATTCCTTATCCGGTACGAATTGGAGTTTAGTGGGCGGGTGCGGGTGATCGAATGACAAGGCGGCGTCGGAGCGGATCTGTCCGGGAGGATAATCGAACTGAACGATTTCGACGTGGTTGGATGGCTCTTCGAGGAAGCTTCCGATGGCGAGTCGGTACTTTCTGTCCTTGCGCACACTCCATCCCACAGCGTAGATGTCCCATGCCGCTTCGTAGGTGATGATCTCCGAGAGTTCCTGCGGCTTGTCAGAGCCGTCCTGGTCACTGCTCGAACCGATTTTCCCTTCCATTTTGCGCTCCTCTGGCTACACTGGGAAATTCCAGAACAACGAAGAACACGATCGGAACTTGTTAGTTGTACCGCAGCGTACAACTCAACGGACTGGAAAATTCTACAGGTAACTGTGCGAAGAAATGTTGGTGTTAAAAGTCAAATCCATATATAATTTCATTTCATCCCGTCAAATTTATTAGAGACTTTCGTTATGTAGTCTCTATTGAATAGTTTTCTAATCACGTGACAAGAAAATTCCAAAATAAATAAACTAGTAGTTTATTATATAAATATGCTGAAAATCAAATAAATTTGTGCATCTTACTGATGAAAATAGATTATATAATTGAAGTTTTATTTTATTCTATTTATTTTAAATAATAAGTTTATAAAAAATAATACGCATTTATATCAATCATATAATAACATTTTTAAAACAATATAAAATTAATAAACAATAACTCAACTTTTCTCATTTCCTATAATAGTTAGTGGACGTGGATTGAAAAGGGGAATTTAACTAAATGGAGCCATACCCCAAAGTTGCATCATCAAATCATTTCATTATATTTAAACGACCACTTGATAGACCACGTTAAATATTAAATAAATAAATAAAATCTATATATGTGTATTCATATATATATCTCAATCGAAGCACTTTCCGGTCGTGTTATTCCAAATTACATTGATTGGCTGTCGCGGATATTTTTATTTAATTCTTTATTCAATCATATAAAATAAAAAATAAAAATTACAATTCTTATTATATTTCCACACACATATATATATATATATTATAGGCGACAGTATAGTTTGAATAAAAAACATTTGATACCATTAGAATATAAAAAGGACATTCGACAAATGTAACTTATTCGATGATATTGCGATGGCAATAAATAAATAAATAAATATTTGTATATTATTGCCGGGCATATTTCTAAATCCGTGAATAAAATAATGGGGCGTGAATCCGTAATCTGTATTATTAGAAAAAGCCAATCAAAGTATTAACTTCGATAGTCCCTCCAAATTGCCCACAGAGTGGCTGTCAAGCCAACCCAAGAAAAAGTAGTGTAAAAGTGGGATATGTTTTAGGCCTTTCCAGATCAAGCGCAGCATCGAATCGATCTATTGGAGCCTTTGGTATTTTCGCGTATCTTTTTTTCATGCTGGATTTGGGGATCGATACGTTTAATTTGGGTCTGGGTGGCGAAAGAGTGGCGATTGTTGCGTATCTGCGTAAAATGGTGTTGGAAGTGGGTGAATAGCGGGAGGAAGGCCTGGAGGATACATCTGATTCTAGGTGGAGTTTTGTGCATCTGGTTTTATAGCGCATGATACTCGCTTGCGGATACTCTAAGTCCCGGGGGTCTGTGCAGGCGTGGTTGTGTTGTTCTTGCCGGAGTTGAATTGATTTGTGGTATATGGTTTTAAATTGGATTTTGTGAATGCGTGCATTCGGTAGTCGAACGGTTATTGTGCTTGAGAGGCATGGGTTGGAGTGAGATTTGGGTTTTCTTGAGGAGTTTTCGTTGTTTGTTGCGTTTGTAGGGATGAAGAGGTTGAAAGGTGAGTCTCCAAGTGTGAGGAGGTTCAGATTGTCATACATTTTATTCGGTGCAGGTGTTCTATATTTGATTCTTATTTTCGTCAAGTTCCCTGAATTCTTGGAGAGTGCAGCAGTTTTAAATGGCGATGATACAAGTGGTGGTTTTGAAGGATTCTCATTTGGGAATGATGATGCCAGCGAGACAACTAAATCATTTGTTGCTTCTGATGGCTTTCAGAGGATATTGCAAGATAATGAAAATCAAGATGCCCCTGTAAAGCCCGAACAAGAGGCTACAAAAGAGGGTAGAAGTGGCTATTTTCCGAATAGGTCCCCGCAGCAACAATATGGTCGAATAACTGCTGAAGTTTTGAGACGAATAAATAGGACTAAAAACTTGACTGTTCTGGAAAGAATGGTGGATGAAGCTTGGTCTCTAGGGTTGAAAGCTTGGGAAGAAATAGATAAATTTGATGAAAAAGATATTGACATGAGCACTATACTAGAGGGAAAGCCAGAATCTTGTTCATCATGGGTTTCAATGAGTGGAGAAGAGTTAATTAAGAGCAATAATATTATCTTTCTTCCATGCGGTCTTGCGGCTGGTTCTTCCATCACAGTGGTTGGGACTCCACGACATGCACACCATGAATATGTCCCACAATTGGCTAAATTGAAACATGGTAATGGACTAGTTTTGGTGTCACAGTTTATGGTTGAGCTGCAAGGATTGAAGGCTGTCCATGGAGAGGATCCGCCAAAGATTTTCCATTTGAACCCTCGCTTAAGAGGTGACTGGAGTCATCAGCAAGTTATCGAACATAATACATGTTACCGAATGCAATGGGGAAAAGCCCAAAGGTGTGATGGTTTTCCTTCCAAAAGCGATGAAGATATGCTGGGTAATGACCCATCAATATTGTTTCTTCATTTCAAATTTGTTAGTGTTTGAGTTTATTATTCTCAATAACAAAATGTATAGCATTATTCCAGCATGATACCAGTGATATGAGAGCATGAACAGACTAATGCATGCTTGCTAACCTAGAGTTTTAGGAATTAAATGGTGTTTTAAAATTTGATTGATCCAAGTGATATGAATGCAATACGTTATCCGTAGTGATGTATTAGGTTAAGGCAATTATTTCTAAACATGTTTGTAAGACCTGAAGGTTATTTATGATGTCTGATAAATATCTGGTGCTCTGTGTTTGTGCTTTTTGGACTTGATTTCATCTGCAATATGGATTTGCTTTCATCTTTCAGATATAACCTCAATCGCTTAAATGATTTTGATTTGTTTAAATTATTGATGTGATCAAGAGATGGACATCAAGTTGGCTTTGAATTTTCTTCATCTGATTGATTGATATATTTTTATTTTTTAAGTTCCCAGGTCTTGTTCCAGTTTTGCCTTTCATACATATGAACTTGCCTTAAATAATGTAATCATACTTTTCCCTATTAATGGTTGGATGCTCTGTATTGCCTTATTTACGTTTATTCACTGAACTTATTCATGTTGCCATCATATTGACCTCTTGACATGTATGTAATGTGTCCTTGCAGTTGATGGGTACTTGCGGTGTGAAAAATGGATGCGTAATGATGTAATAGATGCTAAGGAGTCCAAGATATTTTCATGGTTTGAGCGATTCATAGGACGTGCGAAAAAACCAGAAATAACTTGGCCATTCCCATTTCAAGAAGGCCGAATGTTTGTTCTGACTATACGTGCTGGAGTTGATGGATTTCATGTGATTGTTGGGGGTCACCATGTGACATCATTTCCATACCGAATGGTTAGTTGCACTCTGTTATTAACCAATCCCATCAAGCAGTGGTTTGTTTAGTACCGATATCAGTTTCTAACACTGGCATTTATTTATGCAATGACATGTGAAAGCTATGATAGGAAGGTGTTGAATGACCATTTCAGTTTTTGGTGCCGGAGATTGTTTAAAATAATTTGTTAGCTAAACTCTTCTAGACTACTTATCCAATGATGTTCAAATCTCTCACACTATAAGTCCCTGATATGTTATTTTTGAGTATACAGGGTTTTACACTGGAAGATGCAACAGGGTTGACCATAAAAGGTGATGTGCATGTTCATTCAATATATGCTACATCTCTGCCTATCTCTCACCCCAGTTTCTCACCCCAAAGAGTCTTAGATTTCTCTGAGAGGTGGAAATCTCGGCCTTTACCCCCGGGTCCAATTCAACTCTTTATGGGGGTTCTCTCAGCCACCAATCACTTTGCAGAGCGTATGGCTGTTAGAAAGACATGGATGCAATCCTCTTCAATCAAGGCATCAAAAGTAGCAGTTCGATTCTTTGTTGCACTGGTATACCTGCTTTCTCTTTCTATCATGTCATACTTTCTGAGTAGTTATACAGTCTACTGGTATATGGAAAACATAACTCTGTAAGTAGTAAGAATTAAAATGTTAGCTTGGTAATACCTAGTGTATGGAAACAGTTAGTACTGTTTCTCCTATGCAATAGCAAACTAAACTTCAGTAGATTCAGCAGGTCCTTGATCAACCTCAATATCTATGCCTGATCTATGATCAGCTTGCAGTCATCATCATCATATGCTTGTATTCTTCATGCCATTTAGATCGAGTCATTTCATGTGTCGATTTATCTGCTATCATTTCACCTATCTGTGGTTCCTGTGCCAATTTGTGATTTTATGCTGATGTAAAACCTGAGGAAGTGAGGATCCTATTCTGCTACTTAAATATAGCAGAGTGGTAACAGTCTTTCTTGAGAGTTGACTCAAGCTGAAGGGGGCTATGATGTGTGGATAATAGAAGCTGGCTTAAATTATTCTGATTTGTTTATTTACAATCCCATTTTCTGATTGTAGTTTGGATTACACAAGATATATTTTGATAGATAAAATGTATTTCCTTCAGTATTAGATATGTATAATTTATTTATGACTATTCAATGGGTAATTAGTAGCTGGAATTTAACTGATCTCAGATATATTGTAGAATCAAAGGAATGAGGTGAATGCAATTTTGAAGAAGGAAGCTGCCTACTTCGGTGATATAGAGATATTGCCATTTATGGATCGTTATGAGCTTGTAGTTCTTAAAACTGTGGCCATTTGTCAGTATGGGGTATGTTAACCTTCCCGCTCTTACTAATGCTCCTTGTATTCTCTCAACATGGTTTTGATATAGTTTGTAGGAAAATTTTATAGTGATGAATTTTATGTTCACTGCAGGTTGAAAAAGCAATGGCAGCCTACATTATGAAATGTGATGATGATACTTTTATTAGGGTCGGCACAATTTTAAAAGACATTGATGGCGTGCCTCCTGGAAGGTCCTTGTATTTGGGGAATCTAAACCTCTTGCACAGGCCTCTTAGGAATGGTAAATGGGCAGTCTCATATGAGGTACATAAATTCCCCGTGTAACTTTGAGCGCAGTTTCTGCCACTATCCAAGTTTGCCACTCTATACAAACATGTTACTTGGATGGTTATCTTGTGTGCAGGAGTGGCCGGAAGAAATTTATCCCCCGTATGCCAATGGGCCTGGATATGTAATATCAAGTGACATTGCCCGCTACGTTGTCTCTCAACATGCAAACCATAGTCTACGGGTTTGTGAAATCTGCTGTGTTTTTATATGTTCTTCTAAGCAGTACATTTTTCAAATTAAGAAGCATACCACTTGTATGTATCCCCAAATTCGCAGCTGTTCAAAATGGAAGATGTGAGCATGGGAATGTGGGTTCAACAGTTCAACAGCACCAAACATGTCCTATATTTGCACAAGTGGAAATACTGCCAATACGGATGCATGGAAGACTACCACACCGCGCACTACCAATCTCCAAGACAGATGATATGCTTGTGGGATAATTTGCAGAAGGGCAAGGCTCATTGCTGTAATTTTTGAGGCGAGACATGACATTGCAGCCTGGCTATTAGCGACGTACTTTGTCCATTCCTCCTATAGCTGCAACCAAGCAATCCCAAGACACAAATTTTTGATGAGGTATCTCTATCTCATTCTATTATGTTCTATCAATGCCTTTCCAACAACAATGATGTCCTTCCTTGTAGTCTGTATAGGACTGTTGCGATGATGTAGCCATTCTTGGGGTACGGTTGTAGGAAAAACAGAACAGAACAGAACCCCTCTTTCTGGGATTTGATCCTAAATCTAGATGTTTTACATCAGATTTTTTCCACTTTAAAAGTTACATTCTTGAAGCTGCAATGTGTGAACTGGAATCCACTGTTGTTCACTACTCAATTCTATTCGTGTTTACATAATACTCTAGTTGGCACAAGGGAAATAACGGGATTGTTTGGATCTGTTTTAGAAGTATTTGGGAGTTTTGAGCTCATTTGAAAATATTTAGAAGTAGGGTTAGGAAGTGAGATTTTGAATGGGGGATAGGAGTGTGTTTGGTGGTAGGTTTGAAGTTGAGAATAATAAGAATGTGAATTGTAATGGGTGTTATGTGAAAGTACGGTTAATCAACACTATATTATTAGTCTTAATAAACACATAGAAATATATATATATATATATATATTTTAACTAACACAATACATGCTATTTTAGTTGAAAGTATGTATTGCTATTATACTCAATATTAAGTTGATGCAACTGAATTATTTATGTAGGTCCCAAATTTGTATAAACTCAGACAGCCCCGTCGAGGGGACCAGCAATTTGGGCCACCTACTTGATATTGGACTCACAAGCCCACTTGTGAACATCAACCAAAAACAAGAAACAGACCCAATTCAATTTATTTATGTAAAATACGAACAAAGTGTTAGAATATAAGTAATCTACTGAATCTGAATGTGAACCTTGAATGGCGATGGAATGATGTGTATCGACTCTCCGTTGTTATTTCTTTATCCATCAATCGATAATCCACTATTATATTCTCATCTCATGATTCTGCAATTATGCATACTTTGTTCTAATATTCCATTTCTTCTTTAAACACGTCACAGTTAACGAGTACACGTGACAGCGTAATGTGGAAGGATGGATAGTCATAGTCTGACAGACTGACCACATGATTGGATTTCTGGGACCTACAGATTTAATTATGGCCAACTACATATTAAATTATCATTAAGATCTACAGTCTATAGTTTATTCTCCTGTCGGTAAATCGTCCACGTCACCCTCTCGTTCATTATCATAATCAATCTTATTTTGTTTGATTCATGATATCTTAAATCCACATTTTCTCAACGGAAACGGGTAGAGCCTCCTGTATTAAACCTGCTATTATTTTGTGTGTGGGGGGATATACGTGGCTTCTTGTGGGACAGCCACGTAGCACCAATCAAGAAAGTTACCCACTTTACTCTCTATTTAATGCTAAAGTAGAGTAAAGTAAAGTAGATGCAGTTGCCTAGCAGCTGTAGCACCAATGGTGACTCCTAATTTCTTTCTTTCTTTCTTTTAGCAAGACCTTGTGTCGACATATTATTTCCTATCACCATCTTCATCTTCGTGTTCCAAGAACGTGATGGAATCAAGAAGTCTCCACACAACTGTGAGAATTCAGCTCCAACCAGACAGACACGTAGCAGTAGCAGTAGCAGTAGCAGCATTAAATCAATTCATGGTTGAAATTATTAAGCCCCACAGTGGTTGGATTCATCCCACGCACACAAATACCTCTTTATCTCTCTCTCGGTCTTCTTTCCCCCTAAACTTTGTCTCTAATGTTGTGGCCTCTTCAATCTTCATTACAAACGGCTCCAAACCTAAACAAGAAACGAAAAGTCAAAATACACACACTCGTTTCACATGCCTTCTTTCTTTAAAACTCACAACAATCACACTCACTCCCTCCCTCCATTAATGCCCATTCTCACTCAGAACACAAATATTAAGCACTGGTAGATAATCCAAAACAGAACCAGAAGAAGAAGAAGAAGTAATGGATTTTAGTTCATTTCTCACGTCTCTAGCGACGTCGTTTTTGATATTCGTTGTGCTCATGTTTCTCTTCACCTGGCTCTCCCGGAAACCCGGCAACCACGTCATCTACTACCCGAATCGGATCCTCCGAGGACTCGACCCGTATGAGGGTATGCGGGCCACCCGCAACCCCCTCGCCTGGATCCGGGAAGCCCTAGCTTCCACCGAGGCCGACGTTGTCAGAACTTCCGGCGTCGACACCGCCGTCTACTTTGTCTTCCTCAATACTGGTACGTCCGATTCTCTGCATCTCTCTCTCTCTTATTGTACTTCATGTAATGAAGTTTCAGCTGTGTCTTCTTCTTACAGTGTTGGGGATTTTCGTTCTGTCTGGCCTTCTCCTTCTGCCGGTACTACTTCCGGTGTCTTCCACTGCTCGATTCCGCATAGATTACGACGAGAGCACCAGTCAAGGAACCTTTAACAACCTCGACAAATTATCCATGGCGCACATTCAAGTTAGTTACCCAGATGCTCTGCACTTCTTCCGTCACTAAACTTTATTACACAACCGAACGATTTCTCATCAATTTACTGTTCTGTTCGATTCCCCTTTGTTAGAACAGCCTAAGAGCCGTCGATTGTGGGCATTCGTAGCAGCAACCTATTTGGTTTCTGCAATCACATACTCCCTGCTATGGAAGGCATACAAACATGTCTCCAATCTAAGGGCTGCTGCACTCATGTCACCCGACGCAAAACCCGACCAATTCGCCCTCCTCGTCCGCGACATTCCTCCTGTCCAAAAAGGACAAACTAGAAAACAACAGGTCGATTCCTATTTCAGAACAATCTATCCAGACACCTTCTACAGATCCATGGTGGTCACTACGAACAACAAGGTCCTCCTTTACATAATTACTATTCATATAGACAGACATCATTTCCCACTGAACGTAATAGTTCCTTTTGCTAAATCATTTCTTAGTTCAACAGGTCGATAAGATTTACCAAGAGCTGGATGGATACAAGAAGAAGCTAGAACGTGCAGAAGTGATATACTCCGAATCCAAAACGACGGCAAAGCCGGAAGGATCAAGGCCAACTACTAAAACAGGATTCCTCAGCCTGATTGGTAAGAATGTCGATGCAATAGATTACTATGATGCTAAGATAAAGAAGTTGATCCCGAAGCTCGAATCCGAGCAAAAGGCCACTCTAAAAGACCGGCAGCGATCCGCTGCCATCATCTTCTTCAACAACAGGGTAACTGCAGCTGCAGCCTCGCAGAGTCTGCACGATACAATGGTCGATAATTGGACAGCAATGGATGCTCCTCAGGCCCGGGATTTGATATGGTCGAATCTTCCTAAGAATTTCTACGAAAGGCTGATCCGGCAGTACATCATATATTTTATTGTGCTCTTGACCATATTCTTTTACATGGTGCCAATTGGCTTCATCTCTGCACTGACCACGCTCGATAACTTGAAGAAGCTTCTCCCGTTCTTGAAACCGGTAGTCGAACAACCTCTAATCAAGACGGTGCTGGAGGCGTATTTACCGCAGATTGCGCTTATTGTGTTCTTGGCTCTGTTGCCGAGTTTTCTATTGTTCTTGTCGAAGGCTGAGGGCATTCCTACTCGGAGCCATGCAGAGAGGGCTGCGGCTGGAAAGTACTTCTATTTTTCGGTCTTGAACGTTTTTATCGGGGTCACGTTAGGTTCGACACTTTTTGATACGTTTAAGGAGATTGAAGAGCACCCAAAATCGATAATCACTATACTTGGAAATAGCCTTCCCGGGAGCGCTACGTTCTTCTTGACTTTTGTGGCTTTGAAGTAAGAAATTGTATTGCGTTTTTCGCCTTGACAATGCCATTGAATGCAATACGTTGTTGATTTTGGTGTTTTTCAGGTTCTTTGTTGGGTACGGGCTCGAGCTATCGCGACTAGTTACTTTAGTGTTGTTTCATTTGAAGAAGAAGTATCTCTGTAAGACGGAGGCCGAAGTGAAAGAAGCGTGGGCACCAGAGGATCTCGGGTACTCGACTAGAATCCCGAATGATATGCTGGTCGTTACGATTGTTCTTTGCTATTCGGTGATAGCACCGGTGATTATTCCGTTTGGTGTGGTCTACTTCGGATTGGGATGGGTTCTTCTTCGTAATCAGGTCCTGAAAGTTTATGTTCCTTCTTACGAGTGCTACGGGAGAATGTGGCCGCACATCTTTATCCGGATCATGGCTTCGTTGATCCTCTATCAGATCACGATGCTCGGATACTTTATAACGAAGGAATTCATCTACACTCCGATCCTGATCCCGCTCCCTGTGATGTCGTTCATCTACATGTATGTTTGTAAGAAGAAATTCTACCGGTTCTTCACGTGCACGGCGCTTGAGGTCGCTGCGCACGAGGTGAGCGCAGCTCCGAACATGGAGGCCGTGTTCCGGTCGTTCGTTCCGCCGTGCCTCAGCACGGAGAAACCCGATGGCCATCAATTTGAGGATGCTTTCTCTCTTATTTCTGCAAATGGTTCAGTTGCTTGATGTTGATGCCTTCCTCTAATCCATCTTCTTCCATAGCCCTTTTGGTCTCGTCGTAGGTTATTATCTTGTTATGTACTACAATGTATATTATGTGTTATGTTTATGCTTCCTGTTGGGTCTAAGAATTGACATGCAATCAAATTTATTTAAAGCAATTTGTGTGTGTGACTGGTTAGATTAAAGTAACCTCAAGTGAGTCGGGACTTGTTTACCATATGTGGTTTGACTTTGTTGCATAACTTTCCTAGCGTGTGGAAATATGTCGTGTGGAGATACATTATATTATTTGTAGTCAAATGTAGTATTCTTTACCAAATCAAACTAGAGAAAAACACAGACAACGTACCGCGTGAGCACTGGTCAAATAAGTTTATCTAACATTCGATATATGTATATAAAAGGACTGTTGTGCTCACATTTCAGACACCAGAAATTCTGACAATGGCAACCACAAGCCCAATCCATCTCCAGCTCAATCTCACCACAGCTCGAGCCAGACACCGTCAGCCGGGGAGCGGCGTCGGAGCTTTCCGGAAAGATGTGGCAATCGCACCCTATAACAAGGCAATCAAAATCGCAGAATCCTTATCGAACATGCTCAATCTTCACATTGAAACTGCGATGCAGAGGAATCTAGCACGTTCCGAGATGAATGTTTCGAGCATTGAGGGGAAGAACAATACTCCGTCAATGTCTCCCAAGGAAGACGTCTCCGGCGAGTGGCGGGAGTTCCATGGCTGCCGGGATTGGCATGGCCTCCTTGATCCTCTGCACCCCTGCCTGCGCAGGGAGATTGTTAAATATGGCGAGTTCGCACAGGCGACGTATGATGCATTTGATTTCGATTCATTCTCCGAATACTGCGGCAGCTGCAGATTCAATCGGAGTAAGCTTTTCCAGAAATTAGAGCTCAACCACAGCGGTTACAATGTCACGAAATATGTGTACGCAATGTCGCATATTGATCTGCCTCAGTGGCTGGAGAAATCGAGATTCGTAGATACCTGGAGTAAGGACTCTAATTGGATGGGGTTTGTAGCAGTGAGCGACGATCGGGAATCGCGGAGGATCGGACGGCGGGACATTGTCGTGGCATGGCGGGGCACGGTGGCGCCGTCGGAGTGGTATGACAATATGCAGCGGAAATTGGAGCCGATTGGGGAAGGAGAGTCCAAAGTCGAACATGGATTCCTCAGCCTCTACGCTTCAAAGAATGGTACCACGAGGTACAACAAATCAAGCGCATCGGAGCAAGTGATGAGAGAAATTAAGCGATTAATCGATTACTACCATGGAATAGGCGAAGAGGTCAGCCTCACCATCACCGGTCACAGCCTCGGCGGCGCGTTGGCGCTATTGAATGCCTACGAAGCCGCGAGGAACTTCCCCGAACTTCCGATCAGCGTCATCTCCTTCGCAGCTCCGCGCGTGGGGAACATCGCCTTCCGCGACGAGCTCTACCAATTGGGGGTAAAAACCCTAAGAATCACAATCAAGCAGGATATTGTGCCACGAATGCCCGGAATTGTTCTCAACGAGAGCCTGCAGAGATTCGACGACATCACGGGGCCATTGGAGTGGATTTACACTCACGTCGGAGTTGAATTGAAGCTCGACGTCAGCTCATCGCCGTATCTGAAGAAAGGATTAAATCTGGTAGGATTTCACATGCTCGAAACGTACCTCCACCTGGTCGACGGATTCCACAGCAGCGATTCTGGATTCCGGACGGATGCTCGGAGGGACGTAGCGCTGGTGAACAAGGCTTGTGATATGCTCGTGGATGAACTGAGAATCCCTCACAGTTGGTACCAAATGGCGAATAAAGGACTGGAAAGGAACCGCCATGGAAGGTGGGTAAAGCCGACGAGGGATCCCGAGGACATACCTTCGGCGGCGGTGGAATCGCCGATCGAAGGGGAGGAGTGTTACGTGTTCGATTCTTTATTTGAAAATTGAATGATTAATACCCCTCCGGGTTTTTTTATTATTTTTTATTTTTTATTTTTTATTTTTTATTTTTTATTTTATGTAGAATAATTTAGAAATTAAGATATGTGATGAAAATATATATATATTTTATTTTATTTATTTGAAAGATGTGAAGGATAAAATGTGGAGTAGAGATTAAGGAGCGTATTTGGCAATTAGTTGATAGATGTTAAGCTGCTAGCTGATTCAATTAACTATTTGTATTAAAATATTTGGTAAAATAATTGTTTGATATTAGCTGATTATACGTAAAATGACAATTGAGGATATATCTATTTTATTTTTGTTTCTAATATATTCAATTATGTTCTTTTGAGTTTAGAATGTTTAAATTTTTTTTATTAGTTATTAAAAATTGTAAAAGTGCTATAAAAGTATTTATTTTTATTACAGTTAGATTTAAAAATAATATATTTTTTATTAAAATATATAAATAGTTTTTTCTATTGTAAAATATAAAATAATAAATTTTTCATGTATATATTTATTACGTCAGCTATCGATTAGTTCATTATATTTATAATTTTCAATAATTTTTTTTAATTTATATAATATAATTTTAATATAAAATAAATTATTAATATTTATATTTTCTATTTTATATTGATTTTAATAAATTTATATATTTTACCATTAAAATAATTTTTATAAAAATTAATTATTTTAAATTTATAAAAGTAAAATTATATTATAATAAAATATTCTAATATAATTAATAAATAATCAAAATATATTTATTTGTGTAAAATATATAATAAATTTTTAAGGGCATATAAGGAATAACTTTTTTTAAAAAAATACTGGTTAAGTTAGCTTTCCGGAAATTAGCTTTTTGGGTTCAAAAAGCTAATTTACCAAACATTTAAATTAGTTTTTTAACTGGTCAAACAGATAAAAACTCTTTACCAAACACCCTAAGTATAATTAATTATTTTTTATTTTGAAAATATTGAAAAGTATTTGATATATATCAAAAATAAAATGTTGTATGATGTTTGAGACGGAGGGATTACAAAATAAATAAATAGCAATATATAATATTATCAAAATGCTAAGTTTAGGTTTAACCCAATATGTAAAGGCCCAACTCATGTGGACTCCAAATAAATTTCAATTAAAATATATTTGTCTTTTTTGTTTTAATATTTTAAAAAGAAAACTAAAGTTATTGAATTTGCTATTTTTCAGAGAAAATAAAATAGTGGAAAATAAAAAATTTAAGGAAAAAAAAACAAAAAAAAAAAACCACACACATAGTCTTAATAAATTAGTCTAATTATTGAATTATACAATATCATATGAATTGATCACTAAAATATAATATTCATCAAAGAGTATTAATTATTTATGGTTTAATATATAAGATGAATTAATTGTTTCATCAAAGAGTATTAATTGTTTGTTTGAATTTGTTTCATCAAATATAATATACTAGGGTGTGTTTGTTTGAGGGTTTGGATTTTGAGTTGGGATTTGAATAGTAAAAATTTTAAATTTGAATAGTTGCATGATGATGTGATATAAATAGGTGTTGATGTGATGTTTTGAATGTAAAATTGATTTTTAGTATAATATAAAAAATGAAAAATAGGTGTTTGATTTGATGTTTTTGAGAAAAAAAAATATATGATTGAACAGTGAAAATCCATACAAATCCCTCGAACAAACACGCTCAAATGAATTAATTGTTATATGATTTGATGGCTAAAGTGTGAGAGTCATCAAGATCATATATTAGTACTAGGATTGATTGGTTTTGATTTGAATATTAGTTTAAATAAAGTTTTGATGTGATATCTTATTATATAAAATATTACTCCATCCGTCGTACAAATGTGTACTCATTTCACCGGACACGGATTTTAATAAAAGTGAGTAATCATTGTTATTTTTTCTTTTTATAATAAAAAAATGTACAAAAATGTAATAATTTTTTATTTAAAAAAATAACGAGAATATTTTTCAATGACAACTCATAAAGAAAAGTGAGTATAAATTTGACGAAGGGAGTATACTTTTATAGTGATTTGAATTTGAAACCAAACCAAATACATTTCATAGTTACTCAAGATTATGATTACATACATCTAAAAAAATCATTTTAACCTGAGTTCAAATCTAACGCGTAGGAATCTTATCTGCTGCATATAATTCGTTTAAAAGTTACATATGTGATATATATGTACGTAGGTTCTTATAAAAAAAAATTAAAACTTGAAATATGAAATTATTAAACTTATTTATAAAATATAATTTGACTAATTTAATATATATATATATATTATGCTGTTTTGAAAGACAATATTGAAATATTTATTAAAAAAATAATATATTTTATACGAGGTTTAATAAATTTTTAATATAAAAATAAAATAAAATATTTTTAAATATAGCCGCTAAAAATATTTAATATATCTATATACAGTCTAATGTATATTTCTAAAACAATATTAGTAGATTCATTTACAATTAACTAGAGGTAATATTACATCAATGTCGTTCCTATAAATATTTGGTTTAATTTATGTTTATTTTGGATAATTAATTTATGTTTATTTTGTTTTTGTTGAAATGAATGGATGAATGAAGTCATGAGAGACGTACAAAGCTAAATCTAAAGAAACATCACGTTCTTGGACAAGGTTTCGATTAATATATTTTTTCAGGTACTTTATCATCATCGTTTTATTCTTAGTATTGAGCAAAAGATTAAAGTAATCCACACGTTTTAGGAAAATGACAGACATTAGTTGGCCTACAATAAATTATCATGCGTCTTTTTCGTTCCTATATTTTTTGAGCTTTCGGTTCTAGTGGTTAATTAATCGGACCTATTCGACGCTATGTATGCCGAGAGATGATGCTAGAAATTATTGTGGTGATTGTTATCAAATCAATAAATTATCAAGAATTCATCAATGTGCGGCCTGTTATGATCGAGAAGATTCATGTTCAACGAAATATATTTTCTCGACCGCACACATAATAGGGAGTAATTCATTCTTTTCTTTTTACATTTATACATTACTTTTATTTTAGCATCTTGCATATAGTATTAAGATTATATCTACGTCTCGGGCCTGCATGTATTAATTTTGTTTTTAAATTTTATACTAACTTATTTTTTAGTGTATTTAGTTTGTAGGTAAAGTTTATATGAACAGAATTCGCAAAAATTCAAGGTAAGCAATTTTAATATTATTTTTTTTTTTATTCTCATTCATACATATATTAATGTCTATTTTAAAATTTTTTTTTAGATGCATACGAGATAGAGTGGCCTGAAGATCGGACGACCGAAAATATAATATGGAGTAGTTCATATTTTTTCTTTTACATTTATGTATTTCATTATTTTAGCATCATGCATATAGTAATAAATTTATTTTTACGTTATGTTATGTTACGTGACTTGCATCTATTTATTTTTTAATAGTGTAAACAAAATCTTAAAATTTGTTTACATTACATATTTTTACTAATTTGACATTATTCATTTTTAAAAAAACATCACATCAAATTCTAAATTTTTATTTTTTCTCAAACTTTCGAAATTACAAAAACCTTAAAAAAAGAAAAAATCCTGTCTAAACAAAGCCTTAGTCAGGGAATTTATACACCTCTTTACACTCCCAATCTCATTTAGTTTTGGGTAATACCAATGAGAACATTAATTCATATTATAGACTATTAATTTTGACTAGAATAGTTCATATAGTAAAAAATATTTTTAAAATATATATGTTAAAAATTCTGAATAAGAAGTCAAGAACCACTAATTTAATAATGCAAAATGCCAACCCAAACATTTTTACACAATATTTATGTAATTTGGCATTATTCATTTTTTTTAAATAAAATATATATAACATCAAATATTTTTTTTTAACAAAATATACGTAAAATAATTTTTATTATTTTTAAAATTTTCAAATTTTTATTAAAAAAATAAAAAAATCTCACCTAAATGAAGCCTTATAAATCATGACAAAATGTCCTACCAATAATACCATAAAATATTGAATTTTAGTAGCCAAATAGAGAAATTTGAGACCTCAAACTCAAAGCCGAGACGTGGCTAGCCTAGCTAGGGCAATAAACCCGCCACTTCTACGAAACCACCTTCACACTCATTTTCTATTTTTTACTAACTTAAAAAAAAAAAAAAAAAAAAAAAAAAAAAATCAAAACCGAGTTGAAGAAGAGAAAAGAGAAGACACGCCCAACGAAAAACAAAAAGGTATGGTCGAATTCAATCATCCTATTTTATTTTATTTTTTATAAAAAAAAAAAAACCCAACAAACAGAGATTTAAAAAAAATTAAAATCCAAAATGCAGAACGTGATTACTGTTCCTCAACAACCCACTCTCTATTCTATACTCGTCCCACCATGCCCATCTACCACCCGTTCCTTTCTTACATACACAGACACACACATATATATATATACACATATATGTATAAATACTTGCTAGCTACGTACAGTCATCGACTTCAATTCCTAATTTCCTCCTTGGAAATCAAACCCCACCCCACCCAGCTAGCTGCCAAATCAAAATCAAGATTGAATACATGGGCAGCCTTCACAACGACGAGATGAAACCACACGCCGGAACGATGAAACCCCTCGACCCGGAGGAGTTCCGGCGGCAGGGACATTTAGTCATCGACTTTCTTGCAGACTATTACAAGAATGTCGACAAGTATCCTGTCCGCAGCCAAGTCGAGCCGGGATACCTCAAGAAAAGGATGCCCGATTCCGCACCCTACGACCCCGAACCAATCGAGACAATCCTCCGGGATGTCCAAAACGACATCGTTCCGGGGATTACTCACTGGCAGAGCCCCAATTACTTCGCCTACTTTCCCTCCAGCGGCAGCATTGCCGGATTCCTCGGGGAAATGCTCAGCACCGGATTCAACGTCGTCGGCTTTAACTGGATGTCATCGCCGGCGGCGACGGAGCTCGAGAGTATCGTAATGGATTGGCTAGGCAAGATGCTCAAGCTTCCGTCAGAGTTCTTGTTCTCCGGCGGCGGCGGAGGGGTTTTACAGGGCACCACCTGCGAGGCGATTCTGTGCACGCTGGTCGCCGCCAGGGATCGGATGCTGAAGAAAATCGGGAGGGAGAACATCAACAAGCTCGTCGTCTACGGGTCGGATCAGACCCACTCCGCCTTGCAGAAGGCGGCGCAGATCGCCGGAATAAACCCGAACAACTTCCGGGCCGTCGCCACCACGAAGGCGGACGCCTTCGGGCTGACGGCGGAGGCCCTCCGGGCGGCAATTAAATCCGACGTGGAATCTTCAGGGCTAGTGCCGCTGTTCCTATGCGCCACGATCGGAACGACGTCGTCCACCGCCGTCGACCCGCTTGGCCCGCTCTGCCACGTGGCGGAGGAGTACGGAATGTGGGTCCACGTGGACGCGGCGTACGCGGGCAGCGCCTGCATCTGCCCGGAGTATCGCCATTTCCTGGACGGCGTGGAGAAAGCCCATTCCTTCAGCTTCAACGCCCACAAGTGGTTCCTCACAACCTTGGACTGTTGCTGCCTCTGGGTGAAGGACCCGGGAGCCCTGATCCAGGCCCTCTCAACCTACCCAGAGTATCTCCGAAACAAAGCTTCCGAGTCGAAGCAGGTCGTGGACTACAAGGACTGGCAGATAACCCTCAGCCGCCGCTTCCGGTCGCTGAAGCTCTGGATGGTTCTCCGGAGCTACGGCGTCGCCAATCTCCGCAAGTTCTTGCGCAGCCACATCAAAATGGCCAAGAATTTCGAGGGCCTTATCGGGATGGACCGGCGGTTCGAGGTGGTGGTGCCGCGCAACTTCGCCACCGTCTGCTTCCGCGTGGTGGCGGCGGAGATGGAGATCGTCGACAGTTTCAATGCCAAGTTGCTGGAGAGTGTTAATGAGTCCGGGAAGGTTTACATGACCCACGCCGTGGTGGGCGGCGCCTACGTCATGCGGTTCGCCGTCGGGGCCAGCCTGACGGAGAACCGGCACGTGATTTTGGCGTGGAAGGAGGTCCAAGAACATGCGAATGCCCTGCTAACGAGTTCGTGATTCCTTGATTCCATGTCTGTCTGTCACAGCTAGCTACCTGCTATGTATGGTTCAAATGCAATTCAACACGTGTTTTGTTTTTAATTATTGTTTTTTGGTATGTAGCTAATCGTTTAGCATAGGTGAGAATTTTATGCACGTTTGTTTGTATAGAATTCTCAAATCCAAATGTTGATTGAAATTAAAATCAAATTACTTGGAATGATGCTCAGAATGGACTGACTTTCTTCGATTATGCTTATGCGCACCACCTAACCTTCCATCGCTTTTATTTTTATCAACCTTATAGAATCGATGGCCTATTATTTTTTGCTAGTGCGGACAGGATGCTAATCAATATTATACTGATTTAATTAATGTTAATTAGTTATCAGCATTATAGTTGATTCATTACATATCATTGGGAAGGCATCGTCAGCCCCTCTCCACGCAATCCGCCTAGCCCCCTCACATTATATATATGTATGTATATGTGTATGGGCTGCCGATCCCCTCCCACATATCACACTTGATGCATGACGCATACATCAATGCATGATTTGAAGTTGTCGACACATTTTTGACATTTAGCTTTAAATTTAGATTTATAATTAGTCATATACATTAAATTATGTTACATAATATTTTAACAAAAATGACATCATATACTCAGGGCGGACCTATCACACTCCACCCTGGGTTATGTTTTTTTGGTGGATTTATAAAAAATTTGGTTTAAATTTGATATTAAAACAATGTATAATATGATATTTTGTGAGAAAAAAAATATATTTTTTTCAAAAAAAATGTAGAGATTAAATAGTTATAACATAAGTTTCGATGCAAAAGAAACATACTTTTGATGATTTCCCACTTATGATTTAAAAATATATATGCGGACATAGTAAAAACAATAATTGGAATGAACAAAAATCTAAAAATGTATAAACTTTTTCCTTTTTTTTACTTTTTTTTTTTCTAATGAGAACCTATACTTATATAGTTATGTATCAATTACAAAATTTAAAAGAGAAAATAAAATTTTACAATAGTCCGCTATAAATAAAACTATTAGAAAAACGAATAGACATATTATTTTATTTATAAATAGATTACTATAAGTTTGAAAAATCAACCTTCATTGATCGAATTTAAATTTCGCAATGGCATGTAACAAAAATCTCTACAATATATGATACAATTGATTTTAGTGTTTTATTGATTAGTGTAACTATATAAGAGATTTTGACATTTTTGGGTAATTGAATGTTTGTAATTTAATAAAAATTAAAAAGTATTTGATATTAATTTATAATTATTTTTACTTGACAAAATAGTAAAAAATGATTTTAAATTGGAACGGAGAGAAAATATTATAAATGTAATTAACAAAACATGCTATTTTAATTCAAGAAATATATAGTAGTTCGTATATTGATTAGAACTAATTAATGCAGCAATTAGTCTTAATAAGTATTCTAAGCTTCTTCACCAAATGATCTTAATTACATTTTGCGACGATGAAGCTTCCAAGCAGCTGTACTAACAACCTTGAAGGGTGTGTTTGTTTGGGGGTTTGGATTTTTTGAGTTCGGATTTGAATAGTAAAAATTTTGGATTTGAATAATTGTATGATGTGATATAAATAGGGGTTGATGTGATGTTTTGAATGTAAAATTAATTTTTTAGTATAATATAAAAAATAAAAAATAGGTGTTTGATTTGATTTTTTGGGGGAAAAAAATTGGATGAATAGTAAGAATTTTACAAAATCTTGCAAACGAACACACCCGAAGTTTACAACAGCCAAACCTGCTCCCCAAGTGATTTCCCATCAATCTTGCACGAATATTTCAAAATCTTTTTGGCTTTTCAATAATAACATTTTACTAAATGGTAAGATTAATTTTCAAATAAAACTATATGAAAATTTATCTTATTTTTCAATAAAGTGTGTTACATTACTAATTCAAAATGTCTGGATCCAACACACATCCGTAAAGTTTTCTGCGACCTAACTGATTCAACAACCCAGCTACAAAATAATAATAATAAAAAATTCTACAAGTCAAAAATATGATTAGTCAAATGTTTCATCGTATCTATTACTATTAAAAAAAAAGAAACAAACTTTCGGATACCATTTAGTGTGAAAATGAAAAGTTTGGATGCACAAATTATTGACTTGACTATCAATTTTCTTTAACACAACAACCTCCGAGTGACAGGTTAGTTTATTACAGAGGAAGAATATTCATTCCGTAATGTTGTTGTACTTGTACGACATCATCGTTGACAAAACAAAACGGAAGCTACACTTAGTACCAATTTTTAAGTAGTAGCATCCGCCCAGCTGCGCACGTGAGCCCTCTTTGAAAAGAACATCTATATTATACCAGGAATTTTGGGTGTGTTTGTTTGAGTGCTTGGATTTTAAGTTGGGATTTGAATAGTAAAAATTTTGAATTTAAATAGTTATATGATGTGATATAAATAGACGTTGATGTGATATTTTGAATGTAAAATTTATTTTTATTATAATATAAAAAATAAAAGATAGGTGTTTGATTTGATGTTTTTTTAGGAAAAAAATAGGATAAATAGTGGAAATCTAATCCAATCCCCCAAACAAACACATAATTTATAAGATTTTTTATAAAAATATATTATTAACATTTTAAATATAATATTATATTAAAATATTGATTTAAAATTTAATACTATTTAAATTTAAATATAAATCAATATTTTTAATTTCAAATCAAAATTAATAAATAAACCCTTGATATAACATCTATAGATGTACCTTTTTTTCTTTTTTCTTTTCTTTTTTCTTTTTGCAAAGAATAGTCGATAGTGTAAATTCAAATTCATTTTTATCAAAAAATAATGACATCACACATAACTTTATATTGAATATAAATTGTCAATTTTACAATATAACCATATATTATAATCACACAAATTGTCATTCAAATCTTGTTAAAAAAAAAAAGAGAGAAAAATAAAACATGTTCATCTTAAGAGGATATTTGCATAATTAGTACTTGCTCCCTTCATTCATACTCTACTAAATATGTTTGGGCCAAGATTAATAAATAATAATATTTTATTTTATTGATAACGGTAAAATCTGCAATTGCTACTAAACAAGTGCGTTCTAGTTAAACCTCAAGTAAAACCTAATAATCTATAAATTAAGTTTGACAAAACAAGTACACTAGGCGATGTAAAAATAGAGTAGATAAAAAGTAAATTAAATGTATTATCAAAACTTTATTAAATAATTGATAAAAAAAAATAATAAATAGAAAAAAATGACAAATTGATTATTATTTATAAATATGAATAATAAAGTTATGGATAAATAAAATTATTTATTATAAATAGATTATGTATTAAATAAAAAAAAAAAGAAAAAAAGTCGTATTTATCATGGATAGAAAAAGTAATTGTAATTGTCATAAATAAAATAGATATTTCACTCATTTTTAATAAAATATAATGGTGAATAACATAATTCACCTAAATACGATATGCCAATATTTTCTCCATTGACGCCTCCCCTTTTACTCACCAAACATTCAAATTCAATTGCTGAATGTTAGATGGCACCTCCACAACTTTATACAGCACTCGAGACGAAGAAACTCTATGAGGTGTGTGTAGTCTCTTGCACTGTATGTTGATTATTATTATTATTATTATTAGAATAAAGTATATAACACCACCTCTTGTATTTTAATATAAATATACAAAATACATCTGTTTTATTTATTGCATGAATTTATTGATGTTAAATTAAAGTTTCCATATAATATGTTTTCTATCCAAATATGATATTGGATGGTAAACACATAAAAATAAAATACCTTAAATAGTATTTATTAAATAAAATAAATAAATTATCAACCATGCATGTGATTGTTTTTACAAATAGTTATCTCATTTTTACAAAAAAATAAATAAAATAAAAAATTTATCAGTTATTTATTTTATTCAAATAAGATTAAGATATTTTCACTTATGAAACTTGCATAATCTAGTATGTGTTTACACCATAAATAAAAATAGATAATAAAAAGACACTCTTAAGAAAGACAGATGAAGAGAAGATCAACAGTAAAGCTGGCACAAACTCAATGCTACATATATCAACAGAATCTCTTACAGTGACCAGTGTAGGAACAAACCTGGACAAGATAGCCTGAACTGTAGACACATCCAACTTGCATGCATGCAGAGAACATGTCTACTTACCTGATTCAACTATGAAACTAACTTCACAATTTCAACTCTAATTACTTTGTTGCATCGAGATTTTGCAAAAAGCACCTATAATTCAAGCGATAACAAGATAAGAAGAACAAAGATTATACACAAATTCGCTTTATAATTTGGGACAGGCCAATGTAGATATTACTGATGTGAATCTAGCTAATCATTCCAAGAGCATGGAATTTGGTATTTATTAGTGATGAAAATAAAGTTTACAAATAAGTGGAAGTTTGAGGTAAAAATTAGTTAGGAGAAGAGTTTAATTTGTTTGTAATGATTTTTATGCATTTTACATACAGACAAGGGCATAATATTTAGCAAAATGGCTGAGCTCTACTGTAAATTAGTATCCCAAGTTGTCTATGACAGCATTACACTTACTACTGGGCGTCCGAATTGTGCTTTGTGTTGTGGCTCTTTCAAGAGTTTCTCTGCATTAGCAACTGTGAAATGATAAAAGCCAATGGACCCATGAAGCCTATCCAGTTGCTCATACCTGCAGAATATTTATGGAATTGGAGTTGAAGAATGGTGTTAAAATTTGGAAACATGGCGGTATCAGTGCAATTGATACAAAACTCAGTAGCACTTTTAGTCAACATATAAGATACTACAAAAATTAGAATGGTTTCCATATTCATTGACGATCCAACTCCTAGGAAGTGTCAAAGTGCAATAAGCACCTGAATAAAATTATTCTCTACATTCACTGTCCAGCAAATCCTGTGTTTCATACAACAGTTACAATCTCAGAAAACTTCAAATTGCAAGAATATTTATAGATTCAATGCATACAATGGGTCATCGCAATAGCATGTTAATTACCATATTAAAAATTTAACATGCATACTCTAAATCTAATTTGTCTTCTTCAAGATTTGGTATAGCAGTTTTAGGCAATGAAAGAAACTAAGGCCAGACATGCCAACTAGATGTATTCAATGGGAAAAGAAAATGAAGGGCAGTACATCTTATGGAAAGGATTCACCATCCAGAAGCTGATTTTAATTGACCAAGACATGGTTATGGATAAGACAATCACTTGAAATATGTTGAGTAAAAAGAGAAGGTGACACACTCAATTATGTTCGAGTTCGTGCCTTCATGAGACACACATCAACTGATCACTTCAAGACCAGATGAATCCCTCTACTCGATTATCCTTTTATCACTGGTTTTAAACCTCATGACAAAACCTTACACCATGAGGCTCCAATATGCAGTGAATAAATAGAGACCCGGTAAAAATGTCAGAGAAATTCATTGCAACTTTTCCCCAGTGACGAAAAAATGAACAAAATATAAGTACGTTCACATTGTATTACATTTGCAGAAGCATCTCTCAAAGGAATTTTTTTGTATTGAGTTTTCAGAGGCCCGTGTTGATGGAAGATAGAAAGCTGCAACAGATACTAAGTGTAGATTATTTATATCCGTTCTGACAAACAATTAAGTAACAACTCACTTAATTACACTTCAAACAAATAATGCCATCTATACTTCAAAAGCCCGCAACTCACACTTGATACGCCTAAGCATCATACCCATACTAAACTGCAGTCTACATCATTCTACAAAATTAGGTTCACCACTAAGGGTGTGTTTGTTTGAGGGATTTGTTTGGATTTCCATTATTCATCCTATTTTCCCCCCTCCCCCCAAAATATCAAATCAAACACCTATTTTTCATTTTTTATATTATACTAAAAATCAATTTTACATTCAAAACATCACATCAACACCTATTTATATCACATCATACAACTATTCAAATTCAAAAATTTTTACTATTCAAATCCCAACTCAAAATCCAAACCCTCAGACAAACACACCCTAAGAGCATCTCCAACCATGCTTTATATCAGGCGTTCCAACACCATTTTTGCCGCCGAGCTGCTCCAATCCAGCGTCATTCCCAGCACCAAATTTAGAGTTTGCTACAGCGCAACACCATTTTTTATGTTGCACTTTAGCAAAAGCTAATTTTTTTTTTAATTATAAATTTAATTTTTATTTTTTAAATTTAATTTTTTTTAAATTTTATTTTAAATTATAAAAATAAAAAGTTGATTAAAATAATAGAAAAAATTGAATATTAAATAACAGTAAAAAAATAGAATTATGGTTGGAGTAAAATTATCCGTATATTTCGAGTTAAAACGGGATAAGGAGATGATGGGTCGCCAAATCCAACGCTTTAAGGCGTTGTTTTATTTTTATTTTTTTAAAAATTTTTAAAATTATAAATTTGATTTTTAAATTTAATTTTTATTTTTTAATTTTTTTTTTAAATTTTATTTCTAAATTATAAAAATAAAAAATTATTTAAAATAATAAAAAAAATTGAATATTCGAACAATAATATTGAAAAATAGAGCTATGATTGCAGTAAAATTTGAAGTTAAAAATGGATATACGGAGTTGATGGATTGAAAATGGCCTTTCAGAAACCAAGCGTTGGCAAAATGTTCAACCACCAACAGCACTCTAAATCACAAAACTATAAATATTTCGACGTATTCCATCAAAATGAACTTGGATTTCTAGTTTTAAAGCACTGACTATATTCTTAAGTTGTGGCCCATTCAAGAGCCCCAAGAGGTCCTTACATGAGGAAAACGCATTTGAAGATTGAAGCAGTGTAACCTTAATGTAGATAACAAGCGAAAGCTAGACACTTGTCACAAAGCATATGATAAATTCAACTTACATACAGTAGATCATACATCTGAAAAAGAGACGCAGGGAGTTCCGTCGGAGTAGAGAAGGAACTGCCGTCTTCGCCGGACGATTTTCTAGCGAAACAAATCGCGTCGGCCGGGACGGTCCTCCGTTGGAATTTAAATATCCATTCTAGGCTGCTTTCTGGGCTTTTGTTATTAGTATGGGCTTAGGGTTTTTCTTCTTTAATATGTTTGGCCCAATATTTAAAATGGCCCAATTAAAAGTAAGCGGTTTAATATCTGTCTCATTGATCTCGACCGTATATAAGGGATTCAGACAATGGCGGCAAAAAACACATCCGGCGGGAATGGAGAATCGCGTCTAAAATTTTCGGTTGGCGGGGAAGCAAAAGATTCAAATTCGCACCGTCAATCGGAAATACACGCAGCAGCTGTATATTCACTCTCCATTAAGCAGGGAGAGTAGAAGAACAGTGGCGGTGGAGGAGTCTTGCGACGGGAAATATGGCGGACACATCGCATCTCGAAAGAATGGGAAGAGAGCTGAAGTGCCCTATATGGTACTTTTTCCGATTGGCTTCTTTGATTCTTTTAGGAATTTGTAAAGTATGTGTAGATCTTCATTTGTTACGTATTTGTTTCTGTCAACAGTTTGAGTCTCTTGAATTCGGCTGTTTCATTGTCGTGCAATCACGTATTTTGCAAGTAAGTTTTATCGTTTGGTCGTATTTCTTATATCAGTATCCGTAGAATCCTGTGTATCCTAGGGCTTAACCCACCGTCTTCCATCTATTTTTAACTCATGCAGTTCGTGTATCGAAAAATCGATGAAAGCAGCATCTAATTGTCCTGTTTGCAAAGTTCCATTCAGGCGTAGAGGTAATTGCATCATTATGTTATTTTATTTTTCGGATGCGTCAACCAACCCAAGTGTTCCATCTATTCTATCCAGGAACATCTTCAATAGTCTAACGAAGTGGGGATTGATTTATTTCAGTCTCTGCAAGCATTCACCTTCTGGAATGCAAAATGATATATTGGGGATTGGTACTTTCATGTTTTTATGCAGAAATTCGGCCGGCGCAACATATGGATAACTTGGTCAGTGTTTATAAGAGCATGGAAGTGGCATCTGGAGTCAATATTTTCGTCACTCAAAATGCAGATTCCACCAAAGCATCTGGTAACAATTTACAGCTGTAAAGAACTAGTTCCTGCATTAGTTGAAGTTGAAAAGATAATAAAAATCAATTATAGTCACTCCATGTATTTGTTTGTAGGCATTTTCTGAAAAATGATAAAGCGTGTTGTGAATATGGAGATGAATTGACTAAGCATAGAATGAGTAGTTCATAATTATTACACTATTAGAGATTACTCCAGTTACCTGATTTTATTTATTTTATCAAAGCCAAGCAACATCGTTCTAACTTCTCATTGTAAGCTTATTGACATGTGAATTATAGTTATTTTTTACTTTATGCATGAATGCAGATGAGCGAACTGGTATCAACAATTGTGAGGCCAAAGATGTTGTGCAAGCTGGTCATAATAGGAGTCAGCAAAAGGGATTGAAAGGTGCAGTGAAGACTAACAAGAGGCCAGCTGGTTCAAATAGCAATAAGCCGTCATTTCCAACAAAGAAACGGGTTCAGGTGCCACAATGTTCAGACGCCAATACCCAAACGGACCCTGAAAAGCTGGAAGGTGGAATCCATGAAACTGAGAGACAAAAGCCTGAGAAATGCCCTGTATTACAAAGAGACATGTCTTGTAGAGTTGAAAATGGAGTGACTGTTTTCTCTCCATTTTTCTGGTTGAGAGATGAAGAGGATTTAGAGAAATCAAGTCAGCATTCTGATGATAACCAATTGTTGCATACTCCACCAAATGCTCCTTGCTTCAGTGACATCAAAGATTCTGATGATGAGGATACTAGTAAAAGAAGTGATGTCAAAGATTCTGAGGATGAGGATATTAGTACAAGATCAGAAGTAAGTTCATAGATTCGGTTCATTACTGTCTGTAATTCATTGTCACCCATCTAACCTAGTCAACTATGATTGTGTCTTTTAAGCTTTGCTAATGATTAACTGATTTCTGATCTTCTGTGTGAAGAGAGTGATGTTTATTTTTCTTCTCCACAGAGACAAATTGTTTCACCGACAAGGGCACAATTTATTGATAGTGAGATGTTTGATTGGACACAAAGGCCTTGCTCACCTGAACTCTGTTATAGCCCCCCAGCAATGCAGCAGGTATTTTTACAGTGAACTATAAATGTGAAAGTTATGCTCTTCTATTCTATCCTGTTTCGTATCAAGCTTTTAAATTATATATGTTTCTGCAGAATGATTATGCCGCTGAGCAGGAAACTCTAAAGAAGGCAGAGGCTACTCTGATGGAAACAGCACCAGGTTCAAAGCAATGTGCGAAAAACAGAAAAAGTCTCAGTATGAAAACAACTCATGAAGCTCCTGAAGCAAAAAATATGAAGAGAACATCCACAAATGATTCCGAGAATGCAACTAAGATCAGGAAAGACAAGAGACGAAAAAAGACTATGAGTGAGGTCACTGTGCCACTTATTAATCCAGACATGGTAAGAAATCAAGATACAAGAGAGAGCAAAGAAGAAAACTCAACGATTTTGAGGGAAAAACCCCAAGAAAGCAAAAAAGTATGTTCTGCAGCCAACATTAATGAAAGATGTGGACCTCATCTACACCAGCGGTCAGAGCCTCAGCCAAATGGCAATGAAGCTGCTTCAGTTTTTGGTTCTCCTTCTGTAAATCTTCAAAAGAGCAATGAAGGAAGCAGCAACTCTGAGAAAAGTGATAAAAGAAGCAACACAAAGATAACACGCTCGCAGCCCTTAAAAACTGGTAGAGAAATTGCTTTAAAGTTTCAAACTAGCTACATTCACTTAAATTCAGACCAGCATGATGAGTTTATGATTTCTATTTTCTACAATGAATGCTAATTTGATGGTGTTGAACTATGACAATGGTCTTTCAGATAAACACATTAAAAGAAGCCTTGAAGAAAATAGCACGAAAACCTCAAGCTCTTTGAAGAAAGTGAAGTTCTCTGTAGAAGGCAACTGTGATAGCACCCCTGTAATTGCTAGTACTTGTGGTGAAATAAGAGATCAGACATCAGAAGAAAGTCAAGGTGCCATAAATCAAAAGAGGATGAAAGTTCCAGCGAAAAAGGGCAAACCATCCAACTCCTTAGATGGAAGTGTGTTGGTTAGATGCCATACTTCTCCCAGCACAATTTGCTGTGCTTTCTGCCAATCTAGCGAAGAAACTGAGGTATATTTATCTTGAAAGTTTATTTATTTATTCTCTATGCTCTAGTTGCCTTGTTCATGCTAGATTTTGGCAGATATCTAAGCTAATGTTTCCTTTAATTCCTTATTTGGGTTCCTCTGTGGATGGAAAACCAATACTCTAGGCTTCAGGGAGCTTGGTTCAGTATGTTAATGGAAAACTAGTGGAAGACAATCATAGTGCCAAAACAGAGGGCATACATGTGCATAAATACTGTGCTGAATGGTATGTTTGTTATTTACTTTTTGAATAAGTTGCTTTATAAAGTTTATTAAGATGACACTCTTTTATTATGAGGGTAACATAAAAATTCTGCAATTTGATAAGTTTTTATGTGAAAGACGTGAACATGATAATAGGAGAAAACTGATTAACTAGCTTCTATTTTGTAGGGCTCCTAATGTGTATTTTGAGGATGATAGTATCATCAACCTTGAAACTGAATTATCTAGAAGTCGAAGAATTACGTGCTCTTGCTGTGGAACTAAAGGGGCTGCACTTGGATGCTATGAAAAGAGCTGCCGTAAGAGCTTTCATGTTACTTGTGCTAGGCTGACTCCAGAATGTAGATGGGATTATGTAAGTTTGTGATTGTAGCTGCATTTTTGAATACAAATTAGCAAACCAAACTAAATATTGTCTTCTTACCACATGGAACAGGAACACTTTGTAATGCTATGCCCGGTTCATGCTTCCTGCCAGCTTCCAGGTGAGATGTCTCAGTCTCAGTCAAGGCAGCAAAAAAATTCTGCTGTTAAAAGGTTTGTACAGTTTTCTTTGCTCAAAGAATGGTCACTGGCTTTTTGTAGTCGTTTAGATTAAATTTTATTCACTGAGACATGATTGTATATGTGACTTTGGTGTGCAGAAAACCTGTTGTTCAGATCCATCAAGTGAAATCCACTGATGACTGCAAGCACGATTCCACTTTGCACTGGAAATCTCAGAAAAAGCTCAAGAACTTGATTCTTTGTTCTTCAGGTCTCACAGCTGCAGAGAAGGTAATCATAATATAGTTTTTGTTCATTATTTTCGTTTTTTCTTTTTTCGTTTTTTCTGTTTTGGGGTAATAGAAAGAAAGGCCACATTTCTTAGAATTTTTTTGTGGTGGAACTACAGGAGATTGTCACTGAGTTTACAAAGCTTTCCGGAGTAACTATAATAAAGAATTGGGATACAAGTGTCACACATGTAATTGCATCTACTGACGAGAATGGAGCATGCAGAAGGACACTCAAATTTCTAATGGGTGTGCTGGAAGGAAAATGGATTTTGAATGTTCAATGTGAGTATTTATCTATCTATATTCTTCCATTAGCGCAAAGAGAAGTTTCTAAAAGTTTGTCATTCTATGCGAATATTGTGATTTACATTATTTTTTTGCCCAATGCAGGGATTAAGGCTTGCATGGCAGCTGGAGAATTAGTTGATGAGGAATGTTTTGAAATATCAGTTGATATTCATGGAATCAGAGATGGACCCAAGCTGGGAAGATTAAGACATCTAAACAAGGTATTGCATAATTGAATCTGTCTTAATAGAATCCAAATTTCTCATGAAATCACTCTTTATACAATTGCAATGAAATTTCATCTACGCTGCTACGTTCCTGTTATGTGTTTCCTAATTTATTTGGACTTCCGTTCCATCTTTTTTGTGGCTTGCAGCAACCAAAGCTTTTTGAAGGATGCACTGTATACTTCATGGGCGACTTCGAACCTTCATATAAAGGTTATCTTCATAATCTTGTGATTGCCGGAGGAGGAAAAGTCCTGAACAGGAAACCTGTTGCCAAAGATGAGACAAGTGCATTAAACAAATCCCTTGCTGCAACAACATTTGTCATTTACAGCGTTGAGGTTCCTGATCAGCACAACCCATCATCAATTCTGAAGCAGCGGCGCTCACAAGCTGAGGCTGTTGCGAGTTCTGCCGGAGCTGTTGTTGCAACCAATTCATGGATTCTGAACTCCATTTCTGGGTGCAGGTTGCAGGAAATTTGTGGGTGAGAATGTGTTTCTTGACCACCTTTGATTTTGTTACTATCCAGTAATGGCTTCTTACAAAGGGGGATGATTTATTAGTCTCTAATGCCAAATACTTACATTCAAAACAAATGCAATTATGCTATGTTCTGATACTAGTCACTATGTTGTCTAAATTTGAGTTGGAGCACATTAGTCCAATATGATTTAAATTTTATATATCTATATTTGTAGTCAGGGAATCATGATTGCAATATTCTTAATATCCAAATGTTGCAAGATATTATATACGGACAATTGTTGCACTGAAACCTTAATGCTCATATTGGATAAAAAGATTAGGGTTTTGGTAATTTTTTTATTCGTTATGTTTTAAAATGTAAATGCATACTGGTGCATGTTTCTGTGATCATTTTATAGAATTTGTAATATCGAAATATTTTTACCAATTTTATAGAAACTCTTGCTTACAGGCACAGGGCTGTTTTTTTAGAGCATATAGGATAAGATTTCCTATTATTTATTATCAATGGATTTGAAATAAAAGTGTACAAATTTTGTTATATTTCACAGTTTTAGATATGTTTTCTACTTTTTTATTAATCAGAAAAGTGTCATTAAAGAAACATGTTTAAAATATTAAAAGTACTGAAATAATAAGTATGAAAAAGGATGTACACAATCCAAAAAGTTATTTACAGAAAGAATTGTTACTTTTTTTTTTATCTTTTTTATAGCTCAGTAATATGCATATCTACAAATAGATTTTTTGGATTATTGATCATTCAGAATCAAATGAGACTATCAATGAAATTGCCAAATTGTTCCTCTTATGGATATGCATAATCCACACTCATTACATCAAGATCTTTTCCTCTGGAAAACATGATCTTGCCCACCACATACTGTGTATATATGATATATATATATATATATATATATCTGTGTATGCATGTTTCAAATATATTCCCACCAAGAAATCAAGTTACGTTGCAGTAACTCTTTCCCCCAACTTTTGCAGGCGATCATAATTGAGTGAAAAACCTTGATAAGGTATTGCACTCCCAAAATCTTGCACAGTATTGATGGCTTTCTTTAATTCTTGGTTTTCAATATTGCATGATACAACCATTGATTGATATTTAAACAAGACTGACTGCATGGAGTAATGCTAAAGCTAGGCATGCTCCATCCTTATTTATAAACTATATGTTTCTTTGATTACTGAAAAAATACCCAAACATGAATTTTCATTTCTTGGCAGGGTTGACGTCGAAAAGGAAGCTCGAAGAAAAGAATGACTCAGCACGTAGATTTGGACAGAAAGATACACGGGCTGGTGGTGGATGACAATCCCCTCATCCGAAGAGTCCACAGCGCAATTCTGAATAGGCATGGACTGGAAACCGATTCTGCGGAGAATGGAAAAGTAGCTGTCGACCTATTCCTCTCCGGCAAGAAATATGACCTGGTGGTTATGGACATGGAGATGCCTGTCATGGATGGAATCCAGGTTACATATACATTCATAAATACATAAAACCTTCTATGGAAGCATTAAATAACAAGATTTACCGATGATTGTTGTGTTGTTCAAAATAGGCAACCGAGAGGCTTAGAGCCATGGGAGTGAAGAGCATGATAATTGGGGTGACAGCACGTGGCCTGGATTCGGAGAAAGAGGCATTCATTAGGGCTGGGCTGGATAAATGCTGGGAGAAACCTTTGAATGTAGAGCTTCTAAATGCAGCCCTGAATGAACTTACTATGAAAGTGTAATAGATGACTGTATGCGTGAAAAACATATCTAATAGCCATATGTAATGAAGCTCCGATCTGTAGTAATTACGACTATACATAAAACTAAGAGAATGTTGGTGTAATTCTAGAAGAAGGCAGTATTATGAATGATTAGATATTCCAAAGTATATTCACGTGTGCACATCATAGCAACAGCCAAATTTGGAAGAAAAACATTTCTAATCCAGTACTGCAGCTTAACTAGGCCCGAGAGTTTTAAGGAAAGGAAGGGTAAAACTTTTGTAACCTTGTTTTCTTTGTATACCATTTTCTTGGGTAAAGTCGCTCCATCACCATTTACACTTCACCAATACGATATGGTGGTTGATTTTCTGCCAATATTCTGAGAGCAGCAGCCTCATTTACCACTAGCACCATTCCAATACCCATATTGAATGTTCAACTCATTTCTGCATCTTCAATTCTTCCAGTCTTCACAGATATTCACCAAGAAAGATAGGTAACTTTTGTTTTTACAGGGGTGATTTAATTAACTAACAGTAAATATAAAGATAGTGAATTCTGACCTCTTGAATCCATTTAAAAATCGGAGGAACCATCCAAGAGTTCTTGTATATGAGAACTCCAAGGCCCTTCGGTAAGACACGGGGTAAATTATCAGTAAAACCACCACCAGTGATGTGGGCGATCCCTTTCACACCACCTTTGCCAATAAAGTTCAGAACATACAAGATGGATGGCATGGGAATTAGTAAATATGGAGCAAAGTGCATAGTAATGGTCAATAGCAACCATTGTAAACAAACAAAGGCCTGGAGAACATATAGTGTTACAGTAGGTGCCATCACAGCTTCGCCTAGAGTAACAGATGAACCTGGAAGACTATCTTTCAAGGAATGGCCACTTTGAATGAGGACCCTGGGGAAAACAACAAAGGAATAATAGTGTGTAGCAAGATTCAGTAAATTTATGCAGTGACAAAGGGCAATTCCCACAAAGACATTTGAGACCTTCTAACAAGAGAAAATCCATTTGAATTCACGCCGCTGGATGGCAGGCCAATATATAAATCACCATGCCCCATGTTTTTCCCATCAATAACTAAGTCCTTTTTCACAATGCTGACAGCAAAACCACTTAGATCATACTCGCCATCGGCCTAAAACTTGGGCATCTCTGCAGTATGAGAGGGTCAGTGGAATTCATCAACTTCCAATGAAGCTAAACAAGCATAGTTTTTAAAACATATATAAGACAATTCTTAAGAAATCGTATAAATTATCCATTTTTCCAGATGCAAGCAGAGTTAAGATTTACTAAATTATAGGAAAAATAAAAAAGAAGAGAAGATCATGCAAACTTTCAAAATCAAATAACTGAATGATTAAGATTGATGGTTCATTGCTGCTCGTAAACATTAGAAGTAAAATACCTTAACACATGCTCTGCAAAAACTGAAATTCTTCATACTTTGTCATTTACTGCAAAGCACGTAGAATTAAAAGGCAGCCACATATACCTCTCCCCCTAGAAGAGCTCCGTCAGATTGCTGGCAACCATCAATTATGCCTTTAATGTCCTGTGTTAGTAAATGAAAAGTTTATTGAACATTTCTCATCATTTTAAAAATGGTGAAATAACACTTCATGATGTAGAAATGTAGGGACAGATGTAACAGCATCTTTTCTGCAACATCAAGATAGATAGTGGCAAAGTAATCAACGAAAAACAAAGGCTTTGCCCCAGGTGTGATTATGTCATTTATACTCATGGCAACCTGATTAAAACTTCCAATTAGCAGCAAGCGTGCTATTAAGAAAATCAGTCCAAAGGAATACAAACTTTACCAAATCAATGCCTATGGTGTCATAGATTCCAGTCTCAAAAGCAAGTTAAGCTTTGTTCCACTTGATTTCTGATACCACTGCTCGACGTTGAAAGCACAAGACTTTGTTTCTCAATTCCTCTTCCACCTTCGACCGCTTGCATGCAATTATTGGACAAGAATTGCACTCCATTGATCGAATAACTTGTACGGAGCTTCGGAAAGGTCAAATCAAACACATTCTTGATGCATTGGGATAGTTCAATATTTGCTCTGCAGGACGTATACATCCTGCCTGTAGATGGTATAAACAAGAATCAATAAAGGAAATCAGTATCATGTTGAGTACGTAATTGAAAAAAAGCATATGCAAAATGGAAAGCCAAAGAAACGCAAGCAAAATCGAAATCTATCTGAAAACAAAAACTACTTCTTAGGCAGAATTCGACAGAAACATTCAATATAACATAAGACAGGAAGAAAATTTTCAATTGGTGTTTCAAAACGCATATTGAAGCTTGCAGACAGTCTCTAAGATTAGATTAGGAAGAATTCAATGGGAGCTTAAGAAGCACCTGGTATTGAAGATTTCCTTAGAGAGTCGTAATCGTTCAAGGAGACGATGCCGGAGAAGGAGGCGATGGCGAAAGCGCCCGCCCTTTCTCTTCTTTATTACACTATTAAATGAAGGTAAGATATGAGTATATTTTTATTGGGTGTTTGATTGGAGTGGTTATTTTTAAAGAAAATATTAATATATTATAAATATATGTTGATATTTTATAAAATTCGTCAAATTTATTTATTTATTTATTTTTCGATAAATTTATCGAAAAAGTGAAAAAATATATATTTAATTATTGTCACACTTTAATTATATTCTGTATGATTGTGGTAGTATATAATTAACTTTTTCAACATAATATAAAAAATACTACTGTACTAAAAAAAATTTCATGCTAAATAAAAAAGCTTTAGATAAATTTTTAAATTTTTAAATTTTTAATTTTTCATTTTAATTTGTACAAATTAAATTTTTCATTTTTTCAAAAAAATATAATTTTCAATTAAATATGATATGTATATACTTATATTTACTTTAATTTGCATGCACAATTCAAATAAAAAATTTATTCGCATAAGTAAGAATATTATAAAAATAATTTTAAATTCAATGACTTAGCATTATTGTAATATTAAGTTTGTTTGTTTGATATTTTTATTTCAATACTATACCCAATTTATATTTATATAGTTAATATTTAATATAAAATATTAATTTTTATATTATATATACTTATTTTTTATAGTATATAAAAAAATATGAATCTAAATACTAAATAAACAAACTCATTGTCATATTAGACATATATAAATAATACTCTCTCCGTCCAACATACTTAGATACAGTATTTTATTTTATATACTTAGATACAGTATTTTATTTTATAAAAAAATGTAATTAGTAGATAATTAAGAATATATTAGTAAAAATAATTATCCTATAATATAAATAATTATAAATTAAGATTAAAATAACTAATTAGTTTAATTAAAATTAAATATATATATATATATATTAAAAAGTTTAAAATGAAATTAAACTGACATGGAATGTGAGACGGATATAAACGGCAACGTGCATATTGTATGTGGGAAGGAGAGAGTAAAATGGTTATACTCCATCCGTTCTATTGAAAGGTTGTTATTTTTTATTTTCGTCGATTCTAAAACAAAGTTACTATTTATTAATTTAGTAACTGTACTGCCTATTTAATATAATAAATACACTTTCAACTTACACTATATTACACAAATATTACACAAATGTCATTATTTTTATATTACACCGCGGTACTTTCGTCTTTTCACTACAATATATTATAATACTAATATTTAAAAATTTACTTGCAAAAAATAAACGAGAACCTTGTTTCGGACTAAAGGAATATGTAACTTGGAGTGAATATAAAATAATTTATATATAAATTACCAAGAAATAATTTTGAATATGGCATACATAAATGATTTAATTGTAATTTGCTTTTTGGGTTTAGTTTGCAGGCTATTCAAGTTTTAAATTTGGTCGAGATTATTCAATGTGTACTTTCGAGTACCGACTGACATATTATAAAAATAAAAAAAATAAAAAATTGATTTAAAAATAATACTTTTTATAGTAAAAAATAAATAAATAAATAAATCACATTGAGGACCGAGCCCGGTAATTTGAATAAAAAAGAAAGACACAAGGCAGAATATGGTGGTGAGTCCGACTATGCACTGAGACACAGACGCCACTGGGGAAGAAAGGAACACCCGAAACAGAGAGAACACATAAAGAAAGAAAAAAGCTTTAATCACTTGCAAGAAACGCTTGATTCTTCTCCACTCCTGCCTTAAATAGAATAGAATGCTTCAACTCTGATTCAATTCAGTCTTTTAATAAGTCTCCAGCTGAATAATCACCACAGCTCTCTCCGTCGCCATCTTCACACTATGAGAAAGAGAAGCCCGGCGGCGCTGGTCATCTTCAACCTCATAGCTTTCACATTCCTCGGTACGATCCTCCAATTCCATCTATCATTCTAGCTGCATGTGAATCACCATTTTGCAATCTAATAATATATATATATATATGCTGTAATGGTGCACGCATTTTGCAGCCAAAAATCCAGTCTTGGCGATGGCGATGGTGCAGGAGAAGACAGAAATAGGGGGAGGCGTTTCTCCGCCGGAAGGCAACAGCACATTCGTCGGCGGCACGACCTGGTGCGTGGCGCGGGCGAGCTCGCCGCCGGCGGATCTGCAGGTGGCCCTGGACTGGGCGTGCGGTAAGGGCCAGGCAGACTGCCGAGCCATCCGGGCCGGTGGGCCCTGCTTCGAGCCCGACACCCTCATCGCCCATGCCTCCTTCGCCTTCAACAGCTACTACCAGCAGAATGGCAACTCCGACATCGCCTGCTACTTCGGGGGCACTGCTGCCCTAACTCGAAATGATCCCAGTGAGTCGTCACCTACCTCTGTGCATAGAACTAGTTCATGATCACCATACTAATTCATTAATTTCCAAAATGCTGATTTCAGGTTATTCAAGATGCATGTTTTCCACTTCAGAGTAAGTAGTTCGTGACACTACAACAGCTAGCCACTCTTTTAAGCTAATTAATGTCATTAATTTGTGATTTGTCTGTCTGTCTGTTTGATATATTCATGATCAGGTCTATAAAGGCTTCTTCTGCAGCTTCAAATGGGGAAGCAAGCAGCAGAACATGGTGGAATATTGCTGTAATTCTGCTGGCTCTACTTCTGAAAAGATGACCACTTTAGTTCTTCTGCCTAAATAATTATTCACTTCAACTTTTGTATGCAATGAATATATATATAATGTATGCCCGCGCTTTGCTTTATCTATTTTATTTGATTAGGGTTGTTAGTTGTAAAAATTTTGCGCAAGTATTCCTTGCTCTCTTACTAATTCAAGAACCATTGGCGTAGTAACAAAAAAGGAAACTCATGTTTCTTCTTTGATTTCCCTTTCTAACGTCTACACTGGTCAAGAAATTAAGTCAATAAATTTAGCTCTACCGAGATGAGTGTGCTGATCTGATCAGCTTCGAGGAGAACGAGAATCCTCTTGTAATTTGTATTTTCGAAAATAAATTGATTTGACTTGACTGGGAATATATACGTATATACATACGTACATACATACATACATGATACATGAACGTACATGGCTAGATATGCATGATGCATGTATAGCTACCTACATACCTACCTTTAACTTTTTTTAAGAGCGTATGTCTCTTTCTTATTGGCCAAAGCAGGCTTTAGTACGGACCGCGTAACAGCAGATCACAACTCCCCCAACGCAGGCCCGCTATTATATGTTGTACCACAGCGTACCACCACGCGTAGCGCGGCACTGAACTTACACTCACCTGCTGTATATCCATTGATACGATACGAGATCATGTGGACATGACAGATGGACCAATTAAGACCAGTTCACGCAATCATCCAAATCTTATCCAACTGGGCTCGCCCAATACTGCAGTGCCACCTCAGCAACAAGGTATCCAACGCCAGCCACCAAGTCTGCGATTTACAGACCACATTTCCGTTCTTCACCACAGGTTTATAGCAATTCAATCCATTCCAATCTGCAGATTCTGATCACCACTCCTTCCTTCAATGGCCACTGCAGCAGTGACGACTTCCCTCCCACAATTCAATGGGCTCAGACCCAATCTCCATTCATCATTCTCTCCTGCCAAAACCTTGGTTAGTATCGCCATTTCTGCATCAGCTCTGGTTTCTGTACTCCGACTGACTGGGCTTAATTTCTGGTGTGTTGATTAGGTTGCCATGCCGGTGCGGCGGCGAGGCCAGGGAGCTTTGGGAGCTCGCTGCGACTACTTTGGCTCGCCCACTAACTTGGTAGCTGTACCTCATGATTTGATATATTCTTGCCTCTTTCAAGCTCTGTAATGACGTGAAATATGGTTTGGGTTCTCTGGTTCAGATCATGGTAACTTCGACGACCCTGATGCTGTTCGCGGGTCGGTTCGGGTTGGCTCCGTCGGCGAACCGGAAGGCGACGGCCGGGCTGAAGCTTGAAGCGAGGGATTCGGGTCTGCAGACGGGCGACCCGGCCGGGTTCACGCTGGCGGATACACTCGCTTGTGGAGTTGTGGGCCACATTATTGGGGTTGGGGTTGTGTTGGGACTTAAGAACATCGGTGTTATTTAAATTTTTGTTTTTTATTTTTTTTATGTTGATGGTATATATAATAATATGATGAATTGTACCTCATGCTTATTATTCCTGCTTTGACACTGGGAAATGAAATACAAAACTGAACATGGCAACTGATGCAATGGAGTGGTAAAGAAAATTAAATCAAAGTTACAGAGTCTATGTTCTATCAATATCTAAGAGTGCAAAATTGCAAATAACATCAGAAGAGGAGATTAAATCAGTTCACATTCAAAAGTTTCAAATGGCAGAGGAGCCAGAAGAATGTACATAGCCACATTACAGTCACTCAAATCCCATATTCTGCTGCAGTTTGTGTATCTTCTTCGCAGGCATTGTTCAAAACCTCCTCGAAGCTCCGCGCAGAAGCACTCGAATACGCCATCAGCGCCTGAAACACCTTCGGCAAACCTGTTTGCAGGTTGCTATGAATCATGCCTCTCGTCAATTTAACACAGCTCTCGAATTTGGCCTTTTCGTCGTTCACCAACCTCCTCATCGACTCCACTTTGGCTCGCTTCATCACCAACGGGTGTTTCGAAGTCGCATCTTCGAGAAATGAACTTCCTGCAAACTTCATCTCCATTTCTGAAAGTAAGTCAGCCTCCCTCTCCAATTTCCTCGCAACCTTTTCCGATCTTTTGCGCGCATTCACTTCTTCTTGCTGCTGCGTAACGATCATGTGTACACCTGATAGCAGACTTTTAATGGCGTCGGACACCATCTGTCGAAACAAACAAACGAGCTCTAATTAACCACAATACAGTAGCGATAAGTGTTACAATGTTATGACAGTTCGAAAACCATACTTTATCAGGGGCTTTATCAAGTTCTTGGAGCCATTTTTCCACGGCTATGCGCAGCTTCGAAGATTGACCTGTCTCCGAATTGCCATTAACTTCAAGGCAGTCGGTAAGTTTGGTCCATTGGCGGAGGGTCCTTACATACTCGCGCTGAAATTTAACTAGCCGGCAGAAGCTGTCGTACCATGACGCTACTTCCCTTTGCAGCTGCGCTGCGGCCTGCTGATGGTACTCAGTCGTAGGTTCCGCGTTCTGTTGATCCGTCAGGCAACTCAGTTGCTGCGAAATGTGGTTCTGGACTTGATGGCAACGATTCATCGTTTGCCATGTGTGCATCAATCTGAGAATACGCAACACAAAACAGCAGGTTAATTACGAGCAATGCAACCATGGTTTCAATTTACAAGAATGCTCATTTATACCCTGAAGCTAATGCAATCAACTGAGGATGCAGCTCCTGGTTCATCACCATCAATATCGTCGAACAAGACCTGCCTATCGATTCCTGCAACGATAAGATGTAAGATTGCAGACTATCAAGCGCTGAGCGTGTCTTCTCCACCTTGCCCCAATCGTGCTCCTCCTCTTGCCTCTGCAGCAGCAACGTTTTTCTCGCAAACTCCACCTTCGATGTCTCCTCCTCCTACAAAAGAGACAATGTAAGTATTTATTTGGCGAATTAATTACGAAAGTTTGTTTCTTTACTTTAACATCCTTGTAGAGTTTCTGTTCCTCCGAGTATAGTTTCTGCAGTGTGATGCAGTGTGCTCCCGGTTTACATGGATCGCTCGACACAGAGGGGCTTCCAGTTTCTCTAGCGAAGTGTAGTGACTTCGAAGACCAACTCCACGTCAAGGCGCTGAAAACTTTCGCCGAATTGCTTCTCTTCCCTGCATCATTTTATTTACAGGTACGTTCAGCTCCATTAATGAAGCTGCAGCTACAATATAAATAGAATGAACATTATTACTCTTGCTCTCCTTGATGCTCTGGTAGAGGAAAGTGCCGCCGGTGGCGTCCATGTCGATGAAAACAGCTATATCCTTAACCACGCCAGATGCTTTGAGAAAATACTCATCCACATCCTTTATTACACTGGCTAATGTCTTCTTGCTCCACACAACCATCGCCATGTCCGAAGAAGAGTCTTTTGTGTGGGAACTCATCATCGATGCACTGTCGTCGACAAGCTCGACACTTTGATGCTGGCGATCAATGTCGTCGGCGGCTGGAATAGAGTCGTCGTTTTCGTCGACGAATTCAGAGTTCGTATCGATCCAATTCTCCTCGTCATCCTCGTCTTGATCCACTGTTTCGCTGTTTCTTCCACATTGCAAAGATGCAGAGCCAAAAGGGTCCCAATATTCCCAAGAAGATGTAGGAACTGGAGGGGGTGGAGTATGGCCCCCTTCTTCGTTTAATTCGATGATTTCTTCTTCTTCTTCAACTTCCGGTGCAGTTGAGGGGCGTTTGTCGTCTTCAAACTTCCTCCTCAAGTCAGGGCTGAAGTTGGGCGGCGGCGGCGGCGATGGCGGCAAAGGGAGAGACGGCGACGGCGGGAATCCGGCGACGCGGGAAGTGGTGTTGTCCTCAAGCTCCAAAGATTCAGACTCAGTGAACTGTCTTAAGGTCACTCCAGTATTCCTTAATGATCTCAAATACGCTAATTGTGCATCTGCAAATTCTTTCCTATACCCCAACAGCTGCTTCGCCAGTCTCTTCCTGTCCTTGCAGATCCTCACTCTCTCTTCTTTGTCGATTCTTGAGGCTACACAACCCATTCCTTCAACACAGTTACAGATTATGTGGGCAGGTAATTAATTAGTTTATTTATTGCAATCTCCCCTTCTTCATGTATGTATGGTTCTTTTTATACAGATTCAGACACCTGGAAGAAGACAAATGAAGCTAGGACCATACAAAATCTGCCGAGCTCATAAACCAAGAATGCTTTCAAGAAAAAAAGTAAAAATAGAAAAACTAAAAACCCTCTAGAGATAAGACAAACACACCTTGCAGTTTTGGCAAACCATAGATCAGAAAAAAGATGAGTCGTGACACAAATGATGCATGAAATGCCCTCTCTTGAGCTCCATTTCCCTTCCTCTGTTAAACCTCAGAATAATTTTTAAGAAAAATAAAATAACTTAAAGGACATACAACAGAGGAACAATTAATGGCTGACACAGTGCCCTCATAAACAACAACAGACCTCTCAACAATGCCCAGAAGATTTTTGAGAGAAAAGGAAATGCTAATGGTGAATGTAGAGGAAGAAGAATTTTGAATGCTGAAATCAGCCTCGAAAGGTTGAGTGTGTTTTGTTTATTTATTCAGTGGGGCTTTCTCCATGGAAAGAGGAACATCAAGAAAAAAACCAATGTGGGATTTGATGGAAAGGCTAAAAGAACAAGGAAGAGCTCGAGACCCAATACCAAGAATCCAAAGCAACGAGAGTATGGTCCTAATTAATTGTCTGCAACAATGTTATAACTAACATTACATTAAATAGAATAGCTGCTTGAATTATTTTGTTGGTACTTATTCAATTATCATCATTCAAATGTTGATTGCTCCTGTCATTCCTTGCCATTTACCAATCCATATGTACTATTAAAAAAATTATTAATTGTGTACTACTCAGATAATGCACTTGGTCTCATTATTATGGAATCTAGGTGGTTTTGAGCTTCTAATTACAACCTTAATTGTGAAGAAAACCAAGGTCAGATTAGGGCAGTTTACAGGGGGGCTCTGACGTTTCAAAAGTGGCTTTTTTAATATTGACTAAAATTCCTTAAACTGGTGTCTTAATCCAGATAAAATTCGTCTTTTCTTTTTTTCCGCATTGCATATGCAAAAACAAGATGTGTATCATCGACCTTATCATGATTATTTCTAATGCTTTCTTCACATGCCTTTCTTCCCTTTTTACACTTTTTTTCTTTTATGCTAAAAGAAATTTTGCAATGATGATAATGATACGTACCCTTTTTTGTCATTCACAGGTCAACAGATGAAAACTCATCATATGTCTACTTTTATACTAGAAATTTAAAATAGAATTTATTATGGAGGTAGGTGGGAGTTTATGTACAACATCAACATAGGAAGTTTTTTATTTATTTTTTGTAATTTGTTTTTATCACATTCACATGAAACGAAAATATTCGAAAATTAGATTTAATTGGGCCGAACAGGAAATTGATCATTTGGGCCAAAGAATTACTTAATTATGTAGCCCATTTCATGAGGAAGGATTCGTTGCCCATATCCAAAAACAACATAAAATTGAAGATTATTGTAATTTATTGACAATATAAACAACAACTAAAATTAAAGCCCCACAAAAGATTTTGAGATTTTTGAATTTTTGAAAAAAATTAAAAATAATAAACAAGTTAATATCTAATATAATATTTTTTGAAAGAAAAAATATTTTTTTTTAAAAAAAATGAATAGTACCAAAATTTTTAAAATGTTGCTAATATATTTCAATTACTTTGAAAGATGGGAATAAATTGGGTTTGCCTGATTGTGTTTATGTTTTAGGAATGGTAAAACTTTAGAATTATTCTTTGTTCATATAATATAAAGAAATATTTAATATAAAATTTTAAATAAGAAATAAATTTCATATATACGAATAAAAAACAAATATACGATGTTGTATCTATCTGTGTAATAAAAATAAGTAAACCATTTACTCGTAATATTAGTACTAATTAATTTAATGACATTATATGGCACGTAACGTAAGACATGACAATACTACCCTCAATAATATGGCCATGTAACCATGTTCATGTCACACATGCTCGACCTTACGTACACCAAGCTGACTTTTAGAGTTCTAATTTCAAATTATTCTTGACTAATTCACATCAATATCCATTTTCATTAATTTAAAAATACAACTAACTGCCATCCAAACAGAGCCCACGCCATTGTAGCCGACTCATCAAAGCCGCCGGGTGAGCCGACACAGGGAACATCTTTTTGGCTCTTTTCATGATTGCGCTTGTTGCGTGTGCGTTACGGTCGCGGCTCGTGACCGGCTCCATCAGTGGCGCGCCCACTTCGAGGCCTCATTCTTCTCCACGCCGCGCCCACTATTTCTTTCTTTAATCAGATTAGTTAATAAAATTCTTTTAATACAAAGCCAACATTAAATTAATCATCCCATAAATTGAAGCCCTAAAATTAAATTATAGAAAAAATAAACCCACAAAATTAAAAATCTCCAACAAAGAATTAAAGCGTTAAAGACAGAAAGCAATGTATTCACATGGCTTCGCTGTACAGAAACAGATAGCAGCAAAATCAGTTACTTTCAAAATTCGTAATCAAAGAATCAAACATTTCGGGAATATCTTCCATTAATTTGGGGCTAAACCAAAACTGTTTGAATTTCATCCACTTCTTCTACAAAAATGACCCACCAAGAATTTTTACAAATGCCACTGACTGACTGGGAAAAAAGTATCGGGAATCTCTATGCAATGAGTATGTTTCAAGAAAGGACCCACATGTGGGGTTCTGGGTTTCTGGGCTGCCATTAATTACCCGCATCGAGTTTTTCCAAGCGAATTGCATTCATTGTTGTATCTGCAGTTTAGAAGCATGCAGTTATTGTAAATTGTGAAACAGCATTTCTAGTTTCCTTTCTTTAATTATTGCGATGGGTTTTGGTGTCTTATACGACGCACAGCCAAAGGGCTGAGCTGTGGAATCTTCGAGTGGTTAAAGAAATTGGGAGCTTCTGTCAGAACAACAACTGGGGCTGTTTTGTTTTATTTATTTTTTTTATGTGGAGGTTGACCTAGAATTCGGGTCTGGTTTCGAAAATTTTAAACGTTTTTACTCACTCCGGGACTGGGATTTTGGGTCTGTAGCCATCGGGTTTAATATAACCTCCTGTTTGGGAGGCTCCAAGCCTTCAGGATAAAGAAACTGGAGGAGAGGGTAGTTCCATTGTTGGTTTGGTTGTGCATTTTGCTGCAACTACTGCGATTTCAATTCGAAATTGGGTTGGGATTAGGGTTTCTATTAGGATCAGTTGCACGTTTGCGTCGAAGATCTCAGTAAGAACTACTCAGAGGATTGGATTATTATTTTTTTTTTCCTATGGTTATTCCGAATCCATTTTATTAGGCTGAAGCTTTCCAATTCACCCTAGCTAGCATACATTTTTATTGAAGAGATGGCTTGTGTGAAGTTGGGATCCAAATCCGATGCATTTCAGAGGCAGGGGCAAGCCTGGTTTGTTTTCTTGACTTGCTCAAGTTCTTAATGAATGGATTTCCATGTATGCTTAGGAAAATCTGTGGTGCTTTTGTGTTGTTCCCTTTTCTGTTTAGTATCTTTATTGATCACTGATGATGAACCTGAGCTCAACTAGATTATCTGTCCTGAAACTGTCTCTGATAATTAATTGGGAGATTGGCAATGAATGTGTGGTTGTGTGGACATGATAATGCCTGATTGATTCTGTCTTCTGCCTAATTGATGGTTGAATTGACAAATGTGGTTTAGATTTTTTGTTTCATCACTAAACTTTAGATTTTAGCCATGGAATTGGTGCTGCTACTTTAGATTTCTCATTCTTTAAATGTATGTAGGTTCTGTACAACTGGTTTGCCAAGTGATGTGGTTGTTGAAGTTGGGGATATGTCATTCCATCTTCACAAGGTATTCGTCACTTTTTGCATTGTGTTTATGAGTGTTTTTATTGATGTAGAGAAACTCTTGTGTTGTAGTTTCCATTGCTTTCAAGAAGTGGGATGCTTGAGAGGCTCATTGCAGAGGCATCTTCCGGAGAAGAAGCCGGCTGTGTTGTCAAGCTCGATGACATTCCCGGTGGAGCCAAGACGTTCGAACTTGTTGCTAAATTCTGCTACGGTGTCAGATTGGAACTCACCGCTGCAAATGTGGTGTTCCTCCGATGTGCAGCCGAGCATCTTGACATGAGCGAGGAATACGTTGAGGGTAACCTTATTTCTCAAACCGAGACCTTTCTCAATCAGGTGGTTTTAAAGAACTGGAAGGATTCATTGAAAGTGCTCCAGACGTGCGATGATATTCTTCCCTATGCCGAAGAACTTCAAATCCCGAAAAGATGCATCGATTCTCTGGCTGCCAAGGCATCCACTGACCCCAATTTATTCGGTTGGCCTGTGATGGAGCACGGTGGCCCGATGCAGAGTCCTGGCGGGAGCGTGTTGTGGAATGGAATCAGCACTGGTGCCCGACCAAAACATTCGGCTTCAGATTGGTGGTACGAGGATGTATCAACACTGAGTTTACCTCTTTACAAAAGGTTGATCTCGGCCATGGAATCCCGAGGAATAAAACAGGAGATCATCGCGGGCTCCCTTTATTCTTACGCTAAAAGTTACCTACCTGGTCTGAACCGTCGTCAGGGAGCCACTGAGTCGAGCAATCGCCTTCATCCTGCAGGATCGGTGTCTCTACTATCTGAAGAGGATCAGAAAAATCTCCTAGAAGAGATCGACAGCTTAATCCCATTGCAAAAGGGTCTTGTCTCGACAAAGTTTCTATTTGGTCTGCTGAGAACAGCCAAGATCCTAAGAGCAAATCCCACTTGTGTATTGAACCTGGAGAAGAGAATCGGGATGCAGCTTGATCAGGCGACGCTCGAGGATCTCTTGATGCCAAATTTCTCAAACTCCATGGAGACACTGTACGATGTGGACTGCGTGCAACGGATTCTCGATCATTTTCTGGTTATGGATCAGGTCGTTGGCGATGCATCGCCGGGTTCCGTCAACGATGGCCAGTTAATGGAATCGCCGTCACTGATGCCAATCACAATGGTGGCAAAGCTAATCGATGGCTACCTTGCCGAGGTCGCCCCCGATGTTAACCTGAAGCTTCCAAAGTTTCAGACACTTGCGGCCGCCGTTCCAGAGTACGCACGGCCATTGGACGATGGTCTTTATCGCGCCATCGATATTTATCTCAAGGTATACCTAAAGAATCTCCATTTTTTTTTCTTTCACGAGCTGATGATTGGTAAGCACGATGTTCGAAAACAGTTACGCCTCTTCTTTTGCAGTCGCATCCATGGCTGGCGGAAACGGACAGGGAGCAACTCTGCCGGCTAATGGACTGCCAAAAGCTCTCGCTTGAAGCGTGCACTCACGCAGCGCAGAACGAGAGGCTGCCGTTGAGGATAATCGTGCAAGTCCTCTTCTTTGAGCAGCTGCAGCTGAGGACATCCATCGCGGGGTGCTTCCTGGTGTCGGAAAATCTCGATGGCGGGTCGAGACAGTTGCGGAGTGGATTGGCGGGGGCGAACGACGGCGGGTGGGCGACGGCGGTGAGGGAAAACCAGGTGCTGAAAGTCGGGATGGACAACATGAGGATGAGAGTTTCGGAGCTGGAGAAAGAATGCTCGAGCATGAAGGAAGAGATCGAGAAGCTCGGGAAGTCGAGAGGGTTGACGACGAGCGCGTGGGGGAACGTATCGAAGAAGCTGGGTCTTGGGATGGGGTTGAAGTCCCAAATGTGCAGCGCTGAGGAGGGATCTGTGAGGAAGCAGGGAAAGATGGTAACAATGGAGGACAAGGACAAGGGCAAAAATGGGAAGAAGACGAGGAAGAACAAGAACAAGAATAGGATATGATTCGTGTCTGATCCATCCATCCATCCATCCATCATCCATTCATTAATTGTTGGTTCGTTTGTTTGTTTGTTAACTGGTTCGTGTGCCTTCTTTTAAGTGTACTGTACTACCATCGTCGTTCTTTCCCCTGTTCGTGGAAATTAACGTTGTTATGATAAATGCACACGAATGCATTACTGTATTTCCCGCCGCCATTGGATATATTTTGACTCTCTAGGATGATGTAATAATGCATTCAGCCCTTCCCTTGTGTAAAACAGGCAGAAAAATACACTCAAGTGTGACTAGTGGATCATTCGTTTTTTTTTTTTTTCCTAATTTTGAACCTGAAAAATAAAATAAAGCTGTTTTTCAAGATACTTCTTATGGGCTTTATTTAATTAATTAAATTAATGGGTTCCAGTTGTTACAATATTAAAACCTTGTTCGGCCAGTGCGTCGTCATTCACCAACCAACCAACCTTATATGAATGAATGAATATGCAGCAGCAGCAGGCGCCGCTTGAATTGGGAAATACATATAATCAATCCACCCACCCACCCAACCCACCAACCTTGAATTAATAACATCACTCTTTTGACTTATTCTTCTTACTTACTATTCACTGCTTCCAAATTTCACATTTCATTAATCTATATATTGTTTTGAGCAGCAAATACTTCCTCCGTCCTAAACCTCCTACAATATTTTCGTTTTTGTTTGTCCCAAATTTATTGTAATATTTTTAAATTTAAAAATAATTAATAATATTTTTATACATATATTAATATATATTTCACTTTATCCAATCACATCACTCAAATAAAAAAAAAACAAATAATTATTTCTCTCTCCAATCACATCACTTAATATTTAAATTATCTCAAATTACTATACTTAATACTTCCCACATAAATTCTCATGTAAACACAAATATTGCACGGTATTTTGGAGAGAGGGAGGATAACTTTACATAGTCATGTTTAATAGTAGTATAATTATTATAAATATATTTTTTAAAAAAGATACTCTGCACTTATACATGATGAAACAAATGGTAAAAGTTAATAACTAGCATACCAAAAGAAATCAGAATATGTTTAATTAGTCAGCATTTAATGAAAATCAATTACTTGGTGTGTGTTTTGTAAAATAATGGTTGACATGAAATTTTTTTATTAGAAAATTGATAGGTTGGATATAATCGTTTGTTGAAAAAAAAAATTCAATTAAATAATAAAAAATGCAAATAAACAAACTTGTGCAAAGACAAAACAAATGCTTGAGTACAGTAATGATTCTTACTATCAACATGAAATAGAATATTTGAATCAGTAAAAAAGAAACTAAATTATCATTAAATTTGTTTCCTAAAACTATTAAAATGAAAATTTTTGAGCATGTCAATGTATGACCTATACGTGAATCAAAATGGAAGAGGATTTTAGGCTTGGGTCAAATATGTGCTTGTACTACTTTAAGCAGTTATATCTTACCTTAATTTGTCACAAAAACAAAGTTTGTATAGATATATGTTGATTTTTAGCAACAGTAAAAATTGAAATAAAAAACAAATATTTAATATAGTATCATTTTAATAATTTTCTAATGGCTATAATAGAATTGAAATGATAAGCAAGCATAACCATAGTTTTGAGATTATGATAAAAGATTTAAGGGAAATTTACTCTTAAGGAAAATTGAATTAGGCATGATTTTTGTGTAAATATTCCTAAAAAATTGAAATAATTCCATTTAAGATTCTATTTAAAGCAGGAAAAGTAAAATTAATTAATTACTATAATTAATTTGAGTGGCGTGGGGGTAATTTCGTCTTTCTCACACATCTTTGATGTCCAATGAATGACGAATATGTTTACGCAAGAGATTCTTGATTCTCCTCGCGCCGTAAGGTCCGCGTGATTGCATGTCGACCGTCGGATTTGCCAGCTGGAAAATTTATGAATCGTGTGTGGAAATTGATGTATTTATTTATTTTATAAAATGTATATATTTTTTTAACTGCGATTTATTATTATTCATAAATCACAATTCACTAGTAGTATAAAACCACTTAGGGGTTCCCTAATACATTCGAGCGCTTTCGTTGCCGAGCGGTTCCGCCTGGGATCTCAGATTCAGGTCCGTCTCTTGATCTCTCTGTGGACTTTTTGATGCGGGGAAGGTGTTGATTTCGTAGTTTTTTTTTCCTATTTTTTTATTCCATTCACTGTTTATTCTGGAATTATATATTGTTGTTTAGATGTTTGCGTATGGATTTTCACGTGAGTCGTAGACTTGGTTGTGTGGATCGGCGAGATTGTTCTTATCGGTTTCGATGGATTTAATTAACACTTCATCATCACTCGTAGTCGTTCGGACGTGATTGTGTCTATTGATGATTATTGTTTTCGTTTAATTTTCTTCATAAATTTATTGCTTCTAATTAGTCGTATCCGATGTGATTAGTTTGATTGATTGAATTCTATTCCGGCGCGCCGAACAAAAAATCAATTTTGTTTTTACATATCGTCTCTGTCATTAACTGGAATCTCCGTTCGCTTATTTTCCCTTGTTTCTAGGTTACGCATTCAGCACATTGATTCGGCTGCCGTTTTGTCTTGTGTCTATCGTCTTAATACTTTATTCACTAATACGTATTCATATTAAACCAAAATAGTCTATACTCCAAATATCGTTATTAGGGTTGATACTACCTTCGGCACTGCAGTGTTTAGTATAATTCCTTTAAATTAGTAAAAAATATATAAAAAACTTCAATTATATGTAGATAAAAAAAAACAAAAAAAAAAAAAACAATAAAGTTGGACTTTTTCCAAGTAGGAAAAATAGTTATTATTATTTTTTTAATAGATGTTTGTCTGATGTTATAATAAATAATTCGTTGCATATTTAATTTGAAACGTAGACTAGGAACTATATATAAAAATCACACGAAGTGCCTTTGGCAGAGACATGTACAGAAATATCTCTGGGCAGTTAGATGCCGTCAATCGGTCGATGTCACTGACGAATTTTTTCTGCTGAAGGGTTCAAATATAAAATCTAAACGTGATTATATCATATATATTTACAAAATTTTATTGTTCAGGTGTTTCTGATATCTAGATTGAGATGGGGATCGGAGGGGAAACCGACGGTGGAGGATCTTCTGGTCTGACGAGGAGGAGAGGATGCTTCGACAAAGGCGATTTTCTCCCCGAGGAGTCGTTCCAGAGCTGGGGTAATTACGTCAATGCATTGAAACGGACTCCGGCTCGTCTAGCGGATCGGGTTTTGACCCGGTCCAGTGTCGAGGCGGAGTTGGAGGTGAAGGCGCAGAGCCAGCACGAGATGAAGAAGACGCTTTCATGGTGGGATCTCATGTGGTTCGGCATGGGCGCCGTCATCGGAGCCGGAATATTCGTTCTCACTGGCCTTGAGGCACGCGATGTCGCCGGTCCTGCCGTCGTGTTATCCTACGCGGTTTCTGGACTCTCCGCTTTGCTTTCAGTGTTCTGCTACACTGAGTTCGCCGTCGAAATCCCTGTCGCCGGTAAGAGAGTACGTTACTGTTTTATGGTTCCATATTTGGATTTTTCTTCAAAAGTTGACTTGCATAGCGTAATCATAGCTAAAGATATTTAAAATATAATATGTTTCTGATCGCAATTTATCAGTTGACTTCTAGGCTAGAGCATCATTCCTAATTTTATGGTAATATAATTCTAGCTTGAAACCAGAGAACGCGTGCCATACTCATAATTTGAGTTATTTTTCTTACTTCTTAGACCTGTGATAAGTGTGGGATTGTGACTGACCGCTATGTCCCAATCCAATAATCTCTTTGCGGTCCCTATGTAGTTATTTCGATGGCTGTTCCTTTTGACATTTTCAAGATTAAGGAAGGAGGTTACAGGTTGATTGGGGGAAACTGCGCAGGACCATAGATAGGACTTAGGATGAGGTATATGCACATATAATATAATAGATGTTGGCACATTGCCAATGCTCTTTGCCTTAAGATCAGATTGCTGAGTCTTGTTTCACTATTGGATATTATCATATGTTAGTTTTTATAATAACCCCAATGATTCTTCTTTTGCAGGTGGATCATTTGCCTACCTCCGTGTGGAGCTCGGTGATTTTGCGGCCTTCATTGCCGCCGGAAACATTCTTCTCGAGTATGTTATCAGCGGCGCTGCGGTGGCACGTTCTTGGACGTCCTACTTCGCGACGCTCTGCGGCAAGGAGCCGGCGAAGTTCCGAATCCACGTGGATTCTCTAAAAGAAGGGTACAACGATCTTGACCCCATAGCCATCGGCATCCTGATAATAATCTGTGTGATGGCAGTTATGAGCACGAAAGGGTCGTCCCGTCTGAACTACGTGGCGTCAGCTGTTCACCTGGTTGTCATTTGCTTCATCATCATTGCCGGTCTGATCAAAGCCGACCCCAGCAACTACAAGGACTTCGCCCCATATGGTGTCCGCGGCATCTTCAAAGCTTCCTCTGTTCTCTTCTTCGCCTACGTCGGTTTCGACGCAGTTTCAACCATGGCAGAGGAAACCAAGAACCCTGCCAAGGATATCCCCATAGGTCTCGTGGGCTCAATGGTCATGATCACTACCATATATTGCTTGATGGCAATGACTCTGTGCCTGTTACAGCCCTACAAAAGCATTGATCCCGATGCTCCATTCTCTCGGGCATTCGAAATGGTTGGCTGGAGCTGGGCTCAGTATTTGGTGGCTGCAGGGGCACTCAAAGGCATGACCACAGTTATGCTGGTCAGTGTTGTGGGACAAGCGCGTTACCTCACGCACATCGCTCGAACCCATATGATGCCGCCATGGTTCGCCAAAGTGTCCCCTAAGACAGGAACTCCTATCAACGCCACCATTGTTATGCTTGCAGCCACTGCAGTGATCGCCTTCTTCACGCAACTTGAGATCCTTTCCAATCTGCTTTCCATCTCAACTCTCTTCATCTTCATGCTTGTAGCTGTGGCTTTGCTGGTCCGCAGATACTATGTTTCCGGCGAGACGTCGCCTGCCAATCGCAACAAACTGATCGTCTTCCTTGTCCTGATCGTTGCATCCTCGATTGTTACAGCTGCCTACTGGGGACTTAGTGAAAAAGGTTGGATCGCCTACTGTGTGACTGTCCCGGTGTGGTTCTTGTCAACAGCGGGAATCTGGCTTTTGGTCCCCCATGCGCGTAGGCCTAAGTTGTGGGGAGTTCCGTTGGTGCCATGGTTGCCGTCGGCATCTATTGCCATTAACATCTTTCTGCTGGGGTCGATCGATAGGGACTCGTTCATAAGGTTTGGGGCCTGGACTGGATTCCTTCTGGTTTACTATCTATTGTTCGGACTGCATGCATCCTACGACACTGCCAAGGTCTTTGAGTCGAGGGAGATGGCGCCTAGGAAGGCTGAGGAGGGGCAAGCTCCTACTGCCTAGAGATACTTCTTACAGTTATAAACATTAAGACTGCTGTGCATATTATCGACATTCTGTTTTCTGAACCGCAAGTGCTGTTGGATTTTGAACTCACAGTGATTAATGTCTGCCTTGATTTTGGGCCTTTCTGATTTTTATTCCCCTTCAGACACTTTTTTAGTTATAGCCCATAAGTCGTAACTATTGAAGATGAGAGTGACATGGACGTGATCTGATGACAGAGGGTTATACACAAGAAAGAAAGCGTCTTGATGTCACCTGATGGAGTGCAATGAAGACAATAAATTACTACTATTTAAGATATGAACAAGAATGACGTGAAGAAGATGAAGCCAAGTTTAGTGTCTAAACAGTAAGCGAGTGAATACTAGAGAGAACAAAATAGTAAGAAAAAAAAATTGTATAAGTGGCAGAAAAGACATGTATAATATATATATAAATCAATCCTCCTCCTCCTCTGTTAGGCTCCAATTGAGCTGAGCAGCAATTTGTGGCATATTCTGTGTTGCTCAATGCAACCACCCTATAATCAAGAAGGCTGTATACACTACTACTTGCAGCTGTCATGAACACCACCACCATCATCATCCTGCACCAAGCTCGACACCAAGTGCGTGCTACACTCAGCTCGTGTGGAATGCGACGCAGCTTAACAACAATTTACATTCGGATCTCACTCTCATAAATTAATTATTTTCTTCATGTTCCACAGCTCCAGGAGAGTCTACCTTTACACTGCTTGGCTTCTCCTCGCCTGCTTCAACGGATTCCGCAGCAGAATTGGCATCAGAGCCAACAGGTTCAGAATCCGGTAATGCCCTGGTGTCGGATTTGCTACTATCTACAGGCTTAACAGAAGGAGTCGGAGAAGGAACTGATATATCTGCTTCTTTAACATCAGGCTGTCCATCTGATTCCACTGGTAGCTCGCCGTTGGGTAAAGTTGGGTGATCATTTCCAGTGGATGATGTGTCTGCAGTAATGGAGGTTGGTAGAAATTCATCAGGATCTGAATTTCCTCTCAACCCAATTGACTCCTCTTGTTTGTCGGAGCCACTGGTTTCAGTTTCTTGTACATCCAACGACAGGTTGGTCAGCCCATTGTCCTCTGAAGTTGGTTTAAGTTCAGTCAATTCAGATGTAGCAGTATTTGCTAAAGCCTCATCATTGTCAGCACCCTCGACTAGCTCTTGCAGCTGAGCTTTGGGTGAAGAGGAAGCAACGGGACCAGATGAATTCTCATCAGCAGCTATTCTCTCATCCTCAAATGCAAACCAATTGGAGTTCGTAAAAAGGGATCCGCTGTGAATATAATCAAAACTCATCATGAATGCCAAATAAATAGTATCGAAGTGCAACAATCAACTTACATACCAATGCCTAGTAAATTTGGAAAAATAAAACAATTTTCTCAACAAATACAATCTTCAATGAGAAAAAGGAACTCAAATAATAGTTACCATGGCATAAAATAATGTGAAGCAATCTAAATTCACCACCTCCCAAAATTGTGAAAAAATAGGTCGTATATCAAGGCAAAAAAATAATCACTTACTCTTCATTTCATACAAGGTACGGATGATACTAAACAATATAGTCTTATTCACTAACCTTTCATTGTCATCTCCCAACCGAAGAGAAGAAATGACAACTTCAGCAGATTCCTCATCGAAGTACACATCCTGACAAGTAAGTGGAGGAACTTATTCAAGTTCAGCATTTCATATATAGTTGAAAAGCTTCATAAATGTAGGATATGAGGAAAACACTGATGCCAATATTATCGCTTTAAGTTTATATATAAGAATTTAGTTTCAACTGATAAATCATAAATAATACCGAAAATAACCAAAATCGCATATCAATTTTATCGTAGAATAAAGTAGCGCTTTTGGAGAAGATGCACATACCTCGTCATCACACTCAAGAGAGCCACGTGCCTGTAGAAAGCAACCAAAAGTATATCAGTGAACCACGACAAGTACCATTCGAAAGTACATCCACAATTTATTGGCCTCTATTAAACTTCTAGCCCTCAAGTGAAAAAAAAGGAAAAAAAAAAAACCAACCTCATCAATCTCATCATTACTATAGATTCCAAATTGGAAGGCCTGGCTCAAGTTATTCGCTAAAGCTGCAACATCAAAGTCTCTATCTTGGTAGTCATCATCATCACTATCTCGTGTCCGATCCAGTTGTACACTAGGCCTCCTGCAAAAAAGAACAGAGAAAAAAAAGATACAATCGAACAATCAGTATGGGTTATTTTAATAGATAATGCAGTTCAATACTACTTCAACCATTGATATACAATAAGCACCGAATGGATATAATAAAACAGCATGAGATACATAAAGATTGCTACCTAATTCCCAATAATTTAAAATTTGTCCCCACCATAAGCTGACACACACACTAAAAAAACCAGTGTCTCCAAATCTATTGCGAATGCTGACAGTAAAAAACACTCACCCACAGGTCCACTGGGATACATTCTCCACTGTATTTCGCTTAAGCAGCACATTTGATTGCCAATCAACCCAATCAGCATTGTCCTGGAAATTTAAAGGACACATGATAAACCTCCTTAGAAGGCATATAAAATATTAATAGTGCATGTGCATTGAACATTAGAAGGTTCTTGCAAAATAAGTCCATAATTACATCATTACAGATAATCAAAAGTATGGATGTATTATAGCACCATTGAACACAGTGAGAATTTTTTATTTTTTTTAAAGTTAAAAAGTACAACAGTGACACAGAGGTGAAAGCATAAGACAACAAAGTTGCTTTCTATGAACCAGCATCAAAATGCCAATGATGGGTTCTTGGTTGTGGGGAAGGGGGAGGGGAACATGGACTACGAAGTTTGCCATGGATCATCACAAATGATGGTGCAAAGAAACTGAAAGATATTGAATAAACCTGAAGAAATGTCTGTATCACGCTGTTGTTATTTGCCAATTGTACTAGTTTATTAGCAATGCGAGTCATATGAGCAATATTTCCAATCCTTGGTGCTGACTTTCCTTCAGCGGGTATAGTGGGCTGCAAGATGCATAAAAATAAATTGAGTCAATCAAAAGTAAAATTAGCTGACCAACATCACAAAAAGATTAAAAATTAAATAAAAAGGTATAGCACAGCAACATAGCTGATTAGACGTAATAAAAGAGAACGGTAGAAAGCACTGCAACTTTCAATGGGAGATGCACACAGAAAATACCTTGCTTGTATCAGAAGCTAAAGAGGAATTCTTTTCAGCTTCAAGAATACGTCCAATAAGGTTACAATCACGAAGAAGATGCTCAATAAACTCCGAATTCTTGCTTTCAAGGCAAGATATTAATATGCGTTCCACGTGATGATGTAAGAAATTGTTGTACGGATACCTTCAGCAGAAATGGTACAAAAAGTTAGGAAGTCAAGGAAGATTTTGAGAACAGGCTAAAACAGGAAGACAAACTCACTCAAAAAACAACTCAATGATACGCTTCACAGCACCCAGGAGAATCAGTTCCTTTTCTGCAGCTTCGCTACTCACACTCACCAAGACTGAGATGAACTCGATGATCTGAGATATTCACCATTTTGTTACAATTTATTAAAGTGCCTAGTTATTTAAGACAAAACACCAGTAATAATTTGTTGGATACATGGTGAATTCTCACAAGTTTTTTCCAAACAATTCAATTGCACAAACTAATCTAGCAAAATCGATATGTTCTTTGGGCAGCAAGTAGAAAATATACCTTCAACCGGTGCTTTCCCAGAGGTGGTTGCAATTTTCCATATGTAGTTAGCAAAGTATGGTCCTCAGATGAAATATCCAATAGCTTGAGCAGATCACCTGCCAGCATCCAGATAGACTATGATATTATCTTCTTACTAATCCAGGATAAAGAATCATTGAATCACAGCATTGTAATTCACTCAAATATTATTACTTCAAGCATTCAGAAATCAAAATTGTATTTCAGCAAGTGATTAGTGTATAGATTGCAATGATGAAGTGCCTACAACACAATATTCTATTCTTTATGGCTCTGCTCTTTCAATGTTTCTTGAGGCACTAACCAATATGACAGCATGCCCTAGTGGCAATGTTGGAATAGATCCCTTAAAATTTAACAGGAAATAGAAAACAATTAATTTTGCAGCCATTAGTCACCGATTTCTTGACTGGCAGGATCTGCAATCCAACGACATCTTAAAGCATTTAAAATGGTGCATTTTCTTAACAGGCTTACTGGAAATTTCCCAATTGATTCGCTAAACTATTACTATCCTCACGTATATGATAATATATAAAATCTGACCCTACAATGAGAACTCAATACCAAGTGAAACTTAATGAAAAGTTCATAGATACAGGGCACATATTGTAGAATAATGGTTATGATATGCTTGGAGAATGAGCTTCACAATAGTGAATTGCATAAATGCACCATTGTGGTAATTATATGGTTGCACAAATACTCCAGATTCCATTACAATCCCCTATCCACAGGGCCAGAAGATATAATATTTAGAGAAGTTCCATTTAAGTCAAACAACCATATGACGTGAAATCCAAGTACTTACCTAGGCTCTCCAGCATGCCTTGAACAGTCTCAGGGTTAGCGGGACTTTTGGATGCATAATCCATTTGGCGAGTATACATATAATATGTCCCAGATGTTAACCTCTTGGGATCTAACAATGATATACAGACTGATAAGAGGTTAACCAAAACAGACTTGGGTCTGGAGTCCTCCAGAGCATGACGAAACAATCTTCCAATAAAACTGACACAGGAAAACATTTCAGTCAAGAGAAGAAATGGATACGGCGTAGCCAAGAAAGATCATAAAATGTAACAAATGCAACCTTGGACTGGAGATTTTTGAAGCCAGTCCTGGGGGAGCATATCGTGTAATTGCACAGAGAGTTTCTGCTGCATTTGCATGCACTTCAGGGCAGTCCTACAAATAAATTTAGGGTTGTGTGAGATTATACAAGGAAAATTTAACCATATAAGTAAATCAAGAAACTTAAAATGTAAGCATTTTAGGAATAAACACAAGAGATTTATCATTGTTAATAGAGTTTTAGTGCACTTGGCATTCAAATAGCATCTTGGTATTGATATGTCCTCACAACTGAACATATGATAAGTGGCATGTTCTTCCCAAAGAAGTGTTGCCCAGGAACCCAAACTCACATTCACAGCAATGTTCAGTTTCAGAAACTAAAAGACCAAACTTGGTGTTATATCTTCCATAATAATCAAAGCTGCAATGGTCACCCTTCAAAAAAAAGTCATAACTAGACTAATTTCTAATTATCCAAAGGCAAGGCCTTTGACCTTTGTCCAGCCAGATAATATACGTAATGCAACTTACAGATGAACTGAATTTGTCAACAATCATCTCCAGCACATTCATATCTTCCAACCACTGCGTGGAATCCGCACAGTTAGCATATATATGCTCATCAGCACCAATTAGACGAATCAAGACCTGGTACAAAAGAAACCTTCAGAAATTTGAAATATAGATACTGAAAAGAGACAATGAGATACAAGGTACGGGTAACTGAACAACAAACCTCCATAATTGACGTGATTCCAATTAGATCAACTAGCTGGCTAATGATATCATGGTGTGCCTAAACAAGTATCAAAGAAGAATATATATTGTCAACTTATATGGTTATACCAACTTTAAATAACAGAGGACAATATATGTCATTTCATTAAGAAACATAAGATATTTGTAATTTGTTACGGTCAAAATACAGAATTTAATACTTCCAAAGTATGCAAAAAAGTAGCAATTAGTTAAATTCCATTCCTTACTGTTCGACACTCAAAACAACCTGCCTCTAAAACCTAATGGTTGTATAATGCAACACGTAATTTTTGACATTTCAATGGCTATATCAGTCTGACGGCATTGCATGTCAGCTATTGAACTTTTGTAATTTAAAGGATGTTATACTGTCTTCAAGCTTAAATAGAAAAGCATCATGCATTCAATTTCTAGAAACTCAAATAACCAGCCAGATGTTCCCTTGAAAGGTTATCAAGATTAATGTCACAATTAAGCATAGTATAATAGCATGGGAAATTTTGAAAGAAAAAATATCTAAATATATACATAAAATAAAATAAATAAATACATGGCATTTACTCACTCGAATGTAATTCATTAGAGGAGTTGTCTTTCGCAGCAACAGGCATACAACAACCTAGAACATAAAAATTATCAAATGACCATTAAAGACTGGGTAAAGCACTTATAACCGGTAAAGATCAGCAAAATATAGGATAAAATTTAAACATACAAATAAGCAGTATTGTAGACTTCACATAGAATTCATGGAACACTCTGTATTATCGAAAATTCCTTCTCCATTACATCCAAACTATGCATATCCATTACATTTTTTTTCTCTCAGAATTAAAAAAAATAAAATAAAATAAAATAAAATTAGAATGTTGAAAAACATTGTAGATAGATTGACCAAATGCGCGCAAAGACCCCAACATCTAGCACTGAGGTATTAAACAAAACTTGGATACATCATGCAAAGGTCATTCACACCTATAATTGATGTCTTTTTCTATTTCAGATCATCTAAAATATGCATAAAGACAACGAGTGTCATAAAAATTATGTAAATCACATACGAAAGCATCAATAGCAATACCTTACTAAAATAACCGGCCAATAGAGTGCTATGAGGGTGCTCAGGATTCAAAAATGAGAACAATAGGTCCATCAACTGTACATCAAATTACAAGTAATTAAAAAGGCTTAATATTAACAATGTCCAACAATCCAAAACAAATTGTCACAACACACACCTCATCATCATCTACCAAAGCCTTGAGGATAATATCAACTTCACACGTGAAAATTTCACAAGCAATGAAAGGGAACCTGAGTGCAGATATAAGGAAAGTTAGTCATCAGCAATTTACATTTATATGGTGACAGAAGCTTGGCAATATAAATACACCTAGAACTATCTGCACCACATGCTTACTTGAATGTTCGTTGTTTCTGGGCATCTTCTGGAGGTTCTTCCACAATGTATTGAATCAGTTGTCTAACGTTAGACTTTTCTCTCAAACTGCAAATATAATGTCAGAATATCATTAGCTCCCAATGCCAGAATATTGGGGATGATTTGACACCATAGTTAACTGATGCATAAGTGGGAATTGTATTATCCTAAAAGATTATAAAAGACATGCTAGGGCTGTTTTGAAGAAGTATAGTTTAGACATTAAAAAGATAAAATAACAGTTAAGTTGTGCCGTCAAAATATATACATCTCCCTCCAGAATTGACAGCTGGAAATTATTTTAGTTAGATCACCCACCTTACCAAATATCTACATAACAGATCCAATTTTTTTTTCATGTGCCATTACATGGTGATCTAAGCATTCATCCTTAATTACAGATAATAACAGAAATAGGATAATCTTCTAAGCAACAGGATTATTTCAGAGTAAACTAAACAGAACTATAACATAGTGTAGCACAAACAGATATTTGTGGCAAGTGATGTAGTATCTTACAAATTAATGAGACGGCCATTAAGAGCTTTGCATTCTTGAATTATTTCATCCTCATCCAGTAGCTCCTCCAGAGTGAAATTCTCTTTATCTAAAATGGTATCCACCTGGCATTTGCATATTTGATGATGGGGATATCTTTAAATACTCAATTAAAAGACACAAAAATTTAGCTTAAGATTGAAGGAAGAATTTGATATAAACACCATTCAAGAAAGTAAAACATTGGTCACAGAACCCATTTCCAGTTCTAAACAAGATTCACAGCACAAAAGCATCAAGATATAGTAAATAGACATGAGGGAGTTAGCCATTCTTTTGAGGGTTGAAAAAACCCAATATTGATGCATTTCTTAACAAAGCCATAGTCTGAGGATAGACTAGTTTGATTTAATGATGAGGATAAGAGAGTCAAGTTCACAAAAAACTAGTGATAACAAACTTCCTATATCAATAATAATCTATAGAAGCAAGGTACTTACAAGATTATCACTAGTTATATACTATCTTCATTATATTTGTGTAACATAAGTAGAGCATCATACATTTGTGGATCAGCTTGCTTATAGCCTTACATGAATAGATGCAGGTGCAAGATTTTTTTTTCTCTCATCACCGCGCTATATGATCATAAACTGAGAATTAGAAGATTCACACCAGATATCCATAAATATAATTTACAAACTATGGGAGGAACATCCAGACTAACGCAATTCCAACTACATTATGCAAGCACACAGCAACTCAATGTATTCAAACTGAAATTGACAGCTTTCCAAGAATGAAGAAAATTATTAACCCCCTCTACAATTGCATAGTCTGATCAATATCTGTTCAGCTTAAGGAATCTTATGGTGCCTTCATCAAAACCGGGACTATTTATTATAACTCACCATAACATAATAATATCAAAAAGAAAAGAGAGGGAGAAAGTAGCACATCCAATTTCTAATAAAATGGCATCACAGCCTCCTAAATAGTAACAGGCTGCTGAAGCACTCAGTTCCTTGTTGCTCATAATATCACAACTGATGTTAATACTATAGAAGCTTTCAAAGGACCATAAGTCCTCCATCTCCAAACGATTGCAATGCTTTTTCAAAAAATCTGTTAACTTAATTTCCAAGTACATGGACAGATAGCCTTTTCCTCCCAGAATAGCAAACTTCAGAGTGAGCACCACAGAGTAATTTTTTGTGAGACAACCATACATATGTTCATCATGTCAGGGTGTCTGTTCTGTATTTGGTTACTGTTGCATTGTTCTTGATAAATTTGGGGCTCCGTTAGTTAATAAAATCCTATAATATCTGCCACGACCATGGCCAACAACATACGCGATCACACAAAAAGTCCGGCATCTTCTTGACCATCGAGAACCATATTCAATCAACTCATCGAATCCCAAAGCACTCAACAAGAAACGCAAAACCACTCGACCGAATAGGGCGAATCAAACGCCCAAGAAATCACACGCCAATAAAATTGGATCCAACATACAACATCTGAGGGCAACAGCAAAAAGAAAGCCATCGGACTTACTGGAGATGCAGCGGAGAGGCCGGCCATACGCCAAAACATCTTTAATTCTGAACCACAACGATCGAATTGGAAGGTCGCGTTTAGAGATCTGCCCACTCAAAAACCCTAGCTTCCGCGCACAGCCTCCGGCTCCAGAACTCGTGGCCACAATCCCGATTCAACCAAGAAAAACAAAAAAGAATCCCTGAAAAATTCAATCCAACACAATTATTGACGAAATTTTGTCGAATTCCAACAGATTACCCAACCCACACGACTCCGCGATGCAATTCAATTGATTTTCCCAATTTGATTCCCGAATAGATAAACAAGAATAATAGAGGCCGAAAAATATTACCTGCAACTGCGGGAGGACAGAGCTGTACTTTTCCCAGGATATTGAAAACCGGAGACACACACAGCAACCCACATATACTGTGTGATACATACACAAAAAAATATATATATATATATGTATGTATAGGCCCAACAAAATTAAATAAACAAATAAATATCCGTTGTCGAAAATCTTACAACAGCAACTTTTCTATGTGTGGATGCACATTATTAATGTTATATATAAACCTTAATAATAATTTTTGTATGAATGAATGAATGTTGACTTACAAATTTGTATGTGTCAAGAAAAGGGATTGGTGAAGTTTCCATAGAGCCTCACCTCACCTCACCTCACCTCACCACCATTGATTCCATCATGTTTTATGGTTAGGTTATCTAGCCTAAATTAAATTTCATACCTTTATTATTTTATTAATTATTAGTAACCATGACATGAGTGGTGAGATGTCCATTGTCATTTATCATTTTAGGCATGGAGCATACTTTTAAAGAATGATGCCACCACAAAATTTCTGCTCTTAATTTTGATTTTTGATTTAATGTGATTCCCATGTATTGAAGAAAATAAATGTTGACAATTTAGAGTTTTAACTAAATGTTGATGTTCAACCTCGTTGAATGGTAAAAGACATTAAATAAAAAAATTATATTTTGTGAGAAAAGATAAATATTAAGTTGATAATTTTTTTATTACAAATTTGTTACAAACAATAAATCTAAATTTTTTAAAATATATAAACAAAATTTCTATTTGTTTGAGACGACCTAATCCATAGATACAGGTAGGCTTATTTTTCGTTTTTAATTTTGATATATTTAATTAAATAATTATTATACACTCTCTCCGTCAGTCCAAATGACCCTTTTGATATTTTGTAATAGATTAAGAAATTAGTAGAGATATATAAGAGGTTTTTGTCCTTTGACTTTTGTAAATGTAAAAAAAAATGTAATAGTATATTGTAATTTAAGTAAAAATTAAAAGATATTTTAGTATTGAAATAACTTTTACTAAAATAAGAAATAAATATTTGAGTTGTAATGAAAGGAGAGCATAATATTTGGAATAAAATTGATTCTTTTGATATATATATATAGAAATATGTACATGGTCAGTAGAATTTTTCAATTGAACAATTTTCTATAAATATTGTTAAAAAAATATAAATATACACTTATATTAATATAATATATATAATTTATTTATAAAATATTATTTTTTATATTACCAACACAGTTCTTTTTATAACAACCACTGAATCAACAGTTAAAAAAAAAATTAAAATTAAATAAAATAAAATTAGGTCCACAACCAAATCTAATTCATTGAATATCCCATAAATACATATCCGAATATCATAGGGAGAGTTAGATTGATAAAATTGGATGAATGTATAATGGCAGGTCTGACAAAGTTGAAGGGAACAAAGAGCATTTACAATTAAAAGTCTGGCAATCAGTTCATTTGCATAAAAATTTGTTGAATATAATTTTGTAATTTCTTAACCACATTATCCCAATCCCGATATTTGTTCTAATAGACGAATATATTTTCTGTATTTGGATATGTGCTTTTGAAATTTGAATTTAAATTATGAAACCTTTGTAGGACTATCGAATCAAGTGGTAATTGCACAAACTAATTTAAATAAAACGGCATTCTTGATTTGCTATGTAAGATGTAAATTGTTTGAAAATAAATAGAATGTGCTGAAAAAGATTAGAACCACAATAAAGATTACTTACTACATAAAAAGTTAAAAACCATACATTTCAGCAATACTACCACAACAATATAAAATTAAAAATGGGTCAATCCATTCTTACCTGCACATACAAACAATAAAAATCATACATCACAAACGATATCCACCGGATCCAAATCTTTACAAATCATAATCTATTCGGCAATACCAATCATAAAACAAGTTCAGATCTCAACTAGTTATTAATATAAATTTTATCGTTAGTAGAAAAATAAGCATCTTAAGCACCAAAAACATAATAATTTAAAATTGTTGTCAAAATAATTAAATAATAATTGAGTGTTTATAGGGAAAAGTCTTTGGTCAAATTTCCACATATTTAAGGAACAATGCATTTTTCTAAAAAAAAAAAAAAAGATAAATATTTTTCTCCCACAAAATTCATATCAAATATTATTAGAATACAAAATTTTAATCAAATATTTTAAATTCAAACCAGAAATAAAGTATTTGATACAAAATTGGTATTCATCAACTAGATTATTTGATGCAATTTAAATTTGATATAAAATAAAGTATTAATTTAAATTTTTATTTATACAATATTTTAATATGATATTGACATTTTTTAATTTTTTCTATAACAATTGATAACTTGAGATCAACTATTAAAAAATAAAATAAACATAAAATCAAATACATTTTTTTTTCAGAAACTATCAAACCAAATACGTAATTCTTTTTATACACATAATTCTCCAAAACAATCAATATAATCATAGCCAAACAATCTTTATAATCAGTCGTGTAGGAAAAGTTTCTTTCCGGATATAATTCTTAAGGAGAGTTTAGAAAAAATTAAGTTTAAATTTGATTTTTATTTGAATTTTGAAATGAATTTGAATTTTATTGTTTTTTTTGTGTATAAATTTAGTTGTGTATTTATTTGATGGATAATGAATAAAATAATATAAATATATATTAAATTTAATTAATAAAATTTATATTATTCAATTTGATTATAAATTTATATTATACTCAACATATATATTTAAATTTTTATTTATTTATATTATAAAAAAATTTATTCTCTACAAAATAATACATATTGTATATATATTTTTTTCATTTAATTATAATAAATTTTAAATAAAATTTTATTTTTTAAAAAAATAAAAACAAAAAAAAATAGAGAGTTTGGCGCCTATAAATGAGGCCAAACCCCTTGGAGAAACATACCCTAGTAATTTTCTTAAAACTAAAAAAATCTTCAATCTAATTGAAGCTTAAGACCATTTTTGCAGCATAATACATTTCTCCTTTGCAAAATTTTCGCTACAGTAAACTCCAAACGTTCCCTCTATTTTCACAAGGCCTCTTCTCCAACCATTCCCTCCATGCAAGTTTTTAAAAAAAATTCTTTATATTTTATATAATTTTTAAAATTACAAATAAAATTTAATATTTTATTTTATAAATATTTTATATAATTTTTAAAATTACAAATAAAATTTAATATTTTATTTTATAAAATAAAATATTAAATTTTATTTGTAATTTTAAAAATTATATAAAATAAAATATAAAAAAAATATTTTTTAACTACGGTATATGCAAACCCACAAAAATTACAAAAATAAAGTTCCTAATTTAGTAACATATCACAATCAGAGTCACGAGCCAAACGTACAATAATTGTATGGTGATCAACAATTCCCACGGACATGGGAAAGCTTAAGCAAATAAAGCTTCAAGTAAAGATATATACACACACCGACACACGAAGCAGTGTTTCAATAAGGCCTCAGATAGTCGATCTCAATTCATAACATGATTCAGACGGTAATTCCAGGATATTTATATAACATTCCTCATTGGCCCCAAAGTTTCTGAACAGAAACAGTTTAAAAAAGAAAAACAGTTAAGATCTAAAGGAAGCAACGTAAATCTGATAGGAGATTGTAATCGCAGAAAGTGGCTCCATGGACGAACGGAGATTATCGGTCCACAGGTTCCTATCAGCATGCGAAACAAGGAATTGATTTAGGTTCTATACTGACATCACCGATCACTGCCAAATTTTGGCTACCGGCGACGTGGCTATGAACCATTGAGTTGAAAAACCGTAAGAAATTCGAATTTTTTTTTTTACGAAATAGATATAAAACTTAAACCTCAGAGACCCGTTCCAAATCATACACACAGCTACCGCCGCAGACCACGCATGCCCGACCGGCGGACAATAGTTGCCACAGAGGCAAAACATTGGCGGCGGTGGATGGGGAGGGTGGGGCGGCGGCAAAACGCTGCGTTTTGAAGTGTCATACGGCACTTCCTATACTTTGGGATGTCTTCCTCATCGGTACCGTATGTTAATCTTTCACAAATCGACATGAAAAAAGAAGAAAAACAGAAAATATCACAGAGGAGTTGCGAGAGGAGGATTACCCGTGGAGAAGAAATAACTTTGAATGAAGGATTAGGGATGGCAGGGTGTACATATAGGGTTTCTGAAGAGGACTCCTGGCGGCGGTATTTTCTGCTTCTAGTTGTGCTTATAGTTTAGGGTTTCTAAATATTCACCCAAGCCCACCTGTGTAAGCCCAAATATCTAAGACCAAATTATAGCCCAATTTTGCAGAAAGAAATTTCTAAACACAAATTGAATGATGAAAACCATGAATAATTATAGTAATTTACTGCACACAGCACATCCAAATACAGAACCAAATGCCATGTTGCTACCACAAGAACAACAGCAATAATAATTCTCTTAAAAAGTTCACCTTGGTAATTCAAGGTCGGGTCTTTGATCGAGGGCTTCCATAGTTGAATTATCAGGGAAAGCATCCGGGTAGGTTTCAACAATCTTGGCCTTCAAGTTCCTGCAAGGTACAATCACATTCTAAACTGCAGGACCTAAGATGATAAGAACAAATTTCAATTCATAGCAGTAAACAAACAGGGACACAAAAAGTATCAGGGCAGCATGAGACGAATTAATGAAGAAGCTTCAGCATCAACAGAAGTTCCTCTTTCACAGAGACAGTTCGATTTGCTTAACATTATTTTCTATAAAACAAGTAATTGGCAAACACTAGCTAACAATTTTGTGATAGAAAGCATCTTTCATCAATGAAGCGATAATCAGATTTAAAGGACGACCAGTCCTAGACATAGTTTTTCCAGCTAACCATGGAAACATCTTTCAGATTAGGTGAGTTGAGGAATTGTGCTTAGTTACTAATGCAAATTCAAATGTCCTGCAAGTTCATTGTACAATTATTTTACTCAAGGCAGATTTTGAAACCCGATCTTAAATTGCAAGCTTAGATTGATCACTTCCATAGTTCCCAAAATCAGCTATCACAGCAATCCCCCATTCCCCCCCACCCCTCCATATGAGAGTATGCACAAACCAGCAATGGAAACCGATGAATTAATCCAAATAGGGTTTTTTCCACAACCATACACATTTTAATAACAATCCACAAAATATTTCAAGATAAAATGATGAATTTTGGTACCTCAGCTTTTGAAAGACGAAATCGAGGTCGGATTTCATGGATCGTAAGAGGCGTGCGTTTTTGGCAAATTCCGCAGAGACTTCCGCGAAGCAATTCTCCGAATACTCGTTAAAGTGAGACAATACTGCATTACTGTCCTGCAACCTCCCCAATCTGCAGTTTCACCTTCAAAACTTCAATATTTCCGCAGTTAAAGAGGTTAACTGAAAACAAAGAGTCAACCTTCATATAAAAAACAGGAATATACATACACGAGGTTTTGCGTTTGCCTTATAGAATCCAAATCCTGAGAATTCACCAGCGTTTTGAACTCCCCCGAGCTTTCTTCAGATGCCGATCTAGCCGTGTCACTCTCCGGCGCCGTATTCGCCATTTCAACGATTTTTCGCACGGAGACCGAAATCGGACGTGAGGACCGGATTCTTCTTCAAACGCCTTACTATAGAAACACTAACCGGGTTTCCCTTCAACTTCAACCCAGAAGATAATTTTGTTAATTGTATTTGTAATTACCTTATTCTTTTTTTCTTTAAGTAAAAATTTTAAAAAATATATTTAAAATCAATTATTAATTATTTTTAATTTAATAAAAAAAAAATTAATGGGACTAATAAAAAGATAGTTTTCAATGGTAACAAAGAGTATACCATTTATTCATATACATCTAACTTTAAAATTTAAACACAACTCTTAATTTTATATTTCAATTATTTCTAAAAAGAAAAATAGCATATATCTAAATAAAATTTCAAAACGATTAATTTTCAATAAAATAGAATTATAAAAACTAGAAAAAATATTATAAATAAAGATATTATCGAAATGGGCTTAAGGCTCATATCAAGAAAGTACAAAAAGAAATCACCCTCACTTGGACTGTCCGGTCATGATTTAAATTCAATGCCTTCATGTTCATATGATAAACATTATTTGTCTGATGTAACTTTTTTTTTTTTTTTTTTTTTTTGTTGAATTTAGTTTGTAAGTTTGATCGAAGTTTACTGTATGCAATTTCGAACAGCGACTGCGAATTTTCAATCTTAAAAATAAAATAAAATTGGGCAATGACTTAGGCTTTGGTAATTATAATTAGACAATAAAATCGGGTTTAATGCCATGCCACCACCTAACTCAACATAATTATAATTTCATCCCAATTGGGTGAAATAAACAATGGCTATGGATCTGCAGATGATCTCACCTACTTAGCTACAAAGGTAAGCCAGGCTAGCATAGCAACAAACCTATTTAATAAGGCGTTATCATTGCCACTGTGCACATGACTCACACTGCCCCTATTGACTATTGCTATGCATTCATTCATTTTCTGCGAAAGAACAAGAAATGACCCTTTTGGCAGTCAGATACATAAAGAATCAGATTCAGTACAGTGACAGGCCGACGACAAAATGTTTTTAAGAGATGGGATTGAAAAGATGTTTGATGGACACGACACAGGACAGAGAGCATAGGTTTGTTTTGTTTTTGCGTTAAATCTTAAACCCCGTGAAAAGGCGTGATTGCCACTTCAAGAATCAACAGCGAATCGCTCCCTACTTATTACATTTAACTCAGAACTGATCATTTGCAATTAGGAATAAAATTAGATCGAGTGCGTGATCATTCTTCAAGACTGTATTGTTCGTAAAGAAAGGATTGCAAACACAAACAGCAAGAGTACACTATCTCATAATCAAATCCTTGTCTTAAAGCTGAATGAATCTTAGTGCAAATTCAAGAAGACGATAATGGTTCAGACAAAAGACCAGTTCATGAACATGAAAGCCAGGCAGTGATTGGAATCATCATCATCCACAACCTTCCAGGCAATGACTTGATCATAGGAAACCGGCCTGTCCATGCTCGATGCGCAAACTCCCGCCGGCAAATACGCGAATCCCTGCACATGAATTCAACTTAGTAAAAATGGAAACATTCGTAATAGGCAATGGACGGATTAAGTTCCGGCTACTCACCTGGTTCATGATCTTGGCGAATTCCGTCAGGAGAATCTTTCGACCGGCTTCGTCTAGTATCTTCTCAAGCATTATATCCTGAAGTGCCACCAGCGTCGTCTCCAGCATGTCAAGCCCCGCCTGGTTCGCAAATGTGAAAACAGTTGATGCCTGTAATTCGAATTCAGCAGCTGGATCCATCAGTACAAAATTACAGAGCAGATAGACGACAAGAACGGAATTTAAGATTGACCGACATTTGTCTTAACAGAGCAGCACATGATGGCATCAGTGTGGTGCCAAAGTTGCTTGAGAACTGCATCGTCTGCCATCGGTGAATCAGCCGGGAATAGTTCTTGACCGGTATGTACCCTGAAATAAAATCATCATAACAAAAAGTTAGAACAAAAAAGATGATGTAGCGATTGTTTACAAGCAGTGTTCATACCTATAGCTCCGGCAAATCCATCGAGCAAGTGTGACAGCCTCAGGTGAACTGGGAAGAGACTTTGGCAGAATATGAGAACCGAGGAGGGTCGGGGCTATTGCAACGGCAACCCTTTGGACAGAGCTGACTATACTTCGTACATACTGAAGTGCCATAGCAGTAACACCGTCGCGGTAGTGGTCTTCGAAGGCGAACTGGAATGCAATGGTAAGAACAGATCTGAAATTCTGATTACCTGCATCAGCTTCTCGAATCTGCATACCGGAGCTTCCACTGTGTCCGATCTCGAGAGCAGAAGCCAGATCCAAAGTTCGATTTGCAGAAGGGCCATCCTGCAAGAAAAAAACGAGTCTTGTCGAATGAACTCTTCGCTATGCAAATTATATTGTGAAGGAAAGGGACGACACCGAACTGATTTAGGCTCCAAAGGTACAATGCGGAAACCGGATGGCAGCAGAGGAGCATCGTCGCCAAATGACTCGTCAATCGGCGCAAACACAAGCTGAGCACAACCACCAGAAGCCGTTTCGTCTATCCCGTTGCATAGCTGTAAAATCAATACTGTAAATGTCACCATGCATAAAGAAAATAGCAGAAAACAACTGCAAATACAAACCTGCAACAGATACATATCTCTCGATAATGCGATTTCCTCGGGCGAGAATGCATGACCCTCCAAACGAACCACCTCCAGGAACTACAATTGATTCTTAGTTACTCTCTGTATTGCAAAATCGGTAAAGATGCAATTGAAAGGATGAACTAATAGTTTTACCTCCTCATGTTCGATAGTCTGCGCAAGAGGTAAAATTACTTGGCTACTGGGAAATCCACCAGGCTTAGCACAGGGGACTGCATAAGGGCTACCCTTCAGAGAAGCAGAAGAGTAAACATCGACGCTGTAATCAGCCCATTCAGAACGATGTTCCCTCAGGAAACGAACAAGTAAAGCAGGAGGTATGTTCTGTGCAACAATTTTAATATACCAATGTTACTGAAGTCATAGATGCTAAGATTGAAGATGTGATCATTCGGTAATGTTAAGCAAGAATGCATCTGTCATAAACAACTAAGAAACTTAACCTGGAGAAGCATTGACGCCCGTGCGCAAAGAACTCCCCCAAATGATGGAAGCATGGACAAGTTGTTGTATTGGGACCCGAGAAACTTGCTTGGAGATGAGTTAATAGCAATGGTTACATCTTCAGCCCCATCCGTGCCCATTATCGACCAGCCATCGTCAACAAATCCATTGACAGCATCATTAAAACCCCTAAAAGTGATTAACCAAATAAAGACAATCAGAAGAATTACTAAATGGAGAGTATATAAGACAAATAGATTTTAAGTTATCCTATTAGATGCAGTCGAGAGGTTACGGGTTCTTACCTGCAGAGTCTTTGACTTAACGCCCTAAGAACTGCAGGTTGGCGACCACCACTATACTGAATCTCTCCATTAGTTTCTTGAGCAATTTGTCGTATCTGGCGCAAAGCCTGATCATAAAACATAATTTAAGGTGCTGCAGGTACAGACAAGCCCAGACAATTACATATTGACTCAAGGTGGAAAGTTCTCACAGCCATAGTCATCTTCTGTGCAAGGATTTTTGAAGATTCATAAAGTGGCCTCAATACTTCAGGAACACTGCCAGCCTGCGGGGGTAAAAAACTTGAGTTAAAAGGGAGAACCTGAAAATTAAACCTCATGAACATACCCTAATGACTGCTTACATCCAAGTCAATGTGATCAACAATGTGGATAATGGATCCCCCACCCTCGCAAGGTCGTATAAAGTAGCCACTTGGGAGCATTTCAGCTCTCACAAAGCAAGTAGCAGGAGGACCAGTTGGACCACCCATTTTAGATGTTAAAGATCTCTCACAGATCTGCAAGAATAGCATAACATAGCTTCCAATAAAAGGCTATAGATCAATAAATGAAATTTAGTCGACCCATTAGGATGGGTTAGGATTTTTTACCACTAGACTGCCGTCTTCCAAACTTGTAGTGTATCTCAGCAACCAAAAGTCGCGACCAGGCGCTAACGTTGTTGGTGCATACATCTGAGGAATAGAGTAGACATTTAGAACTGGTTGAAAGCTCTTGTGCGTAGATCGACGATCAGATTGCATGAAACTCACCTGCATGTATAAGAGTTCCAATGTCCCTCCATTTCCTGTAGGGATTGCACTTGCTACATCAAGGCAACGACAGTCACGAAACCAAGAGAGTCGATCTTTGAGTATTTCAGCAACCTGGAAGAATTTTTTTTGAAGTGAAAATACAAGACTACATTGATTTTTATTTTGTTTTATTATCTTTTTGACAAGTAGGACTTGATGTGTTGGAAATTCACCTTAGTGGGTTCGAGGCTCACAAGGCCACAGGCTCGTGCTGCTACCCCTCTACAGTTGCGGGAAATGGCAACAATGCCAATAGAATCCGGACCAGGCTAAAGATAAAGTAAGGCACGCATAAAGAAACTATAGTCGAACCGAAAGATCAAAGAAGGAGACTACGAATGTATATATATATACACACACCTTCATACCAATCATCTGGACCCAGTCGACAGCTGTTCCAGTAGCTTTTCCAAGGAACTCCGTCAGTGTCTCCTCAGCTATTGCAAGAAGACTGAGAAATCAACACAAAAAGGGAGACAGACATAGTCAAAAGCACAACAAATGAGAGCTACAGCCAACAGCATAAATAGAACCACAAAGTAAAAGTTATTAAGGCAGCATTTGGTCGATTACCCAGCTGGGCTATTTGCATCCCTTTGTGGATGCTGAGGTGTTGGGTTATGCTGTTGTTGCTGACCACTGATTACCGCAGACTCACAACTGGTATCAGTGGTCGAAGCGCTCGCCTGTTATAACACGTAACACGACAAAGAAGAATGAGATTGTTAATACCACATTATGCAAAACACAAAAAATATATAACTTACAGTGTGCAGTTGCTGCCGCATGTAGCCATTGTCGTAAACCAACTGTGAGACCTGCTTTTGAAGGCGATCATTCTCCTCCATCAGCAGCTTATTCATGGCAGTCAGCTTCCTATTAACAGTCTGCAGCCGAGAAGCTTCCTTCCTTTGTTTTTCACGACATCTAAAAAGATCAAAGAATACAATACTTCAAAACGATAATGCTGCTGACAAATATCATGTAAACAAAGATGTCCCAAGAAATTATAAATTATGGATCATAATTCAATAAAAACAACTGTCTATCGGTGAGTTATGAGCAGAACTTGAGTGATTCGCAGATCATTCAACTATCAGTCTGTTGTAAGTAGATACTACACTGAAAGGTTAGACTCAAGCTAATAATGGAAATGAATATGAATTACCTCCATAGATGAGATGAGATCTCATAGGTCAATAACCTTATTACATGACACAGAACGGACGGGAAATGATAGTTGCGCTAAGAGACTATAAAGTATGGACTCCCCATTAACACTACAGGTAGACAAAACAATCCCAAAACCTAAAAAAAGAGTGACCAAAATAATAATGAAAAGAAAAAAAAAGAGTGCATTGTCAATGGTATAGGCTAAAATTCTCCGTAATCCACAGACTGCAAATAAATGCGTATCTACAAGGAACTGGACAGGAAGTTTGATGTCCATGGAAATCGGGACACAATGAAATGCAGGGGTTCAAACAAAATCAAGAATTGATAATACCAACTTGTTGTTTGCCACAACCAAACTGGGGCTTCACTCATAATACAATAGCATAGAATTGATGAGCTATCTATTAGATGTCTGGGGACTCAAGTAGATGCCACAAACTTTCACAGATCTATTTTCCAAAGCCCTGTCCAAGTTTTTTATTCATTATTTTTCTCCTCCCCAATTAAAAATATAGATGGGAAGATTTGTGGCTAAAAAACAAAAGGAGGGAATCATCAGAGGAGCGAAATACACTTCATATACAAAAGTCTCAAAATGCTGAGGAAGATGAACACAGAAGCTGATAAAAATACAATGATTTAAAGTTGCAGAAAACCTACAAAACTGGTGGGGAAAAAAAAAAAATCATCTTTGAACAAGGAAAACAAGAAATACAGGTTCAAAATCAAACACATTTGTTTTGTGACAGCCATGGGAGAAATCTACCTGCGGTTTTGAAACCAAACTTTGATTTGTTTAGGCTCGATGTTAGCAAGAATAGGGCACTCCCTAATGAGCTGTTGCCTCCTCAAAGAGCTTGGCTTTGGGCAGTCGGCATAAACCCTCTCTAGTGCCTCCACTTGCTCAGGTGTGTACCTCACATACTTGCTCGCATCCATTTGCTGCTGCTTGCTGTTGCTCTCTCTGTGCATAGAAAGAATCAATCAAAGGGACCTAAGATTAAACTTTCTGTTAGTGAATTTGACGCGAGTTATGCTGTTGTTCTTGTGGTTGGTTTGCATGAACAGGTAGGCTCTCCTCTCACAGAGAGCCTCCTCTCTCACCCATCAATCCTGTACCTTTTTTTGAATTTGGGGTACTATAATTATCGTTATTACTTTTAGTTTTACTCCAAGAAAGGGAGAGATATGGCGTAAGTTTGTTGGGCAGAGGTCCAGAGGACAGAGGGATGTGTGTTAGAGTTTAAAAAAAAAAAAAAAAAAAAAAAAAGATATTTGAACAGAGGTCCCCTGGATTTTGCCTCAGGACGCCAATGTCGAGACTTTCAAAGAAAATGAAATGGGTAGAGAGAGAAAGGAAAAAGAACACACAACTTGACACAAGAAAGTAATCAAATATGCAAATTCCTGAACTACTGACATATCAAACAATTCTGCAATCTCTGAGCTTTTTTAAATTTGCTGAAGAAAACCATCAGTAGTTATTCCTCAAGCAAATAAAACAGCGAGCAGGCGAGCGTGCTGATTTGAACGAGGACAGGCAATTGGCACAATCATATTGCAGGGAGAGGGAGAAAGCTGTTTGTGGGTAGTAATTGTATTGTATGCACATTTATTACAAAAATGAAGAAAGAAAAAGCATGTTTGTACAAACATGGGAGCATTTAAGAAACAGCACAAAACAATGAAAAGATAGTAGAAGGCAAAGGCAGCACCTTTATCTGAGGCAGACCTGCAGACCCATTTTTGGGCAAATCACAACATGTGGCTGTTGGACCTGCACCAATACCTCATCTGGGGAAGAAAGAAGAAACAAGAAAAACTAAAACAAAACAAAACAAACAAAACATACATTCAATGATCAAAATTAACAGCAGCACACCCCCTCTGCTTTCATCTCGCCATTAAAAAACAACACATGGCAAAAATTTTTTTGTTTTTTTGGGTGGTTGTGGACAAGTGGGACTTTTGATGAATCATGTCTGTATGTATCAGTATGCAATCCTATTGCAATGCACGCATGTGACATGATGTGGATCCATTGTTATGCATCCAAACCATGATGACACAAGAAATCAGTTGTAGATACACTTAAATACTGCTGCTGCTTCGGACACAGAAGATAATTAATTGCTAAAAGTCATCAAATTCAAAAGTATATGGAAAGGGAAGAAGATCCTCTCCTTCTGTCGGTTTCGGATCCTTGATTCGGGGCTCGGACCTTTTTACCCTTTTTTAAGTAATGAGCTGTTGATAGTTGGGCCTGTTTACGGGTTTGAATATTTGGGCCTTTCTATGGCCATATTTATTTTTTAAATAGTTATTTAAATGGGATTTGTTGGATTATTTTTGGACGAAATAAATCTATTGAATAGATTTAGCTGTTATATTGAAAAGGGATCGTGGCTATTTAGTTTTAATTTCGAGAAAGAAATAAATAAATTCTGGACAGTAAGCATGCAAATTTATTCTAAATGTGACATAGTTTTATGCGTAATAATAATTGTTGGTGTCATGCCATGCTTCCATGAACATGATATCATTATTACGTTTCATGCACTAATATTTTAGATGGGAAGAGGCAAAAAAAGAATATAATAATTGTCATAATATAATAAGAAAAGGAAGAATTTAAATATGCACCCGTGATATATTCGAATAATCTAATTTTATTTATTTATTTATTTTCAGTATAAGTGATCGAATTTCACTTTTCCAAGGTTTGGTGGCAAGCTGACATGGTTTAATTTCAAGACTAAAATTGTATCGATATATTTAGAGAGAGGGAGGGGAGGGAGAGAATAGAAAATTAAATATAATTAATTAGAGTTATAATATATATCATTTTGTACACATATTTCAATATTCATATTAATTAAATATATATATATTTCATGTAATTCTTTAATGATGCATGCAGAGTATGGTGCGATGTGTATACAATCATACATGTCCAATTGAATGATTATTTTTATATATAAAAAAGATTCAAAGCAATTAAGCAAGCAAAGCATATCATGAACAATAATAAATTAAAATAATGTATTGATGAATGATGAGATTGGCATATATATATATATATACATATATATGTGTGGGTATGGGAGTGGGATGGACCTTCAGCTTTTTTCTCAGAAAATCGATGATATGATAAAGAAGATATATCTCGAGTTTAAAATTTGGGGGAATATATATATATATATATTTATATATATCATGATTTAAATTAACTAATCAACACAGATATTCCAAAAGTTCATTAATGGCCACAATATACATATATTTATGAAAAGGAAAAGAAACGAAAGAAAAGGGAGCATATCGCATAGCATAGATATGGAGACATGGAAGGCTAAGCTTAAAAGATCATTAATTAATTAATTAAAGAAAGCACGGTTTGATCATTGGAGTGTACTGTGTGTAATGCATTACTGAACAAGTCTTGATTAATTAATTAGCCCACAATATATGCATACATACATACATATATATATATATAGAGAGAGAGAGAGAGAGAGAGAGAGATGCATGCATGCATGGGGTGAGTCGATCCAAGTTTGTAATGATGATGTGATTATAGAAATAGGAACTTAATGTGTCTGCTAAGCATCCTAATTAATTAATTAGCCACTGCATGCAAAATTGCAATGACACACAGTTCTAGAGAGAGGGAGAGGCATATATATATATATATATATATAGAGAGAGAGAGAGAGAGAGAGAGAGAGAGAGAGAGAGAGAGAGAGGTGAGGTTGAGGTTGACTAGCAACAAGAAAGAACTAGCACAAACCACCCTACAAATTATTTACCCAACACATGATAGGCTCTTGTGTTTCCCACTATCACTTGTACTCACTCTACAGTCAATGCAATATATATAAGCTTTGGACTTCATTCTAATTAGGGTTTGACATTTAGCATGCATAACAATTCACAACTATTATTAAAAAAATAAAATAAAAAAGAAAATGAAAGCATCCAAGGCAAATACACTATAAAAACAGGACTATGAAAGTATGTATATGTAGTTCAAACTATAACATACCTTGATGTGAATTAAATGTCGATTTTAAACGTCGAATACAAAATTATTGTGCAACACATGTCTATAATGAATCAAACTATTTTAACTATGATATACAAAATTAAACTAAAGATGTATCATTTTTTTTGTTTGGAACAAATTAAATAAAGGGACAAATAAATCACATATATATATATATGTGTGTGTGTGTGTTTGTGTGTGTGTGGTATGCCTGGGTAGGTACGTAACTTCGGTTGTCTCCCTAGCTACTTATCTAGCTAGATTAGCATGATCATAATGATTAATTGAAAACCCACCCAGCTTGTTTGATATATATATATATATATAAGTGTGTGTGTGTGTGTGTGATTAATTTTATGCAAGTAATTTAATAATGATTCGTGTGGGAAATGAAAGAGGGGCCAAGAAATGGGACAGGGGCACTAGGGTATGTTGGCACACCACACCACACCACACACAATTGTTGGATGTCCCTTTCCTGCACTACCCTCCTCATTCTAATTTTTCTAAATGCATGCCCACCAAATTAAAGATCCTTTTATTTTTATGGTTTTATAATGATGTCCCAAAAGCTGTTTCTCTGTATGTGTTTTGATCCTCACCCCTCTTCATCTTCAAGCCCCATATATACATATATTAGTGCCACCTTTGCTTCTACTTTACAACTCTCTCTCTCTCTCTCTATATATATATATATATATATGTATATATGCATGCATGTATGTACAAAAAACATTGCATGGATGACATATATAGATTTCATGGAAGGGACATAATAAGATATTGGGACCATGTTAGAAGAAGATAATAATTGATGGGCAAAGAAAAGAAGAAGAAGAATGAATGAACTGAAGGTGGAGGATATATATATATATATATATTGTTAATCATGAATGAGGGATATGCATTTTGAATATATACTAATTGGTTGCTGCCTTAGGACAAAATCATGGTATAATCCTTGGGCATGATTATGAATGATGGTTCCAAATACCATGAAGATCACTATCCATCAATAACAATAAATTAATTATATTAACAAAAAGGATGCAGCAATATATATTGCACATTCATTCTTACATATCTTTGATGCTGACTGTTGAGTATTTATTGTTATTATTATTTTTCAATTACAATATTTTCAAGGCTCCCATATATGTATAAGCTTTTCTTTTGAGAAGGGGTCCCTATATCACTTATATCTTTTTGTTTGGGTTATTCTATTACACCAAACATTATCTATATATATGCTTAATGATTCTTTTTGCTGTTGAATTCCTAAGATAAGACACTACACATGTTTTAAATAACACAGACCGACTCAGGAGTTTAGGCAAAGAAGATAATCATTTCTAGGCATTAAATTAAAACCATTTCAATATAAATATAAACTAACAGTTCTGTTAGAACAACACAAACACACACACGCGCGCATATTTATATATATATATATATATCATTATCTTTGGCATAATTTTGGTTAGCAGATGAAAAAAATAAAAAAATTACTATATATATATATATATATATCGCCTATAATTGCTGGTTACTTAATCTACTTCAAAAATCATAATTCTTAGCCCATGTGAAGGGACTTTGTTGGGCCCGTATTGTTTTTCTTTAATGGGCTAAGGGAAGCCCAAACTTTATAAGGGTAAGCCCAAATTGGCAAATGTGGCTGAGGATTGCCTGGGCCAATCTGTAATATAAGTAAAATAAAATTTACATTTTTCATTTTCAATTTGGAAACCCTTAAACGGGAATAGTGTAGCAGTGGAAATCACAGAAAAGTTCGGACTTCTATCTCGCGGAGGAGATCATTCTCAACGACAATGAACAAGAAGGAGGTATTTAAATTGGCGAAGGGATTTCGCGGCAGAGCGAAGAATTGTATAAGGATAGCGAGGGAGAGAGTGGAGAAGGCGCTTCAGTATTCGTACAGAGACCGCCGCAACAAGAAGCGTGATATGCGTTCGCTTTGGATCCAGCGAATCAACGCCGGCACTCGCCAGCACGGGGTGCGATTCTTATCTCTTTCTTTCTATTATTGCTTTTGCTTTCAATTATCGGAGGTTGCTTTGCATTGTGGTTTTAGAGTTTCCCTTCCCGTGCCCATTATTTGAACCGATTACTGCCGTGCTTTATCTATGAAACTCATTTCCAATGTATTTCTTTTTAGTTGAATTAATTTTCTGCTTGGGATCAGATGATTGACACAACAGTTGCGGTTTAGGGTTTACAGTTCTAGCTGTTTAATTGTCATTGCTGACCTGATTTTATGAAAATTATTTCTTACTGAGAACTCTGAATTCTGGGCTCCAGTGAGACAAGATAGTAAAAAATACTAGTATTTTATAAGAGAAAAAAAATTGTATTTGATGGGATTTTTTTCTTACTAAGATGTTATTTGTATGATTTTTATAGGGTAAACAAACCCTGAGATGTTTGGAGATTGAATTTCATGTCATTGGTTGATGATTAAGCTAAGTAGATGCATTTTTTCAATTATGAACCACAATGTATGCTAATTATGCCAATTTATTTAAACAGCATTGAACCCTCATTCAATGTGTTGTTAGTATTCTACTTTCCTTGTTGTCACAATGCTGCTGCATTAGTGTCTAGAAATAATGTTGTCATCGCTCCTTGTTTGCGCAACAGGTGAATTATGGGAATTTTATGCATGGACTGATGAAGGAGAACATTCAACTAAACCGGAAAGTCCTGTCGGAGATATCTATGCACGAGCCCTACAGCTTCAAGGCACTGGTTGACATCTCGCAGAAAGCTTTCCCGGGAAACAGGGCAGCATTACCTTCTCACAAAAAGGAAGGCCTTGCAATTCTTGTCTGAATTCTGTCGTTGCAATTCTTGTTTTACCATCGTACGTCCAGCGCCAAAAATTTTACAGCTATACTCGTCGTTAATCTGAGCTCCACCTTTTTAATCTAAGTATAGTTTCGAACAGGTGATGTTGTAGCAAATCAAGCACTTGCCTCCTAGACGAAACTACTACTACCGATTCGATACTCCATCTGCAAAAATATAAAAAATCATGTGGCTCTCTATAAAAACCTAAGAGAAACTGAATATCCATGCAAGTATAACCCGGGCCGGGTAACTAGAAATCCATAATCGGTCGATTCTGCACTATGGCTTCATTTGTTGAGCAACTCATCTTTATACAATTTTACATCTGGTTTAGATTATGCTAGACCTTCAGGGGACACTCTTGTAGGGTCATCGCATCCACTGCTATTCTGTGATTCCTCACTTGGCTGTGTTTCTTGTTTCTGTTTGTCAATCTTTTTTTCGAATCGACCTCCCACACCTCGTGCTCTTCGAACTGCATGCAAATGTCGAGATTCATGCAAGTATGGCTGCAGAAGTAGACAAATTAGGAGAATGTTAGGCTTTGGTTATGTTCAACAAGATGGATCATTGTTTATTTGTTGATATTCATATTTGTGACAGTTCCTTAAATTTTTCAAAAAAAAAAAAAAAATGATAGTAAACTTGGAGACAAAATAAGAGAGATGGCATAATGTATTATGGTATGCAAGAGGTGATAAACAGGCACATTAGGACAACAATACCTTTCGAGATTTGGATTGTTTCTTTTCGGATTCTGCCTTTAAGCGAGATTGCCGACGCCGTAAAATGCCATGATACTGCTTAGCATTAACAAAAACAGGCTCATCAACTGCTTCTGATGGCAAAGGAACACCAGCTTGCTGCATCCCCATCAACTGAACATGCACCTGAATTATCAGTATGTCTAAAACACACACACACATAATTGAAAATGCCGGTAGAATGATGGGTTGTCAATTAAGTACCATAGGCTGCACAGGGTAAGGTTGCGCGGCATAAGGCCTTGTGTCATAAGGAGCAAATATACTTCTATAGTATGGATCCGGATAGGGGTAAGCTGTTTGTGCCTGCAAAACTCAAATTTCAGGGTAAGTAATGAGTCAGCAAGTATAATCCTGGCTTGTCATGTCAGTAAATTGAATGCCAAAACTAGATGAAGAAAATGGATGGAGAAAAAAGTAATGAGAAGTGAGAATAGTTGGATTTCAAATTCTAGATTCAAATGCCAGATAATACTAAAAATCTTTGATACAGAGTAAATCTTCTGTCCTAGAATATGCGAATAAAAACAATTTGTTATGATACTAGAAACAAGCACATATATAACATCCTCACATTTCCAACTCCAATTTGAGCAGGTGCTGCATACTGCATTGTGGGTGATGCAATCCCAGTATGAGGAAACCCATTGACTGGAGACATATGCTGCAATGGGGTCTCTGCATGCTTTTGCTCTTCGTCAGCCTCGCCATTATCTGAAAATTATTCAAACTTGGATTAACAAACTAAGAATTATCAGGAAATGGTATCCATGATTAAATAAAATTAACCACCATTCAAGCCCAAGTTTCAAGGATCAAATAAAAATCCACTTTTCACAAGAAAAAATTCACAATGAAAGAGGATGAATGAATTACTAACTGGTTAAAATATTATAGACTGCACAATAATAGTCTTTTTGGCTAAATACCTTGAGTTCAATAATTTTGAAAGCTTTTGATATATGCTAAAGTGTTTAGTTGACATGCACTGAAAATTTTATGGCATCTTAAACTCTTTTCTAGCGTTAGCAATTCCAGTAGTGTACTGATTATATATATAAAAAAATGATAATAATAATTGCTGGATGAATTCCTATCAAACAATGTTCTTGCATTAAATGCCTCCCAAAAAAATGTCAAGTCTTCCTAGGTGGTCTTCCAGCGCTAACAAAAAACTATTGGTTGACAAGCAGTACGGCAATCCAAGCTTTTCAATAACTGTGAACTAAGGGATTCTATTTTCATCTTCAAAATTCTAGGGGGTATTAGAACAGAGTTAATTAGCCTTCACCACTAAGCTGCTTTATCACTTACCAGCTAGTCGATCAGAGTAGTTTCCCAATCTGCAATTTCTTACCAGCTAAACTCGTCCTCTTTTATGTTTCATTCATAACATATCTAATTTTTGGAAATTAAGTAATAAATAAACATATTTCTCCTGCGTGTATTACCTGAGAGACCGTGAATTGACGATGTCATAATGGAGCTTGATGCGGCACCAAACCTGACGGCGAAGAGACATTAATGCTATTAATCATGAAAAATCTTGCAACAACAAAATGCAAAGCAGGAAGTAAAGCAGGGCAAGCATATAAAAATGTTTCAAGAATTTCCAGCCGCAAATCAAAACGTCAGAAAATTTATCAGTCGCATAAACAGAGCATCAGAATTAGCTTGTAAATACAAAATACGAACAATCTCAACTCAAAACCAGCACCCTTATAATTCCCTTAATGCAATCCTCCAACAAAATTCATCTGCCTCTAAAGAACACGTCTAAGGCATACAATTCTACATAAGAAAATTAAAATATAAAGATGAATATATTGGTCTAATAGAACTATACAAATTTGCCGACTGAAACCCAAAATTAAAAAGTCGACATAACTAGGGTTTTCGAATTTACCGACGAACAAAATGCCCTCAATTGCGCCGATAGCTCTACGATTCTCCTGCGCTCTGTATCTCCAGAGCGTCGCTTGAGATCCTCTTCACCAGTTGAATGCAGCAAAACGGACTAGAAGTAGAATAGGAGACGAAGACGACACTGGAACGACAAATCAAAGCCTGAAATGACTATTTTACCGCTGACTGTGATCACAGGTTCCTACCATTTTTAGCTGCGGTAACTTCTAGGCACTGCTCCTCAATCCGGTGGAAGAACACGCAGTCGCAGTTGTAGAATATATATATCTATATAATCTATGCGGAGAAACGTGTGGCTGAGATTTATCAGATCTGCACAGCCAAATCTCAGCCACACGTGCCTCCTACAGGGCCCACTTTGTGGATATAATCCGCACCATCCACGTATTGATGATCTACCAATTCATACCTTCCTACATCCTTCAATAAATCGATTTCGTAAACATGAATTATATTATTATTTTATCCTAAAATAAAAATAAAAAGAAAACCATGGCCCACTACCTGCCATGTTGTTTTTGTTGTAGGCCTGTTGGGCCTTTCTTTTCAAATTAATTTTCATTAAGCCCAATTCAGTGTTTGTTAAAATGAAGCCCAAATAAATGTTGCGTGTAAGAGTACGTCAGCCCGTCAACATACCTAATGATTTAAACAAGGAAAGTTTGATGAATGTCAACTAATAAATAAATCTGAGGGGTTTCGCATACACCAAAGAAACAGTTGTTCCTGTCGAATTCCAATCAAATGGCCACCCACCATAACCATTCCCATCCGAGTCACGCACATAGCAATGAAGAATAATCCTCTCTCCTGAGTTTTCCTGCGTTTCAATTTAAAAAAGGGGTATTTGATTACGTGTTTTTTTCTAAATCATTCTGTCGATTTTAGCTGAATCGAAACTGATTGTTTGTACATGTTGAATTCTACAGCATCATGTTGTGTTATTTATGCAGCGGGGATTTGGGGTTTTTCTGTCGGTTTGAGATTGGGGATGTTGTTTGGATCAGTTTGCCTTTTGTTTCTTCATCTGCGTTTAGAGTCTCTGGTCGAGATGATGATACAGCATTTATCGATCCGTAATTTGGGCAAATCAGTTGATATTCTGGCTTATGTATTCGTTTTTCTTTGAATTCGTCCTTCTAGAAACTTTTGATGCTGACAGATGGGAATGTGCTGTAATTGTTTGCTAATTGACGATATACTTTATTCATTTAGTGTGTAGGAAGCTGATAGATAGATTTAATTTCAATTATGTTTTCATACAAAAGTTCTGTATAAGGTGCCTGGAACTTTCCTGGCTGCAAGTTCCTATATTTAATTCATTATATTACTTGATTGAGTTTTATGGGTGCAATAAGATGCCATTTGAGGTCTATCAGGATAACTGGGGATAACTGTGCAGGCCTTTACTTGATAAGGAGCAGTGGCAAACAAAGAAATGAATAACCGTCCACCTGCTTTAGGGAGAAGACAATCTGTAGGTATGTAGGGTATATTCCAATGCTGCAACTTGCTGAGAACCATTAATTTCATTGTCACGTCCATAGCGACTTGAATAATTGGTACTTAAGATATATCTTGTACTGTGCACATGTGAATTGTTATTTAGTGGAAAGTGGCTGTTCAAATTGTGCCTGAAATCGCTCTCATCACACAAAGTCAGCTCGATCTGTAGTAATAACTAATTTTTGAGTGGTGTGATAATTTACCCAATCAATTCTACCCTTCCGTTTATGCGAAAATATAACTTATTGGAGCAAAGATAAATTTCTCTCCTTGTTATGCTGCTCCTTGAACTCTTGATAGGTATAAGAAAATTGAGAGATCTTTTGGCTCAACAGGACAACCGCATATGTGCAGATTGTGGTGCTCCAGACCCAAAATGGGCGTAAGTCTTCCAGTCTTAATTCTTCTTTTTCAATGTCAGATTGCCATGAGGTCCATGATAGCCTGGAAACATGTAAATACTAGCTTTTACACACTGTGATAACAGCACATCTTCACCATTTCCCACCGATGAGATTCTAGTCTGCATTGCAAGTTGCAACTGAAATCTTTTGGAACCATTTGGAAGCTTGGAAAAAATTTCATGTTTAAACTTGTTCGTCTCCATTTTCAGATCAGCAAATATTGGAGTGTTTCTATGTTTAAAGTGCTGTGGAGTTCACAGAAGTCTTGGCACACATATATCAAAGGTGATATCCTTGAGACTTATTCTGCATCTTCACATTCCCCCTCCCATCTGGACTCATCAACAGTCCACCTAAATTTCTTCGCTTTGAATTTTATTTTATTTTATTTTGTCCTAACTTTATAGTATAATGTACAGGTTCTGTCTGTCACGTTAGATGAATGGTCAGATGCTGAAATCGATTCGATGATTGAGGTTGGGGGAAATGCCTCTGCAAATGCCATTTATGAGGCTTATATCCCTCAAGGGGTTAAAAAGCCTAGGCCGAGTGCTAGCCATGACGAGCGTGCTAAATTTATTAGGTGGTTACATAAAAACTGATATGCATTACTCTTTTGCTTCTGCTATTATATTCCTACCCTAGAGCACGGTGAAAATCTAGTCATTCTGTTGGTCAGTATGGCCATTCCTCATTTGGGTTTTTTATTACTTCTCCCTTTGATTTCTTCTCTAAACACTTTCTATTTTTTTTTTAATATGTAGCAGATGCATAGACAAGTGATACATAAAATATATATATATATATATTTATCTTTTTTATCTTTACTTTCCAGGGCTAAATATGAGGAACAGGAATTTCTGAAACCTAGCCTGCGGATTTTATCATCTTCATATTCAAGAAAGCATTCTTTACAAACAAGTTCGTCCACGAAAACAATGGATAGCCTACCAAGTACAAAGTCATCAGAAAAAACAGTATGCACCTTCACTTATTTTGTTTGAGATTACATGCATTGTTTTACTGTTACTGCGGGTATGTTTATGTAGTGAGAATGCAGTAGAATTTATTGAAAGCAAGATTATTAATATATATATATATATATATATGATAAAGCTCTTGTTGGGTATCATTGATTCTTTGGATAATTCCATGCCCCTGTCTGAATCATTACAGGTGGCTATGGTGGAGTTTATTGGAATGGTGAAGATTAGAGTAATTAAAGGAACCAATCTGGCTATTAGAGATGTGCTATCAAGTGATCCATATGTTGTTTTAACATTGGGCCACCAGGTTTGCACCTCTTCAATTATTCTGGATGGACTTATATCTATTCCAGGAATTTTGTGGATTTTATATGACTTCAATTCTATACGCTTCTAGATTACAAGCATCAACACAATAATAATTTTCTGTTCCTAGAAAGTGCAAACATCTGTCATAAAGAGCAATTTGAATCCCATCTGGAACGAAGAACTCATGCTTTCAGTTCCACAAGATTATGGCCCGGTGAAGCTGGTAAACTTACATTAGTCATTAAAGAAAGTCCTTACATTCAGGCATCAGGTTCCCAAACCTTGTTTATTCATAATCTTGCAGCAAGTGTTCGATCAAGACACATTCTCCGCCGATGACATAATGGGGGAAGCCGAGATAGACATCCAACCAATGCTAACCTCAGCAACAGCTTTTGGGGACGCCGGGATGCTTGAGAACATGCAGATCGGGAAATGGCTGAGATCAAACGACAACGCCCTGAAAGAGGACAGCACGGTGCACATAATCGATGGAAAGGTTAAGCAGGAAATGTCCCTTCAGCTCAAGAATGTAGAATCTGGAGAAATAGACCTTGAAATTGAATGGATCCCTCTCGATCAATGACACCCCCTCGTGCTGTACATAAAACCCTGTTTTTAACAATAACTATCCTCGTGGAAAACATCATACATTTGGTGAATTTTCGTATTTTTTCTTCAGTTCTTTTACTTGTCTTATTCTTCCATTATTGCTTTATCCTTCTTCTCTAGTGGATGCGCTTTTCAAACACACACTTGACTTTTGTGGCTTCAATAATTCATTGCAGTACAGCCATGGCAAGAATACTACGAAATTGATCAAATAACGAATTTAAAGATGGGTTTGAGAACAGAATATTGATCCAATAAGTAATTACAAATCAAGAACATGATCAATCTTTTGTAATTAGTATAATTATTACACTAATGATGAGTAATGACGCTATACTGTTGAAGTCGACGCTGACGTGGACGGGATTTTCAGGCTTTCTGGGTGCTGCTGCTTTTGGAGCCGCCGCCGGAGGTAAACGACGGTGGAGACGGCCAGCAAAGCGACGCCGATCACGCCGCAAACGGCGCTACCGACGATCAGTCCCAGCGTCACGTGATCCTTCCTCAAATCACGTGCTCCGTCCTTAGAGGGGTGGGCGGTCCACCACGAACCACTGATATTCCGTGCCTCCGGCAGCTGCGCCGACGGCGTTCCGCTGAAGAACGCACGCATCTCCTTGGTGCCGGAGTTTGGCGCCGGCGGTGAAGAGCCATCCTGATAGGCTAGGCCGTGGTCCGATGGACGGAGCTCCCGCTCCGACGAGTGGCCCACGATGAATGCCAACGCCACCGATACGACGACGTATTGCAAGAAATTGCTCTCCATCTTATGATTCTGAATCAAAAACTTGGAGTAGAGTGGATCGATGAATTGATCGAGTCAACTATGAGACTGTAAAACTCTCTCAATTCACGTCGCCGAGACGAAGATGAGCAAAATTAATATGGTAGGAAATGAAGACACGCAGATAAATAACAACTGTCCATGACTTGTACTCTGCGCTGAAGCTGTTGCACGCAGAAAAAGCTCCAATCTTTTGTCACACAGAAAGTACAATCTTCGTTCAGCAGGAGGGCAATTCGATACCAAACTCCAAATCAAAGTTTTGGTTAGTCATCTGAAACGAACTATAATAATAATAGTAATAATTAGCGGTGGGTTTGATCAGTATGATACTGTTCCAAAACTGTAAAAAAGTTTTATTCTACAAATAAAATAAAAAGGCGTGGTTTCCTCTGGTCGATTCTGTTACCTTTTCTCCTTTCTTTGCAGGTCGATGATTTATAGAATAGAATAGTTTTTCAAGAAAAGAAGTAAAGCCCAAACCTAATGGGCTGGGGCTGTATTTCTTTTTCTCATCGTTTCTTTCCAATGGTAATGCGTTCTGTTGATAATTCTATGTTTATTACAATTACGAAAGAAAGAGGATTGGAAATGGAGATTCTCGAATTCAATTGTTGTCTGCGTTGCTCAAATCAGCTCTGATTTGTATCCAAGATTGGACAGTATTGAAAACCCTTTGAACGCTGTGGTTGGGCTCGCCGATGAGCTGATGCCACATGCCTGGAAAGATCTTCAAGCTCTTATCTTTGCTGGCTGCAGATTCATAGAGGCGTCGAGCTCCTTGAGGATCGCAAATCATGTCATCCCCGCCGTGCAGTATGAGCAGCGCCACTTCCAGTTGATGGCCGTTTCTCTTAATGTGATCGCACACTTTGATCAGCTGCAGCGCCGTGGCGGCGGTGGCGCGGCCACAGGTTCGTCGATTGGGGCTTCTCTCAACTAGCCTCCTCTTCCAATTCTCTCTGTACGATCTGCAAGCAGGAGGCCTGGTGATGGAAATTCTCCAGGTCGGGGCGATGAAAGCTGCCAGGGGGAGGAATTTTTCCAGGGGCCAGACGGGTTTGAATTTCCTGGAGACTTCACACATAGGGCCACTCAAGATGAGGCCTTTCCAGGCTGTTTTCTGCTGGAGGCACATGAGAATGGCGATGGCGCCGCCTAAGGATTCGCCGTAGAGGAAATGAGGGAGCTTAGGATGGCGGGCCCGGGCCGAGTCGAAAAACTGGAGGCAATCAAGGAGTAAAGGGTGGATATCAGGGATGTGATCAGGGGGGCCTTCTGAGAAGCCATGGCCTTGGAGGTCAAGTGCGTAGACGACGAATCCGGCTTTCGCCAAGGCCACGGCATTGAGTTCAAAGATCCAGCTGCTCTCGGAGGTGTAGCCATGGATCATGGCTAAAAGCCCTTTGAGTTTTTCATCATCAGGCTGCCAGGATTGGGTGAAAATTTTCATGTTGAGGGCGTTGATGATGGTGGTTTCTTGGTGGGATATGTGGTGCTTGTGGTAGAACTCATCTTTTGTCAAGTTTCCATAAGGGCTGTACTCATTTGCATCATGAATTGGATGAGCCATTTTTTCTGTCTGAAAGTGAAACCACTCTAAGACAAAGTTGCAAATAAAAAGGTTGTATTGTATGATTAGTTGGGGAGTTCTCTCCTCCCAACTGCCTGTCCGGTGGAGAATAAATGAGCTTTTGATTGCAAACGATGAGCTATTAAATAGCATAACCTATGGGGGGGTTCATAATTGTAAGATCATAGTGATAACGAGTGCATACAAACAAACAGTTATTGCACCCAAGATAATATTAAATCACAAGGCCAAGGAAATCGGGCAGGGCAATAAAGAGGGTGTTTGGTTGATAGGTGAATGGACCCCTTCACCTTTTCCTTTTCCTTTTCCTTTTCCCTTTCCCTTCCCATTCCTTTCTCTGCTAGGCAGGCAATTCAGAATAGGCTTTCTTGCATGAATGACTGGTCTAGTAGCTATTTATTTTGTACCATTACAGAAAGTTGCATGCTATGCTACTTGGTACTTGGTTTAGGATTCAATGAGGAAAAGGATTCAAGGGAAGGTCTGCATTAAAGCCTTAGGACAGATGGGGTGGGCGGAACACTTGTCATCTTCAAAACCATACACATCACACATGGGATCAGCCATACGAGTGTATGTATACATACATATCTATATATATATATATGTAAGAGATTTCCATTCCATTCCACCTATGTTGACAACAACTTGATCAATAAAGCCCAACTCAATCTTTCCCAGATATTTGAAGAATTAAAAACAGGGAGCGGACAGCTGAATTGTGTAGTTTGTGGATAGAATGGACCACAGCATTGACAAGATTTTGGTTGAGGGCCTTTTTCTCATAAAAACAAATTTTCTTAATTGATGAATATGATTGATTAGCAGGATAGAGGAATGTGGAAAAATGAAATGGGAATTGATTCACTGCACTTGAAGCCTGGAGGGTTTTATCTAAATAGCCACAACATATCCTTACAAATGTCCTAATGAGCCATTTTGCTCTTTCTAGTGTGGGGAGTACAGAAACAGAACACTAAATGAGGGAAAGTAACTGACAATAGATACTGTGGTAAGTAGTAGTAAGTACAGAAAATGTCAGAAGTTGGATGAATGTCATAATCTTGGCATAGGGAAGAGTCAGCCTGAAACATTTTGGACATTGGAACCATTTGATAATTAATTGATTGTACAGAATACTCCCTCTGGATGACTGGGATTAAGAGATCTCCTAGCAACCCTTAGGTTTTGATAATTATAGTGTCATCTGTGGCCATTTTCTTCGTGTTCTTTCATCATGGAGTTCATAGCAAACAAGGCAGCTCCAATGGCAGGTTCCACCTGAGGAATCAAATAATTTGTGGTGGAGTTAGATTTCCTTGCATCCAGGCACAATGAATAAGATGCAGAAAGTAAAATGAAGAGTGGCGAAAGCGTTGAGCAGGAATATGAAGAAATGAAGGAATGGTCGACAAAAAGATTGACAGTCAGTTTAGTACCACTTCAAAACTACATGTACTGCAACCAAACCATGGCCAGTAAATTCTACATATGATTTATCCATAAATGATGTTTATGAATCCCAAAGGATCCCCTTGTTTATTCTTAAATAGAATAAGATCAACGCATATAGGGAAAGTCATAAAAAAAACATAACTGAACCCTGTGAAATTCAGTCAATAATGACCGTATCATGCTAAATACCAAATAAACAAACACACACACACATATGTGTGATGTTAAAATGGAAATAAAACATCCCTATTATAGAGTTACGATATCAACAGGGGAAAAACAGCATTAACAAAAACGAACAAAGACAAAAATATGGCCAAAAAGTGTTATTTGTAGCTCCTATGAGAAGCATGTTTTGGATTGCAGAAACTTTATTGATTCTTACAATGGGGAAGCAGATTCTGTCGCATGGTGTTTAATCAAGAGGTGTAGTTATTACATCCAATACGTTTTTGGTAATTAAAATAAGGCTAACCTTTGGCCATATAGGGCAAGCGCTTGGGTAGGCCTTCAAAATCATGTCAGTTACTTCTTTCCCTATATCCCACTTCTTGTTGGCTTCAAGAACCCCACCAACCATGACAACAGGGAAAGATTTATTTCCATCTGCACTAAATGAACTTTAAGTTAAATTACAAGGGTAAAAGTAAGATATCCCCTCACAAGTTCATGGCAACATTTTTGGTTTAACATCTAACTCTTCAACAGTGACATCAAAGTTGCTCGTTCAAATTTTATTTAACAGGTAGCCAGTAATTATCCCTGATGGGTGAAAATTATGCAATAGCATTCTATTCAGGTAATTATCTTTTTAACTTTTTTTCATTTAAAGATATGTAATTACACCTTTCCCAGCCAAAGATAGTCGCTGCACAACAGCTTTAACAGTTAGTGCCAATTCTTCAACTGCATTATGCAAGATCTCATCTGCAATTTGATCACCAGCTTCAGCACAAGATACTACAACAGGAACAAGTGCTGCAATTCTGGCCCAAGACGAATCTGCATAGGTCCACCTAAATTCGAATAAGCAAAAAAAATAAAAACATGCTGAAATATATGGTAAAAAGTATCAACATGGACGAAGTATTTCTGTTTGGTGAGTAATCATAATTCTTGAAGAACCAGTTACAAATAGTGATTAGAGAATCCCAAGCATTTGAATTCAATACTATTAACAGAAAAGAAGACAGGAAAAAGGAATACCAGCTCAATAGCACTTAACATTAAGTTAAGTTTACCTGATCAATTCTAGTATTTGCAATCTTTCTAGAACATCAGCAAGAATATGAGTTACAAACTAAAAATAGGACTAGTACATGCTTGATATGATTTACTAAACTGAGATGATATGTAAAATTGATGTGGAGCCCGGGCATCTTATTAGGTGTTCATAAACAAACTAACATGTATGTTCTTTAAACGAGTCATTAATATACCAGGTCCAAACTGCAGTTATAATAGGTCTAATATTACAATAATAAATATTCAAGAAACCATTGCGTGATATCTAAGAAAAAGGCATAACAGTAAATTCTTAAGGAAAAATACCCTATGATTTCATCTGGAGTGGAAAGACCAAGGAAGTCCAGGACATGCTTTGTAAGCATAGTTTCTTGACCACGGCCATCGTGTGACTTCATCACTGCTGTCAATGCTCGAGAAGCAATCCCATAACCACTGTATATAGAAAATTATCAACATAGAAAATACATATAAGCATACATTAAGAACCATAGACTAATTTTATGATAAACTATTCTACCATTCACCTAGGTGGCACTGGCATATATAATTTTGTGTGTGTGTGTGTGTGTGCATCATATATATTTATGTGTGCGCATACGCGCACATTAATAACAAGTATTTTATGATGGCGCAGAAGTGGCTGAAGGCTAAATAATTAGTAAAGGATTTGTACAAAATGCATATTTGAGACACAAGAAGAAAAAACTGGCACGGATGAGAGGGGGGCAAAAATAAGATCTCAATTACCACGAACCAACCAATTTGTTAAAGCCTATGGTTAACAACACACAAATAAGACATTCAACATAAAAATTAAAAAGCTTTGCCACCACAATCATACATTGACTCAATATACTTGGGAGCATTTAAAATTCATTTTCCAGGAACTTTGCAGAATAGTAGTCACTGTCAGCTTCTGGAACATACACATAACATATTGAGCAAAACTAATTTCTTTTAGGTATATATCCATGTTTTACTTACAGACTCCCCATAATGGATAAACAAGGGAATGGAAGAGATTCTCCCAATTCTTACTGAACTTCCATCTTCTGACTTTGAAAATTATATGAACACCTCTTAAATGCAATAAAGTTAAGTAAATATAGCACGATCATCTGTCAACTTATTTTTAAAACTACCCGAGCATGAGCAGGAAATTAGAACTGCCACCACTATCACTACCATCAGCATCACTCCTCACTAACTCCATATATATATCTTGTAGGTGCTTAGTTTACCTTCCCCAGTCACCTAACACAGGTCCAGCACCAGCAGCTCGAGCTTCTCTTCCATCATCGGTAAATCCATATGCAATGCATCCCGTACCAGCAATCAGAACACAACCATGTAGCTTTCCCATTGTTCCACTCGCGAGAGCTGCTACAGCATCATTGTGCACGTATATCTTTACATGGCCTGGGAATATTGCCCTATCAGATTGGCAGGAACAGTCACAATCAGAATTCTACACGTGAATTTCCAGAACTTGCATAAAAGTAACAAAATACAGCTTAATAATGCTACTAACACTTTTGATATTTATTTAAATCATTATCCAAAGTTAGCTCTTTCATCACATTGGATCAAGTGATTAGCCATTCTACGCTCTTGGATATTTAAAGATAGTATAACAAAATGAATGAGAGATTGGTTCTTCTTTGCTCTTCTTTCCGCCCAAACAACATAAAAGACTCACCAATACAAACTTTCCTCTTAGGTAAAACTCAAAGTCCGTACCAATCCCAAGCAACTAAGAAATTGAAGAAATCACAAGAGAAAAAAGATAAAACAAAAAAAAAAAAAAAAAAATCTACTTTTGTATGTTTGCAGTATCCAAAATATAATAATTTGTACCATCCAAATGTCTTTACATATATTATTCTCAAATCATACTGGAAGTAGGTGATGATGTACGGAAACCCCAAAATGAGCAAGGAAGATGAGGTTTGATTAAATTTGATATAGACACATTACCTCATCCAATTCAGTATTCTCTCCTGATCAGATGCATTATTCACACCAGAAACCCCTAAGCAAACAGCAGAAACAGCTGAATGATTCTTGCCTGCTCTTGAAAGAGCTTCTGTTATAAGTTGTTCTAGTGTTTCCCTGGCTGCAGTTTCTGTAATTAGCCCATTTCGATTAAGCTTAGACGAGTTGTTAATTTAAATCAATGAAGAACCAGAGCATTCTCATCTTTCATGCAGTGAATGAAACCAACTAACAAAAACTTTATTAATGCAGTTACTCGTACAACTTCCAAAACCTAGTTCCAGACTTCCAGTACACATTCGCTTGTAAATTGTCTATGAACAAATTGTTGAATTTCAAGAAACTTAATGTGTGTTTGTAAACACTTTCACTGAGTTCAAAACACAAACATATAGACCCTTTGTTGATCATTAATCACTTAATCGCATCATCACATAAGTAAAAACACGCACATTTACATGTTTAGCGATTAAAGCAGCAGATAACTTTTTCTTCTACATCTTTCAAGAACTAAAAGAGATTGAAAATTCTACAATCTGAAAACTGAAGACATCATCCAATAAGTCAAGCACAACAAAGTTAAGAAAAATTCGCAACATTAAACACTAAAAACAAAAGGGTAGCGAGGATAAACCACAAATACCTCCCGCGCTGTTATAATTCGAGCAACCACCGTATGCGCGGCCTAGAATTGGGAGAGGATCGAGCATCAGTCGATGGTCGGACAATTGAAGTAGCGGCAGACAAACGCATACAGTGTTGGTGGCCCCGCCGTCAACGCCCAATATGACCTTCTCTTCGGCACTACAGCAGCAATCACCAGATTCAAACCCCATCACTCTCTCATCGGAATTCGGATGCGCGGAAGGAATGTTCACTCAATCGGCGAATTTTTGCCCATTCCCTTTCAATTTCAACCTTGTTATACGCTTTTTATTCGCTCGAGACGCGCGCCTGTGTTAACAATTTTAATGATTTTTACCGAGGAAATTGTAAACACACGACTTTGGTTGACCGTATGAATGAATGCCAAACGCGCCGACCTCGTAATCGCGTCTCTTTTTGCTTTTCAATAAAATAAAACACGTTTTTGTTTTGTTCTATTATCACTTTGTCCTTATAAAAAAATAATGATAATAATAACTAACTCGTCATCAAAATAATAATTATAATTATTATTATCATCTCGCCTATAAAAATAAAATGTTATCCAAGTCAACCACAGGAATACGAAAAAAAAGAAAGTTTGATTTGATTTATTTTAATTTTTTTTCTACTATAATTAAAATTGTGTAAATTAAATCCATTTATTATTTCACTTTTTAAAAAAATTACTTCATTCGATCACATATTATATCAGTTTTTTCGTTCCTTTTTAAAAAATATATATATTTTAATTATATTTTAAATTTTATAATTTATAATTTTTTTTAACTTTAACTATTATAATTAATTATTTTTATTGTATTATATTTATTAATTATAATCCTGATATTACATTAACTAAGTGAGTAAAATTATCTTCAACCCATAAATAGAAGGTAGAATATATTTTTCTATTTTTGCATGTTACAATAACTTAAAAAAACATATTTGGTTTATATGAAACTTATTGATCTCAAATATATAATATACTGGCGGTGACACCAATATGTTGCTCAAATTTATATAAACCATTGAAATTGTATAAAGAGATACTAATTTATTTTAATTTTAAATAGCATGTGAGTAAATAATTAAACTATTAATTTAAAACTATAAAGTATTAATAAATAATCAAAACATCAAATCAAAATTATAAAAATACAAATATAGCAAAATTAATAATTATATACACAATAAATGACAAAATATCTGCAATATATATATAGTATTACAAGTAATTAAAACAACAAAATCAAAATGATCGAATTATTAGTAGGTAATTGAAGCACCAAATCAATATTATAAAATACAACAAAATAAAGAATTACTTGTTCAACAATTAACCATTGGATATCTGCAAAATATATATTGGGGTGTCTGGTCAGCCACCCTAATAAATTAGGTTGTGTCCGGACTCATGAAGATTGGATTGTGCTGGATTTGATTCGATTTTTTAAAATTAAAATTTAATATTTATACCTATATACTAACTAATGAAATAATAACATAAATTTTAGACATAATTTGATGATAAAGTTCTTAAATTGTTTAAATTAATCCAAATTATTTTAGTGTTGTATACTCTATAAGAGTGTATATTCTTTATTATTATATTATATTATATTAATATAAATAAGTAGCAACAATTATCAAAGTATTTTGTGTTTAAACTTTAAGCATTGAATAGAATAAAGGGGTAAATAGGGGATTTCGCCTTTCCTAACAACCTCATTAAAACGCAATTATTTAATCTATTGTACACTTTAACTAACCACTTGTTTCCGTCGTATATGATTTTGCAGAATATTAGAAAAAAAAAAAAAAAATGAAATGAACCAATAATGAATTTGCCATATTAAATTGAAGATTTGATTGAAAGGAAAAATGTTTCCTACCAAAATAACAAAATTAAAGGGTATGGTGGAGCAACTCTTTCAGTTGAATTATTGAAGCAAAGACAGAGACAGAGACAGAGATAGATATAGATATGAAGAGTTTGTTTGTTTGTTTGTTTTTATTTTTTATTTTTTCATTTCGCAGTATTGACAGAATATTATAAAAAAAATTAAATAATATTTTAATTGTATTTATCAAATATAAATTGTACTAGTATTATTTATTAATCAAGATTCAAAGGTAGCATATTTATAGAGAGGAGTATACGCAAGTAATTATTCACCCACTTGGATCCATAACTCACATATAGTCATCAGTGTAGAAGATAAATTAGTGGATAAGACAGGTAACTGGAAAAGACTAATTTGCCCACAACGGCGTTTTCCTATTCCCACCTTCTTTATCTTTTCCAACTGTACCATTGGTACGAACAGCACAGGTAAGAAGACAAGATTGCATAATATACTTCAGGGTAAGCTCGAGAATCGACGCAAATTCAGTTTGGATCTTTGGACTATTCGATTACAGAAGCAGGCGAGGGGAGGGATGGATTGATAGCACGAATAATGGAGGTCCATGCTCTGGCGCCAAGGCCACCCACCCACGCACCATAGTTTCCCGTTGCATAAAATAATAGAAAAATAATTCTACGGGGGCAATAAATTCTTGTTCAAGAAATGACCTCTGAATGCGAGAGCAGTTACTGCTTGCAACAAACAATGTTTAATAAAGTGGGCTTTGTACAGAGTATGCATGTACAAGATTCTTGACCTTTTTTCTCAAAAGAGAACAAGAGACATCACATTATAATCATGAATGCCTGTCTAGTGTGTTGTACTGAAGCTTTGTTTCCAGCCAATCTCCGTATTCCATCCTTTTTTGTTTTCTGTGTTTCTAGAGACTCTCGTTTATAGGGATATTAAATTATTATGCTAATCTGTTTGTTGATGGTATTTGGTTATTTGTGTTGAGGTGGGAAAGTTGCTTACTTTCAATTCAGAGAAAATATTTCAGAATCCTCCTTGTTTATTTATTTGATTGGCTTTGAATTGTATTTGCTTTGGGATTTTTCCTTAGATCTGCTGGCTGATCGAGCTTTGTCTTGGTGGGTGCACCAGCCTTGCATGAAGGTAATAAGTTCCTCAGCTTGAATTGCTCTTTAAGTGTTCGACGTTTTGACTGAGAAGATATTTGGTAGCTAAAGTGAAAGGATGCGTTTCATGTCTTATTTTTGACAGGTTTCTTAACTAATTGGTTTTGTGTTTGACAGGGGAGAATCCAGCTGAATGATTTAAATTAGGAATTTTCATGTATCGTTGGTGTTTCTTTTTGATGTGCTTATTTAGTGGTGCTTGAATTCTCGGGTCGGCTGGGAAGAAAAACAAGGGTGGATACAGTAACCCAAAGCACACATACTATATAGGGTGGGTTCAGCCAGAGGTCAATGATGCTGGGCCAGGGGACAGGGATCTTGGGCTTATTGCCTCTGTTATTTATTCTCATTCTTTCTTGTTCTGCTGAGGCTCAGAAATCGGCTGTCCTGATAAATTGTGGGGCAAAGGGCAGTGCAAATGTGGATGGAAGGGAATGGGCATCTGATACAGCTCCTGGAAACAATATGACCCTCAGCAGCCCCCCTGGAATTGGGGTTTCTACAAATGTATTCAATGGTGATCCAGCATACGAGCAGCTTTACAAGAATGCTAGAATTTTCTCCGACAGTCTGAATTACACTTTTCAAGGACTGAAAGGGGATTATTTTCTCAGGCTTCATTTTTACCCTTTGGTTGCTGATGGATATAATGTGAATGAGTCTTACTTTTCCGTCGAGGCTAATGGTTTCAAGTTGGTTTCTGAGATGAATGTCCCTGGTGAGATTTCAGATAAGAATTTGAACTTGGTGCAACATGGGGCTAATTCCAGCTATTTCTATTTGTTGAAGGAGTACTTCTTCTCTGTTGATAGTGATGTGATTGTTGTAAGTTTCGTTCCGTCCAAAGGGTCTTTTGGTTTTGTCAGTGCAATAGAAGTTATTTTAGTGGGAAATAAGCTGTTTAGTGACTCAGTGCTCAGAGTTGGTGTGAATGGTGGTGATGGTTCAGTGAACTTGAGCAAACGAGGAATTGAAACAATGTATAGATTGAATGTTGGGGGTTCCTCTATTAAGCCTTCGCAGGATTCATTTTTGTGGAGAACATGGGGAATGGATACAAGCTACATGATCAATGCAGATGCTGGCAAAGAAATCGCAAACGGAACTAATGTCACTTATGCCAATTCAAATGACACTGCTGTGGCTCCTCTGGAAGTGTATGAAACTGCTAGAATCCTGACAAATGCTGAAGTCATTGACAAGAGATTCAACATGTCCTGGAAATTGGAAATTGATCCAAATTTTGAGTATCTCATCCGCTTGCATTTCTGTGAACTGGAGTATGATAAGCCCAATCAAAGGGTTTTCAGAATATTCATAAACAATAAAACTGCCACCGACAACTTTGACATCTATGTTCGAGCTGGAGGAATGAACAAGGCATATCATGAGGATTTCTTTGATTCTGTAAAGAGCTACACCATATGGATACAACTAGGTCCTGACCCGACAACCGGTTCTGCTGGAACAGATGCTCTCCTAAATGGTTTGGAGATTTTCAAGCTTAGTCGTAATGGAAATCTTGCTTTTGTACAAACATATAGCAATATAAAAGTGAAGAGCTCTTCAAGAAGCTTGGTCCTTTGGGTGGGCATTGGAGCTTGTGTTACTTCGATTGCCATTCTTGGAGCCATATGCATGATGGTCAGGCGTTTCTGTAAAAAGAAAGGAGACTTAAATGATACCAAGAAGAGCCCTCCCGGCTGGCGACCTTTGTTTTATGGATCTGTTCTGAACAGCAAAGCCAATCCAAAAGGATCAACTAGCTACCATTATCAGAATGGTCAATATGGCATTACTCGTTCTGGGAGGCGTTTTACATTAGCTGAGATCAGAGCAGCGACGCAAAACTTTGATGAAAGTTTACTGATTGGAGTAGGAGGATTCGGTAAGGTATACCAAGGAAAAATTGATGAAAGCACCCTTGTGGCAATTAAGAGGGCAAATCCACAATCTCAGCAGGGCCTGATGGAATTTGAGACGGAGATTGAAATGCTGTCAAAGCTTAGGCACAGGCATCTTGTCTCCTTAATTGGGTTCTGTGATGAGCAGAATGAGATGATTCTGATATATGAATACATGGCGAAGGGAACTCTCAGGAGTCATTTGTTTGGGTGTGACCTTCCGCCATTGAGCTGGAAACATCGTCTGGAGATTTGCATTGGTGCAGCACGAGGACTGCATTATCTTCACACTGGTTCGGATAGAGGCATCATACACAGAGATGTAAAGACGACCAACATATTGTTGGATGAAGACTTTGTAGCAAAAGTGGCTGATTTCGGACTGTCCAAAGCTGGTCCTTCACTGGAGCAAACTCATGTAAGCACTGCAGTTAAAGGCAGCTTTGGCTATCTTGATCCTGAATATTTTAGACGGCAGCAATTGACTGAGAAGTCTGATGTATACTCATTTGGCGTTGTCCTGTTTGAAGTTGTCTGTGCACGAGCTGTGATTAACCCTACATTGCCCAAGGATCAGATCAACCTTGCAGAGTGGGCTATGCGTTGGCAACGAGAAAGATCACTGGAAAGAATAATTGACCCAAGCCTCAGAGAAAATTATTCTACAGAATCACTGATTAGATTTGGAGAGATTGCAGAGAAATGTCTTGCTGATGAGGGGAAGAGCAGGCCTACAATGGGAGAAGTTCTCTGGCACTTGGAGTATGTCCTACAGCTTCATGATGCCTGGTTGCGGAGTAATGCCAAAGATGATTCAGTTGCCGCAATCCAGGGCTTAAAGAATTCTGCCATTGATGAGGGCGAATCTGATGGGATCATCGACGCAGAAAATTTAGATACTGGGGTGGAGATGAAAACCAGCACTGATGGAGGATCAGTCTTGGGAACAGGTAGCATGCTGGCTTCCGGGGTTGATGCTTTCTCGCAGATGGTAGACCAACGGGGAAGGTGAAATCATAACCCTGTGGCCATGCATGATCTGGTATTATATCACAAAATTGGCATGTGTAGGAATTTCCATATAAGGCTTTGGAAATCCTTTTCAAGCATTTACACAAATCTTTAATTCAGGTTCAATTCTTTTATTCTTCTGTTTCAGTCATTTAGGTCCAGTATTTGCTGTCTTCAATTAACTGTACACTGAAAGAGCTTGAGGGGCTTGAGAGTACCATGAACTGCTGCTGGAATTGTAATGAGTTTTTCTTTTCTTTTTCTCAAGTAATGAGTTTGTTTGTTGTTTGCACAGAATTCTTTTGTATTCATGGCAGTCTACAAAATAGAATTCTACCATACTCTTGCAAATTCTCATTTTCTCCCTTAACCTTAGTTTCACAGCATGGAAAGCAGCTGAGAAAGTCTTCACTATTTGTCTATTGTTTACTACTGAGTCTGTTGTGTCTCTTATGAACTAAGAGGACCTGGGAAATCCTCACACACAAATTTAAGTGTTCGAGTTGCCCAGATAATTGGATTAGGAGTTTTCGCAATTTATATTATGGTGTGTGCACTTCTAGACCAAAATCTTTCCTGCATTCATTTTATGTTTCTTGACTTTCTTTTCCTAATTCATGCATTAGCAATCTTATCAGCATAATAGTGCCACCAATTTGCAGTTTGCTTCGGGAAAATTTTGTTGTGAAATTGACGGTAAATATATGCATGATAGTTATTCAGGGCTTGCTTAATATATGTGTGAGGAGTTGATATTTCATGTACTACGAAGTAGGAACAAATTAGTAGACATGTTTATTATTACAGCACATACCATTGAGAGAGGATCCTCAGGCATGTGAATAAGTTCATTGTGACTAGGAAATGTTCCATCTGTGCCAAGGTCAATATATCTCCCTTATTTAGTAATACACTTTTTCTGTAATAAGCCTTCACATTTGTGGGATAAATATATTCTCAACATATTCTCTGGAAGGTTGAAAGAATCATAAACTCAATTATCTTCAAATTCATAATGGTTTGGTACAACCTGATCTTCTCCCTGTACAAAATACATTTTGAAATAAGCATCTTCACAAGTATATACAGCTAGTTTGTTTTATACATTGTCTTTTAGCTAGATAACACAAGTTTGGATTGGTTTGATGATGGGTTGCTGTTGATTTTTTTGGCCACTGGCTTGACTTTCTACCCAAAGAGTGGATCACTGAGCTACACTCTTCAATAAGAATCAACTTGATACATGTGTGTTATAATGTTTGTAATCTGGGCATTTTTAGACTTGTGAATCTGTTAAATTTCATTGTCTGCACTATCATGATATGGCCATTGAAGTAAAAAATAGTTGGTATCCTATTTTTCCATGGGTGAACAGCACATGGCTAAAATCCTATATGGGACCACTGTACATGTTTATGGGTTCCACTTTCGTGTAGGAGTAGCCACTCCAATCCCAATCTTCACAGCTTTCGTTTCGGGTTTGTATTTATACTCTTGAAAAATCCCTTCTATCTCCTGGATCATTAACTCCCTCACCTACTTCACCTCTTGCCTCTTTAATGAATTGTAGTGACTGAAGAATTTATGCAGATGCGTGATCGCATGTGAAAACCAGTTCAAACTTTACAAAGGTTGGCTTTTAGGTTTTTAAACTTTACTGTACTTTAGATGTCACAACTAGACAGGCTCCTATGCGGGTTTCTAAAATATTTTACATAAATTACATGTCCTAGTCAAAGGGATCTTGGCAATACCCTTTTCTCAGTAATTCACATGCACGATTCCCGATGCTTTCTGCACGCACTCGTTTCCCAATATCTGATTAAAAAGGACCCCAAAAATTCTTGAAAACTAGATTTAACGATTCGTGTTGACGTCCACCATGGATACTGTAGTCTGTGATTCCCTTTTTAATTATTTACATTTATTTATAGCTTTTGGCGGGTGAAAGTTTACGCACGACGCAAATATTCTTTATTTCCCGCTACGCTACTACCCCACCATCCCTTCTCTCTACTGCACCCTAGTTTGTTTTTTACTCTTTTTTATTTTTCTTTTGCGGTGTGTTGCAGAACCCATGAACTGTATTTAACTACTAATACGACTAAATCCTAAGTCTTATACAGTGTGTCCAAATGGGATGAAAACATAATTATAGGGGCTTTCTGTGTTGGGCTCCCCACATGTCTTTTTCTTGGGACAGAAAAGGTGATTTATTTACCTTGATAAGCGGAGTGTATTGTAATTAAAAACATTTCAATGAAAGATGAGACAAATGCCATTGCCTTTTGAGGGGGTTTAGTCATTAGTGAGCCTCACTCTCGCAGCATGTGTTCTCAGTGGAAAACCCAGAAAAAAATCAGAGGAAATATTTAGTGGGTTTCTTTTTATCTCACCGTCGTTACAGAAAGCTCAAATCTTTTTCTTTCCTTCCCCCATTGCCTTTAGGGTTTCAAAAGGCGAATGCTTTACTGGGTTAATCGCTCTCATTCTCTTCGATGCGTTCAAGATGCAGATTTGAATGCCTTTTTCCCCTTATATTTTAACTCGACCTTGTTGGGTTCAAAATCCGGAGAAAGCGACGCATTGTAGATTTTAGCTGTTGCTGTCTTTTCCGGAGTGTTTGAGCTATCAATCTTTCTGAGGTGCAGGGAAGAATCTTCTTGGTGAAGGAGTGGTAACCAACTAACCATCCCTAGGTCTGGACTCTGTAAGGGATACATTTGTTGCTGTTTGTAGAAGTTATTCATGGTCTTGCACAAGCTCTGTTACTGTTACTAAAAGGTTGGGTCTTTTGTGTGGAATGAAGCTCTTTCTTGTGTTGCTGGCAATGGTGGTTGGTTCAAAAATGTGTTGAATGATTGTTTTGTTATGCTGCGCGTTGAAGGAATCGTTTTCTGGGCTGTGTTTGTTTTCAAGATTCGTGAAATTTTGTTGGGCATTTCTTGTTAAGGGGCGTTTGATAGCCGTGTGGGTCTGTAGTTTGGCTGATTGTGCTGCTGAATGCTGCATTTTCTCTAGATTTCGATTTTGTGGTGGTGTCTGTAGTTCCTTCGGACACAGGAAGTTTGCCTCTTTTAAGTTAGAATGAGGATACTTAGGCTGTTTGTGGTGTGTCTTTGTCTAGTCTCCTCCTTTGGGCAGCTTCCTTCTCAGGATATTTTAACACTACTTGAGTTCAAGAAAGGAATCAAGCATGACCCAACAGGGTTTGTGCTCGATTCCTGGAATGATGAATCTATTGATTTCAATGGCTGCCCTTCTTCTTGGAATGGGATTATGTGTAATGGAGGTAATGTTGCTGCAGTTGTTCTTGACAATTTAGGATTGGTTGCCGAGGTGGATGTGGGTGTATTCTCAAATCTCAGTATGCTTGTGAAACTTTCTATTTCAAACAACTCGTTTTCTGGAAAGTTGCCGCACAATCTTGGAGACTTTAAGAGCCTCGAATATCTGGATATATCTGACAATGAGTTCTCCTCATCGTTGCCATCCGAGATTGGTGCACTGGGTAGTTTGAAAAATCTGTCCTTGGCTGGTAATAACTTCTCCGGCTCAATTCCGGATGCTATTTCGGGGCTTTCGTCGATTCATTCGTTGGACTTAAGCCGAAATTCACTCTCTGGCCCAATACCGCGATCTTTGACAAGATTGGGAGGCCTGGCTTACCTTAACTTGTCACTAAACGGCTTCACTAAAGCCATGCCTAAAGGGTTTGAGCTGATGAACCAACTTGATGTTCTTGACTTGCACGGAAATCTGCTGGACGGTGAATTAGATCCTGAATTCCTGCTGCTCACTACGGCAAGTTATGTTGATCTTAGTGGTAACTTACTAGTCAGTTCTGCCAAAGATCCCAAGAAGTTTCTTGTCGGTATTTCTTCGTCTGTGAAGCATTTGAATGTCAGCCACAATCAGATAACGGGATCACTTGTCGGCGGTGGGGAGGCGGAGGCTTTTGGGAGCTTGAAGGTTTTGGATTTGAGCTACAATCAGCTGTCGGGGGAATTGCCGGGCTTCAATTTTGTCTATGATCTTCAAGTCTTGAAAGTTAGCAACAATAGATTTTCAGGTTCTGTCCCTAATAATCTTCTGAAGGGCGATTCTTTGGTTCTAACCGAGCTGGACTTAAGCGGGAATAACCTGTCAGGTACATTGTCTAAAGAGAAGTTCTTACTTCATTTACAATTTATCTACATAATGACTGGTTTTATAGTTCATGTCCTGTAACTACTTTCCACTCTTGATCATACATGACAGGGCCGATAAGTATGATTTCATCCACGACGTTACACACACTTAATGTGTCGTCTAACATGCTTTCTGGTGAGCTTCCACTGTTGACGGGAAGCTGTGCTGTCATTGATTTCTCAAACAATCAGTTCGAAGGAAATTTAACAAGGATGCTGAAATGGGGGAACATAGAAATGCTTGATCTCAGCCGAAATCGCTTGACAGGGTCCATTCCTGAGGTAACGGCGCAGTTTCTGCGTCTAAATTACCTCAACCTCTCGCACAATTCTCTGACTGATACCCTTCCGAAAGTCCTCACAGTTTTCCCAAAGCTCACAGTTCTTGATCTTGGCTTCAATCAGTTGCGAGGTCCTCTGTTGACGAGTCTTTTAACCTCATCAACTCTTAATGAGCTTCATTTAGGGAGCAACAATCTCTCTGGGAGCATTGATTTTTCGCCACTTTCTAATGACTCGAATCTTCATGTTGTGGATCTTTCTAACAATCAGCTTAGTGGCTACTTCCCCAATGGGTTCAATTCATTTGCCGGGCTTCAAGTTCTCAATGTCGGGGGAAACAATTTCTCTGGCCCTTTCCCTGCTTCTATCAGTGACATCCCTAATCTGAATTTACTGGATGCCTCACGGAATCATTTCACCGGCCCACTGCCAAAGAATTGGTCCGACAGTCTCCAAAGCTTTAATGTGTCGTATAACGATCTTTCTGGTGTTGTTCCAGAAAAGCTGAGAAAGTTCCCTCTATCTTCTTTCTATCCCGGAAACTCCAACTTGCAGTTTCCTAACCCTCCTCCTGGATCCGAGCAAGGTCCATCTGGGCATTCGCGCAAGAAACACTTGAGGACTCTTATCAAAGTGGTGATCATAGTTTCTTGTGTGGCTGCTCTGTTACTATTGATCCTTCTCGCCGTTTTCATTCATTATAGAATGTTATCGAAGAAGCCTCCTCCTCATGTAACCAGCAAGGATGTAAGCCGGCCAGCTTCAACTAATCCTTCAAGCATTAGTGGAAGAGAGCATGCTGGTGGAATACTCGTTTCAAAGGATGACTTGGTGACGTCGAAGAAAGAAGCTTCGTCTGATATAATTAGTCCCGAAGAAAAAGTGGCTACCTTAACTGGATTTTCCCCCTCAAAAACCAGCCATTTCTCTTGGTCTCCAGAATCTGGTGATTCATATACTGTGGAGAGCCTATCAAAATTGGATGTTCGATCACCTGATCGGCTCGTGGGTGAACTGTTTTTTCTAGACGACACCATATCCTTTTCAGCTGAGGAGTTATCGAAGGCTCCAGCAGAAGTCCTTGGAAGGAGCAGCCATGGAACTTCTTACAGAGCAACTCTGGACAACGGGCTGTTCTTGACCGTCAAGTGGTTGAGGGAAGGAGTTGCGAAGCAGAGAAAGGAATTTGCGAAAGAAGCCAAGAAATTTGCGAATATAAGACATCCCAATGTAGTCGGGTTGAGAGGATACTACTGGGGACCCACGCAGCACGAAAAGCTCATTCTTTCGGACTACATTTCCCCTGGAAGTCTTGCGAGTTTCCTCTATGGTAATAATCCATCCATTCTTTGCCATTTAATTGCCTCAATCGATATGCTTACGATACATTCAGTTTTTATTTTCTTACACTTGTCTGGATTTACCTTATCTTGTTGCTTTTCTCTTTGTAAAAATTTGGTATATCAGATCGACCGGGAAGAAAGGGCGGACCCTTAACATGGGCTCAGCGCCTCAAAATAGCCGTCGACATTGCCCGTGGCCTGAACTATCTCCACTTCGACCGAGCCGTACCTCATGGCAACCTTAAAGCAACCAACGTATTGCTCGATGGGGCTGATCTGAATGCCCGAGTAGCAGATTACTGTCTTCACCGGCTCATGACGCAATCGGGAACCACTGAGCAGATTCTTGATGCTGGGGTTCTGGGCTACCGAGCACCCGAGCTGGCTGCATCCAAGAAACCTCTCCCCTCATTCAAATCAGATGTTTTTGCCTTTGGAGTGATCCTGCTGGAGCTCATCACCGGAAAGTGCGCTGGCGATGTAGTCTCGGGTGAGGATGGAGGAGTCGACCTTACAGATTGGGTTCGACTGAGGGTAGCTGAAGGCCGGGGATCGAATTGCTTTGATCCTGCACTGACACCCGAGATGAGCATCCCGGCGGCTGAGAAGGGAATGAAGGAGGTCCTTGGAATAGCCCTGCAATGCATTCGATCGGTGTCGGACAGGCCCGGCATCAAGACCATATACGAGGATCTTTCTTCGATTTAGTTAAGTTAGTTATTGCCTGTTTTTGTTCCGGTGAATGATATCTGATCTGCTGTCATGTGGGAAGCAAATGGCTCGTTTGGCCTCCCTTTTGCATTTTGGGATGGATGGATGTGTTTGTGTTTGCAGACATTGTTTGTACATTGGAACAATCACTTTCTGGAGTTTGGACATCAAACTTCGATGGGACCTATTGTCTTTTGGGTACCAATTTTGTGATCTCACTGCCCTTATGCGTCAAACAAATTAATTGTTTAAAGATAAAATAGGGATTTTGATTTAAAACGTGGAAAAGGTAAACAAAAATGGGTCAAATTTGCCCGGTAAGAGATCCCGATCCGATCCGGATATTTCCGTTGAAGACCCGATTTATTTATTTATTTTTTTCAATGATAGGGGGAAAAGAGAAAACGGTCCGTCTTTTGGCAACGGATAGTTGGTATAAACGGCTAATTCTCTTCTAACTTTTCAAAATCATCAATGATCGTATTCATTCTTCTCCTGTTTTCATATCTGCTTCACTCTCTTCGTCTTTCAATCCAAACGATTATTAATCCGCAGAAGGGTTTTCTTCTCACCAGTGATCTTCCTCTCCAATTATTCTCGTCTCTTCTCCGAGTTCATGAGAGGTGACTTCGAGCTCGATCGCGTATTCATGTTGCTCCCTGTTCCAGTAATGAAATAGATTGTTTTTAATCTACTTATCTAATTTCAAGAATTGGGTTTTTTTTCTTGATTAGAGAGTTCTTTAAAGAAGTTTCAGTTTTAGTGTTTCTTGGAAGAGGGTTTATTAACGTATTATCAAGAAGACGGCAATGGCGGCAATCAGCGGTGTTGATCGTCTCGCCAAGGAATACAGTTCTCAGCCCAGAGGTTTCCTGACTCCTCCGGCGGCATGGAAGAAGATGAGAAGGTGTTCTCCTCCGGTTGTGCCGGCGACGGAGAAGGGGCCAAGAAAGTCAAATCAGCCAAGAGGCGACCTCTTCCATGTCATTCACAAAGTCCCTTCCGGAGACTCGCCTTATGTTAGAGCAAAACATGTTCAGGTAATCTCAGCTTTCTTGTTTCTGTAATTCAGAACTCATTTAAATCTTAGTTTGATGATCAGTGAGTTTTTGTTTATGCCCCTGTTTTAATTCTTGAAATGTTTATTGTGTGTGCAATAACAGCTCATAGATAAAGATCCAGGAAAGGCTGTGTCCCTATTCTGGTCAGCTATAAATGCCGGGGATCGAGTCGACAGTGCCCTGAAGGACATGGCTGTTGTTATGAAACAACTTGAGAGGTCAGACGAGGCGATTGAGGCCATTAGATCATTTCGCCATCTCTGCCCTCCTGAATCTCAAGAATCACTTGACAACATTTTGGTTGAGCTGTATAAGGTAGTAGAGAGAATATTATACAATTCTTGTGATTGATTGTTCCCCGACATCCAATCCTTCTTATGTTATTGTTGTCGGTTTAGCAATCTGGCAGGGTCGACGAAGAGATCGAAATGCTTAAAGTAAAACTGAAGCAAGTTGAAGAGGGAATAGCCTTTGGAGGGAAGAGAACAAAGATCGCTAGATCTCAAGGGAAGAAGGTTCAAATTTCAGTTGAGAAAGAATATTCTCGGTTAGTATCTTCATAGCTTGATAAAAAATTAAAAAATGGAGTTTAGTTCTTGGATATATCTTCATGTATAATTGCAGGCTGTTGGGCAATTTGGCATGGGCTTACATGCAGCAGAAAGATTTCAAGTCTGCAGAAGAGCATTACAGGAAAGCATTGTCGTTTGAATCAGACAAGAACAAGCAGTGCAATTTAGCAATATGCTTGATGAACACTAACAAAATGGCTGAGGCCAAGTTTCTGCTACAAGCTATTAAAGTTGCATCCAACAATGGCGCTATGGATGAATCGTATGCTAAATCTTATGAGCGTGCTGCTGAACTGCTGGCTGAGTTGGAGTCGTCGCAGCAGCATGTTCGTAAGCCTCCGCCTGTAAAGCAGACTGAATCGAGTAATGGTTACAATGCATTCTGTTTTCAGAAGTATTGTGATGGTAGTAAGAATGGTGTGCTTCCATCTCCTCCTCCACTGCCTTGTTTTATCAAGAAAACGAACAACCGGGCATTCACTGGATATCCGAATGAGAAAAGGCCGGATCATGATTGGAGGATGAACCACAGCTATCCTTTAAATGTTGGTCAAGAATCATCTTATTCTGGATGCAAGAAGCCACCGGAATCTTGTCTCGGCAACAGGATTTTTCCAAAAGCACCGTTCACTCAGCCGCAGTGTTCGAGGTATGGAAATCAGAGAAAGGATGCTACTGGTCATGGAAGTCCTTGTAGGAAACTGTCCTTCGAATCATCCATGGAGGCGTCGAAAGCACAGGGCGATGACGAGAGAATGAGTTCTTTTACATATAACAGCCAGGAGTCATCTGCTGCAGATGAACAACGCAAAGATTTGATCTTTTATGATGACAATTTGAAAACTGAAGGAATCTATGACCGGGTTTCGGATGCTAATGCTGTGGAAACTCTTTCTCAAGATGGAAAAACATGTGGTGGGAATAAAAAGAGCTGGGCTGATATGGTGGAAGAAGAAGAAGTTGAATGTTGGAGAGACGAGAATGTGGACTTCAACATAATCACTGAGACGCCCAGAGCAATGGATCAAGCTGAGAAATTAAGTCAGAAGTTGGAAATGATGGAACTTGGAAGTGGATATTTCACTCAACCGGAGAAGAAATCGACGTCAGCGAGGCGATCATTGTGTTTCGATCAAGATGCGGCGGTGAAAAGCCATTGTGCTGAGCAAATGACAAATAACGTTCTAAACTTTGAAGACCAAGCTTTAGTGCTGTCAGAGGATGATTTAAGCTCTGGTAAATCTATGAAGCGGAGAAACAGGCTGCAAGTTTTCCAGGATATAACACAAGTTCATTAAAGGGCCTTTACTATTGATTTCTTTCTGTAAGAACTTCATTCTTTACTGTAGTATTGTATGTAAGTAAATCTCGACTACTATAAACAGCTGTTGTAAGTGTGGAAGTCTTCTACAGGCGCAGTTTACTGTGTTTCTTTTTTCTCATAGTATTTGAAAGATTCGTTTAAGTTCTTGTTCCATAACATTTTTCACAATCATATAATCGCTATTTCTGCACAAGTTTTAGTTATTCTAAACTTTGTTTGTTCTGTAGAGCACAAGTGTTGACCAGACTTTCATTCGACTTTGACCTCAAATCATACATTTCTGACTACAACTTCGTCCTAGAAACATGTCATCTATAAATACAGATAATAATTTCAAACTTAGGATTCATAGGGAAGAAGAGAAAGAACCTCACCTGATTGATCCAAGCAACATGAAGATGATGATGAGACAAGGAAAGAAGCAGAGTCGACTGAGGCATTATTGCATTGGTGCACCAAAGAGATTTCTGTGCAAGGCCCGGGATTTCTACGTCGACACCATGGTGATCTTTGATGCTAAGGTCTCGACTGCTAGCCCGACAGCCAATGTGTCCACCCTGCAGCCAAACAGCAATGGCAAAGTGATCGACATGGATAAAAATGGTAAAGAGCTTCGTCGATCTGTGTCTGAAAATTGTAGTTGGGGCAGCATGGAATTTGATAAAAATGTGAACCCGAACCGGCAGGGGGGGTATGGTGGCATGGATAGAAGCTACAGCGTAGCAGTAGGAAGAATGGGGAAGATTGATGAGGATGAGCCCTGTGAATTCTATGAGAATGTTGCTGCTAATGTGAAGAATGAGATGTTACTGCTTTCAAGAAGCACAAGTCATAGGGTATCTAGCTCTCATTGATTACTTGGAAATTTATGTGTTGAATCAATCCCTTTTTATTACAAAAGTGATAGAGAGGGATCGATTGGATGGATAAGCACCTTATGATGGAATTGTTATTTGATCAATTATTTTGATTTCGCAGTCACCAGCGTCAAATGAATGATTGGCACCAATTAAAAAGCATTTCTAGAGTCACCATCGTAACCTAATCTTTATTTTGTAATACCAACTAAATATGTGCTGCTGCCTCTGCCTCTGCCTCTGCCTCTGCCTGCATTCCACAATAGGTTCGGCTGATAATGACATATATATCTGAGAATTTGTATTTTTTTATAACAATATTTGGAAGATATATTATTTCTATACATAATTATGGTACTTGAGAATTTTTTTATTAACTTTTATAATTTTATTTGAAGGTGTATACATGTTATTGTTTTATTTAAAAAAGTATATATAATTATGGTATTTTAATATTTTCTTATATTTTAATTTGAAGATAAATATATTTGTATATATAATTACGATATTGTGAGATTTTTAAATTTCTTTAATTTTTTTATAGTTTTACTTGAAATATATATTTTTATTTCTAATAGTATTTATCATCACTAATTTATTTTAATATTTGATTATCACGATTGGTGCCGATTTAGTTTAATTGAAAATGACAAGCCTGGCTCTTGTGGATGTGGAGCACTTAAATAATTCCACAAATAAGACGAGAGAAAAATGAGCAGCCACCAAATACCAATTATGGATTTGCATCACTTTTGGCAAATTTCCATTTTTTTAAATCAGACTTAGCGCTTAAGTTGTTGTACTTTAATTTTTGTCCTTGTCTGTATTGCCTTCCACGATTTTATTACTAAATCGAAATATCTCACGGATCAACCCATTTCTAACACGAGGCCAAAGATTAGCTGCAGAGGTGATTCTTTGATTATCTTATTTATTTGTTTTCAAATTTTTTAATCTTTTTTACAACTTGTCATTGGAAAGGTGGATCCGATTTGGTCTTGTTTTTGTCCGATGAACTGTAGTAGGACAATGTCCCTTTTAATCTCTTGTCGATGTGGTTATTACATTTACAACAACATTCGAAACAGTCCCACGCGCCAGCGGCTGAATATCATCATATCATATCATGGCTCTTTGTCTTCTTCATAAATAGCTCTGTTAGGGTTCAATGTATAGTCCCACCGTCTGGGAAAATCATTCCTTTCTGCCGGCGCTTTCTTCTTAATTTCCTTTCGATTCTTGACGAGGGAAGGAAGATTCCTCAAGTTATATGGAGACAGGACCCTGGGAATAATCGTTTTTTTCATTGGGATTTTAAAGGTCCTGAAATTTGATTAATACCATTGCTGCAGCCACAAGCTAAGGTTTGGGTCTCGCTGTCGCCATGCACTTCCCGTGGAAGAAGGCGATGAGAAGTACGAGGTTGTCCCGGCTGGTGAACGATCATCTCCACAACTCTCAGAAGAGGCGCGATGGATCTTCCCTCGTCGTGGAGACGGGCTTCCCAACTTCCCTGGTCGATCTCTTCATAAAAAATCGTGAGAAATTGAAAAAACCGTCCAGGAGAAAGCGCCGGAGCATACTTCCGGCGACACCCCTACCTGAGGATCCAGCCTGTTTCGCTTCCCCTCCGCCGGCGCCGGCGCCATCTCCGATGAGTCCGCTTTCGAGTGCAGGTCCGGGATCTCCTGCTCCTTCCCTGCATTGCCCTCCGGTTCTAGAAAGTTCCTCCGGGGAAGTGAATGGAATTCCTGTAGTGTGTGGTGATTCGAGACGAGATTTCTTGGTGGTTTTAAAGATAATTTTGGTGGTTTGTTTCGCGGTGGGGAATAAGAAATTGACGGCGGGGATCGCCGTCACGGCGGTGTTGCTGTTATTTTTGGAGCACCTGGGCAGATACGCGTGCAGGTTTTGTTCAGAAGGTGTGTTAGGGACAGGATCGATAGTAGAGAGAATTCGTATGTTGTTAAGGTTTAAGGAGGTTAAGTTAGATTGGAATCTGACTGATCAAGATCATTCTTCCAAATCCGAGAGCTTTAATCAAGAAATCCAATTCGTTGAAACTGATCCCTTCAAAATCCATTTAACGTCTCGATCGTGTCCGGAAGCGACATTCAGGCGGCAAGAGGTTGAATCCAAGGCGGCGTTGATCGAGGAAGAAGGGGCAATCTGTGAAGTGGTGGAATTCAAAAAGGCCAAGTCCAGAAGAGCAAAAGTGAGATCGAAGATGAAGAAATTCTTCTCTGAGAAATTGAGGAGGTCCAGAAAAGTACACGATGATTCTCAACGACTCGAAGAAGAAGAAGAAGAAGAAGTAAGTGTTTTCTTGTGGGAAGAATACCAGGAATCAGACAAAGCTGAAGAAGAAGAGGAGATGTCCAGTGGATTGCCGGAGTATGTGTCGGAAACTGTTGCAGAGATTCAACACAAAGGGGAAGAAATCAAAGGTGGAGCAAGATGGAAGCAGTTTGTTCTATGTGTAATAGTTCTAACGGGACTCATTGGAGGTCGGGCATTTGCGCTTCTTCTAACGTTGTCATCTTGTCTGCTGTTTAAATTAAGCATGAAAGTGCCTGTAATAAGGTATTTCTTCAGCCATTAACACAACACAACATAAATAACCCTTTTGCAATTCTATTGGAGTGAGTGAAGTTCATTTCATCTCTGATGAACTATTCTTCTCAACTGAAAGCTGTAGAAGAAGTAGAAAGCTTAGCTCCCATCTTTTGTTTCACAGTGAATCTAGGCTGCTGTAAATTTTATTTATAGAAAGAATTACACATGTTTTACTTGTTTGATACTACAATTTTAAATATTTTTTGGATCTCGTTTGTTCGTTCTTTCGTTCCCGAGCTATCTGCAGATTAGATGGTGGAGAGAACAAGTCAAAATTAATAGGCTATGGTGTGTTGAAAACTATGGGATGACTTTCTTGGATTTGTAGTGTGTTTTGGTGGATCAGCTCCTGGTCAAACATCAAAGTCTCCATGATTAACGTTAACAGGTTTGTTGGTGTGTGTATCTATCTCCATGATTAAGATTAATAAAAAGCATTTGGGACTGAGGCAAATTAAAGAAACCAGAGACGGCAGTTGCATTGTATGTATGGTGTTGTAGATTTTCTGGGATGGGGTGAAAATATCTTGTCCTGATTTTATTATTAATTTATGGTGTGAATAACTACTACAGTTGATATGCATATGGCATGCCCTTCACGCGTGGACTGCTTTTTGATCATTTGCCATCCAAGTCCAACCAACCTAAAGTATTAAAGGCAGGCGCAGGGCAGGGCAGGGCAGACAATCAGACAGGAAAGAGACAGCTGGGAGAGAGAGAGGGGGGGGGGATGGTTTATATCATTTTACTCCATATTTATTGAATTGGGAAACCAAAACCACAGCAGCTTATTGTAGTAATTGTCAGTATTATTATTATTTTTGATCATTGGTGTTTGGTTTGAAATTTAAAAGGAGAGGTTTGTGGAATTGTTGGTGAAAAAGGACAATGAGACAGACCCCAATCGATTAATTATTATTATTCATCACTCACCCTGCCCATCGTTTCATATCATATGGTCTTTGTATGTATGTATAATTAATTATTATACATATGCTCTCGATCGTTGTTGTTGACTTGACTGTTTCTTGTGTTCATCTTAAGTTGTCTTTCATTGGATTGAATGATTGGAAATAGGACACCCCACCCCACCCCACCCCACCCCAGCGAGACAGTCGTTGTACACAGACTGGTTTGTTGCTACGAATATACGATGGATGATAATGATGTTGGTGGGGCGGGGCAAGGAAAGCATGCATGGCATGGGATGCTAGATTAGGCATAGGCATAGGCATAGGGATAGGCTAGCTGCACAGTTTTCATGTGAGTGGTGAGCTTCTTCAGCTCTTGTCTTCTCTTGTCCAATCATTGCTGCTTATGATAATTGTAGCCCATGAGGGCCAAGCTGTAGCTTTCACTTCAGCCAATGCCATGAAATACTACTTTCTTGGATCATCATCATCACATCCGACCCGATTGGAAGGAATGGATATGGTCATGGATGGATGGTGATGCTATTTTTGTTTCAGAATTAGATCCAGATCCAGATCCAGGCAGCTGTTTTTGTGGGCTGTCACTGTGCGATGTGCTCCATGGATGTCTCAGCCCTCTTATGTAAATGTTTTTATTTTTTTATCAGGCAAATTATAATAAACCGAATTTAAGAGAGTTTGCAAGTTAAATTTCTTTGGCAACCTACACCTAGGGTGATCGAGCTTTCACTTACACTTACCCTTTTTATGCAATTTACTTGAATTTTGAAGAGGTGAGTTAGTGTAACAATTTGGATCAGATTTTGAGGTGGGAGTCCATGCAACAATTTTGTTATGGTTGGTTCCTACTATACACCAAATTCTCTCTCACAGTTCAACATTTATTCCGCTGCACTAAACATGTGTGTTTATTGCAGGATTGCAATCTATTATTTGGGACAAACATCCAGCTCACTATAGATTCCGGTTTGTTTCTAAATCAGTGATTTCCAATCTTGTTGTTATTTGGATTATTTACAAACTATAATCAATAATTTGTTTGACCAAGTTCAATTAGGATGATTTATATTTGGTGCCGCCAAAAAGTTAATTACATAGAATCTAAATGAAATATATATATATATGTAATCAAACTTTAGTCCCTTAGATCCAAAAATAGTTATAACAGTCGAAATAGATTATGAACAATTCAATGAAGGACAACAAATTACATTACAGTATCTTTCTAGCGGCTTCACAACACATCTAACGACCCATTTTTTTTTCTTTTATGATACGAGAATTCATAGTCATTATCGGAAAATGCCCACTGTTAAACCTTAAATCGAATATAATATCCTACAAATTAGATAAGTGGACTTGGAGGCATTGGGGTTTGAATCCATAACTTCACGGTTACAAGTTCACTTCTCATACCACCAATCGATCCTTTATGAACCTTGTCTTACACTCTTAAACTCCAGTCGATTCTCTACCTATCGCCAATTGATTTTAAGTGAAAAATTTGAATTTTTGGTATCACTTAACTATCTTTTATATCATATAGAATAACTAGTGTGTTCGTCCGTGCATTGCACGGTTTGTTTATGTAAATTAATAAATTTTTTATTATATGACAATTTTTTTAATTATACCTATGAAATAAGTATTGATAGTATAAATTTACAAACACTGAAAATTTGAATGTACTTCTCTACTATTAATACATAAAATTTCTAGTATTATATAATAAAAACAACAATATTAAATAGATAATAATATATTGAAAAATAATAAAATAAATATATGATTAGTTAAATATATATATTAATTTTATTTTTTTTGAAAAAAAAAATATGAATATATAATCCTTATATAACTTTATATATATATTTCTTATTCCATTGCATGAATGGCGTCTGAAGTTTAACGTATTTTCGTGGATGGAATAAAAATGTATGATAAAATATTTTTTAAAATTATTTTTATATAAAAATCACTAAATTTATACAGTAAAATAATTTAAAACATAATTCCAATTAAATAATGTTTATATTGACCCCACTCCCCTCTCTCCCAACACACTCGCACAAAAAAAAAAAAAAACAGGGAAGAGAGAGTTGGGATTGAGAATCATACACTATAATTCACATGATACGAAACATAATTGATAATTTGAGTGGCGATTGTGGAGCAGCCAGACTGGCAGCCGTCGTTGTCCAACGTGAATGTCTGCTGGCTAATTGATTTGATTCCTTCCCGATCTACGGCTATGATCGTCTCCTTAACCCAAGTCCTAATCACTCATATCCTTGTTGTGATGTGCGTCTGATGACACAAATCCTGTGATCCATCGCACGCTGTTTGGCGTCGCTCCGCCGTTTATTTAGTCGACGGATTTCCCACCTGAATTGAATACCGCTTTCCGAGACAAGGGTCTGCAGTGTGGCCTTCAACTGAGGGCTTAGATTGAAGAGTCCTGACCGGCATTGTTCTCGGTAAGTATATTGTTTTTCCAAATCTTGTCATGAAAGGTTGATTTCTTTTTCATGCCCAGCATTGGATCTGTGGTTTCTTGCTGAATCTGTTCCCATTTGGATTTGAATTTCGGCTGTGGTATTGTGACGCCGAAGGTATGTTGTATTAGGGGTGGTTGATCAGATGCCGATGTCAGCAACTTTTTCGTTCTTGTTTTTCCCTTTTTAGCTTATCGATTGCATATCTTTTTCAACAACAAAGGTGAATCTTGAGGCTTTCTGTTCAAGTAAAGTGTTATTGGTCTATTTTATTGACGTAGTTGTTTTTGTATTTCTGGAGTGGAGGCTAAATGTGAAAAGTTTGAAATTTCGATCTTGAAGATCTGCTCGCTGTATATTCCTTCTGATTTAGGCATTGAACATACTTCTTGTTACATAGGCCTCACATCATTAAGCAAGAACACTTTCCACAAGTGTTTCTTCGGGATCTAGATCAATGGGCTGATCGTATGTTTTCAAGTTTGAAGGCATTGGATGGTTTCAATCATCTGTAAATCCAGTTTTTTCCAGAGTGTCATAAGAATTTGAATTTTTTAAAGTGGTGTCAAACGCACCGATGATTTGATTTGACTATGCTTGATTATGGTGTTATAAACCACCAAGCAAATGCTTCTTGGATGTTTTCTGTGGAGTCTGGTTTGTAGAGTTACGATCTTCTTCATTTGATGCCCTTGAGATCACTTGGCTGATTATGTGCCCGCCTTCTCATTTGGTGATGTAATGCAGCTTGTTCTTTGCCTAAAAATAGACTTTTACTGAAATGGGTGTATAGGCTAATATTTTTCTGCTGAAACGAGTCTCTTACACCCATATAAGCTTGTTTGAGTGATCTTTCTTGTCCTCCATGGTATAATACTATTCGATATTGGATTTATATATATATAATGTATATTGCTGTCGAAATGCCATATCATTTTGCTTGCTTCATCCTTGTACACTTTTAATGTTACAGTCATACACTGCAGTTTCAAGATGGTCGTCCAAGGCTATACTGTGGACTTAAACAAACCCCTTGTCTTCCAGGTAATACTGACAAATGATGGTGTCCTTATCTATAATCCACGAACCCCGGGTATCTTTGATGCAAAAAAATTGAATGTTCATTGCATGTTGAAAGCATTCACCGTAAATAATACAGTTTCCACCCCCTCATACCTGATGACTTAACACCAAAATGTCACTTTTTCTATGTTATGATGCTAATTTTTGAACTTTCAATAGGTTGGTCATCTTGGCGAAGGTTATGAGGAGTGGGTTCACCAGCCAATTGTCAGCAAGGAAGGCCCTCGGTTTTTCGAAAGTGATTTTTGGGAGGTATTAAGTTTGCACATTATACCTGATGACTTAAGTGTGCTTATAGTTTCTTCAGTTGATTCCATCAATTGATTGTTTGCTATGTCTATCATGAAACAGTTTCTGACTCTCAATCATTGGTGGGCTATTCCTGTTATTTGGCTCCCAGTTGTCGTCTGGGCCTTCTCAAGATCCATTATTATGGGTCTTACAACTCCTCATGTGCTGCTAATGGCAGGATTAGGCATCATTTTCTGGACGTTGGTTGAGTATAGTCTGCACCGCTTCCTCTTCCATATTAAGACGAAGAGTTACTGGTTTGTTTCTTGTTTGCATAAAAGCCTGTTTTTACAGCATTCTAGCTCTTCTCACTTCGGATTTACATTTGCCACACTATCTCCAACTTGCAGGGGTAACACAATTCATTATCTCCTTCACGGTTGTCATCACAAGCATCCAATGGATAGTCTACGCCTCGTCTTTCCTCCTGCTGCAACAGCCATTCTTTTATTTCCGGTATGCATGCTTTGGAATGAATTCATTCTACATCTTAGTTACCTTCTATGTTACATTACGGATTTCTTGACTTGCATACTGTTACTGACTGCAGTTCTGGAATTTGATCAAATTATTCTCCACTCCTTTAACGACTCCTGCTTTATTTGGTGGCGGCCTACTCGGTTATGTTATGTATGACGTAACTCATTACTATGTTCACCATTGCCACCCAACCAGTCAAATACCAAAGAATCTCAAGGTAGCCATTCTGCACAAATTTACATCCATATGCCAAAGCTGTCTGTATTAGCATAACCCCTAGTTTAACTTTTCATATCTGTGTTGCAGAAATATCATCTAAATCATCACTTCCGCGTCCAGGATAAAGGCTTTGGCATTACTTCCTCGCTCTGGGACAGAGTATTCGGAACTCTGCCACCAAAAATGGGCAAGAAGAGTAGATGAGTTGTTTCTTGCGGATGAAGCATTAGTTGTCCAAATGGCATTTTGAGAGTTTTTGATAATCCATTTGTGCCAGATTTCGAATGTATGTTTGATGCACACACTTGAGACTCTCAGCCTGTATTTTATTGTGGAGTAGTTTAGCGGGCGTCTGCGTGCCTGTTTAGCTGTGCAACTACTATAATGTATCATGCCATTCTTGTGAAATTTATTTATTTTTCCAGCTACTAAAAGTATCTAAACAGAATGTAATATAAGCCAATTTCAACATTACAATGTAAAGGAGCAAACTTATAGATCCTGATCAGGAATAGATCCTAACATCTTCTCTTAGTTATTCTGCGAAATACAGCTAGCAAAAGAAGTTGTAAATTTTCAGTGAATCATACTCTTTTCTATCATTTCATGCAGCAATGGAAGAGTTGGGATGCTCTGTTCATGTCTGAAGAAATTATCAGGATCAAACTTCGTCTTAACTTGTACCAGTCTATTGAAGTTCTCCTTGTAGTATGCTGCACCCCATGAAATTGCCTGAATGAAATTTGTCCCATTTTTGTTGATCCCCAAATCCAGGTCCCTGTAGTTTACATACGCTTCTCTTGGGAACATGGAGGCGAACGGCGCCATGTAATTGTAGAGCTTCCTCATCCAGTCCATGTGCTTGGCTTCGACCTCGGGTTTGTCCTCGTTCCACAGTGTTAAGTATTGAACCATATACACGACGCCTTTCCGGTGTGGGAAAGCAATCTCAGACTCGGATATCTTCCCCATCATTCCGCCGTATGGATTTAATATCATCAAGGGAGAGTCTTCTTCCATGAGCCTTTTCCACAGCCCTTCAAGCCCTGTTTCCGGAATGGGCTCTCGGACAAACTCCGACTTGGCTTTGAAGAAGTTCTTGAACAAAGATTTCCCCTGCAGCAAAACTTCCGGTGGTGTATTCGCCGGGTATCCGGCAATGTAAAGCACGGATTGAATCCAGCTCATTTCGGTGCAGTCCTTTTTGGTCAATCCCAATTCAGGGAAGCTCTCTTCCATCACCTCCAGAAGCCTCTCTGTTTTCCCAAGAAACAGAGCATTGTAAAGATTCTGTACGGTTTTCTGACCCTTTTGAGCCCCGTTAGCCACCTGTATGATCACCCTGATGAAGAGATTTTCATCGATCTTATCGGCAACCTGTTGCCACTTGTGCAGAATCTTGGTGGCGCCCTGCTCCAGGGTCTTTGGCACGGTGAAAACCGTGACGGTTGCCGGCACCGGAACCAACTTGACTTTCCAGGCCAGGATGATCCCGAAGCTGGCTCCGCCGCCACCCCTGAGAGCCCAGAAGATATCCTCCCCCATGGCCTCCCTGTCAAGGATTCTTCCAGAAGCATCCACTATACGGACATCGACCACATTGTCAGCGCCGAGGCCGAATTTCCTCATCATGGTGCCATAAGCGCCGCCAGTTATGTGGCCTCCGATCCCCAAGCTGGTGCAGAGTCCGGCAGGGAAGCCGTGTGTCTTACTTTTCTGCGAAATCCTGTAATAAAGTTCTCCGGTGGTCGCGCCTGCCTGCGCCCAGGCGGAATTGTCCTGGATGTTGACAGTGACGGAGCGGAGATTCGACAGGTCGAGTATGATGAAAGGCTCGTCGGACAGTGATATGTAAGACAGGCCCTCGTAGTCATGGCCGCCGCTTCGGACCCTCAGCTGGACCCCGAGCTGTTTGGCGCAGGTTACGGCGACTTGGACATGGTTTTCGGTGTACGGCTTGAAGATGAGCTGAGGTTTGGGAACGGACGGGACGAGGCACCTCAGGTTTTGGGCAGTCGATTCGAGAATTGTGGTGAAAGAAGCATTGTCGGGAGCAGAAAAGGCTGTGGAGAAAGGGATGGAGAGATCTGAATTCAGGGTTATGCACTGGTAGAAGGTTTCTTGAATTGGCTGTGAAGCAGCCCCCGAAGCGAATGCAAGAAGCCCAAAAATTAACGTAAGAAAAGCAGATGATGGAGAGTGTTCAAATCCCATATTGTTTGAGAAATGATTGTTTGTTTAGGACAAGACCCTGCCTGCCTTCTTCCTCGAGTATATATGGACCTCATGACCTCAGGCCAACGTCAGGAAATCCGATGACCATGGCCACGTTTCTAATTCTGAAATCTGTATACATGACTTGGCTTGCAAAGCAGAGGCACAGCAAATTCAGTTTATTTGTTGCTTAAAAGCTGCCTCTTAAGTAGCGAGCATTGCACGTTTGTTGAGCCTTTGTGGACTACTCTCAGGTTCCACTCAACCACTAAAACCCTAAAAATATATTATTGCAGCAATGTATTATCCTCGTATGTAATAATGACAGTGGCCAGACGACAACAAATGATGTCAGATCAAATGCACGTATATTGTTCGTATTTTAAAAAAATAAAAATGGGTGGATTAGTTGGCTGGGCATTACGCCGCAAAGTGGTGTCAATTGTGACTATATATATGTATATATGGCCGATCACTACTCACACCACTTGGATTCCAGTTCCATTTCACTGTTTTATTGCATTACGAGTAGTGGGGGAGTTACAGATTTGGTTTTTCCTATAAAATATAGTATCTAGAATGGATTTGATGCATTAACACTATCTGGTTAGGATCTTGCCAAGAACTGTGAATAATACACGTGAGTTGCAAAGCTTGATTGGATTTGGGATCGTCTCTTTTTATGTTTGTGGTAACTATGAGTGTTGTTGAGTAATCTAGAAGATGCGAAGAAGATTTTGACGTATGTTGTGCAATGATGACAGTATGGATGAATGGATAATTACCTAACAATTATTTGGTCTTTTTCTGCAATCATCATTCTATTCTATCCCACTCTGTCACTCCTTCTGGTATATGTTCAGTACACGTTTTAATTAAATTGGTCAAACTTGACAACCACCATTGTCGAAAAGGAAATAGCAATGTTACTAATTCATCTCCAGAGAAGGACAGGAAATAGAGGATCTGTAATCTAATAGTTGAGACTTTGGAAAATTTTTGTGTACAAGAATCTCTGACATGTAAACTGGCTCCCTTATTATGCAATACTTATTACAAATATAAAGATTGGTTCTTGAATAATCACATCAGATTTGTAATAGGCTAATACCCTTCAGGATCAATCGTACCATTCTTCTTCATCTTCATCGTGATCATATTCAGTTAGTTCCCATTTATTGGATTTCAATGGCGGAATGCTTTGCTCATTCCTGAAAAAGTTCTCAGGATCAACGGCAGTCTTCACCTTCACCAATCTGTCAAAGTTGTCCTTGAAATACTTGAGTCCATACACCTTCCCTTCATTATATGCATTCTTGCCATTGCTCGAGATGCCAATGTCCAGGTCCCGGTAATTCAGGTATGCTTCTCTCGGATTCTTGGACACAAAAGGAGTCATGTAACGATACAGGGCTCTTGTCTGGTCGACGTACTTCTTGTCTGCCTCGGGCCCTGGCTCTTTCCAATTTACGAAATATTGGATCTTGAATATGTTTCCGGCCCGGTGAGGGAATGGCGTGGCCGTTGCGGGGATCTTAGCCATTTGTCCGCCGTAGGCATTGATTGCCATTCCCGCTTTACCGAGCTGGATGATCAATTTGAACAGGCCTGATAGGCCCTGTTTGGGAATTGGGGATTTCAGGTAATCTGATTTTCTCTTGAAGGAGTTGTCGGCTTTCGATTTTCGATCGAGAAGTGTGGTTTCAGACGAGCCATTTTTGTTGTCCCAGAATAGCACAGACTGAATCCAGCTCATTTCCAGAACGTCTTCTTTCTTTAGTTGCAGCTCGGGGAACTGCGATTTCATTACTGACATAAGCTGTTTGGCATTGCCAAGAAACTGGCCAACAAATCGCACTTTAACGGTCTTGTCTGATTCAACTTTGGCACCTGTTTTGGTCGCCGATCCGACAAGAAGCCTGATGAACAAATTCTCGTCGACCTTGTCTGCAATAAACTGCCACCGGAAAACGATGTCGGTTGCATTCTCCTCAATGGTCCTCGAGACTTTGAAAACAGAGACCACCGGCGGGACAGGGACGAGCTTAATCTTGTACGCCACGACAACTCCGAAACTGGCGCCGCCTCCGCCGTTGATTGCCCAAAACAGGTCTTCACCCATCGCCTTCCTGTCCAAAAGTCTCCCGTTGACATCCATAATTTGCGCGTCGACCACGTGGTCCACACTGAGACCGTATTTACGCATCAGGTTCCCGTAACCGCCGCCGCTGATGTGCCCGCCGACGCCGACCGTCGCCCCCACGCCGCCGGGGAATCCATGGACCTTGCTCTTCTCCCAGATCCTGTAATAGAGCTCCCCAAGCGTCGCCCCCGATTGCACCCACGCCGTCCCGTCTTGGATGCTGACATTAACTGTCCTAAAATTGAACAGATCGAGGATAACGAAGGGGACATTCGAGACGTACGAGATCCCCTCGTAGTCGTGTCCGCCGCTGCGGATTTTGAGCAGCAGCCGCAGTTTCTTTGCGCAGACGACGGTTTTTTGGATTTGGGATATTGTAAGAGGGGTTACAATGAAGGAGGGTTTTGGGGTTTGGGGAGTCTTGAAACGTGGGTTTCTTGCGTAGTCGTCTAAGACAGAAGTGAAGTTGGGGTTTTGAGGTGCGAAGACAATTTTAGAAGCATCGCCGGCGCCGGCGGAGAAACATTTGACGAAGGCGTCGTAGTCGGAGCCCGGAGCCGCCATAGAGCAATTGATGATGGCGCACAGAAGGAGCAGACTCAGAAAATTTTCCAAGGGGGAAGACATAATTTTGAATTTATCGGTTCCTGTTTGTCCAGATCGAGTGCGATGTATTACAAGTCTGTCGGAATATATATACTGTGCGATCGGTTTAAGGTTATAAATACGATGATGTTTCCATTGTCTCTGTAGATCACACAACTAGTCGGTCTGGTCATAGTTAGACTATCCTTTTCCTTTTTTTTTTTTTTAATAAAAATAAGTATACTACTAATTATTCGTAATTAAGAAATTATCATTAATATAATTACTAAAATTAAAATGAGTAAATATAATTAATAAAATCTTAAATCTTAAAATTATTACAAGAACTACAACTCAAAGATAATACTTATCCATTCATCTAAACTTATACTACATATTTCTATTTTTGGATTATCTAATTACAAGTAATTATTTTATTAAATATTTAATATTATATTAAAAAATAAAATATTATTATACTATTTTTAACACCTTATTACAAATAAAATACTGAAAAAATCATCTTAAAAATAAATATACTTTGTAATAAAATTATATTTTATTATTTTTTTAATCATGGATAGCATAATTTACGGAAATAACATCATATGCAATAAAATAAGAAATAAAATCAATAATTTTGACCTGTGAATTAAATTGTTTGTTTTGACTTATTACTTGAAATTTCACAAATATACTTTTGAATTAGAAATATCTAACTATTAGTAGAATTATAATTTATCTCTCAATGTGAAAATAAATAAGTATTAATAAACGAATTAACATATATATGATTTGAGTGAGTTATCTGAATTTTAGTTTAAGTAATTATTTTGATATAAAATTTTATAAGAATAAGTATTAGTATATATATATTTTCAGATGCATGATGAAAAATGAAATTAAGAAAACACTATAATCAGATTTTTAATATATATTATATTAATTTAAATTTATTACACAAATATATTTCATTCCACTTTTTATTTTAATTTACCATAGTAATATAAATACTCTTACGTATACTGCTATATATCTTATAATATTTTTTACCTACAAATTACATGAGTAATTTTAATAAATACAATAATATTATAATTATTATTACTATATTTACTTCTTAATTCATTTTATTTACCACTCAATAACTATATATATATATATTTTATAATAGTAGTACTATTTTATTTTGTTGAATATCATATGAAATTATTATATTATTTTTTGGCAGTTGAAAATTAACATTCATATCAATTGTTCAAGTTGGAAATATTCAATAAAATCAAGATATTGCAATTTTATGCTAGCTAAAAATAGAAATAGCTGGTATTTTAAGTATTTCTTCCCAGCTATTTCAAATTATGTGGTAATTCGTTCTCATTATGAATAATAATAATAATAATAAATTATATGCAAAGCAAATTTTGGGAAAATTACAAGTTCGTATTATATTTAAACGCAACCTGGTCCTGGACCTGGTATATTATTTATGGGCCTTATCTTCTAGCTGAGCCATATATAGTACTCGTTGCTCGGCCCAATGTATAAATATTATTAGTATTTCCGAACATATTAAAATTTAAAAAATAATTAAAAAAATAAAAATCAATTTTGGTCTCAATATAACTAAAATTGATCAATTTTAGTGTCAATATAAAATTTTTTTTATCAATTTTGGTCTCAATATAACAAAAATTTATCAATTTTGGTCTCAATATAAAAACTCGATCAATTTTAGTTCCAATATAATCAAAATTTATCAATTTTGGTCCAATTATAAACAATTTCGATCAATTTTGGTCCAACCGTTAAAAAAATAATGAAAATTACTGACTTGGACATGACGGAGGTGACGTGGAAGTTGACCTGGAAAGTACACGACCATGTACAATTATACATGGTCATGTTGTTACACGGCCATGTATAATTATACACGGTCATGTTGTTACAAGGCCATGTATATTTCAGTGTATAATTATACATAGTCATGTTATTACACTGCCATGTATAATTCTACACGGCCGTGCACCTTTCTGTTTCGGTCTAAAATTTTAATTTCTTCTTATATTTTTTTTTAATTATTTTTTTGAATTTATAATAGTTGATATAGTTAAAATGGAAAAAAAAAATCAATAATAATCATAATATAATTAAAATATATCAATTTTAGTTCAAATATAAGTATTTATCGAATATATTCTTTTGGAAGATTTTGTCTAAAATTCTACTATTTAGCAAAAAAATTTTCTTACAAACATCAAATTAAATCAATGTATTGAAATAATAAATTAATTTTTAATACTACTATAATATACAAAATTAAAAAATAGTTGTGTAATTGGATGTTTGTAAGAAAATTTTTTTTAGGAATAATAAAATTTTAGACAAAACCTTTCAAAAGAATATATCTTATAAATTTTTATATTTGAATTAAAATTGATAAATTTTAATTATATTATAATTACTATTGATTTTGTCCATTTTAATTATATCAACTATTTTAAATTCAAAATAATTTTTTTTTTAAAAAAATATAATAAAAAAATAAAAATTTAAACTAAAATAGAAATGTAGATGACCGTGTAACTAACACGACCATGTATAATTATAATTATACACTGAAATATATATGGCCATGTTGTTACATGGCCGTGTATAATTGTAAATGGCCGTGTACTTTCTAGGTCAACCGCCGCGTCACCTCCGTCATGTCTACGTCAGCAATTTCTGTTAATTTTTTTAACCGTGGGACAAAAAACGATTTAAATTGTTTATAATTGGACCAAAATTGATTAAAATTGTTTATATTAAGACTAAAATTGATGAGTTTTTTTTATATTGGGACCAAAATTGATTTTTTCTCTTAAAAAAAAATGTAATTCGAAAAAAGAGTATGTTTTTTACACATATATTTTTTTTAATATTAGTGTTTATGTAATAAGGTATAAACTATAAAAGTATTTATTATTTTAAATAAATAGTATAATTACTAAATAAAAAAATGATATATTTGTTTGGAAACAAATAAAAATAAAAAATGGCAGAAGCGTATATTTTTTTACGGATTTAAAATTGAGATGTGGAACAAACAATGTTAGAAAGTATAACACTTATAGTATGTGGGCTCTACATATGCCAACTCAGACTTGTCAGGGATCGATTGTCCCGGGACCTCGCAAGTATGTCGTGGACAAATTCGACGCCACACGCTGCTTCAGCGTCACTACGAATTATGTCACTACGTATGTATGTATATCCGAATGTCCTAAATGAAGTGTATTATGTGTTGTAGAAATTACAGCCATAAATGAAATAGCACACAGCATAAAGTAATAACAAGGATAAGGGTTCGTGCATTAAATACTGATGGTTTATGCCCTCCTCGACTTACGGCCACGAAAGGGCTGCCGGACCGGAATGCTCTGCTCGTTCCTGAACACGTTTTCCGGGTCAACCTCTGTCTTGATTTTCACCAGCCTGTCGAAATTACCCTTGAAATACTTCCTACCGTACACCTCCCCCTCTCTGTAACTGTTCTTGCCGTTGTCCGTCGTCCCTATGTCCAAGTCCCTGTAATTCAGGTACGACTCCCTCGGATTCTTCGACACGTACGGAGTCATGAATCTGTACAGCTCCCGGATCTGATTCGTGTAATTTCTGTCGGCCGCCTCTCCTTCTTCGTTCCAGTTCATCGAGTATTGAATCTTGAAGATGTTGCCGGCGCGGTGGGGGAACGGCGTCGCCGATTCAGGAATCTCACTCATTCTTCCGCCGTAGGAGTTGAACACTAATCCCACTCTCCCGATCTCCGCCATTTTAGTGAAGAGCGATTGCAGGTCGGGAATGGATAACGGGGTTTTGACGTAGTCGGATTTCCGTTTCAGGAAGTTTGCAGAGTTGAGGTTTCTGTCGAGGAGGACAGATGGGGGAGTTGATGAGATGTTGACGTTGTTGTCCCACCATAGGACTGACTGAATCCACGACATTTCGAGGCAGTCGGGTCGCGTCAAGTTCAGAATCGGGAATTCGGAAGTGGTTATCGGAAGGAGCCTGGAAGCATCTCCGAGGAACATTCCGATGAACGTCGCCCGGACGGTTCTTGCTCTGTTTCGGGTCACCGGCTGGAGAAGAACCCTGATGAACAGGTCGTGGTCGATCTTGTCGGCGATTTGCTGGTACTGGTAGACCGCTTCCGTCGCCTTCTGGTCAATGTATTTTTCGAGCCGGAAAACGGTCACCACCGCCGGAACCGGGACAAGCTTTATTTTATACGCCACGATGACGCCGAAGCTGGCGCCGCCGCCGCCGCGAATCGCCCAGAAAAGATCCTCCCCCATTGCTTTCCTGTCGAGAACTCTACCGCCGGCGTCGACGATTTGTGCGTCGATGACGTGGTCGACGGTGAGGCCGTGCTTTCTCAGCATGTTCCCGTAGCCGGCGCCGCTGATATGGCCGCCGATGCCGACGGTGGGGCAAACGCCGGCGGGGAATCCGTGGACCTTGCTTTTCTCCCAAATTCTATAGTAGAGCTCTCCGATGAACGCCCCGGCCTGCACCCACGCCGACTCGTCGGAAATATCGACGTCGATCGACCGGAAATTGAACAAATCCAACACCACGAACGGCACATCGCTGACATACGAGATTCCCTCGTAGTCGTGTCCGCCGCTGCGGATCTTGAGCTGGACGCCCAACTTCTTCGCGCAGAGCACGGCGGCGCTGATCTGCCCCACCGCCGTCGGCGCCACGATGGCACTGGGCCGGCGCGTGGTGGACACGTTAAACCGGCGGTTTCTGATCAAAGACAACAGAACAGTATCGAATGACGCGTCATTAGGCCTGTAAACTATCCTCGAAATTTCTGCCTGCGGAATTTCGCTCTCCGCCAAGCACTGCACGACGGCGCTGTAATCAACCGCTGCAGTTGCAAACACAAAAGCATTGAGCAAACAAAGCAGGACAAGAATGGATGTCTTCATATCTTAATCCGGGTCTGATTCCTCAGAGCCCTAATTTCCTTTTACCATTGCCACTGCCCGTCACATTATTTATAAATATAGTTACACAATTTGCAGAGGAAGAAGGAGAGGGACGAAGTGGGTGGGCCAAATTATGGTTTTCAACTGGAAAACCGCCTAATGTCGCGTTTTCGAAGGACTTTTTTAGTTTACCACGTGGATTATAATACAATTCCATACACCAGACTTTTGGCCATTACTAATAGTCGGCAAAATTGTTTTTACTATTTTGCTATTTATGATTTTGATGGTTTTGTATGTTTTCAATAGAACTATTCAAATTTATTTCACTTGAATTAAAATTTTATTGCAGTAAGTATTAAATGTGCACATGGATTACAAATGGAATGAATTGTTGGAAGAGAAGGGTATCTAGACTAGACTAGGAGCCTTTTTTTTACACGTAGATTGGTCAAACAAGTGAACGTGTTTTATTTTAGATTTATGTTGAAATGGTCAGACAAAGTACGTACAACGCCACAGGACTTACAATTACAAGGGGACCAATTTGAATTTTATATCTTTCTTTTCTTATCTGGGTAATGTTACGTGTGCAATGATTAGAAAAACATCGAACAAATTATTTATTTGTATAATAGTATTTCAAACTGAGGATTACATTACAGTACATAATAAGCTCATTTCGTACGAGAAGATGGGCACGTAGTAGCAGTGGAAGACTTTGCATATAATTAAATTAAAATTTGAAGCGTGATGCATAATTATACAATTCGTCACGGAGATAATAACGCAGGAATTGGCGTTGACTTAGACCGCGGCAGCAATTGGATGGAGTTCCGGTCATACTTTGCTACTCCAGCTTGTAATTTAGATTGGACAATATTTATCTAATTAATATATAATAATGTATTTATGTTTAATTTTTTTGGAAATAGTTTGCTATCTTATTTAAGTATACATTTATATGTAGATGTTTCGATGATGGAAATATTCGTTATTCGTTAAAAAGAAAAGTAGAGCAGTGGAAAAATCAAAATGTTGTTTATTCGTATTAAATACATTTTCAAATCAGAAATTAATTTTGAATATGATTGATTAGGAAACCGAGCAGCTCAGCTCCGTCTGGCCAAAAACTTTTCGGTGGAAACTCCAAGTGGCCCTGTAAATTAATTTCCAGACCCTAATATATATAAATTTAATATCACAAATATTTTGGTATCAAAATGAGTTTGTGCTTTGCGAAAATATCAATTAAGTAGAAATAATAAAATTATAAATTTTTATGTGATTTAAATAATTAATATACATTTTTTAATTATAATTATTTTTAACATATTATTGAAATATATACATAATACTGCTAGATCTTCTCCGGGGTCAATGGATTATTACATCCCATCCTACATTTGTTACATATTTGATAAGCCCAAAGTGTGATCCAATAGGCCTGTGGGCCTCAGCAAAATAAACTGTATTTTGAAGTTTGATTTGTAACTATTTCTTTATGTATATATTTTTAAATAATTAAATATTCGGGAATTTACATGACGATTGAATTCCGTGAAGTATACACACACACACACACCCTCTATTAATGGTATTTAACCAAAAGTTTTTTTTCAAGAAAAATTAGTCGAAATGTTATTTATCTGATATATAGTTTATATACTAATTTCCTGGTTAATAACAATGCCCTGCAACTATAAACTTCAATATTGGAAATAGAAAAAATGATAACTTGGAGAGTTTGCAAACCTAAAATTGATTCTAGTCAAATAAACTAGAAGGGATTTTTCAATTTTTTTTTTTTGGATGAGGAGAAGGGTTAATCATTTAATTATATGAATATTGGACAATTCATTATATTAATCTGGACCTGGTCATACTATTCAGTATTTTGATATGATAAGTTAATACGTACGACATATTACAGTAGTGCACTTATATATATATCGTGCAATATTGTGTAAACCCCACTTGGCACTGTATCGTACACACGCAATCAATAAGACACTACACAGGGATATAGACCCATACGTTTAATTTACTTAAATGATGTTAACATTTATTACTTGGAAATTAAATAACAACAAATAAATTAAAACGTAAAGGCAAACAATGCCTAATCATACATGATGTAAGTATAAAAGCATATTATATATTCCAATAACATTTTATAACTAAGTTTTAAAAAATAAAAAAAAAAAAAATGCTGTCGACATCTACAGCAGCTGATGGCCATATATATTTCTAGGGCAAGACAGGGATGCTTTGCTCGTTCCTGAAGAAGTTATCAGGATCAACTCGGGTCTTGATCCTCACGAGCCTGTCGAAGTTTCCCTCGAAATACTTGACGCCATAAACCCTCCCTTCCTGGTAACTGTTGGGACCATTGCTGTTGATTCCGATGTCCAAATCCCTGTAGTTGAGAAAAGCCTGCCTCGGAGACATCGAAACGTACGGCGTCATAGAATCATACAGCCTCCTTGTCAGATTCAAATACCTGTTTGCAGCCGCCACTCCGGTCTCGTTCCAGTTCGTCGCGTACTGAAGCTTCGCAATGTTCCCGGCCCGATGCGGGTACGGTTTCTCCGACGCCGGAATCTCCGCCATGCGGCCCCCCATGGGGTTGAAGGTCAGCTGTGGAGTTCGGAGTTCTACCATTGTCTGGAGAATCATCTCTATCCCTTCTTTCGGCATGGGTTTCTGTAAGAAATCGGATTTCCTCTTCAGGTAATCGACGGTCGGAGGAACTCTAGTAAGGAGTTCACTCGTCTGTCCCAAATTTGTCCAGAAGAGTACCGATTGAATCCAGCTCATTTCGGTGCAGTCCGATCGGGTTATTCCCAGTTCGGGGAAGCTCTGGTTCATGATGGACAGGAGCTGTTCGGAGTTTCCGAGGAACAGTGAGTTGAACGTGCCCCGGTTGGTGCCATTGACGACGGACAGTGTTAGCCTGACGAATAAATCTTCAGGTAGCTTGTCGGCGACTTGCTGGTAGCGGTGAACCAGATCGGTTAAGTTCTGGTTGTAATTTCTTGGAACTCTGAAAACCGTTACTACCGAAGGAACTCGGACAAGCTTGATCTTGTAAGAAAGGGCGACACCGAAGCTGGAGGCTCCGCCGCCGGTGATCGCCCAGAAAAGATCTTCTCCCATGGATTTCCTGTCGAGGATTCTTCCTCTCACATCGACGATTTCTGCGTCGACGACGTTATCTACAGTCAGGCCGTATTTGCGCATCATGTTGCCGTATCCGCCGCCGCTGATGTGGCCGCCGACGCCGACTGTGGGGCAGACTCCGGCGGGGTAGCCATGGACGTTGCTTTTTTGTGCGATTCCGTAGTAGACTTCGCCGAGAGTCGCCCCGGCTCCGACCCAGGCAGTCTCGTCCTCTAGGCTGACATTAACCTTTCTGAAATTGAACATATCCAGAACGAAAAAATTAGGGTTTTGTGAGGTGTACGAGACAGCCTCGTAGTCATGTCCGCCGCTGCGGATTTTCATTAAGAAACGGTGTCGTTTGGCGCAGACGATGGATGCCTGAATGTGGGAAACGTGCGTGGCAGTAATGATGAGGCGTGGTTTGGGCGTGGTCGTTTCATTGAACCGCAGGTTCCGAATGTATTGTTGCAGAACAGATGAGTAGGAGGAATTGTCGGAACTGTAGAGAACCGCAGAGATCGGACTGGAGGGATCGGAATTCCTTCTCAGGCACTGGATGAACGCCTGGTGGGATGACGAAGAACTGGAATCGGCAGACGACACAGAAAGGAAAAGGAAGATGAAGAATAAGAAGAAGGAAGCAAATATATTAGCAGCAATTCTTGGTGACGACATTTTCATTTTCATTTTTCTCAATTCTGAGGGATGCTGTGATTGAAGAGATTCATGGGATTTATATAGAGAGCTAGAGATCCTACTGACATGTCTTAGGGTAGACACACAAACGTAACACTTTCGTATTTAATAATTGATTAGTATAATAAAATAAAATAAATTAATTAAACCATCTAGAATTTGACCGCGAAAGTTTCAAAGATGTCATGTAAGAACGGTAACGTAATCACCCATTGACATTGACTCCATTATAATAATTGTTATCATTATACGTAGGTTATATAGACATACAATTTTCTTCACTAATCATATAAAATGCCACGTGCGGTTTATAACATTTTGTCAGCAATGGTGCGGGATGGCATGCACTGTTACGCTGTTGCCTAGTTTCTTGAATTTGTAACAACATACGATCCAGCATGCTGTTGTAGCCTAGACCTAGAGGGATAATTTTAGGATATTTTGCAATATGAGGACATTAGTGTGAAATTGGCTGGCTGGATTCCATGCAGCCTATCTATTGCCTGCCTGGACGTGATTATTCCTGGTTAATTAGCTAGGCAGGCAGATTTGACGAAAAATAAATGCTATCCTATAACAGTTAATATTAAATACGTGGAATAATTAATCTCTGATCTGATTCGAAGATAATAGGGTTTATTAGGGATGACTTTTATTAAATTATATATAAGCGGGCTGCTGTGGATTAATTCTGATCTCATTAATTTCTATAATATTATTGGTAGAGTTGAATAATGATGTGTTGTCTGGTCAAGAATATTGCTGGTGTAATTAACTATGCACGATTGGGGAGAGAAATAAATTAGACGAACTATTCGATAATTGGATCCAATCGAATTAGCAGAGTGAGTTGACATTTATATATTTTTTTATAATCGAAAATGACATGCAGGCAGTGGGAAAATGAATGTGTATATGTTTGACTTCGATATATCGTCCATTATTGGACAATTAAATAACTTTTCGATTTGAAACAGAAGTTGCATCAAATTTGATTTTATATAAAAGGTACACTAATTGACAAGTTGTGAAGATGGAGCACCAAAGAAAAAAAAAACAAAGAAGTTTCTTCAAAAGATCATATCTGCTGACAATATTATATGAATGGCCCATTTGTAGATATATAAATAACTAAGCATATAAATTTTTTAAAATAATTGTCTCCATCAAGTTAACACAAGAAATCAAAACTTCCACGACAAAAAAAACCACAAAAATCAACAAAATATCATGTCTATATTTTTTGGCTAGCGATTACTATTATTATTATTATTATTATTATTATTATTATTATTATTATTATTATTATTATTATTATTATTTTAAGAATATAAGAATCTACAACATCAACTCGATGAATATTATTACAATTATCTAGCTAGATGTAACGCGGTTGTACGTCAAGTTAGAATTCTTGTGACATGATATGCTGATGTAGCATATTTTTTATCACTTAAACAAATTCGAAACTCCACATCAAATAAAATAACTATAAAAATCAACAAAATAAATATATTGTCTATAGTTTATGTCTAGCCACGACCAAGGGCATATATACACGTATTATTGATCCAAGAATATAAATTTTCTATAAAATGAAAACCCAATTGTGTACGTTAAATAGGAGTTTTGTGACCTGTAGTGTGATGTGGCAGAATTTTGGGCCGGGATGTGTGGCTGACGAGTGATGACACATCAGCAACACTAAATATTGACCGGCCACCTGCTGATGTGGCATTGACGGAAATCATTGATAACATGATCAATTCAATATTTATATTCATACGCATACTCATTACTCACCATTTTACCTATTTTATTTGGGCTGGACTATATGGCTTTTTCTGGACAGTACATCATAGTTAGTTATGTGCCCGGCACGGTTTCAAATATTTAGTTTTTTAAATAAAATAAAATAAAATAAAATATTTAGTGCTTTGATTGGGTACTTTTGCAAGTAATGGTGAGTCATTTTGGGCTATAAACTCCCTTCTGCTGGGCTTGCTTTGTTGCTCCTGTGGGCCCAATCAGTCGGGCCTCTTGACAAAGCAAATTGGAGTTCAATATTCATACTAATGTTCTTAGCCCATTTAAAATTGTAATGAGGTACCAATTTATTTATAATGACAATATTTCATTTTATTTTTGAAAAAATATAAACGTTATTGGTTTTTTTTTTTTAAAAAAAAAAACTACGTATATAATTATTCACATTTAGTTTTATAATTACTTTATTAATTCTTATAATTATATTTAATCGTACTCCTATTCATCAACCAAACTCTATATATAGTTAAAAACAATTATATATTTTAATAAATAATAAATATTTTGGTTTAAATCTACGATCAAAAATTTATCTCACACATCACTGGGCCATCGGACAATTGTGTAAGAATTTAATTTAATGTAATGCATTTTATAAATATATATTTATTGATATCCACTTGTAATGTTTTATATGAATTTATTTTCTTAGAAATGGCCCAACAAAATGCTTCTAATTCAAATACGAATTTAAACAATAATCTAAAATGAAAAAACGGTCAAATCTATTCTGATTCAGATCTACCCATACTTTGTCTTATTTCTTATTTATTTCTATATGTACTTTTTTATTATTACGATCTTCTTTCAATTAATTCACTTTTAAAATAATCTTATAATAATCACACTAACTATACAGATAACTTCAAATAAAATGCTAATTAGTTTTATTGTTTAAAAAACAATGCAACACTAGTTACAGCTCCATCGGTGCATATTACATTCCAATCCTAACTGTCTACCCCTTATTGATAGAAATAATTTGCAAACAAAATAGCAAACAATTCTTACAACACAAGAAGAGCTAGAACATATATCCTATCTTGATCAATATTATTGTCCCAAAACAAATCTAATTGTGTGTAAGCTCCCTCCCGCCCCATCACCAAGTTGGGGCCGGATCGGATCGGGCACTCTTAATCAATTAGCTGCTTTTACCGATAGAAACGGCGGAATACTTTGCTCGTTTCTGAAAAAGTCTGTGGGATCGACCCTAGTTTTCACCTCAACCAATTTTCGAAAATTTTTGTTGAAGTACTTCAATCCCCAAACACTAGCTTTGGCATAGCTCGTGTTCCCTTGGACGTCGTTGACTCCGAGATCAAGATCCCTATAATTAATGTACCCGGCTCTCGGAGACTTGGACACGTAAGGGGTCAAGTACTCGTACAATCTCCTCATCCAATCTATATGCCTTTTCGAGGCCTCCTCGCCGGGCTCGTTCCAGAACACGATGTGCTGGAATTTGTACAAGTTCCCCGCCCGGTGAGGGAATGGAAGTGCGGATTCGGATATCTCCGCCATTCTTCCACCGTACGGGACCGGGATCACTTGCGCCAATTCGGCTTCGTCTTCTAACATTAGCTTCCATAATCCTTCCAGGCCGTGTTCGGGAATCGGTTCCTGCACGTAATCGCTCTTCCCCTTGAAGTAGAACTTCAGCAACGGGTCTCGGCTTTCGAAGATCGCCGGAGGTGTTTCGATAGGATATGCACTCATGAACAGGGCTGATTGAATCCAGCTCACTTCCCGACAGTCGGATCTTTTCAGGCCTAATTCGGGGAGTCTTTCGGACAACAATTTTACGAGGTTCGCGGCCCGGCCGAGGAAGACGGCATTGAAGATTAGCATCACTGTTTTCTTTCCGGGCCGGGTTGTCGAATTCGCCTGTAAGATGGCTACAGGGACGAGTAGTTCTTTCGGGAAATTGGGGGCGACAGATTGCCATTTATGGAAGATCTTGGTAGCATTTTCTTCGATGGTCCTGCCGACGGAGAATACGGTGACGATTTTGGGTACGGTCACCAATTTCAGCTTCCAGGCGGTTATTACACCGAAGCTGGCGCCGCCGCCGCCCCTGATGGCCCAAAACAGGTCCTCCCCCATGGATTTCCTGTCGAGGATTTTTCCGTCGACGGTGATGATTCGGGCGTCGATGATGTTGTCAGCCGCCAGGCCGAATTTTCTGAGCAATGTTCCGTAGCCGCCGCCGCTGAAGTGGCCGCCGACGCCGACTGTGGGGCAGACGCCGGCGGGGAATGCGAGGGTTCTGCTGATCTGGCTGAGTTTGTAATAGATTTGTCCGATTGTTGCCCCTGACTGAGCCCAGGCTGTCTTCTTTCGAGCGTTGATTGAAATATGGCTCATGTTTACGAGGTCGAGGATGATGAATGGCTGGGGAGCTGTAGCCCACGAGGAAACTCCTTCGTAGTCATGGCCGCCGCTTCGTGTCCTGATTTGCAGCCGGAGCTTGACGGAGCAGCGGATGACGGCCTGGATTTGAGACTCGTGGGTGGGGGTGACGATGAAGAGGGGTTTTGGGGTGGAGGGGTCTGTGAATCTGAAGTTCCTCAGGGAGGAATTGAGGACGGGAGTGTAAGATGGATTGGAGGGTGTGTAGACGACGACCCTGGAAACTGTGGAATGGTTTCCAGAGGAGAGGCAATGGAGGAAGTCATGGCAATGGGCTGAGGGGAAGTTGCAGAGGAGAAGAAGAATGGATAGAGAGAGGAAGATGGGGAGTTTTCGAAATGGAAAGCTTAATGCCTCCATTAATGGCGGAATGGATGATCGATGGATCGATCTAGCTAGCTATGGATGATGATTTTGGGATGAGATAGAGTGAGAGTGGCATCTTCTTGAACTGTATTTATAGGTAGGTGTTTTTCAGACAAAGTATGCTTAATTAATCAATTAATTAATTATATTTCACAGAAAGAAGAATGATAAACGAAGAACACTATCTATATATTGTGATGTACAATATTGACTATCTATCTATCTTGCGTTGAATTGTCTGTTTCTTCTGGTCCATGGCATTGTTTAGTATTTCCCTAGTGTCGCTTTTGATGCGAGACTCACTAATTGTCTGTATATTCTAGTGTAGTATTTTATTCTGTTCTTTTTTGACCAACCGGGTATTTTTCTATGACACGGACCTCACCTCATTATGTTTTTGAGTAAAATTTTGAAGGCAACCTGCAAACTATCATCACTGGTCTAAATCATAGGCTTATGGATTATTGTTCCTGCATAATTTGCCATTCACTTTATATAAAGAAAATAACTGGATATAAAATAGTTACATTGTAATTTAAATAAAAGTTCAAAGATATTTTGGTATATATATAATTATTTTTATTAAAATAAAAAAAATACTTTAAAATAAAATTTAGAGTGAAACCAATCAAAATAATAAAAAAAAATATTTTGAGTTGGAGTATTATCTTTTAGAAGTATTTTTAAAAGGGCGAATCAAATAATAAAATGACAATTTATTATTATACTATATATAATATTAGTCCATAGGGCCGACAATAATTTAAAAAAATATATAAAACCAACCACCAAATTTCATTTGGCGTGCGACTCTGCAGTATAAATAATAGGAATACGACACACAACAAAAGCCGTAATAGAAAATTTAGCATTGAATATTCAAAGTTGGATGCATGTATTCACATTCCACTTTCAACAGAAAAATTAGCATTCTTGTTTTGCTAATAGGTAATTAAGATTGTTGTAAGAAAATCATTTTTTACTAGTATTTGAAATAACACATTATTTGATTATTGATTGAATTATAATATAATATACATATTTATTAAATATAAATTTAAAATGTGATGTTATTTGAGTTTTGGTTTTAAAACATATTAGCATGGCAAGTTAGTCCGCCGTTCATTATAATTCCAAAATAAGTAGATCATTTATGGCGAAGCCAGATATTAAAATTTAGTCAATTCAATCTAATCAATAGGTGGAGGGCGAGATACAAAATATTATTGATCGATATATTTATAAAAAAATTTGATAATAACTATTCTTACACATCTTCCAATAAATTGTAGAAGAACATTTTGAAATAAATGCATGTCGATGTGATATTATAGAATATTTTTCAATATTATTATACCATTCTCAGATTTTGCAACAATTTTGTGTCAATACAGTCTTATATTTTTTAGGCACATATTATGGACTTGTGACATTTTTATAACAATGACATGCTCTTAATTATTATATTTTAGTAGATTACGAAATAATTTCTACTCTTAAGAGTGTTTTGAAACAAATATATAATAATATATTTGTCTGGCTCTAAAGACTAAAAATAAATAAATTATACAAATATAAAAATAATTTTAATATTAAACATAACGATGTTTAGAGGCAGACGAAATGAGTAATTTATCCTTATATTTATAAAGATAAATATAAATTTTAAAGACGGACAAATCAAATAATATATTATAACAAACATGCTTATGATATAATGACCGAAATAAATTGTGATGATCATGCCTCAAGTCATGGTCAAGACAATACTTTGTCTCGGAGTTTCTTTTTGATAGTACAATGTTTCAAGATAAATAGGCCGATCTTCATCGCTTGCCGGATGATTGGAGGGCATCAGCGTAGTTAAACGGGCTTGCTTGTGCCGACCGGTAGTGGAATGGTTGTACCGCTGCAGTTTGGACACTTTGAAAATATTTGAGTTGAGTTGCCGTCGCTTTACTGCGGTTGGTATCTGGTCGCTGGCCCGAGTGCTGGAGACTGTTGCTTGTGAGCGGTGAAAACTGCCGCTTGCCTCTCTTGCCTTATCTTTTCACGGCGATGGAGTCATCGCTTGTGAGCGGGAATGACTATCGCTTGTTTCGTCTGTCTTAGCTTTTTTGGATCAAAACACCGCTAAAAAATGCGAAAATTGTCAATAATCTCAACAAACCAACTCTGGATCATTCTAAGCGAGATAGATCAATAAAGTACGCTATAAATAAGTTATTGTGATAGTTCTTATACAAAAAATCAATTAATACGTAGTTTTGTGAAGCGAGGAATATGCTCATATTTGGAGTCATCACGCGCCAAATCTCCCATACTTTTAAAATTGCGTCAAACTCCCTTATGGTTTCATAAACTTTGCGTCTAACCCCTGGGCGGTCCTTATTTAACGTAAAAATAATAAATATATTTATAATTTTGGGTTTAGAAATTGAGATTTTAAAATTTATTCACAGTTTGGCTCATTTAGGTCAAATACCGTTAAATAAGGACCGCCGATGGGGTAGACGCAGAGCTTATGAAACCACGATGGAGTTCAACGCAGTTTTGGAAGTATAGAAAATTTGGCTCAATTTTATGAAATCAGAAATAGGTTTTGTGCCATTTTACCTATTATTAATATAAAAACAGTTTTATGATTATACTAATTTTAAATGTATATAAATATATTTAATTTTTTATAAGAGAGAATAAAATAAATTTCAATTAACTTTTTTTAATAAAGCACCGATTACAATGAAAAATATTAAAACTGTTCGAGAGTATTATAATAATGTATTCGCTCTCTTATAAAACAATAGTTTTATTTCGTCATTTTCGTTCGTTATAAAATAATAATAATCTTATTTTTATTTTTGTAACTAACTCCCCACAATTTTACAAAATTATCTTCACTTTTTTCACAATAATTACATAAATCAAAAATATTTTAATCTTTTAAAAACATTTTTATAGAAATATTAATATAATATTATTATTCTTTAATCTACCAAATACTTTTATTGTTTTGGTATGGAAAGAATATAACCTAACAATCCCTTAATAATGATTAATAAATATGCAACAACATCTGGTACGGGAAAATTCATTAATCATATAAAAATGAATCATTATTAGGCCTAGTTTACAACTTGTGTGGCAATGAATGATACCATGGTGTGTAAGGTCATGGGTTTAAATGTCTGACGTCTCCAGTTTATTAGTCTAATCTTGACATACTTAATTTATCGGGTATTAGATTTTGACTGGGAATTTACCTAAATAATATATATTATACATCTCGTAACATATTTTTAATACAACATACAACATATTAATATATGATATTTACCTTGATTTTATCGAATAGCATGGGATCCGATCCGCGCCCTATATTGCATATTTAAGTGTTTGGTTGCAGCATCTTGTCATTAACTCTAGCTACTCTCTTAAATTATTATTATTATTATTATTATTAGATTCAATTAATAAAAGAGGTGCTTTGTTATAAAAATGAAATTAAATTAATCACATTTCATCGATTCAAGCTAGCTATGAATGTCTTACTTCCCAGCAAACCAATTTCACTTGGACAAAATTTTACTACTTAGCTTAACACATAGTACAATTTACCAATTCTATGGTTCCATAAATCTGCAGAAAGATGATTCGAATTTGTCACATTTAGTTATACTAGGAAGCCATTACCAACGGGGGAACGCTCTGTTCGTTTCGGAAAAAGTTAGTCGGATCGACCATAGTCTTCACTCGAACCAATCGATCAAAGTTGTTCTTGAAATATTTCCGACCCCAAACTCTGGCCCGTGCATAGCTCGTGTTCTTATTCTCATTCCATTCATCGTTAACTCCAATGTCAAGATCCCTGTAATTGAAATATGCAGCTCTCGGAGAGTCCGACACATAGCGCGCCGTGTACCGGTAAAGTCGCCGGAGCCAGTTCATGCGCCGCTGTTCCTCGGCAGGCTGTTTCCACCAGACGCCGTAATGGATCATGAATAAGTTCCCTGATCTATGTGGGAATGGAGATTCAGATTCTGAGTAGGTGTCTAAGATTCCTCCGTACGGACTGAACTGCAATCCCGCCGTGTCGTCGGGTGTCTCCTGGAGGAATCTCCAAATTCCGTTGAGGCCGTCCACTGGAATGGGCTCCCTTACATAGTCGGATTTACCTTTGAAATATCGCCTGCCATCGTTGCTTTTGTCAAGCAGTATTTCCAGGGGATGGCCGCCAAGACCCGCGAAATAGAGGATCGATTCAATCCAGCTCATTTCAGTGCAATCTTCCTTCACCAGGCCAAGTTCTGGAAACTTTTCGTGCATTATGGGTACAAGGTTGTCGAGGCTGCCGAGGAATAACGTTGTAAATGATGCTGCAATTGTCCTATCTCTACTCGTCGGGGACCTGATGCTGCTCAGGAAAAGCCTTAGCAGAAGCCTGTCGTCGACATTGGTGGCGACGGACTGCCATCGGTGGACAAGAAGAGTGGCATTCTGTTCCAGTGTCCTGGTCACGTTGAAAACGGTAATGGTCTCGGGGACGACCGCCAGGCTAACCTTGAATGAAACGATGATGCCAAAACTGGTGCCGCCACCACCCCTGATTGCCCAAAACAGGTCCTCTCCCATCGACCTTCGGTCGTGAATCTGTCCGTTGGCGTTGATTAATTTCGCGTCGATTATGTGATCGGATGCAATGGAATGTTTGCGTGACATCATGCTGTATCCTCCTCCACTGAAGTGCCCGCCGACGCCGACAGTCGGGCAAATCCCGGCTGGGAATGCGAGCGTCCTGCTTTTTCGAGCAATGGCTAAGTATAGCTGTCCGAGTGTGGCGCCGGCACCGACCCAAGCAGTTCCGCTGGCGGTGTCTATATTTATGGAAGAAAAGTTCCTCATGTCGATGACGACAAAAGGATGGGTTTTTGATGCGTAGGAGAGTCCTTCGTAGTCGTGGCCGCCGCTGCGGATTCTGATCTGTAATCCGGTTGTCCTCGAACAATGGATTGCGGCCTGGATTTGGGATTGGAGGAATGGAGTTATGATGAGAAGTGGTGTCTTGTGGGAGGTTGAGGAGGCGAGTCTGAAATTGAAGGCATGCAATAGAGATGCAAATGATGCATTTCCTGGGGAATAAACAATGCCATCGGATGTTGTATTGGATGTTTCGAGGCATTTGAGGAATCTGATGTTGGGACCATGTTGGGTCGAAGAAGGAGCATGTACTTGTACTAGTAACATAGGCAGAAGAAATAGCGCGAGGAATTTAAAAAGAGGTGGAGAAGAAGTCATTGTGCAGGTTACCTAGGCTAGGCTAGGTAGGAGGTGTGTGCATGTAAGAGATCGTTAAGACTATCTATATATATATATATATTTGTGGGTAGCATTCTTTCAATAAACTAATTGATCGCACGTGGGAACATTAAGAGCGTGCTTGATGGATCAGTACCCCGAAAACAGTTCTATTTTATTACACCAGCCGCCAATCACATGTCATTGTGCTAAACCACACTGCAATGCTTTGGTAGTGGTGAGAGAGAGAGAGAGAGATTCCCAAATAGTCCATCTTAATTTGGAACAAGGTGTTGCCGTTGAATCCATGGCATTGGCAATGGAATTATTCTAGTGCAAGAGCACAATAAACAAATGAACAAAGTGTATTCCAGACCAGTAATATTCAATTCAGAAAATTCACTTTATCTAGACTAGAACCACAGATTGGGCCGTCCAGTAACATGGTCGAAATATTATTATCACTGATTTAATATTAATCATATATTATCATGTTTCTTAAATCCCACCGGCATTTTGGCACATGTTTTTTGAACGCAAAACAACCACTGCCTGCCTACCTCCCACTGGAGACAATAAAAGATATACAAAATAGATGCTGCTGCTCATGCTCTTAACATTAAACTACGTTGCAAGCTAACTAACAAGAAGGGAAGCACGCAGACAATCCACATCTTCACTTACTTATCCATAGTGTCGGGACTGTCATCATTCTTGTTTTTATTATGGTTATGAATGGCGGCCATATCAATAGTGCTGTACTCTCCAGTGATCCTGAGGTACAGAACAATTGTTGAAGACAAATATATCAGCATTCAATCACACTATGCAGTAATTGCATAATAAAGCTGGACAGAATTAGATAAAGAAAACCATACTTGTTGTATCTCAGATAGGCTTCCCCAATTGTTCCGATGGCTTTATTGCGCACTTTGCGCACACAAACCTGAACATAAATGTGCAGCGTATCATTCCCTAAAAATTCAGTACGCTCTTGCAAAAAGAGAGTAGTTGATCATACCTGAACCAGGTCAAGAGGACCGGCTTCCGGATCCCTGTTGCGGTGAACGACAATCCCATTGTCACATTTGTTGATGAAGTGTGCGCTGCCACTGATGTCATACATGTTTGGTGGGCCTCCATCCCAATTATGCAACTGGTAAGGACATATTTCAGGCACTGTTATAGGAACATTTTGGCGAGGAGATAAAACTATGTGCCACAATAGCCCACCTGTCTTGGATGAGCCACGAACCAAACATGGCATGCGTGATGCTGCGCAAATCGTTTGACTTTTGTCAGCATCTGGCTCACATATTCTGTCTCAGTCCTGTAGCCAAACAAATAAAATAAATACCATGTTACAACATTACAGATAAAGGCAAGAGTGACATCCACTGGTCAATTATGAGACTTCCTCAATTGAATTAAAGTAAGCCATTATGCAACTGGGTTGTCAGGACAAGGTACCAATTTGTCCTAGATTCAGAAGCACTTACTGACTAGATGACCGTTGATGATCAAGTTCGTTATATGGATCAATCACAAGTCCACGGACCCCATGGCGCAGAACAGCAATTTTGGCAAGATCAAGTACCCATTTTATGTTCGGGAGGCAATCATCTTCACACCTGTTTCATAAACATGAAAATAAATACCAACCTGACCAGTAGAACTATTGATTATATTATTGCAGCTCCAGGTGAGCTACATGTGTAAGTAACATTGCATGATTATTTTAGTACCTTATTAAACAAAAGCTATCCTGTAGCCACTTCTTCCCTTCCTCCAACTCCTCAATGCTAATCCGATCACGAGTCTTTCCATATCTGTTCATTAACAGTACACCAATCAAGGCAACAAAGAGAGAAAGAGACAAACAACTTCTCAATCTCTAAATTCTCACTCATGTGAATTATACAACAGTCCCACAGAATATTCTTCACTTTCGTACTGCCAAGTAATACACATCATTAATTTCAAAAAAATTTTAAAAAAAGGTTGCAATTTGCATGCATTAGCCAATTTTCCCCCTTTCCTATTCAAGAGATGTGATTGCTCAAGAATGTAAATTTGTTACAGAAAACCATCTTACAAAACATCATATCACTACAGGAAGAATAATGACCCATAAGGGTGGCGTGCAACTCATTTTTCGATGGACCACATACCTGCCATGAAAGAAAGGCTTCTTTATGTGTTTCTCCAACAGTTTTCTAGCATGCTCACGAACCTATAACAACACCGAATCATATAAAACATATGAAAAAATAAAACATTTCAGCTCTAAGGGATGTCATAAGCCATAACATCACAAAAAAAAAACACTACCTTATTCTCCATAGAACATAATGCGAACTTCCAATCAACACTATGGTTGAGATTGCATAAAAGAGCATCAATCCATTCACTCTTGCCTGAATTTGGAACTCCAGTAACAATTGTCAATTCACCTGGTACAACCTGTCACCAAGTAGATAGTAGAGAGAATATGTAAATATGAATGACAGAAATTTGGTACAGCTTGGAATGAGATATAGTCTGGATCTGGAATTTCCAACTAGAAACCACTTTAAGGGTACACAAGGGAAGTAGAAAGTATAACAACCACCAAGAACCACAGATATGATCTGCACAGAAACTACTATGTCAGAATATCATGAACTTACATTGTATAATTCATTAAGAGCTGTCCATCCAGTTGAAACACCAAGCTCAAAACCAAGAGACTGATGGTAGTAGGCATCAATCTCATCATAGAAATCTTTGAAGTTAAACAACCCTTTTATAGGAAAAAGCTCAGCATTTTCAATGACTTCCTTCAGTGCCTGTGGGCCCATAGAAATAAGCACCTGCAAACACGACGCAGTGTAGCAACAGTATTCAGTTAGTAAGAGGAAGAGAGAGAGAGTAGTTTGATAAAAAGATAGAGCATAATTAAAAGTTTCAGATGAACATTACACAGTTAAAAGTTACATTTAGAGATAATTCTGACCTCATTTGCATCTTTAAAACTCTCAGTATCATTCTTTTTGGGCCATTTGACTCTCCAACACCTGATTAGCCAAAAAAATGTTTGATTTACTAAATTTTAATAGATTAAATGCAAAAAATATTTATAGCATTTAGCCTGACTTACTTTTCTTTTCCCAAGCGCCGTGCAAGTTCTTCAGCTAAGGCTTGACCAGGATGATCACTGTCGGTTGCAAGAATGATCCGAGATGCCTTGAAAAATCACAAAACCCATAGAAATTTGTGCTGCTATTTGCATGTACGAGTAAACTCTCAAATAATGAAAAGTAACTTGACAAACCTTGTCAGTATAATCTTTGCAATTCCAAAGATACCGGTAATTTGTGTCCTAGCTTCAGAAAATTCACAGAAAATGATATTAGAATCATGGTTGATTATAAAAGAGAATACACACAACATCAGGATGAAATATTCCATACACCAATATACTTGGGCAACTGCATGCGAGGAAGAGGTGCAGCTGACAATGACTTTTATGAAGATTTTAAAATTTTACTCCAGCACTACAATAAGATTTTAGTAAATATACAAAATAAATTTCCTACACCAGTTACGGGTAAATGGGTAGGAACATTGTCATGGAAAAAAAAATAAAAACCAAAATAATTAAAAAGAAAATTAATAAAAATCACATCATCATGTTTCCACAGGGACATGCAATACACAAGGGCAAAATACATTGCAATGGTCAAATGTGCAATAAATCAGAACCATCTGAACATCAAACGTCATTTTTGTTTGAAACCAAGATAAAATTCAATTAGAGCATTACCTTTTCTTCTGATGGCAAATCTTTATCAGAGACTTTTGAAGGGGCCCCAACAGGAACACTCACACAATTTCTAAAACCAGCTTCTTCCATTGCAAGCTTGTCCATTTCACCCTCGACCTACATAGATCAGAAAAGAAATCAATTGTGAATTATTTCAATGTAGCTAAAGAAAGAGTTTGTTGTGATCCTCTACCCCTATCTTTTAATCTATAAGATACTTTTTCCTTCTTTCAAAAATGAAAAACTAATGGTAGCCAAAGGATGAGTAGTTACTATGATGATATCACTTGCTTCTTTTATATCATCCAGTCCATAAAAGATCTTTTCAGTGTTAGCTTCCTGTGAACATGAGATCAACGTGCAGAAGCATCAAATTTTTATTTCAAGGAAACCGATAGAATGACAGACAACGAATTTCTCTTCTCGTTCCACAGAAATAAAATAACTACACCAACACAAAGCAAAAACCAGAAGATGAATGTACCATCCAAAACTGTTTAGGAAGACCACGATACTTGCAGCTTACAATCTCTCCATTTTTTCGATAAGGGAATGCAATAGCAATCTGCCAGGATATCATAATCAGAATCTAGTCCATCAAAACCCACACTAAGATGCAAGTATTTTGACAACTATGTACACAAAGCTAATAATATCAGTATATCTAGAATGAAGTTTCAATGCTTAATCCTCTTCGTACCTTGCCCGACATTCTCTTCTGCATGATCCCATTTCTCTGTAATGTTTCTTTTGATATCATCCGCTTAGCAAAAAATGCAGTTGCCTAGAAAAAAATTAAAAGAAGAATCACAAAACCATGTTTATAAGTTGCAATAACATAAAAGGAAGGGAGAGAGGGCCAGTTGTAAATATTGTAATCCTTCCATTGAAGTCATATCTCAAGATTGTAGTCTAAAAGAAAATTTAGCAAAATCAGATTCACTCACAAATTTGCATCAAGGTGTACAAACTTCTATATTCATCACTATCCGTTATGTATGATGCAGATATAAGTTAATATATTCTAACTAGTAATGCACACATGTGCATAAACAAACATTCCCATCAGATTCAAAGATAATTTAAATCATATGGCATTGACATTTTAGATAAAGACAACATCAAATTTTCTACATAGATAGATCATCTAAACATTTCAAAAAATCAGATAGTTCAATCAAAGTGTCAATAAAACCTGGTCTACACAGTTATTAACCATGTCCATAGAAGAATACTTCAAATGTTAACAAGATAACGTAACTTCCTCATCACACAAAGGTTTCAATTCTAAGCTCTCCTCTGACATTCTATCAGTTGTCTTTGTTTGCTTAACAATACTCATGCTGTCATAGCTTGATTTTTCACCTGCACTGGCCTGACAACACAAAGAAACATGCAAAAGAGACTAGCATCAATATATGGACTTGTTGGCTACTTAGCTTAGTATAAAACCTTACATGGGTAACACCTTTCCACTGACATTCCGTCCGAAAGCAGGAATAATTCGCTTGCCACCTGGAAAATAGGCATGTCAGCATCAGCCATGGAGCTAAAAATATGAAGTGAAGGGAAAAATAAAACCAACAATGTTTGTGGAATAACATGGTAAATTACCAGTTCTCACTAATACAAAGTGTTAAGCTATCCTTCTGTGGATCACCTCCTCCTTTACACTACAACGACAACAGCATAAACTCAATATATATAATAGAAATATAAATAATCCAAGAATGCCTAATACTAGACACACACACACACACACATATATATAGATAGATAGATAGATAGATAGATAGCATAACTTGAATGTAATTGAGAGCAGGTTTACAGATTTTTTTTTACTTCACTTTTCCACCAAAAAAAAAAGTGTACAATACATGAGAAACGAAAAAATAAAAGATACATACAACTGGACAAGGAAATGAGTAGGATCTTCCCGGAAGACACTCAGTAGCATCAAATCCAATTTCTTTCAATCTTTTTTGTAAAATCTCCTTCTGTCTTCGAACCACCACTCTCTTGATATCAGTCTCATAATCCACAGTAACTAGAAAATCATATCAAAGTTCTATTGAGAACAGATTAATGTAAATGCAAGTGAAGTTTCTCTAATTAATCAAGAAGTTAAATGGTTCATTCAAACGCCTGCATATTGTAAGCTAAACTTGGTAATATACCACTAACTATACTATAGTTCTTTGTTCTGAGATGCGTACCACCCTCCTCGCTCATGACACAAATCAAGCACGCTAATATCGAAAATAAGTCATGTACCCAATGAATATGCATCATTGAATCTTTCAGGTAATAAAAAAAAACAAAACCTTTATGTAATGTACATTACAGGGTGTCCTTTGGAAGAGAAATAAAATTAAAATTAAAATCAATAAAAAGGTATGCATCCAACCAAGCTTCAAACCACAAACAAAGGAACATGAAAGCAGGAAAATAAACAAAAAAAGGGCATCAACAAACTGTAGGAAGAAATGTAGACATCAAGAACATAAAAAGAGGTTACTAGTCGAGAAAAACTAATAACATTCAAGATTGTGATATATATATATATATATATAACTCGACGTTGTCTGGAAAAATCAACAAGAACGGGAAATAGGCAATCACGTTACTTTTAAATGAGCTTACTCGGTTCATGAACAAGTCTCGAACCAAAACTGTATGTCCTCAGGTAAATACGAGAAAAATGCTTCGGAGAAGCATAGAAAACGACATTTGGCCTGCTGCAAGAGTGGAAATCGTGGGTCAGTGAAGAAGAACTACTATACAGAGCGCGGGCGTGCGACGCAGGAGTAACAGTTAACTTTGGAAGCAGAGAATTGCGGGAGCCACAGGATATCATTCTGCAACTCGTTGAATTAGAAGTAAAGAACAGCTTCCTCCGCAGTAAAGGAAGCATTTTGCCACCTCGCTAAAGAGAAGCAGAAGAAGATGATGGAGGACTTGCGATTTTCATGGAAGAAAGTACCGCCCAAGGGTTTAGGAAAACTCCGTATAATTTCCAGCTTGGCCTTGCGAGAAAATAGTTATGGTACAGAACCTATTGTTCATCTGCCCTATGGGTGGGCCCAAACTGTCAAAAACCAAAATTAAAATTGGCCCTTCATAGTAAAATAAATAAATAAATTATATAATATCTTTTAAGTTTATAGTAAAAATAAATTAAACCAAACATTAATTTAAAAAATATATATATATTATACAAACTTTAATTTAACATAAAAAAATTATTATGCAATTTATATATATAAAAAACAGCTAAAATGGGCTTGCATTTCATAGAATAACATTTCATCCCCAATAGAAATGGCCTTTCTCAAAATAGCGACACCACTACTTAGCCATAATTTTCAAATTGTTGTTGAATAAAAAGATACAAAACAAAACAAGTGCTACTCGTATAATTCAGCATTTTGAATTGCGTCTCTCAGAGCATTTGCACCCAAATTCATAAGAACCTGAACCAAAAAACAACCACCATCAGCTTCCGGACAACCAATTCTTGCGAATAACGTCGAAACAATTTACACAGTCCTGTGTGTGTAAGCAACAGTGGCAGAACAAATCCGGACAGACCTCGTTCGAATCCTTGAAAGACTGGCTTTCATTTTTCTTCGGCCACCGTACTCGCCGACACCTAACAAAGTATCAAGAAAGAAGGAAATAGTTAAATGGCTAAGTCCCATTGCTGATCAAGAAAGTGCCACGAATCAATTGCTACCTCTCTCTCCCCAACCGACGAGCAAGCTCTTCAGCTAGAGCTACTCCAGGCTCGTCACTATCAGTCGCCAGGATTATTCGGCGTGCCTGACAAGAGTTGCAAAAGATTTTTCTGTGTAATGTTTGGAAACTGTAATATATTTTTAGAGGAATGCATTCAGATTTATAATGAGACCACAACCTTGTCAAGATAATCGCTGCAGTTCCATAAGTATTGAAATCTGGAGTCCTGATTCAATGAAGAAGGAATCCAATAAGTTTTGAAGGTACTGTAGGAGATCTAACATCCATATGGAAAATAAAATCAAGCTCTAGTCTCTGCCCAACCTTCTCTTGAGATGGCAGTTCTTTAAGTGAAACACTTTGTGGTGCGCCGTTGGGGACACTAACACAATTAAAATAGCCAGCTTCTTCCATCGATAGCTTATCTATCTCACCTTCGACCTACAGGAAGAAACCACTCAAGCGACAATATTGTGAGAGAAGTGTCATGATCAATTTAAAAAGTAACAGAAACTGTTCAAGCAATTACAATTATGATCTCATCTGCTTTTGCAATGTCATCAAGCCCATAAAACAATTTTTCCATACCCTTTTCCTGAAATTTGAAGGAACAAAATTAACATGAATAGCTAGCAACAAGTTCAATGCAAGAACAAGATCTAGCAGAAAAAACAAACGGGAGTCCCTACCTGCCAATACCTCTTTTCACTTGTAGTACGGTACTTGCAGCCAACAAGCTGTCCGTTGCGTCTGTAAGTAAAGGCAATGATTTTCTGCATTGGATGAGACAAAACAAGAAAACAGCCATTTTCGTAACCAACTTTACAAGACAAATCATTCCCAAGCACAAAACTTTACATTGTTTGCATAAGGAGAGTATTTTCTTACCTTACCACCCGCAACTTGCATAACATTATTTCTGTCCAGCGTTTCCTTAGATATCTTCCTCTCAGCAAAGTATGTAAGCAACTGAAACATAATGAAAGATGAATTGTCAGCGAAATAATCACAACATACATTGTTCAATAAACAAGCGTTTAACCGGTACAACTGTCAGCTGTCCTCATCCAACTTTTACATAAAAGTGACTTCCAACTATGGAATAATGCTCAATAACAAGGTTTCTAAGGAAATACCCGATAAAAGGTCAAGTGTAATACAAGCTGCAACAATATCATCACAGAAAAAAACAAAACTTCTGGAAATATCCATGAACTGCGAAAAAATATTCGAAGCAGGGAGTTGCATCAATATAGACCACAAGGGGTGACTCGCTGCCGGTAAGTAATTCTTGAATTACCTCATCTCCCAGCATTTCCAGTTTTAGACTTTCCACTGTCAGTGGTCGCTCAACATTAGTTTTGTGGGGAATGTTGATGCCAGGATAAGATGCTCCAGTTTCTGCAAAGACCTGCAACAAAAGTAACAATCTGCAGAGGCAATGCGAATGGCGGCCAGGTTTGCAGGAGTAGAAAAAGAGGGAAAAGAAATTTCAGAACTGCAGGTATGCAACCTTGCCTGCCCATCCACATTGCAGATAGAAACATCTCCACATTGCATAACTCCTGACATTGGATACATAAAAAATTATGTACTTAATATTGCAAGAACCTCAGGGAGCACCACATCTACATAATAAGCTTAATCTTTCACTCACCAATTTTCACTTATGTGCAACGACAGACTCCGATGAATGGATTTCCCCCCTTCACACTGACTCAGAGAAGAATCCACATAAATGAATAGATATTAAATTGTCCACTGACTCAGAAGAATCCACATAAATGAATAGATATAAAGTGGACAACGAAGAACCATTAAGTATGCACAAAATCATAATATAATTCTACACCATTTTGGCCAATCTCAATGATTTTTCTTTGAAATATAACCTCGAACTTAGTGAGAAACAGGTACACTTACACAACTCAGTAATTCTAATCCCATGGCTAGTGTTATATATTAGATATTCAACAAAAACAAAGGTAATGTCAACAACGACAATATAGTCGATGAACTAGAACAATAAACTAAATACCAAGAACAAGAATCACTTTTGATGCCGTGGTTTTCACACCCAAAAGAAGGACGTAAACCAAAAGGCAAATACCTTGGGACAATAGAGGAGATCATACTGTCCCGGCGTACAAGAATCGCTGTTTATTCCAAGGGATTCAATTTCTCGCTTCAGTTTATCTATATGAGTTTTCTCCTCCTCAGTCTCGTTCGCTTCGGCTTTGATTTTGAACAATCCACCAGGACAATAAAAACCCAAGGAATAACAATGTTTCAATAGCAATTCAAGGAAACTCAAGACAATTAGCGGAAGATTGCTGAAAAGAAAGCTTACCTGTTGATTTATTTGATCGGGCATAAACATAAGAAGATACCAAACTGCTCTGTAAGGAAATTCTTGGTAAACACTCGACGGGGTAGAGCAGGAAATGACCCGGTCGGCTTAAAAATAATAAATGTGACGAAGTGCTGGATGTTAGAGGACACGGCGCCGGCGCACAGTGGTGCAGTTGAAGATACATTATTAAGTTCTTAGTATTCAGCGAGTGTGGATTATATGAATATCCATTCAACGAGCGTTGCTGCGTCGTTTCGGTTCGAGAGGATGCCAAGGTAAAGGGTCTGTTTGGTCTATATTTAAAAATATATATATATATAGGGTGTGTTTGTTTGGGAGAATGAATTTTGAATTGAGATTGGAATAGTAAAAATTTGAATTTTAATAGTTATGTGATTGTTTGATTTGATGTTTTGAATTTTAAATTTAATTTTTAATATAATATAAAAAATAAAAAATATGACGTTTGATTTAATATTTTTGGGAAAAAAAATTAAATGAATACTAGAAATCCAATCCAATGCCCCGAACTAACACACCCATGTATATATATATATAAACAAATCATACATAAATTATATAAATATAATACAAACAACTGAGATAGCACATTATATATATATATATAATATTATTAAAAATAATATGTGAATGAACACAATCTTAAATTAAATATTTACAAAATATCAACCTTAACCCAATCAGTAACCAAATACACCCTCTGTTTTCACCTTCTATAAATACTGGCTGAGTGTAAGGTAGCAAGAATAATTGTAGTCATGACAGTATTCCAACTCATCTGAGTTAACTTCAAACGTCTCATGAAACAAACGATCAATCGACAAACATTTCCACAATCTATAATTTTCTTATCTGCCAATCCAGAATAAAATGATTTCCCAGTGTCTGGCTGTGTGTCATTTGATGATGGCGGGTCTATTGGCACGTTTCTTAGACGCGGATCTTGTGCTCCTTACTGGGGCTCTCTTGGGCAGCACCTCAGATGTCAATGCGTACATCTTCACAGCAAATAATTCATCAGGAAATCCATTTTGATCCTGACCATACATACAAATACAAATCCTGCTTAAACAAATTTAGCCGATTGTAATGACAAACCACATTCAGACAGCCCACTACAGAAGGCATGAGAACAATACATACTTTGGTTTTGTAAACATGCAGTTCACATTGGTCGAAGAGCTGCTTAAAGTACAAATCCGATCTTGTAATGCTCTTGTCTACCTTATCCAATACAAAACCTAACGCACATGGATGAATGCTCGATTAGGACAACAAAACTATACAGATATTATTGCATGTGTTCAAGGAAAATCAGCAAAAACTGCAGTTTGTTAAGTAGTAGAAACATTACCACTTCTTGCAATATTCTCCTTAAGAACAAAAAGGCCACCAGGTTTGAGACCAGCCTGAAAGAGGTATATATTTATTAGAAATTTGAAATAAATGTGCCATAAAATATTTGAATGAATCAACATAAGACTTGCCAGAACTGGTTTGATGAGATTTAATTCGAAGGCCATATTATACAACCATGAAGAAAACCATATCATTGTTCAACTAGATGTTCTTGCCTTACCTTCGCTCTTTTGAAGAACGATACAAAGTCATCATCTGAAAGGTGGCCAATACACCACTGAATCCATATAACATCATACCTTTCTGGCTCAGGCGTGAATTCCTGGAGTAAGGATCATATATAAATTCTTAAACAAAGAACACACTTGATTTCCACAAGAAAACAACAACATTGGCTGACAAATGCTTAATAACAAAAAAACTTGTTAAAAAAGCAAGGACAGATTTATTCAACACAATGACAAGAAAGTTAAAGCATACAACTAGTTTTCTGGTCGAGTTTCCTATGGCATTAACAAACTGATCATGTTGTATCATTTTATGTTTCGATTTGCAAGAACTGACTAATGTGGATCAGAACAAACAGAGTCCAATGGTATGACAGTGTTTAAAATCTCTTGCCTGAAGTGGAATGCAAAAAAAATTGGCAGCTTTATGTTCATCTGTGACCATCAAGTTCTCTGGGGACAAATTTCTGCGTGCAGTCTCCAGAAAGTGCGAAACCGGCTCAAGAAGATCAACCTGAATTGAAACGTTCAATTAATATGGTCAACTTAAAGAAGCCACCAAAAAACCAGAACTTCAATAATACAGTCAAATAACATTTTGAGTCTACAACAATTCGTTCTGTTTATCCAACTACAGAAATTAATGCATTATGTCATGTCTGGCTACTGATGTACATCACTGGACCAACAAAAAGGAGAGGCATAACAAGGCAAGGTAATGTAAATAATACAAAGTTAGCAATATAAATTCCACATCCTCCACTATAAAGTATGATTAGTCTTTGCTCAGTAAGCCATTTTTCACCTCCCGTGGAGACATTAATGACACTAACATCAAAGGTGAAAGACTACACAGTCAAATTAGTAAGACCCTCCAAACATGTATGCAGAAGCATATACACACCTCGTTGAAATATCTTATGAGAAGGTTCTTGGTGATTCTCCCTATCCCGGAGCCACAATCTGCAACAATTGTACCAAATCATCGACTCTCTGATCAATGCTCCTAAAATCTTGAGCATTTCGAACTTTCAGACTCAATATAGAATACAATACAGCCTTGATATCACAGGAAATGGAAAGGGAAACAGCCCACAAAATTCACTTCAAGAAACAAAGTTCGTAGTAGTCTAAACAGGCAAACTATATTGTGTTCATAAAAGAGAGAAAGGGAAAATAAACCATGTTTCTTGACCATTAAATTCCTTCATTGCAGACTGGAAAGAATGTTCTAATTTTCAGAGAAGCGTGACGAATATATTCAAAGAAGTTTGAAGTCATCAGGCAGTTGACATTTCTTATTGAAAACAAGAAGGAAGATATAAGCACCAAGAGTAACGAGACGCCTCCCGCTGCCAGCATCAGGAAATCTTTCAGACAAGAGAGCATTCAAGAATGCCTCGCTACCCTGTATATCAGGCTCATTCACGTGCTCGTACCCTCCCAGCACCCCGTCCACCGTTGCCTCCACGCCCTTCTCTTCCATAAAGTACAGATACAGAGTGAAAGCCCTTCCAACTAAGTATAATCAACAACGCAATTAGGATGGCAAAGAATGAAAGAACAAGTGCACCATACCTGCCAATAGCTAACGCCCTGAGAGTACCACTGCGATTTCTTTAGGGGGTCGCCATCCCCAACCTCTTCCCTCCACATCTCCTCCGCGCTCTTGAATTCACGGCCCTCGGAGTCTATCCCCGTGACGTCCATCCGAATGCACTTCAGGGGATTTTCCCTGGGTTTCCACACTCTTGAAGCTAGCAAGTCAGATGGAACGCGCAGTCGCAGTGAAGCCTGACTAGGAGATGGACGAAAAGAACTGTGCATCTTGTTTCGAAACTTTTCTTTGGTTTTCGTCTTGCCATAGAAGAAGTCTATTGGGCAGAGTCCAAAAAACGTAAATAAAACTATATATCTATTGGGTTGTACAGTCCAATATTGTTGAGACCGTTAATGGAAAAAAATGGTTTTGCTCACAAGTAATGGCCCAAATCATGTAACAGCGATATACAATACCAATAGTGAATCTCCATTCAACTTGTGCAAATCGGAATGAGGATCGTCAAACTTTGTTGGTCGCATTGTTCATTGTCGAATAATGGAAGGAGAAGGCAGAAGTGAGGCTATGATTTGAAACTGAAGGCTCGGCGAATCTCTCGGGAATGCAAATCAAGACTTCTACTTCGTTAGCCGACGCGTTGCAGTTTTGCATAGATCGTAAAGCCCACAGAACAGGGAAAATCATCCAAGCTCGTATCTTTCGTACCAATCAGCTCTCAGACACTTTTCTTGTGAACCGTCTAATTGAACTGTACTCGAAATGCGGCAATGTGAGTGCTGCTCGAGACCTGTTCGACCTAATACCCTTGAAAAACATATTCTCTTACCATGCAGTTTTGGGCTCTTACTGCAAAATGAATGACCTGCATAATGCGCATCAGGTGTTTGATCAAATGCCTGAGAGGAATGAGGTTTCTTGGAATATGATGATTAGTATGCTGTCAAGAACTGGTCCCAAAGAGGCGGCCTTGGAAGGCTATTACTCGATGAGACAGAGTGGTTTTTTGCCGACCCGATTCACCTTGGCGAGTGTTTTAAGTGCTTGTGGAGGTTTGAGCCGAGTAGTGTGCGGCAGGGAGTGCCATGGAGTTGCTATCAAGCTTGGACTTGAGGACAATATGTACGTGGGCAATGCATTGCTGGGAATGTATATGAAATGCAAATGTATTACGGATGCAGTTGATGTTTTCAAAGGACTGCCCGAGCATAATGAGGTGTCATTTACTTCAATGATGGAGGGACTAGTTGAATCTGGCTGCGTTAATGAAGCGCTCGACATGTTTCGGCTAATGCATAGAGCTGGCATTGTGGATTGTGTATCACTTTCGACTGTGTTGGGTGTGTGTTCCAAGAGTGTGGTTGAGGAGTTTCTTGTGAACAATGGACATGGGGAACAGAGAGATAATATTCATGGCAAGCAAATACATGGGCTTCTTGCTAAACTGGGGTTCGAAAAAGACCAGCATGTGAACAATTCGTTGCTTGATATGTATGCCAAACATGGATGTATGGAATGTGCAGAAATGCTATTCAACAGTATGCTACAAAATGGATTAGTCAGCTCCATTTCATGGAACGTTATGATTGCAGGATATGGCAAGCAACACAGCAAGGACAGGGCATTGGAATGCATGGAAAGAATGCAGAGTGGTGGATATGAACCGGACGAGTTTACATATGTTAACTTGCTTTCGGCCTGCTTGAAAAGTGGTGATGTTGCAGCTGGGCTTAAGATATTTAATGGTATGTCATTGCCAAGTTTGGCATCATGGAATGCTATGCTCTCGGGATACTTTCAGAATGAGTTCCATAGCGAGGCAGTGATGCTTTTTAGAGAGATGCAGCTCAGAAATGTTAGGCCGGATCGAACTACTTTTGCTATAGTTCTTAGTGCTTGTGCAAGCATTGGTCTTTTGGACAGTGGAAAGCAAATCCATGGTGTTATGTTAAAGGAGAAGCTTTGTGATGATCTGTATGTTGCCAGTGGATTGATAGGTTTGTACTCAAAATGTGGAAAAATTGATGCGGCGAAACAAATCTTCGACATGGTGCCTCAGCATGATACAGTCTGTTGGAATTCGATGTTGGCGGGCTTATCCGTTAATTTGTTGGATGCAGAAGCCTTTGCCTTGTTTAAGCGAATGCTCCTTGAAGGGGTGGTGCCAAGTGAATTTTCTTACACCACAATTCTCAATTGTTGTTCATCATCGACATCTCTTTCCTTTGGAGAGCAAGTTAATGGTTTGGTGGTGAAATCCGGACATGCAAATGATGTCTATGTAGGGACAGCTCTGGTTGATGTGTACTGCAAGTGTGGCGATGTCAATGGAGCCCGAACAATTTTCGACACAATGCCCTGTAAGAATTCCATTACCTGGAATGAGATGATTCATGGCTACGCTCAACATGGATGTGGAGAAGACGCAGTTGGCTTATTTCACGACATGATTCGGTCTAATTTCAAGCCGGATTGCATAACCTTTGTCGCCGTGTTAACTGCTTGCAGCCATTCTGGAATGGCAGACGCCGGATTAGAAATATTCAACGCAATGCAGCAAGAACACGGCATGGAGCCAGTCACTGATCACTACACTTGTGTAATTGATTCGCTGGGCCGTGCTGGACGGTTCAATGAGATCGAAGAAATCATAGATAAGATGCCGTGCAGAGATGATCCAATTGTATGGGAAGTGTTGCTCAGTTCTTGCAGGGTTCATTCCAATGTGAACTTGGCAAGAAGAGCCGCAGACGAGCTTTTTCGACTGGATCCCCACAATTCTGCCCCTTACTCACTTCTAGCCAACATGTATTCATCCTTGGACAGATGGGATGATGTTAAGAATGTTAGAGACATAATGAAAGAACATCAGATCTCGAAAGAACGAGGTTATAGTTGGACTTATTGACCTTATTGTTAGGGAAAACACTTGTCTAGATTATCTCAAGTATATGTACAACCATTTTGAATGGCATTCAGAAATTTTGTGTAATAGAAGACTGTTGTCGACCATTGATGATGATGATTCATAGCTGGAGAGTTTTCACCCTACCCGAAAAGATCACCTGCAACATTGTTATCCTCATCACCAGGTTGCATTGGGAAGCTCAACTCAATCTCCACAAAAATTCAACCCAAAATCAGATCCCTTCATCTCTATATAATCCCAATTCCCTATCAACACATTTTCATCAATTCAAGAACTCACTGAGGCAATTTACATCAACACCAACAGCAAAATGAAAAGCATTGCCTTCTCTCTGTTTGCTGTCCTCTGCTTGGCATACTGCTTTGCTCATCTGAGCAATGCAGCCATACCATGTGGCACAGTCGACTTAAAGGCGGCCTCGTGCGTGACCTTTGCCACCGGGAAGGATGCGAAGCCATCCCAAGCATGCTGCAGTGGCCTGCAACAGCTTGCAGAGTCCGTGAAGACGGTAGACGACAAGAAGGCTATCTGCAGGTGCCTCAAGGCAGGGGTCAAGAACTTTGCTGGGGTGCAAGACAGGTTCTTGAGCAAGATCCCTGTTGCCTGTGGCATTAAAGTTAGCTTCCCAGTCTCCATTAACACTGACTGTGAAAAGTAAGATCAGCTAATCTTGGGGTCATATTTCAACATAGTACTATTAAGGTTGTTCTAACTGATGTGTAATTTGGTTTTGCAGGCTGCACTAACTAAGTCACCTCTCTGGCATGGATCGAATAATGCAGTAATGATAGTTCAGTACAATTTGTTGAGAATAACTGTTAGATTGTATGCAATTATGCAATGTTTACCAGGCAATGATATGGAATAAGAATGCTTTGAGCATTTTGAAGCCATTTACTGAAACAAGAATCCTTGCAATGTGACAGATAAGCATTTGAATCCTGAATAAATATGTGTTGTGTTTTTATAGCCATGGAAGTCACTTTCTTGATGAATTAGGGGCTGCTAACTTAATGCAAATCAGAGATGCTGTTACCTGATGACTTCAATCTCTAAGTCAATAGTCAGAATTGTCATTTTATTGTGACTGAATATATATATATATATAACGCCAAGAATAAATATGACAGAATCCTAATTGTGAAGTGTGCTTTTAACTGAATTCGACTGTTTCAAGTGAATTATTATTATAGCTTCAACATGATCTCTTCCGTAGTCGTTACAAACATGATTTCATCCGGATAGATTATACTTTTTAATTAATACTATTATTATTATTTTATCTCAAACATATATGTTCTCATCTATTAATTGGTTATCAATTGTGCAACAATTAGCTAGTGCTAGTGCATGCTCCCTTAAAAATATTGCACGTCAACAACAAACAAAATTGTACTATGTAAATGGGGCTGCTAAATCAAAAAAATAAATAAATAAATAATCCCATGATCATTGGGTGATAATAATTCACGATCAAGAGCCAGTAGCAGCCAAAGGGTGGTGTGGTATGGTATGGTAAGGTAATCAATCATACATGGATCAGTGGGAAACTCATGATGAGCAATTGACTGCACTCCCCCAAAAAAAAAAAAAGCGTGAAAGGATGGTTTATATAGAAAACACGACTTTAAGAAGTCGGAATCCATTGGATGCTGCTGCTGTCTTAGTGCGATATCTTTTTCCATCAAAATCATCATCATTCACACACTGATGATGGATGGATGGATGGATGGATCGTTTCTGCTACAAAACCAAAATAATTACTATAATGCTTTTCAGTTTTCGATCAGAAGTAATTAGATAAGATTAGATTAGATTAATGCACGAGGGACTGGGACTGGGACTGGGACTGGGAGCTAGCAAGTCTGACTAAATATTTAATAAAGTTATCCTCCGAGATGGTCAAAGTGCACAGGTGTGTATATGTATGGATGTATTATTTTTAGTGTTTTAGTTGGAAAGGAAGAAATTGAAATAGTAGTAATTAATTAAATAATAATTGTGTGTGTGTGTGTGTGTGTGCATTGCAGTGGAAAGACTGGAGTCCCATCGAACATCAAAATCCTACATTGAGCTTTCTAGTCATGTCTAATACATGTACTTTTCCCAACTGTTGAAACCTTCTGTTCCTTCAGCTTTCTGTCCCATCCACCAATATTCCCCATTCACAATTTCAATACTAACATTACATACTTATATAGTGCTTTTCCCCTAATCAATCAATTTATTAATTAACACCAAGATTCTGCCTAGCTAGCTACATAATTAATAATTAATCATACAGATACTCTCCCTTTCTCTCTCTAAATCTAAAAACACACACACACACATATATATAATTTGCATGGTAAAACTTGCTGTGTGCTTAATTAATGGATTCAGTGTGTATTATTGTAATTAACAACGAACCAACCAACCAACCGACCGACCCAGCCTCTGCTAAACTAGAATGAAAGAAAAGAAGAAGAAATAATTATGAATAGTGATCTTCCCCACGTGAAAAAAACTGAGATGATGCATGGAATGAAAGTGGCTGCCACATTTAAGTATTGGATTCTGTCTTTCTCTGAGTTCTGACTGATCACTCACTGTCGTCTGTTTGTTTGTGTCATGAATCCCTAGTTTTTGCTTCAGTATAAGCAGACGCGGTGGCGCCGGCGGCGGGAGAAGTCGCCGTGCCGGCGGCGGAATATTTAACGCTGCTATTCCCCACGGCCCACTCATAGAACCCGAACGAATCCAAACACTTGTCCTCTCCATTCGCGAACAGCATCTCCAGAGAGTGATGATCGCCTTCGATTTCCCCCAAATCGGCGAAGAAGCTGTCTTCGGACAGGTTGGATTCCATGGCCATGTAGGTGCTCGGAAACCCTTCGTCGAAATGGTCGGCGGCGTCCTCCATTTCCAATTGATTGTCCAATTCTGTCTCCTCTTTCACTGCGATTGCAGACGCCGCCGCGCCGTTTTGATCGGCTGCGGTTTCCTTCTGGTCCTCGTCCCTGGGGTTTGAGGCCTTCTTGGTGGGCTTGAATGGCTGGGACCTGGTGGAACCGGCGAGGGCATTTCTTTGGGTCGGCCATGGATGGTTGTGCTCCGAAGTGTAGGTGATGACCAGCATGTTCGGGTCGGTTCGGCTCCGCTCCACCTGTTTCCTCGCCGAGCATCCTTTCGAACTGCTGCATCTGTAATAACCTCTGGACATACAAATATATATGTACATACATCGAAGGATGAGCCCTAAATTAAGAACTCCAGTCCAAAAGACCCCAAATATTGCGGGATATGATCAATTATCTAGCCCCAAGGACTAGTGAAAATTGAGAAGATTTGGATTAAATAGAATGTGTAATTATTAATCAATCTGGTACGTACGGACGAATTAGATAGGTGCATACCTCGGATATGGCGAACCTTTAATGGGTTTCTGTCCGTATTTCCGCCACGCCCAGAGATCTGAGGGGACAACCTCGCCACTGGGCCTACTGTTTGCAGGTGCTGGAGCAGGTATGCAAACAACCTTCTTTGCCTGGCCCTTCCTGCTGATGAACGCATCAGAATCAGAGCTTTAATTTGCTCTATCTATCGATGTGTTGGCTGTTTTTTTCAAATGAAGGATCCATTTTGGTGTACGTATTCATTAGCAACGTGCTACTATACTATACTATACTATACGTGTTGGAAAAGAAAGTGCAGAAACAACAAGTAACTAAGATCGATCGCTCTCTTCTATTGCACAGAATATTATTTCTGTGTCTGGACTCGACTGCAGCTTCCTATGATCCTACCCTCTCTCTCAAAAGCCAAAAGTGAAGGAAAAATTTAAGACACCTAACAGATGAAACCACAGGAATGATCAGCTCTGGTGGGTTACAGTGAACAGTGGACTGAAAGCAAAGTCTGGTATTGTCATGGGACACACACACTGCCAGGAATTTCGATCATTATTGTTATTATTAACTTGTTAGATGCAGAGAGATTTGTTGATCAAATCATACTTGCTTTGACTAATTAAAGAAAACAAACCCTATTCTTGAATGGGCTTCTGCAAATTCGCATCAAATATCAAAAACCCTCGTAAGCTTTGGTTTCAGAGATTAATCATTTAATCCGCGAAAATAATTGAAATCCCCACCTTTTCTTGATGCCCGTGTTTCGCGGAGACGAGATCTGCAGACCTGCAGGGCTCTCCATTAAGCAACCTTTGGATGTGTTCGTCAATGATTGATCGCCTGCTGCAGACAGGAGAACAGGAGCTGCTGCTGCACTCTTCATGGCTCTGGTGGAAGACGCAACCGCCGCCGGAGATTCCGACGCCGGAGCCTTTGAGGTGGGAGAGATCTGCAACACCCTCGAGAAAATATTATTCGAAGGCCTTTTCATCGCATCGTCGTCGAGGGTGTTCATACCACCGTCGACGTTACTATTGGAGGCGGCGAAGTCTCCGAAGCTTCCTCTTTCTCCGATGATGTTAGAATTGCTGTGGAAGAATCCTGCAGGCAGTGGAGTAGTGTCGATGTCATGAAGAAGTGGATCTCTCAATTGAACGAACGGATCGCCGAATTCTTCGGTGCAGTACGTAATCTGATTGATCGGAAACTGCCACTCGAACTGAGACGCCGCCGCCGGTGCTACGTCGCCGCCTACAGTGCTTCCTCGTATCACGTCGTTCAAATCTCCCTGGTAATTCTCCATCCTCTTCATCGGGAAGTAACTGCACATAATTAATGAGGGCACTGTCTCATTTGACTTGGATTCAGTTTGACATGATTGCACCGGACAGACGCAATGAACATGCAGAATTTCCAGGCTCTCCCCTCCAAATTAATTAGGGCACAGTTCTTGAAGAAGCTACAGAGAATCCACCAATCGATCTTCTTCTTCTTCTTCTTCTTCTTCTCTCTACTCTCAAGATCAGAACTTTAATTTGGTCTGAAAATAGGAACCCAAAAACCAGAATGGAACGAAGTAAGGGATCGATCCAGCTAGAGAGACAATGGCGAAGTCGCTGACTTTTCACATATATATACATATATAGAAGAAAAACATCTGCACCATATATACGCAACTGGTAGCCAAGAAATGAAATAGGAGAGAGAATGAGAAAGAGAATTAGAGAGAGAGAGAGAGAGAGAGAGAGGTGGTGACAAGTTAGATATATATAATAATGATAATTGTGATATTATAATTAATCGAACATTTCAATCTTGAGGTAGCTAGCTAGCTAGCTAGCTGGTTCAAGTTGTTCTTTTAAAATCCTGATGGCGACATTAATAGCGTAGTAGTGGTCAAATCTGTGCAACTGTATTCTCTTAATTTATTATTTGCTGCTTCTTAATACTTTAACATATATTTGTTCTATCCATCCCATCCCATCCCATCCCATCCCTTAGTTAATTATTACTAATATTAATCCACCATGAATAATAATAATAACAATATTAATTTGTTCTTTCTTGCCCGACTGGATCACTGTTGTTCGAATTTATTTAAATCGGAGAATTCAAACCCATCCATATATATAATTTATTAATACATATATATATAGTCACAATAATAATATTTAGAAAAAGTAAAGATGAGGCAAGGAGCCGCAATTCTCGGAGAAAGGCTTCACCACGTTTGGAGATGAAGCTAAGGGTCCAGTGGAAATTAAACAACACCACCAAAATTCTATGCATATTATCTTCTCTATATATATATATAAATTTTGTACTCTTCTTATTCGATTTATTTATTTGTTTTTTTAAAAAAACAATGTAATGCGTTTCATTATATAATTTATATTTGAAAAATATTTATTAATTAAACTCGAATAATGATATGGATCCCGTCTTGACGGTCATAATTTTTTTCTTTCCTTTTTCCCCTCTATTGAATCACAAATAAACTCATTTAATTCCATTTGCTACATATAAGAAAAATATACAAATAGCAACGTCATGAGTTTCAACTTGTAATGGAATATTTACTTGAGCCTTGAAATTAAGATATACCATTATAGTATATGTTTTTATAAATATATATATATATATGGGCCGCAATAATAATATTTACACGTAACCCTCAATTTAAAGCATAAATTATTATACAGACACAACTCCACGTTCTTGCATGAAATTAAAACATCACAGGCAGGGAAACTAATTTAAATTATTTAAATCTGGGATTCTTTTCTGACACAGAAATTTGTGAGGAACAGAAGCATCCTTACATGTGATCCACAACCCTAATTTAGTCCCAATTGTTATTATTTCTTAATCAGTGATGATCACCTTTTCCATAAATAAATAAATTAATTCGCATATCAGTCGTGATTCATCGTCGATCCTAATAATGACAAGTTGACATTTAGACAACCCAACCTCGATCTTATATTACATCAACTGATTTAAAGAATTATTTACCAACGTTTAATTTGATCTAAAGTCGTGTTTTGATAAAGTCGCTATCATCCGCACGCGCGACACCTGACGTCCTTCCCCAGTTACCGTTCAACAATTACGATTAATCCTTGCCCTACAATCTGCCGACGTGGACGGCCCAGATTTATCAGTCGGCCACCTGTCCTGTCCTCCTCCTCCTCCTCCTCCTCCCTGTGTCATACTAATATTTTATCGACAATTATAGGACTGACTAATTAAATGATCTTTGAATGTGTAATGAAAACATAAATCAACGACGTAACTCTGAATGTAAAAAAATATTAGAATAATGATAAATTAAATGATTAAGAATGTAATGACAACTTTGCTTGGTTTGGCAATTAAGTAGAAGATTACGATGGAGTGGATTGTGCCATTACTTTGGGGAACCATTTGCAGATTTGAATCTTTTCTTGGGTGCAGTTCATAAAAACCAAGGTCTTGCTTAATTAATTTAATTATTCTATATGGATGTAATTTTATTTTTATTTTTATTATTATTATTACTGGATATCGATTTAATTAATACATGGTTGTCAGCACAAACAGTTAATGCCGCCGGCAGTAATCATGGGTTCGTGTCTGGCGATTTGTTTGGATTATGAATTCTAACTTGATAACGTGCTTGTCATTAAAACCAGTCACCCAAGTTGGATGTCTGTATATAACTATGCATGTATATTTAACATTGTCATCTATTTTAGTGTAAATTTTCATCTCATGGGAATCGAATCGAAAGAGAGTGATTATAGTATATATATGTAAGTGCGATTTTCCGTGTCCAAATTGGACCGTGCCCAAAAAGCATTTATTTGGGCTTTCCGAAGTTGGGCTTCAAATATTTGACTGCGGTTGTAGGGAGAGGCTTCACATTTTTAGATAGATTGGATTGGAGGCCCAATTTAATGGCATCCGGGGGTATTTGTATTTGTAAGTAGGTTGCATTTAATATTTTTAATTAAAAAATAAAAATAAAAATGGTTAATATGCTATTCCATTCGTTTGACAATATTTATTTATGCTTGTTTGATTGAATACAAAAATTAATAAATAATAATATTTTACTATAAAAATATAACAAGTAAATTATAAAAAAAAAATAATAATAATAACAAATTAGTTACTCCCGCTTTATAATTTTTTCTTAATTTGTAAGTAAATGAAATCTTCAGACTCGGACCGAAGTAGTATTATTTATTAAAATAAAATAGTGAGTACATAAAATATATAACATAAAAAACTACAATATATCTCAATTTGCTACTATTTCAAGGCGTATCTTGGATAAATTTTCAACTAAGCATAATAGCCTGTAAAATACATTAGTAAGATAAATTACACACTATACAAGTTTTACGTAACATGCAAAATCAAAAGATCGGTGTTGGAGATTTTTTGTGCTCTTAAATATATTATTTGAAAGAACAAAAAGAGGATCCAAAACACAAATTATGGTATGTTTTGGATGGAGTTTTTTGTTGATTAGTGTGTGGTTGAGATTTACTGCAAATATAGAAGAATATTCATGACTGAGTTAGAAACCAAAACAATATCAAATCTGCAATTAACGGTGGAGGAGGAAGCCAATTAAATGCTCCAAAGCCAAAATTTGCATTCTGAATGAAATTATGCAACCATTCCAACCTAGCTAGTACCATTACCTTTGTATATTCTATTATTTTATTTTTAAATACGAATCTGAGATTGGAGAATAGCCTATATTGGAATATTTATTCATTTTATCTTGTACATATGTACATATCTATATATATAAAAATTACATTTCCTTTTCATACAATAAAATTACATTTTTCTTTTTTAAGAAAAAGAGTAATATGACATTAATTATTTCCGCTCCCGGAATCTTAGCCTTCTTCTTCGTCTTATTCTTCATCACCTGCAACGCAAAGCCTGCATCTACAGAAAAACACAGTCGGGTTGCTACTCGACCAGAAATCAAATTATTAAACCAATGATTGGATTGGATTGGATTGGATTTTAAACACAATTAAAAAATAAATAAATAATAACAATATAGACAAGTTTAGGAGGAGAAGATCAGCTTGGATAGATGGATCTGAGTAAGGGGCGACAATTTTGGCGACATGCTTGGCCCGCTGCATGCCACCCGACTCAGCCAAGCCTCGCCGCTCTGTTTGGCTGCTGCCGAGTGGCATACAGGGAGCCAGGCATGTCTTTGTTTCCCCATCTCCATCTCCATCTCCATCGAGACCTTACACACGTACGTACCTGTACAATACAAATATGTATTAATGCGTGATATTGTTGTTGTTGGTGTGGAGAATTAAGAGAAGAATGCCTCCCTATTTATAGAGGGCTTATGGCACCTATGATTTACCTACTATGTATAAAAATATTTCAATAATAAAACCCGATTCTGTCAATAACAATAATATAGTTACTATAATAATAATTATTATTATTGTTATATATGTGCATAAATGAAATCTCCCTATTTTGCTTTTTGCCTTTTCAGGCAGTCACGGCTTTCTCTTACATTACCACTTACTGTGCCGACAATGCCCTTTCTAATTTGGTCAAACTGCTGATTCAATACCACACTACCCATTTTTAATTTCCTATATAATCTGTTCGACATATATCTTTCAAAGAAAAAAGAAAGTGTAATATATTCAGAATATTGCATTTGGATCGACCTCAAAATGAAATATCCACAGAAATCTTGAAGGAATTTAAAAAAGGAAATCGTTTTCACATAGAATTGCTGTCGGGTGTATGACTCAAACAGTCGTGACACCTTTTGGCCATCTTTATGTGTATTATTGTCCTCAACTTTAATTTGATTTTGGGGATGAATGCAATGAACACGATTTCTTAATTAGGAATTTATTCTTTGTTTTATTAGTCAAAAAAAATACACTAAAATTGGAGCTACTGAAATCAATATTTCTTATTTAATCCGTTCTACTTATATTTACTGTACGAATTCTCGGGTTATAAAAAAATTATACTACACATAGCTGGTTTAATGTGATTTATTTTGTCTCATCTAATTTGTAATTATTAGGTTAATTCTATGGACACATTCTGATAATAAATTTGATACTAAAATAATATTGAATAAAATATTTTGAAAAAATATATTATTTTCATGAAAAAGTAAATTTAAATAGTAAAATTTGAAAAATTTAAACAAAATAAACACAATCAGTTTAAAATACAAACAAACACTTATTTTTATAATAATAGTAATAATAATGATGATGATGATGATAATATTTCAAGAATATATCGTGAATGTAAATATCCTGTGATATTTGCCTCAAAAGTTTGATTGCAATATTCCTGCAAGAATCCTCGTTTTCACACTAGGAAAGGAAAAACTGTCGATAGAATACTTACGGATTTTCTCGCCGGTGGCTTTACCTTCCCGTTGCCGCTGATAACCCCCCCTGCCGTCGGTTCACGGTAAAATTTTCCGGCCTGTAAACTGTTCATAGAGAGGGGAAACAATTACAACCAGCGGCTTGAATTGTACGCAGTTATAATGCAGCGAATGCAGTGGAATTTCAGGACTATTTTACATTTTTTTTTTCCCGAAAAATTTAATTCGGATGATGCACTTTGGAAATAGGGATTTTGAATTTAACCTGATTCATGTGGCTTCTGTGATTTTCTCCGCCGCCCGCTGCGCGGCAAAACCAATAGTATTTTGTCGATGGCGGAGTCCACAATTTTTATAGCCTTAATGTTTGGATCTTTTCTTCCTGTAATTGTCTTTTCTCAAATCCTCCGTCTAACAATCCTGCGATTGGTGTACTTTTTCAGGATGTCTTTTTTCCCCTGCTCCTGCTACCTTTGAGGATTTCCTACCTGAATCCCGATCTTCCTGCAGGTATATCCACGTTTTTCAATCACTTTTGAGCTTGATGATGGTGTTGTGCATTTTATGGTGGTATGAATCAATGGGGGATAATTAGGATGCATGATTAGGGTACCTTGTTGTCTTTGGTTTTGGCATAGACTATGATGAAATAAGGCTTAAATGTGGTTTTGGGAAACGGCTACGATGAAATAAAGGTAAAATGTAGCAAATGTATGAGCTCTTGATGTGTTGCTATACATATATATATGGATTGGATGACGGCTGATCCAACGTAAAGCTTGACGGCGGATGATAATAATATGTATATTCTACGTAATCGTATTTATTTTTGGTTGTTATAAAAATAGTAATTAATCGCCAGCCGACAAATGTAAGCAATTTTTATTACTTTTATGCGGAATTACACATGATTATTTATATTTGTAATCCGTTGTAGAGTTGATTATTATGGAAAGCACCATGGCTCAACATTCTTTATGCATAGGAATAATACCATTGCATAAAGGTGTCATTTGGACTCGTATGTTAGCTCATATGCAATATGGTAACTTTAATTTACTTGCCTAGTGGCTGAGAGCTCTTTATGCACACGCATGGCGACGCCACGTTGTAGATACTCATCTCATCAAAGATCTCTTTCTATTGTTATTGTCCATTATTGGAAACTTGTCAAAAGGAAAAATAATAAAATTAAAAGTGAAACTCTTTACTACGAATCCCTTCATATTCAAACAATCTTAAGGTTTTCATCTTCTTCCTCTTTATTTCAATTGTCCTCCTATCTTGCTTTTCACTTCTATCTTGCATGCTTTATTCTTTGGCTTCCATGGGGTGTTTTTTATTCTTATTTTGCCTTTTTTGGTATCCTTTTCCATTGTCATCACACTAACATTTACACTAACAGGTTATTTTTGTATGATTTCAGAATAGGTAACTGGTTTTTTGTACTAATTTGTAAAATTTTACAAAATTGTGTTAGACATCAATATCTGGAATCATGCAATGAAATTTTTGTTAGATGAGATTAGAGGTTAGAATACTTCTACATTTGTCTCATTTATTTTATCGAATATAATATATTATAAATCTAATATTTTATATACATATTTTCTGTGCCTAGCTTTGGTAAGATACTGTACACGATGTCTCCAAAGAACCTTTTGTACCATAGTACAATATGTGCCGTTAACAATCTCTATGATTTAGGGACAGACAAACATCACTTTGATGTCAATTAAGAAAGTTTGTTTCTGTTGTTTCTTTATTTGCTAGAATTCCAGTGAAATAAACACGAAATCTCTAGTTATTTAACATGAAATGCTCTATGATCTAATTTAAGGACTAGAGGATAAACCCTCTGCCGATAGACTATGCAACAATCAGTAACAAATAATTGATTGATTAATATTCTATTTGTTTGAAGGCAATAGCTTTCGAGAGGAATTAGAGCATGCCAACTTGAAACTTTACCATGCTTATCCAGGTATTCCTTTTTCAGTTTCATTCTTTCTGTTAACAAGGTAATCATTTGGTTAACTACAATACAATACAATAGTTGCAACTGTTGGCAAATTTTGGAGTGTTGGCAACGCTAAATTAGTGTTCTTGCGTGCTGCGTGGGTTGGCTATAGCTACAAATCCTATTGTATTCATTGGAGATAGTGCAAATCATCTTTAATTGTTTTGGATGAATGTTAGCTATTTTTCTTCGTGCATGATGTTATAAGTCCATGGCTTTCTCAGATTTCCGAATGCTGGAAGTCCTGTTTTAGTGATAGGATGAGAAAATCTGTTCCTATTTCTTGAAATTCATGTGTTTCTGTCTCAATTTCATCAAATGTTTAACAGCTGCACTGTTGTCTGTGTAGGTGATTTGGATGCCAAGAGGTGGCTGGCTGGCTGGCTGGCTGGCTGGCTTATCCAAGAATCTGCCGCAGGTTATTGGAGATTTTGAGGATGTGAAGATGCTTCTCATTACGGACATTCTTCTTCTTCTTGAAGTAGCCACCAACCCCATTGGCCATTTCCAGCAATTCTTCCACAAGAGGGACAGACACATCTGCAAAAAAAAGTTGTGGCATTAAGAATAATCAGAGGAATACTGATTAATTGTTGATAGTTGGATGTATTTTATGTTAATGTGTCGAAATGGAGATGGCAAAAGAACCAAATCACAAAATATGAACAGCAAACAATGGAATCAGAAATTTATAATGCATAAAAAACAAGATGGCAAAAGAACCAAATCAAACCAAGTCCTAAATCCCAATCTAATTTTATGTAGTTGGGCTTGACTCATACCTTTAATATAGTCAAAGTTAAGTTCCAGTCTAATTTTATCATTAATTAGGGTACAATTCTTTTTATGGTGGGTTTAATTTATTTGTAGTTCCAAGGTGGACACAAATTCTTCAACTTTTGTTTAATCTAAAATTATTATTTAATTGGAGGTAAAATTATAATTTTATTATTACTAAAAAATAATATGAATGATTAATACGAAGTCAATAATATCCAATTTGGTAAATTTATATAGCTTTACACAATCAATTCATGTTGTAATTCTGAGAAATTGACAGTGTAGTAAAAGTAAATACTCAAAGGGTACCCTGCCTGACTCGCAGTGGCAGTTTTTCGATATATAACAGATTCGGTTTCGGAGAGCAACCGTGAGAAACGGTGGTGCCGGTGGCACGTGAAGCGCACGTGCTCCAATGGCTCTCTGGTTGTCACTGCCATCAGGCAACGGTCTGCGGAACCGTCTCCCTCTCCCTCTCCCATGCCACTGGCGAGCTTCACAAATTCCTCTTCGTCTTTTCTCTCCTTGCCAAACTTCTAATCGAAAATTCCATTTCATTCTGTCTTGCGCAATGTCTGGAGGTGTTGAGTCTCACCTTCCAGAGGAGGCGAACAAATTTCTCAAGTCATTGGCAGTGCAATGGGGCGACATACCCGATCCGGAGGCACTGGAAGTGACTCGCCTCAATGGAGCAATGACTAACAAGGTCTACCAGATTAAATGGCGTACTGATTCGAACAGAGGCGGATCCAGGAAGGCGTTGGTGAGGATTTATGGTGCAGGTGTTGAGGTATTTTTCAAGCGTGAAGATGAGATTCGTACTTTCGAGTTCATGTCCGAGCAAGGGCGGGGGCCTCCTTTACTCGGCCACTTTCCTAATGGTCGTATTGAAGAGTTCATTCGAGCTCGGGTATGCAACTACTGGTCTTACTTGATTCATTGTAGACTTTTGCACTTGCTATGTTTTATTGCAGAGTTCTTAATTGCACGAATTGCATTAACAAAAATGGCCGATTGAAAGTGTTTTGTTGTAGTTAGTTATGGATGCTTTTGAAAAGTGGTTATCTCTGTTGTCTTGACCTTAGATGATACTGACATTTTCGCTCCTCCCTACCTCTTTTTTTTAGTGGTTTCCTTTGCGTAAATATTCAAGGCAATCTACCAGTGGCATACTCGTTCACTTGTAGTCTTTAATTGTCGAAATCTCAGACCCTTACAGCAGCTGATTTGCGTGATCCTGAGATATCTGCCCTTATAGCGACTAAGATGAAGGAATTCCACGGTCTAGATATGCCTGGTTCGAAGGCTGTTGTCCTATGGGACAGATTGAGGCATGTGTTTCTTTATAGTCGAATGGATGATATATTATATATGCCTTGTTATTTTAGAATAGTGCTCTTAAACATTTTTTCATGCCTTAACGTTTCAGAAACTGGCTTAAAAAAGCGAAACAGTTGTCTCCAGTGAAAGAAGCTGAAGAATTCAGCTTAAAATTTCTGGAAGATGAAATATCAGCCCTGGAAGAGAATCTCTCAGCTTGTCATCAACTTGTTGGATTCTGCCACAATGACTTACAATACGGGAACTTGATGATAAATGACGAAAGCAGACTAATCACAATAATAGTGAGTGTCGATGTATTCTGTTATCAGAAACGAAATATCAATAAATTGTTACATGGATGTCCTTTCACTCCTACATGCCTAATCTCTCTGTCCCAGCTGATTGTTGGACTCAACTTTCGAGTAAAATTAGTATGTTGCCTGCTTTCCTTTTCCCACCTGGAAATAGTTCCACTTGATAATATATATATATGTATCATTGTTTATACATATAATATTTCAATCTGAAAATTGTTAAAAGGTAAGTTATACTAATGTTTCTCCAAGTTCATAATCTTGTTTGTATTAGCTTTCTGTTTTCTTCACATACTTGAACATTAAGATAGTATGTTTGAGTTGTTCTTGTCTATATATTATCAACGTGCTTATCGTTCTTTGTTGGCTTATAGGATTACGAATATGCTAGCTACAATCATGTGGCTTTTGATATTGCAAATCACTTCTGTGAGATGGCTGCTGACTATCATACAAAAACTCCGCATGTTCTGGATTATAGCCAATATCCAAGTATGGCTGTGTTTTCAGCCTCTGTTTGCATTCAGTCGCTAAGCCTATGTTAGTTGCGAGAGCCAGAGGTTTAAAACCAGTGCTTGTCTTCTTACTATTCAGGTTTGGAGGAACGTCGTAAGTTTGTCCAGGTCTATCTGAGTGGTTCAGGTTGTGTCTATTCTATAAAATTACTGTCCATCATTGTATTTCCAAGATCTTTTCTTCCTTGTCAATGCTAGTGCATGTGAGATTTTCGGAACAGCCACAGCCAAGTTTATGCGCGCTGCCTACTTTTTTGGAAAGTTCTATTGTTGTGTGTCTCATTTTATTTTTGATACCTCTTTGCAGACGATCTGTCTAGTGACTCAGAGGTGAAGAAGCTACTTCAGGCAGTGGAGAAGTATACTCTTGCAAGCCATCTTGTTTGGGGCTTATGGGGAATAATCTCGGTAAAAACTTTGAAGAGCAATTTAATCCAATTTTAACATTTATGCAATCTGTAGTCTGGTAAAATTGGCTATCCTTTGGGAAGTCCATTTGATTAAGTATAATCAAATAATCAGTTCTCCTTTTGTAATGACAGGATCATGTTAACAAAATTGATTTTGATTACAAGGAGTATGCCCGACAAAGGTTTCAACGATACTGGGCAACAAAATCCGAGCTGCTGGAGCTGTCAAAAACTTATTCTTATCTGTAGCCATGGGCGACCATTGGCGATGGATGGAATACACTCAGATAACTGTCGATGCACTCATTCTTTCCTATGGATGGAAGCCATAGTAGTTTTTGTGGAGCACTTTCTACATTTATATGGAAAATTTTGTTCATATGCTAGTGGCCAGGTTGTATTTTTTGCTTGGCAATTTTCTACATTTATTTCACTCCCACTGCAATTTGTTTAGTTGCTCAGTGGCTTTAGTACAGGACCTGCAAATTGCAATAATAATACACCATTACTTAGTTTTGATGCATTTTGGAGATGTAGTCCTTTATTAACCTTTAAACAAACATATCTGTTTTTTTTCAATTCATCTAACGCTGTCGTGACAACGTACTCTGTTTGACCTCCTAATTAGAATTGTGGATTTGTAATGCCACACTCGAGAAGAAGGTTCATACATTGTACAAAGAATTACAGTCTTACCTTATCTTCACCACAATTGCGCAAGACACAGTGATCGAAAATACAAAACATATTAGATATGAATGCCTCTGGAAATTTACCTCGATCAGTAGTTGGAAAGTTCCTCAAGATCAGGTATGGGCAACTCGGCCCCTACCGAAATGGCTTTATATATATATATGTTTGTTTTCTTAATCAAGAGCCCGAAAGTGCCCAAATCTCCCTGATGTTCTTTACTAAAGAAATTGAGCTTATAAATAACTTGTTCTTTTAAAATGTTACAACAACAACAAAAGAAACCCTTAATCGGCCACTACAAAGACTGCTAAAAAAATGTAGTATCATGCATCTGTACACTGTCAAAGGAACTAAAAAAGAGCTAATAAATAATACCAGAAAGGACTATTGTTGTACCCATTCCTCCATGTTACTATGCTGTACTCCAACAACGACATTTCTCACCTATTCACAATTGCACATCATCAAATTAGGCTGCTGGTTTTTTTATTTTTGTTGTTCTTAAAGATGTAATGTAGTGAAAGTGATAGAGGAAATTTATCATGAACAATGCCAAAACTCACCAGATTGCCGTTCTCATCAACAGTGGTTGGGTTCTGAACAACAACTGTATGGCTCTCATAATAGCCACTCCCCTGCAGTGCATCAAGCAGTTTAAATGAATAAATGCCAAAAACAAAATCTCTGTAAGCATAGCTGTGAGCGAGGAAGAGACTGACCGATGAAGTAGAAGGCATCGATGAATGCATAGTACCTCCAGCTGGGGCATTCAAAGGCGTAGGGAGCATACTATCGACAATCTTCATTACAAGAAACAACCAAAGATGAGTTTCAACTTGCAAGTCCAGGAATCCATCGATATCATTTAATACCACTTGCCCGATGCTATAAAGATTAATGTAATTCCCCCATCATTTAATTATTGAAGTTTTCTAAATACGTAGCGGAGAGAAGTTACGAAAAAAGAAAGCAGAAATATTTTAAATGCATAAATTGTTTACCCATGATGTAATATGAGTTTGGAAATTTCTAAAATGGGAGATGGGAACTATCCCTTTCATTCCAAGGTATAAAGCCTAAGTAAAATCACAGAAGATAGTTGCTCAAGCATTGTATTCTGTTTCTTGTGAGATTGGTCAATGTGGAGGGAGAACAATAGAAAAACAGCATAAAGCAGTGTTACTAACATTTGTGATGAAGCTGCAAACGGCACATTTAACAAATGGAACTCCAGCTGGATATATCAGCATTGTATGGCAGCTTGGACAGTTGATATGGCCAACATTATTAGGTGCCGGAGCTGAGGGGGCTGCTGCATATTCATCACTCATCAAAGATCACATTAAAAAGTGTGTATGCGGACAAAATACCGGAAGCCAAAAAGGAAACAACAATAAAGACTTTCATTTTCATTATAACTTCCAAGTACTACTTAATATAGGTATAAGTTAATGTCGCATACCTTGCACAAAATTTAACGTCTGGCAACAGGAGCATCGGACAATGGTCTCACCCGGGGTATGCGCTATGATCATATGGCAACCACCGCATATCGATTGAGTCACTTCTACCTCTGCATGTACCAATAAGTTGATAATGTAACACCCCTAGTAGCATAGACAGCTGATCCACGCCGATTGTATGGTTAATTACCAACAATAAACTGCTAACAGAAGACAAAGAATGGTGCCTAGTCTGCCTACCCTCCAAGTCCCAAGCCATTCTATTTACATCAATTTTTACTCAAAGCAAGTAAATTGTTTACATCATTCAGGACATACAGGAAAGTAATTGTGTTCTTTCTTATGTTCTACTAAACATTTTTGTATACAACATCCTCAACAGGGAAAACCAGCAAATTTATGTATACATTGCCCACATTTACCAAAGATTCAAAAACGTTTCCTAAGCAATGCAGAGAAACTTCAGCTTTGTGCGCCTGTGAATTTCCTTTGCTATTTTTCGTTTAACCATTCAACAAAAGGAAATGAATGCATGGATCCCAAACGATGAACAACAATAATATTACGAACAAAAAATAAAAAAATAAAAATCACGCAGGACGTTTTGATTGAGAAAATAACACCTCGGTCTTCAGAAAATGAGTATCGGCCATTACCTGCCAGTGCGGGAGGCACATGAGTCATTACATTGCATAGCACGCAGCAAATGTTAGCAGGTCCGCTAGGACGAAGGAGGAGCGTCCTGCACCCGCTACAAAATATTTGACTCTGCATATCTGAATGTTTGAATGAATTTCATGCACGCTTTAGAACGCAATCCAGCCGATCACGATAATAGATAACAGATAACAATAGCAAACCAAATTGGAACTCTTTCGCAGGGAAATAAAAGCAACCAAAACAATAATAATATAAAAACAAAACCATAGGAAACAACGAAAAAAAGGATGACGAGAAGCACCAGCAATACACGAGAATGCGGCGAGTAACGGAATCTAGCCAAAGAAACCCTCTCACCAAATCCGGCGAAATACAATGGCCTGAAAATGCCCCAATAATCGAAACTCCTCTGATACCAGCAGAATTTCCTAACTACTAATTTTAGCGCTGCAGGATATTGAGCGTCTACAACAGATAAATGTACTTATAAATGTCTCGGTCCTTTCACTCTCCGCTTTCTAGAAATATCTCTCACGCAAAAATAGAATCTTTCATATATTTTCAAGCCCTTAATATGAGTATTCCATTTTGGCACTTCTATTACCCAAATCCAATACTCGTGGGACAAATTTTGTTACGTAGAAATAATTCAATTTAGTAAAAAAATAAAATAAGGGTGTGTTTGTTTGAGGATTTGGATTTTAGATTGGGATTTGAATAATAAAAATTTTGAATTTGAATAGTTGTATAATGTGATATAAATACAAATTGATGTGATGTTTTAATGTAAAATTAATTTTCAGTATAATATAAAAAATAAAAAATAAATATTTAATTTGATATTTAAAAAAAAAAATTATGAAAATAATAGTAATCCCACAAAATTCATCAAACAAACACACCCTTTTAGGAAACCTATATATATATATACACGTGTAGCTTTTAAATAAAACCCATTTAACATTTATTCCAAGAATCTACCCGCCTTTATCAGTGGAACAATCGCCCACGAACAGACAGGCCTAATTTGCTGACTTGGCATCAGTAAGCTCTATCCTAAAGCTCTTCCCTATAGGGAGCGACAGTTTCGACACTTTAACAGAGGTAAACCCATCGTCGTTTTCCTGAACCTTTACACCCATGTCGGAGCTTCCATCTACATTGAGCCCAGTAACCATTTCATACTCTCTTACACTCGTAAAATCCATTCCAAAAATCGTTACGTCATCAATGATCAACCCCTGCCCCAAAGCAAATTCCCCATTCACAACCTGTGACTCAAGAACCAAATTACCGCCCACCATGCTGCTGTTGAAACTTATAGAGCTCCATCCTCCTTCATCGCCCGCCATAATTAGATCGTCGCCACTGTCCAAGAAAACTTCCCCGGAGCTAATGCCGTCACTGGTTACTGCAACCAGTAAATGGAAAGTCGTGTTCCTTGCTGCCTGCGTCGTATTCGCCTCCCCCTGCATGGCCAGGATGTTCCCCTCATGAAGATAGACATTGATGGTGTCATTAGGTGCATCGAGCTTCACGCTACCGCCCTGCTTTAAACTCAACGAGCGGGAATTGTTGTAGAGGTCGAACCAGTTGCCTGCCGGAAAATATGCGTCCACGGAAACTGCACCCTCCTGCAATACAGGCGATACTAACACTCCTTTGCCGAGGAGAAACTGTGAGCTGACATTGTAGGTGTTAGTGTCTTCAGGAAACGAGAAAAAAAGTGGCCTTGCAATAGGTACGCCTGTGGTGTGCGCCTGATACATCAAGGTGTACAAGTAGGGCAAGAGCCTGTAACGAAGGCCTAATGCTTTCCTAGCCGATGCAGCAACGGATTCCCAGAGATACAGCTCATGGCGCTTGCTGTTTTTCTCGGCGTGATTCCGAGAAAAGGGATAAAACGCCCCTAACTGCAAGGAGAATCAATCATGAGAGCAAGAGAAACGTCTGACAATTAGTGTGGAAACTAAATTAAGTCACTTGAATAATACCTGAATCCATCTCCTGCAGAGCTCTTCAGTTGTGTCCCGCGAGAAGCCGCATATGTCAGCTCCGACCATCGGGACTCCAAAGATACCAAAATTTAAGATACCAGGGATCGAGTATGCCAAGTCATCCCACGTTGCAGCGTTGTCTCCAGTCCAGTGAGCGGCGTACTTCCCGGAGCCAGTGAAAGTAGAGCGACTCAGCACAAATGGTCTCTTACCAGTTACATTAACCAGCGCAGCATTAGTAGCTCTGGACTCCAGAAGGCCATACAGGTTGTGAATGTCGTATTCAGTGACATTCTTGTAATGAAGAGCTGATGCAGGTACAGTCTTCTCGTTGATGCCACGCAATGAGCCGGAGTTGTTGAGCTTGTAAGGAGGATTATCAATGGTAGAATTGTCGTTGGATGGAGTAGTAATGAAATTGGATAACTCGTTCATGTCAATCCAAAGTCCATCGACTGGGATAACTTCACGAAACAGCTTTATCTCATTGGCCCAGAAAGGTTCGGCGGAGGGATTGAAAAAGTCTGGAAAGTAGGTATCACCCGGCCACACCTTACCAAGATAAGGAGTGCCATTGCGCTTTATATAGATGTCGGCTTCCAATCCCCTTTTGTAGGTTGGGTATGAATCATTTGTAGCAATGCCTGCAGTACATTCAACACACAAAAATGGATTTATAACGAAACAAATCATTTATTTAAGCACTGTTGAATAACCCAATCCGTGGATGATCGAGCATACCTGGATCCAGAATGACCACATATTTCTGACCATTCTGGTGAAGCGCATCGACAAATTTCCCCAGCTTATCGGCCGGAAAATTCACCGGATCAAGCGTGAAATCTTTGAAACTATCCATGTAATCAATATCAGTCCACATAACTTCTAATGGAATCGAGGCGTTAGCATAACCAGCAACAACACCCTGAAGATCTTCGACATTCTTGTAACCGTAACGGCACTGGTGAAATCCTAGAAAAAATTGAAGCAGAGTGTCAATTTAGTGCACAGAGCATCTTATGATGTATGCATATTGATTTGATTTCTGATATTACCGAAAGCCCAGTAAGGCATTGGGGCAGGGCGACCAACGAGCTCAGTATACTGTCCCATAACCAACTCTGGCGTCGGACCCGCAAATATGTACAAATCGAAAATGCCACCGATCACCTTGTAGGTAATCCTATCTCCAGTGTAGTTAACATCCATTCCATTACTATTGAGCAGCAAAACCCCATGACTTACCCCCTTCGGTGCCCTAACATCCATGTAAAAAGGGTGGGATCCGTACAGGTTGAGATCCTTGTTAGAGCTCCCAATGTCAGCATTCCAAAGCGTAAGCAACTGGTTTTCCGCCAGCCTAAAGCTACCCTTGGTGTGTTCCCCGATGCCATACATATTGGATGTATTAGGCGGAAGTAAGGACGAAAGCTGTAGATATTGGTCCTTAAAGATGAGGTAAGTCGACGGGTCACCCTGCGTAGGAGTGGCGTTGAAGATGGTGTCATTGGAAGAACGGCGCGTGACGGTGAAGCCAAAAGGAAGAGTCTCTTGGATGTTAAAGACTAAATCTGAATCTGAAGAAGAGAGAAGCAATGGAAAGCGGCGGGGAAGCGCTGGCGACAAGGAGAATGAAGGTCCGGGCGGAGGTTGCCGAGGAATAACGTCGTCAGGGATTTCCCAACGTGGATTGTCGGCGTCTGTTATTCTAATCCGCAAACGGTCCTTCGTTTCCACGCTGTACAAACAGAAAATTGAAAACTATAGTTACATACACAGATAATCCGAATTCACGAATTTCGCAGCGAAAACCAGAGGGACAGAACAAGATCGTCCCCACATGACGTGCATAGATAGAGACATTAACGTAAAGTATCAATCACGATGAAAAAATAAATAAACACAAATCGCAGAAAATATCATAGTAGACGGATTTCGAAACTCGAGGTTTGACGCGAGATATGACCAATAACAACTCTTCATCAAAATTGATACACTGAAGTAACCGCCAATCGCAGGGCGCAGCGGTATTGTTGTTAAATTACCTGGCAGTGAGTGAGAGGCGTTTAATGTCAGGTCCGTAGACAGATGAATTACCGATGACCTGCAGAATCGCAGTCAACGAAGTTCCGGACGGATCGACGTTCGATGACTGGACCTTGTAGCCATATCCGATGACGTCTTCCGCAGAAGCAGAAGGTAGTATTGCCGGATGGAAGCTCCAGGTATGGAAGAACACAAGCAGTAGAAAGCAGGAGCTGAAATGGGTCTTCATTATTGAGAACGGAGTTAGCTAAGCTTGCGGTCACAGTAGAGGAATACACCGCACAACCACCCATATATATAGATTTGAAAAAATGACCGGAAGCTTTTTACTCTTAGGTGCTAAATTGAACTTGAAGTGATACTGTGCTTAAAATAAATTTAATTTTGTTTTTAAATAGTTTGGTAGATTTATTGTTTCGGAAGTAATAAAACTTTAGGCAATAGGTAAACAATAAATGTGGGGTAAATTAATTTAACCGTAATAATTTTAAATACTACAAAATATTTAAATTAAAAGTAAATATTAAATATAATATTTTGTTTTTCACAATAAAGAGTGAAAAACAGAAGGTTTGGTTTTTTTATATAGGAAGGATCGACGTTCTTGACTATGTGGATAATGTTTGCGTGTGGCAGCCTTGAATTGGGTGTTTAAAAATTTAAGACTGATATACTGGTAATTATAATTATAGAAAATTTCAACATTTCAGGAATTATGGAATTATTTTGTTTGTATTCTTTCATGCATTGTAACAATGTGGAAGTATACGCATAATGTTAGGTGCTAATTGCTAAAAATGTGTGTCTAGTTCTGTAAACTTTGAAAATATAAAAAATCACACACACACATGTATATGTAAGAGTAAAAAAAAGTTTTAGTATACAAAAGCATTTACATTCATCCATCAAGAAAAACCATTTTTTCAATATCTTTTCAAATTGCACTTAAAATTATTTTTATTTTTTTATTTAGTAAAAATTATACCATTTTTATATTTTCTCACTATAAAAAATAAAATACTCTATTCCTTCCATTAAAAAATATTGTCATTTTTTATTTACGTCCGTCCTAACCATTTCATAATTTAGTAAACATACTACATACCTAACACAATAAATACTCTTACAACTTGCAATATATTACACAAATATTATTACTTTTATATTACACCATACAAATGTATTTTTGTCTTTTTATTATAATCCAATATAATACTAATATAAAAAATATATGTAAAAAAACAAACGTCACTCTTTCAATGAGACGGAGGAAGTATAACAAAAAGTATCAATTAAAATTACATACATTCAACTTTGTAGGAAAAATTTTAAGTACAAATTTGAGATGAAGAATAAATATTTTTTACTTTAAATTAACAACAGAGAAATGTGTGTTTGTTTGGGGGTTTGGATTTTGAATTGGGATTTGAATAGTAAAAATTTTGAATTTGAATAGTTGTATGATGTGATATAAATAGGTGTTGATACGATGTTTTGAATGTAAAATTGAACTTTAGTATAATATAAAAAATGAAAAATAGGTGTTTGATTTGATATTTTTAGAGGTAAAAAATTGGATGAATAGTGTAAATCCAATCCAGTCCCCCAAACAAACACACCTTATAATATTTTATACACATTATTTTTTTTATTTTTATATTATTTTTTTTCATATATTTCATAATTAATTTTTTTTATTGTTTTTGTTTTTTATATTGTTATGATGATGTTATATTTTAGCTTTCTTTCTATGATGATGATAATAATAATAATAATAATAATAATGTAATTTTTAGCTTAATTTTGATGATGATGGCGATGGTGATAATGATTTTGATAATGATGATGATTGTGATGATGTAGTAGTTTTTTAATTTTATTTTGATGATGTTGTTTTTGTTGTTTTTTTTTTATTATTTATTTTATTTATTTTGAAAAATATTTTATTTGTATGTCATAAAAAATATAACTCCGAGATTCTTTCGATGATCTATGTTATGTCGAAGGGATATCTATCTAATCTCATCGATAGCAACAGAACCGGAGGAAATATACAAAAAAGATAGTTCTTTTCTATTATATTAGTATTTTTTATTATATTCAAATTCGATTAATATTAGTTAATGCTCCGGCTTAGTGAGTCATTTCTTCCCCGAGGAACTATTGGCACCAATCCTACATTTTGTCTCTGTGAGCCGAGAGATCTTATTATTATGGATTCTGGCAATACAATGTAGTTGGACTATCATATTATTATTATTATTATTTTATTTTTCTACTTATTTAAACAAAAATTTCAAATAATTTTTAAATTTAACGTTACATGTCAAATTAATTTCAAATTAGAATTATTAAAATAATTTAATATTTTAAAAAATTAATAAATAACAAAAATTTAGGAAGAAATCCCGAACGTAGGAAAACACACAACGGTCACCGATGTATTCTAACTCGATCATCACATCACATAAAAATGATGTTGGTCCAATGGTACAGGAATGAACTCGATTACCATCAAATAAATTATAACACAACAAATCAAATTAGACAAACTATATATTGAAACTTAGATTTTTTATTTTTATATTTTTGAATATGAAAACCGGCAACCACTTAATAATCTGCAGACTAGATATGTGATTTTATAGTTACGAGTCCAATCCCACGTAGGTTATCCGGACAACTTATATTTTAAATTTTTGTAACTTATTCATACGAGCATATGGGGATTAAATTGTAAGTAAGGTCTATGTTCATATAGTTTTGTTTAGATATAAGTTTTTTTTTTAGGTTTTTGAAAATTTAAAATTTGATTAAATTAAAAATTTAGTATTTGATATAATATTGTGAAAGAAAAATTATATTGTATAAATGAAAATACGTAATTAAAACAAAGCTATGGTTTTGAAAAAAAATCACCGTAGTTTTTTCTCTGTATGTTCGAGCCTAATTCATTCCATAGATTCTTTCGGCGTTGTCGGAAATCCCACTCCTCGATCGATCTCCGAATGCTCAGATGCTTCCGAACTTTGCTCGACCAATGCAATTCATGGCCGCAGCTGAAGCGTATCCACACCCTCCTCACAACTGCCGGCCTCTCTCATACCGAACCGTTCGCCTGGAAAATATTGGCATTTGCCGCCACATTCGACATAGACTACGCCTACCATTTCTTCCGCCATCTCCCCAGCCCCAAGGTCTTCCATTACAACGCAATCATACGCGGCTTCTCCAACAGCAAGAACCCAATCAAAGCCATACGAACATTCAAGCTCATGCTGCTGTACGACGTCGTGCCGGACCACCTGACCTACCCTTTCCTCGCCAAGGCTTCCGCACGGCTATCAAAGTCGCAGCTCGGCGCCTGCGTTCACGGTCGAGTGCTCAAGGTTGGGCTCGTGGCGGACGTATTCATCGCCAATTCCTTGATTCATATGTACGGAGCGTGTGGTGAGATTGCGAGTGGCCGGAATGTGTTCGACAAAATGCCCATGAGGAATTTGGTCTCGTGGAACTCTATACTGGACGGGTATGGTAAGTGTGGGGATGTGACCACAATGAGGCACGTGTTCGACGAAATGCCTGAGAGGGATGTCGTGTCGTGGAGTGCTTTGGTGGATGGGTATGTCAAGGAAGGAAACTATGCCGAGGCATTGACAGTGTTCGGGAGGATGAAAGCCGAAGGGCCGATGGCGAATGAGGTTACTATGGTCAGTGTGTTATGTGCTTGTGCACACTTGTGTGCACTTGAGCAAGGAAGGGCTATGCACCGATACGTCGTGGATCATGGCTTGCCCTTAACTCTCGTTTTAAGGACATCTCTAGTCGACATGTATGCAAAATGTGGCGCTATAGAGGATGCACGGCGAGTATTTTGTCAGGTTTCTAAAGATAAAACCGATGTTCTAATATGGAATGCGATGATTGGTGGACTTGCAAGCCATGGCTATACGTCCGAGGCGCTCGAGGTTTACAAAGAAATGCGCGGATCAGGAATTTGGCCGGATGAGATAACATACCTGTGCCTGCTGTGTGCTTGCGCCCATGGCGGATTAGTAAAGGAGGCGTGGAGATACTTCAATAGCATCGCCAAAGATGGGATGGCGCCAAAGAGTGAGCATTATGCTTGCATGGTGGATGTGCTGGCTCGCGCCGGCCTTGTGGAAGAGGCCTACCAATTTGTATCCCAAATGCCGGCAGAGCCTACTGCCTCGACACTCGGTGCGTTGCTCAATGGCTGTATAAGTCATAGAAAGTTAGATCTTGCAGAGATGGTGGGGAGAAGGCTGGTGGAACTTGATCCCGGTCATGATGGGAGATACATTGGGCTATCTAATGTTTATGCAGTTACAAAACGATGGGACAAAGCAAGAACCACTAGGGCAGCAATGGAGTCAAGAGGGGTGAGGAAGATCCCAGGTTGTAGCTATGTTGAGGTTCTTGGATCTCTTCGTAGATTTATTGCTCACGATTTGGGGCATCCCGAATCAGAAGATATTTATTTAATGTTAGATGTGATGGTAGAAGAGATGAAACTAAGAACACATCCTTACGAGGAGGAGACCTTTTGGATCTCCACCTGAGTGGTAAGGTATGAAGTTCACAACTTCAAATATATTTAAATTGGTACTTTTATACAATTCACTGAATAGTATATTCTCAAAATAGTGGAACACGATTTATTTGACAACGCTGTACTCTGGAAGAAAGCGTTGTTAACTTCGGTATTAGAATAGCGCTTTCGTTGGTATTGGAAAAATTGGTGGAACTGAACAGCGCACAGACCACGTCAGTTCGGGAAGGAAATCCATCCGAAAATCGAGCGATTGACTAATAGCTGACTCCCGGAGCAATTCGATCGGCCATGGCGACTTCCGACGCCGACAAATTGGTTGCCAAAGCGGATAAATTGTGAGATCCTTCAGTCTTTTTTTATTATATTTGCCTATTATCTATTGTTTCCTTGGTTTATTTCAGTGATATCTGAAACTCAGCATCTGTTAAGGAATTGTTGATTCCGCAGGACTAAATTGAGTATGACAAGATGGAAGGCTGATTGGAAGAATGCTACAGCTCTGTACGAGCAAGCGGGTAAGATTGTAAAAGAGGGATTTTCCCAGAGATGACTGTGGATTGTGGAAGATGGTTGCTTTGAAACATTTTACTTTAATGGTGGATTGTGATGGAATTTAGTTCCTTACTGGCAGCAATTTCTTATCGGCTTGCTAAAAAATACGAGAAAGCAAAAGATGCTTTCGAGAAGGCTTCCAAGGGGCAAGAGATGCTCTCCTCGTATCCTTCTTTCGACCTTCAAGTTAATTACATCAGTGCGTGTGATCACTATCTTTTATACAATGTTATCTGATATATAAACAATGAAAACGTTGAGTTCACTTGACGAGCGAATCAGGCCGTGGGATGCTGCCAAACATATGGAATCTGCAGGAGCTCTGGCAAAGGAAGTAAGCAACTGGAACCAGGTTTCTGACTTCTACAGACATGCATCTGAGTTATACATTGAATGCGGGAGGTCACAGCCTGCATCAGATGCACTTGCAAAGGGTGCTCGGTATAAACTGCTTCTTTGTGTTCATGATCTATGTAATATTTATGCCGTGTTGAATTGGTTTGAATAATTATTTTGACTATAAAAACTCATAAGAGATTTCTAGTTGTACTGGGCGTTTTAGTAAGAATTTAAGATATGACTTGGTGATTTTCCAATGATTTGTTAATATCTTACCTATAAAGTGTTGCACTGCCGTAGGTGAAAGATCTTTATTTGATGGATCAATGATGCTCTAGGTGGTAAACTTACCATTGTTATACAGATGATGTTGATGTATAAGCTCAGAGCCTCAGAGGCATGAGCAAATAGAGATAATTATTTGATGTATTGATTTTTCTTTTCCATTCATGTAGATTTTATGCTTATATTATCCTTCCATGAGCTTCTAATTGTTTAGTCGACGTGTTACTTTTCTCTTTAAGTGCTCTAGAGGATACATCTCCCGAGGAAGCTATTCGACTCTACACTGATGCGTGTACTGTTCTTGAAGAAGATGGCAAGGAACAAATGGCCTTTGACCTGTATCGTGCTGCTGCAAGTATTTATGTAAAGCTTGAGAAGTAAGCTTATTCCCTCCATTGAAATATTGGTTTAGTGTACAACTACAACCAATAGATATCTTATAGTCTTGGTGTCCTGCTATTTTGTAATTTTTGCTAGTTTGCAGAAAGCCTTTTTTTTGTGCTTAGTTGAAGTACCTATCCATGGCATATCTGTACACATATCACCTGCTTTTGCACAACATTCCTACATACCAGTCCGCATTGAATAAAATGCAGTAGGTGGAAAATGGAACTCCATTTTAAAATATCAAGAACATGTTTGGATTTTTTTTCTACAGGTATGCAGATGCTGCAACATCTTTATTAAGATTGGCCTTAGCAGCTGACAAGTGCAATGCTACCCATAGCCAATGCAAGGTGTAAACATTTCCCAATGTGTATGAGTTTCATTGTCTTCAAATTTCAAATAATATGCAATTATGCATCTTTGGTTGATATTTAAGACTTTTACCCTTGTTGAACATGTTCATTGGCTAGATTTTCGATTGGATGCCACATAGCGTGTAGCTAGCTGTAACATCATTATTTTTCTTTATAATCTATTACTGGAAAAGAGAAGGAACTAGAAGGGGCAAGAATAAGGGGATGGTTCTCAATGATATTCAGGGATGTTTTTCTTTATTGAAATGCTATATCAATCCAAACGAACTGTACTACTATCTTCATGAAGTGCTTTTGTATATTAATATGAACTGTTTTGAATGTAGGCTTATCTCAGTGCAATTATTGTGTATCTTTATGCACATGACTTCCAGCAAGCAGAGAAATGTTACAACGATTGTACCCAGTAAGTTGGGATCCCTTTTACTCAAACCTTTTAGCTACTTTACCTTTTACCAGTGTGAGGTAAATTCTATGTCTGAATGACAACCATAAAGTTTAAAACAATCTTGTGTTGTGTGCTTAAGTTCAATGCATTCTATTATTTCTAATTGATATTTTGATTGTCACTTGTCAGGGTGGAAGCTTTCTTGAACAGTGATCAGAATCGTGCTGCGACAAGACTTCTCTCTTCTTACACAGATGGTGATGTTGAGGAAATTAAGCGTGCAGCTCAGTCAGGCATAATTTCCAATCTAGATCATACGGTAATCCCCCTTCTCCCTTTACTCTATTTGTTCTGCCTTGCTGAATCAATGCATTGGTAAGAATGTATGATCAATAATTCAATATATCCAAAATCATTTGTGGAGAATGCTTAAACCATTTGTGTGTGAAATAATTTTCTTGGCCGCTGATAGTAGGTGTTTGTTTGACGATAGTTCTGCACCATTTTGAGTTACAGTATATATGCGTTCTTATTTCTGTCTATTTCATGATCTCCTTTTTCTATTGACTCATGCATGGAAACTTCAGAAAGTCATGTTACTAAAAGGACATATATGCAGATTATCAAGCTAGCAAGGAAATTGCCTACAGGGGATGTCACTGCATTTAAGAGGGGTGCAATGGAAGAACAAGGAGAGCAATTCGACGAAGATGATCTTACCTAAGTTCCTACTTCAATGCCAATAAACAAATTCTCTTTTATAGATTATGTTCTATACATGAAAATCCTTCTTACTTTATTTTCGATTTCTTTTCATCGACTCTTCAAAGAGCACAATTATATTGCTCTCTGTAGATTCTGGACTACATTGTTTTCCCTTTGGTGAATGTTTGCAGAGTTTCTTTAGCACATACGAGTGGAGTATTGTGTTGTATTTGCTAACATTTTTCTCTGGGTGTAAACTTGTGTTAATAATTCATGGTGACAATCAATTGTTATTGCTAACAAAAACTATAAAGCAAGCTTTACATCGTAGAGAATCAAGACTCATGCCTCTCACCGAACCCAACCAGCTACTTCTACATCTCAAAAGCATTTACATAAAATAACCAATCAAAAAATTGGATGTTGTATCACACAGCATTCAAAATCATTGTTCACTTCAGCCACCGGTCTTCCTATACGAAACTGCGATTACGGATAGAGGAATGTTGATGAAATGGCCTTGAGTACCCGAAAGCCTGATTCGTCCGAAGCTTGCAACTGAGCTGTTCGAAGATGCGTTTAAGAATACACTCAATACCTGTTTCTGCCCACTCGCAATGGAAAACCGTGTTGGTGTCACTTTAACTAAAGCCCCGGCAGGAGCGCTCCAGCTAACGCTGTATGTCTCATTGCAGCCAATGTTGGTCACGGTTCGTTGAACAATGGCAGACTGGTTAAGCTTCGACAATGTGATTGAAGGCAGGTTCAGATCAATCCCATTCAACGTTGAAGCTCCACAGCTTTCGCCTGTGTAATTCAGGACTAATGGTGATGACCCGTTGATGCTGCATAGGAACGCCATGTAATCTTCATAACCTGCAACAGAATATGTCTGTATCATCAGTTCATAAATTTTAGGTAAGCAATACCTAGTTCAGAATCAATGCAACTTACTTGAATCCAAAACAAGACCAGGATCTAATGCTGCAGTAGCATTAACAAATCCACTGCCCATATCAAAGAAAGTGGCAGGCGATTGGTTTAAATCGGGGTTAGCAAAAGAGCGCTGCGCCATGATAGGCCCGCCATCTCTATCATTAATAGAAGCTGTTGTAGAAAGTGCTGATCCGATAGCTGCTGGAGTGAAAGAGGGAAACCTCTGCTTTATTAATGCTGCAAGCCCCGCAATGTGAGGAGCCGCCATGCTTGTTCCAGACATCATTGCAAAGTCCTCCCCTATGTGTTGCCAATGTCAGTCGATATCGGTTCAGACGAACAATTTGAATCAAGAAACTGAATTTTATAAGCCAGTACCTAGAAATTCAACTGAATCAGTGCCATGGGAACTCCAAGCAGACCATATGAAATTTCCAGGGGCAACAATGTTGGGCTTCAATATGTCGGCAGTTAGGAAGCCATCTTCTGGATCAGGTCCTCTAGCAGAGTAGTACATTATCCTTGGGGCGGCACGGCTGAAATTTGCTTTTATTCCACCAGATATAAGCGCGGTTCCCCCAAACTTGACTATTTTGTTAGTAGTTTGATCTATCACTAAAGAAGAGTTGTAATACTGAAGTAAAACCTGCCAAATAAGTTGTGTGAATGCAGAGAGCTTACATTATAAAGAATTCATGTCAAATAACTTAAAGTTAGAGAGTTGTAGTATTGGTTGTAGTATTGCACGAAGGGAAACAGATGAACATACTTTGGAATCCTCCTGTGATGTTATTACAATGCCCGGAATCCTCATTGGAATCGGATTAAGCTGAGAACCAATGACATAAGAATCCATGCAAAACACAACCCCGGATGCACTCAAGTTTTCAGCAGTTTGTAGAGCCTGTTTGATAGTGGAAACTCCGATTACATAACGGAGGGTGTAGCTACAGATCAAGAGATTCCCTCGAACAACATCCTGATTGTAAGTTCGCGCATCTTGGCATTCATTTGCATTCGTATCTTTCATAGCTGCAGTATTATTCAATGCATGGATAGCCGAAACCAGTCTATGCATTTTATCGGTTCCAGCTGCAACAAAACAATTGGACAAGCTTATGAACAAATATAATCTCTCAACATCTAAATTCCAATCAAGATTCCATTGATTCAGACTTACGGGCAAGTCCAACTCCTGTAATGGTGATGTTGTTGCCCAGCATTATAGAGTTACTGTAGATTCTATCATGTGAGGCTGCGCCGACAGTGAAAATCCATGGACTAAAGGAGGAGATGCTCCTAGGTGCTGGTCCAGTATTCCCGGCTGCCTGGACTACGAAAATACCAGCCTTGACTGCAGATAATAGAGCCATATCTATAGGATTAAAGAAAGTGGCAACGCCAAGAGGACGACGGTTTGGAGTTATGGACAGGCTTATTACATCCACTCCATCCTGGGCAGCCTACAATAGCAAAACAGAAATGAATGGAAGATCAACATAACAAAGAAACACGGGAGCAGTTGCCAACACGTCAACCTGATCTATAGAAGCAACCACGTCTGCGGCAAAGCCTCCGAAACTTTTGAACAAAGCCTTATAAACAGCAATGCTGTAACAAATTGCAGAAACAGGTTGATCAGAATGAAATAAATGTAGACAGTACATTTAATTCGATTCAAATCCTTACTGCGCATGTGGGGCCATTCCGCTGGCATTTCCAAAGAGATGCCCAGCTACAACAACCGGAACTCCGTGGTTTCCTGCCGCAACTGCAGCTGTGTGCCTACCAGATTATATACATCACATGAATGTCAGTTCCGGGGAAATCAAAAACTTATTTCCAAGTAGTCATTCGAAAGGAAATCAAACACTCACGTTCCATGGCCATCAACATCATACGGGGAAGCAAAGTCTTTCGAGGCATTAAATACTCCTCTGGTAATAGCAGATGCTGCAAAATGGCGCGCTCCAACGAGCTTTCTGTTGCAAGATCCAGATGGAAAGTCTGGTGTTACTTCACAAATCCCGGAAAAATGCTCTGGAACTGGATAAGGCTTCGCAGGTGTATTATCAGAGAAGCTTGGGTGCGAGGGATCAATTCCAGTGTCGACAAAGCCAATCACAATCCCTTCCCCTGCGCTGCCATATCCACCCTCTTGTGCCCATGCTCCTTCCGGCAGGCCAAGAAACTGTGGTGTGTGAGTAGTAGCAGTTTCGACTGGAAAATCCAATACCACATTTGACACCTCACTTCTCCTCCATAGCTTCTCTACCTACCAAAACACCAGGGCAGTAAGAAAAACCATAAATCATGGGGACTCTTGAAATAACAAACCAAACTAATTGTCCCAAAAGACTAACCTGCTGTGCAGTGGCGAACACCGCAAATCCATTGATTAAATACCGGTAGCTGTACAGCTTCAGATATTTTTCACCACTTAAAGTTGTTTCCAACAGAGAATCATGTATGTTGTCTATGTATGAGCCATGACTCCTGCTTGTCCTTGATATATTACTAATTCCAAAAAAGTGCAAATATGTCAACTTCCCAGTTCATAGCAAATTCTCAAGAACACAGCAACATAGCCATATATCATTACCAAACAAATAGAATATTCAGTTCACATAATATTCAATTGATACAGAAAAGTCATAACATATTGGCAAAATCGAAGGTTCTCAACGTATTAAATCCCTAAATAGAAACTATTGCTCTTGTACCAACTGACTACTGGGAGAGGGTTGGCATCGTTCTGAAAGCTACATACTCGAAAACGTAAAAGACAACTTTTGGGGTATATACAGAAACCACTCAGACTTAGTAATGCCTGGACAAGAATAGATACAAAGGAATAAAAACAGGGGATTAATTGGCATTGTACCTCGGATTATCCAGAGTAGCCATTCTGTCAGACCCATTACGTTTGATATGGCGAGTCTGCTTAACTCTGAGCTCGCCGTTGTAACGAGAAGTGGGAGCTTGTTTCAGAGTTACAATATACACCGAAGAATCTGCATCAGCTATGTCCCGACCAAGACAGCAGAAGCAGCCCATAAGCACTCCTACCAAGAGCATTAGCATTCTCAATCCCAGTGCCTGCCTGCAGCCCATTTCCGCTGCAAAGAATCCCCTTTTTTAATTTTTGTTAAAGAATTCCCAGCTGAAAGAACCAAAGTTCAGAGCTTTCTTCAAGAACTGGGTATTTTGCCGGGAAAGCCTCCCTGCACAGTCCGCTGTCTATTTAGATTCCACGAATGTGGGGGTACAGCCTTCCCTTCAAGAAGCCAGACATCAAACCAACTTAACAGGAGGAAGACGACCCACAAGGGAACTTAGGCAAGAAACCCTCTTTCACAAACGACACAGGTATATAAAGATGAACTCCACTGCCTCGTTTGCTTAATTTGAGGTTTTTTTTTTGGCTAATACTCCACACCGGAAATTGTAGGGACGGCTAAGACCTCTGCCTCTCCATGGAAACTTAAAAAAATTTCCTCATTTATCATTCTATGCATTCATTCACTTACCTATCTAATCTAACATCTACATACCACATATCCAATGGCTTTAGGGCTTGATTAGCGCAGGCAGGAAGAAAGGAAGGGAAGGAGTACTCTGCAACCTTCTCGGGGGTTGCGAAAAAAGTGTGTTGTTTATATTAGGAAGAAAAGGATACATGAATGCTATCAACGGTTGGGTTGACAAAGAGTTAGTCTTTATATTTTGGTTTTTCTTAGTTTTTTGTCCGTAAGACTGTTAGCTTATTCTGTCGGTTTGCCTGGTTGAGGACAGCACACTGAACATACAATGTGTTGAGATTACTGCCCGTAAACATGGGTTGATCATGTACAAGAATTTGCTTATACGGTTGAATTTGTAAATTCAAAAAAATCTCTCGTGGACATTTTCTAAAAAATGAAACTTGGGTTATTCTTCGCTAATCTACTGCTCAAACTACGAATGAAATGAGGCTGTTTAGTTCAGATATTCTACCACTAAACTGAGTGATCATGATGAGAATAAATAAACTGGAAAAAAAGAAAAGGGGTCGGGGGCCACATTGGGCATTCATGAAAAAGAAAATTAATGGTTTTGGCCTTTTCAAGATTATGGCAATCCAATTGCACTCTCCAACGTTCGAATCTTATATTGTTTTTGTTGTCCTTATGTGTTCGAACTCGAACCAAAGAGTACACACACTGGAATAATCTCTAAACATCTACACCCGTGACCAACTAAATACATCCTCAATACATTTTCCATACTTGTTGCATATATTTATATTTATGTTTATTTAATTACATACACACACGCGTCTATGTACACGTCTTGAAACCTTAAAACATACCGGAGTTAATAATTATGGGGAGTGGTGGGTATTGCCCTCTAAAGGCTGTCCTGCCAGCATTGAATACCATAGCAAGAACATAATGGGGGAATCAAAGCTTTTTGACCTACCCTAATGGTCCATCATACTTCTTCCCTCCCTCCTCGTCCTGTGGCACTCATAGTCAGTCATACGATCGGACATCTTCTTCAATTGGGTCGATAGAAAATGCAATCAACAAAGTATGAAATAATGATCATAACAACATATAATTCTCTACTTTCAGAGGACATCACCCACCAGGATCCCAATTTCTCTGTGATGCAATCATAAATGTGTTGATCCTATACTGAAAGAATAAAAAAAGTGTCTTTCATGGTTTGTGGCAGGTGTTGAGGTTTAGGGTGTGATAATGACAAAGGGACCTTGTGTACTACCGTGGGCTGTAATGATTTGATATTCCATGCTTCCCCACAGTTAATTATTATTGTGATGATGATGATGATCAAGAAGTCTTTAATTTGGAGGACTATGGGGGGCCGAAAGCAAAATTTAATAAGAGAGACGTTGGATGGTCCTGAATTTGGTAAGGATGTCTGCCAGCTTCAAAAAGAGAACCTGATTCTCATAATCGCCAGTCTCGCTTTTGAATTGATTTTCTTTTAGCAAAGCATGCTGCCAACACAACACTGTCAACCATTGCCTGTAATCTAAAATATATATATATTCCTCCCTTTTTCAACTTTCTGTAGCTTTGGGAAAGAGAAGTTGTTCTGGTGCAGATCATTCTGTTGATGGGTTTTTTACTGGGCCTACTGGCCCATACTTAGATCACGTTTTCTCGTTGGGTTATGTCATAGACCCATTGGGCCATGTTAAAAGGAATTACTTGGGCCCAAATAAATACATCGCGGTTTCTTGTGAGGAACACGATTTTATCGAACAAAATGCGTTTCTACAGTGCTAATGAGGGAGTCAATTTTTTGCGTTTCCGAGTCGTTTGTTGTGTGAGAGGGGCGATTCGAACTAACAACCATTTCCTCCCTTTCCAAGATCTGATCTGCAAGGAAATATTGAAGTAGCGAAGGGAGAAAGGAATTGAAAGTATGGCGGTAGTAGGCGGACCTGATCCGTTGTTCGGATTGAGGAACAATTTTTACTTGGGAGCGTACCAGGCTGCAATCAACAACAGCGAAATTCCCCACCTTTCGCCAGACGACCAAATTGAGAGGGATTGCTACGTTTACCGCTCTTATATTGCGCTCGGATCGTATCAGGTACAACGCGATCATACTTGTGTTTGAGATCTGCTTTGAACGTTTGTGATTTTGGATCCAGTTTTTTTCCTTGATTTTATTGCAAAAATGTGGATTTTGTTTCCAGATTCTATTGTTAGTATACTACATTGTTATTTTTCGCTGATGATCAATGATTGATTGGATTTTTGGTGGTACAGCTTGTGATAAATGAGGTTGATTCGTCGTCGCCGACACCACATCAGGCGGTGAAGCTGCTTGCTCTGTATTTCGCCAGCCCTGAAAACAAGGTGATTTTGTTTTTCAAATGCAACTGATCTCTAGTCATTGAATCAAGCTTTTAATTATTTGATAACTTACATTCTGACTTGAATATATCTAATTTGTTGGTCATGATCTTGATCTAAATTTGCTAATACGTTGATAGGATTTTTGTTTGAGATTTTTCTTTAGGTATGTAACAAACGAGATTAGGATATAGGATATAATATATCTACTTTACAATTAAATGGGTGTCATACCTGCAGAAAGAAATGCCTGACTTGCTGGATCAGATAATGGACAGTGGAGATGATTTGATAGTTATGGGGTTGTTTGGTAGAATTGAAACTGCAATATGAACAAATGCCTTCTGGAAGGATGTGCGCTAAATAATGAACAAAGATTGATGAGAGTTTCAGATTTGTTATGAATGATATAATTATATTGTACTGAAGATATGCCCATATCTAATGTGTTAAAAAGGATTTGTTTTTTAGAGCAATAATTATCATAGTTTTCATTCGTGCCTAGCTAAACTCTTTTGTCACATGTTGCATAGGAAACAGTAATTTCAAGTCTGAAGGAGTGGTTAGCTGATCCAGCCCTTGGAAACAACCCCACTTTACGTCTTATTGCGGGGATTGTATTCATGCATGAGCAAGATTATAGTGAAGCTTTGAAGCACACACATGCTGGAGGAACAATGGAGCTGTGAGTCCTTTTGTTTGGTTCTAGGCATCTTAAATCATGTTTCTACCCAGCAGAGTTTCAATGTGATTTGTTGATTAAATTGAATTAAACTGTACATATATTACATTTCCTGGTACTGGTTTCATCACAACAGCTGGTTTTAGCTATGGGATATGGAGAGATTTAGCTGTAATCATGCTTATAAGTACTGCATGCTTAATTTTTGCTGGCATATAGTAAATGTTGCCATGCTCTATCACAGGGATTGAGTTTCTTGCTTACAGTAGAACCTTTTCCCATTGTTCACCAGATACCTATTGCAGGAAATAGATGAGTACCCTTTCCATGAAATTATTCATTATTTAAATGAGTATTTGGATTGTAGATATGCATGTCCATGTGTGATTTCCTCTATATGCATGTATAGAGTATAACTATTCGTTTATTGATTCTGTTCAGGCATGCTTTGAATGTTCAAATTTTCCTTAAGATGCATCGATCGGATTATGCTGATAAACAGTTGAGAGTCATGCAAGGAATGGATGAAGATCACACATTAACTCAACTTGCTAATGCATGGCTGAACTTGGCTGTGGTAAAAATTTTGTTTAGTCCGAAATAGCAACATTACTGTCAATTTGAAGATCTATTGACTTAGTTATTGTTATTGGAGGTAGGGTGGCTCAAAGATCCAGGAAGCTTACCTGATTTTCCAAGACTTCTCTGAGAAGTATCCAATGACTAGCTTGATCCTGAATGGAAAAGCTGTTTGCTGCATGCACAAGGGTGAATTTGATGAAGCTGAATCACTTCTGCTTGAAGCCCTAAACAAGGTGCTGTATAAATTATTTGTTTATTTTGTTGTTTCTGTTATTGGCCAATAAAGTTATGGAAAGATGGATGGTTCTTTTTGGTGATTTCCTCATCAAGCATGCAATGCATGGGCTCTGCTAGACCCCTTTATGACAAATATGCTCAAGTGCTTGATTCTTATTTTGCTTGTTGCCTTGAAAATTCACTTGTTCTGTCAAGACACACATTGACACATTTCTTGCCTATCATCTGACACTTTGATGCAACTTCAGGATGCTAAGGATCCAGAAACTCTTGCTAATTTGGTTGTCTGTAGTCTTCACCTGGGAAAATCATCATCCCGTTTCCTCAGGTACTATGCAAATCTGCTGTATGAATTTTCAATGGTTCAAGAATTAAAGAAATATAATTCTGGTATGGGAGGGAACCATCAAAATAGCTAGAAAATCGCCCAAGTTACCCAAGTTTCAGAATAGATTTCTAGTTGAATCAATAAATGTAAAATTATCCTTAGAGGTGTTCATGTAAGAGTCTTGTTGATTTGTGATCCTCTTTTTCTGTTTTTATGTTTTTGGTTCGTTTTTCTTTTTAATGAGTATGCATGTGAAGCATTTAGTATGTTCTGGGTTTAATAACATAATCCTTTGAATTTCTGATGTTTCCATGGTTTACTTGCAGCCAATTGAAGCTGTCACACCCTGATCACACACTCGTCAAGCGTTCATCTGCTGCAGGAGAGAGCTTTGACAGAGCACTACAAACTGTTGCATAAGGAGAGTGTTTCAGCCTTTTTCTTCTCATCTTGAACTTTACCCTCATAGGGAGGGCTATTCAATTGCTTTATTTTTTTCTTCATAAAAACTGGAGTTGAGCTCTTATGTTAGATCTGCCTATATTCTTTCAACACAAATTTATGGTCCAACACTCAAATCTGATGACTTTTACTTTAGATTGTGTAATTAATTACTTGTGTTAAATCTGGGTCGATCAATAATTTGTATCTATAGCTACCGGTTGGTCTAAATATATCTGTGTTTACCTATTTATTACTATAAATCCTCTAATTCCTATAACAATTAGAAGTTCCATCTAGGAAACACTAAGAACAGCAATAATAATAGTAATAATAATAATAACATATCGTCATCATGAATATCATATACTACAACAAATATACCTACCTAAAGTAACAGGCTATTAGTGCAATAGCACTAATATCTGAAAGTCTCGTCTGTCCTGAAGGCAAATTCCGAAAATGAGAAGCTTCCGTCGGCCTCACACAATCCAATAATACACCATATTCATCTCATCTCATGAATTTCTAAAACAATACAATAGACTCACCTAATGCCACAAGCTCTCTTCCAAAATTAGGCCCAAGTATCGGTCCTCTCCACCATGAATGGAAACGATGCAGTGCAGGCAGTTGATATTCTACTGAGGCATAACCAGAGGACTAGCACCGTCGCTGGCGCCGGAAAGTGCCGCGCCGTAGCCATCAGGATGTGCTTTCTGCCATCTCCACGCAACCTGCAAGCTCATTGCAAGGTTAGTGTGCTGGGCTGTCCAGTTCAGCTCATTCTTGATCTTGCTCGGATTGCTGTATACTTCCGCATAATCGCCAGGCCGGCGTGGCAGGAAATCTACTTTGATGACCATCCCAGTTGCCTTTTTACAAGCCTCCACAAACTCCTTCACCGATCTTCCTGATAAAATGCAGAGAAGGCTCTGTCAGCAGTGATTATATGATCGATCGATTCTTTCCAACACAATAAGTGGGCATGGAATGGGCAGTACCTCTTCCTGTGCCGACATTGTATATGCCAACGTGACCAGGCTTTGCCTTCTCCAGAGCTTTCACATGTGCATCGACTAAATCAGTAACATCTATATAGTCCCGGATACATGTACCATCCGGAGTTTTATAGTCGGTTCCTCGAACCTACATCAGAGAGTGGTCTTTTGAGTATGCTTAAAAGAATAAATTGGGTCAACTAAGGTGAATTAGAGCAATTTATTGACTCTACACTATCACAGAATAGAATAATGTCGAGACAAGGATTTTAGACGGACCTTAAGACCAGGAATGATTCCTCGAGCAGCATCGAAGCAAGCACCAGATATCCTTCCATGTTCACGTAGTTCTGGTCGGGGAGCTTCACCGAGCCTTCCCTCAGGATCAGAACCAATCACATTGAAGTATCTAATTCACAGAAACAAACCTGAGTAAAAAATCGATAATGATGCTGGTAAAACAAAATAGTGGTTGCTGACTAAGATGTTTACCTTAATATCATGACAGCCATGTCTGAGTTTTTGTGAAAATCCAAAATAATATCCTCAGCCATTTTCTTGGCTTTTCCATATGGATTTATTGGAAGCTGCATTGTGCGAAAAAAAGGCAGCTCAAGTTACAACATATCATCATGAAAGAGCTTTAGTCGATGGCCACATTTCCAAATCTTGCACTGTATAAGACAAAATGAATAATTTTTAATTTCAAAATGAAGAAAGCAATCTAACCTGTGGAGTTTCTTCTGTAATTGGCATCTTTTCAGGTTCCCCATAGGTTGCACATGTGCTAGAATAAATTAAAGTCTTCACTCCATGAGCTGCCATGGCTTCCAACACAACCAGAGTGTTTGATGTGATATTGTGGTAATACCTGTGTCGTAGAATAGTTAGTACAAAAACATGAATCATCTGAAAATCTGTACATCGATGATGAATATTATTTTAAGCAATGAACTGCAGAATTTGAAAAGTTTTCGCATTTGAAGGACCTAGAAGGTTATTAAAGCATGCTCACTTGAGCGGATCAAGAGTACTCTCTCCAACATATGCTACGGCAGCAAAATGCATCACGGCGTCAAATGCATTTTCTGAAAAAATGTCATGAACTGCTTTCGCGTCGCCGAGATCAGCGTAAATAAACTGAAGTCGACCTGGTTCTGGAAACAACTGTTCGAGGACTTTAATAGCACCAAGGTTTCCCCGAGAGAGATTATCCTGTTATATGGAATTATATTTATATACACCATCATTGCCCTGGAAAACGATAGCAGCAGCAATCAATTACAGAACTGTCGTTCATACAAGAAACTTACCACTATAGTAACACGATAGTAATCCTGGAGAAGTCGTAATGCAGCATGAGAACCGATGTAACCAGCGCCTCCAGTTACCAAAACATGAGTGACGCCAACTTCGTGTATTGTAAACTGTGTAACAGCAAAAGAAGAAGGGTTTGAAAGGAGTAAGGGTTGATAAACATAAAACAAAAAAGCCGATAATTCAGCTGCCTCTACACATCGATCAGAAGGAAACAGGAAATTGAAATGTAAGAGAAGCAACAACATCGATTTGAGGTTATTCTTGGCAGAATGGAGGACATGTAACTCATCAGCTTGACAGGAAAGATTACACAATGAATGCAGGCATGCTTAAACATACAAATGAAGTGCAAAAACAAAGATTACTGAAAAAATTCCCATCTGATCTGAAGATGGAGACAAGAAAGAACATTAACATACTAACAAAATGGCAGCTCTGAACATCAAAGAAAATCAAACATAGAAAACTGAAGGGACATTACCTGGCTGGGTGTGTTCGGAGGGCTTGGAGATGGATGTTTGAGCATAAGAATACACAAGGCTGTAAGAGCAGAAACCATTATAATTTTTCCACAAAAACCATTCTTCTTCTTCGGGTCTGCGTAATCCATCCCTGTAGAAGCCAATGTGTCAAAAATCTTCAAAAAATATTTTAAAAAATTAACAAGAATAAGCCCAGAATTGAGGAACGAAGATCAAGCAAAAACGCTAAGATGAGGTAAAATCCCACCTCCTAAAGACATAGATCTATTGGACCTCTGCTGACTTCTTATCCTGGTAAAACTTAGCATCGAGATATCTCTTCCTTTATTCAAATGAATGAAAGAATAAATAATCTTACAAATCAAATCTTGAAATCAACAGTCGAGCTGCCCTGTAAAATTTAACATTAAATCGTTATCACTAAAACAATATAAAAAAATACGAATAAATAAGTGAGTATCTTGTTTGTAAAAGGTGAATTCAAGTGGGAAAAGAGACTAAGCTGGGCCCTGTTGAAACTTGAGAAAGATACTATGCGAGATAGAAAGCCAGAAAAGTATGTATCATCATTGAGTTTTGCAAACACCAAATGGTTCCCAACAATTACAAGAGTAACAACAGCAACGTAATTTAAATCAAGAAGATAAAAGTTTTGAAATTGAAGCCCCAGGAACGCCCGCAAGATTCGGAAGATCCAACCCACGACTCGTCAGGAAAAACGAAACCGCAAAATCAGGAAACACACAATTCTGATTTGAGTAGACCCAAGAAACCAAAATTACAAGGAAGAAAGGGATTGGCATTTCAAAAATAATTATTTGGGGAAAAGATAAAAATAGAACCACAATTCAACCATCGAAAAACCTCAAATTTCCCTGGCGACGAAAGGGAAAAGCCCATTCGACATTCTTCGATTATCAGATTGTTAGTTACCCAGCACATGAATACGCATGCATTTCAATGATCATAAGATCCGAAAAAAGCAAAAGAAGTAGCAGTGGAACAGGCTGTGGCGTACAACAAAAAACAACGATAAGAGCAATGCTTACCTAAAAAAATATTAAACAAGGGCACCACAAGAAAACTAGCAGAGCAAAAACAAGATGGGTGTTTGGCAAAAAAACAAAGAATGGTGAAGAGAAAAGGAGAGAGAGAGAGAGAGTGCGTACAAGAAAGAAAGAAAGAAAGTGTGAGAAAGCGAACAGGTGGCGGTCGTTCCGCTTGTTGCGACGCGTTCGTCTTTGAAAAACTGCTGCCAGTGGAGAAAAGTAAACACGATTATTATAATGGAAGAAAAGTGGGTGATGGATGGATCTTTCACATGAATAAATAGACGACGAAAAGTGTGAGAAACCACCATTGTTAAGCTTAAACTTAAGCATACATACAAAATTATAAGTAGACATTCCAAAAATTAAAGGCCGGCGGATTTCATGAAACTAACATACCAATTCTTAGCAAAGGCCAGATTCAGAGCCTCAGACTAATTGTATTCGGCAAATCAATTCTAGTATTTTCTACTTTTCCACGTAACAGTACCTTCTTTCCAATTGGAAACAAAACATTTATGATATTTAACGACTTTTGTGTGCCCATAATTTATGGGCTCGGGCAGAAATGACAATGTGATTGGACTTGTGTCTGGAAAACAATACTGGGATATTTAAAAATAGAGATAGGGACAATCAGAGTGAAACAGGTGTCTAAAAATAGTGGAATCAATTCCAATTTAGGGGAGGTATGCATGCTTATTTTCTTACCGCGCCCCAACAGCCACGCATCATCTCGGAGGCCACGTGTAATCAGACTATACACCGACTGCACATGCCGCCTTTTTTCTTTATTTATTTATTTTAAAGTTAATAATAAAAATATTAATGATGAATAGAACTGAACTTTATGTCAGTCAGGCTCGTCTTCCAATACGAATCGAATAGGCCCATCAGATTATTGCGGTGTCCGAATCTTGTCCTGCCTCCATCGATTGCTCACTTTCAAAAATTCAAAACTTTTTACTCGGAGCCGTAGCCGGAATCGGAGCCGGAGTCGCCGTAAATGTGAAGTGGTTTTGATTGCGTTTAGAAAAATTCAAACGTCGGTCCAGTCTACTTTTGGACTTGTTCAGGTTGCAAGTAAGAAATGGGCGTGTGTTGACTTTTAAGGTTCACTAATTATATATATTTTTTTTAAAAAAAAAGGGAGAAGAATTAGGTGATAAAAGAAATTCTAGAATGTGTGGGCTGTTTAGATTTTGGGCTTTTGATTCGGCCTATTTTTAACCCATATCTAATATGTGATTTTGGGCCTGATTTTGTTACCGGCCTATTAAACTACGGCGTCAAAAGATATTATTGCCAACCTTGAGGACTTCACTGCAAAATTTTTTTGATCACGTTTCTAATTTTCTTCTCCAAATTTTATGTAGGTGGGTATGAACATTTCATAAAGTTAGAATATTACTACTATGTATTTTTGTTGTTATTCATATTTATATGTTGAAAAGTAAGCATTAAAATTTAAACTATAAAGTTCGAGTCGAGTGTCCGTAGCCAGCCCAGCTGACTCACAATTTAATTAAAATTTTTGACCGTTGGAATTATCACAGTTGGAGCGTTTATCGAACGGCAGTACAGTCAGCAGCACTTCACTACACGTCACTCTTTTTGCTCTGCGATGCATTTTAAGCCGTCGATTACCTTATTCGAGATGGTCCACAAAAGATTTCAAAATTCAAAATTCAAATGGCGACAGAAAAAGAAAGTAAAAAAACTTGGAATAGCAATAAAAGCTGCGACAGAGCACCACTTTTTACTCTCCCCCAGCCCGCAGAAAATCACAAACTCTGAAAACTTGGTCCAATCAGCAAGACTTGACATGAATTAACAATTCATGGTTGGATTTAAACCTCATTATTTATTGTTCGTTCTCTGCAAGGTTTTAAAGAAAGCCTCCTTGCTTTCAAGGTGGCTACAGTGATCTTGTAAGCATTCTTGTTTATGCTCGGGAGTGGATTTTTAGTTTGCTGTGTTGATGTCATTGGTTTGCTGAGTATTTCAGGATTTTGTTCACAATGAGGGAAGAAATCTCATCCGAGAGCAGAGTGAAACCTGCAAAATATGCTGATCAAAATCAGGCAGCCAAAGAAAACATTCACAGCAGTGTTAAGGTGAGCAGCAATTTTTCGAGAATGAAGTCGTCATGGGGCTCTCACATTGTGAAAGGCTTCTCGGCTGCGGATAGGAAGACCAAAACCAGAGTGTTGCAGAACACAGCTCACGTCGTCAAGAAGCCGCCGATCACCAACTCCGATGCAGCTGCGCATCAGAAGAATCAGACAACGGTGTCGAATTCGAGGACCAAGAGGTCTCTTATCGGCGATCTTGCCTGCTCGATTAACGCTGCCCAAGTTCATCCACAAGCTGTTCAGAGTCACAACAAGACAAAGTCCATAAATTCTTCTCAGGATTTGTTTCAGGAAATCGATCATTTGAGGAGTCTGCTGCAGGAATCAAAAGACAGGGAGCTTAAACTGCAAGCTGAGTTGTCGGAGTGTAAGAGAAACCCGAAGGTGTTGGAGCTTGAAAAGGATCTTGAATTGAAAAAGAGTGAGATTGATGGCCTTCTCAAGAGAGTGGAATCTCTGGAAAGCGAAAAGGCCAACCTTTCTGGACAAGTAGTTTCTTTGGCTGCTGTCATGGGGAAACAAGATGAGGCATTGGAAAGTGATGCATTTGCTAATGCAGATATGGAAGTTGTAGAGCTGAGGCGGCTGAACAAAGAGCTGCAGCTTCAAAAGAGAAATCTGGCTTGCAGGATTTCTTCCTTGGAATCCCAATTAACCACCCTGGCCAAATTTTCTGAGGTATATATATCGATTCTTGTTTATGTTTAGCGTAGCGAAGTGCTTTTAATTTCTAAAAAAATGAGTTTCAGATTTCCATTTGATTAGCTATAATGTGGACTTCAAGATTATATTTGGTTGCACTTCCTTCACGTTCTCATAAGTGTCCATTTTGATGTGTTCATATGCAGAGTGACAGTGTAGAGAAGATTAAAGCTGAAGCCTCTATGTTGAGGGATACAAATCAAGATTTGTGCAAACAGGTGGAAGGCCTTCAAATGAGTAGGATGAATGAAGTTGAGGAGCTTGCTTATCTGAGATGGGTTAATTCGTGTCTGCGGGACGAGCTGAGAAGTTGCTCTACCATGAATCCTGATCCTGATTCTGTTGAAAAGAGTAGAGAATCCATTTCCTTTTCACCTTTTAACAATGAGGAAGAGCATAATGATACTGCTAGAAAAAGGTTGTTTCTTGTCAAGAAGTTCAAGAAGTGGCCCATCACTGATGAAGACCTGCAACAAATGAAATACACAGACACTCTACTCAATCGTAATTGGGATGATCCACACAGCACATCACGGAGGCACTCTATAAGTGGAGCAAACTGTTGTCCTGAAGAGTTGGCTACTTACAGGAAAAGGCAGTCTGATAGTTTTGTATGCTCCAAGGAAGCAGAGAAGAGAGTAGAGGTATTAGTTTCAGAAAAATATGACTTGGAAGTGAGCAACAGGTCCCTTGTATATAGCAATTGTCAGGAGGTTTGTAGACTGACGGGCTCTCTCGATGTTGTTGAGAAGAGGGCCTTAAGGATTCCTAATCCCCCACCAAGGCCTTCATGCACTGGTTTAAGCGTCCTGAAAGAAGAAACTTCTGTTCAAACTGTACCACCCGCACCGGCTCTTCCTCCCCCACCGCCACCTCCACCACCACCTCCAAAGTTAACGGCTAGACGCTCAACTGGTGTTGTGCAGAGAGCTCCACAAGTTGTTGAATTTTATCACTCACTCATGAAGAGGGAATCCAGGAAAGACTCCTTGAATCCTGGGGCAACAGATACATCGGATGTTGCAAATGTTCATAGTAGCATGATTGGCGAAATTGAGAATCGATCATCTCATTTGCTTGCGGTGAGAACTTTTGTTTATAATCCTTTTCAGAGGCTCTTTTTGGCATGAATTTTTAATGTGTGCTTCACAATTACTTCGTGATCAGATAAAGATGGATGTTGAAATCCAAGGAGAATTTGTCAACTCCCTTATAAGAGAGGTCAATAATGCAGTTTACCAAGACATCGAAGATGTGGTTGCGTTCGTGAAATGGCTTGATGATGAACTCTGCTTTCTTGTAAGTTTGTCTCCTTCAGATGATCATCAAATTGCTTTGTTTAAAATACCTCACTCCATTTTCAAGCTACTATAACTTTTGAATTAGGGTGTGTTTGATTTGGTGTCTGGTCTTACAGGTGGATGAAAGGGCTGTTCTGAAGCACTTTGCGTGGCCAGAAAAGAAATCTGACACATTAAGAGAAGCTGCATTTGGGTATAGAGATGTAAAGAAGTTGGAGCAGGAAATCTCGAACTACACCGATGATCCTTGTTTGCAATCCGATGTTGCATTAAAGAAAATGGCAGCTTTGTCTGAGAGGTGAGACTTCTAGCTGCTGTTAAAACATTAAGACAAATGGCATGAAATGAATGATTATTGGCTTCTCTAGGATGGAGCGCACCGTGCATGATATCCTCCGAGCAAGAGACGCATTGATGAGAAACTGCAAGGAGTTCAATATACCTACAGACTGGATGCTGGACATGGGAATATTAAGCAAGGTGCCCATTAGCCTGGTTCTTTGCTTTGCTTGTATCATTGAATTCAATTTCTTTGAAAATGCTGAGGCTGACTAATAATCTTGTGCTGGCTACAGATAAAGTTTGGTTCAGTCAAACTGGCTAAAATGTACATGAAGAGGGTGGCCATGGAACTTCAGTCTAAGGGGACTTCAGACAAGGATTCTTCCTTGGATTATATGTTGCTACAGGGAGTGAGATTCGCCTTCCGCATTCATCAGGTCTGCTTGTAATTTATGATTCTTCTTGTGTATATTGGAACATAGTTGTGGTTCCTAATCAGATGATGTCTTGGTTACACATATTTGTGCAGTTTGCTGGGGGGTTTGATGCAGAAACAATGCATGCATTTGAAGAGCTTCGAGACCTTGCCATGGCCCTGAACAAGAGTAGGGACTGAAGTGGATAAAGAGGCCAGAGGGAAAGGACCTGAGTTTGCTCAGGTCAGAAGTTTTGATGAATCTTGGTATTGGCTTACCACCTCAGTGAGCATCAAAATTGGTTCGGAGAGAAATATTGTATTATGGATTTGTAAGGAAAATTTGTTACCAAAAAAATATTGTATTATGGATTTGTAAGGAAAATTTGTTTCCAAATAAATAGTGAAAGGACCCGAGGACCTGAGTTAAGCAACTTCATTAACTTTCCACCTATTTTGCAGAGTAGAAGTTCAAATATATAAACTAGTTTGTTAAAAAATTCAGAGATATTGTAGCCATCATCAATAATCTTGTGTAAGAATACTCTTTCGTCTATGGGACAATAAGTAACATTGTATAACTCTGCCTATACTGTGTACATGCCCTGATAGGTCACTTGTATATATCCGCAAAAGGTCATAACATACATTGCAAAATTTACATATTCGAGAAATTCCCATGCCACATATTCTTTCAACATATTCATCCAATTGCAGCTGCAACATGGGGAGGTCTTGGGCACAGGCATACATGCTTGTGAATTCCATGTAATGTGCCCCGGAGCTTGAAACCATAAGACTCTGGGAAATTCAGTAGTTTTGGAGAGAAGGGCTGGGTATATCTATTCTCCATGCTGGAACAATGTGTAACCTGAACTCGATTCATTTTTCGCCACCTGCATTTGTTCATATAAATAGTGTTTTTAAAGCACTCAATCACACCTTAAAAGTTAACCAACTAAATAATTGTTGTAGTTAGCTTCATTGCCTCTCAATATGCTGGTAGGGGAAATGCTGTGTATAACTCTATATTATAATGCTGCAGCAGCGAAACTTCGCAGCCTCACAAATCAAGACTATTTAAAGTTGACATATATCTAAAGCAAATGGGAGGATAAATCTATTTCAGAAGCTCAGCCAATGAGAACTTTACCTCCTTTGTGCTTGATGAACCAGTAGGAAGAACTGGGACAAGAGAACTCCAAAGAATGGGGTCAGGAAGTGGGTCGATACTACTGTAATCGGTCAGAAGGGGAGCAGACAATAGAGGAGCCAAGGGATAGAGATTCCTATGAATAGGCAACCCTCCACTTATCCCAAATGCAACACTTTCTCCCTCTGTTCCGCTACCATGGCATGATTCTTCAGGCGCCTTTCCGAGCTCAATTTTCTCAATGTTATTCTTGTTTTCTTTCTCATCCTTTTCTTTATTTTTTGATACTTTCTCCTGGAGGCTTTTGTATGCTGCCGACTTCAACAAAATGCTCATGGCAGTTATCTTTTTCTGCTTCATTCTTTCAGGAGGTACACCTAGGCGTGGCATTTGATATGGTTCAGTAGGCTTGATTGACCTTTCCAGTGCTTTAAGTTCACTGGCAACATCATCAGAGCATCCGACCCCTGCTTCATCTAATGCTTTGGAATGGGAATCTTGCTTATTTGGCCCCCACCATTTAATGTAATTTGCCAAGTCAATCTTTCTGTCGGTGCCATAACCACCAGCATATTCACTGCCAGAGGCCATTTCATCACCTGCACCTTTAGAAGTGAATACAGAGGTAGGCACAAGCAGCATGGAAAAGAGGGAACACAATCGATTGTATTAATTTAGTTTCAGAATAGTATCAAGATGCACCCCAAGTATTCAAGCCCATTCTCACCGTATAATGAACTGTTGACATAGTCAGCTCCTGGTGCTCGGCCAAGTTGTGAATCCCACCGACTAGTTTGAGGGGTGGAAATGACATGGAAATCATTAAGAAGGCCAAAGTTCAGACAGTTAAGTAATAAAATTCTGTTTAAACTATATGCATGTAGATGGCTTTAATGGTTCACCACTTAACATTTACAAATGCACAGTTCGAAAGGTACCTAGAAAGGGGCCGATATTTCGAAATTCCACGAGAAAAACCACTGCTTTTCCTGCAGTAGAAATGCTAGTAAGAACTAAAATTCTCTTATAAACCAACATCTACAGCACGGAGAAGTATAACAAACTGACCTCCGAAGTGATGCCAAATAATCCTCTCTAGAAAGGTTTTTCATTTCCTCTAGGTCCCTTGTATAATCTGTAACCTGCACATATCCATCAGGAGACTCAAAATGGAAACTTGTGACAAATCCCTTCTCAACAGTATCCTAATCAGACAATTCATTCCTACAGGAAAATTGATGAGTGTTCCTGGCCCCCAATACTTCAGAGCAGCGAGATCATAAGCTCTGGCTGCCGCTTCCTCATCATCATATGCGCCTAGAGCAATGTTTTTAAGGAAGAGATTAAATTTTGGCTATGTCATCTTTAACATCATGTTCCAAGACAGAAAAACGATGGAAATACTTACCCAAGTAAACTATCCAAATCAACCAAGCGCCAAAATAAGGTATTCCAGCGAGAAGAGAAGAGAAAAGTGAAATGTGAGGTGGATGATCCTCGTTGTATAAAAAAAAAAATTTGAGTAGCTTCTCATCACAAACTCCTGTCTTGATCACAAGAAACTTCAAAAGATGAAAATTACCTTGCTTTCCCTTCTTATTTTGGTTTTGATTCCAGGTGCTTTTATCCCAAAGATGTGCTTCATAACGACCAGTCCATCTATGCCTATTTGTGGAACAAAAACGCATTCTATCTTAATTATGAACCAAAAACAGGATAGAGGGAAAACAATGACTAAATATTATGATAATATATCAAAAGCAATACGGTAGCTTCGCCGATAGTGCCGTGCGCTGCAAAACTTGTACCTTAATCATCAAATAATTTCTACAATGCGCCACAGTTCAATCGCACCACAAGTTAAAACTCCTCACCATGAAAGTTGAAACCACAAACAAGTCCAGCACGTTTCAAGCTAAGCAAGTAAGCAACATGCTTTTACGGTTTAATTTCGATACCTCGTGACGCCTCTATAGATGGAGCTGCGCTTGCCGGCGGTGCAAGGAGGCATTTTACTGATGCGCTCCTTGGCAGTGCATCCTCTCTCCTTTTTCGCCTTCTTCAATCCTCTGTAAAGCAAAAGCTGATCACCGCCCAGCGGCGGAGGCAGATGCAGAGGCGGCTCGGAGCTTTCCCCACCGCCTGCCTCCTCCGGCTTCGCGGCGTGGTCGGAGGAAGAAGAAGCCATGGCCGGACCGGTCGCAACAACGAATCGCCAAAGCCTTCCGCAGAGGAAACTGAAAGTAATCGTTGTAGAGAGGAAAAGAGTGGTTTGATTACTGCGCCGTCTGCGGGAAATCAAGAGCAACAAGGGCCGGTGAAGTGAAATGATGAAATTGCCCTGGAACACTGTTATTTTTGTCTGGGTTGAAAAAGGTTAGAGATGATCTCCGGACATCCATCTATTGCCGCAACGGCTACGAGGAAAAATAAGGGCATTTTGGTAATTTAACTCTTTTTTCAAACTGTTGCTCGGCCATGCGGTGCTCCACTGGCCTAACACGTGGCATGTCGGCTTACTTTACTTCTCAAACTGGGCCGAGCCCAAATACTCGAGGCCCAAATAGTATATGCCCAATTTGCTAGCAATTATTAATTACTGGACCTTAGATTCGGATGGCGACATTGTGCTGTCCATTTTATGGCATCGCTGTCGCCTTGTTATAATTAATTTTGTTGCATGCCCGATTGGATGTGATTCCCGACACCAACAGCCTGTAGCCAAATTTTATTATTGAACCCCTTAAAAATTTCTAATTTATCTCAATAGATCAAGGCAATGGTACGGCAGTAATACGAATCACTACAGTGACAGTGCCATGTTTGAAATTGAAATTTAAATTTTAAGTAAAAAGAGTGGAATCCATCAAGGTCACGTGCATTGCAACAGGGAAACCGACCTGAGCGCGAATCAAGGGTGAGATTATAAATTTTCACTGTCAAGCATATTCGTATATTGATATTTATTTATTTATTTATTAATTGGATACCAATAGATAGCTACAATCCTACGGATAGCTAGATGGGGAAAAATATGGGCAGCTGCATATTCCTGACCGTTGGATCCAATCTCACCTAACCTTTTATAATCAGATTATCAGAGGAGGATTTTTTTTAAGTAAGTAATTATTTTGTAAAATGAATTAATTAGTAATAAAATTTAATATAAAATAAATACGGGGGCTTCGCTGGCTCACGTGACCATCTCACATTATTAGCAGGTGCGGCTTGCTGCTGAGCGGTGCCGCCGCTTCACTCGAAGTGTTCAGTCAAGACGCACTCGTCAGGTTCTCTCGCCATCCATTCCTGTCAAAGTTTAGCTACTTTCTTTTCTGGTGGTGCTTTCTACTCTTTTTCACATCGTTTTGGATTTTAGGTTAAATTATCTCCCTCTTACTGCTGTTGATTTGCTGAGGCTGTGCGTGTGTGGTGTTTTTTTGTCCAAAATGTGTCGAATTTTTAGTTATTGTTCTTTGTTCCAGTTCTAGTCATTTTCCTTATTGATAATTTCAGATCTGTTTGTTTCGTGATGCATTTTTGGTACTTCGATTCAAGTATCTCATTTGATTACGGACGTGATGGCTAGATTTACTGTAACTATGAGAGTTTTTTAAAATAATGAGCTTACGCTTTCTATAAAGGAAAAGAAGTTGCTAGATTTACGTTTATTATGATGGTTACGAAGCTAATCAACTTTGCTTAACTTCTGGTAAAAGAAGATAACTTTTTGAGTGGGAGTCGGTGGTGTCAGTCTATATAGAGGCATTCCTGAATATTCCCATTCCTGAGATATGTGAAGGGCTTGAGTGATCTATGCTGTGGATTTAGTTCTTTTTAAAGACGAGATGGATAATAATTTCACATTTGTTTTGTTACAATAAACAGTGGTGATTTTCTGGCTATAGCTCGTGAGTTATGCATCTATATAATCACACTCAGATACTTAATTCTGCTGGATTTTATTTTCTTGCATTTTTATTTGCCTGTGCTACTGGTACTGTGTGCTACTGGTACTGCTGATGTAACATCTACACAACCTATATCAACCCCCACCCCCTGCAATTTTGTTAATGTATTTGTCTTGACATTTTGTTGTTGCAGGCATCTTTAGTTCCAACAATGTCTGATCTTGAGGCTCCGCTACGTCCCAAAAGAAAGAAGGTTTGGGTGGACTACCTTGTTCAGTTTCGATGGATATTAGTTATCTTTGTTGTCCTGCCTGTGTCGTTTGCTCTGTATTTTAGCATATATATTGGGGATGTGATCTCTAATAGCAAGTCATTCAGTAAGCGCCAGAAGGAACATGATGAAAATGTTAAGAAAGTCGTAAAACGCCTCAAGGAGAGGAATCCAAAGAAAGATGGTTTGGTCTGCACAGCTAGGAAGCCTTGGATTGCTGTCGGCATGCGTAATGTGGACTACAAGCGTGCTCGCCATTTTGAGGTTGACCTTTCTGGTTTCAGAAACATTTTGGACATCGATAAGGAGAGAATGATTGCTCGAGTGGAGCCTTTGGTCAATATGGGCCAGATTTCTAGGGCCACCGTCCCTATGAATCTTGCCCTAGCAGTTGTTGCGGAGCTTGACGATTTAACTGTTGGTGGGCTTATCAATGGCTATGGGATTGAGGGGAGTTCTCATATTTATGGCTTGTTCTCCGATACTGTGGTTGCTTATGAAATTGTTTTGGCTGATGGGCAAGTGGTTAGAGCCACAAAGGATAACGAGTACTCCGAGCTTTTCTATGCTATCCCATGGTCTCAGGGGACGCTGGGACTTCTTGTTGCAGCCGAGATTAAGCTTATACCTATAAAAGAATACATGAGATTAACTTATAAACCTGTTGTTGGAAATTTAAAGGAGATTGCTCAAGCATATATGGATTCCTTTGCACCTAGGGATGGAGATCAGGACAACCCTGATAAGGTTCCAGACTTTGTTGAGGGCATGGTTTATACCTCAACCGAAGCTGTCATGATGACGGGAAGATATGCTTCTAAAGAAGAGGCCAAGCAGAAAGGTAACAAAACCAATAGTGTTGGCTGGTGGTTCAAACCTTGGTTTTACCAGCATGCGCAGACTGCACTCAAGAAAGGAGAATTTGTGGAGTATATTCCCACCAGAGAATATTACCACAGACATACAAGGTGCTTGTACTGGGAGGGAAAGCTTATTCTTCCTTTTGCCGATCAATGGTGGTTCAGGTTTCTCCTTGGATGGTTGATGCCGCCCAAGGTTTCACTTCTTAAGGCCACACAAGGTGAAGCTATCAGGAACTATTACCATGAAATGCATGTTATTCAGGATATGCTTGTTCCCCTTTACAAAGTTGGTGATGCCCTGGAATGGGTCCACAGAGAAATGGAGGTATGTTAAACCCTGCAATTTTGTGTTGCACATTATCATTGAAGCCCTTCACCTTTTGAGTATTCTAATAATTATGTTTGATATTTCAGGTCTATCCCATCTGGCTCTGCCCGCACAGACTTTACAAACTCCCTGTGAAAACCATGGTTTATCCTGAACCAGGATTTGAGCTACAACGCAGACAGGGGGATACACCCTATGCCCAGATGTATACAGATGTTGGAGTTTACTATGCTCCTGGGCCAGTCCTGAGGGGTGAGGTATTCGATGGATCGGAAGCAGTTCGTCGGATGGAGGATTGGCTGATTGAAAACCATGGTTTCCAGCCTCAATATGCTGTGTCGGAACTTAATGAGAGGAACTTTTGGAGAATGTTTGATGCAGGTCTGTATGAGCGTTGCAGGCAGAAATATGGAGCAGTGGGTACTTTCATGAGCGTGTATTACAAATCGAAGAAAGGTAGGAAGACCGAGAAGGAAGTTCAGGAAGCTGAACAAGCTATTCTGGAGACTCCAGATGTTGAATCCTCGTATTGATTAGTCAAGTGATGTGGTTTGGGATTGGCAGGCGTGTGAGTTTGGAGGTGATCGTCGACTATTTCAACACCGTTTCCTTATCAATTCAGCAATTTCATTCCCCTTCTTTGTTTGTATGTTGTATTCCGTTGAACCCTACTTAGGTATGTAGCCAACTATGGCGACTGACTTCTGCTTTCTATTACATTGCTACCTGGATTTTCTTCTTTAAATTAGGTATCTATCCCTATCAGTTAGTTTCGTTTATTGGCGTCTAGGCGTGGGATGTAATTGTGCTTGTGATGCTACATTTTATATGGGCTGAAGTAGGATGAAAGTATAGCCCAATATGTAATTGGGCCCAAGCAGACAACCATTGAAAGTTAGAGGAGGGAGTTGGCAAGCGCGGCGTAGTTCCAGCAGGGGAAACTTATTTTAATGGAGGACAGCTTTCCAAATTCCGATGGCTAGCGTAGCGTAGCGGTGGATGCTTGAAGTTGAAGGAACGTTACCCCACCCCACCGCACCCACCGGCTCAGCACTGGTCTGGTCTATTCAAGCTAATCCCACTATTCCTATTCTTGTTCCTTATCAAATAAACGAGGCAAGCCAGGCCTGGATCGTAGCGTAGCGGTGAGGCTGATTCTAATTAATTCCCCTTCCATTCCAATTCACAGCATTTGAATTTGGCTATCCTTCCCTCCCTGTCGTCTTCTTCTTCCAGTTCTCCAGCAGAGCAGATCTGATCTTGACATCTATCACGAGGAGGAGTCAGAGATGGGGCTGGAAATAGTCATATCTCTGCCGTTTATTCTGTTCTCGGTGGCCCTTGGATTGGGGTGTTATCTGCTTGGAAGAGCAAAGGGCAGAGAAGAGGCTTACGCCAAAGCTCAGCCCTTCGGCGCCCCGGCTCCGCCTCCTACTTTCGCCGATCCTCCTCACCTTCATAATCAGACGCTTTCTCCAGCACCTGCACCGCCACCGCCTCACAATTCTGCCGCTGTTTAATAACGGGAAAAGGAAACCATATTTATTTATTCTTTCATTACTGTACAGGCATCGGTGAGCTAAGCTAAGCTGTCTTGGGCGGGCGGGGGATTCATTGGCCAGTTAACCATTTTCTTGCACAAAAGAAATGATATTGAATTATTGATATGCCCTGGCTTGGTGATGATATCTTTAATTTGTGATGAGATAGATGATGGGATGCATCATTAGTTCATGTGAAGATTCCATTCTTTCAAGGCACATAAATAGTGCTTCACTCTCACCCAAAAGATCTCATTATATATAATTCAACCTGATAAAATTTACACGGCCATCATCAAGACTCAAGAGGCCTGTGCATTCATGGAATTATCATTCCATAGCATTACAGCTCTAGGACAGATAGGAGGATGTAATGAAAGCACCTATATATATATATATATGTAAGTATATATGTATGTGTAAATACAATTTTCAAGCATAAGACCACATGGACGCAGTGAAGCTGGCTTGCTCCACCACCATATCCATATCCAAGCTGTCAAATGAAGGTTTGGAATTTGTGAAGTGGTACGAGGAAGGAGAGCCACTGCTATTGCTTGGACTGGATGCCGGCGCCGGCAGACGAAGGCGGAGGTGCACCACCTCCGCCTGAGCCAGGGCCAGCTGCTTCCTCAGCGCGTCGACTTGCTGCTGCATATACGAGATTGCCCCCACGCAGCCGTACACCGGATCGCGCATTCTAGCATTAGCTTCGTACACCATGCTGCTCACCGCATCCCCTCTCTGCTGCTCATCCAATTCCTGATTAGATTTGCAATTTGGAGATTTATAAGAATTAATTGAGGATGATCGGAGATTCGATTAGTTTGAGGGTGAACGAATTGATTAATTAATTTACCTGGAGCATTTTGCTGACATTGCTAGCCCCGAACACCTTGTGAACGCAGGCGAACTTGAGAGGATCCTCCGCCGGAAAATATGGCGCGAATATGCAGTCGGGAGAGCACCTCCGCCGCAGGAGCTTGCAGGCGGCGCAGGGCGCCGATGATACCCCGCCTTGTTTTTTGCTGTTGACGACCTCTTTCATTCTTGCCTTGCTGAATATCCTTTTAATTCTATTTCTATCCACCGCAATTCAAGAACCAACTTTGCTGTTAACTGCTACAAAACGTACGGCTGAAAAACAGACACAGACATATGGGTGTAAGTATCTATGTATGTATGTATGTATGTATTTATGTATGTACGCGCGCATCTATATATACACACAAAGTAATAATCAAATGACAAAAGTGTATGAAATAAAATAAAAAGTAGCCAGCCGCAGGAGCATGCATATGAAAATATGTGAAGACTTTCGCTAGCAAAAAACAAAAAGAGAATTAAGGGAGTGCAAATGTTGGGCCCCAATTTGATCGGATTTGCATCTCCTCCACTAAGAAAACTATCGACAACAATTTTTCTCCTGACAGGACAGGTTTTGGAGTGGAGCTACCTACATACATCATCAATTCATACATTGAACTTTTAACACATTGGTAATTAATTGTACTTGTTTAATTTCAAGTCTGTACTGTAATTGTAATACTTGCCTACTTGGTACGTGTGTCTTGATTAGTAATAATATTATTATTAATTATTAATCTAAATATTAGAGATCCGAGGTAGTGTGTAAATTGTAGTAATAAAGAGATGAAGGAAGCATATATATATATAAATTATAGTATTATTTATATACATTCCATCAACGTCAACATGAATCATGGATCGATTTCTATGTATATTAATATTCTAAATGTGTTTTTCACTCTTGATTATAATCTTCAATTGCATCAGACAGACAGGATATCTGATTGCAGGGATCATCAAATCTGACAATTGGGACCTTGTCTTGTCCCAATAATTAACAGACCAGATGTCCAACGCTGAGCTGAGGTAAGAAATTAAATACGCTCGTGAGTACTTCTTCAATTCACCCTTCACCTTCATTTTCAACTTTTCATTAATTTAATAGTGAAAGCTTGCTCGGATAAGTATAACTCCTGACGATATCCGTGCTCCAAAGCAAGCACTAAAATATTGAATTGCATGTTATAACCTATAAGGTCTTTTTTTTTTTGTTTTTCTAATGAAGATAAGATCTGTTAAGATTGCCAAGTTGAATAAGACGAGTCCATGCAATATTTTTAACACATATAATAATAATAATAATAATGATGCTACGAAATAAAGATCATATATTCTATTCACTCAAAATCCCATTTCAATTAATTAGCCATAACATGACACGAGCCACCTGCCAATGCAGTTTCACTCTCCCACTTTATCTTTTATATTTGACCAATCTCACACATCGAATTCCAATGAGATGATTGATGTACATGATACATACATAATTCTTTTATTTCAACCTTTGTGCTTTGTGCCTTTGAAAATTAATTCTGCCAACAAATTTTTTATCATCTGAAGAAAAAGGGTTCCCGACAAGATGACCCCGCTAGTTCCTTCTTTTCTCACTTTGGAATCCTTCCTCATAAATAAATTAAAGATGATCCATTATCAAAAGATATATGGTACACTACATTATTAAAAATTCAAATTACCATTTAATCAATAATCTCATCCTGTAAGAAAAACAGAACACCAATCCGATCACTAAACAAAGAATGGCTATTACATGTCTATGTGTATCTCTTACCTACTATGTTCCTACCAAAAAAACAAAGGGGATTTGTATTATCAATCAATGGATCAACTAATTATTCAATTATGTATGTGTGAACAAGTGAGTTAAGGTAGCTGCTCTCTTCGAATCACCGATTTGTAAATAGGACTGTTTCTTACAGAGATGGAGAAGGATTTCCTCTTCCTGTGCAGCTGGTCTCTGAGATGTCTGATTTTGGCATCAACTCTTGCGGAGTAGCCGACCTGAGTCAGCTGCTTCGACTTCTCCTGTTCCCGAAGCCACGTGGCGGTACTGTCTGTCCCTGACAACTTCATCTCCTGGATTATGTCGTCATCCATGGGGAAGAACTCCCGCTGGATGGCGATGAGGGTGAAGTAGGGTAGAAGCGAAGCAATCACCGCGAGCAGTGTCGTAATCCAGTACGCCGGCGCCGGTCCGACCTGTCCGGTGAAGACATGGAAGACGTCGCCGGACAGGGGCGGCGGGAGCATGGTGTAGCAGTAGAGGAAGATGTACCAGCAGAGAATGCTCCCCCAGATGAGGAGATGGCTGATCCACGTGAAGTGGGAGATCATTAGGGCAATCTGGCAGTTGACCGTCCAGATTATGGACGTGTACGTCGTCGTCCCGACACGCTCCATGTCCGCCGTCCTGCCATGTTTGTCGGCGGAGACGGCGTAGATGTTGAGTGTGAATGTCGCCAGGGAAGCCACGACGCCGTTGAGGATCCACCCGATGATGCGTGCCCAGCTGAAGCACTCGTCTCGCTGCCCTTCTTGATACAGTGCCGGAAACTGCACCAACTTAGTTAATTCATCAGATCATTCAGATTTTCAGACAAATTGAGAAATTCATGTATCTATATGTATGTATTTATGGATTCTTGCCTTGAGACAAACATCGGAGGAAACATCCTGTTCGAGGACGCCGAGGGCTATGACGGGCAAAGAGGTGAGCAGAACGTTGAACATGACCATGTACCAGTCGTCGTAAAAGTCCTGACCGGAGAAGCCAGCCACCGTGTTGTAGTAAAATAGGGTGAGCCCGAAGGCGATGTTCTTGTACACAAAATAGACAATCTGGAACAAGCTAAGTATTAGTATGATCAGATCAATTGTAAAGAAAAGATTTTTAATCAAATACAAACCATCTTGGAAATCCTCTTGTAACACCAATGCCCGTGAACGATTAGCAGTCTCTCCAAGAACCGAAATTCAGGCAGCGAAAAATCGCTCGCCATTACTGCCTGAAGAAGAGTTACTAAGATTCAAATCAAAATCTGAATCTTTTAGGAATGATGAATATCATGATCATGTGGCTCACCTGCATCCCTTCCATGCCACTGATTCCCACTCCTATGTCGGCTTCCTGAATCATCCCGACATCATTGGCTCCATCGCCGACAGCCAAGATTGTCTTCCCCGAATGAGCTTTAACCGTGCGCGTAATCTTCCAAGGTTTCAAACAACAGACAGGATCATTACCTCAAACGTGTAAGAGTTGGAACTGTGTGTTAAAACATAGGAACTTTTTGTGCTGCATACAAACCAGAGCTTTTTGTTTGGGAGACACACGGCAGCATATGACAACGTCGCAGTTCATGGCCACGGACAGGAACTGCTTTTTCACGTCGTTGCTTAAACATATTTCAAGAGCTTTCCCGTCCACCACCATTGCGAAAGGGGCTTCCTCTCGGTCCGCTTCAGTGATCAGCTCATTGTAGCCTTTTAACTGGTATTGAATTTCTCCTTTGGCATCCTGAAACACTAAAAACAGAGAATACTTGATCCCAGTTCAATTACATCTTTTATTCTTGATCGTAAGTTGAGATTTTCAACTGTAAAACAGTCTTCACCTTCATCACATGCAGTTTGTTGGAGATGTCTTTACCCAAGCACAAATGGAGCTGCCTCATGTCGTGCCGTAATAAGCTGCAAGCAAAGCTGCAACAACAAGCATGCACTTTTAATGCTTCTGAAATTCTTGTATTGAATGTTTGCAAGAAACAGATAAGAACATTGATTCACACGCACCCTATATTAACTGCTGTTTCCCTTTTGTCGCCGGTGAGCAGCCAGATCTTGATCCCTGCTTGTGCAAGTTTATCTATGGATTCTGGAACCTGGGATCATGAGTTAGTGTCATTAGAATGATCAAAAGTAGCTTGATCTATGTTCTAAGCTCTGTCCTAAATACATACCCCTTTCTGCAACTTATCTTCAATGGCAACAGCTCCTAATAACTGCAAATCATTCTCGATCATTTCAGAGGCACTCTCCAGAAGCTCTTCTCTTTCATGGCCTACAGTGGCCTTTGCTTGTTCGAATGCGCCACTCCAGTTTTCATATTCTTGCAACCCAACTTGCTTATATGCAAACACCATCGTACGCAATCCATCTTCGGCATACATTGAAAGGTGCGTCTCTGTCGCCTGCTGATATGTTCTACCATTATCTGCTAGCCTATCAAAAATAACACTTGAAGAAAGAGAGATTGAAAAGGTTATTACATTACAGAAGCAGTAAGCAAAGTAAGTAAGTTTGGATAAAGGGAGTGCTTAAAGTAAGCAACCATACTCATCAGCTCCTTTGCAGAAAAGGAAGATCTCCCCTTCACTGTTGCTTACTATAACTGACATTCTCTTTCTGGAGCTATTGAATTCCAGTAGATTCAAAAGCTTGTATTCTCTGCGAGTTCATGGCATTAGCTTTGTTAGATATTCTAGAAGCTTCCAGATAAACAGGTAAAATAGAGAGAGATTTCACCTCTTCACCTCCATTCCTGAAGAGGGGTCGAGCTCTTGGACTACAACAGCAGACTGAGTTCTCTGGCAAAACTTGAATCCAAACTCCTGTGCTGCAATCAGAAATGCAACTTCTTCCGGGGACTCGGCCTCGTACGTTGTCCTCTCGCAAGTGTTTTCTTCGACAGGAATTCCAGTGTGGCACAGAGCCATGACTCTAAAGAACATGATCATGTCAGATACATTGGACTTATATATCCACATTCGGTCCATGAGGCGATCATCTCTGAAATTGAAGCCTTTGATCTTATCCGCCTTCCTGGAATGTGAAATCCTGCCTTTTCCATTTTCATTTTCATTTCCATGATGAAGCTCAAGAATGTCCTTCTCTGCGCCGCAATCAGCAGCTGTGGAAAGATCAAACATCTCGATGCTCCGTCCTGTGGAGTCCGATCCTTCCAGGCTGAAACGATGTCTCTCCACGTCAATATTCATCCTTCGAGAAGCTGCAAGATCAACTTCAGTCACTTCACCTCCATAAGAAATCCCTTCAATGGAACACTTTCTGAACTCCATCTGGTTGCACGTCAAGGTTCCTGTTTTATCAGACAAAATCATGTCCACCTGCCCCAGCTCCTCGTTCAAATTTGAAGTCCTGGCTTCCACAGCCTTGCCTGTCGTCTCATCAAGCAAAGCACAATCCTTGTTGATCAGCATAGCTTGCAGGACTTTGACAACTTCAATGGAGACATAGAGGGATATTGGAATCAAGTAGCCATACATCACAAGAGCTCTTATGAATTGCAATATGCAGGAGAACACAGGATCTTCAGGGCTGAACAATGTGTCGACATCATCATGCAAACGGAGGTACCATCTCTTGAAATTATCGGACTGTGTAAACATGGCAGAGCCAATAGCAGAGATTAAGGAAATCAGAACCATCATCGCGAAGAGAAGGTAGATCACACGGTCCATCTTCCTTTCCACCCTGCTGCGTTTGGATGGAGATCTAGTGGAATTCCGAACTGCTTTAGTATCTGGTCCACTGAAGATCACAACACCATAGACATACTCTGTGTTTCTAAGTTTGGAGTCTCTTAGCAGAACTTGTGTAGGGCTTAAAGAATAAGATTCTTCTTCATCTATGTCCAGATTTCCAATAAATGTGTATAGGCTTGGATTGGGATCCTCACAACGAACCGTGGCTTTAAATTTGGAAAACTTCAAATCATCATCCAGAGAGAGTGTAGCTTCTAAGCTTCTTTTGGCTTTCAGATTCGTCTCCCCGTCAAGATTCATCGTTTCAACATAGCAAAGGCCATCTTCATAGCTTGAAGATAGCAGAAGAAGATCACTGGGAAAGTAGCTATTTTTAGTGACTCTGACAACATCTCCCACCAAAAGAGACTCCCAGGATTTCAGTACAAACAATCCATTTCCCACATGAACCATCACCTTCCTCGAGTTGACTTTGTTGTCCTGAAAAGTTGTTTGTCAAAAAGGGATGAGATGGGATGAGATGCTATGCCATTCTATTTAGTATCTTAACAAAATTGTTTGTCAAAAAGGCAAGAATTGGAACTGGAAGCCTACCTGTAAGAACCTGTGCCAATCTTCAATTGCCTCTTTGATCATGCTAATCCCAATAACAAACAAGAGAGGAGCTATTACACTAACTTTATTGAAAGGAGCCAACGATGTAAAGGACAGAACAGCTGCCAGCAGGAAGTACAAATTGGCAACTCTGCGGAATTGCTCGAAAAGGGCTATCGGCAGAAAGGTAATAAGGTTGTACTTAGTTGTGGAGACATAATTGTTTGGATACTTATGAGGCTTCCTCTTGTGAAGGCGAGGCTCGTTGCAGAACACCACTCGGGAGAATCCCGGCTGCCCGAGTCGCTGATCACTAGGCTGTTGATCATCGGTGCTTGGCCTCAAGCATGAGAATGTGTACAATTTGCTCCATTTCAGTTTCTGCTTTCTTCTTCCTCTTGGCTTTGACATTTCGTGATTCAAAGTGTTTTCCAAGCTCCTTTGACATTCATTGGCAATGGCAATGGCAATGGCAATGGCAATGATACATGAACTTGGACCTCAACGTCTTTCTGTCATAAAAATTTACTCACAAATAGCAAACCTTATAGAATGTGTGCATTGTGATTGGCTGTCATTCTTGTTGGATTCATGCTCTTGTTTCTTTTAGATTCATTAATTAAAAAAAGAAGAAAAGTGTGAGAGAAGCTTCTAAATTGAGAAAGAGGATGGGTGGTTTCTTGGATATATAGTAAAATAAATGAGGTACATAAACAAACAATACACTAAACTCCAAGTGACATTACCCTCTCCCTCTCTCTCTCTCTCTCTAGAAGGAATTGCATTGACATATCCGAAATTAATAATTCTTTTTTGCATTAAAATAATCAGCTGTACATGTGAGGATTCAATGTCGACCCTGCTCCAAGATATAAAAATCAAAGTAGATGTCCTCCCTACCATTAGTCAAAAATATGTGCATGAAAATGGCCACAATTTATGGCAACTTAATTGCTGAGTGAAGTAGAAAAATGTATACCAAATTCAATTCCATGTGTCCTCTAGATCTCTGCAAACAAACCGAATCCTTCTATTCATCGCCAATGACATAAGCACTGACCTAGTGCCTTCTGATCCCTTGATACTGTGGGTGGATTAGATTGGATTGGCCGGCGAATCTCATGGCGTTAATTACAAGATCATCTTGTCCAAGCAACAAAGTTAAAATAGCAAAGGGAATTTCATCGGAACTCTTAAAATATTGAAGCGGCAACTATTTTTAGTGTTTTGGCCTGTCTCTGACTTTCATACAAACCTTGAAAACCCTGTGGATCTTGGTGACGACATATACTTATGTCTGCATTAATCTCCAGATTCCAGGCGACTTGGTCATGAGGGCTGCAGTTGCAGATGCAATGCCTGCAATAATATTGTAAGGAAAAGGACAGCTGGTACAACAACCTCAACATTTGTCTTCGCAAACGGCCATGGCAAGATCGAAGGAAATCCCACTTGAATTCACGCCGGCAGGCTCCTAAATCCATCAATCAGCAAGTCCCGGACCATGTCATGCCATAAACTTGTTTTCTTGGTCGCCTTAGGACAATAGTCCAGGAACTACATTGCATTGCTTCATTTCAGTCTCTGTTGTTTATTCAGTTGTAATGATTGATGGGGTAGCTGACATAGTGAAGGCACTGGACATCAGAAGGGCTGGCCCGCCCCATCCCCGAACATAGAGTGTGGGAGCTGTCCATACACAGTAACTAATTCAATTTGCAGTGTTTTGTGTGCAGAAGCATTCATTATAGTCAATTATTGGTACAGGATATATACATATTTGTGTGTATATATTAACTCTTCATTAGTAATATTGTCTGGAACCAGTTGTGTAACTATCATTGCCAATGGAAGAGTGCAGTGAAGAACAAAACAGCACGGGTTGCGGATAGTTAACTGACATAAAATCTTTGAATGAAAAATATACATATTGAAAAGGATGGGAACCAAATGGCACCTTTATGCTACGCTACACTATATACTCTCTAAGTGCCAAAATGATACAGCAATAGAAAATCGAATGACTCAAATCGCTAAGAACACAGAAATAAGAACGTTCGTGAAGCAAGCAACTACTCAGCACTTACAATTGCAATTGCAAACTCCATCTAGTATGTACCATGATCGCAGCAGTGCAATCTGAATACAAGTTACTTGCCACTTGTATTTGTAGCTCTTTAAAGATCATCATCAGTCTTGGGGCTTCGCAACCATCTTCACTTTCCAGCACTTGCCTGAATGTCCAGCAAACATGAGAATCTTGACATTTGCTGAATCAATGCATGATTGAAGAAGGGGGCCTGAAAGCTTTTTGCTGACTTAGTCGAGGAAATAGCAACCAAATAGCCTCCATTAGCGCTGCCATAAAATGTGGTTACTATGATGATCTGTTATCCACATTCATTGGATTGTCCTGGTCAATTTGCACTTGGATATGAAGATTGTATCTGAATAATTCAAACTGCAGAGTTTCAGAAGCTCAGCTGCCCTCTGCTTGAGTGTGAGACTGCACCCGCTTTGGATGACAAGAAGAAGCTTTGCAGCGAGACCTGCGTCCACAGCCACCAAAGAGCATTCATCCGGGGAGAGCTTGCATACAGACCATAAGATAGAAAGTGCGCATTCCGTGGAGCTCTCAGAAATTCTCATCAGCAGTTTAACGACATTGGGAATGGCATTTGGACAATCCTTCAAAGCTTGGCTTCCTTCAGGTTCCGAAGAAAGGACATTTAATATGAAGAGGGCTACCTCCACACAGTCTGGATTCAGGGAAGGTATCAATTCTACCAATTGTGGTATTGCTCCAATGCTCACAATCAAACTTCGAACTTGCTTATGCATGCTAATCAACTTGAGAAGGCCAAGCCCCGGCAAGTGTCCATTAGGGTGTCTCTTATCCCTCACCAATCTCATCAAAGCCACCAACAAGCTATGGCTTGAAACAATTTCTGCGCGGAAATCTTTCTCCTCCATCAACATCTCAATCAACCGAACACAGTTGAATTTTGTTTCTAAAGAACCCTCATTCAGAATATCTACCACCGAGGATACTTTCGCAGGTTGCATCAAAATTGTTTTTGATTCAGAACTCAGAGCCAAATTTACCAGAATTGCTACAACTTCTGATCCCACAGCATACGAAGTAAAGGGACCGAGCAAAGATGAAAGCAGAGCTACCCCGCCTTCTTCAACAATGGCCTTCCTCGCAGTAGAGTGGTTTCCCACAACTTGACAGAGCTCCTTGAGGGTTTGAACCCTAGCCTGACCCTTAACCTTTTTAAGGGTGCTAAGAAGCTCCGACGCCCTACCCTGTGCATCCTCTGATTTCTTCTTCATTTGAACGTACTTCTGAGAAAACCAGGTATAGATCAACTGGTACAGCGTGATGTTCGGCGTGATTGCGTCGTCCCAAAGTTCTTGCATGGTGGTGGGACATGTGAAGTGGCCCATGCTAAACCATTTGAGAATGTTGGATTTCTCGTAGGTTTGGCCAGTGCAAAGAGTGACAGGGTCTTGCATCGGTTCAAGGGATATAGGGCAAATAAACACGGATGGAACTTCAGTTAAATTCAGCTCTTCGATCATCTTCTTCAGATCCAACTTCTCCCCAAACCCACCGCCGCCGTAGCCCCCGGCTGAGACTCCACCCAAGATTCCATCTTTCACGGCGGTGTCTAGATCTAAAATTCTCCCATCTCCACTGCCCTCAAATCCCAGAATCCCATTTCTCTTTGAAGACTGAAACATAGGCATCTTGATCACTCTCCTCTAGACAACAGCTGCCCAATTAAAGAAACTCCAGAGCCTCAACTAGATAGCCTTTCAAGAAAGCACATTACGTCGATTCACCATTACAACACATGTGTGGAAAAGGATAAATAAAGAATGACAACTTCCTCAAAGTATCTTGCTTTCATTGACATTAACAACCGGCAGCCCTGCTACCTTCAAAGAGCTTATCATTTATTTTTCTTCTCTCTCAATCTCTCTCTCTCTCTCTCTCTCTCTCTCTCTCTCTTCGACTATCCTTCTTTTCACTTTATCCATTACTCTCTTTTAGTGGTCAAAAGGCTCATCACCATAATCATTCATTCAACACATCATAGAGCATTCATTCATAATCAGCAAACGCTATTCCCCAAAAATAAACCCTTTCTCCCTTCTCCTTCAGGCCAGCCTTTAAAAAGATTTGAATCACACAAGAGGATGGGACATAATACTGAAACAAATCTAGACTGATCAGAGATCCAGATTACGAAAAAGACTCGATTTTGAGGAAAATAAAACAGAAATTGAGGAAATTAAAATCAGACCAGATCAAAAGAACCTGCTCAGCTCAGGTGAGGATGCATAGGCAATCCATGAAGAAAAGAGGAGATATTTGAGAGGATAGAGAGAGGGCATCTCCAACAAAAGCTCATCTGCTGAGGCTGAGCTCTTTCTTTTCTTTCCTTTGTTTTCTGTGGCCAGACCAACTTCGGTGCTGTTTTAAGTATATTTATTATTAATATTCTGACCCGAAACAATTATTAATACAGTACTACATACATTGTCTCGAAACAGTCGAAATTACGAATTCCCATCATCGCTGTTGTTTAATAGTATCAAAATGCTGGGAAATTCCATAAAACTATGGACAAGTCACTTGACCGCCGTGACAGCGTTGATTTGACTGTACGCCTCGGCCTTTTCCCGTGTGACTTTGACTGCTTTTCTGGGCTACTTGGTCCAATCCCCTACCGACACGTACCCTCTAACTCACTATTTTTCGTACTATTATTATTAATGTTATTATTAATTAAGTGTCCTTTTAAATTGTCATCCCAACTAAACCATATTAAGCTGTTTTTTGTTTGTGTATTTATCTTAATGTAAGAACAAACCGATTCGGGTGTGTTTCTTTTGAAGTTAATTTTTTATTTTATTATTTCAATTTTTTCATAAAAAGTATTAAATTAAATATATATTTTTATTTATTATATTAGATTAAAATTTAATTTTATATTATAAATATTATTTTAATATATTTATATTTATATTGTATTTAATAATTATTTTAGTTTAAAATTATACTTTTCAAAATTAAAATTCAAAATTTTAGACACCACAAACAAACACCTTCATTTACTAATTCCCAACATTGACCATTTTTGGCTATTATTTCAGGTAAAAAAAGAAATAAAAACGCAATTTTGTACTTGCCAAGATTGCTCGTGCGGTGAAGGAAAATTATGAATACCGGAACGACGGGGAGTAGCCGGTACTTCACCCCATCGGCCAGCGTGCCACACGTGCGAGCCACGCTGTCAATATTTAAATCTGCAAGGCTGATTCAAATATTAATAGACAGTATACATATTTTAAATTAAAGAAGGTTTTATTATCATTTTTATTTGATATATAAATTAAAGAAAAGATAGGAACAGGGCGTTTGACTGCTTTTCCTTTGACTGGATTTGGTTCGAATCCGCCTATAAATGTGCGCCAGCTCAGCTCAGCTCAGCAAGAAATTTTGAAATAATTAATTTAGAAAAAGTTTTTATTAAGGTGTCAGTACAGGGTGCCTGCGCACGTGCGTCGGGTCTGAACGCAATAATGTATGTGGTGCTTGGTAAATACCAAAATTTTAATTAGCAATAAACAAGTGTGTGTGTGGTGCAGAATATGAATATTTACTGAAACATATGTTTATTAATTTATTTTTTTCCCTTAGAAAAAGTCCTGGTAACTCTATTTTAATGAATACATGAAAATTCCAACCCTATGCAGTTTCTTTGGGTCGAGGATTCATACTTAAGAATTATACATTTGTAAAATTCATATTGAAGTGTGATGTAATATTTTTTTTTAAGAAAAAAGATTTATCATTAACAAAAAATTGGAGCAAGTTAGATCAGATATATTAATAATATAATGGTTTTGGTTTTGGTTTTGGTTTTGTGTTTCCTTGTGGTTGTGGGGGCGGGGGCGGGGGTGGGAAAGAGGTGTCAATAGTTTTATTGGGCATTCATTAATGGGTAAAAAGTCAAAAGATGGTGGGATGAATTAAATGGGATTTTCATTTGTTCATTACTCGGATCCAACTTTGTTTCGTACGCATTATATATGTCAACTTTCCAACCTTTGCTATCTCTTTTCGACAAATTAATAAATACGTTGTATGTATGTATGTACGTTAAGTTGGATTTGTATGTTGTCCATATTAGGATCGGAGTTAATTTAGGACCACTATCAATAATCAAATAAATATATTAATTTAGGACCACTATCAATAATCAAATAAATAAATATAATTAGCCTTATGGATTTGGTTCTTGCTACATTGTTATACCATTCATTCCGTTACGCCTCCCCATCCAACCAACACACAACACTGTCTGTCTATATTGGACAACATATGAAAAATACATAGATAATATTAAGGAAGATGTGTGATACATGTTGTAAATAATAATAATTAATGTTCAATTCGCCATGTTGACCTTTCTTTCCAAACAATAACATTATATATATATATATATTGCATGACATTTTACAACACGTAGAGGAGCCACAGGAATTCAAATATACAAATTAACAAAGATAGATATATGTAGTCTTAAAATAATTAGCGAGCTAAATAATATCGATTTCGAGTATGAAATTACGTTTTTAAGCTAAGGTAATTAACTAGTATATTTTGTTGATGGGCTTGCAGAATTCTGCATACCACACTTGATTATATATGGGCTTCGTACTTCATTTAGTTTTACTTTGGGCTCATTCAATTCATTTCATCAAACCTCTCTCCTCTCCTTTCCTCTTAATATACATAGTATACGTATAAATATAGTTTTCAAAAATAAATAAAAAATATTACTTTTAGAATTCAATGATATTTGTATTTTTGTGTCAATTTTTAGAAAAATGATAACTAGTAGATAAATGTGTTTTCTTTTATCAAGGTATTTTAATATTGTGGTTGAAATTTATTTATTCGTGATTATGAATAAAAAATTGTACATGAATTATTTAAGTAATCATAATAATCGGGATGGCGTTACGATGACTAGTAGTAGTTAATTAGCATGGAAGGGGCAGGCTAGAGTCCAATAGGTTAGAACGACAGTGACGTGTCAGGATTTAAGTGGGGCCAAGGGGACTGTCCTTGATCGGTCAAAAGGTAGGCAGTCAAAGAAGGGATGGCCCACTCTGTTGTCCTACCTGGCAGTGGCAGTGGCAGGTCCAAAAAGTTCATTGTGAGTGACGTGGAATCTTCTCCTTAAATGCACCCTCAGGCCCCCGTTTCTTCCTTATTTACAGAACTGCAAATGATGCTGCTGCTGCTGCTGCCATCTCAAAATTCACAAATTCTCAATTATCTTGTGGATTAGTAGTTCAGATTATTTAGTTAATTAATTAATGATGAACAACTCGAGCGAAGCAAGCCCTAGTCTGGTCAATGATGGCTGAAGGAAGGCAGTAATAGCTTGTATGTGTAATTGTATATAATCTATCCATCGATACTATGCATCTCACTGTCCATCCGTCCTACTCCCTACTGTAAGAATCTTTTTTGCTCTTGGAATTTATTTTTTATTTATATATATATATATATAGCGTGGAAAAAAAAGTATTGTTCGTAATGAGGAAGATCGTCGCAGGGAAGAGAGTAGAGTAGAGCAGTAGGGACTAGAGAATCACCAAGAAATCAGCATATGCAACTGTTGTTGTATACTAGTATTAATTAGGCTCTGTTTATTTTTCATTTTAAACCTGCATTTGCATATTCTGCTTTAATGTAATTCATCCAGCCAAAGTATGCACGTCTCTATCCCTGCCAATTACCCTTCCTTCCTTTCCCATTCATATTCATTTATTAAATTGAATTGGATTGAATGGACACAGGGTACTTGTCAGTGTGTGTGTATATGAATATATATATTTACTTATCCATGGTACTTGTTATTCTACAGCTGCTCTGTATATTATGTGGAGTGGTCATCATACTCGATCGAGTTTATATGATGAAGTTAGATAAATGTTAAGCGCAAATAAAGTTTCGAATCACTTCACAAGGGATTGATTTACTATTAGTTAACCTGGTTTTACATGCATCTCATATCATATAGACAACGTATATAGCAGTAGGAGTTTGTTTAAATATATAAATAAAAAAAATGGTGCAATGATTATATTGTACCAAAGAGAGTAGTCAAATTCAGAGGATCTTTCCATGCAATGCAATATGCAATCCAAGCAAGTAGCTACTCAGACGCTGTAATCGATGGACCTAGCTGGCTGGCTCCAAACCCCTCACCTCACCTCAATCTCAAATATGTTTTGTTTTTTAGGTTGTGGGGGTGGGGGTGGGTGTGTCAGGGTTAATGGATTTCTTTGGCCTTTTTGTCATCATGGTTTCTTTTACTATTTCCCTTTCTCTCTCTCTCTCTCAGACTCACTCATCAATATGGCGTTGATGATGACTTTGGGGCTGTGGCTGTAGTGTATGCCGCAAAGTTAGTGGCTTAAATCAGTAGTTTTAGATTTGAACTTTTAGCTTTGAAGATTTTTTTATGATTTTAAGGGGTGGGTCATTGGGAAGGGAGTACTAGTCCAAGGTAGATAGTTTTCTAACAAAGTGAAAAAAAAAAGAAGCATAAGATAAAAAAGAAAAAGGTGTAGTGACTGTGTCTGAGATCAGATCAGAGATATATGGCGAATGCTGCTGCTGCTGCGGCTGCTGATTACTTCTACTTCAGCCCAGCAATTTCCAAACTACTACAACGTATGTACGTAGTACAATCACCAATGTAACCCTCTGTTACTTGCAAGAGCTAAAGCCCCTCCCCTCCCACCATATATATCAGTTGATGATCAAATGGTTTTTAAATTTTGGAAAGGCAAGGATTAAAAGTGTTGGGAGATTTCTATTGTATTTATTTTTCTCCATATCGTGAGGTCTCACGAGTGGGTGGCTCACTTTTCAGTGGTCACTACACTACACTGGTCTCTTCTACTACCCATCCATCCACCCACCCAATCAGACTTGCAGAACTGTGGCATTTCACTGTTGGTTTCTTGCATGGATCTGAGTGTATCTAATCCGGGGGGCGGGGGCGGCAATAATAATAATATGGTGCGGGAGTACAGGAAGGGCAACTGGACCCTCCAAGAAACCATGGTTCTGATTGAGGCCAAGAAAATGGACGATCAGCGGCGGATGAAGCGGCTGGGGGATTCCGGCGAGAGGGGCAAGCCGGCGGAGCTGAGATGGAAGTGGGTGGAGGACTACTGCTGGAAGAATGGGTGCTTGAGGAGCCAGAATCAGTGCAATGACAAGTGGGACAATCTCATGAGGGATTTCAAGAAAGTCAGGGAGTACGAGAGGAGAGCCGTGGCGGCGACGGAGGAGGAGGGCAAGTCGTCGTATTGGAGGATCGACAAGAACGAGAGGAAAGACAACAACTTGCCCTCTAACATGCTGCCTCAGATATACCAAGCCTTGCTCGACGTGGTCGACAGGAAATCAGGACAAGGACACTCGAGTTCCAATGTCAGCCCCCCACCGCCGCCGGAGATGTCCGCCGTCAATGTCTTGCCCGCTCAGGCTCAGCACCCAATGCCGATTTCCATGCTGCACTATCCTGTCGTCACTCAGCCTAACATAATGCGGCCGCCGCTGACGCAAGCGCCCGGCGAGCCATCCGTTCATCCCGCTCCGCCAGTAGGTAGGTACTGGTGGTGGTACTCTATATTCTATTCTATCTATCAAATATGTTATATAATATATATATATATAATAGTGGCCTCCCTTCTTCCTCAATTCTTGATCATCGTCCTCAGATTCCTCCGATACGAGTGGCGGCGGCGGCGGCGGCGAGTACTACACAGACTCGCCGGCGAAAAGACGACGGAGGAGGGGGAGCGATGGGGAAGGGACGAGCGGAGGTGGGGACGAGGTGGGGTCGGCAATTTCAAGGAGTGCCACAATCATAGCAGAGGCGATACAGTCATGTGAGGAGAGAGAAGAGAAGAGGCACAGAGACCTGCTGGCTTTGCAGCAGAGAAGACTGCACATTGAAGAGTCAAAGACTGAGATCAATAGACAAGGCATTAATGGCCTGGTCGACGCCATTAACAACCTCGCCAATTCCATCCTTGCTTTGGCCAACCACAGATCCCATTCCCATTCCCATTCCCATTCCCCTCCTCCTCCTCCTTAATAGGAGTATAATCAAATTCATTCCAATTAGTCATATTCCAACCAGCCAATTACTAGGTACATTCATACATCAATTGATGATGATGACGACGATGATCATTGATCAACCAACCCTTCTCAATTAATTGTTTGTACAGACCTGATTAATCCTGATGATGCTCCAGCTCCTCCTCCTCCTCCTTCCTCCTCTAGGGTTTTAATTCTTGATTGATTATTAATTAGAATTATTATATTATTATCAAATTCAAAATCTTGTAGTAGCACTTAATATTTGTTTACCACTATATCATATCTATCTATATATATATATATATAGTGATGATTGTTGAGGCTTTAATGATTGTTTTCATTCATTAATTAATTAAGTCCATGGCTGCCATGCATGATTGCATACATGTTGTATATCCTGCTGCATCGACGTTATTAATTGGTTAATTGGAATTATGTAAGTAAAAGAAATGGAATTAATAAAAAAATAGTATAATTAATTGGTCATAGATCGTGTCAAAGGAAAGAGGAAACAGTGGAGTGGAGAACTGCAGGCAGGCAGGGTGGCCATTTACCACTTGAAATCAATGAATGTTATGTTAGTATATTATATTTAATTATTCATTTGCTGTGGCGTGGCGGCACTCCCCCTCCCCCTCCCTCTCCCCCTCCCTCTCCCTCTCCCTCTCCCCTCTTGTATTTATATACACATTATATATTTGCTTTGCTTCATCAATTTTTTTTAAAAAATTATTATTATTACATAGTAGTATTTTTATGTCTGACAAAAGGACGCAATGGGCATTCCAGCTTTTTAACTTTTTATTCCCATTCGTGAGACTGAGACCGATTGTGGTGTGTAGTCCAGTCCCTCCGCTTTTGCATTCCGAGTCCAAGTAAACTACAATCAATCAATTACTATATCTATATATTGTTGAAATTTCCATTTATTGATTATTTAAGTTTGAGTTTGACCCAAATGAGTTGAAGCCCATTCGTATGGAAATGTCGGCCCAATTATACCACAAACGTCAGCCGGCAGTGATAACTAACGGCATCAATTACTATGATATGATAACTAACGGCATCAATAAATTTTAATTTTAATTTTGTCAAATCCTAATATTTTGAAAAAATCCATCCCATCCCAACCAAACTTAATTAATTAAAATTCGAGAATTCAAAAATTAATTAATTAAAAAATAGATAAAGATTAGATATGAAATATAGAAAATAGATACGTTTCAAATTAAGTTGATGATTATACATACGTATATAAACGATGGGAGTAAAGAATACTAGTATTGTGAAGAGAAGAGGGCAGGGCAGTCCAATTCATATTTGTTTTGCGTTCTTCCCAACTTTCTTGACACGGTCGGTCGGTAGGTCTTTTCTTTCCGTCAACGCCCCCAATTGCGAACCCTCCCTCCTCGCCTGTTCCTTCTTATCACCAAAGATTCGGCATTGTTTTCAATTCAACTACGCAATTTTGGTGTTTCGCCGAGTTAATTCCCTGATTGCTGCCCAAATCTGATCGATGGCATCCACCGGGAACAAGAACATCAACGCCAAGCTGGTTTGTACTTTAGTCTTTAGTCACCGAATTCGGTATCTCTGTTTAATTCTATCGCCTTTTTTCCCAAAGTCTTTTGTCTGGCTATGCTGTATCCGCTACACCCCGTCTTTATTCAAGATTGTAACTTTTATGGCTGCAAACTTGTTTAGATTATATATATTTGAGAAATATTGATGAATTTGCCGCCTTTGTTACGCCTTCATCACTATATTAGCCCCAGGTAATATTGAGTTTGTGTCTAAGTAGCTTTTATGATTATGCAACTCTTTTTATAAATTCTGTGTTTAATTAATTATTCAGGACGCCTGTTTTTTGACTAAATATCAAGTGTATTGTTTGAACCTTAGGTAGAACAATGACTCATTTTGGTTGAATACTAGTATATAACAATTAATTAAAATGTTGTGAGTAGTCCACAAACTTTCATCATTCTGCTTCTGAGTTTAGATGAGATCTTCTTTGTTTTAGGTGCTCCTTGGGGATGTTGGAGCTGGAAAATCTAGTTTGGTGTTACGGTTTGTGAAAGGACAGTTTGTTGAATTTCAGGTAAATTTTAAAATGATATATAGAATTTCTCCACATTGCTATAGATAGATTTTTCTTGTGCTCTAGTGAATGACTTAACTCATGCTTTTATAGGAATCAACAATAGGCGCTGCCTTTTTTTCACAGACAGTTGCTGTGAATGATGCAACTGTAAAATTTGAAATATGGGACACGGCAGGGCAGGAAAGATACCACAGCTTGGCTCCAATGTATTATAGAGGAGCAGCAGCAGCCATTATTGTATATGATATCACAAATCAAGTAAGTGCTTGCCTTGTGACAACCACCTAGAAAGAAAGTTTGAGGCAGCCTTGATATGCATGTTTCTGATGCGGTGCTGTATTTTGCTCATACGATGATCCTGTACTTTGACAAATTCCACTTAAAAAACAAAACATAGTTGCTTTAGCCTCTTCTCTTATACTATTTCAGAAATATGATTATGCTTGTTCTTTAGTTTGTTGCCTCAAATATCTTAGAGACAATTTATTCAAAGCTCCCAACTGATCAATCTGTCTTGAGGAAGTAGAGACGAGGAACTGTTGTTCTATGCCTGTTTTATCATACTGATCAAAGTATTTGTATCTCATCAATAAGATCAGATATATTGTAGTTCTGGAAAGGAAATTGTCAAGAACTGATTTGATTGGGAACTGGCATTGATACTTCATGTCAACTCATATATGGTTGTTTGTTTGCTCTGTAGGCATCATATGATCGGGCTAAAAAATGGGTGCAAGAGCTTCAAGCACAAGGTAAAATGCATTGTTCTCTCCATTGGGAAAGTGTGCAGCAATTTAGTCTGAATTTTTATGTCCTTGGGGAAATTCGTGAAAGTGTTTTGATAGCTTTATCTTTTTTGTTTTGTTGAATGCTCACATCTGAACTCTTTGTTTAAAAGTCATAGGGCCTAACTATCCACTTCTTTCATTGCCTGTGTATGAAGTAGGGATATTGATTCAGTACTTTCAAGGAAATGTGAAAATACATCATTGGGGAGAGAGATAATGCCACAATAGATTATTTTGTATTTTTTTATTAATTTTTCTTATATTCCTACAAATCAAAGCATATATGGTAATGAAGTACATAATTTTGCTTAACTTTTTAATTGCATATCCAATTCTTCTATGGCATAAGGTAACCCGAATATGGTAATGGCACTTGCTGGAAACAAATCAGATCTTTTGGATGCAAGAAAGGTGGCTGCCGAGGCAAGTATAGCAATCCCTTTTGCTCTCAATTCTGTGACATGTATTTAAGAACTTGAACTTTATCTGCAACAGGCTTATCCTCTTAGTGGGGATAAACTGGTGTATATTTTGTACATATTGCAAATTTTTACTTGGATCTCATAGCTGTTAACTTTGTGGATATTTCAAGACCATTATTGAACTACTAGTCATTTGCTATAGTTTCACCCTCCTTTAGTTTTGTGAATTTACTGCTGGAAGCACAAAACTTGCTAAACTTAGTTAGCTGAAATCCTTGCAGGAAGCACAAACTTATGCACAGGAGAATGGCCTTTTCTTTATGGAAACTTCGGCAAAGACTGCAACAAATGTGAATGACGTGTTTTATGAAATTGGTAAGAGTTTCAGCTCAAATAATATTTGAGCACATGCATTTTCTACTTGTGAAGCGAAAGAGCAACAAAGGATAAAAGATCACAGTACCTTTTTTTTTCTCTATCTCATATCATATGGGGGCTTTGTCATAATGGTTTGTTTTAACAAGAACCCTAGAACCGGCATTAGATTATATATCCTAGCATAAAAACCACTGTGTAACACTGCTCTTTCATTATACCATTACATTAACTGTGTGTTTCAACAGCAAAGAGGTTGCCCCGGTTGCAGCCAGCACCTAATCCATCGGGGATGGTCCTTGTGGACAGACCACCGGCAGAGCGTGCGGCATCCGCGTCTTGTTGCTCTTAAAGTTTATGCATTATTTGGATTACAGTAACTTGTATCAAGTGAAATCATGCCCAGAGTGTTGTGTCCAAAAATTATTGACTACTTTGAGTTCCTTTGGGTGTACAGGAGTGCATTACTTGCTATATACTTTAGTTGAAGGAACTCCACTTCCTCTCCCTGTCATTTAATTTGTTGTCTTGAATTTATGTTTATCTATATGTAATAATTGATGCCATTAGCATTTGATTTATTGTACTTTGATTTTATTATGTACTTCACTTTGGGTTACTGTTCTGGTGCAGGAAAAAATATTTGTAGCTGATTATTTAATCAAAACAAATTATATACACATATATGTTTATAAAGTGAAATCTTGCTTTATGGAAAGGCAGATTACAAAACAAAAAGCGAAAATGACAAATTTAGAAGCGGAAAATTGAATGTGAAATGCAATTTGTGTTAAAAGAGGCATTTGTCTTCTGCTGATGCATTTTTTCTTGGAAGAACAGAAGCCTTAGCTTTGTCTAAGTGGCCATGAGGAAACGTTTTATTTCGTAAAGATTTTTTTCAATGGCAAAGCTGTATTTAGGTTTCGATTTACATTCGCATACAATATATCAATTAGTTCTATATATATTTAAATGATAAAGTGGTTTAGTGGCTACCTACTGCGTATCAATAACGTAATGCACCCAACAAAAGACAAAAAACTTTATGTCAGAGTTGATCATCTGTGTCACACAATTTCGAATAGATATATCTATAATTGTGCGGTCAGTACGTGTATTCTCTCTCTGAAGTCTGAACTGAATGATAGATCAAAGACAGGCAGACAAACATCGTAGGAATATCGCAAAATAATTAAGTTCACGTCATGTCATCAACCATAAATATTACTTGGTGTTATTTTTTAATATTCAACATTCCCTCCCAAACGCCTTTGGTAATTTAAAAACACTAAAACTCCAGCAAGTACACCAGTTTGTGGTTTTCAGAGTAGATAATGTGGTCGCTTTTTCAGTGAGTGGCCAGAAGAAACTCTAATGGCTTCATGATCTTAGACCATATATAATTAACTAAACCGCTTTGCATTTTAATTTATCAATTAATTTATTATTATATATAATAGTCGCGTGCAGACAACATATGGTCGAGGGTTTTGCGTCACCTCCACATCAGATTCAGAGTCATGCATGATACCATGAAGCTCGATCGGTAGCCGTTGCTGATGAATCAAATGTAACTACTCTTAATTCTCATTCGATCTGTTACAAAAACTAACCGACTATTTTGGATCGGAGTTGGTTAATTATATACAGAGTGGCAGGCGATCCCATCAGAATTGAGTTAAGGGGTTGTCTTGATATCCTTTTTCATGCATTAATTGCTCATCAGACAGCAGAGAGAGCATTATGTAAATGAAAGCATGCACGCGCGCAGAATCTTCTGTCTGGTCTGTTCTGGATATATCCATTCATGGTATGCTGCAGCCGCTTCCTTTCTATATATATCAAAGCGAGCAATCATCGGGTCGATTCTATGCCCTCCACCATTAAAATAATTAGTAACATTGATCTTTTATATATATCATCTTGATGCATTATATATATATATATATATAATGGATCCATTATACGCCACCAGGCACCATGCAACATGTGTTAGTTCCCAGCATTAATTAATTAACAGAAATTAAAATTGGAGTTTGGTTGTGATCGCATGTAGTAGTCGTGAAGCCCTAATTCTGGTCTATAAGTACCACTGCCATTGATGAATTGTTTTAGACTGCAGCAAATAGTTGAATTATTACTGATCATGTTTTCGGCAAGCTTTTCTTCATACCTGTTATTGTTTCTGGTTTGTTGTACAAGAGAGGTTTGTAGCAGTTCATTAGTCTTGGGATTAACTCATTCCAGGAGTGCTGCTGCAATTCCCGCTCCCACTTCTGTCAAAAAACCCTTAAAATTAATGGCGGATATGGCAGTGCCAGTGAAAGAGATTAGAGATGGGTACATCATAGCCCTCAACTTAGGGACACCTCCTCAAACCATCCATGTCTATTTAGACACTGGAAGTGACCTAACTTGGGTGCCTTGCGGCGCCCTATCTTTCGACTGCATTGATTGCGATGACGACTATAGAAGCAACAAGCTATTAGCAGCCACCTTCTCCCCTTCCCTTTCCTCCTCAGTCTCCAGAGATTCTTGCTCGAGCCCATATTGCATCGACATTCACAGTTCCGACAACTCATTCGATGCCTGCACCGTTGCAGGCTGCTCCTTGGCCATGCTCGTCCGATCCACCTGCTACCGCCCATGCCCTTCATTTGCTTATACATATGGCGGCGATGGCATTGTCACCGGAACCCTCGCCAGGGATGTTCTTACAGTACTAAATGACATTATCCCTAATAGGAATTCATCATCAACCTGGGAAATCCCGAAATTCTGCTTTGGGTGTGTGGGTGCCACTTATAGAGAGCCCATAGGGATTGCCGGGTTTGGGAAAGGCCCTCTTTCACTGCCTTCACAATTAGGGTTTCTGCAAAAGGGATTCTCCCACTGCTTCTTGCCTTTCAGATACGCCAACAACCCCAACATTTCCAGCCCTTTAATTGTGGGGGAATTGGCCATTGCCTCCAAGGACTATTTGCAGTTCACCCCAATGCTGAAGAGTCCAATGTACCCAAACTACTATTACATTGGGTTGGAGGCAGTGAGTGTGAGTGTCGGCGGCAATATGGCGCAAGTGGTGCCGGTGCCGTCGAGCTTGAAGGAATTGGATGTATCCGGTAATGGAGGGATGATGATAGACTCGGGGACTACTTACACTCACTTGCCATATCCCTTGTATTCAAAGCTGTTGGTGCTCCTGCAGTCGGTGATAACGTACCCTAGAGCGACACAGGTGGAAGAGAGATCAGGGTTTGATCTTTGCTACACAAGTCCGTGCCCGACAAACAAGATCCTACCGGATGATGCCGATGATGATCTGCCTTTGATCACTTTTCATTTCTTGAACAATGCGAGCCTGACGTTGCCACGAGGGAACTCATTTTATGCCATGAGTGCACCCCGCAACTTGACTGTGGTCAAGTGTTTGCTGTTTCAAAGCATGGGTGATGATATTGGCGCCGGGGATTCGTCATCATCTTCTTCAAGTTTGGGGCCGGCAGGAGTGTTGGGAAGCTTCCAGCAGCAGAATGTGGAAGTGGTGTACGATTTGGAGAAGGAGAGGATTGGGTTCCATTCTTCTGATTGTGCACAGGCTGCCATAATATCGTCTACTGATCATCATCGGGGATAATAATTGATTCAGAAAATTAATGGATGATAATGTGCGTGTGTCGTCTGTTGGCTACGTTGTTGTGATCGATCCATCCCCAATTACCCAAAATGAAGTTAAAGGGGATGGATCATGGATGCTGTTTTCTGTATGTCTATAAGTTAATTAATAATGTTAATATGTTTGGACATGCATGCATGTATGTATTGGAGTAATTGTGAATTCAATTCTAGATATAGCTAGTGATATTAATTAAAGATGAATGAATGAGAGTGGGAATTGGAGTTCATTAATTAATTAATTGTTGGGAGTATTATTGATGATGAATGTGAGCACATATATACGTACGGTATCATTGTGAGATTAGTGTCATCAGTTGTCACCAGGCAACACCTACCCGGCTACCCCTTCCTTACCTGTGGTATGTGCCATTTCACTCACTCTGTGGATTAGATTGCAGCAAAACTAATTTATATAGACAGCAAGTTCCTCAAGAGCACTATAATGTGAACAAAGCTTCAGTACAACAACAAAATTAAGCTGTGCCTGTGGATGAGAACAGGGTCGATCATGATTTCCTTTTGGCTAGCGTTTTCTTCAATCCTTTGAGGATCTTCCCAAACCAGACCACGTTCATGACAGCCAGCGCCACAGGTACACACAACACCAAAACAATACCAAATGGCCGCATCTTCATCACCTGCAGCAATTCATCCACCACTTTGCATCACCCCACCCAACCCAAGGCATGTTGTTACATTTAAGACTAGACTAGACTAGACTAGACTAGACTGACTATGCCAGAATAACATCTAATGTGAAAAACTATTATATATATGACTCTCATCTCCTAATAACACAATCAACACATTAGTAGTAGTCAAGTCTCAAATAACAAAAATTCAATGCATGAGTGAGCTAGAGAGAAGTTTTGAGGCAGTAGTAGATTACCTGAGCACGATGAAGATAGACATGGTAAGACATGTAAGCGAAAAGAAGAATTCTTGCCACCTGTGCATTTTCCAAGATTTACTTCAGTTGGCACCACATATTTTACTACCATAAAAAGCAATCTTAGCAGGGGACTAAGTAACACGCACCAACCAACCAACGAATATCAAAACACCATTGATCAAATAAGCAATAGATTTCTTCAATCCGGCCACATCGAGGTACCTGTGTAGATAGCAGATCCAACTTCTGACATAGAGCACATTTTAAAGTGAGTCCCACAAAATATACATGTCAGAAAACTTACCATCTCAGGTTAATCATTGGGGTTGTCGCCTCAGATATCAGGGACATGAATGTGTAAAGCTGTCCCTCCCCCATATAAATGGAATATGCCACTGCAATTCCCGAAAGAGAGTGATGAATAACCTGAAATTCACAAGTAGCATAACTGACATAGCCTATTATGTTGTGCTTTACAGATAATGGTATTCTATAGTTCTTGCGCACTTCAGTAAGTGACAAGGATTACTCATAAATCACGGGTGAACTGTGAAGACCAAGCAATGGAGTTGTGAAAATTCATCTCAGTACACAAGATAAACTTTCACATTTAACTCTCCACTACAGACTTCAAATCAATCCAAAAAGAGGACCATCGGTTTAGCAAGGCACTGCCACTGCTGTCTCACAGTTGCCCTCATTACACTTGTTCGGGTTAAGCTGTTGATCCCATTCCTAAAGTATATATGCCTTGGATGAGGGTATCATCAATACAACCCAAATGAAATGTGATAAGATTGGTCAGGAACAACCAAAAATATTGAGCTTCCCCTTTAACACACACACGGCAAAAACAAATGGGATAGACAAATGTACTGTAAAAACAGATTGAAATTAAATCATCACTTATAATTTCCTGGAAAATAATAGAGAAGGCAGTCATAGGAGCAACTCAAGCTTTTCCCCTCTCCACATTCAAAACCACCTTAGAATTAAAAATCATTCGAGCATCATATCCATAAGATAGCAACAGACATACTTAAACCATTAGAAGCAACCTAAATAGTAAAGCATATCTGCAATCCGCTAAAAGCTTCTGGGAGCAGTATAGGACCTGCAATTTATGGTTTACACACCAACATGATGCAAATTCAAGTACAAAGAATTTCTTAGTATTACATAGGTTTACTTACGTACTCTACTCCACCCAAAGAAGGATAAAGCCAACATATCATTCCAAGGTCTGCAATGAAGTAGCCAACAGATGTCTGTTAAGAATAAGAAACCGAGTGAAAACAGTGAATCAAAAGTGAGTTTATAAATATATATATATATATATATATATACACACACATTAAAATTTAGTTTAAATCAAACTAAATGTAAGAGTTTAAAGAGATGAACCCTGACAACTTTCAATTTATCTGCAGCTATATTAGCTATTTTACTGGATCGGGCAATAATTACAAAGCTAACTAACTTGCGCTGGAGGGTCTCAATGAAGGCAATATAGATTCCATATTGCTCTAATATGCAATGACATGATCTGCCAGTGTTGATAAAAAATAATCCATAGTTCTTGGCTACTCTCTGACTGTTATTCTTCACAGAAAATGGAAGATTAAATGCCAAACAAATTCTTGATGATTGCAAGCCAGATATCTCCACAACAAACTATAATTAACAAGTTCAAAGAATTTTCTGATCTGTGATCAGAATAAGGTGACCAACATTGATAAATAAAGTGTGTTGTTTCCTTGGATAAAGAATAACATCTGGGGATGAAGATTGTAATAAGGAAAAATAAAGAAGTTGATATCCAACAATTTTCAAGAAAGTCTATAGTCCAACAAAGATGTAACAAAAGAAATAAATATTAATCTCTAAATTCAGTCCAATTATCTTCTAAGAAATGTATAGGCAAAAGATCTGCTAATTCAAAGAAGGCATATAAAAAACTTACCCCCAATACAAATGTTGTTAGAGCTGAATATCTGAGTGTAATTATCCCATGAGAATTCGTATCAGCAAAAAGTTCAGAACAGAACACAAAGTATACGGAGAAGAATGAAATGAAAACAGCATGGAGAGTGGAAATGCCACTGCAGGGAAGTTAGTAAAGAGACGTCAGATGTTGATTGAAAGCTGAAATGAAAGGAAATTTTATTGAATAAAATTTAAAAAGTGAAGGTTATGTAAAAAAATAGCCACCGATTGTTCCAATCCATTCTTTTAATCTTAGGGAGGCCATTATAACTCTGGAAATAAGAGCTGCCGATGAGCTGAGTAAGATCATACACCTGTTAGAGTATCAGAGAGCAATGAAATTTTAAGAATCAGAATATAACAGAGCTGAACATAATATTATTGCTGAGGTAAACACACTGATCAACCATTTAGAATGTTGTTTCCATAAAAGAATCATATTTCTAAACTACACATTATGACAATGTAAAACCAGATTGCATCTACAAAATTCCCAAAACATACCATCTTAAAAACCAATAAGCCACCAAGAACAGAAGTATACTGAATATAAGGACCTCCTAGGACATAGTTTCTGACCAGCACCTCAGCCTGGTTTTGATAAGATTTGAATGCTGCATAAGTTTTTAAAGACCGCGCCATTACTCTGTGTTACTTAACCATGTATCTAGCATATGATTTTCCTTGGCTTCCCCTGGAAACAGAATTACAAACATTGGATTACCCAAGCTTTTCCATATGAATCACCCTTGAAGTGAATAAGATGACCAGCATAGAAAGAAACAAAAGCAGAGCGACTGTAATGTGCACAATTAGTCAATCACACATCTAGCATATGATTTTGTTTGGAATTTCATGGAAACCAATTTACTATCATACAATTACAATTTTTTTCCGTACGATCGCCCTTGAACTAAATAAGAAGAAAGCGTGGAAAAGAAAACAGCATAGTGGCTGTAATGTGCACAATCAGAATGACTTTACAGCATTGATGGTTCAGGTCAAACAGTGCAGCTTTGCATTCTACACAAATTCTTGTTGCATGAATAATGTATATAGCAGATTATACAATAGCCCAAAAAAGCTCCACTGGGTCGCCCTGCCAGTGGCTTTAACCATAAAATATGGGTGAAATGCTGAGCTCTATTTAAAGGGAAGCTAACTCCACCTTATAAAGGTACAGTATTTAATCCACTAGGTTAAGGTCAAATACACTGTAAGCAGCACAGAGCGAGAGAGAGTAACCCTTAAGAGATGTTATGTTGTTGGATTTCCATGACATTAAGCGATCATACTTTGAAAATGCAAAGACATTACACAATACTGGATTCCTTTTTGACTACAGAATCATGTCCATAAAGTATGTAATCAGGTATGAAGAGAATGAAAATGAGCTACGAATCCCAGTGTTATATTTCATTAAACAGATGATGTGGCATGGTTTTCTATCAATGGCAACTGTGTTGAAGCAGGAAAGAGTCCCGCTGAAGCATGAGTATGAAAACAGCAAGATTATGTTAACATGAGATTATGCCACCGAATATATCTATTAATGGAAATGGATTATGGATAGATAAAAGAGCAGAAATAAGTAATTCGTGCATTTAAATAAGATTGCTAAAATGTATCGCTCTCAAGAATTGAAATTTCTGGTAATCATACTATTTATGAAGGAATAAAAGATAGTACTTATAACAGTTAATGCAGGGGATTGAATAGGACGGACATTTCATCAAGGGTTCTCTTTAACCACCAATACACAAAAATCTCTAGGAACAGACGGCCACAAGGTGAAGCGCAAAGCACGAAATGAACAAAAACACACAAACGTAGGAAAAACCGTAACCCTACTCAATAGAGCGATCGGACTATACGAAAACAGAATGATAGAACTCCGTCGGCCCACAAGATCATCACAAACAGAAAAAACGATAATTTCCAAAAAACAAAAAAAAAAAAAAAAAAAAAAAGGGGTAACAATAAAAAAATGGGGAAAGGAACCCTCGAGCAGACGCCGTTGAATCACATTGTAGGCGAGAGGCCCGAGAGATGGAGGTTGGTTTGTTGTGTATTTTGCAGGCGAGCTATGAAAAAAGTTAGCAAGGGAAAAGAGAGGAGAAAGGAACGTTGAATGGAGGAGAGGAATATCCAGAAAAGAAATGAAGAAGAAAACGAGTGAATGAAGCGAAGGAGGAATTCAACAATTCTGTTCGATACTCGGGATGGAATGAGAATCGGAGATGGAATCGGGGAATGAAACTTGCGTCTGCATGACTATCTGTTAATTAATTTATCCAGGTATTAATTATACCAATGCCCATATAATAATAATAATAATAATAATAAAATAGCAGATTGATCTCGCAACTTGCAATTTATTATACGTAGTTGGTCCTCACTATCTAATTATAAAATCAAACATCGAAAGGCGCCACCATCACAACATAATATAATTAACTACTACTCTGTCTGTTTAATTTTTATAGTATTTCTAATATAAAAGATATTATTTTAAATTGAATATTATTTTTTTGTAAAATAATAAAATATATACTGTATACTAGGATTAAATATTGTATGGAATCTATATGGATGAAGAAAGCAAATTGGCATTTTGTACGAGAGCATTGATCTTGAGTAAAATTTAATTGGCCGGTAGGAAGGAATTGAGAAAGGTGTCTAGACTAGTACTCCCAACTCATAAATAAGCATATATAACACAAACACATTAATTAATGTTAGAACATAATGTCTATTCACACCTAAAAGTTTAAGAGGATAAATGTCTATTATACTAAGTATTATATAGCCTTTCAATGGGCACCGCATTCAGCCGTGTCGTGCCGTCCAAGTCGCATAAAACCTTGCATGCATATGGACAAATTAAAGTTGTTGCCGTCTAGATCGATCGATTTGCAAAGTGGAGTAATTAATTAATTGGTCTTGCATCGCATTGCATTGGCAGACACCTAACGGTCCTCCTAACACTAGCACTGTCCGGATGGATGGATGGATTCACTAACTCGGGTCGGTGAGGTTGAGGAGATTCTTGTATCCTATTCCTGTGCTGTGCAGTACTGTATCTTGGAAATATTCCTATGCAAAAGTAGTTAGGGTGAGCGAGAGAGTCAGTTGTGTCTGTCAGTTTGAACTAGTGTGTCCCTCACTCTCACTCTCACTCTCACTCTCAGGTCCTACAAAACATACTCCGCTCACAACTTACCTATTTTGTTGAAATGGGTCCGCCCACACAGGGTGGCATCATCGTCACCATCTCATCTGTTGACTGCCAAACGACACGAACATCGGTATACTGACTTGATTAATAAGGAGTAATATGTTTCGATTGATTCAAATCAATGTCAGTCGTCAATACTATAATTATTATAAACAGCTTCTTTCTTTCTTGTCTCCACAAGACATCACTCGTTCAATAATTCTTCTTCTTCTTCTTCTTCTATGGTGCGTGCAGATAAACGCACACACACAAACACAATAACAACACTACCAACTAGTGAATGAGTGAGAGTAAGAGTGAGCTACTCCTACTCTCTCTCAATTCATCTCTCCGATTGCATCATCCTCAATGTCAGGTCAGGTCATTTGGATGTAATCCTCGTAGTAATTATCGTCGCTTATGACCGACACGAATCTTTCCAGCCAAGGCAGCTGGTGCAGGTCCTTCATGGCGTCCGCATACGATGACGATGACGCCGATTGAGATTGTGACTCGCAGGGATTGTGCTCGCTCATGCTGAAGCCCAATCCGCCTGCAAGGAACCGCTGGATCAGCGCCAGCTGGGATCTCTCTTGTTCCGAGTATGCATCCATCATCATTGGGAGTGACTCGAACGAGTCCCACGCCCATTGCTCAAACGGTTGGGCGGTGGGATAAGATGAGGTTGAGGATTCTTCTTCTTCTTCTTCTTCTTCTTCTTCTTCTTCTTCTACGTCATCGTCCCAGAAAGCACACTGACACGCCTGTCGGCTGTTCCTGTAATCCATGCCACAGGAGTAACAGAACTCATGGCCACACCTGTACATATGAGTAACAATAATGTGATGATTGGAATCATAAGACAGATATAACAATGTTCAATTGTGGTGTCCTATCTACAATATGCATCCATTTCCATATATACAACACCAAGACGTGCTCTATAGTTGTGAAGGACTGACTAAGACTACTGAAACTTCAAACTATGCAGACAAGAGATTGAGAAAAGAAACACAAATAGCAAAAAGAAGATATCAGACATATCTATCTATCTATCATATAGTGTTTTTTCATATGCACACAGGTGTTGTGATTAGCACCAACAAATTTGAATGCTTGGTATTCATACAGGAAAGAGAGTGCTCCAATTATTTTTCATTAAATGAAAGAACCACAAACAAAATTGCATATGCCAATCAAATAGTGAGACAAACAGAGGTCAATCTCTAATTATTCCAGATGATGCAAAGATTCTCCTTCAAATATATATATGGTGATAAATTGATAAAAGAAAGGAAGGATGATAGGCTTACCAGCAGGCCACATGGTAGGAACCATAATCAATCTCAATCATTCTTTGGCACTGTTGGCAGCGTCTCCACCTTCTGGTTTGTGGCACATGATGCAAGGCTGTATCGGAGGCATCATCGCTCACCTCCAGAGAGAGGCTCTGATATTCTCCACATGTCATGGAAGAATGCCAAGGAACCCCACAATCAACACAGATGAATCTCTGGCACACAGGGCACTCTGCACAACTATTTCCAAACTGACTCGATGAGCCCACCCTTGCCGACAAGCATTCTTGGGGGTCAAGCAGGACCGAGCAACTAGAATACGGGCAATATATCCTATTTGAGCGGAGAATGTTTACTTTGGAAAGAACTCTTTCCAAAGATAGGTAAGAACTAACCGGAAGAAATGATCTACACTCGGAGGCCGAAATACAGCACTTGCATCCCGATTGTGGGCATCTAATGGGCGCCTCAGCAGACACTAATTTTCCTTCTACATATGTTTTTAAACAATGGGAACAAAATCGGTGTGAGCATTTGATTGTGAGCATCATTGTTGAAGGCTTTTCCTTGCAACATATTGAACAGCTTTCCGTTGCTTCCTCTCCTTTGGCAGGAAATGAGATTATACCAACAGCTACTTGAGCCAAATGCAAAGCCTTTTGTATATCAATAGCGGGGACACGTTTTAGGACAAAGGTTTCTAAGTTACCGACCTGTTCCAAGATCCTTTGTCTCAGTGCCACCAGAAGAGGAGTTTCCACTTCCTCATCACAGATAATCTGAAAACATATATATGGAGAGTAACATGAATGAATCATTAGAGATTTAGCACTTATATGTACTGAAAAGACAAACCATGAACATTTCAAAGCCAAAACCTTGGACTCACCTGATTGTACAAGACTTCTGAATCAGTAAACGCAAACACCCTCTTCATATTATTCTGTATAGCAACAGAAAAACCATCCAACATAGCTAAATAATCTGCAACTAACTCCTCCACAAAGAAATCAAGCTTCTTTTGAACTAGGATTGGAGATCGATGGGCTGAGGATTCCATGACAACCCCAATTCCAGAAATCCTAGAACCGGGGCAAGCAATAGAAGCACCCTTAAAATACATTTTCGCAGAATGCTCATCAAGATAATCTTCCAAATCCACCTTGGGACACTCTTCCTTCAATTCGTCTTCATCCTCACAACAGCTCCGGAAGTCTTCTTCATCTTCTTCTAGCTTCACTCTGTCTTCAATAACTCTTGGTTCCTCCGTAGCCATGTATTATCTATTCCTTCCCCCTATTTGAGGATTATCAATGTTTCAGAATACACACACGCATATGGGTACATCACTTATTCATGAGCTAGAAATTCGAAAATAAAAAAGAGATGATCACAAGTATTCAGCAAATAGCCATATGCATTCTAAAATAGAGCTCAAAGCATTGGCCTTTCAAGAAACCCCTTGATACTTTCAGCCCTACTTGTGTTTTAACACTCAAGAATTGCCCTTCGGCTTCAAGATCCAAAATTACGAAAAGCAAGAACACCCGAAAATTCAAATATTCTTGCTTCTTTTTTCTATAAAAAAGTTCTACGGAAAAAGTAGTTCCCTCAAATTTTCTTTTGGTATTGAACAAAAGTCAAAGCAAGAACCACCCACACCCACTCCTCAATTTCGATCTTTACCTTGAAGTTACTTGTGTGCGTTCATAAAACGAAAACTTAATCGACAAAACAAAACAAAACAAAAACCAAAGCAATAAAGCATAAACCAATATATTCACCTGAAAAGAATCAACGAGTAAAGACAGGGAGAAATCAAGATTTTCTTGGAAGAATTGATCACCTGGCACTGCTTCGGATAGAATATCTTCGTGCTTCGTTTCTTTATCAATTTAATAATATCGCAGATGTTGTGGATGGATGAAGAGGGAGCATCAATAGAACCCTAATCTGGCAAACCCTGCTATGTGTCTCCACGGAGGATTCCCTACCATAATTTTCTTTTCTGGATTCGCAGAGAGAGAGAGAGAAAGAAGAGAGAGAGAGGGAGGGAGCAGTTGCAGTTACTACTGTGACTAATTGACTGGATTTATTGAGAGATTTGTTAGCAGTATTTATGAATAGTTATTTAATCAAATAAATAATTACAATTATCCTCGTAAACAATACAGGAAAATAGCAATTACGGTTCTTTATCATCCATGGTTTTTATTTTCACGAAATAAGTCATTACAATTATCCTTGTAACAATACAGGATAATATCAATTACGGTTCTTAATCATCCTCGTTCCAATTGGAACATTTTGAGAAATACATAATAAGTATTATATTAGTGCAACTTGTGTGGGTGTAATTTCTTAGTATTATTTATCCTTGTAGTTGAACATTTCTTTCTTCCTTTTTTTTCTTATGTATAAATCAATCGAATATTAATCCTTCTCCTTCTCCTTCTCCTCCTCCAGGATATAGGGTGGGGCCAGATTGCCCTCTCCCTCGTCCTCAACAGATTGCAACAAGTGTCCTCTCTTCCGAGTGCATGAGAATTTGTCGCCTTGTCTTTGAAAACAAACCGACTGACTGACTGACTGAGTAGAAGAAGCTGATGGATGATACTGATACGGATACCCATACATACCCCCCTCCCTCAGGAATCAGCCAATCATCATTACTTCCTAACAGTTAGTTAATATGGTGCCTGCCTGCCTGCCTACTCACAGTCACAGGCATGCGTGCATACATTGTTCATTCAGGTTGCTAAAACATAAACTAATTGATAGACAAGATTAGGAGGACAAAAAAAGATGTACTCCTATATAGGATAGCACTAGTACGAATGAACGAATTAGTTCATGAATTAGGTGGGGGACTGGACTGGGAAACGTCAACCAAAATCCATGCAGCAAACAAACAAACAAATAAATAAATAAATAATCGACTGTTTCAAGAATCAACATTTTAAATTGCTCATTCACTTCCCAATACATAAGTCTGACAAGGACTTGGTAACGGAACGTATCGCTCACATTCATACCTAATGGGAAAATGCACCTAATTAATAAATTATATTGCTAATTGGTTGGAGGGTGTTACCAAACATATATATCATACTTCTTTCGGGAAAGTAGTAGGAGGAGGTTAGAATCTCAAACCATGCGGACGCGGGGCGGGCCACCAACCTCACTCACTTTTTTCCTTGTTTTTTTCTTTCGCTTAAAAGATTGGCAGAAATGGGCTACGATTAAGAAAACAGGCCCAATTATGCGATTGGGCTATGTTGAAATTGATACTATATAATTCAATTACTCCCCTGGTCCTATACTATACAGCCGAGTGTTTGGCTAATGGGCTTGGCTATTTAAGAAAAGCATAAAACTATAACCCTATCATTATGTGGCAGCAACAGCAACAATATGCCAATAGGCGATTTTGGCTAAAAAGTATATTGGGGTGAAGTGGCAAAACAAGAATTCAAGCTAGTGAAGTTGGCCTAAGCAAATATGTCATACACCAAAGTTGAATTCATCCAGAAATATATGTTAATCAAGGAGTAATCAAAATGGAGTTGATTTGTTTGAAATAATCCTGATTATCAAATCATATTTTATCCCCAAGACTTGACAGGATTTGTTATTTATCCATCCACTTTACCCCTGTATGTCTGTGTATATAGCTCTTCATCAATGAATTCAAAAGGAGAATAATAGAGTAGTCATCCCGCTATTTTCAGGGGATGAGATGTCCTGCTCTTTTCCATGTTCATGTTGATAAGGTAGGAGGGACTACTATGCCCACTTCGCCATGAGAGACATGCCTCCGGCGCCGAGCAGAACAGCAAGGTAGGCCCATGTCTGAAGCCTCATGCTCTGCTGCAACTTGGCCCCCATGAAATCCGCAGCGAGAAGGTCCACCAGCGCCATGTAGTTGAGCAGGCCGGCGGAGCAGGCGTTGAGCAACCCCACCACGATCAGCGCCGTGGGGCTGTTCTCGCTGTACACATGGGACAGCCCCATCCCCAGCGCGATTCCGAACGGCGTCGTAGCCGAGAAGAAGAACACCATCACGGCTTTTATTCGAAGCCCGTACTCGGCCTGCAATATGCACCCACCCAGCCCCATCCCTTCGAAGAACTGATGGAAGCAGAGTGCGGCCACCAGCGGCCTTATCGTGCAGGGGTTCTCCGATGCGCCCATTGATAGCCCGATCACTACCGAATGCACCACAATGCCCAGCTCCAGAACCTACATTTACATTTAATTGAGTGATTCCCCTTCCCTTGCATTGCTCATTACATCACACATCACATTCAATTCAATTGCATTCAATTCAAATCAAATAAAATAATTGATTCATTTAATTTAATTTAATCTACCTGAGCAACAACGCGGTAGCGCAGAAGCTGCCCAACATTGTCATCGGCGGCGCCGCTGCTACCTCCATGGAAGCCATGGAAGTGCTCGACATCCTGCGACTCCACCTTGCCGGCTGAGGCGGAGGCTTCTGATCTGCGCTTCCTGTAAAAACTCATGGCGTAGGAATCCACCATGAGGGTCAAAAGGGCGGAGAGCATGGCCACGAATGTAGTGAAGGGGAATTTCTTCCAGGGGTTTTCCGGCAGGCAGTCCGACGTCAGGCAGTCGAAAGAATCCGGGAGGACGTGCATGTACCCCGTCGCCAGGATGACTCCGGACGCGAAGGCCTTAACCAGCACGAAAAGTTTTGTATCCGGCTGGAGAGACGGAATCGCCCGGGAAAACATCGGCAGACCAACGCCCAACATGCTCGCCACCAGAATCGAAGCGATGGCGATGACTTTAAGCGTCACGATCCCAATACTGCTCCGGCATCCGCCGGCGGTTTCCGAGCCGCATTCCGGCGGCGGAGCGGTGGCGCTCTCTGATTGATCTGATCCACTGACGACGCCGGCACCTTGTGGCGAGAGTGAAATAAGGATGATGAAAATTGAGATCGAGATCCACAGGCAATGGCATCCAATCGAAGCCATTGAAGCAAGGCGTCCGTCGAAACAGACAGACAGAGAGAGAGTGAGCGAGTGATTGGAGATTCTGACTGCGGTTTAATACGGTTGCTAATTTTTTGACAGCACAGGCTAGGCTAATTTCTCATTTATTTTCGAAACCACAACCAATGGGATACCGTGTCAAACTGCGAAATGCCCACTTTGTCCCTATGATACATTTCATGTTTCGCGCTAGAAGTAAGGGTGGGATTGGAAATTCATACCAAAATAGGACGGCATGTGCCGAAAACATGGTCACGTGTGCATCAGCTTGTTATAATAATTTAACCTCGTAGGTACCACAAGGTGAAAGCACACTAGGAGGTGACATGTCATCCCTGCATTGCTGTCACATAATTTAACCTCGTACGTAGCACACGTTGAAAACGTGTTCATCAGCTCCCTGTTATGATAATTCATTTGTCACACATGTCGTATTTTCTCGCTTACCAAATTAAGGAATTGGTGTGATCTCCTACTTCACCTGTTTTATTTGATTTGGATTTAGAATGCTCCGTGTCCAAATCTATCAAACTAGCGAGGAAACTCGTGCTGTGCTGTGCTATGCAGGATGTACATATATATAATAATTTTAAAATTAATAAATATTATATATATATATTTTTGTATAAATTTAAATAAATGTAACAAATATGATAAAAATATTGTATGGTTATATATATATAATATTCAATGAAATGAGGGAAGGAAGTTACTAAAACTTGGCTGTTCCAATCATTGATAAATAATTATCTCTAAAAATAATTATTAAAATAACTACTTGTAATTTACTAAGAACTACATATTTTCTAAAATATTCTACCATAAAAATATACAAAACAACCAAAAATAGGCTAAAAAATAGTTCTTAATTGGGGAAATTGAGAGAGAGCCGAGTAAATGCACGAGCTTAATACAACGGCTTAACCCTTTTTTAAAGTCAATTTTGGACTCTCATACAAGTTTTAAAAATATTATTTTTTCTCTATAAATACTAAACATCTTATAAATATTTATTTAAATAAATTATACTTATTAAAACAATATTAATTTAGTGAAATTTAACTTAAATAAACATAAATAATGCCTCAAAATAAAATCTAAGGAAAATATAGATTAATTTAATTTATACATCAAATAAATTATAAATTTCACTTAGAACCTAATAAATTAATATTTTACAAATAATATGCAATAAATATACTTATTAGAATAAACTAATATAAATAGTACCAAATTTTGACATAAATAAATAAATAATTGAATAAATATAAGTTATAAAATATTGCTAAATGAAGAGTTATCACATAATTACTAACTTTTTTTTATTTAAAAAGAAAAAACCTCAAAAAGTTGTGGGTGAAAGAATTTAAAATAATACTATTATTCATCTATTTATGACATAAATAGATTAATAAAAAAAAAAAACATTAAGTAAAAACATCATTAAAGTAAAATGTCCCAAAATTATCGTAAATTCCTAAAATTAAGTAAATTTCAATAATAATAAGAAAAAACTCATTAAATATAAATTCTTTAATTATATAAATTTCTATAAACACAAATCATTTGCATTAATTCGAAAACATAATTACAAACTTTTTAATTTAGAAAAACCTTAAAAAAATTGTGGTTTAAGGAATTGGAAATGATATTATTCATCTATTTATATTATTAAAAACATAAAAGCAAAAGAAATAAAATAAAATGTTCGAAAAATAATAATTAGAAGAATAATAATTCTCTAAAAAAAACTTTTTGTTCAAGACGAAAAAATTAAATTAAAATACTATTATAAATATATATGTATTCATGTTACTCTTTTATTTGTTTGCGTCGATGTTGGTCTCATGTATAGATTACCCGACTAATTGTCCGAGAAACTACATCACAATTGAAGCAAAAAACAATTAAAAAACAAAAAAAACAAAATGTTCGAATAATAATCATTAGAATAATAATAATTCTCTAAAAAAAATTTGTTTAATAAGAAAAGATTAAATTAGAATACATCATGAGTATATATGTATTTATTTTACTCTTTTATGTGCTTCAGATATTGATCTCAGGTGTAAATTACCCGGCAAAGTGATAGAGAAACTACATCAGAGATCACAACCGAAGGAATAAGATTTGTATATCCTCTAAAATATTTTTACACTATGCTTACGTAAATTATAAATTAACAAAATTATGTGCTACTCTTTATGTATAAATTCTTTAATTATATAATTTTTCATAAACAATAATAGTTTACATTAAAAAGATAAATTATATAACACTTTATTGTATTTTAGTAAAAATATACAAAACACTCTATATTTTATTTATTGCGTGAAATTCCCTTTGTTAATCTAAAGTTTGCACGAAACACCTTCATTGTCCGAAACTAATATTTGGTTCTAAATAAATACATAAATTACACAAGTTTTATACCAATAAAAAACATAAAATATTTTAAATAAAATTTTTGTATAAAGTAAATAAATAATTGATTAATCATTTATTTTTATAATTTTTATAAAAATCAGATTACAATTTATCTTTAAAAAAATATAAAATAAAATATTAATCAATTATTTATATATTTATTTAAAAAAATATTTTGTGCATTTTTACATAAATGGTGTTATATAATATACCCTTATATATATTCTAAAAAATAATTATTAACTTTCTATAAATAATAATAATTTACATTATTTTTTAAAAAATATAATTACTAACTTTCTATAAACAATAATAATTTACATTAATTCTAAAAAAATAATTATTAACTTTCCGTAAACAATAATACCTTACATAATTCTAAAACATAATTACTACCTTTCCATAACTAATAATAATAATTTACATTAATTAAAAAATAATAATGACTAACTTTCCATAAACAATAATAGTTAACATTAATTCTAAAAAATTATTTCTAACTTTCTATAAATAATACTCTCTCCCCTCTTTCCCACCTATTGTATTCACATTGCGTATTTATCTGTCATACATCTCATGTTTAAAAAAAAATTACATATTAATCTCATTTTCTATTTAGTTATTTTAATCTTAATTTATAATTATTTATATGATAGGACAATTATTTTTATTAATACATTCTTAATTATCTATTTATTATACTTATTTTAAATTCTGGTGTCTAGCAGACTTCGAACATGGGACGGAGGGAGTAGTCATTTACATTAATTTTTTAAAATAATTACTTACTTTCCATAAATGATAATAATTTATATTGATTATAAAAATAATTACTAATTTTTTTTATTTAAATAATATTAAAAAAGAGAAATTTAGAATAACAGACCCACACCATTCTAAAATATCTATATATGTATGAGATAGGTACCCACCAGGCCAGGCCCGTTATAAGAACCAATTAATAGCCAGTGAACCAGGCATATGCCCAGTCCGGCCGCCCATATTTATTGGGCCGGGCCGGGCCTTACATGAATTTAGAGTAGATGAACATATTTAAAGCCCACGAATGAAGTTATGGGCCTAAAATCACTATCGATAGCCAACTATATGTCTATATCTACTTTGAATATGGCCAGACAGACAGACGTAAAATGGGAATTAAAGGCAGAAAAAAGGGTAGGAATAAAGGCAAGGAGAGAGCGAATGGCGAGCAGAGTACAGTAGAGATGCCCAACAAAATCTTGTTCAACTTTCTCTCTCTCTCTCTTCACTTGTCTTGTAATTATTCCATTATCGTACAGAGCAATAATCTTGAAAATGAGCCCAGAATCCATAACATAATGGTTGTCCACTAGACTCCTTCCTTAGAATATATCTTTTACTTCCAAAAGTGTAACTGTCATTATCCTTAATGCACCACAAAAGAAAAGATTCAATCCACTGAGAAAGGTGGCAAAGAAGAGAAAAAAATAAAAAATAAAAACTATTCCCACCAAAAAAAGCATATATATGTGATGGTGTTGGTGTACTGGGATTTTTGTGGTACTTTGTACTGGCAAAAGGTAAGCATAATAATGATACCAAAGATGGGGAGTTGGGTTTCCACTAAGGCCAGCCCATATTGTAGTTGTTGTTGATGTTAACTTAATTGAGAGAATATATATATGATATGTGCACCAACCATCTGTCAACTTATTTATATTGGATGGTGCTGGTGCTGGTGCTGCAGCCGCATCCATCTACAGCTACTGCACTGCCAATGGGGAATTAATTAAGTGTTGGCCTGGCCTGGGTGGTAGTGGTGGTGCATGGTGTCTATATTTTATTTTATACACTTATTCTCGATCATATATATATATATGTTCCTTCTTCACCTTAGTTATTGCTTTCCAATCATTCTTACATTTCTTAGTTGGGTTTCGGATTCCACTTTGAAGCAAGATAGGACTTGCACTTGCACTTGCACTTGCCTTTGCCTTCAATCCACTTATGCTTCTTATTAGCACCTGACTTACTTGGAAAGTGCAGTTTATGTAGGACCCCCCCATTCAATTCATTTTCTTTGCTTCAAAAAGAAGGTGTCAAATATCAACTCCATCCAATTGAGTTCAACCTTTTATAAATTCAATTAACTCATTTGTTATATACATATATGTATGTCAATCACCCTCCACTCAAACCCTGTTAATTAATATCATAAAATGTAGGCTAGGAAATCACCAGCCTTGAAGCAAAAGATTGATACCTAGTATATATGAATCCATGCAAGGCAAGGCAAGGCAATAATATTGCATGCTTGGAAGAACCACACAAGCTAACTACTTTAATTAGAAAATAAAAAACCCTAATTTGTTGTACATGCATGCATGATGTATATATGGATGTGGAATTATATATGATCCTAATTAACCAATAATATTCTAGAATTCAAATAGTTATGAAAGAAGCCAAACGCCAATTGGGAGATATGAGGATCAAAGATTTTGAATGGAATATCACCTCCAGGAAAGTTCTGGGGTGCATGGGTTCACGTTCACATCGAAGGGGTCCCCAGATAAACCTTTCTTGCAATTAATAAATTATGAAAAATACAAAGTGAATCAATTAAATTGACTCGAATTAAATTACCTTACCTGCTTTAATTTGTTTGTTCACTTGGGAAATTGGGTTGTGTTGTGTACATGTCCAAAGTGGACAACTTTTGGTAACATCGATCTCTTTCCCCAGGAATGGGTCCACACCACAGAGTTCCACAAAAAATGAGAATTGTGTACAGAGAGAGGTGGGGCAAATTAAAGAAATACAGTGGGATTCTTGGAGGGGTCAAATGTCGATATTGGGAGTGGGGGCCATACAAGAAACAAAAAAAAAAAAAAAAAAAAACCTACAATAAATGAGTTTTTAGTAGTTGTGAGAATGGAATCATAGTGCAGACACGGCATGGCGTTCATTATAAGTGGGGGGCTTTTGTTAGGTTGGCATTTTCATGATGATGTTTCTTCTGTCTGGATATGATATTAATATATACACACATACACCTATCACATTATGATTCTGCCATGTATTTGTCAATTATTTGTCTTCTTTCCATGTCCTAAAATCTATTCTGACAAATCAATCAATGTAATGGATGGATATGTCATATATATACATGTGTGTGTTTCTGCATCTACTCTTCTTTTTCAATATTAAAGATGCCTTGCTATATTTTGCCACTTGAATAAAAGCAACTCTTAGGCATACTAGAAGCTACCTCTCATTTATTAATAAAATTTATAACACTGCCCCACCAAGAAAACCAAATATTATATATATATATATATATATATATCAACGGGGAATTTGATCCTTCATCATATTCATCACGGATTATTTGACCCATTACTTTATTCACACCCCTCATTCAAATCAAAGAATAATTCATACCTGTAGCATCAGTCATAATTGGGATATCTAAAGTTTTTTATTGCTATTGTTTTAAAAGAAAGAAAAAATACTATAATAAATATAGCAAGTGCAGTTGGGTCTGCTACATGGTATTGTCACAAGTCATCATCACTATCGCAATAGTGGCATAAACAAAAGCGGAAATTAAATGATATATAATAATTATATGTGTGATGGAGGGAGGTGTGCATAGACATGTTATAGTCAAAATAATTAGGCCAACCAACCCTATTCCCAATTCATGAATTAGTATGCAATCAATCATACAATATTAATTAGTAACCAATTAGTTATTTATTTAATTGTGATTCAAATGAGTTGGCTTGGCTGATTGAGTTTTGAAGAAATTAAAGTTGATTGGTAAAAGTGCGAGTCTTGCTAATGAAACCTGCTCGTGCGTGCTACTTTAAAATATTTGTATAAACTTTAATTAATTATATAAATGCTATGTGGTCGAGATGTACGTAGAATGAATATTGATTAACCAATGCATATATTATTTAAGTATTAAAAAAAGAGTTGATAACTTGGGTGCTTTGTATTTGATTATTATTATTATTATTAATTAATACATACAATTAATTTAGTGGGACCGGGGAATATATGGTTTCAGTTCATAAATTATTGCCCTTCAATTAATTTGGCAAACAGCCTCTCCTCACATTAGATAATAATATCCTCATACTTAGCTAGAGTTACTTTATTATGATTATTATTATTATTAAAAGCACGGACAATATATACAAAGGTGAATTGGTGAAATAGATTTGGCTAATTAAATTTAAATGAACAAGTAATTTCTTGGCCGAGGTATTATTACAAATTAAAACTAACTAAAATACTATAGCAGCATCAGCAATGATGACGTGCAGGTGCAGGTGCAGGACTATTTTAAAGAAAAGACGGATGTAATAAAAACTCTCGCCACTTACTATAATCAAAAGATGAGAATAAATAAATAAATTTGTGCTGGGCAGAGAGGGACAAAAGTGTCCCAGTTTTGTGGGCTCTACAGAGGAAGATCTCCAAACCACATTATAGATATATACACACACATACGTATACTTTCTGTATGTATATGTCAGATGGGATGAATGTGGCCCATCACCATGCCTGCCTTGCTTCTCTCATCCATAACCATCTCCCATCCCTCTCACAGACTTTCTCTCTCTCTCTATATAAGATATGTATGAATGCAATAACAATAATAATAATATCTGTTACTTTGGCACTTTGTCCTTATTTATTAAAATAGATATATGTGATATGATACGGACAGGTAACTCAAAATCATTTTAGATGTGGAAAAGTAAGAGCACAGCACCCACCCCCACCCCACCCCACATGAGAAAGAGAAAACAGATCTTAATTGAGAGAGAGAGAGAGAGAGAGAGAGAGAGAGCATCGCCTGTATTATTATTAAATTAAGCAAAATACCAAATGGAGGAGATAAGCACAACTGATCACCTTCATACATCATAATCCATATTTTTGTCTTTTCCGCCCTCTCACTCTTCCTCATCCTATTTTATAATATTTTAATTTATTAATGTTATTGTTGTTATGGCCCCACCCATCGTATATAGTTATTGCATCATATTAGTTTGTTACTGTTATTATATATAAATAAACCTTAATTGATCTGATCGAGATCTCTTCCGCTGCAGCAGCGGTGAAATGGAGCTGTGGCCGAAGTCGAAATCGAAATCAAAATCAAAATCAATTCTTTTAATTTTTGCTGTAAAAGAGCTGAGTCAGAATCTTGTGTGCCACATGGCACGTGCTCAACTGCGCCTTCTGTATGTTAATGATTTGTGTGTCCAATGTATTGCTACTATTTTAATGTCCAGTATCTAGCGAAATTGAATTTATAAAAATAATTTTTATATATGTCTAGTCCAAGTTGATCAACATTCTTGTTATAATGGTAATATGCTAGGAAAATAAGAAAATTCTGGTAAAAAATAATCTCAATTAATTAACGTCAAATCCAATGCAATCCAATTTGTTTAATCATATATATATATATAATTAAACATGCTACCACTATGTATTTAAAATGTTGTTTATTTTTTGTTGGTTAAAAAAGCATGGATATTTTATGTTTCACAACGCGGCGGCTAAGGCTTCACTGTGACACATTAATTAAAAACAATGATTATGGCAATCAACTGTTGTCATGATCACTCTGGTTGAACAAGGAAATTAGGATAAAAGGGGAATTACTCCAGTTGTTCTTGGGTGCCTTTTAAAAAATTCAGAAATCAATAATTACTAGTTTAGTTTTAGGCATTTAATTTAATAATAAAATGCATTATTGAAAAAAAAGAAAGAAAAGGGCGGAGGAAAGGAGAAGATTTCGGACTAGCGTGGCTGTCTAGTCGTCGTGGATGGTGTCATCATTGCTTATCAGAAAGGAAAATACATATGAATTAGTAATAATGGAACCCAGAAAAGAAAAAATTAGAAAAAGGAAAAGGAAAAGCCACCGGAATTGAAGAAAGGACAATATAAAATGTGAAAGTGCATAAATTTCCACTGACAAAATTGTCTTGATTGCACCTGTATTTCTGCCCCATAAAGGAAAACTCCAACTGACATATTCTAATGAATTGATGTCGATTCTGCTAAGGTTTTTCATCTCATGGGGCCCACTACCAATCCTTTTCCATGCCCATTCTCACATTAAACTACTTTCTTTCCCTTCCATTAACACGCTCTTTTTTTTTTTTTTTTTTACCTTTTCCACCTCCCTTGTCTTTCTATTTTTTTACTAGCAATTCAGAATCAGTTTATATATTTTATATGGTCCTAATTGGAGTCATATCGCTTACCACGCTCATTATTTAAACGCACCAACATGGAAAAATCGTACCGCCCAATAAATTATCAACTGTCTTGAAAGTTGACATGACACAAAATGTAACCTAGTAGTAATGAAATTAGAATGCCTAAAATTTGAGAGAGATTGATTTGACAAATGACACCAACACATCACGGGGTAGATTCGTTGGTAAAATAATAATAATAATAATAATAGTGATAGTAGTAGGAGGAAGAAAGGCAAAGAGCAGCAGACAAGAAGCAGCGAATGGGGGCAATATAATAGGCGCCTCCTCGCATCTAATTCAGAAATTGATGAATGAATTAGGTTTAAAGGCGGGGTAGAGGCTACACGAAGGTGAGGAGAAAAGAGGAGAGGAGAGGGGGGACAGGGGAATTGAAGTAGCTAGGTACTTGCATTTCTCAAATGAGGTTGCTTTCAGACATCACTATAGGTGGCCAGAAAAGTTAGGACAAAGGATTGGTCCATCCTCTTTAATTGCATATGTTGGAACTTGCAAATATAACACACCACCTCACCTCACCTCGCCTCAACAATATTAGATAGATAGCATATAATTCAACTTTTAATTTTTGTCAGCACTTGAGGTCGAGGTCGAGGCCGAGACCATTCCCATCCCATCCTCTATCTCTCTTCCCACCACCACAGATCTCTAACAATAATAATAATAATAAATTATTATGAATGGACTTTGAAGCTCCCACCCCTACTTTACTTTTTTGAGGTGCAATATTATTGTCCTTCATTAGCAGTGCCATTAATGAGCGAGCACAAACGCTCATGTTGCTTGCTCTCTGCATCTGCCCTCTCCTCCCTCCCGACTCTGACTCATCACATCTAACGCTACCCTATTTCAATTCAATACGACAATTTACAGATGTGTCCTATTTTCAAAAAGTGGGATTCCCACCTAAAGTTGCCAATAAATGTGCCCACGATTTTTACTTGGGAAGAAAGGTGAAGGGTATCGATTCCTACCACCAATATAATGACAATTTCACGTAGTTCTGCCAACCAAAACAAATAATATTAATAAAAACGATAAAAGAAGACGACAAGTCTATAGAAGATGAACAAGGGTGCATGCAATCTGTGCCCTTTATTACTTATCACGGGGGATCTTGATATCTTTTTTCTTCACTTTTCCTTCCTTCACGTAGAGAGAAATAAACTATCTATGAAAGGACTAAAAGAATAAAAGATTTTAATTAAAATGAATTTACAAGAGGCTACAAAAAAACAAAAAAATTCTACTGCCAAAATCTATTATAATTTGTTCTGCTTCCTGGTAATTTCTCGTGTTGGGTTTTGGTTTTGGTGCATGCATCTAACGGTCCGGTCCGGTCCGGTCAACAAGTGTTGACGTGCAATGTGGCGGTCACGGTGAGGTTGCAGGCTGGGCATGCTTGCAGCTGTTGGGACCCACTCCCGCAAACGTTGCACAGGCAAAGATGCCGGCACGGCAGCAGCAGCACGCACGACTCCCTTACCGCACACCTCCGGCATTTCCAACAACTCCTTGCCTCGTCCTTATCTGCTTCGCCCTCATCGCTGCTGCCACAGCACGACTCCGCGTCATCCTCGACCGCCACCGCTCCGGCGGAGATGTGCTCCTCACCACCGCCGCTGCCGACGTGGAGAAGAACTTGCTCCAGATTTGTTCGCAGGGAATTCGCCGTTGCCTGGTTCGTTTGAGCCAAATCCCTCAGCAACTGGTTTTCAACGTATAGAGATTTAACCCTCTCTTGCAATACCAAATTCAGTTTCCCGATTCTCTGGATTTGTTCGTCTTTCTCCTTCAATTTCTTCATCACGCCTTCTCCGATTGCCGCCGCTAACAATCTCGCCTGTTGCTTTTGCCTCTGTTCTAATTCCAATCGGATTTTTTTGGCCTGGAATTTGAATCAGATGGGGAATTCATCAGACACAGTCCTCATAATTACCAACACCAACAATGTCAAATAAAATATATTTCATGACTTACATGCTGGGTGATAATTGCATCGATCTCCAATTGATGTTGTAAGAATTGAGGCAAAACATCTTCATCACCAAACGACGGAAACTGAGACACGCTTTCGTCCTTGGGTGCGGCCGGAAAATTCTGCGTCGCGTACTGTAGGTTAACGGAGGAATCTCTTGGCCGTTTCCTCGAAGCGGAGATATTACAAGTCAGTCCGCTATCGGTATTGACAGAAGTTTTGGCCTGCGCCGCCGAGTCGCAGAGCACAGCCGGGTAAAAAGATTGATTCTCCGGTAATGCAACGGGAAGAGGGATCCCGAGACAACGCATCTGCTGCGAATTGAAGGCCGAACCAAAGTTTGCTTGATTGCTCGAGTTCAACATGTTTCTGCAGACATTAACGAATACAACATCAAAACATATTCATAGGAGGAAGGAGTTTGAAAGCATTGATTTGAATTCAGGGAAGAGGATGGGCGCGGAAACAATAAAAAAAGAAATGGTGGAATAAGCACGAACCTGTCTTGGATCAATTCTAATTCCGTGGGAAAAAGACTGAGATGCCTTGCTTCGACAGCCATGAGAAGAAGCGATTTTGTTGTGTTGGTTTTGGAGGAGAAGAGGAATATGGGAGGATGGATGGAGGAGGAGGAGGAGGAGGAGGAGCTGTGTTATGTTGAGTTGAGTTGGCGAGTAGGAGCAGGAGCAGGAGCAGGAGTAGTAGAGACGAATGGAGAAGGGGCATGTGGGGGTGGATTTATTTAAAGCGTTTGGTTTGGAAGGGAAATGAAGAGAAGGGAATGGACAGGGAAAGGAATCCTTGAGAAATTGGGAAAGTCAATAAATCTAAAGAAACCACAACTAGTCTTTATTTGCATTTAATTTATTTAGCAAAACACTGCATCCAATGTATGACTGACTGATTTCGTCCTAGTTATTTTCTCCATTAAATTCTCGAGGGTAGGGTTGAATTTCCTAATTGTATGAATAATCAGATACCATTTATCTCGCAGCGCATTAAAGACTCCTGACTTGTGAAAATCCATAATTACCCCAGATTCAACAGGTCGGATCAACAGCCCCCGGTCCGGGTCCGAGCCCAAACCCGAACCCAATCACTATCTCTATCTCGACGGCCAGTTAATACTAGTAAAAGTAATTGTAATGTAAAATAGTAGTAAGTGCAGGAACTGACACGTCGGGTCGCAGCCACGTTGCAAGTGCAGGGTACGGGGGCCCACGGCACCGTATGTATGTATGTATGTATGTATTGTATGTCTACACGGTCGAGGGAGCTTATTAATTAAGAGATGTGGTTCAGAAAACGTGAGGCGGAGTGCGGGGCCCAGTCAGAGCACGTGTGAGAGGTGTGCTGATCCCGGCCTCGTCTGAATATTTAATATCGAGCGTTGGGGGTAGGGCCCGCCCATTTTTATTTCATATGCGGTTTCCCGGTTCCTTGACTGGGCACGGACAACCTTGGCCTACGTGGGGGTGGGACCTCAATTTTATTAATTAATTATTTTAATTTATTTTTTGGGGGGTGACATTGAACATGCCAAATTCAAAGTCACTGTAACCCCTCAATTTATTATTAAAGTAAATCTCAATTGAAGCAATACAAATTTATTTATTTATTTATGACCGATAGACCCGATAATATTCAGAATCAAGGCCACCGAAATGATTTCTTGAGTAGTTTGTTTTTGGTTAAGCTTTTAAGGTACGGGCATGTTAGTGTGAATGTATTGTGCGATCCGTTCGAGGCTGTGGCTGGCTGGCTGGCTGGCTGGCTTGATGTAAGAAAGAAAGATGGGCAAGAATAATAATAATAATAATTAATTAATTCATTAAAGGGATGGATAGTATTGGAATCGGTAGGAGGCAGCATGAGGCATGGGAGGGGTGGGGTGGAGTAAAAGCCAAAGCAGATGATGTTAATAATGAACCGCCAACTCCTCGTGTCATAGTATAGTATAGTATACTAGTACACCCTTAATATTTGTCCTTTTCTTACATAAATATAAAACCTGGAATTGGATGCCCCTTTCCATCACGATTCACGCCTTTCCTCACCCTTCCCTATCTAATCTACACCTTTTATTATTATTATTATTATTATTATTATTAATTTCATTCACTGCTACTCCGCCCTTCATTTCAACATTTACTACATCTTTTTCTTTTTGGTATCTCTATTGTCACTATTAAATATACTACGAAACAAGTATCTTCCATACAAAATATTTTATGATTTATCCGAACAAAAGATACAAATGAATAAATAAATAGACATTAGGATGCAATTAATATATTTTATATGTGCTGTATATTATAATTGTGTAGATACGTGTAGCAGATGTGACCTGGAAGGCCGGAACAAGACCAAAAACTGTAGTACTTTGTACTATATAATAATCCTAGTCCAAATCTGTACCTACTGATGATTGAACAGTTCCATCCATTAAAATATTTGAATGCCAAATACCCACCTTCATCCATTCCCAAACAATTTGATTATCACATAACGTTAGCATCACGATTTAGAATATCACCTGCCCTAAATTTTTCATATTTTTTTAATTGCGACGTCACATGCAAATTAATTATATGGATTCTTTTCTTTTTTTAAAAAAATAAAAAATATAATTATTATATGGATTCATTAGTTAATAGTATAATGATTTATATATATTAATTCTGCATTGTTCTTTAAACTCGTCTTTTCCCTTCTCGGCACAGTAATTACAAAAATGCTATATAATTCCAAGAGTCAAAAGTAATCCTCTTAATCTTGGCATTAGTACTGCTTCTAGGCTAGCTCATATATTAATTTCCATATTGTGATTGTATATTTTAGAAAAGTTAACTAACACACCAAATAGGGTAATGCCAATTGAATTGGAAAAATAATTTATTTCAATTGTGTATAGTTAAATAATGAGAAATCATTTTCAATAGTATTGGTAGTCCACAAGGCTTCCCACTCCCACTATGCGGTTACAACTATAAATGGAGCATTTATTATTTGGGGGAAAAATAATAATTCCAAACCCATTTGTCCAAAGTGGAACTTGAAATTTGGACCATTATTGTTTGCTTAATCAACGCCAATTATTTAAATAATAGCAATAATATCTATTATAATTTTTTAATCTATCTGCCTAAAGATTAAGATTAAAGTTGTGGGCAGATTTAGGGTGGTCGTATTATTCTGTCAACATCTCACCCAATTAGTGGAGACATTTATAGATCCTTAAATTGGCATTAATTAATAATCGATTTTCGAAAAATGTGAAAACGTATTAAATACGTGTTGATTTCGACGCTTTTGCTATGGGAAGTGCAGCATTTAAAGGGGAAAAATAAAATAAAATAAATAAATAATAGTATTAATAATAATAATAATAATGGTGGGTGTGGGAGGGGGAGGGGGACCCATGAAAAGGGTCAATTTAAATAATGGAGTGGGCATCCCTCTATATATCTTCTTCACATGTTCACGGACATCATGACCGTGTTAGAATAAATACTACTAAACAGGGAGAGTGCCATTAATTCTCACCTTTTGAAATTGCATCCTTGGAAAATGACACAAAAACATATGTATGTCGGATCAAGACAGTGTCCCAAAGTGGGAAAATCTTGTAATTATATATATATGTGCTCCACTCCACTCTTATGTGGATGCCAATCTTCTCACTTTATAATGTATTGGATTTGCCATTCTTTTCTTACCCAGCCCAGATTAAATAAATCTCCTCTGCATTTTTATGACATGATGTGATGATACCTTTAACTTTAATTAGTGTGTCACATCTAATGCTCTAAGTAAGTGCACAGCTACATATTATAAATGGAATTCCATTATTTTTACTTGTTTAACCCATTCATATTCTTAATCCTTGATGCTTTTTCCAATTTTCAATCTCTAAAACTATTTATTTTATTTTTATCAGCATTCATTTCAAATATATATAATTCTTATCTAAAATATAATCCATCCATGATATTTGATATATTCTTACTAAGGGTTTGTTACGAAAATTTAATTTTATTCATTTCCAATTGTTAAATGAGTCATTCCACTTTCTGAAATAATTCAATTACTTTCCCCTTTGGTATAACATTTACAGTTTTCTTGGCACAGCTTTGGTAATATAATAAACGTATTCTAATTTATGTATAACGGATAGAGAGTTTATATGTGAAAAGAGAAAAATAAAACAACTGATTAAATAGAGTTAATTGAATTAAAAACTATGTAAGAAAATAAAATAAATAAAGGCAAAGTATATTACCAATGATTCATTTATAAAGCTATAGTACCTTTTTCCCCCTATAAGTATATAAACAAGCAATACATCCATGCTACTTCAGCAATAAGTCGTTAATTATTGTTTCAGCGTTTCTTTAGCAACTAGTGCGCTTTATTCTTGTCGCCAATTGTCTTTTACGCAAAGGCATTTAATACACAGCTTAGTCTGCGCTATGCCTATTATTATATATATTATTATGACGATGATGATTATTATTATTATTACTTTAAAAAAAAAAAAGAAGAAATTTCTGGGTAGTTTAACTAGATTTATGTATAGCGTAATGTCCCATGACAACTTGGAAATGTCGTGCAACATGTTGTTGCGCGGATTGGTTCGTACACCGCTTTCAATTGAAACATTTAGATGAGATCAAGAATTAATTTTTGTTTATGTACGTATAAAAATAACTATGGTGGGTGACATATGCAGGTACGTACCCAGAATTAAATATATATGACCTCCTAGTTAAGAAGAAAACAATATAAAAAATCAGGGTAATAATATATATATATATATATATATTAAGATGGTCTATGCTCAAAGATATATAAGAAGATGGGGGTGGGGTGGGGTGGGGTGTTAGAGTTTCATGTATATTATATATAATAATAATAATTAGGTGAAGACTTGTAAAGTAGTAGTATATATTATGATAATTTTACCTAAACTGATGGGTGCTGACGAACTTAAGAAAACAACAAATTAAATGCTGTGTAAAATTAATCATGTTCCCATCTCACATGATGAGATGAGTTTTAATTTGATTGAGCCTAAATCAATTAATGCCCAGATTTGATAGCAATTACTGTTGTCGTCGTGGAGTCTAGCTAGCTAGTCGAGTGATTGGTGGTTTTAATTAATTAATGAATTAATCTAATAGCCATGCATGCGATGGACCATTTTCATGAATTGATGTATTGAATCTAGAATGATATATATGGCCTGGGGTTGTCGTCTCAAGGTTAAAAATCACATCACATCACATCACATCACATCATCAATGTGTGCATGCATATATATATATATATATATATAGTAGATTAATTCATTACTGTACAAGGATTGATTGCGTCGAGTTGCATTGGCTATTTGGCATTGCAATTGAAATGAATGAGGCAACCTAAAACATTAATGTCGGAATGCGACAAGAGGAAAAAACAAGCAATAAAATGAAAAGGAGGGGCAAAGGAACGTGCTTAGTTAGCTTGGTGTGAAAACGAAAATGCGATTTTTATGGCATTATGAAGTCGTGGTCCGCTGAATGACGCGTATTATTATTATTATTATTATTATTATTATTAGTCTGTCTGAATATGTATATATATATATGTCCGTCCCCACCGCCTTTGGCTCATGTTTTGTTGTTCTTCAGCTGTCAAGTGAAAACACATTAACGAATTTTCATTTCTTGCAACCTAGCTAGCTAAAAGCAATTGAATTCCAACCCTGCCAAAATCAAAAGACCCCATCATCGGCAATCCTCCCATTTGAAATGTCAAACCCAATCTTTCTAAAGCCCACCACCATCAATCCATCATGCATTGGTTTTAATTTTATATGTGGTGGGTCCCAATTCCTAATTCCCGTGGCCCGGCCCGGCCCAGGCAACATGTTTTTGATATTACAAGTCATCTCATCATAATGCGTCTGAATTCCTTCATCAACGTATCCGACCGAAACACACAAGTTCAGTCATATCCCATATACTAATTAATTAATTAATTAAAGAGTAAGTTATATATGTATTGTATCTCGAACAACTGATACACATACAATTGCATACACTGATCGATGATCAACCATATGGACATGTTAAAGATACATTGAAATTTATTTAATTAATTAATACGTATGTATAAGTTGATGCATTCATTTATTTATTTACTTATCGAATATAAAGGTGCTTATTAATTAATTTGTCAACTTACATGACTTGACCTGTCAGCTTGAAACAGCCAATTTAATCAAATTCCCCATTCAGCTTATCCTCCTCAAATAATATCTAGAATTCAATTGTATATGAAAATAGTAAATAATATATCTATAATTGTAGTGATGGAGACGACGCTGCATACATACATGGACCCGACGAAATTTAATTTTTGTTTGAATTGAATTGTTTAATTTGGAATACGTCCAGATTCAAAGGTAAACTTATTACCCCTAACAACTTTATTCATTAAATTATGTTAATCGTGTGATGTGACATGTTTACCTAATTCAATTTGTCCTTCAAAATTATGTAATATCAAGTTTCTTAATTAAATTATTGTGACCAACCCCAAAAGTTGCTCTCAAAATTAAAATATAATGTAGATGTGATCGGCGAGAAACGTAACACCAAAATTTTGAATTAAAGTGATGGAATATATATATATATATATTTATTTATTTTTTAATGTGACGGTGACTTCCGTGGTATGTTTACTCAATCCTATATATCCTTCTTTCCAAACGCAAACGCAAACGCAAACGCCTGCAACTTCAAAATCTTATCTACTTTTGTTAAACCACTGCTTCTTTGTGGGCCATTTCTTCTTCTTCATTCAAAATCGTTATTTATTTATATTAATTAAATCATCCTATGTTTGAAGTCCAGGAGTCTGTCTTTGACAGCCCAATCTATCTTGGGCTCAAATAGCTGATACTCATTAAAAGCCCAATTATGATAGGCCCTGTCTTGTTTCTAGTGATTAATAGCTCACTTTATTATGGGCCGAAAATATTGTCATTATAGCGCAATTTAGTGGGCCTTATTTATGTTCGATCCAATTTTAGATTAAGGAAGAATGAATGATGGTATGAGCCCAGCGGACGCCGAGAACGAAGGTCGCAAATTTGCAAACAAGGTTTCTCGTTCGCGTCGTATCTGAAGATTACTTGAAAGTTCTCCTTCTCCGCCTCCGTCTCTCCGCTCTTCAGGAGAGAAAGTGAAATCGAAAATAAGCAACATGGAGACGCACAGCGCTCCCCAAATTGTGGACGTGGGTTCCGTGGTAGAAGCTGTTTATGCCGAAGATTCTGACGCTCCCCTCTATGTAGTCGAGAGCCTCTGCATGCGCTGCGGCGAGAATGTGCGACTTTCCTTTTTGTGGCTATGTTTGCCTTCTTCCTTGATGTGTTTGTAGTAGTTTACTATGCCGAAGATTCTGGATTTTCTCTTGGTTAACGGGGTCTCCTTAGCTGTTTAAGTTGGTCTCTGAAGTCAATATATAATCTGGAACTTTTAGCTAATGTTGGGGAACTTTATGTTTGATTTGGTCGCTGTTAGATTAAATCGTGAAGTGATAGGATTGAGTTGGTGATTAGGTTTCTTCGACAATGTTTGATTTGGTCGCTGTTAGATTAAATCGTGAAGTGATAGGATTGAGTTGGTGATTAGGTTTCTTCGACACTAGTTTTTTTTTTTTTTTTTTTTTCTGAGAGCCGGTAATGATATAATTCATGATTCCTAATTGCGTCTTTCTGAGAAATAGCAGTTTAATTAAACATTCTTGTGGATGCAATTTAGGATTATGATGTACAAACATCACATGAACTGCTTTCTATTTTAGATTCTGATTGGTCTGAGCTCGATTTTGCATTGTTTTTATTGATCTGTATCATGCAATTTTCTCACACAGCATATTTTTCTACAGGGAATAACTCGATTCTTGTTAACTTCAATCCCACATTTTAGAAAGGTTAATCCCTCCTATCTTATACAGCTTATTTTCTAATCATCAGCTCCAAATATCAAGCAAGTATGCTATAATGATCAACTATTGTATTAAGTGGAGTATTCATTCATGGGCTGCTATAAACAGATGTCTGGTTTTGTTTTTTTTTTTCGTGAAACCCTGATGTATCCTTTAGCTTTTAGTTATGTATATCCTCCTTCATTATTCTTTTTATGTTTTATACTAAGTTATATTCTGAGGTTATTAACTCCCAATATCCATTCATTTAATTTTAAATTGTTGTTTTTCTTTTCTTTTTTACAATCTTTTCTTTTCACCTCTCCAGTAGGATATGTTTTTACACAACAACCACTGAAGTTTTCAAGTTATATAATAAATGATTATTTGGTGTGCAGTGCTTGTGATATCTACTTTAGGGTGTGTTTGTTTGGGAGTTTGGATTTTGAGTTGGAATTTGAATATTAAAATTTTTTAATGTGAATAGTTGTATAATGTGATATAAATAGGTGTTGATGTGATGTTTTGAATGTAAAATTGATTTTTTAGTATAATATAAAATATAAAAAATAGGTGTTTGATTTGATATTTTTGGGGAAAAAAAAAATGATGAATAGTGTATTTAAAATCCAATCCCCCAAACAAACACACCCTAAGTATATTGTTTCCTCAATCCCATATCTTTTCTATTTTCTTTATTAAAACAATTTTATATTTTTCTTTCTAATGTATAATTTTTACTTATTTATAAAAATATTTCAAATAAAAAGGTAAAGACAAAATATTTCAAAAGCTCTCTAAATTATACCATCTAAAAAGTCATGCCAAAAACAAAGCATGCAAAAGAAATACGATGGAGGTAGTATTAATTGAGTTCTATTTTTGTATCAGATCTTGTTATCAGCGTTTGAGTGTCCACATTGTGGCGAGAGGTAATAAAAAATTTCTTTTCAGTTGAAGATTGAAAAGATGCCATAATTTGTTTTGTACGTTTCAAAGACATTTCATTCTGTTTGCATTTCTCTTTCAGGAATAATGAAGTGCAGTTTGCTGGTGAAGTTCAATTGAAAGGCTGTCATTATTCCCTGGACGTCCCTTCAGGTGATCAAAAGGTTGACTTCTGAGTTTAATTTTGTTGGTTAGGTATTCGAGATGATTATTTGTCCACTGAATCTGATGGTATAAATGTGCTTTGTTGAATGCACTATTTCTTAAATGTATTGTCTTAATTTATGTTCGTACTCTGTTTTAGGCAACACTACTTTCTATCTACCCATGTTTTGTTTTATTTTTTGTGTAACAAGCTATGCATTTAACTGTAATTATACATGGTTAGAGAAAATAATCTGACCTCTGTGATTTTGTATATGTGCCCTTTTTTTGTAGATTCTAAATCGCCAAGTGGTTAAATCTGAAACTGCCACTATCAAGGTACTTTTTGATTTGCTATCCATTCTTTGAAATGCCGTTATACTAAATTTGTTTGCAATACGAAATATTATCATTAGATGACCTGGAGTTCATTATTATTGGAGTCACTGATCTCATGCTGGTTGTGAGATTTAACACCGTGGCATGCCAAAAATTCCCAAATTTAAGTGCATGAATTTTTTCTTTTTATCTCATTGTCATGTCTATTGTGCAGATCCCTGAGTTGGATTTTGAAATTCCTCCTGAGGCTCAGCGTGGGTCTTTGTCCACGGTATCCCTTTGAAATCCTCTCAACTTTGAAATTTTACCTAGAAGTCTACTACCATATTGTAATATCTCACATGATATTTGGGTTGGTCTTATGGAAATTATGGTTCATCATTTGAATTTTGGAAGGAACGTATATATGTATATTAATCCAATCCAACTGGTACAATGCTCTAGTTTGATATTGTCTAATTCATCTTCTGTCAGCCTGTATTTGCTGTTTAATTTAATTTAATTTGATTTTTTCCCGCTAAGGTAAGAACATCAATTTGAGAATACACTCATTTTTCATGCAAGGCTAATTTCATCTGCAAGCTTCATTGAGCACCCCTGCACTTACATGTTTTTTCAAATATATTTTATGCGGTCCTTCCATAATGCCTATTTGTTGCTGGATCTTGCTCATGTTTGATGACATATTTTTATTTTCTGAATCACATCAAGGTTGAAGGAATATTGGTGAGAGCTGCTGATGGTTTGGAAGCCCTTCAGGAAGAGCGGAAGGTAGACCTTGGTTTATGTTTTATTTTTTTGTCAATTGTGATCATAATGATAATGTTCTTTTCTTGTGTTTCAGAAAGTAGATCCCCAAACAGCTGCAGCTATAGATGAATTCTTGGTAAAATTGAGAGCTCGTGCATCTGGAAAGTCGCATTTTACCTTCATTCTTGATGATCCTTCTGGCAACAGCTTTATTGAGAATCCGTAAGAGATCCTCTCTCATTGAACATTTCACATGTTAATAATGTTAAGGATGGAGACCTTGCAAACTAGTTTCAACTTTCATGAAAAGAACTTTTTTGTGCTATACTTACCAAGTTTTGCAATTATATTTTTTATAGGAATGCTCCAGCACCTGATCCATTGTTGACTATCAAGTTCTATGATCGGACACCTGAGCAACATGCTGCCTTAGGGTATTTGGCAGATACATCACAGGGAGAACCTGGTTCAGGAAATACATCAAACAATGTTCCTCAGCAACCACAGGAACCTCATGGTTCAGTTGGAGCAAGAGCTGGCCACCGAGCTATTGCTCAAGGCAATAGTGGAGAAATTGCAGATGCATTATTTCGTTATTCAGCTCCTGAAGAGGTAATCTAATAGCATCTTCATTCTTTCTTACACTTAATAATATATTTTTCTGTAGTAATCACCAATTTTCAATACCTTCATTTGTGATCTAGGTCATGACTTTTCCATCTACATGTGGAGCATGTGCTTCAAAATGCGACTGTAGAATGTTTGTTACCAGTATCCACCTTTTGCTATGGCTCGACCATAGATTGTGGTGTGCTCACAGTTACATTAGGATTTAAATTGTTTGTCGCAATTCTGAAATGGGCATGGCCTCTTACTTTTTAGTTGCTCTTTCGCAGAACTATATGAAGGGGGCATTCTAAATAATTGTATGACAGTTGAAGTAGACTAGTGCATCTTGAATTATATTGCTTCTTCAATTGCATGGAGTAGAAAGACAATGCAGTTAATTTGTAAACATTTGTCTGAATCATCATCTTTCTAGTATTTTAGCATTACTAGAAAGGTAAGTTTTTCACATAGTTCTCCTATGTATCCATTTCAAACTTAACATGTAAAGTAGTTGTTCTTGATGTCTATGACCACATTCAAAGTTATCAACTTTGCTAGCTTAACCACTGACAGATATTCCTTACTTCCAAGAAGTCATTGTCATGGCTTCTACTTGTGACTCCTGTGGTTACCGTAACTCCGAGGTTTGTCTTATTCAAGATAAATCCTGCTTAGCTTGGACCAATGTTCTTTATTAGTTCTTTCTCTATTAATATCGTGCCGGATGAATGCCTTTGCAGGTAAAGCCAGGCGGTCGTATCCCTGATAAAGGGAAACGAATAACGGTACATGTGAAAAATGCAAAAGATCTGACTCGTGATGTAATAAAGGTATTCAATTGGAAATTCTTTGGTGGTTTTCATTGGACCTTTGATTCTTGCAACATCTTAAACATGTGAATTTCTTAGTGTGGATGGCTAGATTCACCACATAATTTTATAAAGATAAAGTATTACTGGGCCTTTGTTTTTTTGTTTTTTTGTTTATTTGTTTGTAGAGGGTTTAGGGTTTCTTGTTAGGAATGTAATAATGAGCGGTTTCCTACATTTGTACTTTATCCATGTGCAAGCTTTTTTGGTAATTCTGAATATTACTCATCTCAATCATGCCAGTCTGATACGGCCTCCGTAAGAATACCTGAGCTTGAGTTGGAATTGGCTAGTGGCACATTAGGTGGACTTGTTACGACAGTGGAAGGGTTGATATCCAAAATTAGTGAAAGTAAGTATGTTGACTTTTGCAACTATTCTCATCATGTTTCTTTGTTCATTTCCCGAGAAGAATATATCCGGTGTTTTTCGAAATTTCTTATTCCCTCTTGAAGATATCCTGTAATGCACAAAACTATGCTTCAAGATGTGCTTTGACTCTTGAAGTTTTTTTTTTTATACTGAATGCTTATTTTCATCTACTATTGCAGGTCTTGAGAGAGTTCATGGTTTTACTTTTGGTGACAGCCTTGATGATGACAAAAGACGCAAATGGAAAGAATTTAGGGCAAACATTGAGAAGGTGCAGAATTGGACATTAGTTTTTATCTGTGATAGTCATGATTTTACTGTTTCAGGCTGTAGTTGGAAGCATGAGCACTTCAATGGTTTCTTGGACTTGTTATCCTTTAACAATTTTCATCTTGATGCCCTGGCCTCATGGCTTGTTAGCATGCCTTTGTTATCACATATTCTGTTTCCGCCCTTGAATGAAATAGTTTCAGCAATTTTAACACCCACCTACCTGTTCCAGCTTTTAGAATAGTATATGAAGATAAATTCATTTACTCATGCTCGAGCTGTACATGATTCATATTCATCGTAATGCTTCGTCTGACAGCTTCTTTGTCTTTCTTGTTCTATGTTACAGCTAAAAAGCTTGGAGGAACCTTGGAGTTTGATTATTGATGATGCATTGGCTAATTCCTTTGTTGCCCCGGCAACTGATGATATGAAGGATGACACTCAGTTGACATGTAAGTTCTTCTTTTCTTTTATCATGTCACTTTGCAATGGCCTTATTTATCATTATACATGGGGAAAGGGCTCAATAGGGATATTTTGAAATTTTTTGTATTTCTAATATTAGTTTGCATTATATATCTCATGTGTTACTTAGACTTGAATTAAATATTCTATTATAATAAAGGAGCCACAACTGGGTCGGATGGTGCCCAATGGACAGAGTCTAAAAATATGATGCATTTAAGGGGCATATCATTCATTCTTTAATGTTGAACTAGACATCTTTTGCACCTTCTTGAGTGTTTTTAAATTAGCATCATTTATTTTTATTTTTTTTTTATTTTGTGGGTGAATTGAAGCATGCTAGTATGTCTTTTCTAGCATCTTGCACATGTTTATTCCTTGTTTATGTTCCGTCTTCTTGTTCTAATTATCATATTTAAAAACTCTGGAATTTCAGTTGAGGAATATGAGAGGTCTTGGGAGCAGAATGAGGAGTTGGGTTTGAATGATATGGATACTTCAACAGCTGATGTAGCTTACAATTCTTCCGATGCTGATGCCGCAACAATTGGCGAAGATTATAAGACTACCCAGTCTCAGTTGGAGGAGCATTGATGAGTTTTGGTTGTGGCAGGCAACCGGGTCTCTGCCTTGCTAGATGTTGCAACAGATTTTTATTATTATTTATTTTATTTTATTTTTAAGTTTTGTTGCTGCCCACTTAATTCAGATTGTAGTATTTGTTTGTTTTATTCAATTCTTGATGAATCTTATAAGGGAAAATTTTGGCATGAAAGTGAATGGATGCTACTCTTATTATTATTATGACTGTGGAGTATATATTATTATTGTTAGTGTTTTGGCGTATATGATGAAGTAGAAGACAGGTTTGTTATATATTATTATTGTTAGTGTTTTTTTTATATGATGAAGTAGAAGACAGGTTTGTTATATATTATTTAACGGGTATTTGACATAAATGTATTCAAACTGCCAATAAATTTTAGAATTTTAATTTTTAAACTCTTAAATTTATAAATATATTTATTTTTTTATATTCACTGTAAATATATTTCTCACATTCTCTTTAGAAATTCATCGTATACAAAATTTATATTGCTTAGAAAAAATAATTTAGTGAATAGAAAAAAAAAAAAAAAAAAAAAAGCTAAGAGATAAAATTGATCCGTAAAGACGGCGACAAAAAAGTAAAAGATTAGAGAGAAAAAAAAAATAAAATTAAGCTATTAAAGAGGAAAAACAAATAAAATTTGTATGTACTGTGATCTTAATATTCTTCTTGAGTATTTGTATATAGTGCTAACTTATTTTATGAGAATTTATTTTTAAAAATTAAATTTAAAATCATCCACTATCTATTATTATAAAATTGTTATAACACTTATTTTAAAACAAAAACTACCTATATTTTTTTGCCTCTGAAAAAATTTTATAAATAAAAAAAAAAAAAATTTATAAACTCCATAAAATGAAAATTTTTGAAGTGTGAAGTCAGGATAGGATTACACTGAACCGCGGAAAAGCCGGAGGATTGATATATTAGGGTTTCTCCGATCGGCGGAAGTAGTCTGGATACAGATTCCATGGAGGAAGGATCCTCACAGCAAGCGCAACTGTTGAAGATCGATCTGACCCGGGATACCGCGGTGGCGGACCTGACCGGGAAGGTGCATATCTTGCCTTGCTGCATCAAGTACAATGGTCACACCTCTGTTTCTCACTACTTCAAGCCCAAATATTCAGGTACTTTACGTTAATGCGCACCTTATCATCTCTGCACTGAGCGTAACACAATAGTGCTTGTGTAGTTTGATGACTTTAGTTTGAGGTTGGTTATGGAATTGTTAGAAGCTGATCGAATTGACGCGATTGTATAGGGATGGAGGCGGATGGTATGCGGATCGAGGAAGCATTCTTTAGAGGGAGGAGATTGCATGGAACTACCGTAGCTCTCCCCCAGGGTTATTCCGGTGGTGCCATACTCTTTTCATGTTCAAGTGTTCGCCAATTAATTGATTACATTCTTGATACAGTTTATGCTTCTGGATGATAAGATGCAGTAGTCATCGGTATATTCCACTTCTAAGAGTTGGAGACAGTGTTCGAGTTTTGTAATTCTAATTTGCGGGTTTTTTATTGCTTGAATACGTGACCTTGATGCCATCTGTGTGCATTTTCTGAACTGATGTTTAATCTGCTCACATTTTTGTTGCAGGGGCCAAGCATATTGCCCATTTTATATCCATATGAATACTCATTTCTTGTACCTTCAAATCTTTTGAGTGTTTGTCAGGATTTTGTATTTTGTGTCATCTGCATTGATATGTCTATTTCACTTAGATTTGTAGCAAGCCAAGGTCATTCATTATTGAAAACTGTTTGTCAAATTTTACAGTTAATTGCTGTTGATATAATGTTCTTAAGTTTTGCTATAACTCTATATTCCTTTTTAGGCTTCATACTGGGAAAGGGAAGTTCTCAGGAGGAAGCTAATGCTTCAAATTTTGACTGTTGGAAAACAAATGCAACCTTTCAAAATGTTACAGTATGGAATCATGATGCCATGCCCTCAAAAGATGATACTGTCTTGCGTGGATTTCACTGGTTTTCCGTTGCCAATGCTGTAAGATTCTTATCTAATTATTTTGGCCATGAGGCAACCAGTCCACCTTAAGGAGGCTCATCTGTTTTCTCTGAAAATCAAATGAAGTTAACAATGTACTTGTATTTTAACTGTACTATGATAAACTTTTTTGCTTGTTAGAATCTACACTGCCATAATTTGATATGAAAGACTTGACTTCTAGACTCAAATCTTTCCAAGAACAATGCATAATTTCACTTTTCTTTTTCCCACCATGGCATCTAGGGGAGAGGGCTAGGATGAAATTTCATTTCATTGCAGAGTTGGGGGTATTTATTAGATTTCTTGGCACAAAACACCATTGTTACCAATACGTTATTAAAGAGTCTCTTTGTGAATTGCAGCTGCATCAACCTGTCACAGAAGAAGATCTGGAATCTACATGCATCAATGAGGAGCCTTATTATAAGCATGCATAAAGTAATCAATCCCTTTTCTAGAATGTTGACAGTCTGATCAGGCTGAAGTTATATGTGCTTCCCAGTTGTGTCAAAGCTTCATCATGTTAATGCACAACCAGCTGGGGTACATTTGCATATTCCTGCTGTGAAGCATATATCAATCAATCAACCATTTTTTCATTGTGCGTTTTAGTATCTTAACTTTTCTTACATAATATATTTAGTATTTCCCGAATTCCATTCAGTGCGCATCTTAGATTGTACATCATCAAACACAATACAGTTAAAGTTTTTAAAAGAATTATTTATCTTATTTACAAAGAATCTTCAAATTCCTCAGCAATTGTGTACTACAGCAACAATTGTCAACCAATGTTTGCTATATTAAACAAGTTGATTCTGCCTGCTTGCTTTTTGTTTTTTATCATGATATTTTTTTCTAGATTCAAAGAACATAGCCCTTTTTTTTAAAAAAAAACGGCGGGTGCTTGTTTTGCTGCTACGCATGAGAGCACGACTTCCACGCGGAAGGAGGAGCGAAACAAATAAGAATATATTCCCAATACCTGACAATCTAGATGATCGCTGGTGGCCATTGTTAATTACTAAATCTATCTTTTTTCCTGGAACTTTTCTCTCGAAATAGCAGGGTTATTGAACTCACTTCATCCCCTATATATAGGGCAATTTGTATGACAAAACCATCAAACCATACATCTCATTTCATATATCTGGGTAACTTCTTTTCATAGTTTGTTTGCTTGGCTCTGAAATGGCTCCTTACACGAGTCCACACCATGTGGGAAATCCAACTCTAGTGTTCACCAGGGTATTTATTTCATCTCTTCTGTTTCCTTCTTTAATGCATTGGACTAGTATTGAGATTTGTATTGCTTTTTAGGATAAAGAGATGGCCATTGGACCCAAAGATCTCAGCATTGTGTGGGGTAAAGATAATCGGTATTGGAACTGGGAAACAGCATCCGGCACTGAGTAAGTTGATTTTTGCTCTTACCTTCTTCTTATAAGGTTACTTTCAATGTTAAAACAAAAAAGTGTTTACATGTGTGTGTGTATATGTGTGTTAATGCAGTGATGGGGTGGAATTGTCCCAAGTGAGTTGGCTGGAGGTTACTGGCTGCGTGGACCGTACAATTGCCAAGAAGGACTACGAGGTGGTGTTTCAGTTGTCATTAAACCAGGATGCATTTGGATGGGGCACCACTCCGATCTACATTATGGTTAAGAGAGGGAAACAAGGGAAATTTGGGTGGCGCAAGTATAACCTCGAGTCTTACCGTCCGCAACAAAAATTTGAGATCAGCGTGAGGTTGAATGCTGAAAAATCAGGACAGAGTGGTTCTGGTTCATCAAGTGATGAGAAGCTATACTTTGGCATGTATGAAGTTTGGAGTGGCAAGTGGAAGGGAGGTTTGAAGATCCACGGGGTCTTGGTTAAAGAAGTTAGATGAATCAACAACAAAGACATTACCACCACCAACAGATGCGAGATATATATGATGGATCATCCTAGCACATCAAATTCTGACTATTACTAATGCCGTTGTGCTATAACTATATATTTATATTCATAAGTGATGGAATTCATGATCACACATGTAACAACCACAAATAAACAAGTAGTTGGTTATTGGATGATGGTTTGTTTGTTTGTTTGTTTGTTTGTTGGGTGATCATTGGTGGTATGTAGGGCGATTTTTGATGTAATAAATGAATGGATACAGTGTCAATCAAATTTGGTTTTATCGTTATTATGATGATTGATGATGAAGAAGAAGAAGAATAGGGCTGCCCATTAGTTTGTTTTAGAATGAATATAAATCATGAAGATACGTTTATTATGGGAGGACAGGTAATCCTTCATTCATTCACTGGGTGGGAGAATTGAAGCATGCAAATTGCAAACTCAATCCAATGCAAAGAATATATAGGATGATAGTTGATTAATAAGAAATTAAGCTGAAGAATCTGGCTGGCTGGCTGGCTGCTGCATACCTACCCGTCCCTACCGAGTAGTAAATGTATAAATTACAAAAGAAAGAAAAGAGTGAAGGAATTGAATCTAAAACTGATGTGATGTGGAGTGAAGGTGAGGTTACGTTACACTTTAGTGTTAAAAAGATAAAGAAAAAGAGAAAGAAGATTGCCCTTCTTCCAACCGGTACGGATTAACTTCATCCAATCCCACAGGGCACGTAAGGAATAGTATTACTATTACTAATACTAAACTACTAATAATAATAAGCTTGCACGTATGGCTAAGGCCGCATGCATCCTTTCATTCCTTCTTTATTATTAAATTGAGATAGCCGTTTATGCTTCCACGATATTCATTCATCACTTTTGATTTGTTCCTTTTTAATTAATTTTAATTTAAATATTCGTGGTTACTAATTAATTTAAATAGTGGAACGGAAAGCACTTCAATTCACCACTTTGAAAGCAAATTGAATACGTCAATCCCTAATTAACATCAATACAAGCACAGCACAGCACAGCAGTGGTAGAAGAATAAGATGCATTGCCACCCCACCCCACCCCACCCCACTTGATCAAGGAGGATAGCAGATATGGTAATTGGTATCTGATTCCAAAAGACACCAACCAAGGAAGGAATTCAAGATTTAATAAAGCACGGCCTCACCTCAAACCCATCTAATCTAAACCACCAAAATTTAATTAAAATATATACTGCTGCATTAAATTTACAGTACCACACACTCACATATATATATATATATATATAAAGTTAGCTAAAATAATACTTATAATAAACACTCATAGAATTCACGCATTTTTTACTTATGGAAACCAAGGGTCCGCTCCTTGTTCCTTTCTCAAGGATATGGTGTTGGATAGTTAAAAAAGTAAAAATAATTATATATTTTTTAATATGATTTTTTTAATAGATTAGGTATTTGAAGTGAGCTTTAAGTGAAAGTATATTTTAATTTGTTGAGTTTCTCATGTACGAATTGAATTTCGGAATCCTTTAAACACTATAAAACTCACATAGAAAATTTGATTAGCGGATGACGATATATATTAAGCAAAGAATATAAAGAAAGATAAGTAGATAGTCGATCTGGTAGGCTGAGACAGCCACTCCCCTCATCACCCCAAGTCATCCAATGTTGCCGACTTCACACAGGATCGATTCTTAGTACGCAAAGTTGATCATCCGTCGAGGCAGAACAATACACAAGGACAGAACCAGAAAAAGGGATTGTGGCAAGAACCCAACAACCGTATCATCCAAATACCCGATCACAAGTTTCTCTCTAGTTATCACATCTCGTAACACACCGAGCAACCCTATATTTATAGGTGTGAAGATATTGGATAAATTACTCAAATCTAAGGGAAGCCAAACTTACCTGATGTAGAGGCGAAGATGTAGGAACAACCAAGTTTGAATTTAGGCCAAAGAAGAGAAGAAATCATCCGACGACTTCGGAACCGATTCAGAGAAGTGGAAGGAATGGGTTCGACTGATTTGGGTCAGATTTGTTAAGAAAATCTGATTTTATTAGTTAGATTAAAACGGGTACGGTTTGGGTTGGTTCGAGTCAGAAATGGGTAGGGCAGAAAACATACCAACAATCTCCACCTGGTTTTTGGTCGACCATCATGGTTACATTGGGGCGCAATTGGGAGTAGGAACATGTCATCATCATCGCCATTATTCCTGCAATCTCAACACAAAGTTAATCCAGCAGAGCATATATTAATCACAAAGAAATAATACATGCTATAAAAAAAGAACAAACATGGTTTTTATCAAATGTATCAAAATTTAACACATTTAAACATGGTTTTAAGCAAATCTTTTAGCCACAACGCTTCCTTTAGAGCTTAAATTATTGCAACATATTCTGATTCAGTAGTAGATAGAGCAACAATATGTTGAAGTTGAGATTTCCAACTTATACATGAGCCACACAAAGTAAACACATAAGATGTTGAAGATTTTCTATTGGCTCTATCGTTCGCATAATTAGAATCCACATAACCTCTCAATATCAGGTCTAGTGCAAATCATCAAGTACATCACAGAGCCTATAGCATTCTTATATGACACATTTTTCATGTAATACATATCAGATTCAGACTTAGGACATTGATCTTTGCTTAGCACAAAATGAGAAGCTAGAGGCACATTAGTTGACTTTGCATCAGTGATGACTCCAAATATAAACATATTTTTAGCTTGACAAAACTGTGTATTACTTGAATTTTTGTATAAAAATCATCATAATAACTTGTTAATGACATACATTATTAATCTATATCGCTTGGAATGATCCAGAGTTTGTTGTTGAGATTATTAACGATTTTTGCCCTTTTAAGCGGTAGTCTGGTGCTAGAAAAGCTAAGGTAGACGCCACAAGAGGTAGTCACCTCCGCTCACAAGTGACCAATACATCTCCTAAGAAAGACTAAGACACGAGAGGCAAGCGGTAGCTTCCACCGCTCACAAGCGACAGCTTCTCCCGCTTGCAAGCGACAACCCAGACACCCACCGCTTCAGAATGTCAGCAGATTTTGACTAAGTGTTCCAACTGCAGCGGTACAGCCATTCCACTAGGCCTAGCAAAAATTAACCCGACCTGATAACCCGACCTGAATCTGACCTGAAATAGTTGGATTTGGGTTGAGATTTTTGACCCAATTAATAATTTGGTCAAACCCGTTTAACTCATTTAATTAAATGGGTCACGTTAAGGTCTATATTTTCGACCTGAAACTAACCCGTCTAACCTGTTTAATTAATATTATTTTAAATTTAAATATATTTTTAAAATTTTATCAATACAATTCAATATTTATGGCCAATTTTATAAAAATAAATAATAAAAAATAAAGGATTGTGTTGTGTACTATTATGTAGTGTTTGTTAATTCAATTCTTGAATATCGGTTTCATGATATGAATAAATAATTTTTTGCTTTAATATGTATATATACTATGCATTTAAAATTTTTTTTAATATAAATTATAATTTTAAATTAAAATTTAAATATTTTAGATTTAAACGGGTTATATGAGTCAGATTCAGGTTGACCCGATTAATAAAAGGTCAGGTTAAGGTGGCAAATATCAGCCTATTTAATTAAATGGGTTAGGTTCATGTCAAGAGTTTTGTAACCCGTTTAAGCTGACCCGAACCTGAACTCGACCCGACCTGATCCGTTTGCCAGCCCTACATTCCACTTCCAGCCAACACAAGCAAGCCTAGCTGCGCTGATGCCCTCCAGTCCTTCGGAAAGCGAGGAAGATCTGAACCCTTACTATCCTATGCAAACGAAGCGGGCTCCGTAGGAGTTATGGCAAACAACTGCTTCAACATAATAACTGTCATCAACCGCCTAACTGCCTAGCAACTGCTTGTAACCGTTCCATTCCGCATACTATAATTAGGGCCAGAAATCTCTCTGTAAATATACTTCGATTTTTGAGTATTTTAGCAATTAATTTCTGCGCAATCTAGTTGTCTTCTTGTTCTTTGAGAGCTCCAACCCTGTAAGGGAGTTCTCTACAGAAATATCCAAGGGAGTAGGGATTTCTCTTCTCCCTTGACCAAGACTTTACTGCTTTATAAGAGTAGCTTACTGCTTTCAATTACAACTTTGTAGTTTTAACATTTCCAGCTTTATTAGTGAGTAATGAAATATCATGCAGTTCTTCATCCACATTTCTTCCATATTTTATCCACACTTACATAAACTCTGAATTTAAAGAATTTCATATCACTGGTTTAGAGCACGAGAAGAATTGATTATCTGAGCATTGTCTTTTGCCAAAAGCGTTTTCAAGGTAGTTTAATGTAGTTAAGTACGCAGAAGCCTTATCGACCTGCTTAGCTACTGTTCTAAATTCAATTTTGATTAAAAAGAGGTAACATAAAGGTAAAGCCACTAATGAGGCAGAAGTTGGGGTAATTCACGGGGCATAGACGATGGTCTATTAGGTCACATAAATTCCTAGTGACAGTAGGGTTTCTTTCTTATAATATTTCGATTCTGGGTATCATTGAAGTCTTGTTGTAAATCCCTTAAGGTCAAATTCCAGTGTTAAGAGTTCTTTACAATTCAGTTTATGTATTTACATTATCTCCTTCCACCGCTTCTATATTATACATATATCTCCGTTAACACACCTACACCACTCGCTCATTACATCCAGGAAAGTCTAGCCATTTAGTAACGCATAAGTCAGACACAACACCTCTCCCTCACTCTCCGCTGCTTACATATATACATATACATATTGTGCCATCCGCTCATATCCCGATCACTCGGTAATCGCCATCCGCTCATGTCCCGTTCACTCGATAATCGCTTCCGCTCATATCCCTTTCATTCGGTTACCGTTGGCACTTCACTGCTCGCACACGTCCCCGCTCGCCTTCGCTCGCTCTTTACCGCTTTCACTTACCGCTTTCCTTAGACTAGAATTCTGGATCCGTTGCAGAGCGGATCTTTTACTGCATTTTTCGTCTCTTTTTCAAGATCTCTACTTTTTTTAAATTCAGTGTTCGACCTGGAAACTCACCAGTAAAAATAGTATAAATAATTGTGATAACTACTCAGGGTCTACAACTACAATTTTTACTATATCTGGCCGCTTTTTTTTATAAACACTCACTTAGTGGTTTTCGAACATAAATTCCCTCTGAAATTGTACAAATTACATTCCAATAGTTATCAATTAGACATACACAATCGTTTCAGGACTTTCTCAATACATGCAGATTAATTTAACAAAAGTGTAGAAGCAGTCATATCTCTAATGATGTTCATACAAAAAATGTTCTTTGCATATCCCAAATATTTCATGTTCAAACTTCTTGCTCAAACAATCATTAACATGCTTGATAGTATTCACACAAGGACTGATCAATAACATGTCATCTACATAGATAAGTAAGAAAACATGAAAATCATTTGATCTCATAAAATACAAGCAATGATCAAAATTACTTATTGTGAATTTTAAAGATCTCATGCACTCATCAAACTTAATGTTCCACTGTCTAAGTGATTGTTTCAAGCCATACAAAAATTTCTTCAGTAGACACACATGATTAGACTTACTTTTATCTACAAAACCATCAGGTTATTTCATATAAATTTTCTCACTTAGATCACCATGTAGGAAAACAGTTTTAACATCCATTTATTTTAGTTCCCAATTAAACTGAACAACTAAGACAAGCATGATCCTAATAGTAGTATATTTAACCACATGTGAGAAAATTTCAGTATAATCAATCCCTTTTTTTTTTAGTGAATCATTTTGCTACCAACCTAACTTTAAATCTAACATTATTATTTTCATTTTTGACTTTGAAAATTCATTTGCATTCAACAATATAGCAATTAGTTGGCCTAGGAACAAGAATCCACGTATTGTTAACATGCAAAGAATTCATTTCATCATGCATTGCATTTAACCTTTTTTCAGCATGTTTAGATTTAATAGCCTCTTCATAGGACCTAGGTCTAAGTCTAGGCCTAAGAACAAAAAGTGTTACAACTGTGAGAAACTCAACCATTATGCTAAAACATCTAACTTTGTAAAAACATCTAAATGTTCATCAATGTTTCGATTCAAATCAAGTTTAAAACGTAAAACTTTTCAAGTAAAAACAGTTTGTTTGACAAAAATTTTTCCATGTAAAGCTTTTCTAATCTTTCCCATAATTCTTTTGTAGACTCAAGTTTTCCTATCTTTCTAATCACATAATCAGATAAGTTCAAGATAATCAGAGAATAAACACATTCATCTATTTCAACGTTTCTTTCATCAGTCATTAATGCATTATAATCACCATCAATTGCTTTGGAAACTTTTTGAGTTACTAAAAGTCCTCTAATTTTTTGTTGCCAAATTGAGAAATCAATTTTTCCATCGAATGGTGCATACAGACGACATATTGACAAATATTTAACACATTCACATAGAATGACTATTAGTTTGTCAACCACCTACTCCTTTGGGAGCAACTTGGTACGTAATAGCCAACTCACGCACACAACCAAGTATTTCAAATATGATTTCACTAACTATCAGTGATCAACTACTTACTTGCTCTTGGAGCAGCCAGTTACATGATTGTAGTATCCACACATCAAACAGGATCAAACAAGAATATCAAGTATTAATCACCAAGATGTATCGCACATAAATCACAAAAATTTAGGGATAGCCTTTCGTTACCAAATCTGATTTTTACAGTGTTGAACCCGTGTCCAATCTCAAGATGTGCTCTGATACCAATGTTCAGTTTCTTTTGTACGAATTGAACTTCGGGAATCTTGTAAAAACTATAAAACTCACACAGAAAACTTGATTAGTGGATAACGATATATATTAAGCAAAATCAGAATATAAAGAAAGATAAATTGATAATCGATCAGGTTGGTTCAGATTCACAGTCACTCCCTTTACCACCCCAAGTCATTCAATGTTGCCGACTTCACACAAGATCGATTGTTGGTACGCAAAGTCGATCATCCATCGAGGCAGAACGATACATAGGGAAAAAACTAGAAGAAGGGATTGTGGCAAGAACCCAGCAACCGTATCATCCAAATACCCAATCACAAGTTTCTCTCTAGTTATCACATCTCGTAACACACCGAGCAACCCTATATTTATAGGTGTGAAAAAGTTGGATAAATTACTCCAATCTAGGGGAAGCCAAACTTACCCGATGCAGAGGCGAAGATGTAAGAACAACCAAGTTTGAATTTAGGCCAAAGAAAAGAAGAAATCATCCGACGACTTTGGAACCGATTCAGAGAAGTGGGAGGAATGGGTTCAACTGACTTGGGTCAGATTTGTTTAGAAAATCTGATTTTATCGGTTAGATTAAAACGGGTAGGGTTTGGGTCGGTTCGGGTCAGAAAAGATAGGACAGACAACATACCAACATAATTTGATGTAATTTTAAAAAATAATTACTTAATATGAAGTTTTAGAAAAAATAAAATTTATTTTTATCCTTTTACTTTAACATGTATAATGCAAAAATGCCAACAAAAACACTTTGGTGTGTTTCTTTTATCAATTACTATTTAAATTGTATATTTTTCAATATATATATGTATATATATTTTCTAAAATATTTTATTAAATATTAAACCAATTTTCTCCCTACTCAACTAAAAATAACATACTTATATTCCTTTAATAGTTGAGTTAGTGATATAAATATATCTTATTACTTATATAAATTAAACATAATACTATAGGTGATGGATCACATGCTAAATTTAATTAGTTAAAATAATTTTGTAGACATCAGCACAAATGCAAATAATTTCCTACGGAATATTTTCAATAAAATGAAAGCTAATCACATTACAATCCTTAAATATAACAATAAGTATATATAATTAATTACTTTCAAATAATTAAATATTGAGATATAAATATCAAACTCTTGTAAATAAAATGTTTAAGCATCACCTTGAGGACTAGGCCACGGATATCCTTGTGTTGTGTAGGGTAATTAATATATAGTCCACAAGAGTCATTTAATTCCATTTCACACTGAATCGAGTCCGACTTTGTCAATGGCCCAAGTTCACTTACCTTTTTTTTATTAGACGGCCCAAAAAAATTAAAATTAAAGACCTCACTATCAATATTAATTATTAAGATTATTTTCAGTTTCTGCATTGAAGTAATTAAGCAAGGAAGGATCATCGTTTATCAGTAGTAGTAGTAGGAGTATTATATTTCAAGAGAAATTAAAGAAGCCTTAGCTTACAAAAAAGGAAGGTAATTAATTAAGTGAAATAATTTGACATGGAACATGACTTGACAGCATATACATATCTATATATATGGATTAAGACTGATTGATGTGTAGTCTTTATGGAGGCTGCTAAAGCAAAGGGTTGATGGGCTAACTGTGTTATTGATTAATTATTATGAGTTGGGTTATGGCGAAATTAACAAGAAAGACAGACACACAGACAGACAGACGGCAGAGCAAATCATATTAATTAGTAAGGCAGCGACACGTAAATATATATATATATATATATGATGGGTAGATAATTAGTCCAAATCTGTCTTGGAAAAAAGGTGATTGCCAATTAAAGTTGATTATAATGTATGCAAGTGTTGACTAGTCTAATCTGTCATCCCCTAATTTGGGTTTGTTTTGCTCAACCAAAACGCTAAATTCGATTCCCATAAATATTATCAAATTATACAATCAACCAAAAGAAAAACAAGTTAGTTAATAATTTTATACAAAATATCATTTTTTATATTAGTCTATTCCATCTTACACCAAAGAAAACAACAATACATACCTAAATGAATTATTTGATTGGATTAATTCCTATTACTTATTAAAGAAACAGAGGCACAGCTGTATTTATTTAATTTAGTACTAGTATTAATTATTTATTAGTAGTCGCCTTCAGTTAATTTAGACGTAGCCAGCCGTAGGCCCATAGTGGAGTTGAATTTAGTTTAGTTAAGTTGGGTTGGCTCAAGTGAGCAAAAACCAACCCTACACAATGCAACACAATATACATATGTTTTTTAACTAATAATGAACCAACAGAATGCACCACAACTAACCTACACACACAGTATGCACAAACCATACTAGACTAGTCTAATAACAATGTAACTCCAAGTCCCTGCCCGTAAGGGTAAAGGAGCTTGGCGGTGGCGCAGGGGTTAGACTTGTGAAGGTTGTTATTATTATTGTTGTTATTATTATTATTATGTTATCTCTTTCTTTTTGCTGTTTCTTCCTGTCCAAACAATCATGTCTATGCTACACCATAATCACTATTGAATAATTATGAATTAATCTCCCAACACCTTGCTTCCTTGCTGGCTAGCTTGTATAATCACAAAACCAAAAGTGGATGAATGAATTAAATAATAATGAAAGATGAACCAACAACTTACCTGGGGACTGCACTGATGATTCATACGGTGGTCTGTGTTGTCTAATCCGCCGGCGGCCGGAGAGAATCTATCTATCTATCTAACTCAGGAGGAGATGATGGATCCATCCATAGCTAGCTATACAGTGCAGAAATTACAATACTAGTATTTATTAACTATTACCATCATTATTCATTGTTGGTGATCAGTGATTGAAGCTGCTAGGATGACCTGATCTACCCAAATCCAAATCCAAATACAAAATTTGAAAAAGATGATATTAATCTCATCAGAAGCAAAAATAATTAAGAAAGAAAACTAAAGAAGCTGATGAGAGAGGAGGAGGGTCATTAATTAAGACATATATATATATATATATGTATGATCTGAAGTAGAATTCAAAGCATGGGTTTGGTATTGAACCAGATCATGCTGGCAGCTTCAACCTCTCAAACCAACATAGAAGAGATCGACAACGTGCTACATAGTACAGTAGACAAGTAATCATCATCAATTCATGATATATCTCTATGTTTCTCTAGGGCTAGGACTATAGGACTAGGTAGGAGGTATATATATATATATATGTATGTATGTATGTATGGTGTGTATTGGCCTTAGCAATAGGAAAGAGGGAGGAATTGGGTATGCGTACACGCCTGCCTGCTTAATTACCACACGAGACGAGATGGAACGAATCCCTCGCGCGCCTGCAAACACTGCTGCCTTTTCTCTCTCTCTCTCTCTCTCATCTGTGTGTGTGTGTGTGTGTGTTTGAGACCACCTTTAATTAACGACACACATATGTATATATTATATGTATAGCTGGTATTTTCTGCCCTAATTAATTGGTTAGTCCTACATACACACACCCAAACATACGTACAGCTATGGATGCATTGACGACAGACGCTGACTTCGATCTTCTTCTCCTTCTTCTTCTTCTTCTTCTTCTTCTTCTTCTTCTTCTTCTTCCTTCGTGCTCTCAAAGCTAAGTAACTGATCGATCGAGTGATTAATGAGCATCCACCTAACTTAATTTTCTGGTTCTGCTCCAGGATCCATCCAAAACTCTACCAAGGAGATGAGATAGGGTAGCACGGCACAACGCAGCACATTGGAGTTGGAATAGGAATAGCCGAATAGGGTCAGATAGGAGGACCACATCCCTCAACTAATCTGCTCTTAGCTTTATGAAATTAATCAATAAATAATTAATTACACCAAGACTGGTCCATGCATAGATAATACTACTATAATACATACACACCCAGAGAGAGAGAGAGAGAGAGAGAGAGAGAGAGAGAGAGAGAGAGAGAGACAATAAGCCCCTAAAATTAACTGCTTCCACGACACGTACAATTATTGATTTATTTAAATGTCCCGCTGTCAATACACGCACACTGATCTGCAGTATATAAATACGTACACAATTAATTGAATTGTATTAATTAATTCGTATATGCCTCTAGCTAGCTACTTCTTTAAATTGGCATCTCGCCAATAAGTAGCATGCATTATCTGTCTCCATTACATTGTCATTGCGGCCGGGTTGACGATAATTAGCATGTACGTATATACTAGTATATCAGTTATTAAACAAATTAATTAATTAATGGCACTGAGCTGAGCTGAGGTAGCTAGCTAGGCACAGGACACACGCAAGTTAAAGGCGACGTGGATATGAGATCCAAAAGATGCAGTGCAGTGCAGTGCAGACAGCATTATATAGATATATTATTATTATTATTCTTATTCTTATTATTATTATTATTATGATGTTGGTTTGTTTAGATTAGATTAGACCTAAAGGTTTGTTAGGTTGGGTTTGGGTCACATGGTGATGTTTTTATATAATTGTGAAATTAATTAGCTAGCTAGCTAGGTTTGGGGGGCAGAGCAGCACAATTTAATTTGACCTTTGGGGCTTTAATTTGTTTGATGAGTAGTAGTAGTAGTAGTAGTAGTATTAGTAGGTAGGTAGGTAGGTAGGTAGGTAGGTAGGGTGGACAGCTGGATAACTGCCCCCAATTAGTAGTTGTTTTCTGTACACTGCTACATTGCATTTGCATTTGCATGGCCTCCCCATTTCTAAAGACTGAAAAAACGCTGCTACTAGTACTAATACTAATACTAATAATAAAGAATAGGTTAACTAACTGCTATGCAAGGAGAGAAACACATCTTTGTCTTTAGCTCTGGATTGTTCTTCGATCCGACAGACAATAATATAATATTATTTTGATGTAGACACAAAAGAGGTGGAGGACTGGGGTGGCCCGGGTGACCTTAGCTAGCTAGAAGAAGAAGAAGAAGAAGGACCACATACACACATGCATACTCATTATATATATAATTTGTGTGGGTTGGATTAGTGGATAGGGTCACATGGCTTTGCCTTGTATTTTCGTCTCAATAGCCTTCCTTCCTTCCTTCCTTCCATTGTCATGTGATCATTAAGGTTCATTTTGTTTTGCTTGCCTCTGTCTGTCTGTCTGTCTGTGGGAGTATATTAAAGCTGCCTGTCATCATCATCATCCTCCTCCTCCTCCTTCACGTTCAGCCAGGCCAGACCAGGGAGACCTCTGCAACCTATTTTACGGTCGCTCTCTCAGCCACCAATTAATTAATCATCAAATTACTGCTATCTATCTCTCTATCTATCCATCTACTAATCTACATCTTTTATGGGTTGTTCTCAAAATTACGAGAATCAGCCAGCAAGTACTTAATTAATTAATCATGACTTGTTCATCTCAAAAATGAAAAAAAAAAAAAAACCAAGGATTACATTACATATGATATATATGATAATAGATAGATATTTGCTCTCAAAATGAAGTAGGTAACGTCATGTTAATTAATCATTTTCTTCCCATGGGTTGGGTATTGGGAGTATGTTTATGTATGGTAATAGTAGCAGCAATGACAGACAGACAGACAACGTCATGTTAATTTTAGGCAAGATTTATGATTTCTTTTCATGCCTTGACAGACACACAGCCTACTCTGCTACTACTGCTGCATCAAAAGCCGATCCACCGTTCAGGCCAATGGAAATGGATTATTATTATTATTATTATTATTATTCAGTGAGTGCAGCTAGCATAGCATGCATTTTGTTTTTGTCTCATTCATGACTGGAACGGATATTGCGCAAGGACAATGCATCGCAACTTGTAATATTGATATTAATATTAAGATGCCCAGAACATTGATTGATTAATTAATTAATTAATCACCGATTCCATCTCTCTACTGTATATACACCCTAACTAACTAAACAAACTAGCCGCCCGCCACTCACTCCCATCATCACCTTATGTTATTTCGATTCATTTTCTTCCTTTAGGCTTTCTCAGTATATTCAATTTAGGAGCAACCCAGCAAGTAAGTTCATCCAACTTTTTTCTAATTTAGCGTCAAGTCATGTTACCAAGTATATAATAAAGAGGCGGGTTTGTTATCATCTAAATTATATACAATCCAAAATGCATCTAAAACAAGTTTCCAGCAATAGTTGTAAAGTCTTGAGATATTATCAAATGCAAGTCCAACTACAGCTACGTTATTTGGGCCAGTCCCCAGTCCCAGACCATTCGAGATCCAAGTAAGTCCCAGGGTGAGGAAAGAACATCCTAAATGATTAAAGACCGCTTGCTGTTGCTGCCTGCCTCTAACAAACACACGCATGATAGGGCACATGATGAACTACAAAAACAGAATATTGATGTTACTGTACAAAAATTATGAAATACAGTGTACACCAAATATAGTTTTCATATCAAGTATCCAATTAATTGTGTTTGATGAATTAAGGAAGGGTATCAGAAAGAAATAACCTTTGAACTTGTCACCCTTAGAGAGCAAGCCCAATATGGCTATCCTATGATGCCCACTTTATCCAAGGAATGGGAAGAACAACACTCAAAAATAAATTAATAATACAAAGGCTTGATGGAAAGAAAAAAACGAACCATAATGAAAATATACTTTAAAATGGCTTGCAAATTACATTTATTTATAAGACTAGGAATCTATCTATATAACATGAACATAAAATTTTCCAACCAACAAAAGAAATACACAACAAAAATTGTTCAATACATCTATATAAATATTATGTAGCAGGCTACCAATTACTCTCTACCCAACAGTCCATCGGAACAAAAAAATGGTAGATGGTCATAATGAATCAAGTTTATTATTCAACAGTTTTCAATCTATCTCCATTATCAATAAAATTTATTAATTGTTACAAAACAACCCATAGTTTGAAGCTACAAGAAATTTGTAGCCAAAAGTGAACTTAAAAAAGTTCATTTCAGATAAGATGTATTCATGATGCCTAAGTAAAGAGTAAAGTAGTAACGTCCCAACTAATTGTGGGGCAAACATTTCAAATACAGTACTGATGTGCATGGTTTAATTTAATTATATATGAGGAGGTAGCTAGATAGGTATATGGTAATTACTTGTGAATATTGGGAGGCAGGGAAGCTTGAAATGAATTAAGGGCGCGGTTCAGATGGTTGCATGGTGGTGGTGCTGGGCCATCCTCCTCCTCCAAGGCCTTGATCAGCCAGCGACTTCACAAATCCAGCCAACACTTTAATCTCATCTTCAGTTAGTCGAGGCCCGAATGTGCATTGTCCTCTGGGCGTGCATTTCTCCCCAAACCCCTGCATCATATGCATGCATATACACATGATAATAATGATGATATACATACACAAACAGGAAGGAAGGAATGCATTCAAACAGTATAATTAATTTGTTCTTATTGTTGTTGTTCATCTATGAATGTGATCATTAATCATGGATCCCAACTTCCTTAAGTACTTACTGGCATTCTTCCTTTCCCATAGTACGTCACTTTAAATATTTCCTCTTCTGTATCGACTCCATTCCTGCTATGAAATACTACTACTATATAATTAGATGAGTGAGACCGACATGGAGGCTTATTATCATTATCGTTGTTAGTATTCTGTTGCCCTTAAATGAATTGAATGCGAATGTGAATGCGAATGTGATGATGCGTACCTTTGAAGGTCTTCCAAGAAAAGTGTAGCCCCCTGTTTGTCAAAAGTTGCAACACAGCGAGTGAGGGATGGAGGACGATCAATCAATCCATCAACAAATTAGTTAATTATGCATTCTCAAACATCTCGGATGGGATGGGATGGGATGGGATGGTCGGTCGGTGAGTATTAATACTATTATAAACTCACTTCACTCACTCACCGGCTGTATTATGTTCCCTCCAGCATCATGGCATCCAATGCATGCTCGCCGGAACAAGCTGGAGCCTCCTTTCTCAACATCTACCGTTTGCCCCGCCGACACTGTATCCGCCGTCGCGAAATATATTTATATATACATAACCTCCATAAGCATCCACTCCAGGCACACACAGATAGATACAGAGACACAGACACAGAAGAAGAAGAAGAAGAAGATAGTAGAGTCGACATTAATTAATTAATTAATTGCCATTTGCCTGCTGGAGGAGGGAAGCAGATAGGAGGAGATAAGGCTACGACTGCAGCCACGAGTGGCGTCGCTAACCATTTCAACTTCACATCCCTTGGGAAGATGAAATTCCATTTTCCAACTGGACCAGCAGCAGCCTCGTAATCGTAATTGCCCACTCTCTTCCCCTGAAAATGAAAAGCCTGTAAGATAAAAAGCCTTAAATCTCTCTCTTGTGGAACTAAACCACAACTGAATTGATTATTGCCGCAAGTACCTACCTGTCCCGGCGAGGGCGAGGGCAAGGGCAAGGGTGAACAATTGGCTTTAAGCGCCGGCTGCATTCTCCCCCGACTCTTTCTTTCACTAATTCGTCTTTCCTCTTCTTCCTCTGGTTTGGTTTGAAGAAGGACCAAGTGACGGCTGAGCAAGCATCAACGAGTCTGTCTATTACTTATTTATTATTTATTTTTCTACGTAGCGTATGTCAGTATGTATGTATGTATATATCTACCTGTCCTGTCTGTATATCAAATTTGTGATTGACCGTCGACCGATCCGATATAACGTAAACGTGTACAGTTGAATCACCGCATGCCGCGACCACCACCACCACCACCAATAATAATAATAATAATAATAATAATAAACCTTATCTCCTCCCTTTCCCAACTATCTCCCCCTCCTCCTCCCTTTCCTATCATCAGCCGTATCCGCCACGGCTTTCTTCCCCTCCTGTTTCATCTCCCTCCCAACTACTTGCAATCTCCTCCTCGCTCTGCACCCACCAATTTTAGGTTAATTTTTTACCGGTGAGCACTGGGGTTTCTCTCTTTTGATTGGCTGGCTTAGCAGAAGTAGTTTTTTATTTATTGAAGATGGCGGTGTTGTTGGAGGACATTGTTAAGTCTCTGGAGTATCTCTTGAAGCTTGTCGGAAAGAAAACCCAGGAACAGTCGTATGTGGATCCCTCACTTGATCCGGTCCTCCTCGTTCCGGGTATTGCCGGTTCTATTCTCAACTCTGTGGACAACAAGACTGGTAACAAGGAGCGGGTTTGGGTTCGGATTCTTCGGGCTGATCACGAGTTCCAGGATAAGCTTTGGTCTTTCTTCGATCCCGTTACTGGTTGGTCACTTCCTTATGTCTTGAATTTACTTTTGAATCATTGCTTGCTTTAGTTCTAGCTTTCTTGAATTCTCGCAGTGAGTTTATAGAACCTGTTGAATGTTACATATCAAAAAGTTCATTCCGTTGCTGTCAGAAGAATCTACTGCAAGTCCTGTCTTTAATTGGTTAAATGAAATGCGCAAAAATGTACACTAAATGCAACTTAACTCTTAAGCGCATGTTTACTATGGTGAAATGAAAACTAATTGGTTGTCCACAGTGTTGGTTGAATCCTGTTTTTCTTTTTCTTTTTTTTTTTCTAATAGCTCTAGTTTTAAGCTTTGATTTTCGAGATTATCATCTCGGGCGTGTGTGCTGAATACGGATCTTGTGGAATATTGTGGGACTCCCTATTACTTGGTGCATCTCCAACCCAGCGAACCATTAGGGTTGGCTTTTTTTAGAGTGTCTAACGCCAAAAATTGGTGTTGCCCTGAAACATCGCCAATTTTTGGCGTTGTTCTACTTTTTTTATTATTTTTTATTTTTTTAATTTATAAAATTATAAATTTGATTTTTAAATTTAATTTTTATTTTTTAAAATTTTTTAAATTTTATTTTAAGTTATAAAAATAAAAAATTGTTTAAAATAATAGGAAAAATTGAATATTTGAAGAATAATAGTGAAAAATAAAGTTATGGTTGGAGTAAAATTCCTGTAGCAACTGCAAATAGTTAAAACTGGATAAATGGAGTGGATGGGTTGGAGATGGCCTTATAAGAGCCTATTTTATTTATAAGGGTGAAAGACTACTTCACTTAATACTAATTGATTTTAAGCTGAAATTCTATATCCTTTTTAATATGATATAATTGTTCTGTGTCCGTATTAATTATTGATTTATTTAGATTTTCGAGATTATCATCTCGAAGAGAGAGTGTTGATATTTCCTCACATTAGAATATTGTGTGGAATATTGTAGGAACTCTCTTTTACTTAGGGCTAGTCCACTTAAAATCAACCCGGATCCGTTCTTAAATATGGTTCTCCCAATTAAGGGTTATTCACTTAAAATCAATTGATTTTAAGTTGGAACTCTGAATCACTTTCTTAACATGGTATCAAAGTCATGGTGTATGTATTTGGTATTGATCCTGTTTGAATTTTTGAGATTTACTTCATCTAATATGATATCAAATCCTTCGGTCTTGAGTTTGAGTTTCACGTACAAGTTTTGCGTTTATCCCCCTCAAGGGGGCGTATTGGTTGACTCCCATTTGTAGATAAATAAATAAATGATGTGTATCCCCAATAGCTTAACCTTTTAGGTGAGACAGCTCATTTACATCATCTAATACATAGTAAACATGACCAAAGATGGTATTGCATGATCTGAATCTGCAAGGTCTCATATAATCCAGTCTATTCAATTAACATTTTCGGACTCAGCAGCAGATTTGTCCCTATCATGAATAAGATGTATTCTTAAGTTCTATTCTTGTTTTGGCGAGTTTTCTCAAAGTGACTAGATGACAATATATCCTTGCAACAGGTAAAACAGTGACCATAGATGCTGATACACATATTGAGGTTCCCCAAGACAGATATGGCTTATATGCTATTGACTCATTGGATCCTGATATGGTGGGTGACCACTGGGCTCTTTATGGTGGATTGCATATTTCCATTATCTTCTTATGTTGCTCTTTTATTAAGACGGGCATTGTCGTTATTTACTTTTGATCAATTTTTGTTTTCACATTTTCAGAATAGATGATATATGCCTTAAAAGTTTCCTGCTTGGATTGCAGGTTATTGGCTGTGATTGTGTATATTATTTTCATGATATGATACTTGAACTTCTCGAATGGGGATACCAAGAGGGAACAACACTATTTGGGTTTGGATATGATTTCCGTCAAAGCAATCGGTAACTGCCAGATTCTTTAATAAGATTTGGTTGCTCAGGAAGTTTGTGCATTGGAATATATATGTAGTTCTTGTTTGGAGTTCTAAGATTCAACCAGATGCATTCTCTCTATCATAGACCACATTAGAATGTATGTGATTTTTCTTTGTTAGTTGTTCAGTATTCATTTGATATTCCTAATTTGGAAGGTTAATATGAGGGTTATTACCTTATTGTTGAAATGGTTTATTTCTGTGTAGCTTTCATATGGTGTGGTCTCGGATCATCATCTGCTATGCTCTTTAGGCTTTTTGCTGACCACCTGAATTTAACCGCTTGGAGAATTTTTGAATACCTTTGCTTATCTTTGTTACATTTTTTCGCAGCTTTTGTGAATGATAATTTTCACTTGTTTGGGTTGGAAATAGTCATGGCAATTTAATATTGCATTCTCATTTTTATAGGTTCCAGGGAACATTGGAACGCCTCGCATCAAAGCTTGAGTCTGTGTACACTGCATCTGGTGGAAGAAAAATGACCATTATAAGTCATTCCATGGGTGGGCTTCTTGTAAAATGTTTTATGAGCCTGCACAGCGATGTAATATTCTCAATTTTTAAAGATTCTGTTCTATTTAGTTTTCTAGCTCTCTCCTTGTTTTTACTGTTAAAATTGCTCTTTTCTCATACAACCTGGTGAACTAACTCTGAGTGTTATTTATAGATCTTTGAGAAGTATGTCAAAACATGGATTGCAATAGCTGCACCATTTCAAGGTATGAGGTTCTTTGATCAATTACATTGATCATTAATGTGACCAAAATGGCATTGAAATAGTGAGAAACTATATTACACCTGTTTTCTACATATTTCAGACATATTATCTGAAGATCAATCCTACTTATATGAATCTCAACAGGTGCACCCGGATATGTTACCTCCTCATTATTTAATGGAATGACATTTGCTGAAGGTTGGGAACAGAATTTTTTTGTATCAAAATGGAGCATGCACCAATTGGTATGGAGTTCACAAATTTTTTTCCCAACTTCTGCTTGATGATTCCTCCTTATCTTAGTCTACTAATTTGCTCCACATCAACCATCATATTGTTTTCTATCCGTTGAATCTTGACTCGACCATGTGTATATTTAGTAACGACATATGATATGATTGTACTAGTAAAAACCTTGCTTTTGTTGCTTAATATCATCAAATCTATACCTTTTGTTTTGGTAAGATTTTTCATCACTAACTTCCTTGATATGATTTAGGCTTTGTTATGTGTCATGAGTTTCACCTTTGCATTATGTTCTACTTGTTACAGTAATTTATTAGTAATTTATCTATTACCTTCAAATAATCTGCAAGCATCTTTTGTGTTTCAGCTGGTTGAATGCCCATCAGTTTATGAATTGATGGGTTGTTTTGAGTTTAAATGGGACCACCCTCCACTTCTTGAAATATGGAGACAGAAATGTGATAGTAATGGAAATTCCAGGGTAATACTTGAATCTCATCCTCCTGACGAACTTGTTCCCATTTTTATTGAGGCTCTTTCGGCAAATAAGGTGAGCTCTCATCTGAGTTCTGCCGGCTATTTGGCACATGACTGAGTTGATACTTCCTTTCCATTCTATATGAATTATAAGTACATTGTAACTTTTCTATTATATGATTCTTATTTTCTAGCAATGTCTTTTGCAGGTCACTGTAGATGGTGTTGACATTCCCTTACCATTCAATATGGAAATATTAAAATGGGCAAGCGAGACCGTCAAGATATTACACTGTGCTGAGATGCCCAGTCAAATCAAATTCTACAATGTTTATGGAACAGGGCTTGAGACACCCCATAGTGTTTGGTACGAATTTTTTCCTTAAAAGCAATAGCACCCCCAAAATATATAGGCTATGATCTTTTTATAATCTTTCTTACTGGCAACGCGGAAAGTGTTATTTGGTGCTTGAGCTTATCAGGACCTTGGTTATGCTGCACTCTCACGAGTTTTTCTGCTGCAGTTATGGAAGCGAGGATGCGCCTGTTACGGATTTGCAGCAGTTACCTACTCTTGAGGTAAAATTCTTGGAGAAACCTTAATCCTATTCACAAGTTACTTTGTTTTCTTAATCTATATGATATTGTTAGCCTTTTGTCAGTTCTTAGAGTTACTCAGACATTATATTTTGAACTTTTCTGAAGGCAAAATTCATAAATGTGGATGGTGATGGAACTGTTCCAGCAGAATCTTCTAAGGTGTGTTTTCAATACGGCAGTTGTAATAGTTGATGGAATTGCAGTTTAAATAGTGGTGTTTGTCTAGTTGTGATATTAATTAAGTCTGAGGGCATTGCTTGATTCTCCATAGGCTGATGGGCTTCGTGCCGAAGCAAGGGTTGGAGTGCCTGGTGAACACAGGGGGATCCTCTGTGACAGACATGTCTTCAGAATTTTGAAGCATTGGTTGAAAGCAGATCACGATCCGTTTTACAATCCCATTAATGACTTTGTGGTTTTACCCACGGCCTTTGAACTTGAAATCCTCAAGAAGGAAGGTTTGCGGATTGCAGCCCCTCCTCTCGCAGAGGATTGGGAAGTCATTGGTAATGATGAAGACTGCTGCGAAGATGTGGAAGAGATGAAGCCATCAGTGACTTCAATTTGTGCTTCCGTTAACACAGGGAGTGGTGATACACAAGAACAGCTGCTTGCAAAGGTTGTAATTAAACCGCCTCAAAATGATGGTGAAAAGCTAACTGCGGTGTCTGTGTCAGCAAGTGCTTAGAACACAGCAGCATGAAACGCACTTATACGTATGTAAATAGTATTTGCATCTATATATCCACGTCTGCTGAAGCTCATTGTATGTATACTATATTATAGTGTGCAAATATTGACGTGAAATGTTGTGATATATTGTGATCTCATCCTTGTGCATTTCAAAGATATTTGACCTACAACATTACATGCAATGAGTTTGCGACTAGAGGCAAGCTGACAATGGGTGCATGTTGGGGAATGAGGGATTTATCACTCTTACCATTGAAGGCTAAATGACCAACTGATATTTCTATCATTCAACAGATGTATATATGTATATTACACCATGCAAATTTCTTCAATTTTTTATTGTTTGACCATTTCCACAGAGTGAAATAGTTTCACAACCAATACAGCCGTTATATATAATTATATATTGCCTCTAAGATTGTGTGACTCTTGTCTTGGCACACCAGCACACGTACATGCATACATTCATTCACAAACATACATATCATATCATATTGACCTTCACAAAAATCAGGGGTGAAAGAATAGTGAGAGTTCCGACAAATAATATATATATATATATTATATGTGTGTGTGGGCATAGATGAACTCCCACAGGGCCCTCCGTGGACTGATGAACAATGTAATTATGGTGGACGTGGAGGAGGAGGCTAGGGATGAGCTGGTGATTTATTATGGGTGGAGATGAAACTTGAGAGAGGATCAGATTGTTTTCTTCTCTTGGGCTGAGCTTCACTTTCACCCAACTGCAAGGACACACAGACCTCTCCCTCAGATTCATCACCACCACCTAACAAGAATAGGTTTTCCAAGTTGCCCCTTTTCCTCTGGCTCTGGCTCTGGCTCTGGCTATGGCCATTATTATGGGATACGAGAGATTTGCAGGGAAAGCTTGGGATGAATTGGTGTTCCACACTGGGAACAATCATTGCCTCTGCACAACCTTTAATGCAAAACTCTCTATCATCATCATCAGCGGAAAAAATATGGATTGTGCTCACAGCTTGTGGCACAGTGTTTTGTTCACACACACGTTCTACATTTGCCTTCACTTGCTCGAGCTCAGGCGACGCGCATTCTCTAATGCCAAACCCGACTCTTGCAGCTGATGCAATTCTCTGCTCTTGGAGTGCAGCTGCATTATAAATCAGGAAAAGGCAAAATAAATAAATAAATAAATCATGGCAGTCCATCTGGATGGAATGTTGTTAATGGTAAGAATAGTAGGAGATGGATGCTCATGCTATAAACAATGAAAACAGATAGATATAGATAGATAGATGTTGAATTCCGTTTTTAACACAAACCGTGGAGTCCTGCATTAGATGTGACAAGATCAAGCTCTAGGAGATCTAGAAGGCGTCCCAAATCAACTCCACTGGTCCAATTTTCGGGAGGTTGGCCAACTCTCAACTTTAGACGCCCGCGATTGGCTGTTCCGCCCCAAATGATACCAACTGGACGGGGCTTCTCACCATTTTGATCTGTCAGCAGAATAAGGCTTCCACTGTCACCTTCAAGGTCAAATGTCTGTTGATTCTCTCCAACAACAAGAAAATCAGTGAAGAAACATATTCCTTTTTCGTCGTTATACTCCAGAGAATAGGCCATTATGGTTCCAGTAGTCAAACCAGAACTCCTTCCAACTTTTACAACTTGCCTTCCAACTAGACTGCCAACACGGGACTGTAAATCGATTATATGAACATCACCAATTTCACCAATGCCTTTCACCAGTGTGGTAACACCGGCCATGTTAAAATCTTCAGCAAAAGGGATGAAGGCCCCATCAGCTCGAACAAAGGTCTCTACATGTCACACCATTGTAGCAGTTCAGGCATACATATAGTGAAACCTCACCACGGTAGTGAGACAGGGGAATCATTCAAAGGACAAATGGTAGCAAATAGAAGTATGCTTGAGCTAAAAGAAGTTCGTAAAAGTTTACAAGCATAGTTTAGAAACAGATTTACCCTCTTTTGTGTGTGTGCGTGTGTGAAACAAAAGATCACTCATCTATCAAAACCAGATTTTCTCTCTATATATCAATAATACAGTAGCATTCCAGATTCATTTCATTCGCGCACACGAAAGCTAATTGGAATGGGAATTTTCTTAACATTTCTATCTTCAGTTGCAAATATTATTGTACTTCAGAAAGATCTATGGCATAAGTACTTATTTTGGCAGATCAATACAGCACATAATCTTCTTTGTTATGCATATCATTATCCCTGACATATCAAAGGCAAAGCAGACTAACATGAAAAGCAGAAACAGGTTGATGCTTTGGTATCCAAACACAGACAGACAATTAACAACAATCTATGCCCTGGGAATATCGAACCTGGGTTAGCTCCAGCAAAAATGCCATACCAAAGGTAATCAGCTACAAATGATGTCGCTCTTTCCACAGCTCCTAAATATACCCCTGGTCCAAGACTTGGTGGCAGAGGGTGGAACATCTTCTGACTAGGGTAGTCCAGATCAACAGCCACATGCCGATTAGTAAGAAAACCAACCTGCCTATTCCCTGTTCTGCTTTTGACAATGGCACCCAAGGTCCCATAAGTTTCTTGGCTTGCAACCTAAACATGCAAGTTGTTAGACTACTAAGTAACTTAGTGAATTGAAAGCCAAAAGGAAAACCATTTGAAAAAACATTCTAGAAATGATTCATATAGAAAATTCCACAGTAGGATAAAGGTTCAGATAATGATAGTGATGACATTAACAAACCTCGAGCCACACAAATTATGAAATAAGAGAGCGTGAGAACTCAACAGCATGCAGTAGTGTATCATCACCAGAAGGAACAAACATCAGAAGCAAAAGGAATTAAATACCTGGGAACCTGACCCAATACATGGATCACCTCCCCCAAACCCATCAACTAGCTCAGTGTACAGTTGTTCTTTCGGGGTAGCTGCAGGCACTCCATAATAAGCAAACTCAACAACATCAACATCACACCAAACGCTTCCAGGCCCCTGCAAAATAAATTCAAAATGCATTCACATTTGCAGGCAAAATTTCAAAATTTCAATATCTAAACAAAATCTAATTCTTTGCAAGCTGATAAATATTTGTACTGTCAATCTCACGTGAAAATTGTGGAGTTTGAAATTTGTTTCCAGATCACATATATATATTAATAATAGTTGACAAAATAATAGCATGATAATAAATAACAGACAAAAAACCACGGCATGTAAATCTTCTGTTGTAATGTTCAGACAAAGAGGCTCTAGCAAAGAATGAAATTAAACAGTGAAAAATTCAGACACAAGTAACACATTGTTAAACCTCGAGGGCATCAGGTAAACGATGAGCTGGGTTGAGCCACTGCATGTGAACTTTTCTAGCAACAAAGACAAGTATTGCAGGGATATTGGTCAGCACTCCCCTCCTGATCCTAAAACCAATTGCCGTGCCAAGACTAAAGCGTCGCAAAAATTTGCTGTGAAACGCTCTTATGGTCATCAGTTCAAGCAAAGTAGTAGCTTGCAACCCTGTGGGGCGTCTGCCAGAAGTTTCTGGTAAGATCCCTTTCTGAAGATTCCCAAAGTAATGTGCCCTATCTTCCACATGATCACTTGTATGAAAAACTGGCCAAGAAAAGTAAGCAGCATTGTTATCTGAGAGCTGACCGCCTGAAGCAAAGGCCCGTGATGGTGAAGGGCTAGAATCGGGCATATTGAAATTATTGCAATGATTTCTTTCCAAATCAAGTGCAGATTCCTCTGATTCTGAGGAAACAGAAACATGGGCTCTCAAGTCGATTCTATCCATAATCTTGTCCATTAGTCAGCTATCCTACAGGTAAAGATTGAATTTATCAAGCTTCTTTAGTACAAAATAAGCAGTGGAATAAGATATCTTAGGCCATTATATTCTTCCATTCAAATGCAAAACACAAATATGTGAAAATACGGGGATATAAATGCCGAGCTGCATTTTCAAGATAACTAGATCCTCAACAATATAGTTTGTAAATAAACATAGAGTAAAGCTGGGTGATATACATACCATGAAAAATAATTTGCTATAATGTTGAATTCAAGAAATCAAACAGAAACTCTAGAAAAACTACTGAATGTTTTAAACATAGCTGCACAGAAATAAGTAACTGAGAAGGCAGAAAAGCTATTCAAAATCACATTTGGTAGTTTCGGAGGACATGAAAAATATTGTAAGACCAGGATGATAGCTGGTAGGCACGAATCAAATACCACTTCTGTAAAGCAATCACAATGGAAGGCCTTTGATTTCAAGGAGAGCAAAATTAACAGCAAAGACTTGAACACTGTCGAGGAGCAAGGTAAAACTTGTCATGAAAGAGCTGTGGAAATGGAACTCAATCAAACAAAGAGCAAAAGAATAAACCAAAACAGAAGAAAAGAGAAGCAAGTGGTAAATTTTAATCCCAAGGGGCTCATAACCAGATTATGAAGTGGAGTAATCATGGGATAGTTAGGATGCAACGCAATAACGGCTTGATTGAGATGATTAAGCAATCGGAATTAGACATTAAGAGGGGAAAAAAAAAAGCAATGAATCTTGGATGCATATTCAAATAAAGGTATCCTGTCAACAAGCAACAGGATTTTCATACCCTAACACAGAATCTCTTCCCAGCAAACATTCAGGACAATCTATTATAAAAAAGAAGCTTTCAGTCAGTAAGTCAATATTGCCACTCCGTGCAGGTATCACAAAGGAAAGCCAGACTGTGAACAGTTTCCCGGGTGTTTGTATGAGAGAGTGAGTGAGAAATGAATTAAAGGGGAAAACTAGTAATGAATAAAAGGGCAACAGATTTGGAAGGGGGCCTGTTATAGAAAGAAATTAATAACAATAACTAGTGTATTCTACAATAAATAAGTCGTCAATAAACCAGTAATAGTAGTAGTATTTGGCAGTGTCTTAAAAGAAACGATAATTGTTTCTCAGGAGTCTGCTTTTCAAGACCCTTCTTTTCCCCCTGGCCCCCATTTGCTGTCCCTACCGGCTACCATACTGGGACGCTCTTCTTTTTCACCACTCATCAATTGAGTGATCAAATGATGACACACGTTTCATCAATACTGAAGAGCAAGCAGTTGAAAGACATGAGAACTTTTTAATGGCGGACAAAGATGGTGAGGAGAAAAGGCGCGGGTGAGGCTAAAAAGATATTATTTTTCTTCGGATTCCATAGTTAAATTATATTTTTAGTGGCCCCTACATATTTGCTCCCTAAAAGTTCCACATCTGTTGCTCAAAATATACAATTCCCACTTATCAAACAATTTGGGGATTGCAGTATGTGTGCTTCAACGCATTCTTTTCCTTGCCCTTCCCGCTGATGTTTCTGTGATCTATGGAAAATGTGCTACTTTGATCCTTTGACCATCTATGTGATTCTTTAGAGTGTTAAGCCGCAGACTAAACAAGAAATTTTGAATTCAGCCAATAAATAGGGACTAGTTTCTCCAAGAATCATCTTAAAATGTTTAAGATGGCACAATACAAACACAATGAAAGAATACTGGCAATAACTAACGCTACGAGCGGCTCTCATACTAGTTCTCTAAAGCATTTATATTAAATTATCTGGGTAATCTGAATCGCTGGAAGATGTTGCAATGTTAATGTCTGGGATGAGATGGGATGGGATGTAAACCAAAATGGGTGGGGACTTACTTATTGTATATCTTGGCTGCCCTGGTATCGGTCATCTTATACTTTCCGCGATAATCATCCTGTCAACTCAGCTCATACTCCACAGATGATGTATCTCTCTTTAAGCTTTCTCCAGATTAGCTAAACGCGTTCCACAGTCCACATACAGGGAAGAAACAGTAACCTTCTATAGCACACTTGTGCGTGTGAATCAGAAGGGGGTGGGGGGGGGGGGGGGGGGGGGGGGGGCAGCAGAGAGAGGAAGGAGGAGGGGGACAAGAGGGGCTGCTGTCATTATCTATTCATTATCTTTTCTGCTTTTGTCACTTTGCATCATCTTTACTTCTTTTTGTCAATTATCATATCATCATCACTCTGGACTGGACTCCAATTTTCATCATAATTCCTGTTTAATTACTTACCTACTCATAGTCATACTAAAAATAGATAGACTAGTTATAGAATAATTATAATAACTCACCAACCTCTACTCTACACCACCACTACACCTTGGGGGTTTTCCAAGAGATAAAAAGGGAGGAAACACAAACATACATACCTACAATTGAGCAACAGAGGCCAACTGAGATCCATCCCCATTCTTTTTCCCTGGATGGGACGCGCACTTCATCATTTGCTCCTGGAAGGAAACCTCTGGCCTGGATTCCCTCTTCCCCCCCTCCGTTTTTCCATTATTGTTAGTACAGTAACAACTATTATTGTTGCTGCTGCTGCTGTCAATTCATTCATCGTTCCCCTCCTTGTCTGGATTCTGGAAGGGTCGGTCAATTCATTGATTTCTTTCTGGTGGGGAGGTACGGATCGGAGTAGGGTGGAGATAAGATTAGGAGGCCCACACGCCCAACCAACAAGCTGTACAAAATTATATCAATAATTGGCCCATTGGGCCCACCATTAGTTGGACGTGTACGCCAATTGCCAAGCCGACGCGACACCACCCACGACAAAATTATGTCAATCAGCCTCTCCTCCTCTGCACTCTGTCAGTCAGTCACTCTGCCCAACTATTTTCGTCACTTTTTGCGTTTCATTTTCCAACGAACCCCAGGGAATATTCTCTCTCTCTTGATTTTAGTTTTTTATCTCGTGATTGATTTCACCAAAACCCCTACCCAACCCGACCCACCTCGTGATTTTATTTGCAGGAGAAAGTAGTTTTACTGGATGATTTATGTTTGGGCCGACCCAAGATGGGTATCTATCTCATCCTCGTCCATCATCTATCAATTCAGAAGGCCTTCATTTTAGTAAGATAGAGAGAGATGATGAGCCTGAGTGGGTTAGGTAAAACCAATTTTCAATCTCTCCAGTCACCAGTCACCATTTATTTGTTGGCAATGACCGACACGCTTGGGGATTACTCTTAATAATAGTACCACACGACGACATACATAAGCTATTTATAAGCTTCAAGCACGCATACACAGTCAGACAGGTAGGCCCCAGCCCAGCCCAGCCCAGCCGCCGCCTCCATCTTCATCTTCTTCTTCTTCTTTCTTCAGTTGTTCATCATCATCTTCGTCTAGTTAGCAGAGGCAAACCTCTCCCCCCTGTCGTGTGGAGCAGAATAGTCGATATTTGGGCCATGTGGAATTATCCCGAATGGGTTGATGGAAGGATGGCTTCCGTAGTAGTGCTTCTTGATGTGTGCCATATTCACGGTGCTCCCAACTCCCGGGCTTTGATAAATGTCCTTGATATAGTTGAACATATTCGGATACTCACGCAACAACTTCTTGTTACATTTGAAGTGAACTGCGTACACCTGTACCAAGTAGCAACGCCTCATCATCAACTTCGTTCAATCAGTCACTATCCATTTACCCTGCCTGCCTGCCTGCTTCTTACTTCTCTCATTATGAAAAAATATCACACTGCAATCAACTTACTAACTCACACACACCCACACCACTTACTCATTATGTCACAATGTACCAAGTTTTTCTCGAATTTACCTCATCAAATCTTATGAGGGTAACAAACAGGCGTATATCAGCTTCGGTCAGGGTATTCCCGCACAAGTACCTCTGCTTGCTGAGTATTTCCTCACACTTGTCTAAAGCTTCATATAATTTTGTCATGGACTGCACAACCAACAAAAAGCAGCATAGTTTGAAACACCAATCTTAATAATCAGCTTCTGAAATACAAGATTGAGGAGTTCACAACTTCAACACAAAGAATAGCAGCAGCACCTGGAGCTAGAGCAGGACAGAACCGATGAGAACTCACTCGAGCATTCTTATAAAATAACTTACCTCATCATAGGGCTCTTGCTTCTTAGCAAATCCACATCTATAGACACCATTGTTAATCCCATCGTATACCCAATCATTTATTTCATCAATTTGGGATTGCAGGCGAGGAGGATAGAGGTCTACTCCAGCATTTTCAGCAATATCATTGAATTCTGTGTTGAGCATGCGAATTATCTCTGCACTCTCATTATTCACTATTGTTTTCTGTTTTTTATCCCAAAGAACCTAGCACAAACCAAGTGGGTGTGAATTCCTCACATTTTCACAAGGATGTCAAAACTTATAACACAAAGTTTGCTGCCAGAGGTTAGCACATATACCGGAACTGTGTATTTTCCAGTGTAATTTGAGCTTGCAAGCTCATACAGATCTCGTATGCTTTTTGCTCCATTTAAAGGATCTGGTTCTGCACCTGGTTCCTCCGTATCAGAAGATGGGAAAATCCATCCCATATGTTCATCGCCATCCTTGGTCCTTCCCCAAATTGGTTTGACTGACTATGAATGAGAAGCAGCAGTGCAATCAAAACTCATATTGATGAATTTGTAGAGATCTGCTTTAGAGTGTGAATGCTTACAGTGAAACTTATAGCTTTGTCAAGCCCTTTGATCTTCAGGTATGCAAGGCACCTGCATGCCCAAGGACAAGCATACGATACATACAAATGATACCTCCCAGCTTCAGCAGGGAAGGGAGAGTTTGGGTCCCTGGAAATGGAACTCCGAAAAGTTGAAGGCTGCCTAATAAAAGCACCCGTGGCTGACATCTCATCCAGAGAAGAGCGAGCCATGTGGATAACGGACTGGGAATTTCACCATATTCAAGCATTAGAGCACTACTTTCATAATCTTAAAACATAAACTTACACAAATAATTCATTCATTAAAAAAGTCATCTTTTGATGGTTACTAGGAATGATTAATTTGAGCAGATTACAACATAGAACACAAAAAACCCTGAAATCGCTTTCTCCCAATCCCAAGGAATGAACAGACGCGACCAAATATCAATCGCTTGATATGGATGGAATAAGCCTAAGATACCCTATAAGGAACTAACTACATATAAGCAACAAAATCAGGACATAGCGATCTTAATTAGGGAAGGAAAAATACCTTCAGAGAGGGTCGGTGAAGACGCGGAGGGATTCTTTCTCTGGTAATCCCTAGTGCAGCGTATATAGTTGGAGTTTGCGGTTTGAGGACAGAAGAAATCATGAATATCAGGATGGAGGTGCGGAGTAGTGCTCAATTATATTAGCATCCAACTTGTTAATAATTAATAATTGTTAGAATATAAATATAGAAAAGGTTAGTCAAAAGATTAAATACCAGCACTGATGATGCTATGCCATTGCCAATTGGAAATTGGACTGTCTACTCACTAGCGCCATCATTCATTCGTGACACATGCGCGGCGCCTCCTCCTCCTCCTCCGCCGCCTCATTTCCCATATTTTTCTAAGTTAAAGATGAAGACAAGCAAAGCATGGTTTGGATTGTCTCGAGTCGAGACAGAAGAACAAGCCGCCGGGACAGTCATCCTTATGCCTTTTTTGCCTCGCTTATCCATCCAGCCGCACCGCACCGTTTAATCTGATCTGAAAGCATCAGCCTTCCTATTCCTAATCCTAATCGTACATGGCGGCAAAAGAATGAGGTCAGGGAGCGCAGCGCGAGAAAGAGCGTAGGAGAGATGACGACGGACGCCATCGCAATCGAATCTGGCTCTTTTGTCCTTGCGGAATTATTAATGAGATGGATGATACCGGACCAACTCATGGTTAAGATCGGGTGTCCAGTCGGGTCGGGTCGGGTCCATAACTGACTGGGACACTAATAACATGGAAATGGACATCAATTTAAAGTTTAGTAGATCCTGACGAAGAACAAACCAGTTGTGCTAAGCTAAACCATGGTAAGGAATGAAATTAATGAAGAATATTCCCATATGCCATTCTTACTTTTACATATATATATATATATATATATAATATCCCGTACGTCCCATTCTCACATGGAGATGGAATGAGACCTGCTGGGCAGGCAGAGAACATATATATATATATTTATTTATTTATTTATTTAGCTTGCTTGCTACTGTATTGTAACTTGTAATTAAGTTCGTTCAAGAATGCAACTTCAGCTGCATGCATGCATCTTATATATGTCCATTGCGTTCTGTTAATTTATGTCTCTATCCTTCAAATTCTTCCCCAACCCAGCTGCACGTAGCTATTTTAATTTACTTCCAACGTGAGATCGATGATGATGATTTCGTTGTCAGTCATCTATCTCTAGTATTTGACTTTGGATAGGATGGAGGGGTGGATGGGGGGACATTAATAAATAAATATGTTGTACATGAGCGAGTGTGGGCAGAAGTTCTCATTTTTCGAACAAGGCTTGGCTGGCTGGCTGGATGGATGGCAAACTTCAATGAGTATGATTTGGTATATGACAATGGTGGAATGGCAAAAAGAACGAGAACCAAGAGTGGACAATTAATTATTCGGTGTACCAATACCATGTCTTATCTGAGACTGAGACCGAGCAGCACAACCCAATCATACAATACAAGCTCATAAACTTGGTTCCCTGTTTGTTTGGGTGTGTTAAACCTGCACCATACTACTCCCTCATCATGTATACATGTATGACAAAGTAGCACTCAGGGCAGGGGAGTATCCATATCAATTCATAGACTGCTGTAAATCATTATATAAATGTTAAACATATCAAATAAGCATTCAACAAGTCTGGCTGGCTGGGCAAGGCAATCCAGGTAATCAAAACATTCAATATTATAAACAGGAATTTCACATGTCTGTCACTAAAAGTAGCCCCATACGTGTTCTCAAAATGTAAATGTTTTATGCACCAACCATGCATGCCCGAGCAACCTGGAATAAAAGATGGACAGGGCACGATATGCACAAAAAGGGGCACAACACCCAACATAAGTTGCAAGCAAGCACGTAGCATGCATCTAGCCTAGCAAGAACCTGAGTGAATAATAATACCACCCTGGAGTGAAGCAATACCACCTTGCAGCTTTCAAATGTTTATTTTCTTCTAGCATATCAGCATGCTTGGAATTATCTGTTGCCTGGGAGAGTGGTTAAAATTTCTTGGCTATTAAGCCAAAATTCTCACTGCTGACATGTTTCCGTTGGGAGGTTTAGGGTCTCCAATGCTGCTCTTTCAAGTTCATGCCTTTTGGAAGATAACTCAACAGCTCCTACATTGTTCTGCACCTCAGTTTTTGATTGCTCCTCACTGTCGTTGCATTCTAAGGACTGATGAGCGTCTGCGGTTACCAAGTCCCCTAACCCAGTAGTACCATGAGGAGGTTTCGTGGTTACCAAGTCCCCTAACCTTACACCATTATCATCCCCAGAAGCCTCAGCTAAACTTTTACAAATTCCATCAATTTCTGAATGCTCTTGAGTATTGCATTCCAAGGACTGATGCACTACGGAAATGCCTACCCCCAAACTATCCCCAGGAGCCTCTGCTCCACTTTTACTATTTCCATCAATTTTTGAATGCTCTTTGGTAATGCATTCCAAGAACTGATGAGGCTCCACAGCTACCGAATTGCCTAACTCCGAACTATCCCCAGGGGCCTCTGCTATACTTTCACTAATTCCATCATCAGTCTTCGAAAGCTCTTTGGTATTGCGTTCCAAGGACTGATGAGGCCCCACAGCCACCGAACTGCCTAACCCCAAACTATCCTCGGGTGCCTCGGCTTCGCTGGTACTAACTCCCTTTAGTGTACTGTCCCTGTCAAGGGCCAGCAGCTGCAAGTTTTGATTAGTGCATACAGCATCTCTGGCAGTTTCAGGTTCTCCAAATACAGGCCTTACCAGCCTTCTCCGTTTCAAAGTCTTCATTGCAGAACCTTCTGCCATTTTCTTCTCTGCATCCATGTTTTTATTGTCTGCATTGGCCTCCATGGCCGCAACCATGCTTTTCTTCATATCACTGCGACGCTTAAAACTCACAGTTCTGGTCTCTTTAGGCACTTCTTCATCGACACTTCCTTCCATAACAAAGAGTGTTTCATCAATCTTCTCCTTTCTTGAGCAGATAGTTTCAGTATGACTCTGAATATGATTTTGCTCTTCATGTTCAGATTTTCCAACTAACTCAGTGTCGCCAGGATGCAGCATTTCCATCACTTCATCAACTGAGTTATTCATATAACAGTCATCATTGCTGTAAACATTAATGACACTTCTCTCTTCATCAACCTTGGATTGTCGACTGGAAGTCAGGCGGGTGAAAACACTTTTTCTGAAGCCACTGGAGTTGCAACTCTGAGGTTCAAAAACTCTGTGACATCCCTTGCCGTACATACTAGTACACATACTAGATAACTGAAAATCATTACTAGTAGAATCTGCTACATGGCCACAAACATCTACACCAAAATGATTCGCTTGAGAACCAATGGCATCATTGCCAACAAACATGCCCCTTTCCTGCCAAGAATCACACTCACGCACACGTGATGCTTTAGCAAGATCCCAGTGAAATGGAAATTGACTCTCACTTGACACAGAGGGATAAGCAATATACCCTCTCTCTCTTTCAGTATTTCTTTGATTATGAGAGGAGAGGGAACTTGAAGAAAGCCTAGAATTAATAGAACCTCTATAATGCGCAGGTGCATTTCGAGTTGTCTGCATAGATGGGTCAGCCTTTGGAAAGGACCTGTTTTGAAGAAAGTAACTTTGTCGGCATAATGCATCCGCTGGTAAAGCATCATCAGCACATTCAGGTGTTACATCCATCCCTCCTTTAAATACTTTTGATCCTGACAGATAGGGAGACATCCTCACGTGAAATGAATACAAATTCTCTAGAGAACCTTGGAGGTTAGGATTTTCTTGCACTGGACCTGGGTTCCCATTATTGGCTTCCATGGAAGAAGCATATCCATGAGAAATATTGGGATGTTCAGGTAAATATGGAACAACTTCTGTCATAGTTGCATCCTCATACATTGGCCTTAAAGGTTCAAATTTATGAGACGTGCTTAGCTGAGAAGACCTCTTCTCTAGTAACTTGTCAAAAAGTAGGGATGCACTCTCCTTCTGCTTGGAGAAAGAAGGGTTCTCTGAGGCATTTGGGCTCAGACGTGTGTGCATGGCCTCTTTATTTCCTACTCTCTGCCTCATTCTATACATCCCATGGTCATCAACTTGTCTATCAACAGTACCAAAATGATAAGATCCAGCATCCTTGATTTGGGCTCCTGAACAGGAAATGCCATCCATTGTGTTATCAGTTACTCTTCCTTCTGCAGTAGAATGTTTCTTGCCGTGAATAAGCATACCTGGATAATTCTCAGGGCATACAGAATTTTCATCCGAGAACCCTTCCACGGAAGATAGCACATGATTGGGCTCACTATGAATTATGGCATTGATAGGGATATTCTCACCCAAAGTTGCATTCTTTGCTTTATGCAAAAAGCTGGAAGAGCAATCAAAAGAACTGACATTTACACCAGATTGGTTCAAAGAATACCTATTTTCCACTAGTTCTTTTACGGAGTGGTGGCAATCATCTTTCATGCTCCTCGATTGCCTACAAGAATAGAACTTGTCATCATCATAACCAGTAAGATTAGTAAAATCACAAGTAACTTGTTCTCTGTGTTCACTATCAAACAGGAACCTGTCACCTTGATGCTTGCTTTTGCTCAAAGTATCCATAAAGTTTTCACTTTCGTATGCAAGTTCAGGACCATATCCCATTTTATAGAACTTGTTTGTCTGCATAAATTGATCATCATCAGTGGCCCCTTTATCCAATGGGCCCATCAAGTTATCAGAATCAGGGAAAGGATTATGAAACTTATCCAATTGATTTTCACTAGGAAACCGCTCAAGTCTGGATAGTTGTTTATTATCCAATCCTCTTACTTCCAAGGAAACCTTCGGAGAATTGACATGAAAGACATCTGAAATATCATGGTTGCACATTTCATGTTCTGCCACAGCATTACTTATTAACCTATTGTCATTATTGATTCTTCTTCGTTTGCCCAGATAACTAGCCTGATCTAAAGGATATAATTCCTCTTCAGCATTGCCACCATTAACTGGCGAGAATTCATCTTCATTGTCTCTACGCAATGAGTTCATTCGGAAGCCATGTAATGTAGCAGGTTTGAGCCCATTACCTTCAGTTGAATCCATGTATCCTATATTACTAAAGGGAGAGGTGTCAAAGTGTCTGTCCTCATAATCTATTCCATCAACTACTTCTGGCAGTTGCCGAGGAGGTAGCTTAGTTTTCAACTTCCTTGAAGAGAATAAACTCAGAAGCCTATGAACCTGTATAATAATAAGACAATAGTAAGTAACAATATATTTCATACCAATCACCTTAAAATGTGACAGGGGGTGCATTGCTTTTCACACCTGGTCTTTAGATAGACCAAAGTTAAATTTCTTTGGAGAAAAATAATTCTCCATAATCGCATCTCGAAACTCCTTCTCAGAAAGTGGACTGCAATACCATACTGGTTTAAAACAAACCTGGACAAGGAAGCATATCAGCATCATATAAATGAAGCCTATTGCATACATTAATGTTATTCCACATATAAACAATAGTTTCAATAAAGTAAATAAGATGAATTTCTAGGGCTTGAACTGCAACATGCAGAAGAAGGAAAGAGAATAAAAAAAATAAATTTGTGCCACACCTGTGCAGGAAAATGCTTCCCTGAATAACGGAATGCATTAGGAACAATATTCATTGCACCATCAGAGGAGGCCTGATAAACACCATAAAGTTGTCTTTTCTCGTGTTCAAAAAGGAACAAGATCATTCCAGCTTTAACACGTTCAACAAATTCAGACTTCGAAGATGGTAAACCAAAAATTTTGCGACTAAAGCACTCTTTCTTTGTCATGGTACTTGACATGAATATTGCACCAAATTCAGGAATTCGTCCAGCTGCCCAGTTATTCTCCTTGCTGTACTCCATTGGACCACTTGATAGCGTATGACCCCCAACAAACTTCAGAAAATTAGCATCACTAAGACGAAGTTTTGGAAGTGTATAAGCCCGAACAAATTTCAGAAAACAGCACCACTATAAGATGAAGTTAAGGGCATAGGCTTTAGAATATTCTATGAGTGCATGAAGCCAAGAAAAGAACAGGTTCGCCAGCCTGTAAAGTCTAGTAAAATGAACTTAAACATAAAAACAAAGTCATAACAAGATAAAAACTCGAACGGTCTAATGGACTTGATGCTTGGGTGATGAATGAGTGTTTTAGTTCAACGCATTATATTTAAAGGTGGTCATCTAGACTTTGTGTGCGATTCTGAGTCCACATTTAACCCCTAGGATCTATGATACAAGTAACAACCGGGGAAATACGCAAACTCTTAAACCAAAAGGAAAACCATTAATCAAATCATCCAACTATTTTTCAAGCAGCAAGAGGGAAAAAATAGCAACCCGGAAACAGCAATATCAAACAAGTATAAGCAAAACGAACGTTAGAAAGTAAAAGGTATTGAAACCAAAGCATAGCAACCTTTTCATCCAGCGGTGAATCAACTCGTCAAAACCAACGGGGTTCCGGCGCAGATAAACACGTCAAATTTCGAAAGCAATGGCACGTCGGAGGAAGACTCGAACGCGAACGAAGCGTAATGAAAACATGCTTCTAAAAAACTTTAATCGTGAGGCTACCTGTGTAGGAAGGGGGAGGGGGAGGGGAGAGTTGTTTACCCACGCAATAGCAATAGCAATAGGGTTCTGGAGAGGAGAGTAGATGTTGTGGCGAGGGCGAACAAAGGACGAATGAAGTTCCCCCGCAATGAGGAACGGTGTTGTGTTCATAAAAAGCCAATTTGTTAAATACGATACCCAATTTATGCCGCGGGCGAGCGAATAAAAGATTAGGGTAACCAAGAGCCGATAGAGACGAAACACATTCCCCTCCCTCCCGGATATAATAATAATAATAATAATAATAATAATAATAATAATAATAATAATTTAAGCACAAAATCATTGTTACATCTGCATGTCTCCCGGATTTAACGTCACTTGTTTTATTAAACCTGATTTGCATATTATTAAAGTAGATCGAAAATTTACAAAACAAAAAAAATAGTATAATTATCATATGAATTAAACTAATGGATATGATGTCAAATATTTAATTTAAAATTGAGACAAGGATTAATGATATGAATAAAAAAATATTTTAATTATTCATGAACAATTAATATTTACTGTTTATCAAAATAATGTCATAAAAATATAATACTCTACTATGAAATATTACTTTACAATTAAATATATTAAATAAAAAATAAAATAGAGGAAGCGGCCCATCCCACCAAACTCCTGCTGCTGCTGGTGCGGTGGTTACTGGTTTGAATCAACCACCCTCTCACGTCCCTATTTCTTTTGCCAACTTATCTTTTTCTTTTTAATAAAAGTTATATTTATTTAATTTGCTACGTGGGTAGGTGAGATTTGAGTTCTATCCAATAAATAAATAAATTATAGTACTATTTTTGTCCTATACAATAAAATATTATTTATTTATTATATTTAATATTAAAAATATATTTATATTTATATATTTTTATAGAAGATTAATAAAAAAAATGGTTAAAAAGATAAATGATATTTTTCTTTTAAAAAGAAGATAGTAGTAAATGTTTTTAAAAAAATATATTACCAAAGTGAAATATATTTGATGATTTTTTAAAAAAAGAATACTTGAATTTAATAGAATCAAGAGTGTAGTGCAAAATAGTACCCTTTCATACACATTCAAAGTGTTTTTTATTTTACTGTTTTTATTTGTTTCACTTGGAAATATTTATTTTATATTTTAATAAAAGTAAATATACATTAATACTAAAATATTTATAATTTTAAATTACAAATTGCAATTGCATATACGGTAAAGTCAAAAACAAAAATCTCAATATTTTTTATATGTTTACACTAATTAATAAAATAATATTATTTCATAATCAACTAAATATGCAGACCTAAAAAAATACATTGAAAAGGACCGAAGGAGTAATATTTTTATAATTAATAAGATTAATTTTTTATAAATAAATTAATAGCTTTTTATGTATAACTTTTTACAAATTTTTATTAATAATGTTTTTTTAAAAAATAAATAAAGTAAAAAAAAGGAAGACATTATCTTTATATGAGATATTAGATTCAATATATGTTTATAACAATATTAAATACATTAAGAATGTGTTTGTTTGAAATATTTTAATAAATTTATATTATTTATATAATTTTTTTTTAAAAAAATCAAATTTTAACACTTATATTTAATTTTTTATATTATATCAATTTAAAATTTTTAATATTAAAATTTCAATCCAAAATTCAAATTTTCAAACAATACACCCTTAAATATTTTTAAATAAAAATAATTAATCACATTTTATTTATATTACATCATAAAAAATAAATATATAATTTTTTCATTAGATTACTTCATTTCAATAGTATTTTAAAATTATTTCATTTAATATTATCTATTTAAATTTTTATGCAAAAAATCATATACCATATGTTGCACGATACATATGATTTTACTATTTATTTATTTAAAGGGAACAGTCTCTCGGAGACAAGAAAGGGTGGGTGCCTGACGCTGTCATTTTAGGTAAAAAAACACAGCACACAGGCCACAGGGGAGCATAGCGCGGCTCATCGAGTGATTCCTCTGCTGTATTGCATTGTATTGTGTTTGTGTTTGTGTTTGGGAGATCGATCGATCGATCGAAGGCGTTGTTCTTGCGTAAATGGCGTCGGGGTTGTGGGCAACGAAAGCTGCTTCCTACCTTAGGATCTCTATTCCTTACAGAGCCTTCGCCACCGGTACGCTTTATTTCCATATCTGCCTTCCAATTTCTTTCCCTTATTTCTTTTTCCTCTGATCTCGGTTATATGAATCTCCGTAATGGGCGTGGTATTCATTTCTTAATTAGAAATGGTGATTTGGTGTTTGTTTATCTATAAGAAAGGCTATTATTTTGGTTTTCCGTGTTACATATTTTGATCGGTAGGAGATCTCTTGTACTTTTTTATTACATTGAATGTGTACAGGAAAAGTCGGTGACGTTTTTGGTAATAGATCTTGAAGGAGATTGGGATTCCTTGCTTTGTTATATATTTATATGGAACAATGGTGAATGCCATAGCTTGCTAGAGTGTCCTGGTTGTCCCGTGACCGCGGTTCCATACAACTCAATCTCAAAGTATGAAATTCAGAACTGTAAACTTGAGTAATATCTCGAGCCACTGCCGGCACGTAATTATATATAGATGTTAAGCAGTCGTTCATGGCAACACAATTCAGATTTGGTCATACCATAGGTTTACTTAAAGAAAAGGCACCAAAGCTTCTGTATGGGGCTCTCTCACATTGATAATAATGGAGACATTTCAATCATGAATTCCAATAGTATCTGTTCTAATATATGATATTTTCCCCTCAAGGTGATATGAAAACAGAATGATGGAAAAAAGGAGAATTGAATTAGGTATCGGCTGTTTTCTTGATTCTATTGCTGTGAGTCTTGGCTGTGCTTGACAACTTCATTGCAATTTACGAAGTTCTGAATTTGTGTTAGTGACTTAGTTGGCAATATTCAGTTCATTTCATCATTGCTTCATTATCTTCTCTTTAACGCTCCTTCCAATCTGTGATGCTCCTCAACACCAATGCAGTCATCAAGGATCTGAAGTATGCTGAATCTCATGAATGGGTGAAAGTTGAAGGCAAATCAGCAACTATAGGCATTACTGATCATGCTCAAGATCACTTGGGGGATGTTGTGTTCGTTGAATTACCTGAGGAGGGGACTGCAGTCGATCAAGGGGCAAGTTTCGGTGCTGTTGAAAGTGTCAAGGCAACCAGCGAAGTAAACTCTCCAATCTCAGGGAAAGTGGTGGAGGTTAACACTAACCTCAATGATTCTCCTGGCCTGGTCAGTAAATCTAAAACCAAGTTCTGATTTTCGTAGATAGAGCTGGTTGCCATTTCATGTTTGGCCACATAACTTAACAAATGGCAGTGGGCGCGGGTTTCTTGGCCATTTATGAGTAGATAAGCTTACAATTATGATGGAAATTACGTCTGTTATGCATGCAATAAGTACCCAAATGCTGTTGTTTGTACAGTGGGAACATCACATCTTAGAGCTTGGTTATATTTCTGTGCATTAGTATCGCCATCTTACGTTCTGAACAACCTTAAGTTTACATTGCAGGTTAATTCAAGTCCTTATGAAGATGGATGGATAATCAAGGTCGAGGTGAAAAATACTGATGAACTTAACAACTTAATGGACTCCAATCAGTACTCTAAGTTCTGTGAAGAAGAAGATGCTAAGCACTGAGAGTGTGAAGGTACTGGAATACTTTCCACGTGGAGGGATCATTCTCCCTTCTTCATGGTCGTGACACAAGTCCATGTGCTGCTGCTGCTGCTGTCTTTCTCTCATGCCAAGTTTAATTCGGGCGTGTTTTAGATGAAACAATAAGCTTTCAGTACAAATAACATATTTTTCTACTGCATACTATTTACTGCTCAAGCAGGGCGATTGCTAGTTACTACTCACTGTATACATACATTGCAGTGTACGTTATTCCTTACTGATATGAATCGACGTTCTTAAGTTCAGTGGATGTTGGAGCTGCTTAATTTCCCTCCCTCAATATTTGGTGCTTTTACATGGCTCAGCGGAGATGATGCCTGCAACATTTAAAATAGATGAAATGTCTCTAACCCTGTTATATACAAAGGCAGTTGGGGTATGACAAGTTGTAATATGAAGAAAGCATAACTACAATGTACAATAGCTTCAAGGGATCATCTTGAAAGAAGGGTGCCAAGAAGGTTGGATGCAAACAATTTCAACAGCTATTGAAGATAAGAGATAAACTGTGATTGGTAGGCACCTTAAAGTTTCCTTCGTACCACGGCGAACTTTGCAGCGTATAGTTGGCAGGCCCAGCCGCTGGTGAGCTTCATATCTATGGCATCCAGAAAAGCCTAGGAGGACACACACATGCGCACGGGAAGAATCAAATCAGGATGCTAGGGCTACTAAAACTAAAGATATCCATATCCAGAGGGAGGTGAAGGTGTGTGCATGTGTTTGCTTTGCCTTGACAATCTTATGTTGCATACCTACCATAGTATTCCCCTTCAACCTCCAGCACATCAATCTGTGCCCATAAAAACAGAGAATTATACATGCATTTAGTTAGGCCAGTGGGAGTAAGATTTGATACGTAGGTTAATTATATCAGTGCATTGCCTAATGTGAAGCTGTCCTGTTCTGTCCTGATCTCACTTACAGGTACTTGAAGACCGATTTCACTTATACTTTCCATGAGTTGCTTGACTTTGTGGGGATCATTGGCTCTTGTACGCATCAGGGGTCTCCGAATTTTATCAAGAGGAAGCTCAAGAATCGCCGGGCCCTTGGATTGAGGTACACCAGGAGGAGACCCTGTAGGGTGTGCGTGTATGTAAATTGTTGCCATCAGATCTAAATGAGCAAATTAGAATGAGAATGCAAAATCGCTATCACGCTAAATCATTTGAGAAATCCCGCGCTGATCTCATTCATAAATGCAACAGAACACCACCAAGGAAGAGCACAGCTCAATGAACATCATCATGTATCCATCCTTGCCAGTAGTTGAAAAACTTTGAAGTTGCACCAAAAGTGTTATACAGAAGCATCTTGAACCGAGCTAAGCAAATGAGAGGGAATAATAATATATTATATGTATACATATATGCAGACAAGAATTGAACAAGCACTTCAATCACATATAATAGTAATATCCCCCCGGAGAATTGATTCCAGAACGAGAATTATATCCAACCGAACTTGAAGAATAAAAACAGGAACAAGTGGAGTGGAGTGCTAAGCGAATGATCCAGGTATTCGATTAAAAGAAGGCACCAACAATTCAATTCAATTCAATTGGAGAGAAATAGGTGGATGATGCAAGAGGGTGAGATGGAGAGAGTACCGTTGGGTGAAGCAGAAGCAGAAAAGGCAGTGATTTTGTAGGGCAACTGGAGGTGAAAGTTCGCCATCCCTTGCTTAGCTTGCAGTTCAGTTGCCGCTGGATCGGAGGGGAGTTGAAGCAGCGACGATACTGTATGTGTGTAAATATATATATATGTATGTATGGGGATATGTGGCTGAAGAGTTAATCACAATCCATGCCCAACCAGCAACAGAAGGAAGAATATTCTACCGGTACTCCGTTCCGTTTGTAATACTATCACCGGACGAATATATTAGTAAATAATTAAATAATTAATTACTCATAATTTATAATATTAATTTAAAATATAAAGAAAAAATAAGGATATACGGTAGTAATACGATACGCGGAATTTTAAGATAGATGATAGACGACGACGACGACACATATGACATACCTCTAACCTCTCATCTTTAACACCAGGCCAGCCACAACTTTTCCCTTTGAATTTATTATATGTGGGCAACTTTTAATCCCATTCCCTCCTAATTTATTGATGTCCAAGTAAATAAATACTCCTATATAGCTATACCTATACTTACCTCTTTTTAATACTCCGTAATTTGCTTGCATGTAGCTTTTGTTGGAACAATAATAATGGGAGGACAAAGTCCAAGCTGATTAAGATGAGAAGAGTGAATAAGGTCGAAAGTTATGAAGATGCTACCAAGGTTCCAAAGAAATTATTGAAGAGCGTCTCGCCGTCTCTGCTTAACTTGGAATAAACACGGCTACAAAACTGCTCTTCCTTCCTTCCTTGCAGTTGCAGGGAGAGATGCATCCATTGAGTGGGCCCTACCCCTACCCTACAATGGCTCTATTCTACATCTGAACGGTATAGATCGACCTGGTCATCACACATCATATCATATCATACCATTCATATCACCGTCATCTCCACCGCCACCTCCCCTCCCCTCTCCTGAATTCCGATCGCGCTCATCCCTCCTCCCTCAATCCATCTAGCTCGGATCTGCCCGTACTCACTTCTTTCTACGTTCAATTTCAGGCCGCACCGCAATCCAAATCCACTCGTCAATTCGATCCCATGGATCTGGCTTCCGAAGAGCTTCAATTTCTCAGCATCTCCGACATCCTCAAGGAATCCATTTCAATCCCTAAGCAATCCCCCAAAACCTTCTATCTCATAACCCTCACCCTGATTTTCCCCCTTTCCTTTGCCATTCTTGCCCACTCCCTCTTCACCCACCCCATCATCGCACAGCTCCAAACCAACCCCTCCGACGCTTCCTCCAAGCTTCTCGTTTTCCAATTCTTCTACCTCATCTTCCTCTTCGCCTTCTCCCTGCTCTCCACCGCCGCCACTGTCTTCACCGTCGCGTCCCTCTACACCTCCAAGCCCGTCTCTTTCTCATCCACCATCGCCGCCATCCCCAGTGTTTTTAAGCGCCTCTTCATCACCTTTTTATGGGTCTCTCTGTTGATGGTTGTCTACAACATTGTGTTCTTGGTGTTTCTTGTGCTGCTCGTTATTGCCGTGGACACCGATAATGTTCTCTTGTTCTTATTCTCCCTGGTGGTTGTGTTCTCCTTGTTCCTGGGCGTGCACGTTTATATAAGCGCCCTGTGGCATCTCGCTAGCGTTGTGTCTGTTCTAGAGCCCGTTTATGGCTTTGCAGCTATGAAGAAGAGCTACCAACTGTTGAAGGGAAAGACTGGCATGGGGTTTGTTCTCGTTTTTGTCTACTTAGCTATTTGCGGTGTGATTAACGGGCTTTTTGGATCCATTGTGGTCCATGGAGGAGATGATTATGGAGTATTAACAAGGATTACTGTCGGTGGTTTCCTTGTTGGTGTGTTGGTGATTGTGAATTTGGTCGGGCTGTTGGTCCAAAGCGTGTTTTACTATGTTTGCAAGAGCTACCATCATCAAGGCATTGATAAGGGTGCACTTTATGATCATCTTGGTGGCTACCTTGGGGAGTATGTACCCCTCAAGAGCAGCATTCAGATGGAAAACTTGGATGTCTGATGCCACGCTGTGTCTCTCCAAAGTCTGGTGACTTTAATAGAAGAGCACATGTAAAGTCAAAACCTTTTGAAAGGGGGTGGTGTGCGTGTGTTTGTGAAATTGGACATCTGTTGTTTGTTTCTGTACAAAGTTGCGGTTGTCCTAAACTATTTGTTGCTATACCCTTGATTCTTTGATGTTCAATGTTTCTTGTTTCTCTTTTGGCACGGATAGGTTGTTCTGTGAATTAATTGATACTTTATGTAGTATGGTATTACTGCAGCATTGAACTGGTGCTGAGCTGATAAGTATATCTAAGCTAGGCTTTCCATGTATTTTTGGATTCAAACTTGGGGATGTTTAAGCTGCATCGGTTTTGAATAAAATTTTGTCTACAAGCAAACTTTTAGTGTATTGGTGACGCTAGAATATATTTATCTCATTTGTATACCAAATACTAGCTCAGCATCTATTAGAGTATGAGAAAGCAAGCAATGGAGAGCTAAGGGGTAGACAATATGACTACTAACCCTGTACTTGATGTGGTGAGTTTTGACAATTCTTGGGGCTTTAAGCTATCATTAAAGGATATCAAGAATTTCAACACTCAAGTTCGTCCTTCTAGTTCAATATTCTCAGAAAATCATTATTGAATCTGATATTATCTAGCATTGGAAGTTTATATGTAAATGCCATTAAGGTTTGAAGGAAATATGTAATCACTCATTTGCCGTTCTAATTGGTCATAATGTTTATTTGCATGTTCTTTACTTTTCTAATATTATGTTCTTCATATTAAAATTTCTCTTTTAAGAAATGCAGCTTTGTCTTAGTACAGTATGCCTGGCAATGATGTTTTGTTTTTTGGCCTCTTATAATTGACTGCCAAAATTATGAAACAGTAGATAAATAAATAATGTTTGAGTTCACATTTTTATCTGCACGATAAATATAGGGATGAGATTGATAGGGCATGGCAATGGCTTAGCAAGATCATGGGATGATCTATAAGTGTCAAATCTTATTGGGAAATGGTTATATGTAGCTCCTGGAAATCTAAAACAAGAAGGATAATGGAGGACAAGAATAACAGCTTCAGCCTTTAGCCACCTTTTTCTACTTGGTCTTACTAGTTTATAGAACACTGGAGGGTTGATGTTTTTTCTAGATTTGATGGCGATGATAGTATGCATAATGGCTCATCTTAATGTACATGTTTAGTTGTTTACTAGGAAGAGGTCATTGAAATGTAATCCTCTTAGGAGAACTTGGGGATACTCCGAGTCACGTAGCATGTCCTATAAGATCATTCCAATGGAATTTGTCTCCTCTTAACAGAGTTTTGTGCTTGTATTAGCTTTTAGTAGTTTAGATTTGAGGTGGCATCAATTCATGGAGAGAAATATGGCATGGCATATACTGATTAGCTTCTGGTGACATAGTGCTTGTGCTTGTAGAGGGGTTTATTATTTATGTTGGCATGGAGAGAATTATTAATGGATGTGAAGGGGTAGTAGTAAATAGTAATGTTATAACAGTGCAAATTGATATAGTCCATATTTGGACTAGTGTAATTTGGATGACGAGCTTTCACTTCAGTTATGGTGGTTCCAGTCAAATAAAGTCAAGTGATTGGGAGATGCCATTGTTATTATGATTGTGTTTATAGGTATAGTTGGAAGAGTTTGTGGTTGTGTTTGGATTTTACTAGGATGAATTTGGCATGCTACTCTAGGTATTTGTTTTGGTATTTTGGCAATTTTCATCCTAACAACTAATTAATTGTATCATGTCTCTCTATACCATTGTTTCTTACTTATAAAGCACCCTTATATATAAGTACCTATTTTATGTGGACATATAAAAAAAATATAGACATAGTTATAATGAATGTAGGGAGTTGCTTTTAAGAAATACAATAAACACAATAATCTCTTTTTAGGCCAAGTTTGACAAAGATTAGGGCTTTGTTTACATATAATTTTGGAGTTTTGGTTAAAAGTTTTTTTTATATTTATTTATAAAAAAACCTCCTTCTAAATAGAGAATACCTAGGTCATTGAATGCAGGTCTCAGTTATGAAGTGAATCTACTCGTCAGTTTCGGATTCGGGTCAAGTTGGGACCCAAGGATGTAGTTGTAGATGGAGTTGGGAAACATTTTCCTCAGGTAAGGGAAGATGGCAAAAATCATTAATGATCTCCTCTCTAACGCAACCTCCTCTTTCAATCTCAACTCTGTGTCACCATCCATATGCATACATTCATTCATTCATACATACAGCTAAGCAGTCGCGTGTATCACCTCAGATTAATTCATCTGGATATCATTTTGCATCACACATATTTAGCTGCAATACCCGATCCACCCAATCCAACCCAAGGAGGGAGCAATCTCAAGAATTTTGCATAGATTGGATGGATGGCCCACATGATTGATTGATAGAAATAGACATCTTACATAATTATTGCCTGCCTTGCTTCTCCGGATCTTTCTTTTTATTACTAGTATAATTATTCTTATCATAGTTATAGTTCAGAAGTAAGTAATACCAATATAATTGCAGCTACCAGATAAGATTAATTATGATGTGGCCAAGTACCCCGTCGAGAAGTTAGTTTTATTCTATTCATTTCTTTTCTGCGGTCAGATCAGATTAGTTTTATTCTATTCATTTCTTTTCTGCGGTCAGAAGATCAGATGGATGTGAGAACCAACACAAGATTCTCCTCGTTGACAATTAGGAGAAGGGAGAGAGGGAACGAGCACCTGCACTCGGGGGGAATCACAAATTTCAACCCTCTACAGTGATCTAACGAGGGAGGGAGGGTGCTACGACTATGAGGAATTGAAGTTGAGCACGCAACACTTGTTTCTTTATTTCTTGTTTTATTTATTATTCTAATCATAAAACATGACCAACTAACTCGATTCAAGCTTTGCTCGATCATCAATGGGCAAGTAAGAAACAAGTACAGATAGATAGATAGATATAAGACCGACAACAAGGACCAAAGAGAGGAGAGCAAAGGAGAGGCGGTTGGCCTAATCGCTGTGGGCCATTGGATTAAGACCTTGTCGGAGCAAATGGACTGCGATGCGAATGTGATATACAACAATTACATGTACATTAAAAGAAAAGAAATTTGTCTTCCTCCTCCTGCTGCTGCTGGTGGGGGTGGAATATTTCATACTACATCCACCTAGTTTTTATTAACATGGATTTATGAACCACGAAACGAAATATAACCACTGCCAATGGTTGCTCAAGTGTAACGTAACATTCATGAATTCTACCGCCCCCTTTGCTAAATCTCTCTATCTCGATCCCTGGATTCATTCATGGCTTGGGAATAAAAGAAAACGTATAAATAATACAGAGACGGAAAACTGGTGTCACTTCTCAACATCATTGGCATTGCTACTGTAATCTTTCAGAACGCAGGATAAAAAGCTCTCTAGTCTCTTTGTTTGTCGCGAAGAGGGGATTTTCGTTGTACAAGTAAACCTGCGCGTAGGGCCTCCCCCTTTGCATATAATCAACAATCGGTTTTGTTTGTTTTGGATCAATAAAAACAGTGAAACCTTTGAGAGCTGGAATTTCTTTAGCTGAGCACGCTTCATCACCAATAAGAAGAAGAAGAAGAAGAAGAAGAAAGGAGGAGGAGGAGGAGGAAAATTCGTCTTTTCGTGCAAGCAATAGATGCCCGTCCCCCTTTTTTCTTTTTTTTTTTTTCTTTTGTGGTGAACTTCTTACCTTTCAATTGGATTTTTGTGCGTGATTATGCGGTTGGGACTGACTTCGTACCAGAGCACTGTAGTAGTTTTTGTCAGTAAATTTAACTCTTTGTACTTTTCCTATTTTTAATTGTGTCTTTGCTGTCTCGCTCTACTCTTGTCTTCCTCTCCATATTCAGTTTATTGGGGTTCTCTTCGCTGGCTCCAAGATTAATTGCTTTCGGTTTCTTGGGAGCGGATTGAGTTCTTCTTCGTTTGCCGAAACCCCCAAGCCTTGGATTATTGGCAACTTGGTCTCCTCGATCGGACTCCTGATATTCATCTACTAAGCTTGCTTCTTTTGGGGGATTTTGAACATGGCATCTGAGGTGGAATTTGACGATGGGGGCAGCGAAACTAAGGGGAGCATGTGGGTTTTGGAGCAGACGCTGGATCAGCCCATGGATGAAGAGGCTGCAAGACTTAAGAATATGTATAGAGAAAAGGTAAAAGCGGGACTTACTTATTTCGCTTTGGTTGCGCCTCACCATCAAAGAACTTTTAGCCCCCCCTCCCCCTCCCCCTCATCACTTTCCAGTTATTTTCGAAGAATCTCTCTTTTCGGCTTCCTTTTATTTTCTCTTTTCTTTCCTTTTTCTCTTTCTTTCTTTCTTTTCGGGCTTGATAGTCTGTCTGGATGAATCAGTGTAACTGGTTGCAGCCATCATCCGGCTAATTAACTTGTTTTGCGTCTGCTCTCATTCATCTGGATTAGTACTGTTACCCCCAATCACTATATCATATTGGTTTGTTTGTTTGTTAAACAAAACACTGCAAAACCTTTGAGCATTTCCTTGAGTTCTATTGTTTCAGGTACATGATTGTACTGGGGAGGGTGTTGTGGGGTTGCTGCATTAATTATTGATTTTTCATATTTAGTATTTTCGACACTTATGCTGTTTATTCTACTTGAACAGAAATTCTCGGCAATTTTGCTCTTAAGGCTTGCATACCAAAGTCTAGGAGTGGTATATGGAGATTTGGGAACATCTCCTTTATATGTGTTCTACAATACTTTTCCTCGTGGAATCGAAGACCCAGAGGATGTTATAGGAGCCCTTTCATTGATTATATACTCATTGACATTGATACCTCTCCTCAAATATGTGTTTGTTGTGTGTCGAGCAAACGACAATGGTCAAGGTAAGATGCTTGCTGCCTATGGTATATTTGACTGGGTTCGTTATCCCTGAATTCTTGTTTTGTCATTGTGTAATCAATGCGCATTCCAGATCGCATATTTACTGTAAAAGGATATAAATTTGTCTCTTATTCTATTCAGGCACACTTTTACAATCTGATATCATCTGAAGATAGTAGTTACTCTTTATTGTCGTATGTGATTTGCGAATCTGAAATTCCCACCCGTGTTGTTTATATTTAGATACTATGCTATTATGCTTATTCAAAGTGATTCCCCTGCTGGTCCTTTTGCAAAGTTACAATGACAATGATGGGATATGTTTGAAATAACTAAACGAAGTTTGTCCTGTTTTATTTAGGAGGAACTTTTGCCCTTTATTCGTTGCTATGTAGGCATGCCAAAGTTAAAACGATTCCCAATCAGCACCGGACTGATGAAGAGTTGACAACTTATAGCCGTAGCACATTTCATGAACATTCGTTTGCTGCTAAAACCAAAAAATGGCTAGAGGCTCATGCTCTCCGAAAGAATGCTCTTCTTATACTAGTACTTGTAGGGACATGCATGGTGATTGGCGATGGCATTCTCACTCCTGCTATATCAGGTAAGTATTTCATTGCATTCAATTTATCCCTTCCATCATGTAAAAAACTACTAATGTTTTTTGTTCTAGTTATTTTTATTAAAAGTTTTATTTTTTAGGCCTGCAGGGATGTAACATGTGAACTCTAATGGAATTGATCTTATTGTTGGTGAATATATCTCAGTGAAGCTGCTACTTTAATCATACAACAGGATCAAAATGCTAATACTGATTATCCAATTGCTTTACCACTTGCGTTGGCATCTTTGGACCTACTAGATTGAGTAAAATTTGATCTATTTGTTTTGTTCTCTCTTCTTTTAGACATGGATTCTGTATACTGAAATGAGTCCTGTGCTTGAGAAATGAATGGAGAAAGGTTGTGGATATATATATTGAATAGCCAGGAAAAATTATCAATAATCTGTATATTATCTCTTACTGTTTTATCTACTCAACTTGATACAGCTTTATGAAGAATTGAGTTCATCTTAAGGGTGGACATGCATGAATTAAGATGATAGATTTATATTATAGAGGGGGCCTTCTACAAGCATTAAATGTGCAATGTTTCAATCTTCTCCAAGCTCACATTATAACATGGAAACTGTTTGGTACACATAATGGTTTATGCAAGGTTCTTTTGGTTTATTGCACTCATTGATCCAAATTGTGTGCAACAGTTCTCTCTGCTTCTGGTGGGATAAAAGTGGACCACCCAAAAATGAGCAATGGTAATGACTGGCTTGATATATTGTTTAGGTTCCATCAATAGGATTATAGCGTTTAGTTTATTACAAGATTTGGTGTGTTGTTTGATGCAGATGTGGTGGTACTTGTTGCTGTATTCATATTAGTTGGTTTATTCAGCATGCAACATTATGGGACGGATACGGTTGGCTGGCTTTTCGCCCCAATTGTACTGCTGTGGTTTCTGATGATTGGAGGCATTGGTATCTTCAATATATATAAACATGATAGCTCGGTTCTGAGAGCGTTTTCCCCTGTGTACATATACCGCTATTTTAAAAGAGGGAAGATTAAAGGTTGGACGTCGCTTGGAGGGATCATGCTCAGTATCACAGGTTGGGGTTCTGCAACTTGTCTTTCTCTCTTTCATTCATCTTCAAACACAAGTAGAAAAGTCGGGGGTGGGGGACTCTTATGTATATAATGAGGCTGTATAATAAACTATGAGTTATTAATGATCTGAATGGTGCTTGCAGGAACAGAAGCACTTTTTGCTGATTATTAATGATCTGAATGGTGCTTGCAGGAACAGAAGCACTTTTTGCTGATCTTGCTCATTTTCCAGTTTCAGCCATAAAACTTGCCTTCACCGTAATTGTGTTTCCTTGTCTTCTTTTGGCATACTCTGGGCAGGCAGCATACCTCATGGAAAATAGTGAACATGTAGCTGATGCGTTTTATCGATCAATTCCAGGTATCCATTTTATTTGATTCAATTAAATTCAATGAAAATGAAGATGTGAGAGATCCATACACAAGTGTTTTTTTTTCTTCCTTTTCATTTATGAGAAGTGCATAAGTAGTAGTAGTAGTAGTAGTTTGATTTTACATTCGTGGCATATCATATGAGTGATCATGTTTGTTGGTATGTTTGCAGATAAAATATACTGGCCAGTTTTCATTGTTGCAACACTAGCTGCTGTTGTTGCTAGCCAGGCCACGATATCAGCTACATTTTCAATAATCAAGCAGGCCCTTGCTCTTGGGTGTTTTCCAAGAGTGAAAGTAGTGCACACATCAAAGAAGTTTCTGGGGCAGATATATATTCCTGACATGAATTGGATCTTAATGATTCTTTGTATTGCCGTCACTGCGGGGTTTAGAAACCAAAGTCAGATTGGCAATGCATATGGTGAGGCACAGATTTCATTCAGAATTTTTTATATTTATTGATCAATTCAATAACAGTAAACACCCTAATAATTTACGATTGTTGCAGGGACTGCCGTGGTGATCGTGATGCTGGTGACCACCCTTCTGATGACGCTGATAATGCTGCTCGTCTGGCACTGCCACTGGATCCTGGTGCTGCTCTTCACCCTGCTCTCGCTGGTGGTGGAGTGCATGTACTTCTCCGCAGTTCTGTTCAAGGTGGATCAGGGCGGTTGGGTCCCGCTGGTGATCGCTGCTGCCTTCCTCGTCATCATGTACGTCTGGCACTACGGGACCGTTAAGCGCTATGAGTTCGAGATGCACAGCAAGGTCTCCATGGCCTGGATCCTAGGCCTCGGGCCCAGCCTGGGGCTCGTCCGTGTTCCCGGGATCGGCCTCGTCTACACCGAACTAGCAAGCGGGGTGCCCAACATCTTCTCCCACTTCATCACCAATCTGCCAGCCATACATTCGGTGGTGGTGTTTGTGTGCGTCAAGTACCTCCCGGTCTACATGGTCCCTGAGGACGAGAGGTTTCTCGTCAAGCGGATCGGCCCCAAAAGCTTCCACATGTTCCGCTGCGTGGCGCGATACGGCTACAAAGACCTGCACAAGAAGGACGACGATTTTGAGAAGAAGCTGTTTGACAATCTCTTCATGTTTGTGAGGCTGGAGGCCATGATGGAGGGGTGCTCCGACTCTGATGAATACAGCCTGTACGGGCACGGGCAACAGCAGCAGTCTAGAGGGGAATCCTCCGAGGCTCCGACTTGTTCGGCGGACTCGATTGTGTCAGCGGTGGCAGCAGCAGCCCATATGAGCAACACAAACACAGTGACAATGACGACGGAGATGGATGAGCTGGAGTTCTTGAGTAGTTGTAGGGATGCTGGGGTAGTCCACATTCTGGGGAATACAGTAGTTAGAGCGAGGAGGGAATCCAGGATTTACAAGAGAATAGCCATTGATTATATATATGCATTTCTTCGCAAGATTTGCAGGGAGAATAGCGTGATTTTTAATGTACCCCATGAAAGCCTTCTAAATGTGGGTCAGATTTTCTTTGTGTAGAGAGAGAGGGAGAGGGAGAGAGTCACTCTGCTACAGATTCTGAGAGCAGAGTAGGGCAGAGCTTGAAGCTGCTACCAAGACAATGCAAGCAAAGCTTTACATTTGAGTTGTCGACCAATCTGAAATTGTGTATTTATTATGTACATAAAGAAAGCGGGTGGCTCTTTTTGGTTGTACAATGCATTTGCCTGCCTGACTTGTTTTGTGAACTTGGAAGTCAACCCCAAGCCTGATCAATCAATGGAGATTCTTACATTGATTTATTCTTAATCTTGAGAGCAAGATAGATTTGATATTGTCTTATTATCTGATTTGGCCACACAAGGATAACAAACTTGGAAACAAGAGCACGCCCATGTCTCATAGTACTATTTATATACACACACACACACACGCAGTCCTGTCAATATGACCCTTGGCCAGGAGGAAACTTAAAAGTGCATCCCTCCTCTTTGCTTACTTATTACAATGGCAATTGATTACCTCTCTATGACGAACATAATACACTAGCAGTGGTACACCTTTTATGAGGAGTAATGCGCATATATGAGAGAGAGCTCACTTGGGTGGCGTATAGTGTGGATGCTTGGTGGGGCTGGGGCACGCCGTCGACGACATGGTGCGTAAACGCCTGGCGATCTCAGGGAAGGATGGGCGAGCCAGCGGGTCTGGCGCCCAACACTGCTCCATCAACACCCTCCATTCCGGATCACAGTAGCTTGGAACTGGTGGTCGCAATGTGTTGTTTACTATACCACCTGATAGTCGTCAGTCGTCATCATCATCCAAATCACTCACTGACCATGCCGCATGGTTTCTTTATCTAGTACAAAATTGAGAGAAGAGAGGTCATACCAATAATTGCTCCATAATGCATATTGGCATAAGGCTCCTCCCCAGTCAGGATCTCCCAAAGCACAATTCCGAAGGAGAACACATCAACCTGTGTCATAAAACCAGGAAGAAATTGAACAATGGCGTTGGTCAATCAGTCAGTCATCAACAGCTCAATCACTTGCATGCAACTCCCGACCCTTACCTTCTCAGACACCTTGCTACTGCTGCCATTTAACAGCTCCGGGGCCATCCATGGAAGGGTTCCCCGGACACCACCAGTAACTAACGTATTTCTTTTGATTTTTGACAAACCAAAATCACCCACCTGCTCAGATACACGTAAATAAAGATATGATGATTTCATAAAGCACAATCATTTATCTAGTGGATCATCACTAATTTGTTCCTATTTTTCTGCAGAGTGCCAGAAACTTGTATTTTAGATATATTTCTAATGCACTCATTCTAGTTATAGCTCATGCTGCATATTATTAAACCATCCACCAAAGCATCCATATCCCTCTACGGCTCTACCTTGAGTGGAATGAGATGCCTTAAAAAGTAGAAACCAAGAAAGAGCGATCACCTTGCATATGGGCCTTGATGGATCCTTCAAGTTGACAAGCAGGTTGTCACATTTCAAATCAAAATGAACGATGTTTCTTGAATGCAAATATTCCATCCCAAAAGCTGCATCCATTGCAATGATGAGGCGCTTGCGACGATCAAGATGCCTGAATAAATTTTATTTGCCAAGGTCCGCCCAGTCCAATACATGAAATAGCAGAGATAATCAAGAAGTTGCAATGGTTACCTATCCTTGGAAATTAAAGCATGTCTGAGGGAACCATTCACCATGAATTCCGTCACAGTTGCAAGTGTCCCTCCAGGTCCATCTTGCACTACACCGTAAAAGGCTACCACATTCGGATGGTGAAGCTTTGACAGAATCTCAGCTTCATGCCAGAACTCAGCCGTCTAAATGTTATAATTAATTTTTGTATTTGTAAACAATGCCAATAAGATAATAATAATTCTTGATACCGCTATAGGTCATAATAACAATAAAGGGAAAAATATATAAAAATGATAAGATTTCGATTCATAGAAACTCACCAGCCTCTCCTGCTCTGATGAGCGGCCTATGAAACAGCTCTTTTTTATCCTCTTGATAGCAACATCAGTTCCCCTCCACTTACCATGATAAACAGTCCCATAGGTGCCAGAACCCAATTCCCTCAGCTCTTCAAGATCTCGGTTTTTTATTATCTGCAGCAGAAAATGAAATTGTAACTGACAGCCAATGGGACTGAAGAATCCAAATTAGTTTATGGTCATTCAAGACACTTGTAAGCACCCAATATGTGAAGCAAAATAAGTTTACGTTCCACGTGCTGTACTTCTATTTCATCATGAACAACATAATATTGAAGATGAAGTGCGTTAGCAACCATCACTACTGAAGGCTGTATTTCTGAAACTACCAATGCACAAATTCCAGTGGCTATCTACACAGATATACCTCCAACTATGAAAAGCACATAAGATACTGAAATTTTCCATAGCAGCTGATACACAAGAGTTCACCATAGGCATAAAATATTGCCTTTCAATACCAAGGCATCTGTTACCATCTTAGCTCTAGCCATCTATACCTGAAGGGTGTTGGGGTCGAATTCTTTAAGAGAGAAGTCAGGAAGAGGGAAGCCTGCAGGCTGAGCTGCTTTCTTGCAACCCTTTAAAGTGAGTAAAAGCTGATTAGATTAGATTGAAGCACCGATCCTTAGAAGTTTTTAGCAATTAAAACATACCTGATAATCATACCCAGGTGCCTTTATATTTATTGGGCGACTAAGTTGCGGGCTTTGAATGCCAGTAGTCTGAGTCATATCAGGTCTTACCAGTGCATAGGATTTTCCAGGAATATCAGGAACGGGACCACTGGAATCTACTTGATCTGCTGCGCCTGCATCAAAAAGGGTATCACTGTCAATCATGGAGGATCTCAAATCTTTTGCTTGTGAACACAAGAGAAAGCAGGATGTTCCTGAACCATGATAACCAATTCTTTCCTAGAATAATCTTCTTCCTATATCTATAAAAATGGCTGATGCTTAGTTCATGATTAGTCGTGTTTGCAATCAAACCTGCTGCATCACCATGTGGTGGTGCTGTAACATCCGTAGGACTCTCAACAGTCATAGCTTTAGAATATATGTCTGATAAAAACTCACGAGGAAAACGGTCATTAACATTGATAAGGATGTCCCGATGCTCTGGGGTGCCAACAACAAGATTTGGCTGACTCTGAGAAGTATTTGTAGGAGGAATTTCTTCCCTAGACACAGGTAGTGGTTTCCCCTCTCTGGTGTTCTCATTCATCTTGTTCGGATGAATCAGTAGTTTCCGTGCAGACACTTCTTGGGAATACTCAAAGTTTCCCTGGTTTGTCACAAAAATTTTGGTGGCAGGAGTAACAGTAGCAGGAGGTGCAGCAGTGTTCAGCACAACCTTGTGATTTGACATATCTTCTTCGGGAATGCAGGAGGTTGTTGTACCAGTCTCATCAGCATCTTTTAACCTTGTAGAGTCTAGTCTTTTGCTTTCCATGCTTGGTAAATTGATTCTTGTTAATTCTGCAGAATCATCAACTTTTTCCAAATTGGAAGATACATTCTGATCAGTCAACTTATCCACGGATTCTGTAATATGCTGTGACGAAACATCTGATTGTGAGTGAGCCACTAGGAGATGCGGAACTGAGAAATCATCTGATTTTGTTGAACGATTAATTGTTGACTGTTCCCGGGGTATTCTTTCCGAATGGAATGTTCTTTGGGGAAGGACACCTGGTTCGGAGCTCATCTCTTTAGCATGCATCTCAGTATCAGCTTGAACTGGCGTGAATGTGGCAGCAGATGTGCAAGGATGGTCATCCAAATTATGGTTATTCATCTTTTCAACCATAACATTTGAAAACACATAACTATTCCTTGTTTTATCGTAGTTCTTCTCACAGGTCTTTGTTGGTACGACCGAAGTCACCTTGTCTGCAAAAATGCCATCTCTAGGTGCTTCTTCTGATATATTTTCCATATCATACATATACAAAGGCTTGATCTTCTCATCAGAAGACTGCACTTGAGGTGTAGACTCAATAATGCTCCCTGTTAAAGCCTCTTTATTCACTTGTCTGTCCATCTGAATAACACTTGTTACTTGGGAATGATGATTGCGGCATTCAATCTTTTTCTGAAATGAACAATTCTTCTCAAAGTTTAACTCCGACCCTGATGCTGAGGGGATCTTGGCACCAGGTAGCTCGTCATTTGAGGCTGCGAGAGGAACCTTGAGTCCATGGACAGGATCAGAGACCATGTTTTCTGCAACTGTTTCCTGCTTTGATGGATGAGGACCATATTCACCTTTTACAACAGGTGGTGGAACAATAGTCTTCTCACCTGCTGTGGAGAATGTTTCGTTTTCAAGGGGGTGAGGAGCACGTGATGAAAGCCAGTCGGTTGGTTCCTTGAGATCTCGAGCCTGGTAAACAAAAGAATCAACCACGATACCTTGTGATGAGCTTGACAGCCCCACCTGAGAAGACTTATTATTTGTTGAAGGTGAGTCTACCACTGGTTTTGCTTGCCGGTGGACTGAAATTTGGCAGGCATCTCTCTCAACACTCAAACCGAGTAAATCATCCAAATTGCTGCCAAAATGACTCTCCACGCAAAGTGAGCTTCTTCTCGATCCAACATCCATGCCATTTACAGCAACCACATATTGAATTTCGGAGTCACCTTCCATGCTCTCAATGCTCAGTTCAGAATCATCCATTTCATAGTCAGAAATGAGAAAAATCCGAAGCTTTTGTGATTCACAGTTTCCAAGTACATTGCATTCCTCCATCATATTCTGCAGGTCCTCATCAGAGGATACAGATACCAAAGCATCGAGATCCTCTCCAGGAAGTTGATATTTGATTGAATGAGGCTCGGGATACATTCCCAGTGTTTTCTGCTTAAGCTCCTCAAACGAAATTTCCTTGTGAATTCGAATAATGCGTGTTTCACCGCCAACATACCGGAGTTTTCGGTCACTTGGACGTGGTAAAACTTTTCCACCAAAACTGCAGAGCAATTTCAGTGTTCTAGATGAGGCAAACGAACCCAAAGAAGAACGACCACGAAACCTCCTAACACCTGTGTTTTCTGATGAGGTTCTAGTCACTGATTGAAGCAGCTTGGCAACAGGTTTTTGTTCAAATTGGGAAGCATGAGTTACAGGATCTTTTGTTTTACTTTTTCCACCATCAGAAAGTCCCTCAGAAGCAGCAGTGTGAGATGGACCAAGCATGCCATGCAGATCCCCCATTGTAATCTCAGTATCTGCCCCCACAGATGAATTTGGAATATATTGCTCCCGGGGGTTCACCCTTTCCCACATAAATTCAAGAGCAAACTCCTCGCCAGTCTGAATAGAGTAGTTGAGAACAGGTCTAGATCTTCCAAAAACTCCTTTATTAAGATCGGATGGTCTAAAGTTCAAGTTCCGATAATTGGGGGGATCCTGCGTAACTCCCTGATGCATGGAACCCAGGCCATCGTTCCTGTAATCCAATGCACCGTAACTAACATGTTCAGAGTTCACCTGCTGGCCAATTAGGAATTCTCCATTTCTTTGTTCCATTTCTTTTCCCCCACCTCCTGCCTAACAGGGGCAAATCCCTTGCATCATTAACTCTGCAAAAAGGACTCACCACAAGCTTCTTCGGTGCAACTTTTAGTTCTAATCAGGCTCCAATATATGAAACAAGATTTTACTCATTCCTTAATAAGCTCTCCAGCAGCCAATAGTTCTAGCTAAAGCAGTTGTCAAAAACCAGAACCGCAGTTATGGTGAAGCGAACCTGAAAAAGTGGACATGTGCTCAGACAAACATGACTTGTAGAGAAGAGGAAACTTAAGCTCTGCTAAAGAAACGGGAACAAAAATGACAGACGGACAGTGAAAGTTGGAAGCGCTCTGCCCTATTGAACATATCCACTGATCAATATATACACAAGAAGCACATCATTCTAAATGTGCAGGACACACCCTTGCAAATTATGTTGACAAAGGATCTTAGTAAAATATAATTCAAATAGACTTTATCACGATGTATACTGAAGATTGGAGATCACAAGATGAATTGTGCATTTCATTTGAATTCATATTCATGGCCAACACTTGAGCTGACTCAGACCAAATATCATCTTTGTCCGCCCCTCAGTCAGTAAGTAATATTGGGGGGCTATACCCACCATGAAGGTGCAAATAATTGGTCTTAAGCAGCTATCTATTGTGATCTTGCACTTCATTTCGGTGTGCAATTGCGAGAATAATTAATAAGTGGGAGTATAGGCAGCAACAAAGTGTCAAAGAAAATAATACCTTTACTCTTCATTGTTGAAACATTTATAACAGTGTAGGCCGAGGACACTCAATAGTGATGAAGCATAATATTCGGATAATTGATTCTTCTCATCGCATCCACACACATACAATAACAAATATGGGATATATGAACAAAGCAAGAAACTTGATGCAGATAGTAACTAAGAATGGTGGGGTCCCAATTTGTGAAATCAGCGAGTAGTTGGGAATAGCAGTGAAGAAGAGTAAAGTGACAAATAAAGTAGCAGATCACATGATAGTTAGTCAGTCAGTCAGTCAGATAGTTTAACTTGAAAGCATTCATGAGGATTGGATATCCAGGAGGAATAACTAGTGAAGTAAGAGTTGTTAAATCCCAGAAGCAGGGAGATTCATGCTTACAGATTAAGTAGAGAATTCAGTCAAATACCTTTTACGAAGAGTGGAAACGGATGATCTTCCCGTGACCGTGAGTGTGAGGTGGGGTAAAGCCAAAGCCAAGCCGGTGGCCCTTTTTATTAGATGATCGTCACACCCAACCCACCCTCTGTTTTTTGGTATAGTAGCAGAAGGGCAGGGCAGAGCGAGAAAACGACAGGTGCGACGATTCTTTCTCTTGCTAATTAATCTTCTTCTTCCTCCTCTCCTCTCCTCTTCTCTTCTGTTATGGCAGAATCTATCTGTGTATATTCGCTGGGGATGAATGGAAAAAGGAAAGGATTACTGAGTCTGAGGAGTAGGGGCGGGGGATGATCAGGAGTGATTGATTGATTGATCGATCGATCATAAATTAATTATGGGGTGGATAGTGTTTAGAATAGTGGGAGGGAATGATGAGTGGATGTCTCTCTCGCCAATACAGTGAGTGAGGGAGGGAGGGAGTGAGTGAGTACAGCGAGTATTTGGAAACCAAACCAGACCAGGCAAGGCATGCAGAGAGAGAGGGAGAGAGGGGCAGGCGCCCGCTTAGATACGATACGAAACGAAAGGTCGGCCAACTGCCCCCGCCGCTAGGCAACAATGCTTATGCAAACATCAAACGCAACGCAATTATTAAACAAAACCAACGTTAAGGGTTGTCTCTGTCTCTCTCTCACTGGTTTTCAAATGTTACTTTTATAAAATATTATATTAAGTAATATTTTTTAAATTAAAACTAAATAAAAAAACAAATATAATTATTTTTTAAAAATAATGATCACAAATAAAAAGAATAGATGGGAATAATTACTAGCACTATTACATATCATATGGACACACGTATATACAATACATACATGGAATTGGGTAGGGTCGAGTAGAGTTGAGAGTTGACACATACCTACTCTACTCTTTCTCCTCTGCAAGCATTTTAAGCCATTCATCGTAAAGAAATGATTATTAGATCCTCGTCCGCACCACACGTATTGGCATTGTCATTGTCATTGTCATTGTAGGTTTGTAACCTTCCTATTCCCTACTACCACACACTGACACTGGATGATGATGATGAGAATAATTAAATAAATAAAGACTGGTGGGTGGGTGAGTGAGAGTGAATTTGCGTGGCTCTCGACTCTGGTTTGATGGATGCCTCTGTCCTCCTCCTCCTCCTCCTCTCGCCATCATCTTCAAAGTCTCAATAGGCAGGGCGGGGGCGGGCCGACCACCACAATGGCTAGTATTATTTATTAGTAGTTAGAAGGAACATCATCGGTCGAGCTCATCCAAGTGAAGGCAAGCAATACTATAGACTAGACTGGAGGCCTGAAGCAGCAGCAAGTAAGTGTACAATTTGTAAGATGACTAACAAACCACACCACACCAGTCCCACTGTCGCCATAAGCAAAGAAAAAATAGAGGAGGGATAGGGTTGGATTGGATTATCTCCAAGAATTATAATATCATGCATGCATCCTTATATCGAGAGAAGAAGCATCATCATCATATCATCAGACAGACCATGCATACAATACACATTATCTATCAATCAATCCATTATGACTACTGCCCCAATTGCTTTCATCCTCTCAACAATTTTTTCTGCTTCTTCCTTGGGGACCCCCTTCTTGATGATGGCAGGCAATTTCTCCACCAAGTCCTTGGCCTCCTTCAGCCCCAGCTCAGTAAAACTGCGGATCTCCTTAATAATCTTGAGCTTCGATGCAGCATCAAAAGATTCTAGCTTTAGCTCAAACGCAGTCTTCTCAGGCTTGTCTTCCTCCTTGGCTGCTGTTGCTGCTGCTGCTGCAGTGTTCCCTGCCAGTCCAACCGCACCAGGCTTCATGACCCCAATGACCGGCATTTCCTTCATGCCCAATTTCCTCATCATAATGGATGACAGCTCCGCAGATTCAGCAAGAGTCAGTCCAGCTATTTCATCAACAAGCCTCCATACCCTCTCAGATGGGGGGCTACGATGCTCTGTGGGGTCGAAGTTTGTTGGGTCATAATCAGCAGGAAGCCTTCTTTGATCTACTTCAACTTCCTCTTCCTCTTCGTCTTTGACCCTTGCTGGCTGAGCAAAGTTTCTGATCGCCCACATCGACTTAATAGAAGGGCATGCCGCCGCAGCAGCAGCATGTCTTCTCAAGGATCCGTATGGCAAATGCTGCCTCACTCGTGCAATCAAACTCATTGCCAATTTCCCACCCAAGTTTGATGTTGGATATTATTTATAGCATTATAACCTGGACAACGTACTATTAAGACTCATTTGAATACTTCAAGCGAAAAACAACCAAAGTATAAATTTTGTTTTTGTTTATTTAAAAGGAGATCGATCCCGCTAGACCCATAATCTGAACTCAGAAGGGAGACCATAACTCTTAAAATTCTACCACCCCACAACCTAATTGCTGGATGATTAACGCAATAATTCGAACAGTTTGGCCAAAATTCCAAAATGTATATATATAATACAATTGGTTATGGATGACGGATGATAAGAGTAAGAGGTAGGCAAACCTGTTGGGTTTCTTAAACCAAAAGCAGTGGTAAGAGCATGTGCAGCAGTGCAATCGGCGATGTAAATCGAAGCGTCTTTCTCTGTTTGTCAATGGCGTCAACTCAGAGACGATCGGCGGAGTGGAGAGGCTTCAGGTTCAGGTGTGGAATTGACGGCGGGTTTGGGTTTGTTGATAGATTAACCTAGAAGGGGGGAGGGCAGAGTTGCCCATTGCATTTTCGAACTGTCGGTTCACCGGTTTTCGAATTGGAACCAGACGCAAATCGAACCGGAGATTCGGTTTCGGTTTGCAATTTTCACCGGTTCGGAAATAATTATATATACTCTCTCCGTCTCTGAAAAATTATCAATTTGATTATTGTACTTAATTTTAAAAATATTAATGATATTTGTATAATATATATTGTAAGTATGAAATGAATACTTTGTTTGCTGTGAAATGTACTAAATAGATTTTTTTTTGTTATGGGTATATATTTTTTTTTATTTTGAAAGGAGCTGAGCAGCGCATGGTAGGTGAAAAAAAAAGGAGAACAAGGAAAGAAGAAGAGAGAGGAGGAAAGAATTAGGGAAGAATCGGTAAGAAGAAGATTGAGGAGAATCTGCGGCGGCAATGTGTTAATTTTTTTATATTTATTGTTAAATATTTAATGTTATTTCTAAATTTTAAAATAAAATATATAGAGAATATTTTGATATTGAAGTTGAATTAGGCAAATAAAAATAGAAAATTGTATATAGAAATAGAGACATAGATATGAGATAGTGTTAGTTAAACTGAGGAGGCAGTCTGTCCAGTCCAGCAACGGAATTCTCAAAACCTCACTCACTCTCCCTATGAGTATGACCCTATCCTATCCTATCCATATCTATCTATGTTAATTAATTAATGTATCTGGTGTTGAGTGAATCCGACCGCAATGCATTAGTGTTTGCCCTTTGTGTGTTTGTTTGCATCATACAGACAGAATCCAATAATGCAAATGTGAATATCATTCATTCATACATTCATTCCCCCGTTTTATCGTCATCATCAAACCAAGTCTGTCTTCATCATACAAATAAGACACACACAAACTCATGATTGATTCCCAAACAGATGTGTTTCTCTGTCTATCAATCTCCCTCTACCTCAATACAAGCAAGTTTCAATATACACAAGTGCAAGTGCAAGCGCTGCTTATTTATTAGTATTTTACCAAAAAGAAGATTGAAGACATCCATCCATCCATGCATCCTGCTCCTGCTCCTGGTGGACTGGTATATGCATAATGCATGCATGCACATCCCATCTTCCCTGGCTCCCATCATCCAACAACTAATATCTCCACACACCATACCAGCAGAAGCATTCCATAGCAACACATTTGCTGTCGTCACCAACACCAAAAGTTGCTTTTAGAATGCAATCTCACAAGGCGCGTGGAATGTTCTCCCCCGGCATACTGCCTCAAGGTTTTCTCCAGCATATGAGCAAAGGGGTGAAACTTCCACACCTGTTGTACATTCATCATCGAAAATGTTAGATGCCAGTTTAATTTTCTTTTTCTTTTTATTATTATTTTAATTTTTTTCACAATTTGTGCATGTCTCTACCGGTTGCATATAGGGGCACCGAATGAGTCAAAAAGCCTCCAGCAGCAACAACCCAACAAGTGTGCAGCCGAAGGACTAGCAACCTGGCACTATCAGGAGTATCAAAATTTGATCCATTTGCATTTTTCACAGGGGCAAATTCTTCTTCACGGACCACCTACACATCAAGGAAAATAGCACAATAATGGATCCAAACTACCTATATATGTATCTGGACTATATTTCTTTCATTCAAACCCAGCTAATATACATACCTCAAAAAGCACAGCATTAGGAGCATAAGGAAATGCATCAAATATAAATTGCTCTAGTTTGAACCCCACTGTGTGCCCATGAATTGAGGGGATATTCTTTTCTGCAAGATGGTAACTGCACTCATGCATAATATAAAATATGTTATGTCGTTGGCATTAGCAGAAAGCCCAACTCATGTTTACATCTATCCTAACAAAATTCTATATCCTGATTGGGTTTTACCACTGCAACCATGAGCATCACAAAAGAAAACTGATTCTAAAGTTTCCTAGCATGTAGGCAATTCCTTTGATGAACTTAAAATGCTGAGCTGTGCTGTGATATGTCAAAATGCCAAAATAACAGAAAGGCACCAGGTACAACTAGAAGTGTATGTCATCTTACATGCTATCTTTCTCAAGTCCATTTGCCACTTGGTTCAGAAAATCTAAAGTGAACATATGTAGGCAGACCTGAAAGATGGAGGCAAATTAGAGATACACAATACGCCCAAGTAAACACATGTAAAAGGTATTATCATTAAGAAGAAATGTCGACAATCCAAACAAGAGCAATCAATTAATGGACTCTATTCCTTCAATTTTAGATATAACCATGCCATCAAATAAGAGATTAAATGCTAATACATCCCACCAGCATGAATTGATTTACATAAAAGCAGGTGACAAGTGACATTGACAGCCTTTTTAGTGCACACTTTGAAGTTTCATCTATATATCCTCCTCAAAGTAGACATTTTCATGTCCAAAAATGACAAAGATGTAACAGCATATTGTTGTAATGTTCCTAGCAGATGGAGAAAGGCTAAGAATTATATATTGGATGTTAGGCTGCAGAAAAATATCTCAAAATATGATTATCCATAATAATATTTATATATATTCTGCAATAGAATATTCTTCTACATATATTTGGTTGCAGATCATATCACTCTTTCTATAAAAAGAATTCTTGTACAGGAAAAGCTGAAAGGGATAAGGGTGATTATTATGATGAGGGTTGAAAGGGAAGCAGCAATTCTAATTAACCTTTCTAAAGGCAGCCATTTTACCATTTCAAATGCAATCTCGACTTTGGGAAAAGTAAACCAGATACCATTAGGTGGATAGGACATGAGCAATGAATACAGAACTATCAGTCTACTCTCATCAAATACAGAACGCTCAAAACAATGAATACAAGTTGATTAAGCCTCAGGTAAGTTATTCAAAATTGACCACTTACAAATAGTTGATTGGCATAAGACATTCAATTTACAATTTAGTGATCAGCAAATAATGTCAGATCATTGTTAGACGTGATGCAGAAGCATATGCATTTTAAAGGCCCCATTTGACACCACAAAGTTGAATTGGCGTATTTATGGAAAAACTTTCAAATAACTCCATAGATACTGGATTTCATATCACAAAATAATTAGGTCCAACTTCAACTAAAATTTGAGTTATTTTGCTAAATACATATACCAAAAACAACCAATACATGAAATATTTATGGGTTTGAAATTCATCTTATCAAACATTTCCATTCAAGTGCACCCTCAAAGCTTTCAGATTGGTTTAGTAATTTTTTGAGAAGTTGAGCACACTTCGGGATGCATCGCAATAATTTCCTAATCTGTAAAATGGCCTACTCCAAAAGCCTAAAAGAGATGTGAATGGAATTAAAATATGCTAAGAGAATAGCATTGAGGACAATACATTACTCCAACAAAAGCGAAGCCGACCAGTTCCCTGATTAACTAGCCAGTGACTGATCCAGTTCACTGTACTCAACCACAGTGACAGGTCCACCTTTTCCTCTTTGAACAAATACACCAACTTTCTCTTGTGGATATGCCTAAAACACAGCAAATGGAGAAGGAACCCTTAAATAGTAACACAACACAAATTAACAATTTTCACATAAACCAACTCACCTTTCGAACAACTTTGGCACCAGCAGTCACACCTATTTCAATGAAGTAACCCAAGAAAGTTGGATCTGCAACACGTACCTGTTCGTAGATCATTCAATTTTGGTGGCGACTATAATCTTTGTTGAGATATATACATTTGAAAATTAAAGGGGAATACATAAGCGATGGAACACTCACCAAAGCATTGTCAACTCCATAACAATCCAAATATTTTATGCATCTTGCAGCCATATCTTCCAACAACTTTGAACTGCAATATTTATTTTTTCCTCACATTTAAGAACAAAGCATTCTCACAATTTCCTAATGAGAAGAGACGCACAATTCATTTTAACACAGCGCACCTGAATAAACACCTCCATTTCCATCAGGAGATTTAGCTACCTGGCTTCAGAAAATAGGTAATTGTAAATGCATGCAGCCATGCGGGTAAACTGCAGAATATATCATTATAAAGATAAAATTGGTGACCATAAAGAATATAATATAACATGAAACCAAAATATAGTGAAAGCCATTTTAGATTGAACACAGGCAAGCACCACAATAATTACTGGGTATCGGTGATTAATCTAAATACTCCAAAAAAAGTTACCAAAGTGAAAGCATCCAATGACCCAGATGAAAACGTGCACAAAAAGTTCACTAGTGGTTACAAAATATGCATCTAGTAATCTTGAAAATGAAAAATACGTACATATATATATATATGTAATGAAAATAATCCCTACTTTGTATGGTGTTTCCATGATGAATCTTCCATCTCTTGAAACACAAGGAATCGTACCCTGCTGGAAGAAGGTGACCTGTAACCAATCCAGTTTGTAAGCCAATGGAACAAATAGCATGAAATTTAGATAATAATGTCAAAAAATCTTACCTGATCTGCTTCCAGGCCAAAATATTTATGGCTTTCAAAGAATTTCCGGGTCAATTCATCGGTAAATGGACTAGTCATTATGTACCAATGAACAGGAGTAACACTAGCAGAACCTGCATTGAGCAAATTGATCATGGTTGGAGACCGAATAATTAAGGAGAAACTTTGATGTAGAAAATGTAGCACACCCTCATTTATAGATTGAGCTGCCAGCACTTGAATGCGTATAATTCGCTCAGCATGAAGTTGAAAAAGTGACTTTCCAGATGGAAGCCCAATGTCTGAGATAAGAAGAAACTTCAGGTCCTGAATAGAGTACTTCTTAAAGCAAAAGAATTTCTATAATTAAAAACAGAATGCATGTGTGGATGTGCACATATATGTATATGCTATATATTGTGAAAATTCTAGTAAATATTAGATTCACATGTAATAGATCATGGTATCAAATCCATGATGCCTTCAAACACTTGAAAACAGCATACAAAAGAGAAATGTGTCCACCAGAGTGATTTATTAGTTCCAGATGTTTCAAGCAAGCACCACATAACACAGATGCCTTAATGCATAA